GAAGACTGCCTTGCTAGAGGCTGAGTGCCGAGAGCTACGTGAGGCAAATAGTATACTTAGCCGACGGCGCAGGGCAAAAAGGACACGCCTATAGAATAAAGGGAGCTTAACTATATAGGAATGTTATAATTTAATTGATTAGATAGATGTAAGTACGCAGGTATTGGCCGAATTATCGAGAAGTGGTGGTCAAGGAAGGTCAGTTAGGCCGGGTATTCGGCAATGTGGTGTATGCGGCAAGCCCGGGCATAATGCAAGGACCTGTCAGGTAGTTCCGGAGGCATCTGGAGATGAGTATAGTAATTGATTTTAATTGATCAGATAGTCTGTTGTATTTTTATTATAATTTATCTTAAGAAGGTTGAGATTTTTGTCCCGCTCGCTTATCTGTCCCGCTCGCTTATCGCGTACGTTATGTCTAAATTAATATATTGCTTTTACTTTTAATCTTAAGACTATTAAGATCGGCCACTCGTGAGTCCATTACTAACTAATCCATGTGTAAAAAAGTATCAGCGGAATTTGCCGAGCAGTCTAAACGCAAATCGTTGTATTATCTCGTATTCCAAACCATAGTGACACATGTTCGGATCAGACTTCCGTCATTCCTCTCGTACTACTGGCGTCATAAATGGCTTTCTCAATTAATGACCTATGGTGGCATTTCTTCCGACACATAATCAGACCAGCTGTTCACGACTTAGCAGGGCAGGGCCATATGGAAGTGTGCTAACCTCTAGTCATAGACTCCATTTATAAAAGGAACATAGCTTCCCTTTGATAGAGGCATTAGAGGCAAATACCAGTCGACCGAGAGAAAATAAGATCTGCTCAGCGCATTGCCACCCAAAGAGGCGCCGAGCCATCACTGTTGTGAAGATGGATCCAACAGTACATCCGATCGTCTCTGGAAATAAGGGTATTAGGAAGTTGCAGGAGGAAGTTACTCGAATTCGGCTCTTGCTCCCAGGCCCAGTCCCGAGAAATTGCCCAATAGTTCTAGGTGCCATCCATCCGACAATGTTTTAAGAGGGTATACTATAGCTAACGAAGTGATGTACAAGTTCCCGGATTCAGCGGATGGGGACGGCCCCTCCTAGGAACGGTGAATTATTTCGGCGGATTCGAGGACCTCCCGTTGATTTTGTCTCAATTGGGCTACATCGTCATTGTGGTTCGTATTGGACCCATCTCTACCAACAAAGAACGAGCTTGTGAGATCTTCGCTCAGCTCACTAATGCTGGGTAATATATCTCTACATAGCCGTGAAAATCTGGAGGCTAACACGAACAGGGGGTTTATCCCTGCGAGAGCAAATGGAACTCCTATCCCTGCGGAGGTAGATAGAGCTCTTATTCCAGTGGACTTTGGTCTTATGCATCCAGCTCCGAACCCAAATCTGGTTATGGCCGCAGAAACCCTGCAAGCAGTGATCTACGACACTCCCGGGAACCGCCTTCCGGCCGACTGGAAATGGGGTGTCAACAACAGGGTCAATTTTATCTGTCATTCGCAGGGTGGCACTACGATAAGATATCTGATCGAGCTTTTGTCTGGAGCGAGAAGTGATCTTGACTTACCACAATTTCTCGACACTAACCGTCAGAGCTGGGTCAAATCCGTCGTCACTCTAGGCACGCCCCACAGAGGCACAACTGTGACAGACGTAGTAAACGTAAGTTATCCGGTCAAAATGCTATCGATGCTATGCCACATCTAAGCTCTCAGCAGGATGTTCTCCCCCATAACAGGTTAGATCCGCTCATAGATTTCATCACGTCGTGTTCGTTCGATCGCAGACAAGACAGGATCTACGACCTCCACCTCGATCACTGGGGATTTTTCCGTGACGGAGATGAAACCTACCAAGCCATGCGTGCGCGGATTGCTCCCACTGTTACCGCATGGTGGACTGGCCGCCACAATGGACTCTACGACAACAGTCTTCGAGGTATAAGCGACCTCGACATATTCGCCCCAGAACCTTCACCCAATACCTATTACTTCACTATGTCTTTCTGTGCGACTCGCCCTTTCCCGAACGATACCCTCACAGCTCAAGATATCAATGAATTTCTGGCATTACTTCCAGTCAATCAATTCTGGAATTTGGGAGGGGTATGGGGACACGTTGCAGCTTCGCTTACACAAGTTGGAACTCAGCTCGGGGTCCTCCCATCACTTAATGCAGCATTGACATGGCTGACCGACGTCGCAAACCGCCACCTCAGGGCCATGCAATACTTCTCTCAAATTCCCCGACCCGGCTCACAAATACCCCGGCAAGACATGCTCCCACTTATAATGTACCCTGCTTACGCCATGGGAGGGCTCGGAGTGACGTTGTCAGGCATTCCATTACAGGAATTCCAGCGTAACGATGGCATCGTTAATACCAGATCGATGGATGGCCCGAGTACCACAGTCGTAAACTATGGAAGTTTTGCGGATTCGCTTGCCGCATATGCTCCTGTTGATCTCCAGGGAATTTATTGGAATTTAGGAACAAATGTGACTATTGACCATGCTGATCAAATTGGGGTGTTCACAGATCATTCCACTGTAAGACTTTCGATTCGTTAATCTCATTTACCTCCTAGCTACTTAACGACAGATCGCCAAGCCCCGCTAACAAATAACGCAGTATCTCGAAGTCCAGGCCATGTACATGTTGTTTGCAGAGCTTGGAGACCGTCTACCATAACCCCAGCTCTGATTAACAAGTCTCTTAATTCTGAGGTTTCTGTTGAGGTTATGGAACGAACGTCAAATGACATATTGGCTTGAGACACTGTTGATTAGGAACAGCATTTTTCCGCGGCATGCATCTTTCGCATAGATAAGGATCGAAGTTGCAACTGCGAGGAATACTGGATCCTCTTACAGATAGTGGAGGAAATCATCTATAGAGCGACAACAGATGCGGTTGACAGATGAACAAGATTGGAATGACATACGTTTTGGAGAAGATCAGGAGTGATGTCCAGTAGTCTTAATTAAACCTTCGATGTTGGCTTCTCTCCAGGGTATTCTCAGTATCTTGATGCAAATGCAGAGAAATCTGTACTCTCGACGCAGGGATATATTTGCCTAGTCTCCAGTATATGGATTATTCTTACTAAATAGCACTTGGGGTTAGTAAGATCTGGAAAGAATTTACCGGTAGTGTATAGACTATTCTTCTAGGATTACTATACTATGCTATAAGACTGCTGACAGGTTAAGTATTTAGCTTAAAATAACAATTAAAGAATATTATTAAGTGTACTTTAGCACTTTTAAAGTTTTTAATAACACTTAAAGTTTAGTATACCTAGGACTTATTGCTATTACAGTTTCCCTCTAAGAGCTTAATCAGTAATACTTTATCTCCTGCAGAGGAAAGAAGTATAGTGTCTTTTATATACTATAACTCCGGCTTGAAAATAGCTTTTGCTTTCTAAATATCGCTAGGTAGCTGCGCTGAGCAGCTAGTAATATATCTTCTGAGGATAAAGAAACGGCGCATCCAACGCGGGGCTGATTATGGTGCGTGACGTGGTGTAAGCACTAAACTATACATATCTTATGTACATGCTCGTCCGCTTGTCTCTGTCACATTTGCAAAAATGATCATCGTGTACCGTGCCACTCGATGGTCCGATTCAAAAAGGATACTCAAACCTACTCTAAGCCTTTCTATGAACTCTGTTTCCAGTAACTTGACATTATACCAAAACGTTGTATCACAAACATAGAAATTTAATCAAACGCCATCGAGATCTCACATGATCGACAAGTCTTGTTCTATCAGGACAAATACTTGGTAAGGCCTAGATGGCGGGGTTGACAAAAGGAATGAGGCCAGCTGACACATAGAAAGGGTGAGTCACATATGTGGCGTCTGGACATTCCCATCGTCCCCAATCAAAAGGTAGTGGTTGGTCGGGCAGGTGTATCAAGGCCATATGAAAAGAGGTTCGAGTGCATATGCTCGACCAACGCCGACAGGCAAGGTGGATCCCTGAGAAGGCAACAAGTTCGATTGCAGGGGTTCACGGATGTGGAGAGAGTAACTCAGAGCTTGAGTACCAAGGCAGCATTAGAGGGTACGTATGAAATAACCTTTCCGTTAACGCAGTCAACATGAGCTTTTTTTCGGTTTCATGACCTTTCTCGAGGGTTCCACCTGCATTTCCTAGTTCCAACTGGTAAAATGTATGCACACTGGCATTGTTTACCCTTTGAGCGAAGATCTCCTATCCCTACCTAATATTAGAATGTCTGATTAAGAGTGGGGTAGGCAAGAACAAAAAACAACCACGTAGTGCAGATGCAGGAGGCCGACCACTGTCAGTGGCGTAGCCACTGGGCTTCAAAGATGAGATTAGTTCTATTGCTACTGATGATTTCGAGTAAATTCTGAGTATCGATGTTACAACACATACATCTGTTAAATTCTTTATCTCGTATAATCATTCCATTTTTCCATGGCTTTTGCTTGCGGTACATGTTGGAAAACATGGTCTACTTGGCGATCCCGTAACCAACATGTGGAAAGCACTTCACATCAAATCCCAGGCTTTGAATGCGAGACTTGTGACCGCTTCTTCAAGAGCAAAGGTGCTGTCGAACAGCACATGAGAGATCTCGGCCACTGGGCTGATTATGCATCGGCTTCATCGGAAGAGTCCACCTACTATTGCGATTTCGGCTATTGTAACGAGGAACTTGACACTCTGGATGATCTGAAGAATCATGAGATCAACGATCATCTCTTTTGTGACTCGTGTGATCGGTCATTTAAAGACTTAAACAGCATCAAGATGGTAAGTTATCAGCCCCAATCTGTCGGTGACTGATAACTAATCTATATAGCATTTCCGAAGTAGAGTACACCAAGGAGAAAGTCAGCCCTGCCCCTTCTGTAGCCATCTATACGTAACTGCAGCGGGTGTCTTCCAGCATCTTGAGAATAACGGTTGTCCCAAAGCTCCTTTAAACAGGATGATGGTTTACGAAGCAGTTAAAAAGCGGGATCCCAACGGCTCACTGACCATGAAACTGCTCGACTGGTCCCAGCCCGACGGTTTCGAGGCCACGGAAAGATCCTGGAATGCAACCACGAGGACTTTCGATTGCTCCCTCTGCTGTTCTCGTTTCGAGAGGCTCCAGTCTCTTAATCAGCATCTTCAGTCGCCAAAACACTCCCAAAAGTTGTACCATTGTCCAAAAAAGGGATGTGATAAGAAATTCAGTATGCTTGCTGCCGTTACCAATCATCTGGAAAGTGAGCAATGCAATTTCATGTGCTTTAAGGATGTTCAAAAGGCTGCAAGTCAAATTTTCGACCCCGGTCGCATGATTGCTTTTTAGCACGTATACAATTGATACATGGATATGGAACCAACCTGGGCAATAGAGCAGTCTAAGACATATATCATCGTTATCAACTATTTTAACAGTGACTAAACCAGACGCGCAATTATAAAGATGCGACCGACCTTAACGAAATTCTCATAATTGTACACAACATAATTTCCACGTATGGTACTTGTTCATATCATCTTTGGAACTTGGTTGACGAAACGTATGCCTTGTGCCTATCTTCCTAAGATGGACATGACTAGAAACATCAATGGGCATGCTTTTTTTAAAGCCTACTCAAAGCCTTGGCGAATGGATTTACTTCATATAAGAATTACACCAGAAGATACTGGAATTCTACTCTATTGTGGTGCTGACACAATCCGTGCTGTTACGCACCGGTGCATGATGTCGCAGATGCGGGAGGCCTGTCTCGTCTCACCAGGCTTGGCCCACCGCGTCAACCAAGATTTAAAGTAAGAAGTGAAAGCAACCGTTTTGCCTTGTCGGGCTGCAACAATAGAATGCAATTTCATTTAGCAATCTTTCCTTGTAGATTCGTTTTATACTATTTCGCTCTCTGTACTAATATCATATTATTCATTCATCATGAATCAATCTTATTCATCAAAGGCCGGCAATAAATCAGCTCAGCAGGATAGGCCTTCCGTAATAGTCATCAGTTCGGTCCGCCAGCTCGAAGTACTGCTGCAAGACCTCAAAGGGCTCCCGACTAGACCATAAATTTTACACGTCTCAACACTCCTTTGTTTATCGCGTACAAAGTCTCGTTCGCGCTCGGTTTACAAGATGTGCAACATGTGATCTTTTACGGACGGGTCCAATCATCAATACGTATAAGCTCGAACAATAATTATATTGCGGGGAGCTGGGCGAAGCAGACCCTAGTAGTTAACAACAAATCAATTATAATAGATTTGAATTATTAGCCTCACATTCCATGGAATAGACTGTATTTAATTGATAGGAGTTGGTTTACTTCTGTGACGCGGTTCATTAGGTCCTGAAAGATCTACTGGAGATATCTTGTATGGTCGCAATATTCAGAGCTGGAACTGACGCAATGCAGTCTTGAAGCTTTCGTTGTGTGCCTGATCGTTTAAGTCTAGATGCACTAAAAATGAGGCATCATGTCTTACTGGAAGTCTCGCAGTGATTGCCTTGAACGAATAGAATATATGGTTGAAAAGATTGACTCGTTGCTTGCGGGTTTCCTACGTGAGTGGCTGAGAAAAATACCGCCGGTGGCAATATGGTAGATTGCCAATGATAAGACATGGAAAGCTGGGTCGTAGATGTGAGACAATACAAAAGATGAGAATATGTAGGAGGCCGACCATACGCAGCGTGTCCACCTCTGATTGATTCTCTTTCGCCCCACTCCGAGGCATCAGTCCTGGGGGCCGACTACTCCCATACATTGTACGTGTGAAGCGTCGAATCGATAAAATTACATAGTGACGACACATGAATCCTGGATATTTACAATAGTTTTTTGACCTCTTCTTATGTTAATCAGTATCCTGCCGCTCGCAAGTTCTAGACTTATCTGCCTTAATCACGCTCTTCAGCGAAGATATCAACTGTTCGAGCAGATTCTCTACCTCTTTTCCCTGCTTTATTGAACAAAAAAAGGATGATGAAGTACGTACGTCGCGTTCAATCCGAGTCCTCCCTGGAGCCACCTTTTATTCACAAAGGTCAACCAAATGACTGGACACGAAAGCGTTTTGAACAACGCCAGGCGCAGCCGCCTTGTCCAATTTCAGTTCATCCCGCAAAACAGGAACAGTGTGAGAAGCTGGCCGATCAGAATAGTGAACTACAAAAGATTCTGCGTGAGCAAGAAGAACAAATCGAAAGCTTACAGAGTACTGTCAGGAATTTGCTTGACGAAAACAATTCGCTAATGTCCATTGTCGGAGAGAGAATAAAAGAGTCTGTCTCCCTGCGCTTGAAAACCATTTCCCTGGATCACGATTTGGAAACTGCTCTTAACGACAAGACAAGTATGTCTCATACCATCAATGAGCTTCAAGCTCAAGTCTCCGAGCTCAACCAACTACCAAGGGCTACTACACCTAGAGCCATTATTGTTACCAAGATGTTGGAGATTCTAAACAAGGCTTCTCAGCCTTCGGGCACGAAGGGTCTTTGTGTTTCTTTGATATCTTTTGACAATTGTCCGGGTGCCAATCTTAGAAGCACACTTGACACTTTACTGAGGACTGATGAAGCTCAAACACTATTTTCCACCTTTGATACGTGGTTCGGTGTACAAGCATTGCAGTCGATCACACTCGCCACCTGCTGCGTGTGCAGGAAAGTAAAGTTCAGACAAACTGTTGGCGGTACCGGGGCCGCGCCTCTTAATGAATTCATCACAGCCGGTCCGACGATTTCATGTGATAAAGCAGTGTGCGCGGCATGCTATCTGGACTCAATTTCATACTCCTTGGAGCTGCTCCAGGAGACATGGTGGACAGCTCAAGGGTCAGCGATCTCCTTTTTATGTCCTTGTGGCAGTCACTGTGACAGAATCTCTTTACAGAATCGCCAACAGCTACTCCAGTTACTGAATTTGATGAATGACGACTGGCTTAAGGTTAGGAAGATGAAAATGTAGGTCAGAAAAACTCATATTGAATCAGTAGGATAACCGTTAGTCTGTAGTTTTGACACGGCTTTGTACCTGTTAAAGATTTTGAAGAATATTAACCCGGAACCGACATCTGGTGCTCGAAAGTTAGCAGCACGCATGCACCAGAAGATGATGGCCAACGGCTTCATGAGGTATCCATTCGACATGGACTATCAGGACCTGTATCGTGCCGGAGCCGGCTCCCCCCTCAAGGCAAACTCCCGGGTTGTTCAAATCTATAATGTCGAGCACGCTGGAGAAACCTTCTCGACCCCCATTTTTACTCGATTTTTGCGGACTGAGAGTCAACCGACTGATTGTGTGATATGCACCGAAACAATTTGTGAAGTCTCCTATCGCTCTATCGAAGAGTGGACAAAAGTCTGTGCGGAATTCGACGGTGACTGGATATGGAGAGTCTTATCATTTCCTCAAAAGTTGGGCACGAAGTGTACTCATGAAATCAATTTCTGCACATATTGCTTACAACAACACATCGAAGTCCAACTGCAACAATTCGGGAGAAGCGCATGCGACAACATCGCATGTCCATCCGTGGGCTGTCAACGCCTACTTACGTATGAAGAATTACGGTTGTATGCTCAGGAAGAGACATTTCATAAGTAAACTTTGTCCCAGTTATGGAAGGGTAAGCTGCTGACACGACTGGGCAGATATGACGAGTATTTGAAACTCAAGGCCTTGAGTCAAATGCCATCATTCATGTGGTGCTTATCCGAGAAATGCTCCAGTGGTCAGGTACATGACTTACTTCTGAATAGTCATGTCGTTTGCGCTGACTGCGACTTTGAAATGTGTTTTACTCATCAAGTGAATTGGCACGAGGGATTGTCATGCGAACAATATGACAGTTTGAAAGAAACGGGAGATCCAGAGTTTCAACAGACACAGGAGTGGATCACGAACAATACAAAGCCATGCCCTGAATGTAATATTCAAGTACAAAAAGGCAACGGCTGCTTTCACATGACATGTGAGTCTATACTTTGGCCTAAATTGCTTAGTTATAGTTGCTAAAATCAATCATAGGCAGACTGTGTGGCCACGAGTTTTGTTGGGAGTGTCTTGCTAGCTGGAGGAATATCAAGCCAGGATCTGGAGTTTACAATCGCTCGGCTCACAACGATGGATGCTATTTCAAGACCAGCAATCAAGAGCCTACACAGGTAAACGGAACTAGTATTGCCGAAACCGCATAATTTTAGTTAGGTTCAAAGGATACCCTATAGGTGAGCAATTTATATTGTAAGACAAAATTGCTTGAGAGTTATAAATGATCCCTACTATTTGAATTCCGTACCTGTGCATGCAAAGAGATTGTAAAGTGTTGATTCAGGCATATCCCAGATTATGTAAGGGAACTTGTCGGAAATAATTCTCGATAATATGGTATGAGCGAAAAGGGAGCTGCGTTTAGGGCCTTGGAAGACTGTGGATACGATGTGTAACATTTGATTAGTGAAAGCGTTAATAGTAGACTGTGACCTAGAGCTACTTCCCCTTCACCGTTCCTAAGGCGAGAAAAACAAGATGTAATGTCGCATGTCAAAGGAGCGACTTTACACGAACAATTCGCCTTAGTTTAGGAACGATGTTCAATGCATAGACCCTAGAGCTTTGCGATAGTGAAATTGGACCCATGAAAGCAAATACAAATTCACAAGACTGAGGGATATGGAAACATAGCAAGAAACCGTGTTAGTTAATATTGAAGTTTTGACGTATAATCAACACAATAATATAGTATCAAGCTGGATAAATAACATCGTCATGCTGTTTTTTCTTATGTCGCATCATATTGACGTGTTTTGTAAACGACTCCTTGCAAATGGGACATGGAAAACGCTCGCGCAGCACAGCCTTTAGATGGGTTTCAGTATGCTTTCTCATGTCAGATTGATAGGCCATTCGCTTGTTGCAATAAGGACAGATAACAGGTTTCTCTTGCTCCCTGATGTGTGCACTGTTGTTTATCAGTATGTTCGTCATCATAGTACGTAAAGCGAAGAGTTACTAACTTCCTGTTTCTAGACGTTCGGAAAGATGACGAACATCCTTGACGATTGCAATAGAATAAGCCGTCGACAAAATGTTCACCCTTGTCAGGATATGAAAGTCGCCATTCGTCATATTCTTTGCTAATTGTTTGCCCTAGCACAATCTCATCATGAGCTTCGATAAGACTGAGGTGAGAAGGCAAACAATCTCCCAAGTACTGATCAGTAAAGGTTCTCTGTGGAATGAATCCAGTTATATCAATCTGCGCAGATGGCTCATTCTATAGAATGGTGGAAGTGCTCATCTGTGGATCAATAAGTGGCTCATGTTGCAGTTGTTGCCTTTCTGATGGACTTTGACTGGGCCCGTTCTCATCCGGGATGCCCAGTTCGTGGACTGTCAAGAATAAGTCGTCGTTTTCAATCGGATCTATGTTCAGAAGATACGACAGTTCATCAGGATACAGGGTGTTTTGAAACATATCAAACGTCCCAAAAGTGTGTTCCTCTTGCAGTGAGAAAGAGGTTGCTAAGAACTCCTCATCGGCGTCATTTCCTGATAAATTGTAAGAAACACTGCCTAGGGGCACTATAATTCTTGGTGTTAGTCGAAATTGCTGGTCTGACGGTGCATAGGGTAATGGCGGACTCAAGCTAAGTTGAGACGAGTCCACAACTTGTTCGAAATTCGTGGACTCGTCCATATCTCGCAAGTCTTTGTAATCCCAACTCATCAGTTAGATGACCTGAATTGATGACCTGGGTGTCAGGAATGGCTGAGAGTATTGGGATCTGCTCGATTTAAGTTTTCGTTCTGTATATCGATCATGGTTCAAAATCATGGCGTCATTTAGCGGAGTTCAAAATTCGCATTAAAGGTAGTCTACTCTTATTGGTCATCTGTAAGAGGCAGACCAATGTCTTACACAACCCCGCGCAGTAATGCAGGAAACACACCATTCAAGTACAAAAGAAGTAAAGTGGATGTGGGAGACCGGCCAAGTGGCAAACGCAGCAAATCGTTCTGAGACATAACGGGTGCGTTGTCCATCCGTAGGTGGAAAAGAAATTTCGGACGTTAGATGCCGCCATACTCCGAGCTCAATTCAAGACGGCCAGTTTCGCATTCTTGTAAACACTACCTAGATACTAATGGGACCCGCTCCGAGTTTATAGAGCCCCTGTCGAATCAGATGGTAGTTTTCATTGGCATAAAATTAGTAATGGCCCCCTCCCGTTACCGGCTAGAATACTAGGGTTTCATGTTTGTCCTGGTCTAACAGACGTCATTGTTAAATAAGTCTAACCCCTGATCTTTCTACACTTTTGCTCTTCTCAATACAAGTTTGGAAATAGAAGGTATAGGGTATATCTTCAAGCTGAATAAAGCATTACTTAATATATATATCTACTCTAGGATTTGGTCATTAATATACGTTCAGTTTATACTGAAGGATTTAATTTTATTTTTCCAGGCCAGTCTAATTCTTTTGAAGCTTTATGTTGGACGCGCGACACGCCAGTTGCATTAAGCTTGTTAAGGGAATAAGGTCATACTGCTCTACTTATTGGCATGTTTCAAATCCCAGTTCAGACTGCAGGTAGCTCGGGACTACCTGTTGTAGCATTACTAATACGTGTGCCTCATATTCTATACTAGATGATGGTAAGGTCGAGGAATTGTTATTACAATTGGTTTCAAGATCATACCACGCAGAGGATTTTGCTGAAAAGCTTTAGGTATATTTAACACGCTGAAGGCGTAGCTCTTTTGACCATCGTCGAATTATTATACCATATACGATAAAGTTTAGCCGATGTGGCGATGAACCTAGGACTGCCATTGGTCCTGGCTCCAACAGTGGCATTGTGGGAGAGGTGTTGGATAGCCGTAACTCCAGCATTTTCCTAATTTTACTGTACCTAACTATTGTTCAATTCGAAAAATGCATGCGCGACTTCCTCAGGGCTTTGACACTTTCACGATTACCCATACTGCGGTTATACCGATGACAAGGGTGACTAAAAGCCCTTAGCAACAAAACTGAACAAGATTGTCTACAATCGTAGTACAAACCTGCGGGCAGAGGTCGTCTTAAATGGAACGGAGGACGTTAGGTCTCATTTCCTGTAGACAGATATAACAAAGCCATGACACCATCTGATCTATAATTACATCCTCCCTGGGGTACCAACGGAACCATTCTAGACCAAGGTCAGCACAGTGGCTAAGGTTAAAGAAATGCCTAATATGACTAGCATAATTAAGATACCATTAATAGAGGATTCTATTCCTAAATAAGACTGAGTCAGTAATACTTAGAAGAAACTTCAGTGTAGTCCAGTTGATACAGGGCATGGTCCAGCAGTAGCCATACTGCTCTAGCGTTCTACCAAAGCCAAGGCTGTGGTACACTCGTGGTAAGCCCACTGGTTATAGCAGCTCTCGTCTACTCCACTACAGTGGCCCTTCTCAGGATTAATCATGCTCTCCAACTGCGACCCTAGGATATTGGAGAAACATATCCATCATCACCATTTACTTGTATATCGTTAGGCCCCCAGAACAATAAGCCTGAACCAACTCAGACCCAGTTATGAACTTGTTGATATTATGCCAGAAGTAATTAATAAAAACAGGACTGCGAACTGCCTAAATATAGGGTGGAGGCCGTCGTACCTGGGGGTGGCAGGCTTCGGGGGTAAGAGAGCGCAGGATTGCAATCACGCTTTAGAATAAGGTCCACAACATATGATACCCTCACGGACACCAAAAGATCGTTGTCTGCAATTTGTATCGCTATAACGACAACGGCGCTTGCTGGCCAGGTACGCTCGATCATTTACGTTCCTGGCCGATGCTGGCCTGTGGCCGGACTTCGGAATGTTCCCATCATACAGCCATCACGTCGCCAGAGGTATGTCTGAGGTTCAGGTGAGGAGACGCTATTAGGCATCGCGCAGCAGAACTCCGTACTGCCCCTATAATGCGTTTCTCAGGATGATGGCGTAAGTCAAATGAAAGAATACTGGAGCCGCTTATAAGATGTATAAATAATATAGGTTATGGAGTATTTTAGACCCGCTCATGCTTTCTCCCTTGTAGTAGGCCGATCGTAAGCTTATGTGAGCATTTATTAATCCTTTCTATGCTAGGAGGCGGGTCAAAATAAAATAGTGACACCAAAGATCTTTCACCACACTGAGGGCGAGTGGAGAAAAAATAGTTGATTATATACTCGCGAACTTCCCACTAAATATTTCTATCAGGCTACTCCAGTGCTACTATTTTATTGTGACCCACTTAGGTGCCACTATTATGAAGCTCAAATAAGTATCAGTAGAGCTTGTTTTTCCATTTCAATCAGTGAAGCCCAACCTGTCTAAGTGTAGATAGCTGGGTTGCAGATAGTAAATATATTCTAAGTAGATTGATAATCTTATATTATTGATGATAGCTATTTTTCTAGCTGCTCTGCCACTGATTTCTCGCGGAAGACAGATCTGTCAGCTTGTCGAAGGAACTGAACCTGTAAAATTATGCTTGGTATCCATACGCTGGGGTTGCATCATTACACAGGATTGCAGTTAATCCTTTACAATCCTTTACAATCCTTCGCAATGATCTTGAAACATACATATACTTGCAAGGAAATGCACAGACTCATTTCGTTTGCCGCCTTGCGCAATATACTGCGGAGAATAATTTCGGCAGCCTCTTCCTGTAAGCTGCCAAGCTCTGCACGGCCACAAAAATATATTCTCATCGCGCATCTCCAACAGATCTCGAATATTCAATACGTATATAAACCGGCTCTTGCGTGCTCTAAATGTCCTTCACCAATCCTTACTCACCTCATTACCACCCACCTTCATTTGCGAACAATTCTAATTCCAACTATGAAAACTGTCACTACTCTTTTGTTTCTTGCCGCTGTGGCAAAGGCCTCTCCTGTGGCAAAGACCTCTTCACTCGTTCCCCGGACGGATTGGGCCTTTGACGATAAGGACAGACTCTGCGGAGAATGGGACCTCACTACTCCAGAAGGTGTAGATGAACTCTGGCATTTGTCGGGGGCTGAAACAGATCTTGAGCTGTTTATCAAAGTTACCAACAAAGGTAGGTGAATACAGCCAAGTACTGGATCGTTATACTGATAGTCGAAGGCGAGGAATCCTGGGTACAGAAGTTGGAGACCTGGGTTATGCAGGGTACTGATGGCAAGTCTGGCGCCCCCGGGTGCAGCCTTATAGGGACCGAGTGTAACCCTATGCGTGGCATCAGCTGTAAGGAGCAGTTCGATAAGTACGGCGAAACGCTGCTTATCGGCAGGTCTTCCTACTGGATGTTTCAGGCTGTAAAGGGCGTGCATGCCAAGTTTGCTGAGCTGCATCGCCAGCTGACCACTGAGACTCTCATCAACGGCCTGAAGATCGATAAGATGATTGAAGACTTTAGCGGAGACGGCTATACTCCCGGAAATGTCAAGCCGTGGCTGTCAGCAGCTGCAACTATGGGTAACGCACTGGGCGGTACTATTCCCGGAGTATGTCATTCCTTTCATTTGCTTTACTCCATGACATTACTAATGCTTGCAATTACAGAGTGGCAGTGTTGTTTCTGCCGGTATGGGACTTTTTGCTGGTATTATGTCCGGTCTCTCTGTCAGTGACGGAGATGAAGACCCCTCTGCCACCATTAAAGACCGTCTCGCCGACTTGTTCAAAGATGCCTCGAGGAAGCTTGAAGATACACTTCGCATTGTTACAGGTGGCGGCTCTGAAGACGAGTATAACGCCCTCCCGGCCCCTAAGGACGACCATTATGAGTCTAAGATCTCTAAGTTTTTCAACGGCGGCTGGTTCCTTCTCGACGATAACACCAAAACCGTTACTGAAACTCTCAACTCTATCACTAGCAATATCCAGAAAAAGGTCGCTAATGATGTCATGAAGTCCGCCAAGCTCCATCTCGTTGCAGATAAGCTTACTGGTGCGTCTGACTCACGCGAGGCATGTGGCTACAACACTGGTCGTCAATGGCTGTCCCTTCGTGACGGAGAGGAATACTGCTTCTACATCATGCTAAACAACCCTGATCCCAACCGCGAGGGTGAATGGACTGAGGTTGGGTCTGATATCTATGAGAAGATGGCTGACTTTGGCCTCGGTGATCGCGAGCCTTACTATAACGCTCTGATCGACTGCGCTTTGAATGGAGATCCCGACAAGCTTGAGGTAAACACCCTCGACTATGGAAAGTCTCCCACATGCTTCTTTAACATGCCTGTCGTTTTTGTTGAGAAAGATGATAGCGTCGGTTGTGGAGATCTGTTTAGCAAGAGTGACTGCGACTACCGCAAGGGCACTCCTGTCTCATAAGTATCTTAACGCTATAGTTTATTGGAAGATAAACCGCTAGATTAAGCACTCAAAGATCAAGGTTTCCTTTATAAAGATGTTGGAGACTAGAGCTTATATACTTAGTAATTTATTGGAAGAAGAAAGCTTCTGAGTCTATTATCATTATTTTTATATCCTAGGAGTTGATCTTGTTTCGAGCTGGACCATCAGCAACTCCCTTGACGTCAAACGAGTTCTCGTTACTAATATTCCGGAATAAATCATAGAGCATACTCTTTTCATAAATATGATTGACTGAAGGCCTGCCATCACTCGCCCGGAGAGAATTGCACTTGGATGCTAAATGATTATCCTTAAGTTGAGAGAGGTGATTGCCACTAATGGTGATGGGCTACGACTCTTTGATATCTTTCAAGGGTAAGTTCTTGCGGACAGGATGGGTACCACAGTGTAACACAAGCTCACTCCAGGATACTCCGGGAACTGAGGCATTTTGGCAAATCTACAACCTCCGAAACTACTTGGTCCACATCTTTCACCTCTTCGCTCTTGACTTCGCTCTTCCAGCTGCTCAGAATTCGTCCCAGACACAAACCTCCTGTTGAATGACTTGCATGAACTGCTTCCTGAAGTGCTATAGTCTGTAGTAGATAGTTTTGTGTAGGTTCCTACCACATCACATCCAGTGTGTGTCTTGGGACCTGTTGACTTACATTCTGGCGTGATGCCATTTCTAGCTGGCCCAAGAAAGGCCATTCATGCAATGAGGCAAGCGGTAGCAATGATATTTCAGCGCGTGTTGTGGAGGAGGATTTACCGTCTTTATCATCATCATAACCGCAATCATTGTGGGCAGTAGTGGTTGCTGGATTCTATGTAATAAGTGGGGCGTTAACTTGGAACTTATGTAACAGAGTAACTTCACTTTTGTCACTTGCAGTGGGAGTATTGGCTGCAGTGACTGCATCGGTATTGAAAGATCGATCCATCACCATTAGGAGCGACTTGGAAGGAAGAGGTACCTGGCTAATTAACCGCAGGCACAGAGGTGGAATTCTCTTCAGGATTAGTTTAATGAAACCCGTCGTCTACCTTCGTCATTGAGGGCTGCATACCCTCGCACTGAATGTTGAATTGTTGTACTCTGGACGGAGATTGGCTCTTGCGGATGTTGCTAGTAAATCACTGTATCCTGGTTGGGAACAGTCATATGATACGTAGGAATGTTATTAGGAGTGTTTATGTCTTTGGAATCGGTTCTGGGTTTATCTTTAAAATGGTTCAAATTTGTAAGGCACACGTGACGTGCATGCGAGTGTCACGAATGTAACATGTCGTTCATTTGCATGAGATGTCGATCTTTGATGTTCCAACGGTCATCGATCTTACAAAATGTCGGGGCCATTTACCGTCTGACCATGATTGACCATAAAGGCGACGTCTTACACGCCAACCAGGCTGAGAATACTGAACTATTCAGGGCTCGTCGTGGTGGTAGTCCCGGAAACTTTGGTGTCATTACTCACTTCACTATCTCGGCATTCAAGTCCAAGAGCTACATGGGGATCGAAAACACAATCAAAAATTCCAAAGGTACTGAAATAATTCATAGACAACATGCAGTCAAGACTCTCAAAAATGATGAAGAGTGGAGAGAACTTCAAAAGGCAATCTCCAATCTACCTCAGCCCGTTCAAGATCTGTTAGATGGTAAATTGCCGCATTCTATCGTCCTTTACTCACAATGGTGTCCCATTGGCGATCAACAGAAATATGATGAAAGAGTCGATGCGTGGTTCAAGTAAGTAATTTCGAGAATTGGACCATTTGTTGCTTGGTCGCATTCAAGTCGATGGAATCTTCGCAGGCATGGCTGATATGATGAGAAACTGGTTGTTCCTCAAACAAAGAGAGTTCCCGAGGCCATACGTCAAACGAACCCATGCCACGAACTCGACAACTCTCGGCAAAGACGTTTGGGTCGACACCCTGGTCAGGAGACTCAGGAAGATCTGCAATCCATACGAGAAGCTGGATGGTGCAAATCAGAAGCCGGTGCTGAATTCCTTTTACCAAAATTGCAAGCTTCCAGCCCAGACCCAGTGCTTCGGAGGAGAGAATTCTATGTTCTACAACAATCGCAACAGTGGAGCTGCCTGCAGTTGGAGAGATCCAACTATTCTCCAGACTGTGGATTATTGGTATCTGAACAGGAACAAGACAAACTATAAACTATCAGATATAGTCAAGGATGTGATTACTTGGGATGAAATAAGTATTTGTATATAACTTAGATACATATATGTACAAACATCGAGCAAATATATATAAGAACTTAATATAACAACGACTGTAGTCAATGTTACCGTTATGCCAAGCCTAATCCTGGTAAATCACCATACATATCCACTTGCCAAAAGTGGTGACCTGTCCGTCGCTTGTTCCATTGTCACTGAACTGAGAATCTCTTAGTATACAGTGGGCCAGCCATTGTCGTAACGAATGAGATTAATGCCGAGCTGGGCAGTACCCTGGGCATTATAATAATGATAGACAAGCACGTCGGCATCATTGTCTTTGAAAACAGCTGGGTGACCTGGACCGTGGATATTGCCATGGCTAGCGAGAAGCTGGGTGCCGCCGCCCTGCATCAGTTGCTTGCCAGCCTTATCAACGTAAGGTCCAGTAACCTTGTTAGAGCGACCAACCATGGTACGGTAAGTGCTCTGAACTCCCTTGCAACAGCTATCAAAAGCAGACCAGAGATAGTAGTAGTTGCCATGCTTAGTAATATAAGGTGCTTCAATGGCTCCGCCGTTGTTGGGGCGAGCGGCAATGGATATGATGTTGTTCTTGTTGACAGGCTTGCCAGTGGAAGGGTTCAGCTCAACAAGTTTGAGACCGGACCAAAAGGAGCCAAATGAAAGCCACCACTTGCCATCAGAATCAACGAAGAGATTAGGGTCGATAGCATTGTAGTTGCTCTTATCATTAGATTCGACGACAAGTCCGTCATTAGTCCATGAGCCGGATGCACCGGTCTTAGACCTAGCAAGGAAGATAGCAGATTTGGATGTACCAAAGCTAGAAGCTGAGTAGTACATAAAGTATTGACCGTTGTGATAGGACAAGTCAGGTGCCCACAGGTTCTTGTCGTTCTTGGTGTAGGTAAGAGTCCAAGCAGCGCCGTTGGGGAATGCGGCGCCGACGTCCTTCCAAGTAGTACGGTCGGCGGATGTCTTCAGACCAATGCCGTTGGCTGTGAAAGCAGCAAGATAGGTACCGTCAGGTCTCTTGACAATGGTAGGGTCGTGGATGAAGGTATCACCCTTGACAGGGCCGGGATTGACATCTCTTCGGACGAGTTCAGATGCTAGGGTGCCAATGGCAAAGAAGCTACCAATGGCGAGGCTTCTTAGGGAAACCATGGTGTCGTTTTCGATTTGAGTTCTTGGCTAGGTGAATCTAAGTGAAGAGCTGCCGCTGGTGAGAACTGACTGATTAAAGGTTATGTGGCGTATGCATCGCCTTTTGTACGATCGCCACCCTGTTTGATTCCCATTGTGCCGCCCCTGTGTTTTCAGCGAAAGGCAATCATCCCATGGTAAAACAAGGGTTATAATGCGCCTTGTGATGAGCTTTTATTCTAGATGAAACGTCCACTGTAATACTGCATGGACTCCTGAACTTCCATGAAAAGCCCACCTATTATAGGCCGAGAGACCTGCGGTGGCTAGTCTAAAATCGGTGTTTCCAGGGGCTGGCTTATTTCGGTTACTAATCCTAGAACATGTCGGCGATTTGTAGGCTTGCCGAATCCCGTCTAGGCACTAACACTGGACCATTCTTACCGTTCTATCGGGCATGGCATTCCTAATAGCGTATAGCTTGTGCTATAAATGACCCACAATGACAGACTGTTCCGCGTAAACTTTCCTTACATTCTCGAACAATCGTAAGCAGCTAGTAAACTCGTTCGTTCCCAATAACCCTCAGAAGATTTAAATACAAAAACTCAAAGTCTAGTAATGCATGATTGGACCAAATATCTATATTTATCTACTAAATTCCTACTCACTAAATTTCATCTCGACAGTTTTGTCACTGTTGCAAATAACCGTTTTGACTTTCTTATCGAATTCAACGACCATGCATGTTCCCACTAGTAGATAATAATCACCCACCTTTCTCAACCACGCTTGTCGGTGAAGTCCGTGAAGTAAACAGACCATGTCATACGTAATTGAGTGTAAAGAGAAGAGGCCGACATAGCCGCTAGAAGTTACTGTCAGTGGTTCACCGCTTTTAACACACGTTCTATATCAACTCAAAATAGTATTCTAACTTTTAACATCATTCTCGCTCTCGACTTCTGCCACCGTATAAAGTTAACCTGGTATAATTCCTATTCACATTTGCAAACTCCAATTAGTGCATACGATGAAAACTCTTTGGGGTTAGCTCAATGGAAAATATTAAACTTTAATCCCTGCAAAATGTTCCCCGCTGCCTCCATTCAGATACTTATTTTATTATTCCATGGAATGGTATCCCTCTATCTGCTCTACAACTGAAAGGTAGTAATAGATTTTAGCAATAAGCCTACCACGGTCTGACTTGGATTTTCCTACACGGGCAGGTTAGGTGAGGGGTTGGAATCTTTCAATCTGAAATCCTCGGCATAGGATCACGTGCAACCCCGATTTGAGGATTGTTTCGTTAATCGCCCAAACAGAATGCAATGAGAGGTTCTTCCACTTGGAAAGGCCTGGCGGCATAGGGGACGCAAGAGATTAGGCGGAGGCGAAGCCCTTCGCTATGGATGGCCTTGACCCAGCTGAAAGATCCAACATTCCAAAAGCACAACTCATATTTTAAAGGGTTTTTTTATATAGTTACACCTATAAATATATTTACTCCTCATAGCGAAGTGACGCAGAACCTTCACATCTTTTAGTTTCCAGCTATCAAGCCCTCATTTAATACATGCAGCCTCAGCAATGTTGATAGATCGAAGGCGGCTCCCTTTTTTTTCCACACTGGAAAGGTTTGACCTGGCAGCATTGGGAGATAAATAGCCTGCGTTCGCCACTTTAAACCATCCTTTGACTTATCACAAACACTCACCTTATCTTACAACACGTCCTGACACAATAAACTACTTATCTTCAATCGTTACAATGGCAACTGCATTACATCATCATCTGATAGCAACTGCCAAGTTTTTTCGACTACCACCATCTGGGTAGGAAATCTTCTATTCTCACCCATTTATCTACCTTAACAGTCGTACACTTCCCCTACAGTAAACAACGGACTTTTAGTAATGCATCTATAAACAAGAACCGTGTACATTGGTCTACGTAAAGTATGTACGTTGACATTGGACAATGGTTTCAACGGCCTACTTGTCCGATACCTAAAGCCTGATTCAATAATTAAAATAGTAATTCCACCAGTAAATGAGAAAGGGAAAGAATTCAATATGCACCAACCCTGTCCAACCCCGCATCGGCCAATACTCCCGGCGGGCCGGAAGGCCGATGATCATATCAACTTCCTAGTACAGTAGGCTAGATCATCACGGATGTAACCTTTCCGCAGAGGCTTAAGAAGATCTCCTGACGTCAAGAGGATCAGTTCATGAATGGAAGAATAGTATAAATACAGCTATTGTTTGGCGAAAATTCGTGTGGGTGTATCCAGCCTCAATTTGTAAAGTTCACACTTCGGTTGTTACAATGAGACTAAACATCTCTTTGCTTCTTTCGCTTGCAGCATCCCTGCACGGTACTGAAGCTCACCCTGGAGCTAAAAAAGGCTTCGTTACCGTCAAGGGTGAAAAATTTCAACTTGATGGCAAAGACTTTTACTTTGCAGGCTCCAATGCCTACTACCTCCCATTCCAACCAGTTAGTCAATTACGGCATACCGCCCATCATCATCGATATACTGACAAACATTATACAGAGTCAAAAAGATGTTGAACGTGGACTTGGTGCTGCTAAAAAAGCAGGCCTGAATGTAATGCGTACCTGGGGCTTCAACGATAAAAACGCAACGACCGACCCCAATGGTTTTCCCAAATACGGAGGTGAAGGTGCCGGAGAGACGAATATTGTCCTGCAGACATGGAAGAATGGGAAGGCAAAGATCGACCTGAAGGGCTTTGACAAGGTCGTCAAGGGTGCTGAGAAGACAGATATGAAGCTTATCGTCGCTCTCACTAACAATTGGGCCGACTATGGAGGCATGGATGTATATACGGTAAACCTCGGAGGAAAGTATCATGATGATGTGAGTAAGCCCTTGCATCTTCTGAAAGACACATGCTGACATTCATATAGTTCTACAGTGATAAGAAGATCAAGAAGGCTTTCAAGAAGTACATCACGGCCATGGTCCAGCGATATAAGAACTCACCCGCAATCATGGCCTGGGAGCTTGCCAATGAACCTCGCTGTGGCGCCGACGGTAACCGTAACCTTCCACGAAGCGACCATTGTACCGTTGAGACTATTACAGAATGGATTGAGGAAATGACAGCCTATATTAAAAAGCTTGACCCCGGTCATCTCGTTACCTGGGGTGGAGAGGGAGGCTTTAACCGCGACTCAGAGGATTGGGCTTACAACGGCGCTGATGGAGGTGACTTTGACCACGAACTTAGTCTACCTAACGTCGATTTTGGTACCTTCCATTCTTACCCTGAAGCATGGAGCAAGACTATTCCTTGGGTCAGCCAGTGGATCCGAGATCATGCCAAGGCTGCACGTAAGGTTGGCAAGCCTGTGATCCACGAAGAGTACGGCTGGCTCACTCCTGAGGAGAGGCTGAAGCAGTACAACACAACCAGGCCTGAGACTAGAGTGCAGGTTCTTGGAACATGGCAGAAGATCCAAGTGCAGGAAAGGATGCCTGATATGTACTGGCAGTTCGGATACTCGGGTTTTTCGTATGGGAGGAACCATGATGATGGAAACACTATCTACCTGGATGAGCCGGAGGCTAAGGTACTGGTTTATAAGCATGCAAAGGAGATGAACGCCCTCAATAAACGATAAGGCTAAGTGCCTGATGGTTTACACAGTATCTCGACCTTTTAGTGGTGTTAAGATATATCGTTTAAAAACGATGCAATACATCGGTGTAATGGCTAGGTTGAATATTAAAATCTTTAAAAAAAAGCATATGGATACTTGAATGTTTTTCCAATAAGAAATTATTCCAGGGGAAAGCACCAGACCAAGGGCATGAAGCTAAAGGGTATTCAAATAGTGCTGGCATAAAAGGCATCGTATTCAAAGCCGACGAAGGGTTCCTTCTCTATTTATACAGTTAATAAAATTGCCAGAAAGTCTCTACAATTATTACCACAAACGGCAACTAATCTTATCAGGAATGAGGCTACGTATCTGTGCAGAGATAACATATAAATTCTTCTTTACACTAACTGATTCACGTGTTACGTACAACGTGGTGATTTCAAGTCTAGGGCATGACAAGGGACGTGTAAATGGCGAGAGTAGTCCAATAGCGTCATTTGAGAACCAGGTTAAAAATGTAAAGGAGAAAGGCGATACCCGATGATTCATGTTCAGGAAAATAATAAATAGATAGAATAAGTACTATGTATAGAAGCGAAGTGTACCAAGATTTCTTTGTTGATACAAGGCGAGAAACGGTATACAGGCTACTGTCAGCTAGAGATAAAGCCCTCTCCATTCCCTTAGATCCTTTACTCAAGGTCACTTTCCTTGTTGGAGTAACAGGGCAGCAATCCACATGAGTTTTGATGTCTCTTGACGAATTTGGCGGGAAGATCAAAGAAGCATCGTGGGATCTCGCCAAAGACATTCTCGCCTGCATTTACCTCTCCTCCGCCGTTGAGAGCACAGTCGATAACGGAACGGTAGTAGGCCTCTCGGTTACCAAGTCCATGCTCAGCCATCTTCTCGTAGATGACATCGTCGACATCCTCAGGATCATTACCGCCTCGCATGAGGTAGAAGCAGTAGAATTGACCATCCTTGAGCTCCATCCACTGGCGGCCCGGTGCATAACCGCAATCCTCCGCTGTCTTGAACTTGTCATTTTGTTCGGCAACAAGACGGATTCCGGCTGACTTCATGATTGAGTTTGCAACTTTCATAGCCAGGTTGTTACCAACAGATCGAAGGACCAGGTTGACAGCCGTGGCGTCATCATCGGTAAGCCACCATCCTCCGTTGAAGAACTTTGCAACCTTGGTCTCATAGGTGTCCCATTCAGGTGCGGGAAGGACATTGTAGTCTTCGGGGTTGGACCCACCACCCATGGCAAGGGAGAGTACAGTGTCAATCTTGCCCTGGGCTTTCTCGTAGGCTTTAGCGAGACCGGATTTAATGTCGGCTGCATCAACCTCGTTACCTTCGGCTTCAGATGCCAGGCCGGAGAAGAGACCACCGAGGAATCCAAAGCCAGCCGCAATACCAGGACCCTGTGTTGAGTGTTAGCTATTTCCTTTGTAGCTTGATAAGGCTGAAACTTACGGCTCCAGGGATAAGACCACCCAAACCATTGGCCATGGTCGAAGCCGCCGCAAGCCAGGTAAGAGCATGTGCTCCGCCATCGCTATCACCTCCAAAGTCCACAGCCATTTGATCAATCTGTCCATTGCTAATGATTGTCTGCTCTGTCAGTTGGTCTTTCATTCCCAGGAGCTTGTTGCGTGCTCCTTGGGCAGCCTTGAAAATCCAGTACGAAATCTTGCCAAGAGGCGCAGCTCCAAACTTGTCAAACTGCTCATCGCAAGACATGTCGTTCAGCGGTGCGCAAGTGCCCGAGAGAGCTCCACAACCATTGGCTGGGGATTGTCCTGAGATGCTTCCATCCTGGATAGTGCTCTCCATGTTCTTGAGCCAAGAGTTCTGGTGTTCTATTAGAAAGGGCATTAGTATTCGGTTGTCCAGCCGTCATCACTACCCAGATTTCCCCCATAAGAACAGAACAAACTTACCCCAGTGCCCCTTGATGAAAAGCTCCAGCTGTACGCCTGCCGCTGTGTCTTCCCACACAGCTGCGGCTTCCTCCGGGGTCTTGGTACTTCTTTTACACAACGTGTCCTTGTTGTCCCAGACTTCCTCCCGCTTGCTAACGCTGACAAGAGGGGATGCTTCTGTGGAAGCCGCAAGGGCTACAAGAACGATGTCGTTGAACTTCATTGTTGCTTTGAATGAACGAATGTAATTATAAAGGAATGATGATATTTAAAAGAGAGTAGAAGGGTAGGTTGAGAACACTTGGTTGATAATAACAGGACACTATGGAAACAGAACTGTCATTTATACACGATATTCAAGGCATGTTGCAACAGACGTCAGAGAAGAAGCATGAAGTGCCAAGCCTTACAAGGCGTTGTCAACCTCCTACAAGGGCTCCCATTCTAGCGCTTACTCAGGACGGATCTGCAACCCTACCGCGATGTAAAGTATGTTTGCATGTGGCCCATTTTTTAGCCATTAATTATACAAAGCCTGCAAAGGCCGTCACCGGTATCTATAGAAAAGCCGTAGTTTGTTTCATGGCAATTAGCTAAAGAAGAGAACAAATAAACAACGACCGCATATATACTTAATCTATACATGCAGATATTCTCGATCTTCTACGACTAAATAAGATGCCCGTCAGCAGTATAGAGCCAGCCTATCAAACGGGTTTTAGACGGAATTAATGGGCCTGGACAAGGCGAGTGCGCGTGTTACAAGGCTGATACGACTAGTCTAATCTCGTTTAAGGATCAGTTGGCAGCGGCTCGGAATATTATGATGCAGCATGTATCCGCTTTTCCCACTCCACAACCTCATTAGAATTTGCCGAGTTGATGTAATATCGTATGATTACATACTACTCAGCCCCATAGCCAGGAATAGACATAGACAAACGCTCTCGAGGTCTTTCTCCTCTTGTATAAGATCTACTCACAGTAAATCCTGCAACTGTCAGCTGCTACGCTGTTATATTTGAGTTCTGGCATGTTTAGGAACCGGCTCCTTCGGAAGGGAAAACTGTGGCCCCTTTACTCGACGGCATAAGCATAACGTTGCATTCGGAATTATAAGTATAACCAAAGTTCCTAAGCATTGCAACACTGATAGACCATTGTAACGCTTTGATTGATATGCGCAATAGCACAAGGTTCGGCATCTCTGTTCACCGAGTCACTTCGTAAACAAGGTGAATATCAAGACAGCACACATGTGTTATGTCGTGTATTTAGGATCCAATAGTTGAAGCATAGTCAAGAAACTCTTCTCTTCCAACAAGCCGTCCTGGCACCCGTGTAAGGGGAAACCCCAGACTATTCCGTGTGTCATAGACCCAGTTTTGAGTTAGGCGAATTAGAGAGACGTCTATCAGCGCCCAGGTCACAGCCCTGCACAGCCCTATTAAGCAACCCGACCGACCTATGAGACCATGCTCCTTCATTGAACCATGGAATCCGGGGGCTGCTTCATGCTCCGTGTGGAGTGGACCTTGATACGACCAAGTTGCATGCAGTAGTATTTGCCGCCAGCGTCCATGTACTGACGACCAATTCTACCGCCACAGGATTTAGTGCTATCAGAGCGAACGGTGTATAGCTGCCAGTTTCTTCTGCTACAATGCATCTTCGAAAATGAGAACATATTTAAGTAACCAGAGGAAAACTTTATAAGGTGATCTTATACAAGATGTATTGTTCTATGTTTAATTTTGTTAAAGAATGACATTCCCCGTCCCAGAAAGGCTTCGAAAAGAATGTTCCAATCCGATTATACTCATTCGGATTTGCTCTTGGGTGAATGAACAGACCATTAGCCGACATCCTGAACATATCTTCTGTCTCTGAGTCATCGCCACCCTCATCACTCTTATATAGATAGTTGGGCGACGTATTATCGTACGCACCATCATAATCATCGCCAAGAGTGATAAGGTTCTCCAGCCTATTCGATGTCCAAATGGAATCGTTTGGACATGCTAAATAGTGCTGCCGATAAGCAAGAAACTGATAGGTGCTTTGAGTTTTTAATTTTCGGCTGAATCAGAAAGATCTTTAGAAGTGCAACCAGATTTGATATGAGCGAAATACCCCCCGTCAGATACGACAAAGTCTCCCGGGCGTCCGATTGTTAGAATAATTATACAGTAGGTTATCTTCCAAAGGCCAACCACTTATTCTATTACATGAAGATACCCTGTAGTCAGGAGCGCAACGCGCTAGTGTCACGTTGAAGTTATAATCGGCGACCAATAAGATGTTCATCTGTCTTTGTGATAGCGTAATCGCATCACGCTAAGAATCTCCAAGCGATCCGACCGATCCAGCCGAGACTACGGATAATTATTCTTAAAAATTGAGCTTTTATAAGAAAAAGACTCAGGAAGGCCATCCACCATTTCAATGGGACTAGCAGCCATTCCTGCTCCATATTCGTTTCAACATCCGATCTTAGATAAAATCATTGTGATTGTGTGTAACTATCTAGTGACTCAACCCTCAAATCCTGGGAGTATATAGGTACAAGACAGGGGGGTTTCCAGCCGACCCAGCCGACCCAGCCGACGACGCTTCTAAACGGTGGAATATACTACAAAAGAAGAACATCTCAAATCATGTAATAATGTTGTTGAATCACACAATCGATTAGGCGCTAGTTTGGGTAGATAGTCAAAGTTATAAATTGGCCCAATTGCCTTGTGCTGGAATCTGACGGAACAGTCTGCCATCCAACTTGCCCTTGCCTAATTATCAAATCCTCCCACATCCAAACTTAAAAGCCCTACATCATGGCTCCAGGCCTAGTCGACGACAGGGTCTCATCGCTCGGGTCCACCAAGGTTGACAAGACCGTCTTTCCAGACGGCTTCAAGACATCTGGCCAGCATGAGCCACTATATTCTGCTATTCAAACTTTTGACAAGTTTCCTAAGGAGATCACAGGGCCAACGGTATGGAAACCAGATGATTATAATAAGAGCCCTGACAAGTGGGTGCATGCCTTTACGGAACAAGAGATCGCCGAGATTGGGGCTGCAGCAGATAAGTTCATTGAATCTGAAGTGCCTTTGACAGGAATTTCGAAAGTCAGTATCATTGTGCGCCATCGAAGTAACTTGTATTAACGTTTTAAGGATCTGTTTAGATTACCCAAATTAGCTGCTTACATGCAGGAGCTCCGAAAAAAACTTGTTGATGGCCAAGGTTTCTGGCTGTTCAAGAACTTGCCGGTCCAGGAATGGGGTTTACAAAAGTCGGCCACAGCATATATGGGCCTCGGAACACATCTGGGCTACTTTGTAAGCCAAAACGGTCGCGGACATGTTCTCGGCCATGTCAAGGATCTCGGTGAAGACTCAACTCGCACGGACAGAGTGCGTATCTACCGAACCAATGCCCGGCAGTTCTTCCACACTGATTCCGGGGATATTGTCGGGCTTCTCTGTATTGCCAAGTCCATGGAGGGTGGAGAGTCTGATATATGCTCTCAGCATCATATCTTTAATTGCTTACAGCGCGAGCACCCTGATGTGGCCAAATTGTTCTGCGAGCCCATCTGGTACGCTGATCGTAAGGGCGAGGTATCGGACGGCGAGAAGCCCTGGATGCGTACCGCTGTCTTCTATCTCGAGAACGATCCAGAAGGAACTCCACGTGTATACGGCAAATTTGACCCCAACAACGTCACGTCGCTATGGCGCTTCAACACTGGACCAGATGCTCAAATTCCTCCACTCTCCGAAGCTCAGCTACATGCCATCAAGGTACTCGAGGATACCTGTAAGCGAGAAGCACTACACATGATTCTTGATCCTGGCGACATACAGTTTCTCAGCAACCAGCATGTATTCCACGCTCGTACAGCTTATAAAGATTATGAGCCGGGTGCCAAAGATGAGAATGGAAAACTACGGCCACAAAGACATCTCATGAGGCTCTGGCTGTCTGTACCTGTGGATGAGGGTGGATGGAAGCTGCCATTTCCTGACATGCACGAGAAAAAGCGTGGCGGAATTCAAGTGAACGACACACCACCTAAATGCCCTTTGGATGCCGAGTAGGAACATTTGTAAGGAAAGGTCATGGAGTTGGAAGATTCTTGATTGATGATGAACTTAGGCACAGGAGCCTTATAATGTAGTCAGTTTGGTGCTTTTTATAGTTATCTATGACTTTGAACTATTCCTATGCAAACCTTGGACTTTATTGAGGCATTTCTCATGGATATCCCCCCATTTGTGACATCCCTGTCCATGACATTGGCCCACCGCCATCGGTTCCAGATTCAAGGAGCATTTCTGCAACTTGCCAGTCTCGCGCTAAGTCAGGCATAAAGAACATGTCCAGATTGTGACCAAATTCCTCAAAGGTCCCATCCATCCGTGGTGCTTGCTCCATGATTGGTAGTACGCTCGCGTCTGTAGTATCTAGTGAACGACTATGCACCGGTATTACGGGAAGGTGACCCTCGGGAATCTCTTTGCGAGCCATGCGGAAAATTGAAAGGGGATGAAGATCTGAATCTGCTGCTCTTTGAGGCTCCACTTCTGACTCCCTGTTCGGGAAGGCCAGGCATGGATCATCTAGGATGACATTGGGTAGCGGCAAGATGATGTTAGAGTTTACACCTAACTTTTGTAGCATGCTTTCAGCCCCACGATACTATTGAGAAGGATATCAGTATCGGTTCAAGCATGAGAATAGGCACTTACAAGACTTTCAGCCATTTTATTGGTTGCACACATTGTTTTCAAAGCCTTCAAATTGCTCTGCAGATATGGGATCGTGCTGAGTACAAGATTCCGTTTGTTGATGCCCAAAGGATCAGTCACTTGAGTCAAATAGAACAGCATTACACGATTACTCTCGTAGGCGATGGTAGGTAACCATGTATCCCCAATCATTCTGGGACCATGCTGTGCCGCTTCTGCAATTATTGCAGCCAAAGTCCGTGCTTCCTTAAATAGTGCGTGTTGCAGATGTCTCTGAAAGCCGTGTGTTTCAGGAGGGAAATTGAAGGGTGACCGGAGCTTGAACATTTCTGGGGTTCCGATTCGATAAAAGTCCAGCATGGTCTGATGATAGGCACAGTGAAAGAAACAAAGTGTCCCAAGCTGCGAGGACTCCTTGCGTATATAGATATTGGAAGTTGTGAACTGAAGACTGGGAGGGAGAGATGAATACCAAGTCTGTAATTCCCGGTCTAAATGTGCGAATTCTGAGTCGGGAAGCCATGGTGACTTGGCGATATCCAGATGCTTGATATACCATAGGACCCTCCTTCTGATTTCAAGCTGTTGAATGAGATAGGCCAGTATTCCCATGTTATTATCAATGTCCGCTGGTAGCTGGTCCGGAGGGATAAACTCTAGAGGTGAGCCGTTGAGTGTCCTGGTAATTGAGGGCCTCTCGTGGAGAAAGTTTCGCTCATTGCATGGCAACTGAATCTTGATATTTTTCTCAAAGATCAATGTTAGTTGCTCCACTCCATTGCTACAAAGCACATCTGTGACATAACAACTCCACATTAATCGTCTTCGAGACTCACGAGCTGTGGCTGATAGGGTGTTTGGTGACTGATCCAGGAGATCAGGAGAATATTCGAGATTGAGTTGTAGAGCCTGAGTCATCCGAGCCATTAGGGCACTGAACACAAAGGCTTGGGTAAAGTTAGCCATGCGAAGGGCATAGTCGTAAAGCAATTGGGCGGTCTATGACAGTGAGTGAGACTTCAGGTAATCCCCAAAATAACCTACCATCAAGCCATTGATAGAAATATGGTTTGTATTCCCAAGAAGTAAGCGTTCCGCGGTGCTCGCCCATTTAGAACCAACCTTCAGGATGAAAGTCGAAGGAAGCTGCTGAACAGTATCGCTGTAGTTGAGGGCGAAGAATCTATTTCACGTTCAGTCATTTGAGTTGTGTTTAACTTGATTCACTAGACACGTACTGAGCTCCCAGTGTGCACATAATATGTAACAAGGCATTACCTTGCCAAGCAGACGCATTCTTGTCGTCCAGTTTCTGCATGAAAGTCGGTTTGTGAATAAAAGAGAAACATCGGATCGGATGAATGTTTTGAAAGTATTGCTCAATCAAGATCTTGATATGTTTTGTATCCGGTAGATCCTGGTGGTTCAGCCTTGGGAGCATTAGCATGACCCTTTGGGCGACACATAATCCCTGCCACTACTTACCATCCTAACGGCTTGTGGTCTTGCTCATTCACGGAAAGTTCTTCTAAGCTTTGATCAATAGAGTCAGGCTCTTGATGAACGACTTCAACGGGTCTTGCCGATGGATTTTCGTGAGGAAGATCTTCAAAAGAGCAGTGTAGCTTTTGCTGGCGACATCTTTCGCAGGAAGGTCGCCCGGTTGTACTACCAAGGCATTTGCATCTCGCTACCCGACAGCCGTTACATGAACGGAGATTTCTTTTACCCCTTCTTGATCTCAACGTTCGTTCGGGGCGGTTATAATTGCACTCTAAATCCAGACTTTTGCAGTTGTCGCAAGTGTCTCTGCCTTCATCACATTTGACCTATTCTGAATCAGTCGTTTAATATCAGCCTAGTAAGAGCATGGCATTACTTTTCTTGTCCGACAAGTAATACAGCCTGACCGAGCTTATTGTTAGCCCTGTTTCTCATGTCTAAAAAGTCTCATTGTCTGGGCAAGATCAGCTTACCAGTTCGAGAACGCTTTTTCTTGGGGTACTGAAGATCGTTTGACATATTAGACATACGATACTGGAAAGCAGATCCGGTACCTTATACCTAGACTCTTGAGATGTTATTGGTTAATAATCAGGAAGTTTCAGCTTGAGTGCGCGATAATTCTATCTAACTTTTTCGCTGCTAAGATTATATAATAAATGACGTCATGGTTGGCTAACCAATGAAATGTCCTCGTCATATACCATGAGTCTCTTTACTCTCTACACTTTGTACACTTTGTACAATCTTACCGTGTTGTCCCGCCCATGCCGAAAAGTATGTGTTGACGATTTTCTTGGCCGCTTTGAGTACCAGGAAGGTGACCGGTAAAGATGCTGGTCCGTGGTGGCGACGATAGCTGAGGAAGGAGACCCATATGAAAGCATAGCTGAAGGTAAGATATATATAAGTTACTAACTACTAATGGCCTACCATAGCCTGGTGACTAGGACCATATCTGTTACCTTGCGGCTTTGTGGAATCGATAATTCGCCGCAACTCCTTCTTTTCTTCGTCGCTCAACTCAACATGTCTAGAGGCAAAATTTTGCTCCAGGCGCTCAGGCTTCGTTGTTCCTGGGATAGCAATAAATCCCTGAGCCGCTACCCATGCAAGTGCAATCTGGGTCAATGTGACACCTTTTCGGACAGCAAGCCTCTTGATCTCCTCAACGATCTTCTTGTTATGATAGAAGTTGTCACCTTGGAATTTTGGCGCTAAGATGAATTAGTCTTGTAAAACCATACTAGGTGAGTTTGATGGGACACATACATCCGCGACGAAAGTCATTAGCAGAGAAATCTTCAGGACTCTGGTAAGGGAAATCATCAACTAGCCAGCCATGACCGAGGGGGCTATAGGCAACATATGCAACGCCCAATTCTCTAGCAGTGTCGATGAGGCCATCGGTTTCGTGCAGTGTTTCAAACGCAGAGTACTCGGCCTGGAGGGCATCGATCTTGGCAACTATAACAGGTTTTAGTCGATAACATATGATTAAAAGAAATAATATTCTTACTAGAGTTGGCCTTTCGAAGAGTTGCAGCAGAGCACTCTGACAAGCCGATGTACTTGGTTTTATTCTGCTTGCGAATCTCATCGAGCGCACCAATTGACTCCTCAAGGGGTGTTTCTGCATCACAGGTTATTAATTGCCGAAACTAGGGCATCAAGGTCAACAAAACTCACTTGGGTCAATTCGATGGAGATAATAAAGATCGGGAGTAAATCCAAGCCTTTCAATCGTGCCATCAATGTATGTCTTGATGTGAGATGCAGAGTTGGTAACTGAACCGTCACCAAAACAATCGAAACCACACTTGGAGGCAACTACTGGCGTTAGCTTTACTCTAATAATAGCTGATAGATGACTTACTGAATACTTTGTCGCGAACTTGATGCTTTCGAATAAAGTCCCCCAAGAGTTTTTCATTGACGCCGGCCTGGTAAACAACCTAAGGTGAGACATGTCAGTATAACAGGTTGGATAACAAAACGAATCAAAGAATTCAAACGCACCGCTGTGTCCCAGAAAGTACAGCCAAGCTCAATTGCTTTGAGCAACACTGGCTCAGCTTCTTCAAGACTTAGGTTATTTCCTAAACCGAAACTGATGCCCATGGCTCCAAAACCAGGGGAAGGCACCACGGTGTCAGCGAAGGGAAGATTCTTAACCATTTTGAATTGATAACGAAATGAAAAGGCGATAAAAGATAACTTGTGAAAGAAGCTTGTTTGAACGTCGATTTTAGATATCTGACTGTGAGTTTGAGACCAAGCATTGGAATCCGTGATTCTCTTATAGCTTTCAATATGATGTGCTGTAGTCCTTGCCATTACCAAGTGGAACTTTGAGAATTAAATCCGTCCTTTAACTCCGCATCTTAAATCCGCTGCCTAATGTGGATCAAGGAGCCTTAGGGTTAACTCTAACTGCAAGACATTGACGTAAAGGCCGATCGTGACGAAATTATATGCCACACACGCTTTGGCTGCTATGGTTCTTTTGAAGCCCGTGTGTTTAACCTATCTAGTGCCACCATTTTCTTTAGCATTCAATGAACAACTACTACTGTTTTTAGTTCTAGGCTTATTATAACTAATCTTCATCACGTACCAAAATTTAATGCCTTCTCCCCACGTTGCATACGCCAAGCATTTGTCGACTCAAACAACTCATCACACCCTGCAAGTAGCCATCCCCATTTCCGTAAGAAGGGGATATTAGCTTCCCAGCCGCGAATATTATCGGCCTCGCCCCAAATCAGTAGCGCCGGTTTCTGCTCTGACTCGCATTGGTCAAAAGGGTGAAATGCCTCTAAGCAGATTTCATCTTCGTCGAACCATTCAATAGCTAAGGCCCGGATGATGTTGTCTCGTAGACGGGGGAGGGGTAAGACATCTATCCATGGGTGATGAACTGTTGTCTTTTGCAATTCTGTTGGACGTAACATTCCGGGACTTATTGCAACAGTAGGCACCACAGGTAGTGGGCCTGGAAGACTAAAAGGAGATACTGCTTCATCTCGACATAAAGCATAGACAGGGATGCCAATCTTCTGAGCATTTCGAGCAATTGCATTAAGCGCATTAACCCGGATCAAGGTCTGAAGTAGTGTTGGACTGGGGGACCTGACCAAGTAATGTCCATAAGCGTGAGCCTGCCAGTTTCGAGCAATTTGAATATGAGCAGGACTACGCAAGAGTAGATGACCGTCGCCGAGTTCTTGATCCTCAAGGTTATTGTCCTCCAGGCTGGCCACCTGCGAGTTAGAAGTGTCATTGGGGTTCTTCAGTCTTCGTCCTACTATATGTTAGACCTCGTTACTGTATGGAAGAAATGACTGAATCTTACGACGGGCTCTTTGGCTCAGACGATTCTGTCGTTTTCTCCTCTCCTGCCAGCTGGTCACGCCAGTCCAATCATCTTGCACATCACGTAATTCAACCAATCCATCCCTTGGTAAGATGACAATCTTGCTCTGGGTTGCTTCTGGTTCTTCTGGGTTGTTCATCCTTGCTGTGTTGATGTCATCTGCAACTGGCTGACGGTTTGCTCACTGGTGTTGGTCCAAGTGGGGGGATGGACGGGATGGATATCGGTTTTTAAATCACGGCCAGATCCATTATTATTACGTCTATGTATGCTTGGCTGTGGATCTAACACTAATGCAACTGGCTGACGCGCACTAAACTTGATCGGTGATTTCCTCGGTAGTCGTCTTGAATTTCAATTGGATAACATCTACACAGTACAATATTGAGACAGAATATGATCCATCCTAGATAATTAACTTTACTGGCAGAGGACTCTGGAGTTAAAATTGACCAATTCGATAAGTCCGGTGACTTTTAGTTCTTGCCGTCACGCTCATACACATTTAAGCACCTCACTGCTTTTTTTTCATTGACAGCCTTCCTGCTGGTTTCCAACTTTCATTACCAAGCATAATCTATCTATCAAGTAACAATGGCATTCCCATCTTATACAAAAACATTCCACACCACCTCCTATCCCAGTATCGACCCTTCACTTCCCCATGTCTCCACGGCTGGGAAGGTTGTCCTCATCACAGGTGGTGGTTCAGGTATCGGTTCTCGCATAGCCCACGCATTCGCAACTTCTGGAGCCACCAAGATTGCCATTCTCGGACGCACTGTTTCAAGCTTGGAGCAGACAAAGCAAGGGATATAGTCAGCCCATGCTGGTGTAACAGTTCATACATCGGTTGCTGATATCAGTGATGAAGTTGCGGTCAATAAGGCATTCGAGGGCGTTTCGAAAGCTTTCGGCGAAATTGATATACTCATCAGCAACGCAGGCTACTTGCCCGACACTAAGCCGATGGCGGAAGCAGACGTGGAGGAATGGTTCAAGGGAATGACTATGAACGTCAAAGGAACATTGATTCTTTCCAAAGTTTTCCTCAAGTACGCTTCCAAGAACCCGACATTTGTACATGTGTCAACTAGCGGTTGTCATATCGCTCCAATGCCCAAGAACAGCGCATATGCAGTGAGCAAGATGGCAGCTGCCAGGATGATGGAATATTTCGCTTTTGAGAACCCGCATGTCCGGGTTCACACCATCCACCCAGGTGTCATCCGGACAGACATGCATAAGAAAAGTTCTGAAGGTGGCATAGACCTAGATTTCCCGTTTGATGATAGTAAGTTACCTAAGAAGTCTGATGCTTTTACACAAGGAAGATAATGAACTGAGCTAATATGCACAACAGTCGAGCTGCCAGCTTCGTTTGCAGTCTGGATTGTTAGCCCCGAAGCTGATTTTTTGAGAAGCAAGTTTGTCTGGTCGAACTGGGACGTGGAGGAGTTGAAGTCCTTGAAAGAGCAACTTCTTTCATCTCAGGACCTCACACTTGGTCTCCAGGGGTGGCCTTAGATGCGAGATACGTCTTATGGATAGATATGTTCCCCGGCTTTATCACTTTTTTCGTCTTCCAACACAGAGATGTAACCGTATGGATGCAGCAGCGCAAGCGTGATGATGGTGGCAAAGGTTACAGTAGTAGCAGCAATGCGACGTTGGTTAAATACTGATCATGAATGGACGTGCAAAGCTTTATCGTCGTGTTTGCAGACCAGGGCGACAGACAGTGTGGACAAAATTAGTGAACATTTAACATGGCGGTTGTTGTCGGGGAGATGCAAAATAAACTTCTACTAATATATTCGAGATATTCTACTCTTATCAATAGTAACAAATTGCTGCAATAATATTTCATGTTCTATCACGACTCGTTTCGACCAGCCGCGTTCAATCCTCGAGCTATAGCTTACCCTATACATACCTACACACATAGTATACTCCTCTCCTAACACTTTCAACTAAGTAAGCTTGGTAGCTTAGTGGAGCCAGCGACTAGCCTAACTCCTCTTAGTGTCATTCTTTACTCAATCTAGCCTCTATCAGCTAGGTTATAGCTCCACAAGCTATCGAACTGACTGAGCTGATACGGTGGACTAGATGATTGAGATATTAGCTGACACCAGCTAATGCTATTATGGCTTAGCCCCCAGGAAAATGGTGACGAGTACAACATTGACCCAATTACCGACCCCCCTCACAAAAATCAACTCTGTTCGGCAGTTCATACTGAATCGAATATCTCCTACACAAAGCCATGAGGACTGCTGCAAGACCAACAAAACGTAGGGATCGACTGGCTTGTGTATCATGCCGTCAAAGGAAGCTAAAATGTGATCGTGAAAGTCCCTGCGGCAGCTGTGTTCGCAGGAGAGACATCACATCATGCACCTACGAAGTTTCCATTACTAATCTGGGACGCGACCGCGTCCACCGCACCCAGGCCCAGGCGCGCCTTGAACATCTAGAGCACCTCGTTGGGTTACTTGCGAAACAACATACAGCTACGAATTCCGGAGCCCAGGATGCCACCCCATCTGCTGTATTGTCACAAAACCCTAGCAGCGCGATAAACACAGATGCGTCACCTTCTTCATCTGGTGACCTTTGTTACCAGGCCGGAAGTGGCACGACTCACTGGTCAGCCATGTTGGATGATATACAAGCTCTCAGATCTACGCTCGATTCATTTATTGATGATGACAAATATGATCAAAATGGCAGCGATGCTCCCTTAGGAGCTGGAATGGAAATCGGCGTCATGTTCGGTGTTGGTCTCTCTCAAGATCTCAGTATCGAGCAAGTACTCAATAATCATCTCCCCTCGCGAAGGGATGCAGACCGCCTGTTGTCTACATACTTTCGAGTCCGGTTGCATATCACGCCATATATACACTCCTTACAATTTCGGAGGCAGTATGAGGCATTTTGGGACAACCCTACTGCAGCATCGCCACTATGGATATCGATACTCTTTTCAATGCTGTTCATGGCCGCCAACGCGACTCGGACAGGTAGAGAAATCGAGGTGCCAGGTCATGGGTTTACAGTTGCTGCTGCCCAATGTCTTGTTCTGGGCGAGTATTTCCGCCCCAAAACGTTTTGTTTTGAAGCACTCCTGATGTACGCCCAATCCCACTACATCACTTGTTTAGAAGTGACTCCAGATTCGGCTAGCATTCTTAGCATGCTTGCCCATATCGCTACAGTTTCAGGATACCACAGAGAGAACGGTGTTCCAAACTTGAGTCCCTTCGCTGCAGAGATGCGACGCAGGGCATGGAGCATGTTCTTAGCGCTCGATCTTCTGGTATCGTTCCACTTAGGCCTGCCATGCAGAATCAACTTGTCAATCTCGGACACACAGGCTCCAAGAAACTTACTCGACTCCGACTTTGACGAATACACTAATCGACTGCCTGACTCACGACCAGATACTGAGATGACCAGCGTCACATTCTGTATCCTGAAGCACAGATTTATGACGGTGTTTGATAAGATCCTTCAACATGTTCTGGTGAATCGTTCACACGAGGCAGAAGAAAACGACATCGAATCTCTGGACGCTGAACTAAAACATTTATACGACACCCTGCCGAAACCATATAAGCCGCGGCGAATCGAAGCTTGTATAACCGATCATCCTCAATTGATTGTAGCTCGTCTCTGTGTCTCGTTTGTATACTACAAATCTCTCTGCGTTCTACATCGGCCACACATTATCAAATTCCGAGACAAGAGCATCCGAGAATGCTATGCCGCGTCATCCGCCCTTGTGACAGATCTCCTACGCGTTTATGAGGAGTGTAAGCCAGGAGGCCAGCTGGATACTGAAACGTGGCTTATGAAGAGCATCACCTGGCATGATTTCTTGCTTGGTGTAACTACATTGTGTCTTGTTGCTTACGCAACGAATAAGACCACGGAGGGATTCAACATTGATCAGACAAGTACAAAACTTCTTTTGGAAAGAGCTGGAATGGTGATTCAAAATGAGCAGGCAGAGGATGGCGCGAGGGCTCGATCGAAGGTTCTTTCAATACTTGAACCTACCATTTCGTACTTACGAGCGCAACTAAGCGACAGCAGCATGAATGTGCCGGCTGATATATGGACGTTACCATCCGCGGGCAACACGGATACATCATCAAATGGAACTGAGAAATGGAACTGGAAAGTGGGTGATACCCAGCTACCAACCGAAACCAATTGGGACTATCTCAATGACCTATTCAATGCTTCTCATTATGAAGTGTTGACCGGGTTAGATGTTTGAAGATCGATTAGACACAACAGGATATAGGCATAGAAGTCAGTTGTCATTGAATAGCTTGGCGGTATTTATTCAAGTTGAAATCGGAACAGTGATCTTGGCAGCTTTGCTTACTACCAAGGCTGGATGCCTTGTCGTGATACAACTTGGCCCACATCTCTATCCCTCCCCCCTTCCAAAACGTCTTTGACAATCGCAGCCCCAATCGCAGGATCAATCGCGCCTTGTTCTTTGTTCTGCTCCTGGCCAACACCCAGGCCGGTTGCCAGATATCCAGGACTAATTGCCCAGACTTTAACGCCATCCTGACCAAGAAGTCTGGCCCACTCCCTCATCATCATGTTCATTCCAGTCTTACTGCTTCGGTATGCAGGCAAGTCGAAGTTAGTTAAGGTCTTGGGCCAACCCTTGGCAGGCTGCTTGTTGACAGGAAAATTAGGATCGAGAGATGTGTTAAGAGAGGACGTGCCGCTAGCGATGAACATAAGGCGGGGATCGCTGGACTTGAGGAGTAATGGGGCAAAATGCCAGGTCAAGATATGAGTTCCCGTGACGTTGACGTCGTAGGTTTTGTTCCAAATGTCTCTTGTAGACATCTTGCCAGCATCCCGTTGTTGATCAAATTGGGCACCTTGGGTTTCAGACCTGTCAGTATTGTAGAAGTATTGCTTATAAGATGTAACTCACCTGCGTTGTTGATAAGAGCATCAAGCTTTCCATACTTGTTGTTGACATGTTCAAACGCGGAGGAAATAGATATGTCATCCTCAACGTCGACTTGAATTGCATGAAGATGGCTGGAGGGAAACTCTTCCTTGAGGGTCTTGATGGCTTGCTCGGCTTTCTTGATAGATCTGCCTCCAACCAACACCTCGTAATCAGTGTTGGAGCCGCAGAGAGCCTTGACGATCTGGAAGCCGAGACCGGTGTTGGCACCGGTTACAAGTACAAGCTTTCGTCCGTCCATTTTGTTAAGCTTGTTGCTTGTGTATAAGAATATTTGGATAAGATAGTATTGTTAGAAGATGAAGTTTGAGTCGAGTGATGATTGCTGTTCAATCTTGCATTTTTTACTTCTGGTAGCCGGATAGCGAATATTTATATCTGAATGTCTACAGCATATTGGGAGAAAGCGACATAGGTTGTTGTCCGAAGTCCGACGATCTAGCGTTGCTACTGGCTCGGATGCCTTGTCCCCACAATTGCTCGGCCGTTAATTCCGTTCGTGATGGCCGGGGCTCAACTGCCATCTCGGCCGACGATCTCTAGCGCCTGTATGTCCGGCGAGCTAAACTCAATCAAGATATGGTTACGACTTACTTCGGATGCTTTTTCATTACGATATTTCAAGTATAAGTCCTCCTACTGTACGCTTCTTTCAATAATTCTCTTGCCATCATTCAACGCACACCAATCTTCTTAATAACAGGACTTTTCAATATCAGGCAGTTTGGACAAGACAATCTTAGAACAGTCTTTACGATAACTGTATCCTTCTTCTCGCATTACCACCATGTCTCGAACAGTTCTGGTCGTTGGGGCCACTGGAAATCAGGGTGGTGCTGTCATTGACAACCTTTTACAATCAGAGGCTTCCTTCACTATTCTTGCCGTCACTCGAGATCCTAGCTCCTCAACAGCCCAGAGGCTTGCTCAGAAGTCGTCTGACATTAAACTCGTCCAAGGGGATCTTGATAGTCCTTTCGCTATCTTCGAGAACACCAAGGCTGTTGTGTCTGAGCCAGTATGGGGGGTTTATTTCGTCCAGGTAAGACAAAATTACTAGCAGGCCTGTCGTTTTCTGACCATGTATTTAGAATCCGCTCGCTAGTCAGCAGACACCAGAGCAAGAGGTGGAGCAAGCAAGAAAGTTTATCGACGAATGCATAAATCACAAAGTCAAGGTCTTTGTGTACGGCTCAGTCGACCGTGGCGGTGATCGGTCATTCAACAACCGCACACCTGTTCCGCACTTTGCCAGCAAATACGACATCGAGCATTATCTGGTCGAAAAAGCGCCATCGGCAAATATGAACTGGACGTTTCTCCGCCCAACTGGTTTCATGGACAACTACAAACCAGGGTTCCAATCCAAGTTGTTCCTGACATGCTGGAAGATCGCAATCAAAGACCAGCCTTCTCAACTCATCGCTGTGTCAGACATTGGTTACTTTGCCGCTCAGGCGTTCACGTCCCCGGATCAATATAAGAATCAGGCCATTTCCCTAGCTGGCGATGAGTTGACTTTCGATCAAGTCGCCAAAATCTTTGAGGAAACGACTGGTCAGGATGTGCCTGTTACTTTCGGGATCGTTGCTCGGCTCATGCTGTTTTTTGTCAAGGGAATTGGTGCGATGTTCAAGTGGATGCAGGATGAGGGTTTCGGTGCCAACGTCCAGGAGCTCAGAGCAAGCCATCCACACATGGTAACGTTTGAAACTTACCTAAGGACTCAAAGTGGATACGTTTCAAAGAAGCAAGGTTAACTCAGACTCTTCTTTTGTTGTATTGTTCAAGTTTATTTATTGACTCAGTTTCCCAACTCTTAATTCCAACACTGTCTTCATCATCTTTGTAAAACTGGTGCCCTCGTGAACCCATACAAAGGATTATTTTTCAAGGCACGAATGGCTAGATAGATGGAACAGTGTTCAAAAGTTCCAGGGTTGATTTCATTCTTTGCGAGGTTTGCAACTCAGAGGTAAGCCCGGCCGGCCGAGATGGGACGTAAAACGGTCATATCTCTGGCCAAGATTCGCGTCTTGGGAGAGACTAAACTCAAAGTGCCGAAATAAAACGGCAATAGCCATTCGAATTTCGGCAAGCGCTAGACTAAAATTAAAAATTAATTAGCGAGGTTGTTTCCAAATGTTAAACACCTCTCACTTTTGTCCGATGCATGATCGTGCGCCCTTTGAAAAGGGAACCAGCCAATGGTCGAGCTTATCTCCTGTTTCGCTGCACCACCGATCAGGGTTGAACTCGTGGGCATCAGGTCCCCAAATACTCTTGGCAAAATGCATCCCATAAGCTGACATGCCAATGATTGTCTTGGTGCATTAGTATGATGATCTGATGACTAGGAGTGGTCCAAACTTACTCCACTGGGTATTTGCTTTCCTTCCACGATAAGCGGCTTATTTTCAGGCACAATTCTAGGCAATCTGCCTGGTACAGGACAGGCCATTCTCAGTGACTCTTTTACGCATCCGCTCTAGAAATCCTGTCAGACCAAATCACAAAGAAGTTCAACGGCACTTACTAGGAAAGGCAACTGTTCCAACTTTTGTAAAACGGCCGGCGATTCCAAATCCGGCATCACCAACTTCAGTTCATTCAACAATCTCTCGAGTATCTTCGGGCTCGACGTGATGTGGTAGAGCGCATACGTGATTGTGAGGGCGCTGGTGTCCGAGCCTGCGACAAGAAGTTCCGCTGCCATTGACGCTTTCTTGGCATCTGAGACCTCCTTCAAACTGTCAAAAATAACGGAATGGCCTGTATCTTCTTTTCCCTTCGTCTTGATGTTGTAATGGTCGACGCAGCCTTCTGCCCACTGATGAACTCGCAATTTGGTTAACAATAACTCAGCTCAGGTAGTGTAAGTGTTTTCACCTTTCCAAGCTCCAACAGCTTTCCCAGCTTCTTATCCAGAATAAGTAGTAGGGACGAGGGCAACAAGAACTTGAGTCGAGATATCATTGGGTAGAAGAGCAAGACCGGCTGACTGGCTGATGCGATGTCAAAAATTTCCAGGAACTCGGCATCGAACGTGTACTCGGAGGCTTCTATCATGTTGACATCTCTTCCAAAAACGAATTCCGAGATAAGCTCAACAGTCAAGCATCTGCAAGATATAATTTCGTTACCGAGATCGAACATAGACACCTGGGCCAAATCACATACCTAACTGCGTCGTGTGCATCAAATGGCCCACTCATTCGTCGCAACTTTCTCTCTAACCTTTGTATCTTACTCAACACAATCGAGCTCAACTGCTCAACTGACCGCTTGGAGAAATATGGGTTGAGAGTACGTCGCTGGTTGCGATGAATAAAAGGATCGACTTCTGTTGTTAAACTATGTGGGATATTGAAGGACTGGTAGAAAGAGTCAGGCTTGTAATAAGTCGTAGACTGGCTGTAGATAGTTGCATATAATTCTGGGTCTCGAATATGGAGCTCATTAGGGGCGATTCGAATAGTGCTACTATCTGTCGCACACATTAGTCGAAACATCTATCAAACTGCGCGGGTTTCAAACTGACCGTACTTGTCGTGAAGCTCTTCCAAATGTTCCTCGACGTATTTGCCAATGCTGGCTTGTGATAGCCAACACGTTGACACTGCTGCTGCCTTGGGTCCTGGGAAACGTGCTAGGGGATGGAACCACAAGCGGTAGGCTCCTACGGTAGCCAGCAGTAGAAGCCCGAGTACTACTACACTAGCTAAAAGTTGGAAGCTATTTGCGTGAGGATTGCGAATGCTTTCCGTTGGGTTCCCTAAAAAAGTCATGCTGTAGTTCTAGTACTGATGGAAAGATGTAGAAATGGTGGAATGAATAAGTACTTAACACGGGTTTTATTTTTTTACTAAAGATGCTTTTTCTATTCTCTTATATGACAATAGAACGGAATCTCGGTATTTTGCCAAAGTATCTTTCTCCGATATAGCGATGATGAACATGTCGTGTTTGGAAATTCGGTGCTTCGGAGATGAAGCTCATCCCGATATCACGAGCAGGTCGGGAGATCTACATGGAAATGTTTCAAGGTAGAGCGAAGTGGGACCTGAATATCAGGATGGAGGTTGATGCAATGCTCAACCTAAACCATGCCTTTATAGAGCAAATGAAATCAGAATACGTGAATAGATTTACTTGCCGAGCTTTCTTAATTTTACAGCTGGGAATGAGCCTGCATGTCTCAATATACTAGTTTATTAGTCAATATGAACAATTGTCAGCTGTTTTAATTCTAGTATTATAGGCTCCATTGGATAACATTCGGCACTCGGCATTAGCATGGCTCGCGATCAGTATCTTCAGTGGAGACAATACTCCATCCTGGAGAGTGGGTCGCCAACGGAGCTGGTGTTTTCCCACAATAGACCGAGTTCAACGGCGGGCTGTTAGGCCTGCCGTAACTACCGTGCAGATCATTGTGCTAAAAAAAAGGTTGGCGTAACATGTAAGACAGGGGAACTTGAAGTTTGTTCGAGTCCAAATACTAGAATGTAGGCTTAAATAATACCAATCAATCAACAGAAAGGGGAAATGCGAATTTATGCGTGAAACCCGAAACGTAGCATACCTAGGTGAAGTTCATCTAGATCTTTTAGATCAGAGAAAGATAGAAGGGGAAACTAAAGGAAGACCCAGATTTAAACAACTTGGCCCCGTTTGACTGTGGTAACTGATAATTGATATCAGAAGATGCAAGAGTATCCTATGAAGAAACCCCAACAACATCCTCAGGGGCCCCAGTGGTGGCTATAACAGTATGTGGACGAATACCCTTTAGTTTCCATGTACCATCTACCTTGGTGTAAACATGCTCAACGTAACAGCTACTATCCCACTCAACGTCCTTTCCGTTGGAGAATCTGCGAACATGTCGCGCTCGAACCTGATAGTTGCCTTTTGCCTCAGCATCGTTTACATAAGTATAAATGCCTAACCCTAGGAGATGCTGGGTTTGTACTGGTTATAGATCATGTTAAATGAGTAAAGACATAAATATTTGTAAGGAGAACTAACAGTTGGGGTCACCCAGGGAAGTCTTCTTGAATGCAAAGGCAAAAAAATTGTCCGGGGTAAGTGTGAGCCGATCTAGAGGGACGGCAGGGTAATCTGAGTAGTCCACAGTAATCTCAGCCGTAGTAATGGAGCAAAATAAATCTCTATCCTGCAAAGCTATCAGTTAGAAAGGTCTTAAATTCTCACACTTTGTCCTAGATGTCCTCACTTTCATGTCCCAGGCAGTTGACCATTTAAAGCTGATGGCGCGGAAGGCCTGCTCATCCTCCCATGTATGAGATCCCATTGAATGCATTTGAGCCACCGTGGTTGTACGATGTGTACAAAGATATAGATAGTTAAGCTAATTTTCACCTGAGCATAGTAGTAGGATAATAACTAGTTATATATTAAAGTTTTTTTTAAATATCTCATTAACATTTCTTGGATTGTTTAGTAGTTATCGGATGTCGCGACGCGAGATAAAAACAAGATTAAATTGGCGGCATATGGAAGGCCGACTCCGATGTATTTTCAACAATCAGGTCGGAAGTCGGCATGGTCTGGCCGACCTACACTAGTGTACTTACCTAATGCTATGTCAAATAGTATACGACGTTACTATTTATAACAGGGCAATAACATTGCTACAAGGCTCAATCCAGAGTCACCTTGACGTGGGGGTGATTTATACGCGTATAGACATATGCATTACGCGTAAACACTAATCATTGAATCAGGTAATTTGCTCTTACTTGTAATCCATTTCAGGCTCGGTAGTTGCAGCAGAGTTCCTCGTTTGCTATTAGCGACAGTATTCGCGCTTGCATTCCCTTCCGTCAGTACAGCACTGTTGCGGAAAATATAGGAGCACACTGGTAGTTTTGAATGACAATAGGTACGAGACCCATTAGTCACCATATTGCTTTCCACTCCTCTAGATTTTAGCTATGGACTTTGCGTAATTGAAGTTATAATGCTATTCGAAGAACAACACAAATCGTCTTGAGATCTACACGGGTATTAGGGCCAGAGAAGAAGTAGTTATTAACCATGTTGACATGACTGTCAGCCTCACTACCACTAGCAATATAGCCACCGCTACCTCTCAAGTTGTAGATGACCCCCATAAGCTGTTTAGTGCTAAGGTGTTGTAACGTATTGAACAAAAATGCATACGTTGCTCTGGCAGTTGTTGACACCCCTGACTTTGGGGTTACGAGCCTTGTTTTCGATACGCAAGTTGCAGAACGAGCTATCCGTCTTCAGTATGCATCAGGATACTACAAGAGTGGAGAATGACGCACTGAGCAATGATGCTATCCTGAATTTGACGCTAGAACAGTGAACCGCTTTTCTGACGCATTCGTTGATTTCTATGGACCCAAAACGCTCAGAACCTCGATATCATCTGTATGATTCGACTAAGTTAGCTCCTTGTCTTGACGATAAAGCTGACGGCCATAGGTCTTTCTATCACCAGCCAATTTTCCAGGAGGGAGCTCGTGTGATCGATACATCCAGTGGGGCCAAAGACCATACCGAAGACGCGATACTATAAAGTACCCGGACTAGGAGGAAGCTCACCAGAGTCCCATTCCACCGCCTTCGCCCCCATTGTAAACTCCAGCACACTCTCCTTTCCATCCTCGCGCACTAAGTCATTGTGACTAACCCAACTCTTATCCCACGCCTTTCCATTGACCTTCAGGCTCTGTATATAAGGTCCATCGCTGAGACCTTGAGCAGTTATACGCAGCGTACCACCAACTTGGCCAAGTTTAATCGATATGTTCTCGAATCGTGGAGATAGGATGAGGTAGACTGGTTGTGTGACAACAGGATATAGGCCGAGCATGTTCCAAACAAGCCAACTGCTCATGCTACCTGCATCGTCGTTTCCCGGAATGCCACTTGCTCCACTATGATAATACTCATCCACAATAGCTTTGCTTCTCATGACACTCTTCCACTGCCTTCCTCGTACAAAATTGTATAGGAATGGTGTCATGAAGCTAGGTTCGTTACCTGGATTGTAGATCATAGAGCCAATACCATTGTTACCCTGCTCTTGGGTTCCAAGACCGGGTACGAAACTTGTATCGAGACGCTCCTCGAACATCTTAGGGCCACCCATAAGCTTGATCAGTGTGACCATATCATGAGGTGCCGTGAAGCTATACTCCCACGGAGTTCCTTCGTATGAAATGGACTCCCAGTTGCACTCCCCACAAGCTAGAGGATCGTAACCGTCGAGAACCGTGCCGTTGGGCTGTAGAGGAGCGAGAAACCCGGTGAAATTGTAAGACTTTGCATCTTTCTTCCAGATACGTTGCCATCCGCTGGATCTTGTTAGTTAATGTATGCCTTATGGTTAGGGTTATTGTAACTTGCGCTGATCGATTGAGGTACTTTGTGGCCTCATCTGGAGCTTCGCCCTTGGCGACTTGTGACACAGCAAAGTCATTCAAAGAGTACTCGGCAGTCTTGCTCACGCTCCTCCCATAGTTTGTGCTGACATAGCCGTACTTCTTCCAATCATCCAACGCGCTTCTTCCCTCTTTTGTACTCCCTGTTGGGTCATTGAAGTCGAAGTTATTGTATGGCTGGAGCTCGGCATTGGTTCGCATAGCAGCATAGCCATCTGTCCAATTCACGAGATTGTCTGTATCCAGTTTCTTAACGTAGGCGTCTGCAAGGATGTTGTCTGAATTAGATCCACCTTGAACACGCCCATTGTGGTTGTGGCTACGGCCTTCGGGCATGAAACGCTCATGTCGCCAGATGTCAATCATGCTTCGAACTAAGTAATGTCAGCATATGATCGTGACTCTAACGAAGGAGTACTAGCTCATATCGATTTGATGTCGGGGAAGAATAAGAGACACCAGCGCATGGGTGCATCTAAAAGTATCCCAAAGGGTGTAATAGTCATCATAGTACGGTTCGTCTGAGATCCAGTGTGGATTATCTCCAGTTCGGTTGGAGGGCATCAGGTGCGCATGATATAAGCCTGTATAGAACATCTCAAGCTGAGTTTTGTTCTTGGTGTCAACATCGATCTTGGAGAGTACTTCTTCGTTCCACTTGTCTTTCGCCTGGCTGACAGTCGTGTTGAGGTCCCAATGCGGTATCTCATCGTCGATGTATTGGCATGCCTTATCCACCGAAACCCAAGAAACTCCCACTTTAGAAGTGAGAGACGATACGTTGGATGGGAAGTTGAAGAGAGCTCCAACTCTATCGGCGTATTGATATCCGTCAACACCGCCTTTTACCCACTCGTTCTTGGTAAATGTTGGCTTGACATTTGTCGTATTTGGCCAGTAGGGATCTGTGTAGACTCCAGAAAATAATCGGACATTAGAAGGCGCAGCATTGAACTTTCCGCAGAAATAGACTGTGAAATCGCCGCCTAACATGTTCAGTATGTCTAAGTTCGATAATTTCTAGGTCGTTACCTACCGAGAGCCCAGCCTTCTCTGTAGACGCCGTAGCCACTATATCTAGATCCATCTGGGCTGCGCTCTAACTTTCCGTTGCTGTACCATTGAGTTTCTTTGCCTCGCGTTGGGAGGTAGTGGCTGATATCAACAAGTACATTACGGTCCTCGTCGGCTGGGAAATCATATTTCATAATTCCTGCGTGTTGACTAGCGCTGATCTCGACGATAATACCATTCTTCAACTCGGTCCTGTAATATCCAACCTCAGCAACGTCGTGACCCACCCTTTGTTGCATGTAGGTTAAATTGTCGAGCATATTAACACCCTCGATGGAAGTGAGAGGCATCTGAGGAATCAATCCATATGTCGGAGCACCTCCAGTTCCGCTCACATGTAGCATCGTAATGGCCGTGACATTTCCTTCGGGGGTATATCCTGCGTTGGCCTGGTATCTTGTGTCCCACCTAGTCGTGTCAATGCCTACTTTGACGGCGCCGAATGGAAGTGTAGCGCCTGGGAAGACATTTCCGCCTTGATATGCCGATCCCGGGGTAGGGCCTTCGGTGCCCAGAAACGGATTGACGTAGGGTGTAAAATCTTTGCTCTCGGTCGCCAGGACGACTGGGACGAAAGCCACCAAGGCAGCTACAAGCTTTTGAGTGTTAACCATGATATCTCAGGCTTGACACATGCATCCACGCGAGACTTTAGGTGACTCTCACAGGGAGGGGCTGACTCTTTAATACCATTTTCCATGTTGCATTCGGGCGACGATGCCCGAATTCGTGTTGAACTGATGATCTCTCTCCACTTTAAAGAGGCTATGAAGCTGAAAAACTTGGAAGCTCAGTATGGAGCGATCACGGAGCACCCCTCAAGATTACCTTGCTTCAGGGAAATCACTTCTTTAAATGGATTAGTGCCCAGGAAAGCCGCCCAAATGTGTCGGATAAATATCCGTTATTAACGGCATTGCTAGTGCCAAATAACTGGCTTACCCCGCAAGTCAGGTATTCAACTGATGTTGTCTCCAGCTATCTTCTCTGTCTTCTGCCGCTCAATACTAACAGTTGTATATGAAAGTTGCGACTGTTTGAAGAATGATGACTCGGTATATACTCTTGGTTGCCGAACGTACTGCTTGCCTATGGCTAAGAGTAGAGCTAGCCTCTAGCCCAGCACAGTCTCCACTTCAGACTCCGAGTCGCATCCCACCCGCTACGTAAACAAATACCTACACTCTTACAAAATAACTACAGCACTATAATGGACTTATTCCTCCAGCATAATGTCTGCGGAGTATAAGGCATGCCTAGCGATTTCAGAGTAAGGCTTAATTAAGTGTTTAGAGAAGCGTTCAGCGTAAAGTATGAGGCATTGCGCATAGGGTGGGGCCAGCCCTAACGAACCAGTCAATTGACGATGGAAAAACAATATGGATATTGTTTCTCGTCTCAATCCACAGGTAGTCGTTAAAGAACCATGTTTCTGCTGTTATTTGTTTTGTGACTACTTAGTCTTTCGCCCAGGCCTTCTCAGTTTGATCTAAGTTATTAACAAATATTAATCTCTCTGTGCAGATCGAATTTTCAATAAATCACTACGTTAAGGTTTCTTCTCTCAAGACTAGATTTTCTAATATGGGGCGTGATTCATACGGATTGAACTCTATAATATCGGCTATGACTTATAAAAGAAGCTCATGCCAAGCCATGCAGACAGTAGCAGCCTATCTCTCTTGCAAATTCACTCAATCTTCAAAGACATCTACTCGTCACCGATCATTATCTTCTCGTCTTTAACCAAGGCTCGTCAGCAACATTTCAAATCACGGCAGAGGTTGAACATGATAAGGCCCCGTACAGACTCATCGCATCGAAAGGACACGAAGTTACTATAGCAATATTCAAGCTGTCCTCGGGTAAGGCCAACTGCGAATTATCTTTGAAGCAAGGTCAGACGGCGACTTGGCGTTCGGCAGTGGCAAGTCCGATATGAGCATTATCTCACCGTGCAACGATGTCATTAAGGCTTCCTTCAATTCTCATGGCAAAGATGGTCTGACTGTCGTATTGGGAAGCAATAAAGCAGCTTCTTTCACTTTCTCCAATGGACAGAGAAAGTACATTCCCGCTACGAGTAGCTGCGACAAGAAGAAGCTACTCAACCTCTATCGGCAACTGGAACTTGACTCTTGAATACTGGATTCCTAGCCCTGACGAGACAAAGTCAGCATCTATCAAGAAGGTGATTAAACAGGGTACTCAGAAGGCCTTGAGCCCCTGGTCTGGCATTTCTGGCATTTCTGGAGCGCAAAATCTACCATGAGTCGGAACCCACACAGCCACCTCCCAAGTCCCACCAGTTCCAAGTCATGATTCCGTCGCTGTACTACAGTTTTGTCCCATGCTCAACACCATTCGAGAAAGGGTCAACGGCAAGCAAATTCTGGCGATTGACATTCACAACGCTCAAGTAGACGTTTCAGATTATTTTGTTCCAGGATCCAACACAATCCGGGTAGAGGTAGCATCTACATTGTTCAAAGCTCTCAAGGCTAGAGTTGATTATGTCAAGGCGAATGGCATTGGCCCAGCTGCACCCGTCCTGTATACTTCTACAGATTGGCAAAAGTATGGTCCGATTGGATCGGTGTCTGTGAAGTCTCTGTGAAATGTCAGTTTGTGACGGACACGCCATGGGCAGTTTTGGGTGGGTAGAGGGGAGAGATACAGTATGAAATTGAGATTTAGGAGTCAAACGCCTTGGCAGATAGGAATTAGCATAGTGTTTATACAACAAGATAGTTCATGGTTATTATTGCAACGCACGATCAATGCAACTGTTTTAACTGCTTAACTTATTGGCTACTTACAAAGCAAGTCACGTGCACACGTAGGAAACATTTAAGGAGACTCTTGTTTGCTTTTCCCTGGGCCGTAGTTTCAGACTTGGGGAAGTGATCAGGAACAATATATAGCAAATCTACTAATTGAAATACAAAAGGTTATGCTAATCTATCAAGCGAAGCAGACATAGTCAGCTGTACCCGAAAAGATAAGCGAGTCGGCCCATCCATCAATATGCCAATCGAAGCCCATGGCGGTGACATTGCTAACATTCACCTTGAGGCGCAAGTTGGTTTCGGTGATGACCTTGAAACCTCTCAGAGCAACATATACCTTTGGAGGCTCATGAAACGCCCCAACAGGTAGTTCCACGTGTCCTTGCGTCTCGCGGGATGGGTGCCTATCGATGCGAACGTCTGTAGTGCTGAAGGTACCGCTTACTAGACCCTCCCTGTTCTCTTGGTGGGCTAGCCAGACCGCTGTGCCGCTGTAGAGTACGGAATCCCCGTAAGCCGAAATGAAAAGATCAAAACCCTCGGCCGTGACATTTTTCACTCTCGTCTCAGTGTGCCAGTAGCTTTTGCCACTGTCAAGGTCGATCATTCTGTACCAGACAACAACCCGGGGCGGTCCAGATCCCCAGGCGCGAGGGAAGCTAATATGTCGAACTGTGTCCGGCTTGGGCTCCCACCAAGAATGGTCATCGGTGGTAGAGAACTCGCCAACCTGGATATCCGGGTCGTCGGCGGCAAAGGTAGCCCAGGCACAACCAAGGGAGTAAGCCTTGGTATCACCCCACTGGCTAAGATGCACCTCCGCCGTGGTTTTCATGATCTGCTCGGCGACCGCGCGCACGCGAACGTTGTGCCCATTATCGACGTCGAGGTGATTTAGACCCACAGCTAACACAGGCGGCGACGGGAAGCTGAAGTTGGCTCGCTTGGTGAGCTCCTGGGACGTCATGGGCGGCGACTGCATCTCGGTAGTGTTGAAACTGTCGAGCATACCTCCCTCGATAGGGTAAGTCCTGCTCATAAACCCCTTGTCTGTCTCGGAGAGGCTCGTGTTCCACTCGGCTGAGCTTCCGTCAAGGGTCAGCTCCGCCGGGAAGGAGTACAACATAATAGACAGCGGGTCGAAGGCAGAGAAATTGGTCTCCTCGTCGGGGAACAGGTTAAAGATGTTAGAGCGGACCTGCTCCTCTGTCCAGCTATTTTTGCTCATGTAGTACTGATACGTAGCCTGCTCGTTCCACTTAATGTTGGCGGCTGGGGATTGGTGCTCGTGGTGGCAGCCGAGGGCGTGGCCGAACTCGTGGAGCACAACACGGCTAACCTCCCTGTCTTCTGAATCGTCACTCAGCCAGCCGAAGTTCATTGTCTTATCGCTCTGGGGGATGACACCATTGTCGGTGCCTTGGTACGACCAGGATCCGCCACCGTCGCCAATGGAGATGCGTATGTCAGCATCACCCGAGTCCACCCAGTTGAACTTGATGTTGGCGTAGCGCTGCCACTCGTCGGCGCAGGCGCGGATGCGACCTTGGATGGATGGCGAGCCGTCGAGAAAGCGGATGCGCAGCTCTCGACCATTCTGCCAAAGACGCGACTTGGACAGAGCGAGACGATCCTCGCCAGGGCCATTACTAGGACGTTGCTTTATGGCAAAGTCAAGAGCAGAAGCGTCCAGTTCAGCTGGGACTTTGCGAATGAAGCATATCTGGAAGTTGTTGGACATGGCGTGCTAGAAACTGAAGTGTTTAAGTAAAGATGTGTTTATGTGTGAAGTGTGCAAGGAGTTGTGTATTTGATTGTGTAGGAGTTCGGAGTAAAAGGTATGTGGTTTGCCTGGAGACTCGTCTTTATACTCCAGATAATGGATTCTCGCATATTTGTCTCGTCCTGTCTGTCCCGTCTGGAACACTCATGTTGCGTAATACAACCCACCCATTTCCTTTCGACAAATCCTTATTATCGCCCGGTCCGAAGGCCTGTCTCTATCACAGGCTGAATGTTTATGCGAGGCTGGCAAGATTGACGTGGAGGTCCAGATACTGTGTCTTCCTCGAACGACACAGAGGTTTGACACGGCGCTTTGGTGTCTTGGGAGACAGCTCTCATGCACACCACATCTCGAATCGGATGTGGGCTGGAAATCTCGTACGATCTTTCCCTCCGTCAATTCGCGGATAGTCAGCGGGGTCTCACGATGATATTCAATGTTCCAAAAGCTGAATAGCTGCTACAAGGTTGAATTCCCTGATAGGGTTACTGAGTCCGTATTCTCACACCGCTGAATTGTTACACGTCTGGTACAATACAACATTTCGCATGCTTATTATGTTTGTTTGCAGCGGCATTTTCTTTGTTCTCAGACTGCGCCTTTACCATTAGCTACAGGGGACCAGCCACAGTCAGCGCTAAATATGCAGCTTTTCTACTTGATGCCCTCATCCGGTCAGCATTATATTCAGCTGCTTATTTTCTGCCAGGATTAAATACCGCTTAATGCCATTGTTAGTGAGTATTGTATTCAGCTGCTTATTTGCATTCGGAGTCACCGACGATGGCTTCTTTTCCAACTTTTCATATGCCAGTTCAGTGTAAGCAGAGTCACGTTCTATTGTCTGATAGCAAGTCTATTAAGACAGTTTGGTAAGGAAAAAATGAAACGTATTCAGAGGCAGGTAAACTATATAATCCTGCTGCCGTTCATTCTCTTTCAGTCCTAATCTCTATCCATCATTACCAGATAGCCAACAACCACAGCCAAACACTAGCCAAACACCAGTTATATCCCAGCAAAACTTCACGAGAAAACTACATTGTCAGCATGAGATTCTCTATCCCTCTCTTTATTACAGCTGCCATGTCTGGCGCCATGGCCCAATTCACAGCTTGCGGGTACCACCTTGTCAACGGCGGCAGTAAGTGTCCAGCCCCGGGCTATCTTCTGTGTTTTACTCAATGATTTGGTTCTAATATGGTTATAAAAACAGGTTACGTCCAGGCTGACATTGCTTGGGCCGCTTGCGGGAGGACTGACACGTGCGAGGGCAAGGAGTGGAACACCCTCTTTATCTACCGTCCTATTCCTCACGGCCTTCCCGAAATGGAGTCTCTTGGGTTTTGCAACAATGGTTGCCAGGAGGATGATTTCCACGACAGATGCAAATAAGGCAATATTGATTGTATCCCCACGTTAAAGACTTTGGATTTGTTCGATAATATAAGCTTGGATCAAGATTATTTCTTAGCTTCAAGGGATAATCTTACTATAGACATAGAAGAGGGAATTTAAATTCAAGGTTATTCTTTGGCAAAAGTATACACTGATTAAATCAGTATCTGCGAAGTCAGTACGAAAGGTCAATTTGGAAGACGCATGCCATGAATAGATTTAGGTGGCAGACAGGGAGACATGTAAGGAAGCGTTATCTACTATTGAAATAAAAGATGATTACAGTCTGGAGCTCAATACTGCAATTAAGAGATCGCTCATGCAAAGGGCTTCTAGTGGAGTGTGTCAGATCATGCTGGTATTCGCTAATTCTTGGTTCGTTGGTATAGGAAGTATACTGGATCTCGGGACACGTGGCTCACGTCGTTTTGAAGATGCATGTTAGGCTTTATCGTTGGGCATTACCCCACACTGCCGAAAATACGAGACTTGATATTCAAAGTTCCGAGAGTTGATACGAAAATTCACCAAATACAATTTGCAGGTCTTGATCTCGTGTCTGCAATTGGAAGAAATATGGGACCATACCAGTATTCACGATTAGCAGAAGGCAGTATTCGTCTCCTTCGCTTGATTCCGCACCCAGACCGGCAATCTCACATCCACTGCCAGCTTTTCGACTTTCCCCTGTCAGATTCAGAAAGTACTTGTCCATATGAAGCTCTGTCATATGTATGGGGTTCCGGTGATAAACCAGTTTCAATCACTGCGAATCATGGCGAACTACGCATCGGAGCGAATCTACATGCAGCTCTCGGCTGTCTCCGACATAACACCCTGGAAAGAATCATATGGATAGACGCTCTGTGTATCAATCAGGACGACGCAACGGAGAAAGGACAGCAAGTTCAGTCGATGGCTAAGATCTATGCTAAAGCTAATTGCGTGATCGTCTGGCTCGGGGAGGCTGCCGATAAAAGCGATGGGGCCCTTCTAGAGATTTGCGGAGCTGCTGTCAAAAGTCCCACAAACAAGAAAGATCCCGCAAAGATCATCTCGCTTCTCCAACGACCTTGGTTCCAGCGAATTTGGGTAGGTGATCAACTCATTCCGAAAAGCCCATGTCGTTGACAAAGGTATTTCAGGTACTTCAGGAGGTCGCTGCTGCTCGACATATAGTCATCAAATGTGGTTCCACCGAGATTGATGGATATGCCTTCTGCTCTGGACTCAGTACCCTCAAATTATCGTATGAGAACAGCGAAAGTCTCCAGCCTTTGATCGTTTCCGTTTCCTATCTCATACGAGGTGCAATTCTACGTCCCAGGTATACAGGGTCTCTAGATGGGAGATTTTCACTTGATATACGACCTCTAAGTGAATTGGTGGAAATGTATCATACCAGAAAGGCTACCGAGCGCCGCGACAAGGTATATGCACTCCTTGGTATGAGTTCTGATGACCCGAGTGGAGCAGGGCTATCTGTTGACTATACCATTCCTTGGAGTCGACTCTTCGAAATTCTCATCAGGTATACACTCGCGCAATCCGTATCTGTTACCACCTGGAACGATAGAGAGATAGCTGTGATCAGAGGCAAAGGATTGGTCCTGGGCGACGTCTCTTCAATCAAGGGAGACCATGCCTGGGAGGACGATCGAAGGTTGGAGATCACCTGGAAGAATATTTGTTCTGACCTTTTCCGAAATTCGACTTGGAGTGTTTAAGCATCTGTAAAGTCTATCTAGGTTGGAGACGTCATATGTCTCTTTCAAGGAGCAACAAGACCGACTATTATCCGACTATGCGGTTCATGCTGGAACGTTATCATGATCTCAATCCCTCCCGGTCCGATCAAACACAAGAATATCACGTTGGTAAATGACTTGCGTCAGGACGCTGAGTGGTTCGAGCAGTTAGAATCAGTCATGGCACAGCCGCGCGACCTCTTACTTGTCTGGGACTGGGGCGCACATTCTATTGAATCGCTCGGGAATCAGGAGACAACGTATGAAAAGCTTATCTCCGAGCAATTTGGGCCAGACTCGTTGCTCGAAGAACTTCACAATGTTACTATCGTGTCAAACATGGGATTAGTGTTGCAAGATCTCGAGAGGCATGTTGCATTAGAGGATTGTATCCGCAGCGCTGTTGCAAGTTTTCAAGAGACGCTAAGAATCGCGGATAGATATGCGATAATTTCCAATGTTGTTGGAAAGGACTTGGGGATCAAAACAGGAGTGGAAACGGTAACTGATACCCTCGTTCAATTTCAAGGTGGTTGGCAACCTCTACGATGGGCGTCGGAAGATGGCCACGATTTGGTCATCAGACTGATGCTAATGAAAGCCGATCCGAATATCGTTGATGCAGAAGGGCGCAATCCGCTATCTTGGGCATCAGAGAAAGGCTATGAGACATTAGTAAGATTGCTTCTTGGGACCGGAGCTGTTGATCCAGATGCGAGAGACATGGGCGGCTGGACGCCGCTCCTATGGGCAGCTAGCAAAGGACACGAGACAATTGTAAAGCTTCTTCTGGATACCCAAAAAGTTGATCCAGATGCAAAGGAGAGAAAGGAAGACACGAAAGGAACAAGACGGACACCTTTGTTACTCGCCTCGGAAGGTGGTTATGAGGCAGTAGTGAGGAGGCTTCTTGATACCTACAAAGTAGACCTCAATGCCCATGATGAGAGTGGAGGGACACCTTTGATGTGGGCTGTGAAGAACGGACATACTCATGTGGTGAAATTGCTGCTCCAAACAGGAAAGCTTGATCCGAATGCTTCAGAGGCGGGCGAAGTCGAGAACGAAGGCGGACGAACACCACTGATGTGGGCAGCGAGCAATTGTAATGAGGAGATTGTCAAGCTTCTCCTTCAAACCAAGAATGTCAGTTCAGATGTAAGGGACAAATCCAGTCGAACTGCAATATCTCTGGCCGCGGAGAGTGGAGATGTGGCAATTGTGAAAATGCTGCTAGGTATAGGCGAGGCCCAGCCAGATGTACCTGATAAGGAAGGACGGACTCCATTACGGTTTGCAGCTGAGGGCGGGTTTGAAGAAGTCGTTCAACTACTTCTTGACACTAACGAGGTCAATCTCAACTCAAAAGATAAACGTGGTCGTACACCACTATTTTCAGCGGCAAAGAACGGGCACGAACATGTTGTCAGCATTTTGGCACAACGAAATGAACTCACCTTCCAAGAATTACAACGCCAGGTCCCAATACCTTCCAATCATGAAAATTATCTCAATATCCAAGATGAGGACTATTTCGATAGTCGCTGTCATCAGCTTTTCTCAAATGTTCAACAGTGGGTTACACGATTCTCGAGAGCTGGGGATATGCGCACGTCACGCCTTAAGGATGATATCAATGAAGAAGCCGTTAATAATCTGGAAGCTGTACTTGCCAGCCAACTTGACGATGACGATGACTATCCTGCTACAGGACTACCTGCTCAACTAACAGTCGGAATTAATGACGAAAAGACCGTTGACAGACTGGACAGTGTCATGTTAGACGGAACCGATGTAGATGTGTATCTATCCGATCGGTTACGTCGCCGTGACGTGTTCACCTCCATGATCATGAACATGATTTGGGAGTTCATATTTACTCGTTACTTATTTGGAGTTGATAGAGAAATGAGGCAGAAGCTAAAGAATCTAGAAAAGCTACTCACTGAAGCTGGGCCCCCTCAAGCCGTTCGCAAATGGCGCGCTATAACTTTGACACTGCTATCACGTCGTGACAGCATCAAGCGACAGCGTGATCTGGATGCTGCAGCCGTTACTCACGCTTTATTACAAACTGTCTATAAAGTCCTGTTACCCCCTGACAATATTCAAGACCATCTTGAATCTCAATTGCACAAGGTGGTATTGGATGCAGCTGAACTCTCTATTGAAATGCGAACGCAGAAAGCTGAATACATGATGCTTCCACCCCTACGTCCTGAGTACGACGCAGATGGAGATCTGACTGCCACTATCTGTTTCAACGCGGATATGATGAATGAATGCGGTTTCAAAACGGAGAGGAGCAACGAAGAGCTTGAGACACATGGGTCAATAGTCAGGATGGTTCTGTTTCCGCTCGTCGTGAAGAAGGCAGGGGATGATGGCGTTGGTGATGAAGAGATTGTTATCTACCCGGCTCAGGTGCTGGTAACTCCGCAGAACACTGATGAGGAGAAAGTGATGGTATCCCGAAATAACATTGGAAAGGAGAAAGCGCTGGAAGCTCCAGAGCTCCCCACAGAAGACGAATTACTTGAGGCTTCCGAGATCAGTGCAAAAGATAAAGTGCTTGAAATCGGAGCGATTGCTGCGGTAGTGCTTGAAGCTCCCAAACTTCCCACAGAAGACCAAGTACTTGAACCTCCAGAGATCCCTGAAGAGGAGGTCTATCAACCGGGAAGGGAAGAATTGGACACATCTTGGTCGGGAAAAAGAAGGCTCGGGTGGGTGCGGAAGATCTTGACGAAAGTGAAAATGTGATTTCATCAGCCATTATTAATGCACATAAATCAATTCAATTAAATCATATGTTCTTGACATGCACGACTATATTGAGTAATCTTATCTGGAGTCTTGCAAACTCAGTTATAAATTCCAGGTAGGAGTTTTACTAATACAATTCCCATCCCAGGCTAGGCATTACTTCTGTGTGGATGTGATTAGGCATCACAAAATTCAATTCCCCCCAGTTTTTCATCCAACAGCTTTCCATCATTCCAAGCGTCAATAGCAGCCTGTTTCTGTTCACTATCCCAGAAAACCTCTGGCCCCCAACCCTTCCTCTCTGGATAACTTCCCGCATTATTCTTCGAGTCGTGCACTCTTTGTTTTGGCTCTTGTTGCGCGAGATGAAGCCAGACTGCATTTTTAGGTTTGTCCAGCTTTTGCTTGTAAACTGACCATAAGGTAGGGAACATCTCGACTCGTCTCATGATACTCTTCGGTGCATGACCTAGGGTGTTATGGACGTATAGATTGCTTGGTTCTGCTGGGTTAAGCCAACGAATTTTTCGATCATTGGAATTGGAAATATCTTGGTCGATACATTTCGCCAATCCAGATAGGAATCTCATTGAATGCTTCTTCTTTCTACTGGCGAGCTCCATAAGCTGAATATCGTAGACCCCAGCGAGTGATACATTATGCCGACGAGATAAGACTCACTACAAATCGCGAATATCGAACCCGGCTTTTGGAATGCCCCTTGACTCAAGAATCAGACGAAGAGATATTTCGCTGTGGCCAACGGTTATGAATGCAGTATCGCCAAGTCGTCTCAGATCGATAAGATAAAGAGTGTTGGTAGTCGGCAAGAACAGTTGAAGATCATCTAAGGTGTCATTCACGATACCTGATGCGTCAAGGTAGATAGAAGGAAAATCCGTGGGGAGCTTGTTTAAGGCCCGAAGCAGTTGTTTGAGTTGATTCTTGTATATGACGGACACAACTGAACGACTGTCTTCATCGCGCTCATTTTGAGCAGTTTCAGTGAGTCGTTCCTGGTTCATGACGACGACGGATGCCGTTGAGCGCTGTTCCGTTTCAGAAACTAGGGGGGATGATAATACGGTGTAGTGTGGATCCTGTTGGTGCAAGCTTCTTACATAAGGCGTGAAGTTGAGAAGAGTAGGAAGTAAGAAGATAGGTTACTCTTCTACCATATTAAAATCAAGTTGTTGCGATCTATCTCACAACATTAGGCTGCCAACGTTGCACAGTGGAGTCAGGGCGGTCGGCCTCCTGCGTTAACCTAGAATGCACTGATGCCTGAGACCTTGGTGGGGTTTTTCAAATATAGCATATCAGGTGAAGGGTTCTTAATAAACACTGGTCAGTTGCACAAGAGGTATCTTAACTGACATTTTTAGAAAACGCCTGTATTTTGTGCTAAATAATTGCCATGGTGCATCGCAAAAACAATCAGTGTGTTCTTGCAGACTCTACGCCGGTTACACCATGTATCTGTGACATCGAATTTATGCTGCAGTTTGGCGTCGGATACGCTCTTCAGCCATGCGGATGCGACACCCCAATGACAAATGGGAGCACAATGACAACATCGTTGTAAACCATCAGCGGCTGCCTTGACAGACCCACAGCCAAATACAAACCTCATTTTCCACCAACTGTGATGACTTTGTCCGTTTTCTCTGATGTTCTTAATTTCGTTTTCTGTCAGCAACCTTTGTCGCTGATTTGCAGAATACAATTCATCGAAGATTCCGAAAGCTTGCGTCCGGCCATTTTCTTATCAGAGCGAATGTTCAATTTGAGCCTCTCATCCAAGATTAACCAGGTTTGTTTTTATCCTGTAGAGCTTAAAAGAAATCCACATCATGGACGACTTGATGTTGTTCGCTGTGTTGAGATTTAGGGTAACGTAGCATCTCAAGCTAGTGCCCCTGCATTAGTGTACTTCTTACTTATCAGATGTAGGGCGCAGTTTTTAACAAAATACTAATTTCTTCCTTCTAGCGTCTAGAAAAGCGCGTTTCATGTTCCATCATTCCTGTTTAAGACTAGAGACTCAAAACAACAGCATGCCATTAGTCAAACACGGTTATTAGAGTTTTTGCTGAAATGAACGTTCTTGACCATATTCGGTAACTACCGAAACAACTGGTCAGTGCCGATGGGTCACGACGATCTTTCGGACTAGCCATCCTATCAGCTTCCCGCAATAGGTTCCTTGTGGAACTCTTGATCTTCAGCTACGATATTCAACAGGCATCAGTAACGGACCGACAGCCTGCACGGTTTTGATTCCGTTTGTCAACCTCATTTCAGTGACAGTGGCTTCTGGAAAGATGCAGTATATAGACCCTTCATTCCTTCGTGCTTTATGTCTTTCATAGCTTGTCAGTTATCATTCTCGACAGACTCAACATTCATTTCTCTACACTCTTTTTAAAAATCATCAGATTCTCATTTCTCACAATGCAAATCGTTCAGTTCTCTCTCTTTGCCGCAGCCATGGCTGCTTCCGTCAACAGCGCCAATGTTGAACAGCGCGATATCGATGAATGCACCTCTGCAGCCAACGAACTGGTCGAAGTCATGAGCGACATGCCAACAGCAGACAAGACCCTTGCAAGCTTCATCGCCCAGCAGACTGGCTTCGAGGATGTCGCCGACTCTTGTGTTATTCCTGCAGTCACTGGATCCATGGCCGCTGCCTATACCGCCTACGCCAAGTCCATGGAGAGCTGGGTTTCTGAGATGAAGGATGATCTTTCCAGCGTTTATGACGCTTGCAAGGATGTCCCCAAAGTCCAGGAGCAGCTTGATTCCTACAAAGTTCCTATCAGCGGAATGTGCTCTTCTTATGCTTGGGCTACTGCTTCCGCCACCGAGATCGCTACTGCTACTGCCAAGGCCACTGACTCCGCCGCTGATTTGACCGCAAGCTCTACCACCAAGACTGCTTCAAGCACCTCTACCCCTAACAATGTTGCTGAGAACTCTGGTGTGCGCAGCACTGGGCTTGGAGCTATTGCTGTCGTTGCTATTGCGGGTTTAGCTGTAGCTGGAGCTAACTAGGTAAGAGCTCTGTATTGTTTAAGATTTATAGTATATTTAACTAACATAATAACTTATCAGTTTGACCTGTAAAGGTTTTACTTTTTAAGTGATTTTGTTTATTATAGTAATACATATATACTACAAGTAACTACAAGGAATCTTACAATAATATACTTGTCTTCTTACTCTCTTATTATGTTGGCAGTGTGAAGGCATCTATTAGTGGGTTATGGAAAGATTTCCAGGACGTCATATACCATGTTTCCCTGATCGATCGACAGTGTACCATCTCGGGACATCCTCGTGAGATAACGATAGGTAAGATAGCATCGTGACCTATTGTAGGGATGTTATTCTTAGCTCTGTGGGCCCTTGCGCAATCAATGTTAGAAAGATGGCATCAAAGTAATACGATGCCAAGAACACCCGAATTGTCATTTAGTCTCGCAACCATTAACTATATCAATATTCTATAGTGAAACACCCCCTCTCCTTTCACCCTTACCACCAGCGAGCAGACATGTCGCGGATGCTATTGCTTCCACAATGAACCTCTCCACCATAGTTATGGTGAGTATTCCAGTCATCGATAAACTTGAGGTCAACGCCGATCTTGGAGTACTTGGCTTTAATAGCCTCGGCAATGACATCCTTTCCTTTGACAACAGGACCCCAGGGGTTAGGTGCAACACATGTGTTGTAGCCAGTAAGGACTAGGTTATTCACAACACCAGGGAAGAAGGCGCCAACTTGGAGACGAGAGTCTTCAGCCCCGGGGAACTTACTACCCTCAAACAAAGAAGGAATGCGAATGATGTCTTCGTCAGTCAGTCCAACCTCGCGCTTGAGGATCTCAATGTTGCCATCAATACGACGCGCGCATTGATCGTTGAGCTTCATCAACTTCTTGTCATTGAGGAGTCCGCTAATAGAAGGGGAGTTGACAGGAATAGGCCCGCAAGCCCAGCCACTGTAGTCATCCCTAGAACCATTGCTGGTATCATTCTTGCGCGAGATAGCGGGGATATCTCCATGACCAGCCTTGCGCTGAGCCTCGAGAAGTTTGATACCAGCACGAGGGTCATCGATGACAGCAACCCATCCTCGCTTGTTCTTAGCCGGGAGAAACTGAACAAACTCGTCGACATGACCAATAGCGAGCCAAGCAGTGTCGAGTAGAACAGGGTGCTGAGCCTCCTGAGCCAGAAGGTACGGAAGAATATGATGCTTCTGCTTGCCATGGTTTCCCAGAATGACACGACCAGATGGCCAAGACTTGCCTTTGAAAGTATGAGGGGGAATAGTCTCGATGTTACCCCCAGAGTTAATCTCGTCACGCGCTCCTCCGAGATGCTGCACGGCACCAACGCCAGCCTTGCGATAATACTCAAAGAGCTGACGACCAGCCACGCGCTCGTCTTGGGGGGATCTGACCATGATACGAATGGAAACAGTACCCTTGGGCCCAGGCATGTTTGCATAGCCAGGCTCCATAAAGCCCTGAGCCCAGATATCATCACTGGCGTTGAAAAGATATAGGTCTTTCTTGATACCAGCCGCTTTGACCACTGAGGATAGGCTCTCGGTGAATCCGATCAGGTACGGCGAATCGGTCTTGTTACCCTGGACAGCTAAGACTTGTTGGACGCTTTGGAGGTGATGATGAATCAAGACGGGGGCAACGCGGAGCATCACTTCATCAGAAGACTTGACCCCGCCGTCGTTAAGTTCAAAGCGAACAGTGACTCGTCCGTCCCAGCCATCAGGTCGTCGAGTATCTCGACCATCGATCCCTAAGTCAAGTCCAGACTTCAACTCCTTCTGGCTGAAAACGTACTTTTCGTCCACAAAAACCCATTTGTCTCCCTCCTTACGGAAGATACGAGAGAAACGGCGCTGCTTAGCATCAGGAATGGACACAGTTCCCTTGATGTTCTTGGAAGCAGATGGAATAGGCACAGTCTTGAGAGGAGCCAAATATCGAGGCGATCTATGGATATTGTCGGATGCATCATTGCAGTCGTCAAGTTCCTCGTTGCTCAGCGCTGGGCCATTAAGGGCTTTCTTGGAGCATCATCGGTCAGTATCGCCAATGTTTGGGAGGAAAATGGCGCCTGCGGTTTCTGTCCATTTGGTTTTGCCAATCACATCCGAAGTGCCTTTGAGATCAACCTTTCCGTCGCGGTTGGTATCGGCACGGATATCAGCCTTGATTGAAGGATTCTGGTATGCAGCTAAAGCCACAGGAAGACCTGGTGTACGAATTAGATTAAACAGGGTATTGTTTGTAAAGTAGTCAACATACCACAAAAGGCCAGAAGGTGGGAAATATGCATCTTGAGGAACTTGTGATGTCTGAGTGGTTAAAGTCATGAGAATAGACGACTTATTGTCCTCTTTTTATACATATTGTTCAAAGAAACAGAGGTGATGTCCGATCCTTGAAGTTGCCTCCGTGTATACGTTATATCCAATCAAGGTTGAGCTTCAAGTACACAACGCTGGCATTCATACTTCCAAGAATCGTACATATTCACCCATGGGGTAATGAAAAAGAGTGCCTCATCTAAGCTTAACTCGATATCAAATAATAATATCGGTACCTATTGGCAAACTCTGATTGGTTGGGCCGTAAAGACAGGGTACTGCGCTTAGCTACGCCTTATAATGGCTCCACCATTTTTAGGTGTACGAATCTCTGGGCTATGTTAACTACATAGGGTATCTTGTGCTTAGCATACTGCATTGTATTAACTACCGTAAGCATTATCATAATGACTCTTATACGTCATCAAACATGACTTTTCATGAGCTCCCAGCGAGTGTCATTCTCTGGATTTGATGAAGAGAAGCTGGTAAGCTTAATCAAGGCACTGGTCTGGTTGGATTGCCCAAATCAGATCCCTTATAGCTCCTCAAACGTTCCAGGCGCTGATTCCAAGCACTCTAGAAAAACAAGATCCATTCTTTTCTTGCAACTATTGACTGCTTATGCATGCTCTCAGATCGTTGTCGGTCCTGGAGCGACGAAGTCCCGATTTGGCGGGTGGGATAAGACAAAAGTGGACCACACGTGATGAGCTGGGAAGATCGTAAATAAGTACTTAAACTTGATTTCATCACTTTTAAGAGGTGTCTGGGTTCAGGGGCCGACCATTTGAGGGTGGTTGAAGTCAATTTGCAAACTCCGCGTTATGGAAAGTTCTTAAACTGTCGTCGGTGTCTTGAACATCGGTCCGATCTTAGTGCCGACACCGATCCTTGGTAGCACTACACATTGGCGCGAGGCCGATCGGCTGACGGACTATCGGGTGTAATTTCTTGCGGCCATTTACACACACACACTTATGTCAACAACCCACTCACTATAAGATGAATCGGATGTGTAGACAATCCAAAATTAAATATTTGCATTCGAAGAAACATGACATCCTACGCCTCACTTGTAATTCGTGCGCAGACGATACATACCCAAGTCCCAGCACTGGGTCTGTGTCGCGTCGTTGCTATCAGTGCAGACCGCATCGTCGCAGTTTCACCAGAACCGCATGGTTTGGATGAATACATCGGGCCGGACACTGTCGTCCTTAATGAGCCCAACAGTACTGTTCTCCCGTCCTTCGACGACACTCACACTCACCTTATGTTTGCGGCCATGAGCCAATTCGACGTGCCTGTGCATCTGGCGAAGAACATACCTACTATGCTTGACATGTTGCGTCAACGTGCCGCTAGTACACCTATCGGTGAATGGATCATGACCACGGCCAATTGGCAGGAATTCAATCTCGAAGAACAGCGGTTTCCGACACAACAAGAACTGGACAATGTGTCCACGCAGCATCCGATCATCGTCAAGCGCGGTGGTCACAACATTATTGCCAACTCTGTAGTCCTAGATTTGGCCGGTATAACGGACAAGACAGTATCCCCAGAGGGTGGTGTTATTGGCCGCGACAACAATGGCAAACTCAACGGGTTATTACAAGACAATGCACTCAGTCCACTATTTGCCATACTGCCCCAGCCGAGTTTCCACGATTGTGTCCGTGGCATCGAGGGTGCATCGAAATCGTATGCAGCAACCGGCATCGGCTGCGTCCGCGATTGTGCTGTTTTTGCCAATCAAATGAAGCTCCTCAAAGCGGCTCGGGACGAAAAAAGACTCCACGTTCGGTTACGTGTTTTGATTGCGGCTATCGGAATGACGACTGTCGCCGAAATCGAGAGCCTCCTTGACGAAGTTGAGCAATGGCGTTGTCTAGAGACAGACCCATGGCTACGAGTGTGGGGTATCAAGTTCAGCATCGATGGTGGCATCGAGGCCAGCGCTACCGAAAGCCCGTACATTGCCAGACCGGATCATGGGTGCTGCGGACCTACTGACTTTCGTGGTACCCTGACTTGGGATCCTGACACCCTTGAAGAAGCAATGGAGATGGTCCTTCGCCGAGGTTGGAGAATTGGAACTCATGCCTTCGGTGATCGAGCTGTCCGTGTTCTCCTAGACGTATACGAGAAGATAATAAAGCGTTGTCCTGATATACCTTCAGGGTCTCTAGTCATAGAACATGGGGGGCTTGCACATAGCGACCAACGGGCTCGAGCCATAAGACTTGGGATCCCAGTAACAGTGCAGCATCCTTTATTGCACGATGCTGCTGGAATACAAAGCCAATATATTGGCCAGGAACGACAGAGCCACCTCTTTCCGGTTCGTCAGTGGATCGATGAAGGCGCAGACATTTCAGCAGGATCAGATTACCCTGTTGGTGCGTATGGTGCCATGAACTCAGTTTGGGGTCTTACAACGCGCCAAACTGTTTTGGGTGTCTTGGGTCCAGAACATGCCATTTCCAGACAGGAGGCTATTGATCTTCACACGACAAGAGCAGCGAAGCTGACAAAGGAAGAGCAACATCGGGGTCGCATTCTTCCTGGGTTTCTCGGCGATCTCACCGTCTGGCCTAGTGATCCTCTAATGGTGCAACCAGAGGAGCTATTGCATCTACAGCCAAGCTATACAATCATAGGGGGGATAATTGTATATAAAGAGTAGTATATCATCGTGTCAAGGTGCCTATTAGAGGGTTATATAAAGACGCCCAAGACGCCATGCATTCATTACCTTTCCAAAATGATTGGCAGTACACCATCTCGGGATATCCTCGTGAGATAAAAATGGATAACATAATATCGTTCATTATTGTGGGGATGTCAGATTTAGTTCTTTACACCTTTTTACGCCCTGTCGCGCCCTTTTACGCCCTTGCGTCGTTAGTGTTAGAAAGACGGCATTACCAGTAGTGAGATGCCGAGAAAAGTCGAGTGGTCACCTAGTCGCGCAACCGTCATCTATATGAACCCAATTTTTAGTTGTCTGACCTGACAGCAGTAACGTGGGAGCTTTGTTAATCTAATCGCCCATCTAATCACTTACGCACCACCCTTACTTCAGCAACAACATGGCCAACCATGCGAGTACCTCATCAGAGTGCCCTCTCGATGCGTCCCGACTCATAGTCACAAAGACAGACAAGCTCAATCCCATTCCTGAACCTGGCTCAGCCGAGCTTTGGGCGCAGAATGCATGCTGCGACCACATGGTCATTGCTCGTTGGAGTGTCGACCAAGGCTGGGAAGCGCCCGAACTAAAGCCTTTTGGGGACATTTCCATATCCCCAGCTGCATCATGTCTTCACTACGCTACGCAGTGCTTTGAGGGTATGAAGGTTTACCGTGGGTTCGATGGCAAACTGCGGTTGTTCAGGCCTGAGCGAAATGCGAAGAGGCTTGTCATGAGCTCTCAACGAGTGTCACTACCTGGATTTGATGAGGAGGAGCTGGTGAAATTAATCAAGGCACTAGTCCGGTTAGATTGCCCGAGTGAGATCCCTCATAGTCCCCTCTATGTTTTCTCCTTACTAATAAGTCTGTTAAGGATGGCTTACCAAAGACAAGCCTGGGAAATTCCTGTATATTCGCCCTGCCGTAATTGGTAATGGCCGACAAATTGGAATCCAGATTCCAGCCGAGGCTACTATTATTATACTTATGGTATCTTGGCCTGACTACTCCTCTGAAACACCCCCTGGCGCCCCTCCAAAACAACATGGGCTTCGTCTTCTGACCTCAGAAAATGGATCTGCGCGAGCTTGGCCAGGCGGCTTTGGTTACGCCAAAATTGGTGCTAACTATGGACCTAGTTTCCTTTCACTGGGAGAATGCCATAAGAGAGGTTATGATCAAATTCTTTGGGTTTTAGGCCCAGACTCTCAGGTCACTGAGGCTGGTGCCAGTAACTTTTTCGTGCTTATCAAGAACCATGATACCGGGCGTCCCGAGCTCATTACGCCGCCTCTGGATGACAAAATCATTCTGGAAGGCATCACTAGACAATCTGTCTTGGATCTAGCTCGGTCGAGACTGTCAGATCAACTTGATGTAGTCGAAACCAAATTCAACATGCATGATCTGAAGGCAGCGTGGAAAGAGGGGCGCATTCTTGAAGCCTTTGTATCAGGCACAGCTGTAAGTTACTAGAAGCCATGAACTTTACTATGATGATAACTAATAGGGTGTAGTTCTTCATTTCGCCTGTTTCAATTATTGCTTTTGAAGGAGAAGACATCGATATTCCGCTGAAAGGGTCCGTCCCCTCTGGGGGATGCGCTGAAACGATTAAAGGATGGCTGAGAGATATTATGTTTGGTAATGTAGATCACGAGTGGGGAATTGTTGTCCACGAGGAATAAAAAATACATCGATTTTGTCTGCATGATGAAAAACCATAAATAGGAAAGAAACGATCTAGTTGCGTGATCATATAAGCGAAGAGAAACATCTTAAACTACTTGTTGCGTTCTGCAGCAAGACCAGTTTAATTGAGATCAGGAAGGAGAGATTCTGTAAGTTAGTTGCGTAGGAGGATGTGGTGAGTTGACATGTTTTGCATTCATAGCACGAGAAACCTTTTCATGTTTGATGGAAGCACTGGCAAGCATAAGTAGTTACGACAAAGTAAGCCACAATTGCTACTGTTGATGCCAGGCATTTATCTTCATAGGTAGGTTTACCAGCCCCTCCACCAGCGAACCTTTAACCTGTTCTAGAATCCCCCCTTATACACCCTCCCTGACAGCCGATGCGAGTCTCGAGCTCATCTATGACGCTCTCAATAATTGACTCCTGAACAATACCACCTTGCCATGTAACACTCAGCGTCAAAGGCCCTCCCTTAACACTAACACAGTTAAAACCTAGAGCTGGACCAGCGATAAAGCCACATTGCGTAAAGACTAGCTTTTCGATCTTGATACCACTGCGCTCGGGCAAGGACATGTTTGGTATAGATCCCAGGTTAGAAAGCTCATAAGTATACTGTCTCTTTTGGCCACCTTGGCTTTTACAATACTGAAAGGTGTCCCGAATTTGACCAAGTTGCCCCGCCATGTTGTTTCCGTGAGGAAATTGTTTGACCTTGGTGACTATATCGTCACTGAAGAAACGTGCAAGTTCCACAATATGCTTTTCTTCTGAGTCGGAATTCGCATCACAAGCCACTGTCTTATCTAATTCATCATGGGGTATGTAAGTAGTTAGATATGAGATGTGGTTGAGGATGTCTTTGTCAGAGACTCCTGTATGCTTTCGTATCTGAAAGGGTGTTACAGATCGGAATCCCAGAGTAGTATCTTCATTAATGCCCTCTTTCTTTAGTGCGCGTTGAAGAGAAGTACATATGTATGCATGTAGGAGTCCAGTCAAAGTAACCCTGGCCAGTTTGCACTTTCGTAGAATACGGCAGACTGCCTCTGGGAGAAAAGTGATGATGCGAACCCGGCTCTCAAAGTTTGTCTGAGGGGTGGTTGAAATATCACCACCTGCCCAAACCGGTTGAGTAAGGTTACTTTGACCGTTGCAGGTTATACATCTGCACGGTGCAATGTCCATACATTCTTCGACTGTTGGTGGTATACTTAGAGTCTCATCCAACCTTAAAGGCCATCGGGCAGGTAAGACCAATTCCAAAGACAATTGGAGGTTATCCATAAGCGAAGAATGGAAAGCAATACAACTGAGACCATCAGCAATCGCGTGATGCGCGAAGAATGCAATGTCTAGCCTTGAGAGAGTGCCAAGTCCGGTGCTCGGGCCATCAATCAAATGCTCAATAACGATGACCTTCCATGCTGGTTTATCTGGACACCACAGATTGGCGTGGAATCTTCCTAGGACTTCGGACATTGTTGTGTCGGGCACGTTATAGCGTTGGCTAGGAAGGACTTCTAAGACATCCCGTAGGTCGATTGTTCGAAGATGCGTGAATAATGGAATTTCCTCTCTGAGTTCGTCAGAGATTCCATAGCACAAACCGGGATGTTGTCTAATCGTTGCTTGTAGAGAAACCTCCAGTGCAGGGAGAATGCCTTGCAGGCTCGAGGGCCCGTTTGGATTGTGGAATGTGAAAGATGCTGTGACACATGCGGAGCGGTATTGGCCTAGCGTATGTCGGGTAGAGTAGTATTGTCCCATTACACCTGAAGAAACATTAGAACTTAAATCTCCAGAAACGTTAAACGATAGCCTGAGACAACTGCTATCTGTGGAAAAGTATAGCGGATTAATCGCAATAAATAGGAAGAAATATACCTAGTGGCACTGATTTATATTCAGCCATTAGAAGTTGGTCAGTCTTTGTGGTGCTCGGATATTTACTATGAGGAGGAGAAGAGAAAGAGGCACCAAAACTAAGAAAGAGACAGAGGGGAACGTTCGGGTTTTAAATCCCAGACTGAGTCATATTTAGTAGTTACGGTCCCGTTGTTACCCGTCATTGTCCGGATAGCCATGGAAATGTTGTCGATGAGTGGATTTTGGCATGACCTAATTGCATTCTGGCTTAGCTATTCACTATGCTACCATTACATCCACGCAGAAGATAGAATATGTTTGTATTACTCAATTTTGTATTGTACTTAGTTATCACCCGTTCGCATATCAAATCCTTCAAATACTAATTTCTCTCCTGAAATATAGCCTTTGCGATTTAATGCCATCACGTCTTCTACAGTAGAAGGGCTGAGCTGCCCAATAACACGAATGGGAGACGGTTGCAGAGATCCGTTACTGAGCCAAGTTTCCAAGTGACTATGAAACTCTGCACTAAGATGATGGTCTTCCATCTTGACCTATAACGAGTATTAGTTCGTGATCTTTGGCCCCATGCTGAAGCGATTTCCTGGGCAAGCTCGTAAAGCGATGTCGTCAGTACTTACAGGCCAATGTGCTTTACCACGATAATTGTGTTCCGTGGGAAAAGCCGTAAAGACAAAAACGTCTGTAACTTTAATGTGCGAGGGGACATCTTTCGTGTTTGCTTTTCCTGGTCTGACCGTGCACAGTACTCCTTCAGCATTGCCAATGGCCTTAGCTGCGGTTGCTGAGGAAATTTCGTTCCCGACTGTATCAAAAACATGTCGTAAATCCGGCAGTGCGGCCTTGATCTTCGCAATTGCCTCATCGTCATTGTAGTCAAAGACATGAGTTGCTCCAGCCCGTCGAGCCTTGTCGAAGTTTCGAGGACTACAGGTTGTAGCGACTTGGATATCGTAAAGCTTGGCTAACTGGATTGCGTAGTAACCCACAGTAGCTGTTTTTGACAGTCAGCAAGTATGTAAAATGATGTCCCAGAGAGAACGTACTGTTTCCTCCCCAAATCAAGATAGACGCCTTGTTAGATAATGCATCACGATTGAGTGCAAGGCAATCTTTGGAGAATAGAGCAAGCCAGGCCGTATTACCGGCCAAAGGCACTGAAGAAGCTTGAGCTGGGCTTATTTTGGAAGGCACTTTGAAAGAAAGGCGCTCGTCTGCGATCGTGTACATGCTGCAGCTCAACATTAGCTAGACCTCAAGACAAAATACAGAGCTGGAGCTCACGAGTATGCCCCTAAGCCTTTGATCTCTCCTAATGCATGTATGAGCTATTAATAGTAGAAATCGTAGAAGTTATTTTCCAAACTCACCGCCCCAGACAAAACCCGCGACTTTATCACCAATCTGTAACTTTGTCACATTCGAATGGATGCTAACTACCGTACCAGAAAAGTCACATCCCAGCACGGCGCCGTCTCCGAAGGCATCAACATCGAGCGCAAGCCCTACATGGCATTAGAAATAAAAGCGGTATGAGGATTAATGTGGGCTGGATGTACGGTCGGTCGGATTGAAAGCTGCATATTCAACCTTTACATAGACTTGATGTTCTGCTAGATGAGGTAGAATAATCTGTTCTTGTGCAAATGTTTTGCCTTGTTGAATCAAGGCGGTGGACTCCATCGTTAGGTAATTGTGTCACATTGGTGGGTAAGGTAGGTTTAAAAATTAAAGAGAATTTTAGGGGTAGTCCCTTTATAGACAAAATCTGTACAGTAGCGAATCCCCGCACTCAGTGTTTCCACAAATCTCCCATAACATTATTATCAACCTGCGCCCGCCTATATACGCACTTGAACTGTCCAATGTCAGTATACACTCGTTTACAATTTTTCATTTTATGTACTTATAGAGATAAACTTCGCTTTGTCTAGATCCCAAACTCCACTTCTTGCGTAAATATCAGCCTGGAGAACAGCTAATATGTCTACTTCGGATTTGGCACGAGCAATGATAGCGCTTCCATTGATACAAAGCCCATCGAGTGTGGCGCCTCCCATTTGAAAGAGACCAGAGTCAATGTGCTGGATCATTTCTTTGACATGAGTCCTGTAAAGTATTTGCTTCTGGTTAACTAAAATAAGCCATAGTTGTGTTACTTACTCTCTCACCCTCATTCGCGTATTGAGCGATCCTTCGACATCTGGGATAAGGACAATCCATTCTGTCGTGTCTTCTGATATCAAGCCTGTCGTCATGCTGATTTGAAGGTCTGGATCAAAACAACATCCCAAGAGCTATCTGTATTCCACTTTATTACATACAGCCAACGCCCTACGCCTTGCGCCTTGTGTCTTGCGCCCTACGCCCTGCGGCTTTCTGCATATCACAAACACGCCCTGATATGCGCCTTTGGTTTGAGGCTGCTGTCGATTGTTATATTTTGTGCTTAGCATATTGTATTGCATTAGCTTACGGGCTCTTCTACGTCACTAGACTGGAAATGTGCGAAAGCGGGGCTTGAGCAGGGCGTAAAGTTTTACGCCCTTTAGAAATAATGTGCTCCAATACGATATCCGATGGTCGCATTCTTACATCCCTACATTGTCAATCAATCCGATCTGGCCATAGTTAAGCTGAAAATGAGTTCGCAACAATCTCCACCCCATGGCTCGTCCTATGATGAACATGACTGGCTGTCTTGGGTTCACCAGCCTGAGCACAATTCCATTAGCCTGACGGCGGATGCCACTGAGCTAGCCGACGTCACGGCAAATTCCCTGAATACAGATGCCTCTCTCCTGGACTGTGTGTCTCAGCCAAGGCTATCTGGTCTTCAAGCAAATAAGTGGGAGACAGCAGACAGTAGAAACCCCACAAGCCTCGCGTATTATTTCACACCCAATCTCAACGACCAATTTGCCGACTCAGCTTTATCGTCGAGCGGATACTATGGAGTACCATCAGACTCGTCTGCGGGATCAATAGATTCTGCCCAGTCTTCAACGTCACCTGCTCGTCTAAGACGGAGGAGGCGGCAAATACACCGAAATCGTGCTCAGCCACGAGATCGGGAGACAATCGATAGAAGATACCAATGCACATTCTGTACCGATGCTTTCAAAACGAAGCATGACTGGCAAAGACATGAAACAACTATGCACTTGAGTCTTGAGCAATGGAAGTAAGTCAAGCCAAAGCAACGCCCGACTTACAGTGACTGACTTTCTCATAGATGTTCCATGTACGGTCCGACGATACATCGCTCCGACGGGCGCACCTATTGCGTCTTTTGTAACTTCCCCGATCCTTCTGATGAACATCCCGAATTACACAACTACTCAGCTTGTGCCACTCAACCAGATGAAGCACGATTATTTCACCGAAAAGACCATTTACGACAGCATCTTCGCCTATTTCATCGAGGCTGTAACTTTAACGAATCCATGAAGACCTGGCTTTCGTCGATAGACAATGTCAAATCCCGATGCGGATTCTGTGATGCTGAGATGGGAACCTGGACAGATCGACAGAAGCATCTAGCGGTACACTTTCGTACGGGATCTGATATGAAGGAATGGAAAGGTGATCGAGGGTTTGACCGGCAAATTGACGACATTGTTGAAAACGACATACCTGCGTTTCTTATCGGCGACCAACGACGTACAATGGAACCCTTCTCAGCGTCAAAAGCAGATCATCGAACGCACGCGCCTCTTCCAGCCTCTCATAGCAGCGAAGAACCTGGCCCTGGACTGGTCTCGAGACAAATAGAAGTGCCCCCGAGCAGCCATTCCCACCGAGAAATAGAGCGGCGTTTGTTGCGATACGTCTCTACCGAAATCTCTCAAGGGCGTGTACCTTCAGACCGCCAAATACAAAGGAAGACTAGTGAGATCTTGTATGGACCGGACAATGCATGGGATGCCACATGGGCTGATAACCCCCAATGGCTTGATATTTTTAGGAAGAAAGCTGGGTTGATTAGTTTACCGCTTAGTGGAGGGAAGAATGCGTTTGTAGGATTTGATGCTATATAGTGTAGTACCAAAAGTACTTCTGCATCGCGCCAAGAAATAGTCATAGCAGATCTTATAATTCTTGAATGATGCCAGACCCGTAAGCACTAACTGACAATCCCTGTCGACGCGCTATAAAAACACGCAATTCTCAAACATTTTACCTTACTCTACAATATTCAATCGCATTTATGTCTCCATTCCCTGCAGCACAACAAGCCATGGGGACGATTGTAGAATTTTTCTATAAACCTCTGGGAGACCAAGACTTCCCCATTCGCGTCCTTCAGGTCGAGCCGGGGAATATCTCAGAACCTCTTTCTTGCACGCTCGTGAACTACGTAGATGCAAGTGAACGAGGCTGGACTTGTCTCTCCTACACATGGGGTACCGAACCACCCTCAGAAGAAATAACAATCAACGGTGCCTCGTTCCCGGTGCGAAAAAATGTCTACAATTTCCTCAGAGAAGCTCAGCGTCAGGGTCTCACGAACTTGTGGATTGACTCGATATGCATCAACCAGTCCGATACCGACGAGCGTAATACCCAGGTAGCGCTCATGAGTAGAATCTACAACGAGGCGAAATTGGTCATTGTCTGGCTTGGTCACACCTCGCCGGCTTTGGAGCGTGCTATCAAACATCTAGACTCAAACTTCCCCGCCGATACAGTAACTATCAGGGCGGCGGTGGCCCAGCCTGTGTGCTGCCAGTTGTCGCCAGCTGAGTGTTCATCCCTTTTTGAAGCCTCTGGTGCTGAAATATGGACACGTCGATGGGTGAAGCAAGAGATCATGTTGCCTGACAGGGTTATCTTACATTGCGGCCAGACGTCTATCAGCATTTCTGTCTTTTTTGCAGCCATGGACGCTTTAGTCGATTACAGCACATTGCACAACCACAGTTCACCTTCCAGTTCTACTCAGGCAGACGGCTCTATAGAGCCGCAAGACGAACCGACATCCTGTTTCTTCGATAACCACAACATTGACCAGTTACATCGTCAGTGCGCCAACGTACTGGCTTTTCGCTCCGCTATTCGTTCCAAAGGACACCAGAAAGACCTTCCGGTGTTATTGAAAACATTTCAAGACTCTTTATGCACAGATTTCCATGACCATGTCTATGCCTTTCGTGGTGTGATGGAGCGGGGCATGGAATTTCCAGTGGACTACAACAGGTCAAAGGCTCAGATGTTTCTTTCCACTCTCGACTTTATCGCTCAAACCACTCATTACCGGCTGCGTGGCACAAGTGCTGCCGAGAGGGATCTTCTCGTTGATTTGTACAGGGGTTTCAAGTTCACCACTGAGGATCTTGAAGCCATCCTTGGATGCTATGAAACCCGTTTCTTACTCCAGGTTGGCTATAACTTCGATATGCTTCGGAAAGACATATCCGTCTGGACTTTCACAGACTCCATCACCGATCGTGCTGAGTTTATGTCGTCACCCTGGAGAGAGAACAGTCTATGTAGAGACTGCGGTAAGATGGTTTTGAACGACCAAGATATGGACGAATGTCACACGGTTCTAAACCAACTGCGGCCAGACCCCGATTTGTCAGAGCGGGGTGTATGGACATATGGACTTCGGTCGTGGAAAGGCGTAGGCCTCGACGGGCTTCGTACCGTATATAAGCCGCACTGGTTGTATGGGCCCAATGAAGAAACCCTTCGGCAGTTGCGAAGCGAAGTTCGGGAGGGCCACCCTCTCAGGGCAATGTCGTTTGACGCATGTTGGAAAGACCAAGAGCTTGTGGACTGGCTCCATGAGGTGAAGGATCACCTGGTCGTTATGGTCACTGATAGAGATGACGCAGCCTATCAAATGCACATCTTCATTATGCCTCGCTGCAAGTCAGAAGAATGTCTCCTTGCTGAAAGGCCTGGTCCGCAAGTGGAAAGTTCATAGAAAAAAGATAACTTACTCAAGCTGGGACTTAGTTTATCTCTAACTCCATGTGTATAGATTGAAATAAACACTTTTATATCTATGTATTAATAAAATCTAGGGCCCTATATAATGTAGTCCTATATAATAGATTCTACTTTCATTTCATTGGAGCTTGAAAAAACGAAACACTCACTACATGTATGATTGAGCACGTTTAACTTTCCCTGAATCTTCAAATCGATGCTGACGTTAGATAAAGAGTCGACAGAAAATAAAGATAGCTGCGGGCTAAGTATTCGTCTCAGATTAACGTGAAATGCCAGCGTTAGTCTGGATGTATACGAGTGTCGTAAAATAGATGCTCAACTACAGCTAGCCGTTGACTTCGTGTAGCCACTAGCTCTACGCAGAGGACTATTGTCAACTGGGTTAGGGTTGTCAGTGCCCTCATAACCCATCATGTTGTGAATGGAGTACCCAATGGTTTTGCCATTGACTATGAGTTGAGCAAGTCGGCATTTTATTTAGTAATGTCTACTTCGCCATGCCTGATACCATCTAGAATACGAATTGGGAGGTCGTCCTTACTAGTGGTATTAGACATTACAAGCAAATATTTATATTGTTCATGATAGATATTGGAGGCCAGCCAATAGAACTTGCGGACCAGCTATTATATGCTTTAAAACATCTAGGAATTGGTTCCATGGCTTATGGATCTTGGTTTTGGTAGGCTACATCTGGACCCTTTGTGGCCGTTGGCCTCGAAGTACCTGCAAGCATCTTAGCACGGTGTTTGGGCATTGCCACTGGTTGTTTATAATAGGCTAACTCTTCAAGTTAAACTTCGAGTCTATGGTCTGCTTTTCACATTCACTCATCCAATAATCTATGATGGTATTCCTTATTTCTTTACTTGATATGCAAGCACATTCAATGCTAGTTTTGGTCTTAAATGACTTTACTTAAGCTATGAGCAGTAATTTAAACGCCTGGTGTGCGCTTAAGAGATTCCCGGGTCCCGCGGAGACTTTGAAATGCGTAAGTCGGTTTCGGCATTGACGAAACTGAAGAGTCAGCTTTATCACTGGAGGGCATTGGTTTTTGTGGGTAACTGTCTAATCAACGCTGTAAGCATGTACCGAACGCTGCTTTCTGATACCGGTGTAGGTTTTACACCCATTATTCAAAACATGACAGTGTAGTTGCAAATGAAATCTCCCTAGCAAAGAATAACAGGACCCGTCCTTAGTCTCAAGATCACGAGCTATCAGTTTGTCCCCAATGAGAACTTTACCGGTATGTAGTACCCTCGCTCTTCATCAGATACTACCTTTTGTGAAGACTATTCTGTTGATTAGTGAACTCGAAGCATTGCCACCCAAACTGCTGCATTTATGAAATTAATATCATGGGCCTTACCGGATATGGATATATTGTCGCGTTGCTAGAGTAAAACTCTGTCTGGGCTTGATGATTAGTAATGCTGTCTAAAATTACCTTCCCATGTTCTGAACAGAGTGATCCCTCCTTAGCCTCCTACCCTACCTCACTAGGCCAACTTGTCGGGTTTCACTACAAAGGTCCGTGACAGCTTAACCTCTCTTGAACGAAGAACTGCCGACACGATCTGGGAATTGGCCAGGATCCTTGTAACTGGAAATATGTTCTCTCTACCAACAACTTGAGATCGTGCTATTTCTATTGACAAAAACCGTCGGAGATTGAAGATACGTATCAACGAGTAATATATAAAGCCTTCACAGCTCCCTCTGCAATAAGCGATCTTTCTGTTCTACCATCGCTTCCTTATCCTTTAAGTCTCTCTTTGCATCCAACCTTCTCCGTTCCTGTTCTGTCGGTACTTAGTAGAACATCGTCGGTATGCGTCTTCTATCCACTTTGATTGTGGCGGCTATCGCAGTCCATGCCAAAACATCGGATCGAGCCTCGAATTTTCCGGTGTCGCAACAACTAGCCTCTGAATATGACTGCCGGGAAGCCTGCCAGGCGACTCTCGTCAAGACCAACGCCAAAGACTTGAGTATCTTTGACACCCCATTTGACTTCGACTTTTATGCAACAGCCAAGAATTTCTCCAATTCCAAGCCTGGAGACGTTCTGAAACTTTCACCCATCAACCCTGGCATTATGGCTGTCCCTGCTGGGGTGGCTGCATACAAGATCCAGTACACGTCCACCGACCTGGATGGTTCTCCCGTCCCTGCCACCGGCTTCATAGCGTTTCCGTTTGTCCGTCAGAACCGTCCATTCAGGCTCGTTGCTTATGCACACGGCACGACCGGTATGTTCCGGGGTTGTGCCCCATCAACTTCCTCTGCTCTGTTCGACTACAACAGCTGGACTCCGTTGGTGCTCACTGGATATGCTGTCGTTGGAACCGATTACGCCGGTCTGGGAAATAACTACACGGCGCACAAATATGTCGCTAGTAGAGCTAATGCAAACGATGTCTACTGGTCTGTTATTGCGGCCAGGAAAGCCTTCCCCCTCAACCTTTCAAAGGGATGGGTGTCCATAGGTCACTCACAAGGCGGTGGTGCCTGTTGGAAATTGTCGGAGCATAAGCTAGTACAAAGCGAACACAGTGGATATCTTGGTGGTGTCTCAATCGGACCTGTTACCTATCTTCACGATGCGCTCCTCGATGGATTTTCGAAACTCAAAGACCTTACATCAGAACAGCTCGACGACTTTGGCATAGTCACCATCTTGCCTTCAATGGCCTTTGCTCTCAAGGCGGTCTTTCCCAAATACTCCCCTCCTTATTTTTCTGATCTCATGAAGCGCCGCATTGAGTTAGGACAGTTTGCTCAGCTCTGCGACACTGCTTTGTCCGGCCTCGTGATGGACGCTAACTTGACTCAACTCATCAAAAATGATGACTTCGTCAAAGACATAAATATCAAAAAATTTCAAGAGCTCAACGCTCCTGCGCAGGGCGACAAGGCCTCAAGGCCACTTCTTGTTATTCAGGGAGGAAACGATAGCATTGTGTTCCCAGGCATAACGAACAAAGCTTATCAGAACAGCTGCAAAACAGGCAACGTCGTCCACCTCAGTGTTTACCCCGACTTGGACCACACCGCTGTAGTCGGAGCTTCAGCCCCAGAATGGCTCGAATTTGTTAACAAGCTTTTCCAGCATGCGAGCTTAACTACATGCTCACGCAAGGTCACGATTCCCTTTGATGCAGTCCATGCCAGGAAGCCTCTGGACACGGAGTAAGGCCAGATAAATCGTCTTTAGAAGATAAAGGCATGATGCATTCATAGGCTGGTGCGGAACAGATGAATGGAATCCTTGGTAAGCCAATTGCTTAGCATGCCTCGACTTTCTTTCCTTACTGGGCAAAATGCAACTTCTCTAATTGTTCGATTATCATATATACACCGTAGCATTTTAGCTATTTTATTTCACCAATAAGTATAAAAACATTTCATTAATTATTGTGCTTCACCCTAAAGTTACTCATAATAATACCTGTCTGTCTTGTGGCATTTTGCAATATGGCTCTGGGGGCTGTCATACGTCTTTAAACAAATAAAATGTGTTGACCTAATCTCTTGCATGTTATTGACACGTCTTGGTGTGACTGTGGCGTAATTTGGCTTGACATGTACGGAAATTCCCGATTGACCCCCAATCCCTGTACTTTGCGTAGCGTTATGGTTACGAGTGAAAGCTAGTGTATGTATGGACTAAGTGATGGGACGGCGCATGCTCCGCTCCCCATGCCGCAGTCCATTGTTCATTTTCTCCGCTTCTTTGCTTGATTACAGCCTCTTCCCTCTTTTTATTCCTTCTTACCTCACGTTGTACCGTTCTTTTACCTTCTACAGGTAATTACCCGGTTCTCTTCCCTCTCTTGAGTTGTGGAAATTGTCAATCATTTTGTTTCTATAAACATGCCATGCGGCCAATTTGATAAACGTCGGGGTGGCCATCGTTACACGGCCTGCAGAAGAGGTCATCAACGCGTAAGATCGATCTTGGGTTCCTCCTCTGAATATGCACCAGGCTAATCAGCAAGTAGTGTGATGGCCAACATCCCTGCTCAAACTGTCAACAACGCGATATCGACTGCAATTTTCCTCGACGCACAACACGACTGCAGGTTGTGGTGTCGACGGCAACTCCGTGCAAAGCCCTAACGATCAAGTCTTGGAAATACGTCTGCCTTTGCTTCGAAGCGGTCGGTATTCTTCCCCAAAGTGCCTTATTTCGCAGCGACATGGTCATTTGGCTCAGCCATGCCGACGAACAAGTTAACAGAACTTGGTGTATTGTTGGCCAAGTATACGCTGCCCGTAGTGGCAAAGAGGCCTTGAATAGACAACAAAGAGACGGGATCTACCAGGCACTAGCTTCACAAACAGCCATATGCGCCAGGGGATTGAAACAATCCTCCACGACGATGGCAACTGTCCCACTATTGTGCGCATCACTACTCGCTGTGACAGATGTAAGGCTCATAAGCACCCTTAATCTGATCAACCTATTGACTTGTAAAGTTACTTCTGGATGATACAGGAGATCACTGGCGCACACGGATGGCTTGTATAAGTGAGTCTGTTGGGGTCATGGTTAATGATGACTTGCAATTGGCACCCCTTGATAGGGAACTGATACGGCTTTTCCAATTGAATGATGTTCTCGGCTCTGTGTCCCGTCAGGAGAATCCGTTAGGCCCCAATTTTTCAGAAGCGATCTTGAAGACACGTTGCACATCGAAGAGTACAGAGAGCTTCACGTCTTGCACTTTGTATGATTACGTCCTTTCCGCCATGTGGAAATGGTCCGTTCTGCAGAAAAGGTGTTTAAAGATTCTAGGTCAAATATGCCTCTTTTTGCTGACAATTGCCTGTAGAATCATTCACTGGGTTGGCGATGTCTCCTACCACCATGGTGACAATACCAATAACGACGACGATGATGATAATAGCAAGAACCTGAGTCTGGAGGACAAGATCGAAGGCATTGAGCTCATAGACGAGGCCACACGCTTGCAATCTTTTCTCTTAAGAGTCCTGCTTCTTCCTCCAAGTCCTTCAAAGCCTAACTACCAATACCTCGACCCCTACTGCCGCTGGATGTTAGTGAGCATATCCCAGGTAATTCAACACCAAGTCATGACAGGACTCGAATGTGATTTGCCTGTCATGCCACCGACTTGTCTACAACAGCAGGCTCTTGCTGCCTTAGATGATATTGAGAAAATAACAACGAACTCGGCATTAGATATTGGATTTTTTCTCCCCGTAGTAGATGCGGTCAGTACAGGAATAGCCTCGGCAGGCGATCATGCAAGGCTTTTGCACTTCCTGGAGAATGTAGAGGCTCGTGGGTATGGAATCGCCCGCGAGTATCGACAGGAGGTACTAGACAAAGCGAATGACTTCTAATTTGACCTGCATACTAATATAAGATTATTGATTCCTGTCACGTCAATCAAATATCCTTTTTGAGTGACGATAAATATCCAGCGGTTGAGCCCGGTACAGTGGATGGCTATGCAATACTGTGCTCTTCTGTTAGCAACATGAAAACGACAGATGAGATGCATCAGCTTGACATTAAGTAGCTTTCTAAAATGTGTAGTCTGACCATAAGTCTACATTAATTAAATTCAGGACGTCTTGATTATAGAAATGAAGGTAAGAGCAGCAAAGCAGGCATCCGCTTGTCCGTTTTTCGAATATTCTGTTAAATCTGATAGTAGTAGTATTTTTTAGCAGTGATAGCCTAGGTCGGCAGCATTAAAAGCTAGGATTAACCAAGACAACACAGAAGCATCGGTCTTTTGCATTAAATTAGCAACGGGATCATCTGATACCTGTAATCAAGCTATTGTGTTGCCTTTTTATTTTCCTGGCATAATTGGGTTTTGATATCCGGTTATTTGTAACAGAAGTAATTTTCGATGCTGTGCAAATTCTTCTATGCACATCAGGTCTGTGGGTCCTAGAACCCCACACTAGGTACCTTACAACACAGAGAGCTATAATCGCATGGGAAGACAGGGGTCGAGGAATTTCGAGCTATTTTCTGGGTTTGTGCCAAGAAATGGAGTTACCCTGACCAGAGGCTAGAGCTGTAGCTCAAATATGGCTCTAAAACAGGCGTTTCTTCCCTCCGGGCGATATCATAACATTTCTGCTCAACCCTCGCTCTTCGAGACCATTTTCATATCACATCATTCGTTCAGTCAGAATGCCAAATTCTTTCAATGGCTCAGTACCACCCATACTGCTGGGAATTCTTGTCTGCTCTTGGGTAGGCTCAGCCTTTACCTCGCCAATGATACAGTCCGCAGCCACAGGAGAGGGTTGTGCGATCCAGTGTACAGCAGCGTATGACAATTGTGTCGACCAAAGTGGTACAAGTCGTTGGGAATGTAACGAATTTTATGAGGCGTGCCTTGGTTTCAATCCCTTTGGTCTCAACGGGGCTATGGACACACCAACGACCTGCCGTTCTCGTTCAGAAGCCCAGCAGTGACGGGCTGATCTTTTCTGGTCAGTGCACTACTTAACATATGCCCACGAATTAAACTTAACTTGTGCACATCCATTACAGCTGAGCAGCATCGAATATTGCGAGCTTATCCTCGAGAAGTTTTATGCGCACAGGATCTCCACCGTTGCATCAAATCACACGCTCCATTTGATATTTCTATGACTGCTCGGAAGGAACTATCCATGTTATATTTTTAGGGTGGAGGAATTTGCAGTAGAGTGAATATTTCACAGATTAACTTTGGCAGTAATAGTTATATTGACCAATTGAATCATATATCAGTATAAGTTGTATGTGAATCCATTCATTGTGCTTGATGATCAGAATAATTAGGTATTCCTGACCAATGCTGTAAATGCAGTAGTTTCACAGTTTTAATTCACACTTCAAATTGTCACATAACGTATTGTCTCGTCAAATTAGCCCAGCAGAGTGGAGCAAATTCGGGTTTGAAACTTGCTGTTCTGGGATTAACGTTACTGTCCTTGGTAAAAACATGACAGGTTTATCTCCACTCTGACGAGCCAATTGACGAGATGATACTCGGGTATGGTCGTCTACGATGATCACCGATGCGTTACCCAATTTGGAAATATTATCGCGGTTCTAGATGGGTCTTTCTCTGGCGGGTCCTGGCGGGTCATAGCGGTCGTGCCAAGGTGGTGTCTGCAAAGGATGAGCGTTGTTGATTTTTACAGAATAAACACTCTATTGGGTATGGGATATAGGTCTAACAATCGGATAGACCGGCTGGCTGCTGATATTGGATATCTGTCAACTTCGGCCGCGCGACCGGGTGAGTGCTTGGGTTCTACGTACAGGCAGCCGCCCGAATATATATTCTTGGGCATTCTCGCACGCGCAGCGCTCAAAAGTCTTTGAAATGGGGGGCGCCCGCTATGTTGTTGTTGTTGTTGTTGTAAATTTCCGTTCCATATCTACCTGTAATAAGAACAAGAAATAAACCGCTCTATGCGATTTTCGACAGTTCATGTATATTAGTCCCAAACTAGCTCCAAGCACTCTCAAGTAGAGTTTCAACGACCAGGACAAGCTGGACTTTCGAAAATTCGGGCTTTCGCCTCAAAGAAGGCCGGCTAGTGGTCCACTTTGACGTCTCTTAGTCACGATGGCTCATTATGATTCATCATTATTCTCCGTGGTTCGAGGAAGCGCTAACTGTGAACTCGGCTGTAGTCCCCCTGGACTTAGCTTCGTCATCTTACAGAACGCGGAAAACTTTGTGGTGGCTCTATCATCAGATAACAGGCCATTAAACATATCAAGTAATGGTGATGATGTTCACATTTTAGGATACGCCAAGGCGAAGAAAGACAGCATGTTACTTTAAATCAGACAATAGAAAATCAATAATTGTTTCATCTACAGACATTGTGATTGTATACAGCCTTTGTTCCACAGCTTTTTTTCTAAGTTCCATTTAAAGCAGTTTGTATTAAAAACGATTATTTGCGCATGTTCAACAGGTACTAACTACCTTTCAGATACATTTACTTACGAAAGGAAATAATATATCATTACGCCGCCCAGTAGTCCCAAGCCAGTGAAGTGCATGACCATATGTGGCATGATGATTTGTCAAGAAATCTGATTGTCCAACCCCTGTGCTAAACACATCTCGTAGTACATTCCGCGTTGAGTAAGCAATTCTGAATGAGTACCACACTCCACGACGCGCCCCCGAGAAAAGACATAGATACAATCTGCATTCTTGATTGTGCTGAGGCGGTGCGCAACTGCGATTGTCGTCCGACCACTTGAAACTCGGTCAAGTGCAGTTTGCACGACTTTCTCGCTTTCCGTATCCAAAGCACTGGTAGCCTCGTCGAGAAGTAATAAGCGTGAAGAACGAATCAGAGCCCTTGCAATTGCTATACGTTGCCTCTGGCCACCCGATAGCTGAGTTCCTAAAGCTCCGCAAGGCGTATTCAACCCATCTGGTAATGACAGAATGAAATCGTGGATGTTGGCATCAGTAGCAGCTGCCATGATAGTATCTGTAGATGGCGGGGTGGAAGAAGGATAGCCAAGAGCAATGTTATCACCGATTGTTCCTTCGTATAGCACTGGCTCCTGCTGGACTAGAGCGACACTAGCACGATATTGTCTCAACGGCTTCTTAGTCGAATTTATCCCATCAAGGATAATAGAGCCCGACACGGGATCATAGAACCGTTCCAGCAGTGCAATCATTGTGCTCTTGCCGCATCCAGACGGGCCAACCAATGCCACAAAGCTGCCCGGTTGTATCTGTCACTAGTAAGCGACTGGCCACGGTGGGCAGTATGGACCTGCATCACTTACCTTTGCATTGATACCTTTCAAAACTTGTAGGCCAGCTCGACGTGGGTAGGAGAAACGAAGATCTTGGAATTCGATTGCCGCAGCATTCTTCTCCGAGTTATCATCTTGTGAACCTTCCTCACGCATGTCCTGGTCCACTTGTGATCGCACTCTGAGGACGTAGTTAATAGAACTCCGTGCCTTTGTCAGGCTAGTGCTGAACTGGAAGAACATGGCGGCAGCTTCACCAGAGAACATGATAGCCATGAAGACAGTATAGAACTGTGTCGAACTGTATTCGCCAGTTGACACAAGGCGACCACCGTACCTGTTTCAGTAAGCAGATGCAGATTAAATGGCAAAGCAGTGTTAACATACCAAAACCCGAGAGCCATTGCTAAGAATGAGATAGACTGACTCAAGGCATACCAGAGCATATTCCACCCAAGACCTTTTATAGATCTTTCAGTGATATCCCTAAGAGATTCCTTGAACTTGTCAACAACTCCGTGCTCCAAATTCAAAGAAGCGACTGTGCGGATCGCCATGGTAGCCTCTATGGCTAATCCTGCACTTTCAGCAAAACGCTCGCTATTAAGAGCATCCAGTTTGAACTCTAGGCGAATTCTCAGGTACCCGGCACCTAGTAGCGGGGGTAGAGCACCAAAGACAAGAACAAGCCCAAGTTTCCAGCCGACAGCTATGGCCAAAATGCAGCTCGAAACGACGTTAATGATGTTAACGATAACCAAACCAATGTTCATGGACAAGAGCTCCATGATGTTCTGTGGCTCTGTGGAAAGTCGAGACACCAGCGCGCCTGTAGTGTGGGAGGGATCATCGAAAAAGCTCATTTGTTGCCACATGATGTTGGTGAAAAGCTCAAAACGGTAACTTTTGAGGATGTGCTGGGCTTGGACATTACTGACCATTACTGACCCAACCGAAAATTCCGTAAGCCAACAGATTTGCCAAAGCCACAACAAAGAACATGAGCGAGAAGAAGTCGCCTCGGTCGGTGAGTTCGGACCCTTGCAAGTTGAAGGCATCCACAGCCCGTGAGAAAACCACTGCAAGCGCGGGATAGGTGAGACCTAAGAATAGTTAACTTTCGATTTGAATCTCGACCTGAAGGAACAACTGTCACCCACCAGCAACGAGGCAGAAGCCGAGACTGACGGCGAATAGCCCCCAAAGAGACCGTTGTTCACGGAGAATTATAACGATACCTCGTATAAGGCTATAGTTCATCATGTTGCTTAGCTGTTCAGCTGGGACTTCCTGGGTTGTGGAATCAGCGAGAGATAGAACATTGTCCAAATCTTTCCTTGCTTCATGCTCCCCATTCGGCTCCTGTTGTTGCTGTCGCTCTTCGCAATCTTGCCCAAGATCTTGGATTTGGACAAGTTTTGTATATGACCCATCCAGCATCATAAGCTCGTTGTGTGTGCCTTGTTCGATGACCTCTCCTTGAGACATGACCACGATGTTATCAGCGTCACGGATTGTAGATAATCTGTGTGCAATCACTAACGTAGTCCTGCCGGCTCTAACGTTATTCAGTGCCTTTTGTACCATTTGTTCCGCGTTTGGATCCAAAGCGCTTGTCGCCTCGTCGAGGAGAAGAATTCGTGGGTTCGATATAATGCTTCGTGCAATGGCGATCCTCTGCTTTTGACCACCTGATAGCATCCCACCTCTCTGGCCGACTAGAGTGGCGTAACCCTGGAATTTGCTGTCAGCTAACCTGTTATTCAGAATCTTAAAATACATCGTATATTTACCTCGGGTAACTTTTGAATGAAATCGTGGGCGAATGCAGCCTTGCAGGCTTCGTGCACCATTTTCTCCTTTTCCTCGAACGGGAGAGATGCTAACTCGGTTGCTGTCAAGCCGAGTTCGACGTTTTGGAAAACTGTCCCACTGAAAAGAACAGGCTCCTGCAGTATCTCGATGTTAGTGCTCTGATTTTCTCGAAATGGCTATGTTTGTTATTTACCTGTTGCACCAAGCGAACATTGGTTCGTAGCCACTGAATATTCAGTCCATCAATATTTTGACCATCTATGGCAATTGAGCCACTGGATGGTTCATACCATCTCTCCATTAAACCAATGATTGTGCTTTTCCCAGAGCCGCTAGCGCCTACTAGAGCCGTTGTCTTGTTTGTTGGCACGGAGAGATTGACGCCCTTGAGCACGGGAACGTCAGGTCGCGACGGGTAAGCGAAGCGCACATCACGCAGCTCAATCGAACCGTGACAATAACTCGGTTTAATGCCTTGGTCAGAGAGTGGGTCTACCTTGGACTGGCGGTCGATCACTTGAAACAGCACATGAGCTGCAGCGGCGGCTTTGGAGATATGAACGATCTGTGGCGCCACTTGGGTAAGGGCCTGTGCGGCGACGATGACGGCGAAAATAACACTATGTTTTGTTGACAATTGATAAGAGTCGGTTATGTGAGTATAGAACAAGAACACTTACGTGACAATACTTCCAGGCTCTGCGATCTCACCCGTGGCATAGCGACGAATGCCTTGCCAGAAGGCAAGGGCATAACCGACGTAGATGCAGAAGAACTCGAATGAATATAGAACGGATAGAACAGGAGACTTTTTGAGACCTGTCTTGTGCGCCTGTTGCAGGATGGTGCCATACCGCTTGGACATACTCTTGAAAGCCCAGAAAGCGTGGATGTTTCGAATGCTCGAGAAGACCTCTTCTGCCACCAAGCTGGCTTGATCATAGATACCCATGCAAGCATGCTCATACTTGGTGTCCATTGCAAGGCTTACCATGACAACGATAAGACTTGTAGGTACGATACATATGATAATCAGAGTTAGTTTCCATTGGACAACGAATGCAACGATGAATGCCGCCACAAATGTCGACGCTGCTTGGACGATCAGTCCCAACTTCTCGGCTATGCCCCCACTGACATGGTTTCCGTTCGTAGTCAGTTGGCCAGAAATCGAGCCTCCATCCGGCAGATCAAAGTAAGTTATCTCCTGGCTGAGGGCTTACTTTAGGAAATGAAGGCGCACATTCCGGGTTACTCGGATCCCAGTAAAGGCGATGAGTACCTAGAAACGTATGTCAACGATACAGTCCAGCAGCCATCGAGTGCTTCTGTTGACTGACATTCCAGGTATAGCTCAACACGAATTTGGCAATGAATAGGTAAACGAACCAAAGACTATTAAGAGTCAGTGAAAACAAGCATCGCAGGTCTGACGGGAGGTCATATGCTTACGTGTAATGGTTAATTTCAGATCGAAACTGTTCTGGACTCATAGATCCAGTTGCAAATTCGTTAAAAACGGTAACAAACTTGCCAAAAACAATATCCATGAGAGGAAGTAACGTGCCCGTAGCAATCATACAGATAAAAGCCACTATATTTAGACACCAGCCAAGGGTGTCATTGTAGGTGAATACGCGCTTATTTGGTTGTTTTGATCAGCTGTCAATATCATGCAGAACCTGAAGCGGTTTGTCTCACCAGGTAACTTCTCAATGGCGAGCTCGACGTAGAGCCGTCCGACTGGCTACTAGCGGCCAGGCCGTCCTGTGATGGCGATGATTGTAACTTGTTATCAGCTTTCATCGTTGAAAGGATTTCCAGATGGTGCTTGATGGGCACTGTTTTACGTGGTACATAATCAGCTTGCCGAGGGTAACCTTATCTTAAAGTAAAGATTTCAGTGCTTACAAGGGTGATGACAACTGACTCCAATGAATCTAGTCCAAGAAATGAGCAGTACTCACTCACATCATTCTCACTCATCACCGGGAAAGTCATTTTTCTTGGCTCGGCGAGACTCAATGTAGACTAGCGTCAGTGCTAATGAAAGCAAGCAACAAGACAAAGGAGTTCACTACTAGACTACTAAAATTACGTTGTGGACCGTGTTTCAGGGGCGCTAATCGCGAAGATACTCTCATGAGTCTCATCCAATATTCCCGTAGGGTAACAACTTTGACTAAGATTTTGCATTGTTTGCGGCCCAATAACGTCCCGTAAATCCTTGACAATAATACCCGGCACCTTGCTTGGTTTTGTGGTTTTGTATATTCCGGTGTTGTCTAGCCTAGAGCCCTTGTTGGTGACATCATAAGCAAGCCATGGGAATCCGCCACAAAGTCGCCCTAGCCCGCTAGTTGAAGTATCAACGATCGAATCGTAAGATTAGGCGTCGCTGGTACCGAAAATGAAATATATCTGAGTGTTGATGGTGAAAAATGGCTGTTGGTCGAAAATTTCAAGAAGGTCATCCATTTCTTCTGACATCTTTTCGCGCAAACATTAACAGTTCTATTCAATAATCTAAAAATGTGAGTTGACAGACTTACTGGCCATGAACAGAAGATGCAGGCCTAATCAGGTTAAACAAACTGTTCTATCGCTCTTCAATTTCCTCTCTGAGAATGATATGCAATAACTCATGCCGTGTAATTGTGTCTCATTTTGAATTTACATTTGACCCAAACCATGCTTCTCCCAGTTACAGTCAGCATGTATACGGTCAAGCCGAAAGAAGGCCCGCGGGTGGCTCTTTTTGTCCGGCAAACGCGCATCACTACTCATGTACATGCATATTATAAGGCCCAGACACCACAGCATTACTCAAAGTTTTCTCAAATTAGTGTACGATACTAGAATATTACATCGACCCTTAGTCATGGCTTTGTTTCCTCTTGAATCTCACGGCTGGCTTAACCTTAAAATACACTACTTTCTCAGCATTCCCCTCAAAAAATTAACTTCGGCATCCTTCTTCGCAAGCTGTAACTCCAAATCATTCTTTTCCTCTTTAACCGCTTCCAAAGCCTGCTCCAATTCCGCAATTCGGTCCATCTTCTTCTGACGATATTTCCTTGCCGCAACCGTGTTACGTTGACGTTTGTGAATAAGCGCTCTTGATGTTTCATCGGTTTTCTTACATGGCTTCGAGGAGTTTTGCAGATTTTGAGGGCTTGACGAAGATGAAGTGGGTGTAGGTTCTCTAGGATTTAAATTGGAGGTGAAACCGTCAAAAGACAGGCCCTGTTCGACGAGAGGTGAGACGGAAGGGAGGACGTTAGGCACTAAACTCGGGCAAAATGACTCTTCTCGTGATTAGTCTCAAGATTGCTGCAGTGGGAGGAATACAACAGACGTACCATTAGGCTGATCAGAATGAGAAATTGTTTGTATATCCTGACTCCCTTCGACAAAAGCGGCGGGATTCCATATTGGGGGATACGATGCGGCATCATCTGTGAGCTTGGGTGACAGATTGACAAGAAATGATGCCTGCAAAATCCCTCCCATTCCTGATTCCCCTTCTGAGCCCGCGAGACATCCTCCACGGGTATTTTCATGTGTCTCCGCGGGCATTGAGAAAGGGTTATCCAAGGCCCATTGCCAGGTGGAATCTGCCAGCCACGGGGCAGACAGGGACAGGGCGGGCGAACCATAATGCTTGGCACATTGTGAACAACATTGTTGCAGAGTTGAGAGCCGGCCTCACTCTGAGGCCGAGAAAAGTTTCAAGGAATTTAGTAGAAGAGCGTGTGCAACAAAATTTTGGCTTGAGGGAGAGTTAAAATCGGATAGAGGGGAAGGAAGAACGAAGGAAAACACGAAAAGGGACGTGAGCAAGCAAAGCATGGAACCAATTCAGGGAGATCAATCACGTGTTATGAGTTCATTCTGAGCCATTTCGTTAGTGTGAGCTGAGCCCCGTACACGCATTAGTGCAAGCAGCTAATATCGAGGCAAAATTTTATCTCTTCCTAGACTACTACTATAATCTAATAGTTGGGTTTCCCAAGGGATAAACTAGTCCACATTAGGTTTATATTGGCAGGTACATAGAGCACTATAATACTGAGTATTGCAAAGTTTTATATCCTTTAATAATAAATGAAATAGGGTAGGTATACAGGTAGAGATATTTTATTAAACATTAACAAGCTAAATTCCACTGATATTCACATCAGTTGTAACTGAACTACCTGTCTGGGTTTAAATCGGTGGCTTGGTAGCAGCAATTACGGGAGCTTGAGGCGTCTCTACCACTTTGGCTTCTTCTTTTTGGCAAATGTGGGTAAGAGAACGATATCATTAGCAGAACTTCCCTCTGTTCATTCTTTGTTCCGCATCACTTCTTCAATAGCGTGTCATTTAATGTATATAGTGTGTCTAAAATATACTTGAACTTATTGAAATGTGTTATATAAGTTATTGCCAATAAATACAGATATACCCATCGTGAACCACGATGGGCCCATGAACTTGTTGTTCGATACCGACAAAAGAGATCATAACAGCATGCCATTCCGTAACGTTCAGCCACAAGATTTGTGGCTCGAAGATAATATAAGATTATTGGCAAGGATTGATAAGCTCTTGGCCAGAATGTATGGTTATAGCAACGACCTATACAAAGCTCGCTCTTGCCTCTGTTGTCGGCTAAAGGATTCCTAGTTAATTTCAATGTCACAGACTGAACTTTTAACACCAATTAGCTCCGCTTTCAACATGAAGACCACTATTTCTCCCAATCCCTCCTTTACTAACAGCGGCAAGGCAGTACCTGGTGTGAACGGCACCAAACAAGAGCAAATGATGTCAACCTTGACGACTCATCTGAACACAGCATTGCCGCTGTTTGTTTCCCTAGACTTAGACCACATTGACTACCGCCTGTAAGGTTTATACAACACTCTCAGTGGCGTTCAGCAAACCGATGATGAAGCACAGAACGGCTGGCGAGTCCACCACTAACGATCTCGTGAGATGCATCTTCAACCACAACTCTAATGATTCCGTGCTCTTAGCATCTTCATCATTGCGCCGAATTTTGGCCAGCAACTTGATTGCTGTCGGACCAAAAACAAGCAAATGACCAGCTGCAAACAGAGTTCCAGCCATGTAAGACAGGATGGTAATCAGATCCCCCGTACCCTTCCAAACAGATGCAGCATTCGCCAGTCCACTCGCTAAGCTCAGTGTAAAGCTTCCGAAAACAACTTTTGTTCCTGCTGGTGCCCAGTTGGTGAACCACGGCGGTAGAAGCTCGTTGGCTTGCTCTCGATACTGGCGTTTTGTCCAGCAGGACAGGAATTTATATTCATCGTAGGCGAACTGTAGACTGACTATTGACGAGATGACTGGCAAAAGGCGGAGAAACTTGGTTGGTAGAATTATTCCAAAAACAATTGAAAGAACAATAATTGAAACCAAGAGTTTTATAATTTGCTGTGATGTTTTGCTGGGCGTAGACTGTGTGCGATTCATCATGAAGTGTCGAAGTGTTGATCGAAGCGACGATAAGACAGAGTAAAAAGAAATTGAAGTGATATAAGATTGGAAAATGGAGGTGCAGTGGTTTCGAGAAAGCCGTTTATTTGTACTCGAGTGATAGAGGGGTTGACACCACCAGTATCGTACTAGCTCTGAGTAAGATTTGCCAATTTTGGCGATCTTGACTTGATAGCAACAAATTCCAGCCTATAAGATCGCTTGCGCGCCTAGATAAGTTTGTCAATCAATTGAATGGAAGCCTGGATCCTCGTACGGTGGTTAGATAATGACTTTGCCACATGGCTTATATACTCAACTACGTCAATTGGTATTGCTATTGGACTTGACGTGCAAACAATATTCAGCCAAGCCTCATATTTGCAATGCTCAGATCAGATACTGCAAATCATATGTTTTCTCATCTTGGAATTTTTCGCCTCACTAAACCACAACTACTATGACTTTTTCCCCACTCGGATGTATTTATCTATGATAACTCAGAGTAGGGTGCATAGATATACCGGATTACGTAAGACAGTCACCTGGACTACTACAAGAGTTACAAAACGGAAGATACCACTGATTGGGTAAGTTAATTTTATTATTTCGCTGTAGTATCCAAGTAAAATGCTACTGCTATACATCAAGCCAGACCCTACTTGGTCTCAACAACCTGTCCCATGATATGTCCTAATCAGGGAGCTTGGAAATGGCTTCAAGCCTCCATTTAAACGTTGAGGATCTTGAACTCGGCTGGGACGGCATCGGCACCAGCGCCGGTGACGGCAATTTCCTCCTGTAAGCGAGTAAATCAAGTCAGCATTCAGTCCAGATGCAATATACATGATCTCTCTTCTAGGGCTGCAGCAGAAACTTACCAACTCCTGAATCTTCTCCTCCGTAAGGCCTGCAATGTCGTACATGGTGCCTTCGACAAGGCCAAGCGCGTTGGGCTCGACAGCGGCTTCGCATTTTCCGCTGCCGGGCTGCTCGGCAGGGCATGACAGGTCATCAGCGCGCTTGCGGCCGATGAAATAGTACTTGCCGGCCGTGCGGTCGCCTCGCGAACCGTATGACAAGCAAAGGTCTGTGTTTCCGTTTGAATCTTGCTGGTTTGCGATGTATCTGCAGCCACCACCCGTGTAGGCCTCGGCACGAATGCGCCAGGAGCTTGGGATCTGTTGATACCTATTAGTTCTGATCGGTCATTGATCCAAAGGAAAGAGGTTTCACGCACAGCGTTGACAGAGATGCTCAGTAGGCCACTGCTTGCTGAATCGGTGAACGAGCAGCATACGTTGGGGTTAAGGCCAACGCAAGCTCTGAAGGAACCGTTGCAGCTAGCGCCTGACCAAGCCCTGAGATCGACGGCCGATGCAGTGGCTGCGAGAGTGAGGATGAGTCCGGAGAAGTACATATTGATGGATGTAGTGGTGGTATTTGTTTGAAATATGAGGTAGGAGATGGTGGTGAGTGAGGAAGCAAAAAGAACTAGACGAAGCACATTTCTTTATACTATTTCCCGACCAGGCTTCCCATCCTACGACTGTTCTCATTTTAAATAAGAGAAAGAGTATTGATACCTGGATGGTTTTGCTATGCAGGGGCCGATCGTGAGTTGTCTAACTACCTTCCACATGGGGTGTCGGATGTTAGCTGGCCAAGCTTGGTGGTATTGCAAGCATCTATCGGCAATGATCAAGAGTCCTGCTAATCCTCCACAACCAAAGTCCCTTTGCCACATATTAAGTCTTTTCTCTCAAAGATCAATTTATCTTTACAACTTGCAAAAATCCTTGATCTTGTATCTTAATTACAGGCGCCCAATTCTAATATTCCTTTCCTACGCCATCCTGTTCCCCTGGCGCAGTTCCTTCACTTAAGAATAAATAGCCTCAGATAACAACTATCAATCTCTACTACTATCAATTTACATATAGTTTGACCAGCGCCTACTAAACAAGGTAAACGTATAGGATCCTCTTTTCGAAACCTTACTTTTTGGCCGACTGCGTCTTGGTATCAATCCTTCAGTCAGCAAGCTTAAAATGCCTGCCATTTCGGGCCACTTACGCCAAGGGCATTTCATAGGATATCTTTTTGTCTACCTAGATGAATACGATGTGGCATTGCGGATGATGGATTATCAGCCTAAAATTGAACCCTGCCGTTTCTGCCCCCAAACCTACGTAGATAGTTACATAGTTAGTCTGGAATGCTACTCTCCGTCAGCTTATTGCAGAGACTAGTTTTATCTACTCAAGTCGTTCCTATCTTTATAAATTGGTAGGAGCTATTGATTTATTGTAAAGTGTTAATTACGTAGAGCTTGTTTATGTTAATTTCATTGTCTTAAATAATTCTGGATTGACAGAATTCTGGCTCGTGTTTGGATCGTATCTGGGATCTTCTGACCTGATAGTTGTCTTCTGACAATTACTGTATTTGAGGCCAGCGCAACAAAGATGATATCGGACCTTCGGTTTAAACATCGCCTCGGGAGGGGTAATGCTACAGGATACTTGCATGGCTAATGCAAGCGTAAGGCTGAAATGGGCACAAGCGCTTATTTCTACCCGGGATCGCTGTTAACTACGTTGGATTGACTACTGCCGATGTGTAATCCTCCGTCTCACTGCATCTCCGCGTCAAGGCGACGACAATAAGGCATCGAAGTTGACCAATAGTTAGGCTGTTGTCCATGACTATTCATGAAAACGGGAATCTTTCCAAGGGCATACATAACGTTACTACGTCAAGGTCGACCGCCTTAACAAGTTCCCCCATTTTCATTAGCTCTTGTCAATAGCAAGGGTCTTGCTGACTGCATCTATTCGAATATCCTTTTCCTCCTGTAAATTTTCCTCATTACTAGAGTTAAGTTAGCAGTAGAAAACTTGACGTAAAGAGTGCTTTCCAGTCTTGGTAGTTCAAACTTCTAGACTAGTCTAGTAATTTGAACTATGCCGAATGGGTAAAAGCTCTGTGTTTGCATCCGTTGTTAACAAGTGGACCTATCCTTAGTCTAAGAGACATATGATTCGCAGCATCGCCAATGGATGATGTTTCTGCTTGTTTCTCTATTAGACAAACCTTTCTCTCGAGTCAGTCCGCCATCTTTCGCATTATCCCCTTGTGATACAATGATCCATCCTTGCTACCTATCACTGCAAAGTGCAAAAAAACATACAACAGCGGGGATTCGCTGGTCGTCACCGACCCAACTACTAATCCGCCCCTCACTGGCTTGACTATGGGAGAGCGGACGGGATCCCGTATTTTCCAATGGGTATGGTCGTATGTACAAGTTCTCATCTGATCAAAGTATATAAGCAAAGACAATTGCATTCACAGGACCCATTGCTAAACTCCTGTTGCGCAGAACCCGGCCTGACTAAAGTCAAGAGGAAGTTGCAGATGTTTTAACCTACTGTGCTCTTACTAATTAGACTGTAGTCAGTCTCAATGGCATTCCATTACACAAGATTGAGATTACGCGGAGGAGATATCCTACTATGGGTCGAAGGAAAGAGTAAAAAGTATGATTAACTTAACAAAGGGAAAGCTCGATGCCGTCGAGACGTGGACAACGGAAAATGGTACATTAGACATGGGTAACACAGACGAAATAGAAATGACACCAGATAACAGAACTAAATTAATTCTAAAAATCACCTAAAACTGGATGTTGTCAACGTATGATCAGCTGTTTCATCGCAATTCGGTGAAAATCGCAAAGGGGGAAGAATCTTGATATCGAAATGCTTTATCATGGTCAACCACTCACAAAGAAAAGGTGCCTCAACTGCTGAATCGATGTCTTTCTCTCAAGACAGGGAGAATTGTCCACTCTAGTCCAACATATTTGGATCAATTTTCATCATGTGATTAACAACTGAATCAATACAATCGATCAAGCCAGCTGGGTTAAACAGGAGAAGCAGAAATTACCCTGTAGCAACTAGCCTAATGAGAATTAGCCTCGGAGAAGAATATTTACCGCAGTGACCAGACGCTACAAACCCACGGTGCGTTGTGGGGTCTGTTGATTAAAAGTATATTCTGGTGGGGTTTCAGGTCGGACAAATCGGACAAACCCCCTAGCACGATTATCAGCATTCCCCGATTGTCGGACCGGATCTCGCCTTCAATGACTTTTTCACAATAGGGCCAGCTTTCCATGTTCCTTGCACAGTATCAACAGAAAGTCTCGCGTCAATGAGTGTCAGACTTGCCGCTTGCGAACCCTGTCGTCGGTCCAAACTAGCCTGTGGCCACGAACAACCCGTTTGCAGCCGATGTCGTAGCCGAAGCCAAGGCGCACGCTGCGTCTACAGGAAGCAGCCGTTCCGCAGAAGGACATTGAGGACCCAAAGCAAGGAGATAGAGTAAGTCTGCAGCAAAAAAAATGCGAGATGATAGGTTTGGTAGCTCATCGGTCTTGCTATATAGAGAATCAATTCCAACTGAAACCTTAGCAACTTCCCCATCTCTCCACGACGCCACCTCTTCTGAGGAGGCAACGATTTCCTCAGCACAGCCACATCACTACCCGAACCCTGGCTATCTTGGAATATCAAGTCATTCAACTCTCTTCAACCAAGTTTTGTCAGGAAATGAACCCAATCCCACTTCCCCCCAGCCAGTCTCGGCAAGGTCCACATCGGATTCTCCTATGCACCTTTTCGGCGATCTCGGCGTGGCAGATAGAGCAGTTCATGCTTTGACTCGCTTAGATAGGATGGACATCTCTAAGATTACACCTTTAGTTGATTCCTGGCTTACGAAAGGTGTCAATCTTCCCCTGGCTGGGCCGTTCGTTGCCTGCTGTCTAGACTCTGTGAAACGGTGGAGACAACTCTTGACATCTAACCCTACGAGTGATACTGAACTAGGCAGCATGGTGTCTATCTACGCAAAGGCCCTATTAGCTAACACACGTAAGCCTATCGTTATGTACCAGGAAATGAATACACAAGACTTTCTATCTCAGATGTTGGAAACAAATCTGAGGTGGGAGAACTTGGGTATCTTCTTTGCTGCTGCTGCAAGGGCAGCATACGATACGACTCATTTCGCACCTCTCTATTCTACCAATGAGCAGCGCCATAGAGTTATCAAGGCTTTAACATATATAGGAGACTGTTGCTTAGAAACATGCATTGAGCTGGATTGCTTGAATGACTTACAACTTATTCTACAATATGAAAATTTCATCATACACTCCCAAGTCGACGGTGACCAAAGTAAGTCGTGATTCTGGCACATGCGGCACCTATTTGAAAATATTTTGCTGAGCTTTATTCCCAGGCTATCACTCGTGGAGAAGAATCGGGGACGTGGCTAGTTCGTTGTTTGCTCTCGGATATCACGAGAGGGTTGGAGGGAGTGATATTCCGCCGTTCATCATCGAGTTACGAAAGGCTTGCTTTGCTCGTATATACGCCGCAGACAAAAGTTTGGGTGTGTTTCTCGGACGCCCTCCAAGAATCGTAAAGGATTATTGTCATTTCATGATCCCAAACAACCTAGATGATCCATGGGGAATTGGCTTCCATGCTACGAACCAGTCTCCTACATACACATCAGAGGCATGCGATGAACAGGAACAAACCAGCCGAGCCATTGCTAATCTCGAGCCAATTAACTATACTGCTGACACACGTTGTTCGGCGTTATTTGCATTTCTGAAAGAGGATGTGCTTCAACTTCTCCGCAAAGGATACGTTTCAGATAACGCAGAAGGTATAAGGTATGTCATACCTACCATATCTATCGGACGAATGACCTGAACATTGATCTTATAGGAAATTGCGTTCCCGAATTGTTCAACAGTGGGATGATCTTCCAGCCCACTTTCGCCTAACAACCTTACTCAAGGATTGCCAACGGAACCCCTTTGAGCGAGACTTCCTCGCAGGGACTCGACTCGACTATTTACATATTCACTTCCTCCTAGGACTAGTGTCGCAAAGAAGCATCACTGAACCTAATGATGATCTCTTACAAGTAGCTACTGAGATGCTCTCAATCACAGTGGAGGTGGTCATTCTACGCGACCAGCTTGTCAATTCTGGATCTTGTCTTATATGGAAGGTGTGTGATGTATTAATCCGAAAGTTGGATGATTACCATTCATTGCGTGGTCTGACTGTTTACATACTAGGTTGCTCAATATGGTCTCCCCGCAGCGGGGATGATATCGCTAGCACTTTTGAACTCGACAAACACTGACGCGATGTTACACTCTCGATCGAAAATGATACAAGGCTTGTGCGCATTAGTTGCAGAGATCACAACTGGGGCTTGGATTCAGGCCGGAGAGCCAAATTTTGCACTTTTTACACGCGCAACTCGAACAATCCAAAGTCTCCTCGATTCCTTGCTAGCCGCCAAAGTTCCGCAAGACTTGAGCCACAATGTAGCTGAAGCTTGGAATCCCTATGTTAACTCTCAACTGTGGGACTTTGAGATGGATTTCTGGGCAAGCCTTGCGGAGCATCCCAACTTGGTGGAATTTCCTAGTACAGATAGATAGTGGTTTATATAATATGTAGTCTTTAAACTGTGTTAGCCCAACCTATGCCGATTTTCTATGTCAATGCATTCAGTCCATAGCTGCGCCGCCCCTGCAGCTATTGTGGATGACCGGCAATGCCGTACATTCCATTCTCGGGACAGCCCCACACTCGGGACAGCCCCATAAATACTCGGGACAGCCCCACACGGCGTGATGTGGACGGACTATCTAGCTTCGCAACAGGTTAATTTGCTAATAATAAAATTTGATGCTACGTAAAGCTGGCGCAATAACGTATACCAACCGCGTGGCAGGCGATCGGCTTGTATAACACGATAAAGAAATGTAGATAAATAGAACTATGAACACCACGAGAAGCTTGCATCTTCATCTCTCACACATTCTTTTTCAGTCAATATCTTTTCTGCACTTTGGTCAATTAAGCTAACCACCATGCACTTTTCTTCTGTCTCCGTTGCAGCTGTGCTAGCTTCAGCAGCTGTCGCAAAATCCCTTTCAGAATTATGTACAGTTTCTAGTCTCAAAGCTGCTTTACCTTCCAATGGAACATTGCTTGGAATCAATATGATACCATCTTCCATCAAGGTTTCCACAGCCGTCTACAATGCAAGCGCAAGTATGGGAGGAGGCCCCATGCGTCGCGATACTGAAACCTATGACTACTGCAACGTCACCCTCACATACACTCATGGCACCAAGGGAGATAAGGTCAATCTCAAGTATGCCTTCCCCGACCCTTCCGATTTCAAGAAGCGCTTCTACGTCGCCGGCGGGGGTGGCTATTCTCTCAACACCGATGCTACTGGCGGACTCAAGTATGGTGCTGTTGCAGGCGCTACGGATGGGGGATATGACGCCTTCAACTACAGTTTCGACGAGAAGTTCCTCTTGGGAAATGGATCCATCAACTGGGATGCGACCTACATGTTCTCTTATCAGGCTCTTGGCGAGATGACTCAGGTCGGGAAGTACATCACAAAAGAGTTCTATGGTTTGACCAACACCAGCAAGGTCTATACTTACTACGAAGGTTGTTCCGATGGTGGAAGAGAGGGCATGAGTCAGGTCCAGAGATGGGGCGATGAGTACGACGGCGTCATTGCTGGTGCTCCTGCTTTCCGCTTTGCCCAGCAGCAAGTCCTTCATGTTTACCCTGCCGCAGTCGAGCACACTCTCGATTACTACCCTCCTCCTTGCGAGCTCAAGAAAATCGTCAACGCCACCATCGCCGCCTGTGATGATCTCGATGGAAGGAAAGATGGCGTCATCTCTCGAACCGACTTATGCAAGCTTCAATTCAATCTCAAGTCACTCATCGGTGAGAAGTATTATTGTGCGGCTGAGACAAGTTCTTCCCTTGGTTTTGGCTTCAGCAAGCGACAGGCTCCGGGTAGCCAACAGAGCAACGCTCCTGAGCAAAACGGCACCGTTACTGCTAAAGGTGTTGCTGTTGCTCAGGCTATCTATGATGGTCTGTTCAACAGCAAAAAAGAGCAAGCCTATCTATCTTGGCAAATCGGCTCTGACCTCTCCGATGGCGAGCCAAGCTATGACAACGAAACTGAGAAGTGGACGCTAAACATTCCTTCTACAGGGGGAATGTATGTTGCAAAGTTCATCGAGCTACTCGATCAGGATAACCTCGACAATCTTGATAATGTGACTTATGATACTCTTGTCGATTGGATGGATACTGGTCTGGTCCGTTACTATGACAGTCTTCAGACGACTCATCCTGACCTCACGACTTTCAGGAAGGCTGGAGGCAAACTTCTCCACTACCACGGCGAATCCGACCCCAGCATTCCCGCCGCCTCCTCTGTTCACTATTGGCAATCTGTTCGTTCCATTATGTACCCGCACCTGTCAGACGTCGAGGCGCAAAAAGCTCTCACAGAATGGTATCAGTTCTACCTTGTTCCTGGAGCCGCCCACTGTGGAACCAATTCACTCCAGCCTGGTCCTTATCCTCAGAACAACATGGATACCATGATCGATTGGGTTGAGAATGACAAGCAGCCATCTAGACTCAATGCCACTGTTTCTTCTGGAGATCACAAGGGAGAGACACAGATGCTATGCCAGTGGCCGAAACGACCCCTGTGGACCAACGACAAGAGTTTCAAGTGCGTTGATGATAAGAAGTCCATTGAAAGTTGGACCTACGACTTTGATGCTTTCAAGATCCCTGTCTTCTAGTTCTTACCGTGATCATGGTCAACAAAATTCCGACCCTTGCTGATGGTGATTGTGAAATCAGTCGGCAAAGCATAAACAGATCTCCTTCGGTAGCTTAGGACTAGCGCACATACATTTGAGAAGCAATTTTGTACATTCCTATGCTTAAACTTTAGTTACATTTCATTATAAATTTATTTCCCTAACTTGAAAAACCGATGTTCTCGCTGGTGTCACAGGCCTCTTGAGAAGCATAATGCTAACGAGGCAGTATATAGTTGACGGCTGAGTATGACAGACGCGTTTCAATGGCAGGCCTGGTTGATGGTTTATAAAAATAGCAATAGAAAACGAAATAATAAAGCGGAAAATGAATTTTCATATGATTATCCCTGACCGAAGGTGGCCACTAATCCCGGACTGGCCTCGAATAACTCGGCGAGACTGTTCGGCGTGATGTGGAGCTTGTGCGTGGGAAAAGAATTCTATACTCCGACATAACCAACTTACAGTAACGGGGATAAGTGAAGTTTAATAAATTTTCTTATATATATTAGATTCCATTTCGTGTCAGAATTTCTGTCTAAATCCATCCAACATTGTTCCCGCCACACTGTCGAAATCCTCCAAAAACATCACCTTCAATAAAAGCTGCATAGCGCACTCTCTGAGAGGCCTAATCAACCTCAGCCACAGACACCAGTCAAACGTCAACATGAAAATAGGTTTCATGGGTCTTGGCGTCATGGGAACGCCCATGGCGATGAATTTAGCTCGAAGGTATTCCCTCACAGTATGGAATAGAAGTCCTTCCAAGTACCCGCTCCTACGTGAAGCGGGTGCAAAGACAGCCGACACACCGCGACAGCTTGTACAAGATACAGACGTTATCTTCACAATGCTCTCCAATGACGCTGCCTTCAAGTCTATATTAGACTCCGGCTTCAAGGATGTCCTACGTGGCAAGATCCTCATCAATACCAGCTCAGTATCGATCGACTTCAGCAAGTACATCGCCGATGAGGTTCACCGGGCCGGCGGACAGTTTATTGAGATGCCTGTCAGCGGTAGCAAAGTGCCAGCAGAGCAAGGTCAACTCATTGCAATGATTGCCGGTGACCGAAGTGTTGCTGAAAGCATCATGACTGTAGTTGAGCCGATCACCAAAGAAGCCGTATATTGTGGAGAGATTGGCATGGGTCTCAAGACTAAGTATGCCGTAAATCTATATGCTATCACCACGACGGCTGCTCTTGCTGAGTCAATGGCCCTTGCCAGAGCCCAAAACATAGATATCGAGGCTTTTGGTCAGGTCCTCAACGCAGGTCCCCTAGCGTCGGCCCACTCCAAAATCAAGATGGCTAAGATGATTAGCCAAGATTGGTCTACTCAAGCATCTATAACAGATTGCTACACCATCACCCAGCTCATAGACTCAGCTGCAGAGTCTATACATGCCAAGACGCCATTAATTCATCTGACCGGGTTACTTTATAAAGAGGCGGTTGATAGAGGGCTTGGTGACCGCGACATAATTGCTGTGGAGAAGGTATTGGGTCTCAACGACAGGAAGGAGTCTAGTTAGAAAGTAACGTTTGTCGGCTATCGTCGCTCAAGGACACAAAATCCAGTATATCTAACATTTGAGTTAATTTAAACAAACATATCACTTACCAGTAGAGCCAGCGTTACGTATTTGTATGAAGATAATGATGAAATCATACTGAACATGTCCAACTACGAATGCGGATAGTTGAGGTTAAACAAGAAGCTTCCACTGTTGAGAACCTCTTCTATTAGGAAGGAATCCCTTTCAACTAATCTCCTTCAAAAAACCATTCTTCTTTGTTCAGGTTATTAGTAAACAACAACATGTTCAGAGTATGTTTTACGTCAATGTCGTTGTTATTGATATACTATTATTGCAAGAGGTTTCTTAAATGCCAACCAAGAGTATATAAATCATGTTATCTAAAAGAGGGAATTTTCGCCAAAGTCAAAAGCCCCTTGTACCGAAGCGTTTGGGTCGTTGTAAATGTCCAGAATTTCGGTGATCGAAGCCCAAAGACCAGCACTGTTGATCGGTAGAGTAAAGAGTAACAGGGTGACATTGATCCCAAAGAAGATGACCCACCTCCAGCTATCAAACATATGACCTCGATATAGATGGAACCAGAAGACGTTGCCGAGCCCTTATGAAAACCACGCAAAGGTTGTCGCATAACAGATAGATATGATAGAGTCGAACAAGGGAATTGCACTTGCAATAACAAATGTCAGGAGACGAAGCTGAACTGGCCGGCATATGCAAAAACAATGCGTAGACAGGCAGTAAATATTTCTCGGAATGATCGTGGGCTTCGCACAAGTTCAATCTGACGTGTCCATCCCTGAGGAGCTGAGTCTGGGCCGTTTACTCCAAGACTGATAATGACAGTAAGGATAGCAGCGATGCCGATAAAACCCACAATACAAGTACCATGCCTTGTGATGATGTTGAGAGAAATGGACATCGTGACTGCTATCGAGGCGCAGGCTGAAATGATCAGGACTACAAAGAAGAAGGCAACGACAGCACCCCAGTATGTTCCACCGACAATTCTGACCATGTCGACAATGCTGGAAACTTGGGGGTAGCGTCAAACGAACCCGTACAGGAGATATCCACCGTACCAAGCGACGGGTTCCATACCGATGATGACTACAAGGCCAGGAATCAAGCCTAATGTCTTCAGAGTCACCGGTATGGAGAGGATTCCTATACCGAACTGATTTGTAAGGAGAGCCATCAACACATTTGTCCGGTTCATTGTACGGTAATTTTGACAGTAATCACCACCAAAGACACCTCCTGTGATATCACTGCCGAGTGATTTCTTAAAATATAGTATAAAGAATTTATGAAAAAGACATCGTCAGTGTCTTTGGGGTATATTGAACAAACACATTGAGTTAAGAGTTGCAGTGACATTGTAACAGTAATGGAAACTACGATATAAAGGAATTACTAGCTTAGATAGGATAGTATTGTTACCAATGCTATTGGATATATAAACTACCCTACTTAGACACCAGAATCCTCCTGCTCAATTGAGTTCTCACTCTGGAAAGTGGTCCAACTATCGCAAACATCAGACACATAGCTAGATGTCGTGATATCTGGGATCTCAGTGGCACGCTCAATGAACTGCAGAGCAAAACCCTCCGAAGTATGCCAACCTGTGGAATAATTAACAAATTGATATTCACTTTATGGGTCATCAAACTTACCAATATGGCAATGGCACAGCCACACACCAGGGTTGTCCGTCTCCCAAGCCATGACGAGATATCCGTTTCCTGGAAGCATAGCAGTGTCACGACGAGGTGGATTGCTTGTGTTCAGAGTGACGGACGACGAGTATGTGCCAGTTCCTTGTGCCAGAATGAAAAAGTCGTGGCCGTGAAGATGAATGGGATGCGGAACTGCTAGGGTAGTCTCGATAACAAAGTAGACCCACTGACTCGCTTCGCTCAACTCAATGACTGCATCATCTGTCTCAAACTCAGTGGTGCCGTTGAGGACCTGGGCTAGAGTCGGGTTCGCCCAGTCCATTAGCATGCTAGTACTATTAAGCTTCCACTTGAACAGGCCAGCAGTGTTCTTTCCAACTGTGGCTGTCTCGAGGTCACTCCAATTGGCATCTTCAACGGTCTTGGAGATGTAGGGGACCAAGTTGTCTGTCTCGTCGTCGCAGCCATCTGTGTAGTCGTATGCAGTTGTGGAGGGTGTACCAGGGCTATCTCCATAGTAGACGACACCCTTGATGTTATCTGTGGAGTCGTTATCGGAGCAGGCTGATTGGGGAATGGCACGCATCCAGAAATCGTCGGCAACGTCAGATTGGTCGGCGGTGACTATGATATCGTATCGTTGACCTAAGTGTCGTTAGTAAGAGCCTCATAGTATTAGACTGTACTAACCCATGGCGATGTCCAGCACTGTTGTTTCATATGGTTCGATTGGTACCAAGTCTGATGCAATGACTGTCAAAGTATGGTTGTCGATGGAGAATTTCCAATGCGTGTCGACTGCAGCATTAACTAACCGCATACGGTATGACGTCCCAGAGTCGAAGGATACATTGAAGCGAGAGCCAGTCTGGGATGAGCTATCATCATCACCGTATACGTTAGTGCCGTTAATAAGTCCGTTATCCAATGTGGGAGGTCCATCTGTCTCGGCCGAATAGTAGAGCTCATCCACAGTCTGGTGGTCCCAGTCGTTGAGAAAGACCATGCCTAGATCTTCATCGTAGTCTGCAGTGGCAGGTCCGTTGATGATGATACCACCAAAGACACCCTGCCAAGCCTGAAGAGCCCAATGCGAATGGTACCATGTTGAGCCATACTGAGTAGCTTTCCAGGTGTAGGTGACGGTCTCTCCAACTGCAAGGGGACACTCGGTGATAGATGAAACACCATCATATTGGTTAGTGTAGTTCTGGCGGATACCGTGCCAGTGCATGCTAGTACCATTGAGGGATGTGGTCAAAGAATTAGTCACATGGACCACGACAGTATCACCCCAATCGGCGAACAGAGTAGGCCCTGGGATAGTACCATTGACGGCCATAGCTGAGCGCGAATAGCCATCCGGAGCAACAGTAACGTCTGTCAGCTCTAGCCAATACTCCTTTGTCACCCCAGTATCAACCGCCTCGGTGGAATAATCAGTATCGATGGAATAGTCACACCATGTTGACCTAGTGGAAGCAGTGTTTCCATCGCAGGAATCACGACGATGAAGGAAAGAATGACTGTGTCCAATGGTCTGCCCAAGCCCGAAGTAACCGGCTAATAGCAGATGATGGAACCGCATGACTAATAAAAAAATGACTTGTCAAGAAACGCAAGCAGGAAGAAAGACAGTGTGAAATATGACCAATGGAGGATGATTGGAAGTTAGTATTGGTATTTACAACTTCCTCTGCACTTCTTAAGTACTATGATATCCCAAATACGAGACCTATAAACGCCCTGTTAAAGTGACTGTTACGCATACGGATTTGCCGACGAAGCCATTCACACTAACGGCAGTTAACGTCAGCTTGAAACATGGGCCACCCGGAGAGAAACACCGGGCCGTTCCTGGAACTAAACTTAAAATGGGTCACTAGAACGTCGATCAAAACGGTTTCCCACTAGCTGCCCACATCACGTTCTTATCTATGTACTTAATCGTAGTTCTTGTGGGAGAACCCGTGAAACCGAGGCGCATGAAATGCGTAAGCCATTAATCTTGACCCGAACCGTTGAACAAACGGATATTCGGCACGTAAGGCGGATTTAGTGACAGGGTCCCATTTGAGTATTTTTCTACTATATCACTTATCATTTCCTTCCGTTGAATTTACCCACAAGCAGACATACCGCTTATCGTCGAACATCCATTCTTCCCGACCAACTCAGCAGTCATGCGTGCTTCTGATTTTGCCAAAGCTGCACTACCAGCTTTCGCTACTTATGTAGCGGCAGCTAAGAATTCGGGACCATTTTCTCTGTATGCTTATGGTCCTGATGTTGGTGGACTTTCGCTATTCTCTGCAGGCGGTGAGAATGATCATTACTGGTGATGCATTTACTGGTTGCTGATCCTTCAACAGATGCGATATATGTAGGCAACTTCAGCCGCCTCGATGATGTCCAGGCCGCACCAATTCAATGTAGGTCAAATCATCTACTCATTTAGTATAAATGGCTAATGAAGTCTAGTCACCTTTTCCAACAATGAGTTGAAGGCCTCCCCCAACACCACGGATCTTCCGGGCGATAAACATCCTACCTGGTCAAACAAGCCGCTCGTCATCCCTGGTCCATCGTCTGCATCCAAGACTGTCAAAATGGTCAACAGCACAGCCAACACTAGTAACTACATCTCAGACTTCATGTTTTACGGATCGTTCTTTATGGCTGAGGAAAGTGGAGAAATGCTTTCTCTCTGGTATAGACAGGACACTGACATTGAGGGTGTCTATACTGTCGGCTGGAATGCTTCGACCTCGGCGAAGTCAGATGAAGTGGTGCCTCTCACTTTGAAGAGGACTGCGCCATCGAACCCATCTAATTAGTGGGATGAGTAATCCAAATAGTCTTGTCAGTTGATGGCAGCAAGTATTTAAGATACATTTTGACAGTTGTGTTAGGACGGAATGAGAGAATTCGCAGACGAGTCAAAGGAGTTAAGAAAGAGACACCGATACCTGTTGAGATTACCGAGACAATTTGGGTTATATATACTATCGATTATACTGATGTTGTAAGACCATCTGCTATAGCTGCAAAGCGGAAGTCCGCGCGGCCTTTCTCGAGTGAAGATTATGCCACCAAGCACAACGTGTTTCGTTAACAACATTCAATGTCTTCTCAACACCTTGTCCATTTATACTAATAACATCTCCTTGACCTCCCCATGGAGGAAATTCCATGGTATATTTATTTCGAAGCTTGGGAGAACCGCTCATAGTAAAGCTCGTGAGAACAGTTTGCAAGATATCTTGCGCAACAGGTTCAAACGCAGGACTCTGAGGGTCGTTGAAGGTATACTTAAGGTCCTGAGTATGCAAGCCAGGGGTGACATTGAATCGATCTACCGATACGTTAGTTATGAATTTGTTGACCAATTTTGGAGAACTTACAAGCATAACCTCGACCATTCATAACCTTGCTGATGCCCACAAAGTTGCAGTCGATGACTGCCTCACCCCACAAAGCCATCTGTCGAGAGCCCTGATTCGTATAGCCCAAGCTACCATCAAAAATAGGTGGGTACAGCTCATTCGCTAGATATCCCTGCTCTAGCATGGTGAGCCCTGGTATCGACTTTTGGATCCAGGGTACAAAATCATCATCTTCCATGTTCTCCACATCAAAGAACAGCGCTCCTTCAAAGGAGGTATGAGATGTCATGACCTTGACTGACTTGTCAAACTCTCTTTTTTCAAACATGGTGTAGGGATAATCCGGGATCAGGTTGTTGTCTAGGACAGGACCGTGGATGTAGGAAGTCGCAGGTGCGTTCCCAATCTGATGAGCGTTGGCCAAGATGATAGCTTCAGAGCTGACTTCCCGAGCTTCTGCAAGGGTTGTAACATTCAATGCTTGTAAAAAACCAGAGTAAGCTGTTTCCGGTGCTTGGAGAGTTGGAATAAAAGCAGGCGACTGAGCAATAATCTGTGCAAAAGGAGCCTTGTAGCCCTCTTTCTCACCGAGCATATGGAGCAAAGCAGAACCTCCGCCTGCTGATTGACCCATGAGAGTCACTCTGTCGCGCGAGCCGCCAAACAAATGGATGTTTTCTTGAACCCAATTGAGGGCAAGACGCTGATCGAGGAGTCCAGTGTTTAGATGTCCATCTTTCTCAACATCGGAGCCAGGGAGAAAGCCGAGAGCCCCAAGTCGGTAGTTGAGCGCAACGAAAATGATGCCATTTTTCTCAAAGTCTTTCGCGTGTTGCAGAAGACCACTAGGGTCAAACCCGGGAGTTGGCCACCCGTTCTTTGAGCCCAGAGCATAGCCGCCGCCGTGTATCTGCTCGCAGTTAGCTGTGTTCCCTGCGCCAAGTAGACTGCTATCACCTACCCAGACAAGTACAGCCGCATCACAGCTTTTGCCCTGTTGCGCAGCCATGAAAACTTTACGAGGGACATGCACGTCAAGGAAAAGACAGTCTTCCGTAGTTGGGGGAAGTGGTCTTCCCACTGAGGGCACGTAGTCCTTGATGTCGGCAATCCATGAGTCGAGGCTGAAGTCTTTGCCACTTGAGTAGAGACCTATTGCTTTCGATGCACTCGCCTGCCATTTTGGAAGTCCCTGAGGGCAGATTCTTATCTCTTCTCCTGTCTGTATGTTGTCGCGATTCGTCAACGGAGCAACAGGGGCTCTGAATCGCAGATTACCAGTGGGAGCTTGCCCATAGCGGATATTGGAGAACTTGTAAGTATCGGTGTTGTTGTCGTGAGTGAGTGCACGATGAAGTTCCTACAGACATGAGTTGAGAAGGCGAGGGAAACGATTGCACACTTACATAGCCGAGGTCTACAACTGGAAGATTTGTAGGCGGGGGAATTGCAGAGACTGTTTTAATTGCCAGCAGCAGCAAGTAATATGGTGAAAGAACAGCTCGCATATTGAGACTTTTTGGCTAGACGTCAGGGTATTAAAGAGATACTGGTAGGAAGCACAAGAGACTAAATTGTATGTCAGTTTATTTTATCTTGCCTTGACTTCTCCGACTGTTGATCGGCGTGACCTGAAGTGTAAGCTCACCTTTGTTGTATTTACTGGGGTAGCTTTAATTGAGTTAAACGGTTAAGTTATAAAACTAGGTATAACGATTTTAATTCTTGAGTCGGTGTATACTCTTATGATTTTATACAGGTTACAAACTCTGCTTTATGTGTGTAAATATCGGAGTCGGTCAAATACAATATTACTTTGCTTACTTTTAGTTTCTCGGAAAGATGCTTCCCGAGCTCTGCCACTTGATCATGTGGCGTTGTGACAAATCTGACAGCAGTTGCATAGCCTCATTTCTGACGACACCAAGTTCAGTTCTACAGGAATTTTTAGAGATAAAGCCGAGGGTATGATGTCACGAAGAATTCACAGTGGTAAAGATTATACACCGACCATTAGGTTATTATATGGCTTTCCTTACCTGGAGTATTAATATATATAGATACACCACATCTAATAAACACGTTTCTAAAGTTCTAAACTATCTAGGGTTGATGATTGTATCTCTAATCTAATACTTATAACTTTGCCCTGTGGTGCATCACGGGACATCCTCCTGTCTTGGCTACACCTGATTGACCTGAGGCAGTGGGTGCCGAATCACTCTTCTTTGGTGCACTCCTATAACCTCCCTTCTGATTATCAGTGTTGATAACACTTCCTTCCGCATCTCTAGCTATTCCAAGCTCTATCAACTTCGCAAAAGCTTTCTTGAAGTCTTCGAAAAATACATCCTTGTCCTTTGCGTAGATGTGCACGTACTTAGAGAACTCTGGGTCCGTCGTGAGTGCCATGTCAGTGGGAAGCATCATCAACTCTTCCTCTGTATCTTCATCAACCGAGGAGAATTGCAGTACGCCAGACTCGGGGATTGTCTTTGCAGTCCAGTTTTCTGATAGTAGGAGACGGAAGTACTGGTTGGAGAACCGGGTAGGATTGTTGACCCATTTGCCTTCAAAGCCTGAATTTGCAGTATGGCAACGGCCAAGATTATGCGCACCGCTAAGGGCTACGATCTCGCGATCGTTGAATCCCATTCGATAGAAAATGTGGCGAATATGTTCTGCTCCTTGGGCTGCATCTGGGAGACGACCACGAGGCGGAAGCTTACTGTCGTCGACAAAGTCGGTTCGTCCCGGCAGCCAGTCAATTTCAGGTCCGCCCATGGCATGAATCGCCGTCACGCCAGCGAGTGTCCAGAGGTCAGAGTATGTTATCCAGGGATGAAGACGTTTGACAGGCTCAAGAAAAACACGAGCATTCTGCAGGCCGGCATTGGCGGGATCGCCACCTTCAGCTTCGTAGCGCATACCGGCGCCGTTGGAACCGCCTGTGTCAGTTGCTTTGTCGTATGTGCCGGATGAGTGCCTGGGAACAAATTAGTAATCGAATCGCATATCTTGAATGCTGTGCAGACGTACCAAGCTAGACGCACGAGAACGGGGCCGGCACTTCCATCGTCGTAGTCAGGCTGGTTAAGAAGTTCAGTGATTGATTTCTGCACAGCAGCAAAGTCACCCGTGTTTGACTCTTGGCCTTTTGACTGTGGTTGATCGATGATACCCATCTTTGCCAATAATTTTGAGAGAACTCCAACAAGGCTGTAAAACGAAGGAAAAGAAGGCGTAATTACAGCGCGCGTAATAGTAGAGTAAAAGAGTGTAGTTTCTTCGCTTCGCAGTCCCCAGTGGTATCAAGATGTGAAATTAAATTAAAATACAGACCAAAATCAGTCGTCAAGTATCTCATACACGGCAAAGTAATTTAACAAGAGCCTCGGTAACCCTTTCAAGATCCACAGCTGCTGCTCCGATATTATGGCTTCATGTGGATCCGAGTCTTGAGCATATCTGGCATATGACACCGGAATAGCGGAGCCTCATGTCAGACTTTTCTCATCGCGTGCACGTTCCGCTGAGATGAAGTTGGCTCTAGTAACGGAGGACAAGCTATAATAACCGAGGATGTCTAGGATTTACGAGCATGTGTCAACGGCTCAGCTCGCGATAGTAATCATTAGCCAAATTGGCAAACCAATCTTGTGAGCAATGTTCTACGATGTCATTTTGATTGACATGGATCGATCAGATAAGATCAGATAACAGAGCTCTGAATCACGTGTAATAACTGCCGCTACCCAGTACTGTTAGCCTGTCACACAAGCATTAAGAAATAAGTCTCAATTGCCACTAAGATGATAACCTTTCTGCTTTCAACATGTCGACTATCAGTCTAAAAGCCAATAATTATCAGTTCTTCTGTATCTGTACCATCTTGAATATGATAAGATCAGCTTGTTCGGGGATGCATTCTTGCGACGCTGAAGCTGTCAGAATGTCAATTTACACTAAATACCCTACAGCCACAGAGGACAACCTGATGAGGTTGAGCATTGACACCCTGTCTTATGTGCAACTCGGCAAGGGTCGTTGCCGCTAACCCGTTTTATGCCACCAATAATAAGCGTGAATTCAAGGATCCAGTCCAGACTAGCCTTGTGGAGTTACACTGAGCATTCATAACAGACACTAACGTGGATTCACGAAACAGTCCATGAACATTGTTAGTGTCTGTTATTGATGTTTAACATAATACCATAACAGACGCGTCGCAGATATCAACGGATCCACTCATCGACCCCTTCCTCGTCCAGACCGTCCACTTCCACGACCACGCCCCCTTCCAATTCCCGGGTACACACGCCCATCAGTGAATCTCATTTGTCCAGGGGGTGTATGAGGTAACTCAGCAATTCTCCATTGCTCTCTTTTCCTTTGGCATATTTGTCGTGGAGTTTGACCATGTGCATCAGGTAGGTCCAATAACTCCACTCCTCCAGCTTTCACTAGTCTCGCCAGCATGTCGTCTTGCAATCTCCTTCTTTTCTCAGCTGTGCAACCAACCCTGCTTACCCAGGCTCTACCAACAGCAGCCTTGTGGAGAGCCGTCGCTTGTGACGAATCTTTTGCCGCAGGGTCCGCACCGTGATCTAGCAACACCGATACAGCATCAGCAAAATGTAGGTTTCCGGCTGCCATATGCAAAGGTTTGTTCCCATTAACAGTGTCCGTGACCTTTGCTCCATGGGCGAGTAAAACAGATACAGCAGCTGGGTCGACAGGTACCTTGGCCATACACCTTCCGAACAAGGTATGCAGAGGTGTTTCGCCTTTGTTGTTGCGTATACTGGCATCCCCACCTCTCTTACATAAGAGTTCGAAGATTGGAGTGTACAACTGGGTGTTTCGACCAAAGGTTTGTGTAGCATAATGTAAAGGTGCGAATCCATCCTGGTCTTGCATGTTGACTGCTGTAGGATCCAAGTCGAGGAGGAGTCTAATAAGGCTAGTGATATTCCGCACCCTTTCATCTAGCAGTGATTCCGGGATGTAATCAAACTCATCTGGCAAATTATTTCGAGTCACCCAGTGGAGAGGAAGTCCTGCTGAACTGTCTCGAAAGCACGCCATACTCGCGACATCTACCCCAACACCTCGGCAGTCCATTAGAGTCTTGACGGCCTTGAAGTTTGCATGATAGCACGCAATGGCTAGCGCATTAACGCCAGAAACGGTAGGAAAACTGGTCCTGAGATCGATCTGCATTGTCCATTTTGTTACAGTAGCATGAACATCAGCACCGCAATCAACAAGTCTCTTGATCAACTCAGGGCATGCCCACTTTACAACCAAAGTCAGAACAGTATCCAAGGTCTTATCAGGATTATTGATCAGGGGGATAGTATCAGAAGCGCAAGCACCCCGATCCAGCAGTAGATTGATTATCGCCTCGTTGTTCTCCAGACAAACTTTATCCCATTCGGCTGTGTAGCAATATGTGTCTGAATAGACATCTGCAGCTGACAATATAGCAGTGTAGCCATTGCTATCTCGATCGTGGATGCTGGCATATAATGGCTGATGATTGAGTAAAAATTGCACGACCTCGATATGACCGTACCTGGCAGCTTCATTCAGCAGCTGGTATCCGCGAGTTTTGAATCGTATTAGTTGGGCAGAATTGGTATCTCTCTTCGCGTTGGTTAGAAGCCATTGAAGTATATCAAGACTTCCACTTTCGACAGCCAGGAGGAAGAGATCGTTTTCTTCAATAAATTCTTCTACACCATTCGGAAGCTTTGGGACGGCCCAAGGCGCACGAGTAAAATATTGCCTGAGTGTTTCGAGATTGTTTTGTCGGATAATTTCGTGTAGAAGCGGCAAAACTTCGCTTTCATAGAGAGTTTTACCATCTCGATCAGTCATCGTCATAAGCACTCGATCGAATTCTTCTTCTTCGCCAATGAATTCATCATTTGGGTTAACCCTAAATCTCTGATAAGATGGTTCGATTTCAGAAACGAGAGGGGGAGGCATAGTGTTGATGTTTAAGTAAACCCGAAAAAACGGAAAAAAGAGAAGAAGAATTAGTTAGGCGCGGTTCGCAGATTGTGTTGGTTTATGTATAGGACAAATTATAAGTGGAGTTATTGTAAAATATTCTTTAAATAAATGCAAGGGAAGGTCGGTGAAGAGTCAGAGCTCGCTACGTTCAGCACTATCTAATAATCACACGCCCCTGCATTTTATATCTATTGTCGAGCACGAGCAATAAAAACACTATTATCAGGTTACCAATATTCATAATATGTTGTCAGTCTTGACCACTAACTATACTCATCCCGACATAATAAAATACCTAATTCCATCCATTCTCAAAGCCAAACATTAATAGCTGATCAGAGCTGCTGCGAATTGCAACAGCTGAATCAGAGACAAGTACATGTTTCTGGAAGTCAGAGCTCGACCTATAATGAGGTGGCAACCAAACCAATCTCTCACCATCCTTTGTCAGCCAAGCTCCATCAAACCCAACTCCGTAGCCTTGGGCAGCAAACGGCACTACCGCTAGTTCATTAGTCTCGGTCTCAGCATCTTGGACACCAGTGCTGGATGGCCAGCTTTCGGGTGTCAAACGACCTCGTTCAGTCATAAGCGATCTACCATCAGGGCTGAACAATAATTGTGCAATCTGCAACCCAGTCTGCAGTTTGAAAATACCCTTTGCTGCTGGCATTTCCCATACGTAAATCTCTCCTGTCGTGGTGGCGTATGCAAGTAGTTTACCATTAGATGAATAGGCAATGGCGTGTGAAGATTGGTGAGATCCGGATTTGTGTTCCTGGATATCCTTGGTTTGTAAGTCACAGATTCTGATCTTCCCGACTTGATCTCCAGCTGCTAGTGACAAGCCGTCAGGCGAAAACACTAGACAGGATACATTTTCCATCTGGAGTTCAGACATGCTCTGATTTGTGAGGTCATGAAGTTCAACGATCTCTTCTCCCTTGGTAAATGCGAATTGGTAGTCGTCTGCCGAGAATGCCATTGGCCAAAAAGATACTGAAATCATTTGAATGTCGATCGGGCCAACCTTAAATGTGTGTACACATTCACCAGCCACTTTGATGTTCCATATCTTGACATGGTACGAGCACTGAGTTGCGAGCATGTCTCCAGATGGGGAAAACACTATCCCGTGTATAATAGAATCGTGGCCCTTGAGTGTAAGCACGTTGTTGCCTGGACGCGCCATATCTTGGATCTCGACAACGCCGTCTTCAGAACCCGTGGCAAACCTCTGACCATCTGTTGACAGCGCCATTGTACGTATACGTTTCCTAATTTGATTCTCTTTGCTGCCATTTTTGATTGCCTTTGAATCCCAGATAGTGATTTCACCATTTCCTTCAACTCCCCCAACAGCGAGCCATTGACTGTCATTTGACCAGGCCATTGCTTTGGGAAGGCCAAGTGCAGCATCTGCTGAGTCTCGAGCGTCTGCAAATGACGTGTCTCCAGTTGAAGCCTCAATTATGGCGATCCTGTAGGGATATTGAGTGCATGTTGCAACCTGCTTGCCGTCGCCTGAAAAGGCCGACGGCCTGTTCCACGAGGGCAAAGGTATAACATATTGACCCAAGGCCGGCAATCCGAGCCCGTCTTCTCGGAGAATTTCGAACTTGAGCTCAACGCCGCTGTCGGAAATCCTCCAAATAGAATGCCCATGTTCGCCATAGGCGTGTCCCACCCATGTCCCATCTGAGGAAAAAGCAGACGTCAAAAGACGACCAGGCGAAATTTGATCTTCGGTGATCCATGACCCCTTGACTATATCGCGGATTGCAACCTTTCCTGACCCAACCAATATACGTTGGCTGTTGGATGAAAATGAAAATCGATTCTGCTGTTTGATCGGAGGTGCACGTCCTTGCTCGAGTGTGAAATCATAAATGCAATCACCCGTTTTCGCGTCAAGAATCCGAACCTTCCCCCTTGTAGACCAACAGGCGAGCCAGTTGCCATCCGGTGAGAAAAGAAGACCAATAGTAGGAGTTCCTAAGACTGAAACTGTGCGAACTGTGCTGAATTCATTTGACTTGGTATCACAAAAATGAATTTCATGGCCTGTAGACAACGCAAGGCAAGTGCTATCCGGGGAAAATGCAGCTGCCTGTACGTCTTCATACGGATACTCCATAGTCTGTAAGCAAACGCCCGTTGCTACGTCCCAGATTCGGAGTGTAGAGTCTTCAGATGCAGATGCGAGCCATTGGCCGTTACCAGAGAAGGCGAGGTTCAATACTGTGGATGTATGGCCTTCAAGAGTCTGGACACAAGCATCCCAGTCTTCCGGAACAGGTAGGTCGAGCCACGATGTTTCAAAGGTATGTTGTTGGAAGGCTTGCCGGGCGATAGAACTCTTAGGACTGAAGAGAAGTCCGGACGTGTAAATTTGCAAAGGAAACAATTCGATTGCAGTCTTGAAACTTAGGACAAACCGATTAGCGTCTTGCAAGACACTGACCAATTCGTGGTATTCTGTACCAATCTGGAACTTTGTTAAATATGGACTCTTGGGATGGGGGATAGTGACATACAAGTAGCTTCTGCAGCTTTTGAATCGCCAGTACTGTAGTAACCACCTCTCCGACCAGTGAGCAAGCTTCTAGCCAGTAGAGAAGCGACGCCTTTAGGAAGTCAAGAGTAGCGGCTGCACTTTCGTCGTCGAATGTCAAAATGTGGTCGGCCCAATAGCAACATGCATACTCCACCGGGTCCAAGGGGTCGAAGGCATCCTCTTCGTCAGGAATCGGTACTTCTGCACTCGGTTTCTTAAGATCGTATATATCGTATTTGAGCGTCTTCTTCATCGTTTCCAACATTGTAAGTAGAATATTATGGTGATTGTGAAGAATACTCTTCGATAGTTGATCCTCGCTCTCCGCTTCCCAGACAAACTCCTTCGCAAGCTGGTCTTCCAACAGAAAGTCCTTGGCGGATTGATGTACAAACGACACTACGTCATCTGAGACAACTAGGAAACCTTTGCAACGCAAGACCTGCCTTTTAAGAGCGTCAAGTCTATTCGAATGCTGAGAGAGTGACTTAGAACTGGATGACAGCTCTGCCAATGACATCGGGCGATGCGCCAGGGTAGCAGCTGCTAAAATATCCCTGCACTGTGAAGCATGACTGGAATTCATAACCTCTTGTATCATGCGCCTGTAAAGGTCCTTTAAGCCAGATGGCAATCCCTTGAGTATATCGAGAATCTGCCATGGCTCGACATCCTTGCTCTCCAATCTCTTGCAAGCCAAAGCCACCCAGAGAAAGGTGTTGCCCGTCTTTTCAGTGAAGATCTCGTTAACCTCAGGCGGGATCTCCGCATGCTTCTTTTTCTTTTTTAGCTCTTCAACCTTGTGCTTGATAAATGCATCAACAGCCTTTTTGATCGACTGCTCAACTTCTTCATTATCTTCCAGAGATAGAATAAGCCGTCGGGGGCTAATCGATTCGTCCATGATGGTGTCTTCGATTTCTACCCAATTGCGACTCGAAACAATCCACTTTATTCGAGAGTCCTTATCGGCGCAGATATCCACGATAAGATCAAGAAGCTTGTCGTTGTCTTTGATGCACTCGTCAAGGGCATCAATCACAATGGTGGTGCCTTCTGGGACGTGATTGTCTCTGTCTGACACCATTTTCTTCAAGATGCCAGACAGAACCTCCCATTTGTTTGGTCCATCGAACGCTTTTCGACCTGAGTTGTCAAATTGAGTGCGCACATGGGTGATAAGATCAGGGTGTTGACAGGCAAGGCTCCAGATCAGGCCGCGAAGAACTGCTGTTGCATCATTCTGATAATTCTCAGTGGCTTGGCAGAAGAAACACGAGATAAGGTTCGGCGTCATCTCATCAAGGCGATCAATGATGCCACAGAGGAGCATTGTCTTGCCTTTCCCAGGGTCACCTTTGATCCAAAGCAGTCTTTGATCAGGGTCTTGTTGCCAGTTCTGGAAACCCTCAGTGAGAAAAATCCACGAATAACAATGGGGCAAAGGTGTACCCTTGTCATATTCGATCTGCGTTTTGTCCATGAATGGATTGGTTGTATAAAGATCCTGGAAGCAGATCTTGTCGCTCTCGTCCTCGTTAAGCTTTTGTAGCTGCTGAGTCTGGCGATCAATAGCCTTCTCGATGTTCTTGACACCAATGACTAGAGTCCCGAGTCTTTCGCGTGATTCTGTCGTATTGTACTTCTGAGACATTCTTTCGAATTCTGCCTCTGAGGCCTCGATGTCCGTGAGCTTGCCCCCCCAATAGTCTATGTAAACTACACTCTTGAGGAAAGCAGTGGCGCGATTCTTGTGAAAGTAACAGATACTCTCTATGAGGTAAGAGAGAAACTTTTGATACAGATCTAGCACATATGACCTGAGGTCCTGTCGCAGGTTGGACAATGCGGTTATCCTGATGTCTTCTTTCGCTTTCAAATTGTCTTGGAGGAGAAGCTCTGTTAGGTTCCAGTACCAGTTGACACGAGACAGAACGTGCTGAAGTCCTGCGCGATGGACGCCTGGCTGTTTGGCGGGGTTGGAAAAGACTTCAAGGATGAAGCAAACCCCAACCCAGGGAATGGCAGCTTGCGGGACGGCTGACACGGCTGGTGTGACGAGTGATCTCACCGTGTCAAAGAGCTGCAGTCCATCGTTCACCTTCCCGTAGATCTTGGCTTCTGTTTCAGTCTTCTTCAAACCAAGTTCAACGAGTCGTTGCATGTTGCGCCACCGCTCTTCATAGGAAGTTCCCAGTGAGGCTATATCAGGGTTGTCATTCTTAAGCTCAGTCAAAAGAATCTCTTCATATTCGACGATATACTTATTTCCACCTTTGTGGAGGGTATCGTAAGCCTCATTCCATAGTTTCTCTTGCAGCTCATTCCGTTCTGCCTTATGCTGTGGCTGCTCGTCGACAGGAGGTTGTTCTGGATCTGTAATTGGCTTGGAAATCGAGGGCGGGGTCGGATTGCGGACTGGTAATGTAACCGTACTTGGCTCATCTTCCGATTTTCTTCCCCTGAAGATGTTCTTCCACTTCTCAAGGCGATGCCGGCCAACCATGTTGCGTGATTTATTGATTGATAATTGTGATATCCGACAGGTGAGAGCAAAGGTTTGGGAAAAAGAGAGACTAGCTCTTTACTTAGTCCTTTTTATACATATCCTCCTTACTCTGTAGGGCGGGGTAGTGCAGCTACGAACTATTCAAGCTTAAGTGCGCCGCATAAAGCTATCCTTCGGCGCTTATGCAGTAATACTCGAGGCTTCTGTTGATCATTGTCACATGCTGTTTGCAGATCGTTATTCTAGACCGATGAGATCTTATTGTCAAGTTGCAATTGGGCTTCGATACGCTAATTGAGACATGGCTTAGACTAGTCTCTGCGTCATCGTCCGCTTTTATCCTATAGGTATCTTTCAGCTTTCCAAGCCTGGCTCCAAGTAGTATCCACATGCAGGCATCCAGACCTTTGCAATGCCAGAAACAAAGGCAGCATTACGAGGGACATCACGTGTACTCTATATCTTAAGACTCTACTACACCGATTATAGTAAGGTCTTTGTACCCTGCCTCATCGAATTGATCTAAAGTAAAGTCTAGAACATCAGAATTAAAATCCCCATTGGCGACACCAATTGATCATCAGCTCCGGGGTGATTGGTCCAGCCTCTCTGATCGTCGGACTGTGGCTTTTCGTCCGTTCCATCGAAAATCTCAAAAACTTGCCCGCCTTCTCAGCCTCCAAAAGCCCACGGTACGTATCGAGAAGCTTGACACCCGGGTTCTTGTCCACATTCAAGTCCTTGTCCTTGGTGCTAGCTTCCAATTTCTCAACCCACTCCTCCAAACTGACAATCTTCATTTCATCTCCGTAGAAATTCTTCACTGCAGGCGCAATATCAGACCAGTTCGCCGTTGAAGGGTTGACACCATGGAAGTATCCACAAATCTCTGTTACGGGCTTGGGAGCCGTGATGCCAGCGATGTCTAGAATTAGACCTGAGACATCCTCGATAGGTGTCCATGCGATTTCTTGCTGAGGTCCCAGAGAATCGGGAAGAACGCCGAGATGAACCGAACTTGCAATCAAGCTTGGGATGAACTCCTGTCGATTCCACATTCCCTTCTCAGCTTTTGGTCCTGCAATTTGTCCAACTCTTACTGAAGCAGCATGAATACTGGACTTCTGGACAGCTGCATCAAGTATCAAACTTGACGCGAGCTTGGAGCGACCATAACCCATTTGAGGTAGAGTCATATCAGTGATTGCCTCCTCAGGGACCTTATCAGTGGCCGTCCAGCCATCAACCGTTCCAATACTTGAAATGAAAATGATGGGCACATCTTTGTCTGCCGCGACAGAGAAGTCGACAAGATGTCTTACGCCACGGATGGAGCTCTCAAATGACGATACGCTGATGTTGAAGTTGACGGGCCATGCGTTGTGGATGATGCGGTCGACACGAGCGAGTAGGTTGTCGTACTTGGCTTGACCTTGACCCAAGTCTGGCAACGACAGGTCTGCGTGGATGAATTCGACCTTGGAAAGGTTTTGTGTCAGACCGCGACTTTTGTTGATCGAAGGTTGTCGAGATGCACCACCGTCGTCAGTACGATTGAGGGCGATGACTTTGTTGATAGTAGGGATTCTGCAAAGAGTGTCGAGCATGTAGGCACCCAAAGACCCTGTGCTTCCGGTGAGAAGAACGGTTTGGTTGTCCTCCTCAGGGGACTTTTTGTTAGGTACAGAAGTGGGAAGACCTTCAGCATACTTTGTCACAAGTCTCTCAGTTTCCGCGATCTCCTTTGCCACGTCATCATGGTCGGCACACCCATCCCGAGTACAGAGAATGTGACGAGAAAGGTCTTTTGCTGTAGGATATCGATAAACTACTTGCGGCACAAACGTCGTAGTGTCCAAGTTCGCTGACCGAAGTCCGGCCTTGAGAAGTCTCGTGGCAGTCATGACTTGCAATGAGTCAATTCCTGCAGAGAAAAAGTCCGTGTCAAATTGCAGCTTGCCGACTCCAAGCTTGATCTTGAACACTAAGATGATAGATCGGGCAAGTTCAACTTCATTATCAACATTGAGAACAACGGATTCGTCGTCACCTCCATCAATCTCATCTTTTTCGTAAATATACTCGATAAAGTCCTTGTACAAAGCGATAGTAGATGCCCGTTGGACCGTCTCTTTTCCAGCCCGCGAGAAGGGCAGTGAGGGGTCCGCGATAACAACAAGGTTCTTGATGATTCGTCCATGAGTTACAGTTTTCGAGTTTGCCCTTTCAATCGTAGGCCAAATTTGATCAATCAAGGCTCGGGTTTCGGTCTCATCCTTGGGCACTGCTTCATCAACAGGCTCGATGATCAGAGCCGCTTGGAACTTCATCTGACCCACGACAAGAGCTCCCTTGACAAGAGGATGGCCAGAAACGGCAGCCTCAATAGAAACAGGGTTCAACTTCTCGCCGTTGGAGAAGACGATGATATCATCAGCACGACCGACGTGAAGCCAGTGGTCCTTCTGTGTAGGGTGAGGCCGAAAGATATCCTTTGTGTACCACTCTGAGAGTTCCGGGAATACGTAGAATACGGCTTGGTTTCCGGGATCCGAGGCGTCTTTGCGGCAGATGACAAGTTCGTACTCGTTCGGTCCACATGGGCGCCAATCGATCCCCATGGCGTCGCTGTCAAACACGAAATATTGCCAGAGCATTCGGTCGATGGGGAGATATAGTGCATATGGGAACGCCCTGTATCATTCGTTAGATACTATATCGTTGACAGTATTTGTGTGTAAGCTCACTCTGTTGATCCAATCATACTATTGAGCTTGATACCTCGTTCCACCAAAGCGTCTCCAACTGCTGGAGATAAGTTACCTGCTTGAATGTTAGTAATCACAATGCTAGCGAAGTCCGGGAGACTTACCGCCAGCAAACTTCAAGAACTGAAGCTTAGCCAACGCCTCGATGCCCTTTTCAGAGGCAGCAATACCTTCCACAATGGAGGGAGGTAGAACGACTCCATGAGAACCAGATAACTCCAGACTTTCCAAAACCGAATCAGCACTCAGCGGTTTGTTCATGATTGGCATAACAGTGGTGGAGCCAGTGAAGATTCCTGATATCGTCGCGTAAACACCACCGGCATGGAACATTGGCATTGAAAGAAGAACTTTGGTTCCCTTCTCTCCCCAATCTCCCAGAGCCAAGGGACAACCTTGGAACAGGCCTTTATGTAGCAGGTTCTCAAAGGCGCAAAATGTTCCCTGTCGCACGAGAATCGGTTTGGGGATTCCCGTTGAGCCGCTAGTATGCAGAACAACGAGAGGATCCCAGCGAGATTGTTCGATGGACCTGTCATAGGGGAATGGCGAAGAGCCAACATTGAGGAAATGGTCAAGACTGTCAATAGTACATGCTTGCATGCGGCGCTGATTCAGGCACGGTTCCATCATCGCTCGCATCGAGTCAGTACAGTACAAGACATGGCAACGCGTGTTTTCAAAAAGCGAGAGTTGAACGGCAGTTGTGTTGCGAGGTGAAATGAAAAGAGCTTTAAATCCAGCTTTGATGCACGCGAAAAGAATTATCGTGTATCGCACATCGTTAGAGCCGATGTAGGCGACGGTGGGAAACTCTTCATCGTCAGGTGATCGGGTAATGGTGTTTGAGAGTGAGTGAGCGAGATAATTGATGGCGTTATTGAGTTGGACAAAGGTGACGGGTTTCCAACTATCTTGAGCCTTGTCTGATGATGGAATCAACACAAATGGCCTCTCTGGATCTTCTACGGCGATTTTTTCGATTAATTTGATCAAAACGCTGTTTTCGCCATGAGCTTGTTTAGATAGATGGTTTGAAGCGCCGCCTGGAGCGGGAGCTTCAGTATGTTGAATATCGCGTGGCACAGTCATATTTGGGTTTTTAGAAGAGTTAATGATGGAAGAATTAAATTATTTGGATCTGGTCAGGACCAACAGCCAAGCCTTATATGCTGTTGGTCCTGCTGTTGGTTCTGTTGATCCAATTACAGTAGGTTCTTCACAGCAGGAACCAACATAGCCAACAGGGCCAATGGAACCAACCATTTTGCCTAATTTCCGCCTCATTCTTAAAATCCCGCGGAGTTTTGACACCGCTGATCAAGTTTCGAGCTATGGTGATTCGGGATGGTTGGATTCTGTGATCTCATGGAAGCAAAAAAAAAGCCTCGAGATGACCGAGAGATCTTCAGCGTTAAACTGTCTTCGTGGGCCAATTACATGCTCAGATTCATTCTTCAATTTACCTATCGTGACGTGGCTCGGATGTTTGTAGCCGATAGTGACATGCGTAGTTTATTGCACAAGATACTGTCGACTGGCCTAAAAAGACATCAAAGTAGTTATTCGGTCGATCAACGGAAAGATCGGTTATAAATGGATATTTCCTATTTGCGATCGGCCCGCTCCACGCGATATACGAAATCGGACATTTAATTACGACAAAGTAACCCAAGACAAGGCAACCTGCTCAGTGAAACTTGGTAGAATTTGCCGAAAGAACCGGTTTCGAAAATATTGCTCGGAATCGACGTTAAAAAGTGTATTTTATGGCTCGAATGAAAGTTGGTGTATTTGGTCGAAATTGTCGAAATTGTGGTACTTGGGACTAGCGGCGCTGATTGATGCGGTGATGCTGTCGTATCGATGTCGATCAGTTTTGAAAACCTGTCTAGTGTCTCTTGACCGCGGAGTTATTTCTCGACCGACGGATTTTCCATGGACTTTAAGTAATGACTCAGATAATAGATAGCTGGATGAAACATGCATAGTGTGTTGAGAATTAAACTATATAAAGTGCAGTACAGCACAATATTAAGATACTAAAGTACTTACTCATGTTTATTCAAGTCTCACAGATCGAAGTAGTTATCATCTGACTCATCAGGTGACGCAATATCACGTGACTTATCCCAGCATGAGTAATAAAGTCGAAGTAACCGAAATCTTACACAAGAAACCGCGTAACCTTCAACCCTACAATCCATCTCTATCAGATGATGTGGCTTAGTATTTCGATTTTTCTTTGGTTGTGCTAACGGATAAGACCGACATAGCAACGGCCTCATTTGAGAAATACATGGTCAGGACCCTGAAGAAGCCATTTATAAAGATGAGGGCTCGATGACATGACCATATGTTCATTGCTTCTATGTTATCATCTTGTGAAAGAGGAGCAGATTTCCGGTCCTATTGACCAGATCCCAAGTGGACTACTTAGCAGTGCTTTTATATTGTGTGAGAATAAGGTTGCTCTATGAGAGCTCCATGTCGTGATAAAGCTACATGGCGAAAAAGGCATGTTACCCTAGAGTTCCGGCCATCCAGTGAGATACTGAGATGATACATGGAGCTTAGCCGTGTCAGTCTAATGTTAGTGCGCTCTGACCCCTGTCCCCGGTGGCCAATGGTAAAACTTAAAAGCTCAACAGTGTCTCTCCACTACTGGATGTTTAGCGGCTAAAACCGGCTCCAAGAACATGCAGTTTTACAGTGAAGTGGCATGGGCCTAACGAAGAGTGGGTTACTGATGGCATTAACAGTGGAAGAATGGAAAGTAAAATAGGCTCTACGAAACACTTTCCCAAAAGAACACAACTTTCTACTGCTAGGGCTACATACTACTCGTTAGTTTCCACGTGGCAATCAAAGTGCCGAACTGGGGCTTGTTGATCCCACTCATTTGAAGAGCAATAACCGATCTCGGGCAGTTTATTAGCCCCGCTCATATAATTCAATCCCCTGAAGTTGCATACTGGAATGAAGAATTAATGACTTTAGTCTCAAATATATGTAGCGGCATGTAGAATATACCACTACTTCATTTCAATTTAACTTTGTGATGAACCGGTTCCGTAGATCTGCCCGGTTTCTTCAGAGACCAATTGATGAGCAATGTCAAGTTCCAGCTGGGTTCTATCCGTATAGCCGAGACCTCGGTTTCATTCAATGCATCTACAAGCCCTGCCGATCTTCGGGAATCGAGGAACCGAATGAGATGTGGACCCTATGATCTACGGCTCGCGCCTAGGCTAAACTCCATAGAACAAAAAGCGATCCGCATTGCTGGCCCGAGTTGTATTTCGGTGTTTGGCTAAGAGAAATGGTCTGACTTAACTCAGGCGGACAAGAACCCTGGTTCCACATCGGTTCCTTACCGCGCCAACCGTCCCATCGTCCGGTAGAAACAGTCCATTACTAAACCGTAGTTGTTATATGTGAACACGCAGGCCAGATAATTGGAAGACATATCCATCTGGCATGCGGATTAATTGTTTCCTTGGGAATTCTTTGCTTGGCCATTACACTGGTTGACTTTCACTGCTCACATAAACTTGCCGACCTGGAATTCAATGAGATCCACTGACCCAACCCTTCCTAAGCTTGAACTTGCAAATAGGATGGGGAAAAGAAGGTATACTAATTTGGTACTAACTAAACATGTGGATGCTTGCCCACTGCCGGTAGTGCTCAGTAGAATGAATCGTAACTCGCGCTTACCAGACCTCAACATGAAAATCCGTCTGTGCAGGTCTGTGCAAACACAAACTAACAATACTAGGCGCGCTCTACACTGTGGATTGCCCCTCAGTTACTCTGCTCGTTGTCTGATGAAAAAATTATTAATTGAAAATTTATTCAGGGGTCGTCGTTAATGCTTATATTTGCTCTAGAGTGTTTGATCGGAACATATCCAACAAGGTATGTTTTAACGCTACTTATGCATAGATCTATTTATACCTGTATATTACCCTGACGCAACTTTCCGTGTCTATCTTACTTTTTCAAATCCCATCCTACCAAGATTTATGTCAAGATGAAGCTACTTCCCGGCATTATTGCTTGCCTCATAGCTTTGCCTTTGGCTTTCGCCACCCTAGACAATGAGGCCTCAGCAATCATCAGCACTTTGCCCACTTGTGCAGTATGTATCGAATTTGCTTGGCCATTTTTGAGAACTCGCTAACGTTTTGTAGGCGAAATGTCTAGTCACAAATGTCTTGGCTTCAACTTGTGACCTCGACGATTATCATTGCACATGCGAAAACGAACCCCTCCAACACGAACTCGAGAAATGCATTTTGGCAAGTTGTACTATCAAAGAAGCATTGTGTATATTATCGCCCAAGGTCCCTTCCAATACATACGCTTATACACTACCAGTCACGAAAAACGCTACCTCGGTACTATGCGGCGCCCCCGTTCGAGACGTTCAACCCAGCTTTAAACGCATCAACGACGTAATGGGAATAATGTCAGGAATATTCGTCATCTTACGCTTCGGCACCAAGATCATGTATCGAGTTCCTATGGGCCTGGATGACCTCTTCATAATGATCACAATGATCCTTTCCGGCTTTTGCATGTGTATCAACGCTTTCGGAGCTGCCCCGTCAGGTATCGGTACCGACATCTGGACCCTCACTCCCCAGCAGATAACGGATTTTGCCCGTTGGTTTTGGACCCTTGTCCTCACTTACTTTATACTGCAGACAACGATGAAACTAAGCTTGCTCTTCTTTTTTCTTCGCATCTTCCCAAGCAGGGGTGTACGCAAGCTTCTCTGGGCAGCTGTCGTTTTCATTTCTCTCAATGGGACAATATTTGCCCTTGTTGCTGTCTTCCAATGTCAGCCTATCAGTCATTTTTGGCATAGTTGGGATGGTGAACATACGGGCAGATGTGCGAGCGTTAATGGCGTTGCCTGGTCTAATGGTGCTGTTAATATTGCCTCAGACTTTTGGATTCTTGGTATTCCGCTTTCTCAATTGTCCAAGTTAAACTTGGACTGGCGTAAGAAGGTCGGTGTTGGGATGATGTTTGGCGTCGGTACCTTGTAAGTGCATAACCTCTATTAATCTTTCGCTTGAAGTAACATTTTCTCTAATGCATGTGTTTATCTCTAGTGTTACTGCTGTAAGCATTTTCCGTCTGTACGCCTGTATCGTGGCGGGAATCAGCCAAACCAACAACAAATCCTGGGATTACCTCGCTATGGCTCAATGGTCAACCGTCGAGGTCAACGTTGGTATATGGTGTGCATGCATGCCCACAATGCGTGTCCTTCTTATGCGACTATCGGGCCAGTCCAAGCGCTACATCAGCTATGGTAGCCACAAGAGTGGCCAAGACAGTAGCCGAGAAGACCCTAACAGACCTCGCACTAAAACGTATCCCCTGGAGAGGGGATCAGGTTCAAGTGCAAGTGCAACGGCTGTCAAGGGATCGCGCGGAAGGATGCAATCATCTGGGATTACTTGCGATACAATCGTCGAGGTGGAATTTGGTGCCCATGATGATGAGACGCATCTGGTGGAGATGAAGAAATTCGACCATTCTAAGAGTGCCCTTACTTTGTCGCAGTCTGAGGATTCAGTCTAGTCGAGCTGCAATTTCGTATTTGATGTATATTAGAACACCGCAATAAATCAGAAAACAAAATAAAAGTACAAAGTTCTATGATCGTTGAAACCCTAGACTGGAAAGTGAGATATCATAAAACATAAAAGATTACCTCTTGTGTTACGTAGGTCTGAAAAGTGACTAACGACATGAGCGTGTATTCGATCCCACCGCCGATCAAGTCTGCAATAGATTGAGTAACAATAAAATTGGTGCGTCGTCGACTGACGGATTTTCTATGGAAATTAAATGATAATTGAACCAACGATAGCTGCAACATGCTTAATCCCGGAGCCGCCGGAGGAAATATTAATATTGTGGCTGGCTTGCACACAGGTAAACAGACACTCTTTTATGCAAGTTTTCACAATTCGAGGTAAATATTGATTTCTACTCTGCAGTCATCAACACGAGTGGTTGTGTTACACATGGTCCTCAATTGAGCAATCATATTATCATCTGACACTGTTGGGTGAGCTGATTGACTCACAACTCGGTCTCAATTGATTCTGATTTTGGAATTTTCAGCGCGCCACCTCGCTTATTGGCAGTAGGTAAAATAGTCTTCAATGTTAACGTTCCATCGTTTTACTGTCAAATTTGTATGAGTAACTTACAAATGTCGGCGCAATAGTCAACTAGTTCCGTAATGTCCGGGAACAGTCTGGGTACACGTTGGGGCAAATGTTAATGAGCTTTATCTACTCGAAAACGGTACCCTTCATTATTGGATCCCCTCCACACCAAATCTTGGATATCATTTGAAGGAAAGAGCCATCAGAGTGATACAGTTGGCAATGGACAGGACATCAGAGATACATGCAGCTGCAGACCTACACACCGCAAAGACATGCAGTATCAACCTACGTACTACTCATATCAACCACTGAGGAGATTTTGATGCCACCAATTGGACTCCATAACGTAGTTCGTTGAGTGGCCCCAGCTTGTCAAAAGTGTCGATCCCGTCCATCTATGATCTTAAGTTGGTGTGTTCCACTCGACTGAAGGTCCGAGTTGGGCCAAGCCATCATGCAAACACTGGCCCCTTATCAGCTGGAGATGCTTAATTGGAACGTCTCTTGCGAGTGTATGTAGCTGAATCACCAGTCCAGTCGACATCTCCCCGCTTCGTCTTTATACGTACGATTGAGCTTCAGCTATAAATAAGAAGTTTCTCCACCGTTGTAGTTTTTTCTCAAGTGCGACGTGACACTATCTTTGTTTGTATTAGTTCTCATAGATCTTCGTCGGCCCGTCACTCATCATGTTAGTCAACTCCGCTTAGTGCAATATACACACTGACACACTACAGGCTCCTCAGCACCATCATCTTGGCCTTCCCATTGGCCGTCGCTTCGTGGCCACACATCGAAGCTTGCCGCAAAGCCTGGCCTGGTGAGCCTTGTTCCGCCTTTGACATGTCCACGTACACTAATGAATGTCCTTACAGCTGAGCCTTGTGCCTATATCGCCGGAAACGCAATGGTACTAGGCACCTGCGAGAGCGTATGCGAGACCACCAACTGTCCCAATAACCTAGTCTGCAAGCCTCGACGTTGGACTCGTCACTGCGACAATTGTGGCGGTGACCTCAACACAGGTGGCAATCGTGGAAGTACTCATGGAACTGATCATGGTCCTACCATCCTCTGAGATGAGAGACCACCTCCTCTGCCGGACGAGTGGGAGAGGGTGAAGCTTTTGGTAGAGGAGGTTTTGAAGATTGTGCAAAAGCATGCTCAAGCTGATGAGAAGAGTGAGGGCAATGCTGCATTTGGTGGCTTGGCTCGACTGTTCTTGACATACTTGGCACAGATATTACAAATGTGAACATAGTTTTGCTACTTGACGTTTGTTGAACGTTTATATACGAGATGAATGACTGTCTCAATTATCTGCGATGTATACCTACAATCAATCGCTATCTGGACAGCCCATCAATCGAATCCTAGCTCTACTGCCTTACCACTTTCTTGAGTCACTGTCTCAAAGACTTAGCTACCCTCTTTCAGATAAGAAGATATTCCAACCTTGAATATCATCATCCTATTCTCTAATGGCCCCAACATAGAGATCGCCTAGGTGCGGGGGCCGCCATGGTATGTAAGAATGCCGTCCCGGTTTGCAATGTGCCGATCTCCCTTGATTAGCAAAGCCCGTAGATGAAAACGAATGTAGCAAGACCTACTTAAGTCAATAGAAGTATCAGTCGTTCCACCACTATAGTTGACGCATCTAGCATGCAAGACAGTGCCTTTCATACGTAGGTCCCTACAGCTTCCCCCCATACCACCACTGCTATACCAAATTAGCAGAGTCTACCACGTAAAGAACGGGAAACATACTTCAGTCGAGCAACCAGATTGCCTTCGTCATTAGCAAATAATTTGCTGATATTGATGAAGACGGCAACGCTCCAGGCACCATTTATCTTGCGACAGCTTGCTTGGAAAGTAGTACGGTCTTGTGGATAGTTGGCGTTGCCACCCGGCCGATGAACACCATAGTCCTGACAAGTTGCAGCAAAGTCTGAATCGGCAACTACACCAAGAGACCCTAGTGCGAGGAGAGCAAGAGTATTAATCTTCATTATGATAGTTGTTCACAAATGATGAGAAGTAGAAGGGATAGAACCAACGTGGCTTGTTGCAAAACTGAAAATCTTTCGAGGAATATGGGTCCTCTTATAGACAACGTTCCGCTTCACTAATATTTCTTGTCTTTTTGTAAATGAACTTTCTAGTTCCCCAGCGTCCTATATGGAGACCAAATTTCATCACCCTAACTTCACATCAGCTCACAGTGATATGCCTTCTCGTCTATGCGCAGTAATCCTGGGCATCAGCGCCTAGACTTGGCTCCGGCAGAAGCCATAACGGCTACCACGGAGCACATACGATATTAACATGCAGCTGCAAATCAGATATAGAGAAGACCCATGGTACAGAAAAACAAACGACCAATTGCCCAGAAGCACCGGAACAAGAAGCGAAAAGCACCCAAAGCACTAGGTTGGGGACTCTAGACGCCCAATTACAAAGCTAGACAATATGCCCTAATCGGTACAAGACGCTGTAAGCTCATTCAACGACATCCCCACTAGTATCACGTCAGATACATCGACAATAACCTGAAGAAGAGAACTGCGAACCGATCGACTGCACATGACATGAGAACCCTAAAGATGAAAAAAAATAAAAAAAAATGAACCAGAACTACGTCAGATGGAGCAGGGGACACAGGTCTTGACAATCATAGAAGGAAGTTGATGAACAACAGGAACACGCCAACACCAGAAAAAAAAAACAAGAAACGGTGCACCTACGGAGCATAGATAGACAAACAATAAAATGGCCGTTCGTGACCCAACCAGGATTTGCAAACGAATTTAACCAACAGGGTCAAAATAGACCTCCCCTAGCATAATCAATAGATATTGTGTAATATCTTGAAGGTTAATAATGAGGTAATAAATAACCTGAAGTGTGTTTTTAATTGTAACTACTTGTAGAACACAGCCACTACGCTAATCGCTATCTGAAACACCCCATAGATTGTATCCCGGCTCTCGAGTCACAAACCCCACGAGCGACCTGACATTGTCTTGCGTTTCTGCTTCAACAGCTGAATTAGCCGCCAAGGCTTTGAGGTCAGAAAATAACCCATCCTTCAACATCACAACCTTGTCCTCCGTTGGTATCAGACCTAAGGATCTCCTGTATCGCTCGAATGTTGACGAATCGGCACGTGGGATTATTGCACGTAAGCAGGCTTCCAGAGAGGACGATTTATTCGCGCAGTCTTTGAGAATACCCTTCAGGGCGAGCGTGTCTGGTGAAGGCTCTATACTCCATGGGAAACCTTCTTTTGCTTTATCAAAGGCGCCCATGATCCAAGGGAGTTGTGAACAGAGTGTTTGAATAGATAGAGGTAAAGATTGAGCGTCTGAGGCTTTTTCGCAGATTTCGATAGCCGCTCTGAGCGTGGTTGTTATATTTGAAATGAGATTGTGCAACTTCATGATTGGCATGGTGACAGTGTTTTTCGAGATAGCTGAAAGTCACCTCCGTTAATGTTAAAAAGATTGGTGAAGTTTTTAATTCTTTTTCGTATCTTCCATGGAATTTCTTGTCGTGATGATAGAGAAAATAAATACCTGTGGTGCTTTGACTTGTAACTCACTGTGGAACATAGCCACTGCACAGCCTGGTTTTCTTTGCCAATGGACAACTGACAACGAATTGAGGATCACTCAGATCTTGGCAAAGTGTAAGGCATAATAAGAACTTTTCATGTTGCTGATATGTCAATTTCTAAAAGGCAGAATAATTTAACAAATTGTCAGCCTTGGTGTTTACCTTGGTTGTGGATAATTGAGGATACATCATGATTGGGGAATATGGCGAACAATTACGCTCACTGAGTCTGCCTTGACTTGAATGAAAAAAGGATGCCACGTTTAAGGTAGACATTTTTCGGAGTCGCTAAATTAATGGTAGTTGTCTGCTTCTTCAGAATACTCGTACTACGAGGGGATACCTAATTGTTACATTTTGCCGGAGATTCAGCCTTGGTCTTTGTAACACAGGCCTATTGGACTGGGTTTGAATTGAAATGAGACCTAAATGCCTGATCTCATGGTGTCGGAACAATTGACCGATGTTGTTACGAGAGAAGAAATCAGTAAGTCTGTTTGTGGCAATCGGACCTGACCTTTATGCAGTTTACTTTTACCCTCTGAAGCTCACATTTCAACTTTTCTATTACCTGCTAGCTTGAACACTGTAGATAACAGCTGCCGTTGAGAAAGGGAGACATCGGCTATACGGCAACCTAAAAGGCACGACGGATCACCTACAGTTGAAGTGTCTCACCAAGTGGGGAGAAAATCTCGTGTACGGGCCAGTTCCATGAAGAGGCTCGCTGATAAGTGGTCATTGAAGATCCACATCATCAAATTTTATCTAATCGATCAGATAATCAGTGGTGATCTATCCACATCTAAGCGGGTATGGCCGGAGGATCAGACGCTACGCTCACATATGTGTTCGATCTGACCATTGATATACCCTTATGAGCTGAGCATTTGGCCACATATACGGAGCTTATCAGATCCTTCAGCTGCCAATGGCCCGAATATCGCAGGAGACCATTTCTATTTGGTTTAGCATGACGCCTAGACAACAACGTCTAGCAGAATCTGTTAATAGTTTTCAAGTTTAAATAGCCACGCCGCCTCTTTCGTATGTTGTTGTTTATAACAGATGCAAAGCACTCGTCAAACTCAAACCATCACCACTATGTACTCTCCCGCTGTATGCATCTCCCTTCCCAGTGATAGTTTGCGTTCTTTAACTAACACATCATGTAGAAACTCCTTGTTGCCGTCATGGCCCTCACCACTTTTTCCTCGGCCAGTCCTGTCGCCGAGAAGAGCAACACTCAGAACCTCGAGGCTCGTGGTAACTGCTTAGGTTACGCGAATTATGCAGCCTGTGCTTCTGGTCGTCGACGTTCTTGCCCTCACGGCGCTGGACAGAACCAGTGCTTCACTGCCGCTTCGCGTGTCTGTCAGGAGAACTGCTAAATGCTGCAGAGCTCAGTTCTTGTTGGGTGGATTATACACGTCATAAGGGGTCAAGAAAAGAAGCATAATGATTCTGGTCAGAATGAGTTTATATAGAATCTACATCTCTGTTGAAAATAACATTATAATCATCTCTAATAGGTCACCAGTGTCTGTTGCTCAAGTTTGACGTGAATGACTCATTCTATCTCCCGGCTTGTCCCAAGTTGAGGAATTCTGTTTTAGGAGAGCTTCCGGGGGGATGAGACCGCTGATAATACAATCAGAAATTCTGTTACTTGCGCCTTGCACGTCAAGCGAGCTATCAACTGCGACTACAGTACCATATTGAAAACCGGTGCGCTGGTGCATAAGCCCACCACGGAACGGTGCTCTCACTAATGCACCTTCGACGAAAAACGCGTCCTCAGTGGAGCCGGACATGCTGGAGCTACGTGCAATATCTGTGGATTTTCCAACTGGGCTCTAAACAATCGCAGATGTGGAAGTTCTGTTAGTTTCGAAAGACAGTAATGATGGGCTCGAAGTAGCCATGTTCGGCTATTGACCTGGGACCCGTAGCAAAACGTCATCCTAGCCTGCAATTTTAAAACAATAAGCGGAAGTCATTAATCTGAAACCACCCGGCACATCTAACAATTGGATTCCCCACATAGTAATATCTGGGTCCTGCTAATCTGACAATCCAATTGCGGGCTCTAGAACGTTCTCGATGGCGTGGTTGCCCAGACTATTGATCTGTAACATTCGACTAATCTTTGGGGGCGTATTGTGTGGAGATTGGTCGGTCGGAGCCTCGGACTGGGTTATCGATCGAGGTTTACGTCTTTTTGATTTAGTATAAATGCATTGTATCACGAGCCTGGCATTGTCCATATGGTTATTCCTTAGATCATCGAACACGACCAATGGCGCACTCTGTACATGTCCTCTTTGACATTGTCTGACGAGTTGCTGATATTGTCCTGTGAATTGCCTTGTGTCGCTATAATACCTCTTGACGTGAGAATGGTTTGCAATCAAGTATATTTGTGGATATAATAGTGTTAGTTAACTTTTTAGATGTGATACCCTGTACAAACCGACGTCTAGACCCTTCACATCACCGAGATTGATCTCGTATTCTATAATGAGTAGCTCCCTACTAGAGCCTGTTAAGTTAGTCGCGAAGCTAGATGGCCTTGAATATGCATTAAAAAGAATTGTCCCAGTTTATGACCATGGGTATATATTTTTAGTCTTAGATGTAGGGAATGCTTGTGCAATTTAAACCTGATAGTTAAGGGTCTCTGGTTGGGGCGATTATAAACAGAAGCCCTTGACCCCTAAAGCAATGTATCCTCTCAATGTTTAGTTGTGTCTCAAGACCTTTTATTTGGTCCCTATACGCGTGTGTGCTTTTATACGCGTATATGCAGGATATGCTAGTCCAACCCTGGAAACGCTATTGTCCACGAGCTTGGATCTCGGCTGGACGGCAGGAGTAAGTCTCCATGGGCTAGTGATAATCGCAATAGCACAGACTCATTTCCGCTCTCGCCCCAGTCACGTAGCCAGTAAAGAGATATCAAGATTATGCTTGGTGGAAGAATAGTATTCAAGCTGGTAATAGGCAAATCACGATTACATATATATTCTCAATAGCCCTTTGCGCAGCTCCTCTGATCTTATCAAACATCTGTCTATCACTTTCGTTACTTGTCCTTCGTTCTTTTATCTTTCTTTACGCCAAGCACGCCGGCAGCTGGAACTCCGGCCTTCCACTCGTTTATTCATCCTCGTTTCTTCAAAGCGACTATCAGTCAGCGTTATGCGTTTACTCAATGCATTTGTCGCCATCGCGGCCTTCCTTCCTGCTTCCCTCGCCGCGTTGCCCACCAAAGCCGAAGGGTTCGCTTCCGGTACTACTGGCGGCAAGGGTGGCCAAGTTGTTCGTCCTCGCAACAACCAAGAACTCGTCAATTTTCTCAAGGATAACACCCCTCGAATCATCTACCTGGAGCGTACTTTTGACTTCAAGGGTTCAGAGGGTAGTGCTTCCGAAACTGGATGCGCGCCTTGGGGTACTGGCTCACACTGCCAGCTCTCCATCAACAAGAACAACTGGTGCACCAACTATAACCCTAATGCTGCCAAGGTTAATGTCAAGTACGACAAGGCCGGCTTGAACCCCATTTTGGTCGGCTCTAATAAGAGTATCATCGGTGTCGGCTCTAAGGGAGTTATTAAAGGCAAGGGACTTCGTATGGCTAATGGTGTCAAGAACGTCATCGTTCAAAACATCCATATCACCGATCTTAACCCTAGCCTGGTCTGGGGAGGCGACGCTATTACCCTGGATGGGACTGATAATATCTGGATTGACCACTGCACTACTTCCTTGATCGGTCGGCAGCACATTGTTCTAGGTACTCAGGCTAGTGGTCGTGTCTCCATCACCAACAACAAGATCGACGGTCTTAGCAACTGGTCAGCTAGCTGCAACACTTACCATTACTGGGGTATCTTGTTCCTGGGCTCAAATGACGTAAGTGTCTACATCTGAAAACACGAATGTATGGTTGACTAATATCTTGTAGCTTGTTACATTCAAAGGCAACTATATGTACCACGTCTCCGGTCGCGCTCCCAAGGTCGCTGGTAACACTGTTCTCCACGTTGTCAACAACTATTTCCACGACATTTTCGACCACGCATTCGAAGTCGAGGACAAGGCTCAGGTTCTTATCGAAGGAAACATTTTCCAGAACGTCAAGAACCCTTCCAAGCCTGGCAATAAAGGCCGTATCTTTAGCGTCCCTACCGCTGGTGCTACTGGTGTATGCAAAGCTTCGCTCGGACGTGCATGCCAGATGAACGCTTTCGGAAGTTCTGGTACCATGCCTGGTGATGATTCCGGGTTTCTCGGAAACTTCAAAGGCAAGTCTATTGCGGCTGCCGGTAGTGCACAAACCGCCAAGAACGCTATGACTCAGGCTGGTTTTGGTGTCGCTTAAGCGGTTGTGCTTTTGGAAGTGAGTGGTGTGGTTTTATTTCGTTCTTGGGGTGACATAATTACTGTTGGCGGTGGTTTGCAGTATGTTTAGGTTGAAAATAATGCAGGCCACTGTTTTCACGTTGCCTGGATTTACAAGTTATTTGTAACTATTGGCCAGAAGTTTAGAGCATAGTCAGATAAGATTTTGTATGAATCCTTTTATTCTTTCAGCTCTTGTGGTCATTATTTGTAAGGTTTATCCTACCGCTCAGCTTGCCATCTTCAGTGACTGAAGCATGATTTCTTGACATAACGATGTTTTTTATCATTGTCCCGCTATAATTCCAGCATCTAGTGATTTCCCGTCGTGGTCATCGCAACTTTGGCCGCCACTCGAACTACCCGCAGGCTAGCTGTCTGACCCTCTTGATTGATCTGTCCGAGACTAGCTTTTTATCCACAAAGAAAGATTAATATCGCGCCTTGTTCAACATATCGATGTTTACCATCTTTCCAGTCGTTCAAATGTACTCATTGATATGACGAGTAGTGTTGTTGCTGGTCTACTATCATGGTCACGCAGTGGTCTTGAGTGCTGACTGGGTGCTTAGCCGTATAGAATGTTCTTGACTTGAGAAGCTATAAGCTGGGCATTTCTACGTCACTGTTGCCATATCCAACCAGGCTGCGTGTAGCTTCTTCTCGTATGAGGCCTGAAGCTAGCTGGGTCCCAAGTGGCCACACAGTTCGTTCCAGATCACCATGCCCGTCTTGACCAGCTCGTTCATCCTCATATATATAACTCCACTATCTTTCGATTCTCCCCAACTACTGACTATCTGCATGGCAGACTGCAACTAACAAGATTGCTTGGGTGGAGTCTTGATAGCATTGCCAGTAGGGTTGATGTAAGCTCTCAGCTTACTAGTGCCGTCGCACTTGTTCTTGACCGCCTGGATAAAGCTCTGCGTGTTAAGCTTGGCCCCGTCCCAGTTAGTGTGAGTGTTATCTTTGGGAAAGTAAGATTTGGCCTTGTCGGGACCAAAAGACTGAAACAAAGCGACCGAATACTTGGTATGGTCGATGAATTCGACTCCGCTAGCTTTAGCCACACTTTTAGCAGCATCTGCAAAGGGCCATTTCGACTGTAGCGTGCTACCAGTCCAATAGTTCCGGTTGACCATACCAGAAATGATTGGCGTAGCTCCCTTAGCCTTGACATCGCCAATCATTTTGCGAAGGTACCAACCGAATGTGTGAACGACTTCGGTTGCGCCTGTTGTTGTGGTGACAGTAACAGTCTCTTCACCGATTCCAGCTAGAGTGGCACGATCGGATGTTTTGGGGTCACCATCATCGTTGTGGCCCATTTCAATGATAACTATGTCGTCTTTGGCCGTGCTCGATAGTAAGGCGCTCCATAGCCCTTCATTGATAAAAGACCTGGTAGAGCGACCATTTCTCGCCAGATTCGAAACAGTCAAGCTCAAGTAATCTTCGAGATAAAAGCCCCAACTATGAGCCGGCAAGAAGTCATGTCAGCGATGATGATTGATAGAGGTTCTATGCATTTCTTTCAGCCGAGAACACTTACCCTTGTAGAGGATCTCCCGAGGCATAATTAGCAGTCGTGCTATCAGAACAAATTAGTACTTTTGCAGCCTTGGCGGATACTACAAGCGATGCGGCGCTGAATAACTTGAAAAAATGCATGTTGCGAATCTTGATATAAGAACAGGCGTTGATGGCATCTATGCAAGTACAATGGATAGCGGCATATCTTTATAGTTACTCGCCGTCGTATACACAGCTCACTTTCCCATGCAGAAACGGAAGAAAGTCCTATTGGTGGGTAAATCATACATGATCGTAGCAACCTAAATTCCCTAATAGAATAGTTCGGAACGAACGGGATTTACTTAGTGTCCCAATCAAGTAGTTTGAGCCTCTGGGGCATAGACTATGGGTTTTAGTGCGAGTCGGTTATGAAACATGAAACCACTGGGATGCGGCGAAGGGATCATCATACATAGGAACCCTTGCTTCCCCGCATCATACAAGTCTAGACTTGAGCCTTCGACTGGAAAAAGGAAATAGCAAAGTAAGTTACCGTATCAATTTGTGAAATTCGGTAGCTTAGTAGGCCCCAAGCTAACAGCCGTTTGACCAATGGCATGATGACTATTCTATATAGTGTTTCTGGCCAATTAGCTAGCTTGGAAAGGACCCATTAAGCTACAGAATTTCACAAGTTCATACGGTAGTGAATACGATTACAATTAAACAACAACTGTAACCGCTGGTAGATTTCCTCTCATCAATTACTCAATAAAATAAAATGAGTCTTACGTTTACTACTCTCGACGTCTTTACAAAAACTGCCTTTGAGGGCAATCCATTAGCTGTGGTAACAATCCCACCACCGAGCCAGTGCCCCCCTCTCACTCAAGACCAAAAACAACGCATCGCCCGCGAATTCAATCTTTCAGAAACTGTCTTTGTCCACGATGTTGAGAATCGATCCGAGTCAAGCAGGAGAAAAATTGACATATTCACTCCGAAAGCGGAACTGCCTTTTGCTGGCCATCCAACAATCGGCACTGCAATCTTCCTCCGTTCCCAAGGTGTCAAGGCCATGGTTGTGAAAGCAGGAGAAATTGACCTTGAATTCGATGCCACTGGCTCTGCACGTGCCGCTATTCCACACAACGTGCGACTTCACACCCATCGTCTCATTCAGCCCGAGTATGAAGCTGGTCCAGATAACAAGATCGCTCAAGTCTCTGCAGCTGAGATTGGCGCGCGACTGTTCAGCATTGTCAACGGAATGACTTTCGCGCTAATCGAATTACCATCTCTGGATATGTTGGCCGCTGCAAAGATCGGAGCGATGTCATACATCTCGGGAGACTTGCAAGATGAAGGGTGGAAACATGACTTTGACTCAAGAAGATACTACTTTGTACTTCTCAACAGCGAAAGATCCTCCGATGGGAATGGAATTCTACAAAAGGTGCGAACAAGACTCGTCAAGCGCACAATGGAAGATCCTGCTACGGGAAGTGCTGCGTGTGCATTGGCTTGCTATTTGGCACTTCACAGGCTATCTGATGACTACATTCAATTTAGAATCACTCAAGGTGTTGAGATGGGTCGGGAAAGTTTAATTCTGGTTGATGTTGTGGTTGAGAAGAACGGTGATGGAGAGCGTAAGGTCAAAACCGTTCACCTTGGGGGTAATGCGGTAGAAGTCATGAGTGGAACCCTGCGAATCCCCTAAGTATAGCCTTCTTACTCCATCATTTTCAAAAAAAAATATTTTGTCAACGTACATACGGAATGCTATAATTACACGGCTTGAACAGCCATGAGTATCGGTAGGTTACCAAATTTGAAAGCAGGGACTAAAGGCACCTGATATAAACCCAACCCAAGGACTCAAAGAAGAGGATTAGCTTTGCAACAAGAGCAACCAAGAAAGTGTTGGGTAAGTGAGCTTTAGAACCTAATCTCAGGAAAATGGAGATTCTGTCAGACTCGCAAAGAAAACACAATTTGACGGTAGTTGATGGTGATGTCGTCAATGTGGCTTTGGAAGGAACATATTGTTTGGTGTAATTGGCCAAGGTCTGTCGTAGTACCGCTCTTGACTTGTCTTTTTCAATATTGGCCTAGTCATCGATAGAAGTATAGTAAGATTAAATATAACATTTGAAGAGGAGAGGGACATACTTTTATCCAACCCGACGGAAAACTCATGCAATTATAATCTTTCAAAGACTGTCTTTGTCCACGATGTCGAGAATCGATCCGAATCAAGCAGGAGACAAATGAACATCTTCACTCCGAGACGGAATGACTTTCTTAATGGACCACAGACTCAAAACTAGCTCTATAAGTCCTTAAACTTCTGCGCACGAGCGCTTACATAGTGGACTAATATTAATAGCTAATTAGTGGAGAAATCTCGTATTCTTCTAGGATAATATTGGTGGAAACTATTATTCCGGATTAAAAAAAGAGACCTATTACTATAGTTTTATAAATGCTTACCCTTGTATTTGTCTAGCTTAGTAATTAGACAGCTATTGTAACCCTAGCGAGACTAGTATACAACGATGCGGGATAAAATAGCTACTAGGGCTATAATATTTATTGTAATTAGCGGTACTGTTGCATGTCTACCAATCTAAATTATTACTATTTTCACGAACAAGATGAAGCTCCAATTCATGATGCTTGGTTTGGAAGCTTCATTTGCCCTTAAATCTGTACATGCGGCGAGTGATAGTAACGCGACTCCTTATTTTCCCATTCCAACCAACTCGCCCAAGACATGGGTTCATCCAGGAGTTTTCGTCTCCGGGCCGCAGCTCGACTACATTGCCAAGAGGATCGAGGCTAAGGAGAATCCTTGGACGGAGGCATTGGATTCCATGCTTAACTCGTCGTACATCTCGCCTACGCGAACGGCCGAGCCATATGAGACAGTCGAGTGCGGACCGACGTCGACGCCCAACATTGGGTGTTATCAGGAGCGCGAGGATTCCATGGCGGCATACATGAACGCATTAGCATGGTGGATTACGAAGGACAAGCACTATGCTGAGAAATCTATCCATTATATGGATGCCTGGTCTAGCACGATCCAAGGTCACAACAACAGCAACGCACCACTGCAGGCGGCCTGGTCTTCCGCTAATTGGGTACGTGCGGGTGAAATTATGCGCTCGAGCTATCAACACTGGTCCAAGAAGAGTATCAAGACGTTCTCTGACATGCTACGACACGCCTACATCCCCCTCATCGAGAACGGCGCCCCGCAGAAGAATGGAAACTGGGAACTAGGTCGGTACACTTCTTCTGTATTACTGTCACTGGCGGATCTGCTGATACTTCGTAGTGATGATTGAGTCTACTATAGGGGCTGCCGTCTTCCTTGAAGATGCAGCTCTGTATGAAAAGTCCTTGGGGTTGTTCTCCGACCGGGTTCCTGCGTATATCTACCTGACCTCGGATGGGAAGTATCCCGTGCAAGGCCGTGGTCGGATCAATACCACGGCGGAGATTATCAAATACTGGTATAATCAAAAAACCTTCCCAATTAGTGGCATCACGCAGGAGACCTGCCGAGATTTTGCCCACACCAGCTTTGGCATCTCATCCATCTCCCACATCGCCGAGACGCTGCGTATCCAGGGTATGGACGTGTGGAGATCCACCGACGTTGGTGCGCGTGTTAAGGCGGCCCTCGAGTTACATACTGCACTGGACTCAAAAGAGAAACCTATTCCTAAGTGGCTGTGCAATGGCACTATTCCCGACACTATGAATCCAAGTTAGTGCCTATACTATTACCAAGAATATTAACTAGCCCGCTAACTCCAGCAGTGTTAGAACCAGCTTACAATGCACTGGCCTTCAATTTGGGTCACAAAATGCCTTCTACTAAGAACGTATTACTGAGTCAGCGTCCAGCGGGTATTAGTGAACATCCACTATTTATTGGATTCGAGACACTGACAAACGCTAAAACGCCATTTCCTTGGGGTAAACGCGGTAGAAGTCATGGTGGAAGCCTGCGTAACCCTTGAGCAAAGTCTTACTCCAATCGATAGTGTCTGAATTTACGTATGTTACAAAGCCACTTCGACAGTAGTAATCAAACTCGGCTTGATTTCCCTAGATCTTATAGATTGAGCGCGTTCGCTGAGCAAGCAAACTTGACTCCAACAGAAGTCCTTAGGTACAAACCTTGGCTTGAATCGATATGTGGATCAATTAAACCTTGCCTCTCACTTTCGGCGCCATTTCGCCGAAAGCCTTGATTAGTTAGATAGATCGCCGCAATTGTTTAATTTCGCCGAATTTACAACTGAGATTTCAATTATGGATTTAAGTGCATCATAATAGAGCTATGATATAAAGTTGATATAAAGGCGGAATGTTTTAACTTGTGTCATGCATACCCACGCCCTCAGGATAACTATCTCGACCGTCTACCGCTGGCACAGAAGTCCATCCATCTATCATATACCCCAAGAAACCTGCAAGCATGCATTACACACCCCGCGAGGTACGCAATACTCTAGCCGCTGGACTTTATTAATGCTAATTCCTTCAAGGTTGAGAAGCTTGTCTTTTCTCAGGCCGGCCATCTTGCCCAGAAGCGACTGGCTCATGGAAAGAAACTGAACCATCTGGAGTCTAGTGTAAGTCGAATTTCCAAGACAGATGTTGACAAGAACTAATTCTTCTAGGCTCTCATCGCTACCGTCCTTCAAGAGGTATTCTCATTTACTAAATTACCGCTTGTTGATGTTACTAACTTGTTAAGATCATCCACAATGAAGATTACTCTGTTGCCGATCTCATGAAAGCTGGCAAAGTTATTCTGGGCCGACGACATGTTCATCCATCTGTCGTTGCTACACTTAAACAGATGCAGGTCGAAGGTACCTTCGAGACAGGAACTCATTTGATCACTATCCACGATCCAATCAGTACTGACAACGGCGACTTGAAGATGGCTTTCTACGGAAGCTTCATTCCAGTTCCCTCTGATGACTTGTTTCCCGCTGTCAACGAGGCAGACTTTCATCCTTTGGCAATGCCAGGTGCTATCCGACCAGCGGAGGCTGGAGACATCATTCTCAATGCCGGGCGTGACCGAGTGAGACTCACTGTCACGAACAAAGGGACTCGTGCCGTTCATGTAAGTCATGCATCAAAGACTGCATATGCATCAAAATGACTAATCGCTCAGGTGGGATCCCACTTTCACTTCATGGAAACGAACCCCGATCTCGACTTTGATCGTGAAAAGACCTACGGCTACCATCTAGACCTTCCAGCCGGCGAATTTCTGCGCTTCGAACCCAATGAGCCGAAACACGTCACTCTGGTTCAAATTGGAGGCTTAAAGGTTATCCAAGGTGGGAGTGGCCTTGCCAAAGGTCCGGTCAACCGTAGCAGCGTCAAGAACATCCTGCAGCAACTCCAACAGGCGGGCTATCTACACTCGCCTAAAGCGTTGGAGGATCAAAACGTTGTTCAGCCATGCTCAATGAGTCGAGACAAGTATGCCTCTGCTTATGGCCCCACGACAGGTGATCTGATTCGTCTTGCGTCTACTGACCTTTGGGCCAAAGTTGAGAAAGACTACACATTTTATGGTGACGAGTGTACATTGGGTTGCGGCAAGACTATTCGTGATGGCATGGGAGCCGCAAGCGGCTGTGCCGATGCTGATTGTCTTGACTTGGCTATCATCAACGCTGTCATCATCGATTGGACTGGCATTTTCAAGGCTGACATTGGTATCAAAGGCGGTACTATCGTTGGCATTGGAAAAGCTGGTAACCCAAGTACAATGGATGGTGTTTCTGATAACATGGTAGTTGGATCAAACACGGACATCATCGACGCCGGTGGTAAGATCGTTACCGCTGGTGCAATTGACACTCATGTCCACAACATTTGTCCCCAGCAGGCATTCGAGGCGATCTCATCCGGTGTAACGACTCTCTTTGGAGGCGGTACGGGCCCGAGGTACGTTTAAGCGTTTCAACTCAAGTTTAATTTGATACTGACGTAAACAGTACCTCGTCTACTGCTGTCAATGGTACCGCGAGCAAGAAGTACATCCGACAAATGATGCAAGCGTGCGATCAGCTGCCCGTCAATTTCGGCCTCTTCGGAAAGGGTAGCGACTCCGAGAGGGTCGGTCTCCTTGATCAGATCAACGCGGGTGTGATTGCCTTGAAACTGCATGAGGATTTCGGATGCACGCCCTCGACAATTGACAACTGTCTGAAGTGAGTTACCCATCCCCACTAGAATGTATCATGCTAACTTTTAATCACAGTGTCTGCGATGAACAAGACATCCAATGCCATATCCATACTGATGGCCTCAACGAAGCAGGCTTTCTCGAGCACACAGCAGCAATCTTCAAAGGCCGTAGCATTCACGTGTACCATGTCGAAGGCGCAGGTGGCGGCCATGCGCCTGACGTTATCAAGCTTGTCGCTTATCCAAACGTGCTTCCTAGCAGCACGACTCCCACGATGCCTTTCACTACAAACACGATTGACGAGCATATCGACATGGCTGCCAACTGCCACCGTCTTTCTAAGGACAATCCCGATGATGCCTCATTTCTCAAGAACCGTATCCGAGAGGAAACCATTTCGGCTGAGGATATCCTTCATGATATCGGAGCGATTAGTATCATGTCGTCAGACTCTCAAGCCATGGGACGATCAGCAGAGGTACTGGTGTGCACTTGGAGGGCAGCGCACAAGAACAAGGTCCAACGCGGAGCTCTGGCTGAAGACAAAGATACTGGTGCGGACAACTTCCGTATCAAACGATATATCAGCAAGTACACCATCAATCCTGCCATTACGCAAGGAATCAGTCATGCTGTTGGTAGTGTTGAAGCAGGCAAATTGGCTGACCTGGTCATTTGGGACCCTGCTGAGTTTGGGACGAAGCCATTCCAGGTTCTGAAGAAGGGATTTATTACGTATGCACAGATGGTAAGTTCGTTTTCCCCATGACCTAATACAGTTACTAATATCTTCATACAGGGCGATCCCAACGGAGCGTAAGAATTTTACTGTCCCTCATCATGATGGTAGAATGCTAACCCTTTGCAGTGTCGCAGATGTCGAACCTTTGATCGGCCGGACGATGTATGGAGTGGGTAATGTACTGCCATAATCGAATGATCAATTGCTGACCGACCGACCTCCAGGCCCTGCATCCGGAGTCGAGCGTCATGTTTGTCTCTCAAGCAAGCATCTCACAAAGCGGAGACGTTCACTCATACAACCTCAAAAAGCAGATTGAAGTTGTCAAGAACTGCCGAACGGTAAAGAAAAGTGATCTCAAGTTTAACAGCGCTAAACCGAAGGTTGAAGTTGATCCCGAGACTTTAGTAAGTACGTTTTGAGGCTGATGTTAACTTCTGCTAATTCCCCATTTCTCCTCAGGTTGTCACTTGTGATGGAATGGCGCTGAAGTCCGAGCCGGCGAGCTCTCTTCCTCTGACCAGGCAATCGTTCTTCTACTAGATAGTTACGGAAGCACAGTTTGCTCACCATGGGTTTTGGATTTGGTACATAGTTCCATACATTTTACATTCAAGAACTGCATTTACTTCCACATCTTTTGTTCGAGTGACATCGAAGCAAGCGAGCTTCTGCCTCGGGATTAGTGATCTTGTAAACCGCTAGCCCTTTGGGGCGTAGCGGCTCAGTTAGCAGGGAACACGCCAAACCAGGGCACAAATGTACCGCATCATAAACAATGTCGGCTGACTTAGCACTATTAGCTTTTAAACTTCCACTCTTTTAAACCAGATCAGTCATATTTGAACTTCACTCAATATTTAACCCATTGCATTGTTCGTCCAGTCTCGGCGCTAGACATGGACAACAGCGAAGTAGACGATGGCGGTGCTCACAACACACCCAGTACACGCACCTATCGACTCCATAATAGACGTCGACCTTGTGATCAATGCCGTGTCCGCAAAGTTCGATGTCAAATCGAGGATGGCAAACCGCACTGCCGTCGATGCGCGCAGTCTCAGACTCAATGTAGTTTCGAAGGGCGATCAAGACGCACGACACGACAGAGTAGGACTAGATCTGTCTCTAGCAGTGCTCATTCACTAGCTGTTAATCATGTCCCCCATGATGATACGTTGGGCCTTGACAACTCGTTCGATATAGAACATGTTTCAGCCGAACAACACTTGGCGTCTGATGGACCAACGATATTCGCAGCCACTCCTTCGGTGTTCCCGCACGAGACCGAGGCCCCGTATCATCAAGCACAAACACTTGGTAGTGTCACAGCTTCAACGCAGCTGCAATTCTCAAGGTCACTGGATGATATACAGGGACAGACATCAATCCTTCTGGGATCCTCCTCCGAGTCCGATCCGTGGCTACTACGTCATTGTCAGTTCGACGAGTATGGGCTCAGAAGCTTCTATGGTCTGCAGTTCCGCAACATTGGTGGAGTTCCAAATCGGCAGAAGATTCCTGTGCACTTTATCGTGACCTCAAAGTTGACAAATGAGACGACTTTCAATAAGATCATGTCTTTGAGATCCAGTTTGAAAGGGCTCATTCCGGTATCATGGGGCATCAGGCTTATTAAGCTGTAAGTATAGCCATGATGGTCTTTACAAGAATAGACTAACTAAATCCGCCAGGTTCTACAAACATGTCTACCCTCTGATGCCTATTATGTCTTCCACTTACTTTAGCCAGGAGTTACTCAGTAACCCACTTCCCGGTCCGGATGCCCTTGAACATGTTCCCTGCCATTTACTCGGCGCTATTTACGGTCTTGCTTTACCGTTTGCCCGAAACGATGAGCACCTCTCCGTCATTGAGATGCATCAACAGTTACCCAGCAAAGACGTCTGGCACATTGTACACGAAAGTCTACAAGAACACCTACGAAATCCAGATCTCAGTGTTTTGCAGGCAGGTATTATGTACCTCCATGCAACTACGAATCACAACTTCACCACCGCGCCAGACGCATTCAAGTGGACTTGGCTGGGAACTTTGATAGGTATAGCACAGAATCTGGGTTTACATCTTGAGACTCGTATGTGCGCCGTTCCTGCTGAAGAAAAGCAGCTGCGTGCACGCCTGTGGTGGGCTTTATACACTGAGGACAAGTGGATATCATTACTTATGGGTCGTCCTCCATACATTTCTGAAGATGAGTGGGATGTTGGTGAATTGGAAGATAATGATTTTACCATTCCTTTGATTATTCCATGTACGGATACTGGACATGCTGAGTTGACGAGGCCCTTTCGGGATATGGCTCGTCTCTCGGTGATTGCGCACTCGGTGCAGTCTTCCTTCTAGTACGTTCTTCTTCCTTTTGAGTTCCGATGCAATGGCCTAACTTAATTAAAGTTCGTTGAAAGCGTCGCAAAAGCTTTCAGAGAACCTGTCACTTTCTATCCAGACAGCGCAGCCCATATTCGAACAACTGAGCTCATGGCGCGCTTCGGTGCTAGCCCCAGAGTCACCAACAATAACAAGTAACAATGGCATGCTCAATGACAAGGCATCATATCCGGCAGCAATCCTCATCGCACACGCCACTTTGGTTACGTATGTGTGGAGAGCTCTTCTACGACCCATCGTGCCATCAGCTGTACCGCCACTTGTTGTCGATGATCAACAGCTTGCTGAAGCGTCTCTGTTCATGGAACTCCAGTCGCGTGATGTAGAAAACCTCTGCTGGGATATACCGGATCTCTCACATCTTGAATTACCACTAAGGAGCTCCACCGATGGAACTAGGTCACATCATACAGTCATTCAGAACCTCCATCAGTCTTCCTTGGCATGGGCTACCAGCCTGTCGAGTCTAGTCAAAAACCTATCACCTGCTCGTTTCCACGAGTTTTGGTATTCTTGTAAGTATTAGCTATATTCCATTCTTCTCAGGACTTTGCTAAGAAATTTCAAGGGTCGAATGTCTGTTTCGCGGTTATGTCAAGTTTTGCCATGGTTGTCTTTATCCAATCTCCTACACAAGAAGCGGGGGCGAGGTCCAAGGATATGCTGATGGCCTGGCGTCAGGTCACAAGGGACCAGAGCAAAGTGTCTCCATTGTTGCTACTGACGTTGGCGCGAATCGATGGATACTTTGCCGCTGGTCTTTCTGACGTATTTTCTCTGCCAGCCCATGTCGAAGCGGCGCTTTGACTCTAGCTTTAGGTGGAATCGGCGAATGTCTATGTACGTCACTTTTCGGCGAATGTCTCGCTGAGCACCTTTCGCCGAAACCCACCATTTTACCCTAACCTAAGTCTCTCTGATTTATCATGCAAACTGCGATAAGACGAACTTCTTTACTCCATTTAAATCAGAAACTACTTGCATTCCGATACCTCACCACTACCCAAAGTTGTTAACAATCAGAAGAATGGATCGTTATATGGATTTACAGACTCCTTGGACCTCCAGTTCCTTGCCCCAAAACGGATGCCGTTGTGTCGGCTGCAGTTTCACTGGGTCTCGTAAGAGTCGACTTACGAAGGATCTTCCCCCTTCATATTCAGAAGTCGTGGGATTTCAACACCGAAGAAACTCTAAACCTGTCACCAGAAGCTGGAATAGAACAAAATTCAGAGCTATCATTGCCCGGATTTTTCGTCGGGATACATAAGTATGTCTCTTTTTTCTCGAAATAATGTTGAATCTTACTAAGACTTCTAGGATATAGTCATGTTTTCGAAGGGATAATCCGAATTACTGGCAAATTTAATATAGCACTTTTATGTCTTTATTTAATAAACAGTGCTGGGTGATAATGCGCTTCATATCATCCGGCTCAGTTAACTCACCAGAATAGATTAAGAAGCAAGGGCAATGCTACTTAGTTATTTTATACTTTCCATATCCATTGCATTATAGGTAGCTTTGCAAACAACCTTGTCTCCGCAGAAATCCTCAAACGCCACCCTTACCTTAACCCTAGGCATGTTCCAATTAGAAGTTTTGGGAATGATCTATCATTGCTCTCTTTATACTTGATATAATTCCTAGAATTATCATAAGAAACGACTAGCTATACGACCTACTAACTGCCCTACTGCTCTATGCCTTCTTAGCATTATATCTTTCGACTCTATATAGCCAAACTCTGGTGTCATAATACCAAAAACTTTTCCTTCCATACTCACTCTAAATACATCTTTTCGCGATTTAATTCTATTTGTCGTGATATGACTTTAATACCTCCAGTATGACGGTTGAGACGATCCGTCACCTGAATCTTTGAACCAGCCTATCTTGTCCAGTTCGTCGGACCAGACACTTCGAACAGTTGCAAGAACGTTGCCTTTGAAGAGAACCGATGACGCCACATTTCGTTGAACAATACCCGGGCAGAATTCCTGACGGAGTTTGATGATCGACTTCATCGTCTCCCTATATGTCTGCATGGCCTTGTCCCTCAAATCTTTCCGCCACTGTATACAACAATGCTCAACCATTCTCTTTGAAACATCAGAGCAGATCCACTCAATGTACTTTGCGTTCAAATGCGCACTTGCGTGAGACTCTTCAATAAATGTAACGAGAGGCGGCTCCACCGTCCCCTTAGCAAAACTATCTGCTTGATCGCTGTCGAAGTCGGGGATGATCCCTTCCGCCAGTCTGGTCAAGTATGCACTCACGAGTATGATCGAGGGCGATGAGCTATTCCGACTCCGACTTGATGGACAGATACTGTCTAAAATTTTGTAGGCATCTGAAACAGTTACGATGCCATACTTTCGCATGTGCGGGAACAATAACCCGGTGAGGCGCCTAGTGATAGCTCCCAGCTGCTCCACAATCCTGGACGTAGTAGGCCATTCCTGATGAGAGGTAAGATAATCATTTGTGGTACACCTCAAAATGACATCCAGCTCGACTTGACAAAGCACATCATCGAAGTAATGGAATGGCTTGCCGGCTCCTTTATTGCTCTGTCCCCCGCTTTCGAACCCCTTTTCCTAGTGACCTGGGCCTACCGTTGAACAACACATATTGCTTTGGATCAGTTACTCATAAACCTTCGCTCGCTTGTAGCCTGTCCTTAGATATCTTATGGACTCCATACTGGGAAGCCAGCTTAAGATAATAGGCAGATAACCTCGCTTCAAGGTGTAATTTCTTCTTTCCTCAAAGGTAATATAAATCATTTACTTTACAGATCACCCACACACTATCTATACTACCGCCTCCTCTGGTGTATTAGGTCTTGATCCAACGGTGGCCCTTATCTAGCAATTTAGGCTACCAGTGCTGCCCTTAGCCGCTCTTGTTTATTTATATCAGTTAGCGAAATAAAGATGTTTATATGGTATATCTCTATGATTATGCTACCTTAGAGACTGCTGTTAACGGAAGATGACAGAGTTGAGCCTGAATTACATAAAACATAGCATACCTCCCGCCTCATCAAGAAGTCGATCAACTAGCTTCTCCCACCAAGGCTCTCTTTCTCGGATTGAATAAGGTAGGTTTTTGGCTGAAGGCCATATCTGTTTCCACTCCCATGTTCGCTTCAATGCTTGGTAGATGGGAGGAACAGTCTAAAGGAAGTCAATCATGATTCTCGTTACAAGTCAAAGTAGGATAGAAAAGAATCTTGTGAAATGTATTGAAAGACCAGACTTACACTTCTGACCGGCACTTGAAGTACCCTCTCAAACCAGTCTTGCGCGACTCCTTTATGCTCCACGGACAACAGACCGAGGAGGAATACAGGCAGAATAGGGGCATCTGCAGTGAAGTAAGGGCCAGATGCCGGAATTGCTTGGATGCATTTGGCTAAGGCTTTTAAATGCCTGCTGACACATGTGTGACTGGGGGGATACCTACAAACTGGTTAACACAACTGTCCGAAAGAATGACATTTTCACAATCATCTATACCTTTGCACCCGACATTGAAGGTATATGATCGCGGTGAGAAGCCAGGCATAAGCTGTTTGTTCGATCATCTTCATAGTCGAATCAATCGAAGGCTCGACCGACCCAGTGGGTTTTAGCTTGTACAGCAGTTGGAGTAATTTCTTTGCCGTTATGGGCACCACAATGCTTTGGTTATTCTGGTGTAACCTTGTCGCACAGTAATTAATTTGGCTCATGATATGCAGCAGTTTTGGGGAAACGCCGCATCCTCCGTGGATCGTCCAGACATCCTCAGATGACGGCTGTAGCAACCAGCTAAATCGACGGCTTTCCTCCGTTGGAACAAAGGTTTCTGGCTGAGGTAGTTTCCACATTACCTGCGCAAAGATGATTCCCCGAGCGACCACGACAGCCTGAGAAATGCGAAATCTTGTCAGCTGGGGGTGCTGGGGGCTTATCGGTGGGGTTTCCGTTGGGCTTGTTGGGTGGGTTTCGTGAAGGCTTGTGAGTTGAGAGCATTTTTGCCTGGTCGGTCGGGACTCCGCCAACCCCATCGGCAAGGTATCTTTCAGGCTCTTCGGGATCTTCTGGTTCCAGCATTCTTCTTCCCAGAACGGAGTTTTTTGCCTCATCTTGTCAAGGTGCTTCTCCGCCAGTCTCAATCCCTGATACCATGCGGGCTCAAAGGGTGCCTTCATCCGATACTCAATCCGCAGGGTCTAATCGATTAGTTCATAAAATTCATAAAGGAGGAAGTTTATTACTTGCATCTATAGTGGAGAGAATTATTATCAACGATATGACCTCGCTGGACGACCCATCTTGCTTGCGGCCGAGGAGGTTGCGAAGATAAGCAACAGTGCGCTTGTGTAATTGAATAGCTCGATAGCCGAATGCATTGTTGCTGATCACTCGATAGCCATTACCTCTGTCGGGGGCATGATCATGAAGATGCACAGCAGCAAGGCACAGGATAGCCGATCGGATTCCAGGACTGTTTTGGAATATAACAAAATCAAGCCATGGATTCGTCTCAGGGATAAGACTCTTGCCAGTGCAGATCGCAAACCAATCTAATGGGAAATAGAATGTTAGATGCATAGAACACGCTGTGGATGCTCAGCGCTATAACAAGCGCTTCGATTATAATCATCAATGTATGACGTACAGAAGGCCAACAAGATCCGATCTGACGGCTTTTGTACAGCCGTATTCCAACAATCTGGCATGGCTCGTTGAGGGTATTTGAGGACATGAACTCTTCCTCCCAAGTCGGGATGGGTGCGTTTGAACTTGAGAAAACTGTTGATTTCGCTACCTGTTGGTACAGGGAACTTTTTCTCTCCTAATACAACAACATTATCGCTATATTCAAAAGCGCTAAGCACAGACTCTTCTAGCGCTTTTAGCTCGAGTACGGACATTGCATGCAAGCCCGCATGTAGCTGATCCTCTGATATAGTGTCTGAATCCCTTGGGTCAATCTGTAAACCAGGGTTAGGTAACGATAAGATAGAACTTAAATTAATGGAGTCTAATTCGGGATTTTCGTGAGAGATCTTGGGCTTCTTTGCACGTTCGTCATACACACGATCGTCAGCCTGTCCCCGTTTGACTGAACGGACGGTGATCTGGTTCGCGTCTTGAGTAGTCAATTCCTGAAGCGGAGCTCTGCCTCCCCCTAATGCTTGATCTGAATAAGTCAACCAGTCTTCCGGTAAAGGTAACGAATTTGCCACCAATAGGTGCAATCACGACAAATGGCAACAAGGTGCAATGTATTAACTTACTGCCGGTCTCTAGCGAAGATAAACGCAAGGAAGGGTGCTCGTAGACACTATGCGGAGCATCAACGCGGTAAAAGGACTCCATCGTAGATGTTTCAAAAACGTGTTGGCCAGTCTTGGTCAATAATATAACGGCTAGCAGACAACGAGAAATACAATGAAGAAGGGGCTGCTGGTCTGCTTAAAACTTGATAAAGTTAGCAGATAGCCATGATAAAAATGGTTTAGATGAGCCACGTTACCAGCTACCTGGTCATACCCGGTCGTGGCGTTGCCACGACCGGGCATTATGTCTCATTCGATGACATTAATCCCATCGTTTCTCATAGTTGGACTAGCCCGGCAGAGACTCGATCTGTCCATTCATCATCCACCCGTCCCGGGAGTCTGGGCTGCACTAGTGTGTTTGCTGACAGCAGCCCCAAGTTTCCCAGACGCTTGGACGGGATCATATCGCTAGCTACTGTGTTACCCTTGATAGTACGATGTCAAGAGGCGGAAAGGATTGAGCTGACAGTGAGCAGTCTACCCTCCACTAGCTATGGCACAAAATGATATGTCACAAAATGATATGTCACAAAATGATAAGATGCTAAATGATATGATGCTAAATGCAAATAATTGCTAAGTACAGATACAAATGAGTTTCCATGCTGAAGCTAGTTGTCTCCCATACCAATGGCGTGGGGAAACCATTCTTACACATGACGAACAACTTCATCACTTCTGTATCCAGAAGGCACGGTTTCAGTTTTTCAGTTGGGGCTTCGGACACGGGCGCATCACATCTTCACCATTAAGCCCGGTTCCGATATAACTATGCATCCCGCTACTTTGGGCAGTATTGTTAGGGTAAGTTCTAATCGCCCCGCTTTATCAATGGGGCTAGATGCATTGGTGGGAAAAAGAGCTGCAGGATTCTGCAACCTCGTCCTGATTGAGCGTCATTCTTACTTACACCACTATGACCGCAGGTGGAATACGGTCCTGCAAATACTGTAGCTCGGATTTAATCTCCCATGTTTCGGTCTTAAAGAGCGAGCCTTGCAGAGCTTTAGAAGGACTGTGTATGATAGAGCTTGGCTTATATGCCTACAAGCAGCGTGTTGCATTAAGAGGCTGAAAAAAAGGGACGACAGGGCTGCTGTGGGAAGGGGTCAGTGCGGAGCTTACCTTCCCTTAGCACAGTGTCAGTTCGCCGAATTAAACGTCAACGCGCATACGTAACTTGTTTATCTACGGGAAAAGCGATGTCACATGCGAACGTGTCGATTAAGCTCGCATGCATGGACCCCTCTTTTCGAGAATAATATTTGCTTTTCAATCAGACACCTATTGACAAAGAGAAGCCGCCTTATCATAAAGTCAATTCTGCTGTATTTATCCATTTTTGCACCATATTACATCAAGAAGCCAAATCTTATTATATAGGTGTTTATCGTTCCATCAGACGCTGCTACTCTCTCAGTTTATGTATATATTAGCAACTTTCTCACTGCTGCCGCTTATCTGTGCTATGAAAATCCCTCAAACATTGCGGGGAGGCGGAACGCGATCTGAAACATATTTCCATAACCGGCATCCAGCATGTACCACATGTTGATACATCATACAGGGTATTTCACCTCCCCCGGTCACTGCCCTAGCGGCCTGTAACTAGAACGGATAAAAGTGGTTAGTCTTTTGTAGCTTTGCCGTACGTTCGTTTAAGCTAATTTCCCTTGATTCATAAATACTAGCGTTGTTGTCTCATTTATGTAACTCCGGAATCCGACGGCACATTATATCGTCATTCTTGCGCTTTTATCGCCCTGCAAAATGAGATACTGTTTTGAACATCGAAATTCGATACTTCTTAGTCATAATTCCCTCCGGTTCAGTTGTGGCGTAAGATTGACCAATTGTTTCATATAGGGCCCTGCATACATGCGTTACGTATTACAGGTACCTAGCACCTTGCAAGTGAGAGTGAGTTATGCCCGATTGGTACGTTAATGCAACTGCGTGTCTGTTGTACATGTTGATCCTTGCTAAAGGGTTTACGGTCTGCTCATAAGGCTGTCTGCCGGCTTGGTAGGAGTTTATCAGCTATCAGTAGCATTTCCCCGCCTTTTTGCGAGTTCAGAGATATAACGGGGGAAAATGAATCTTGTGTTAGTTGGAGCAGACCCCATTACATCTATCGTCGCCCTTAACCGAATAACTGCCGTATGCTTAAAAAGTCACTCATTACGCGACAAACGTGACATCATAGAGTGCTGAACGCCACAAAATAGAAGACGCGCTGCAAGCCGGACTGTTTGCGGATTGGTTAGTCTCATACATATGCAGGTGAAAAAGGGTGACTGTCAGAAACGGCATAAGTGGCCTTGCGTATTTGTGCTTTATGGTGTTACAGGCATCATGACTTCAAATAGGTATCCACAGTTAATCAGTAGCCTCCACAGTTCACTAGGCTGCTGCAATCATGGTCCATGCTTGAAATTGTAATAGGTCACATATGCCTCATCTGCATCCTAAGAATTGCCCTGTGAGACCTGTGGCTGGCTGGTTTACATGGCAAAGCCCCTCCTGATCTTCCATCCAGAACCTAAACCTTGACAGGCGACCAGCCTGAATTGAACGAAAGGCCCAGCACCTCTTCCAGTTTCCTACAAATCAGAAAATACCTACAGTAACAGACATTATTCAGTCGAGCAGCTAGTTCCTGCTCATCGCATACCCTGGCTGTATCTGCCATTCATTTAGATGCTACTGGTATCGGGCTTAGTACTCGAAACACAATACACCAACAATTCTACATTTCTACGAGCGGCATAACGCATAACATTTAGCTGTTGGCTCAAGACTCTAGGCAGGATCTGCCAAACCGACTGTCGCACCTGATCTTAAAACTTATCCAATCATTGACTTCGTTTTACCAGCTTATGCCGGCTATAAACTGGTTGCCCCTCGACCTAGTCTTCTCTTCTGAAGTTTTGCAATACTTGGCGTCAAGTTGCTTATTTCTAGTCTACTCTTACCAGATGGTAGTTGGTATTACTTGATTAATCCATAACCAACACCATCGCTATCTTGCCTTTCAGTATCAAGCCGAGGCCTTTCAAAAGTCAACAAAGAAAGAAGTTATGAATTCAGTAGAGAAAGAACCTACCGCTCGTCCATTCCAATGCGATTGGCAATTATGCAGAAAGGAACTTTGTCTTCACCTTCAGATTTCCAATAGCGAGCTAATAGTTGGCATAGGGCTTCAACCGTAGAAGTGATCTGCAAAGACATTATCGAATCCACACGGGTGAGCGACCGTATGCATGCCCGATTTTTGAGTGTGGAAAGAGCTTTATACAGCGAGGTGGCTTGACCGTTCATATTCGAACACACACTAGAGAGAAGCCGCACCAATGCCAGCATATTAGCTGTGGAAAACGTTTCTCTGATGTATACATCTACTAATACCTATAAGCCCACTGAATGCTAATCAAGTTTTATAGTCCTCAAGTCTCGCCCGTCATCGACGTATCCATACGGGCGCGCATCCGTTCAACTGCGTCCTTGATGGTTGCTCTAAAAGGTAGGACGAGGAACGCCTTGGTCTCCCCTAAGCGCTGACAAATGATGTAGGTTCCGTAGAAAAGATGCGATGGTTGAGCACCAACGCAGATTGCACCAACGCAGATCGCACCAACAAAGAATGAGCCCCAACGACATCCTACACGACTGCTCCTCAGACTCAGACGACAATAAGCCTCCCTCGACCCCCCAGCCCTCCATGATGATCTGGCCGCCTCATGATATTGTTTCTATGGAGCCAACGATTCCACACAGCCCGTTACATCGCGCAACTTCGTATGCCAACTTTGAGCAACAAGCCAACGGACAACATGCGCCACAACAATATGCCAATCGACAGGGCACCCCTTCAAATGCACATCAAGAGTTCCACGGCCAACCCATAACCAACTATTATATTGGTGCTCCAACACTCCGTCGAACCACGACCATGCCATGTCAAATATACTATGTTCCCGAGCAGGGCCGTCCGGGGGTTGCAACGATGACTAACACTGCGCAACCTCATTACCAGCTTCCTAAACAAGTGGAAATACCTCCTATGGAGTTGCCGTATTCAATATTGGCCATCACAGCCTCAATTCAAAGTAACCCCAGCACTTCTTCCACAACGTCGGTTTCCAGTCCCATTGGTCAGGAATACTTTTACGAATATCTGCCCGGAAACAAGCCGGAATATGCACAGGGAGACCCTCAACAGTCCATCGGTCATTATCAACACCCTATGCAATACCTCATGAGCCACTCCGAGCAGCCAGTGGCCTCTCAGACGCAGTTGATTCACGCGCCTTCACCTGACCACTCCCCTCCTAAGCCCGCTCGAGCCCAACAGGAACAGTGCTCAAATTATGACCTTCCCATTGAAGCTAGGACTATCGGGCAGTTACAGACGTACGAGACTGCGGTTTATAATCCTTATAGACCAAGGATTGAAGTTGCCGATTCTTTAATGCAATTTCCAAACAGCAGTATTGTCAGTCTGTAATTGACCTCGAGCCCCTGAGGCCGCTTTCTGTGTTATGATGATTACCTTGCATTATCATACCCCATTGCAGTAATAAATTCAATCATCACTTATAAAGCTTGCATATCTGGCGCCCCATTGACACTGTCAGATGTTACATTTCCTCTCAAGATGAACGAGGGGCTACCTATCTTTGGGAGCATTTTAGTATGCCGCCCCATTCCTTTCTCCATTTTGTGTCTCTAAACAGAAAATGTTTGACCACATCTACGCGTATCCAATTCTGCCATATAGAAAGCAATATATTCTTGCCATTCCGGTGCAGAGCGGGAACAATACATTACTACTTAAATACCATCTTCAGGAGGATTCTCAATTGAGAAGCATAAAGAACTTTTAATTTCAATAATTATATGCTTTCATATTTGCTTTCTTTCAATTAGAAAACTAGTATCTCTGAACATTATTCGTCTTTTTAACTCTGGCATTTCTGAACTAACTTCTAAGGGCAAGCTATCAACAGCCAAGCAACAAGCCGTACTACAGACAACACCAGTCGGACTAACTCCTAGTAGTTTTGGCACCCCATCATGGGCTCAATGGCCGAGGGAGTGTTTAGGGAACGTACTGCTTAACCAGCCTTCAGACTGGAGATGTGATCAAGCGCCACAGCAAATTCAGGTTCTGTTGAATTTTCAGGGTACCTATATATACCAGTAGGTAGCTAGGTATCATATAAAGCCATGAGAAACGATAAATAGTAGCGGAAGCTATTGACTAGAGACCCCCTCCTACAACATGTATTAGGTAGTATTCTTTATCACGCCGGTCGCCTTGTCTGAACACTCTAAAGTCCCTATACAAGCATAACAGAAACCTTTTGCTTAAATATTTTCACCTGCGTTGATATTTAAAGTGTGGCACCAGTTGACCACTTATAAAGCCATGTCAGCGTATTGATCCGCAGTGTCAAACTCCAAAATGGCAAAATTAAGTCCTAGAGGAGAGCCTGGTGTGTTTAAGAGTATCGATACAAATATCTCCTAAGTTATTATAAACTTCCAGCTTATACCTTGCCCCACATAACTCCTGCCAGCAAGGCAATACATGTCACGGCTTGGTTTACCGTTAGTTCCTATAGACAGCTGTAAACAACACTGTAATTTCTACAATAGAAGTTATAACTTAATATTTTGCCTGTAGCATAGTGGTTAGATATTACCGTCACAATACCGGCAGGGCACCTAATGTTCAATCTCTCAAATCTTACACAGCTTGATACGGATATTCATAAGAATAGCAGCCACTATGGCGAGGCTACTGTCAAACCCGTATGTGGAATAGGTTTGTATTGTGCTTGTGTTCTGTCTGAGTTGGCTGTCTGACTGACAATTTCCCTCTTTTGGATAGATGCCTTACGCTAAGCCTAGTGAAGCTTCTCTTAGTCAGATGAATCTGTCTTTACCTTTTGAGGTTCCTTTTGATGAAATGAACCGCTAACCAGCTTGTACAGGGTAGCTTCGGTTCAACAGAAGGCGATGGTGTCTTGTCTTACAGCACATGCGGGGTATAACATCAGTGGAAATATGTGAGTTAGCGTCAATTCATTAGTCTTGTTCTCTCAGCCATCAGAACCTTCTCTCTTTTCTCCGCTTTAGGAGGCCTTTTCCAATGCTCTTATGATGGTGTCACGGTGATGTTATATCACAAGTCTCTGATCGTGGTCTCTAATCGTGGTCTCGGAACGTGTTATCACCAGCCCTTACAAATGCCACCCATGACTCACAAAGGGTTATTCGATTGACATAATTCACATGTGCCATTGCTGTTACACATGTTGAAGAGAAAAACTATTTTTCACTCTTTCTTCAGCCTTTAGAATTGCGTAGCCATTGGACCGGAATACGGAGAATAGGGTGACGCAGTTTTGCAAAATGGTTAAAGTTGATAAGCAACTACACGCTATGACGCTTGGTTGGTGGGGAATAACAATCCTGCATCCAGCCAAATCCAGTAAGACTGCAAATCGTCAGGCATGTGAAACAGTCCCCTCTTCAGCCTGTCCTACAACGCTCCAAATACGTGTTTTTTCTTTTTCAATCTTTCTCACCCGGACAAAGACGACAGATGCACTCTTTAATTTAATGCCTGAAGGAATATAACGCGTCCCCTGTTCATCCAACCACAAGACCCTGTCTTGCGTTTTGGACAAGAATGATGTCAATGCCATGATGCGCCCGAGAACGTGGTAGTATAGTCTTGTGTTAGATTAGATAACTCCATTAACCCTCCTTGTGAATTATCGTTGCCACCAATGCCATCACCCTGTGGGATTGTGATGTTCATGTCGTTGGAAGAAGACGTATTTATCTTCAAGATATCCACTGATTTGTATGCTTCGTTCCTAATATATTGTTGAATGAGAGGGCAGTCGCAGTCGCTGTGTCTCAAAATCTCTGACTTGAGGTGGTAAACTTGCTCAACGAGGTCGTTATAGCAAGAGGAGAGTTGCTGATGCCGAGCTTCCAATATCTCCACCTCACAGGCCAAAGCATTTTCTTCATCTTGCTTGCGAGCACGACACTTGGCAGCAGCGTGTCGGTTTCGTTCCAGAGCGTTCAGATACCGTCTGTTCTTAGCATTATTTAACTGCGGTCTTCTTTCTCGTGGACTCTTTGTGTCGCAAAGCGGCTGCCTTCGTCTGGGCCTTCCACGTGCTTTCTTCTTGTACGGCTCCAGCGCGGAGTGAGCGCGGCTTTGATCTGATGCTTTCAAGGAATCTAGACTTCCTTGACTGTTATAGTTTTCGCTAAAGTTCGGTGTAAGGTTCTCGGCTGTGGGAGTCTCTTGTATGGGATAAATGAATTCAGAAGACTGCTGGACTGCGTATGATGCGAATGATGGTTGCACATTACCAAAGCCAGTTTCGTCCAAGAGGGGGTTAGGAATTTCAGTATTCCTGAGCTGGTTGAAGTCTGGCGTTGAGGAATGTGAGCCTTGAAAGCCGGTGGAGTTCGTAGTGAGAAATCCAGAAGGGGAAGCAACCCAATCCCATGGAAGTAGACCATCTGGTATATACCCTGTAAGGTCAAAGCAAGACCGCTCCACTCCAAACTCATTATATCCAAAGAAAGAAGGCGCCCTAAAGTAGCCAGCGTCTTCTGCGACATCTGCGAAGGCCATGACTCTTGTATTATGGGCTTTGTTTTTCTGCCACTTGGAGCTTTCTGGTGATCTTCTTTGGGCGAGGAGGTACGCAAAAGAGGGTTCAATGATCCGGATTTGGATTGTTATCAACTCAGTCCCTCGATGGATTCGTGGTAATCAGTTCGGTGGGCTTGAGGGACTGCCTTGGCTAAAACCCAGCATTCTACATAAAAATTCAAGATTAACAAGCGACTGGGCGAGGCAATCAGATTATAAGAACGAAAGCTAACCTTGGCAGATCATACACCAACTTCTCAGAGACAGGGATCAGCTAAGCTCCAATTCGCTTTCATGGGTATTCAATTTTTCTATTTCAGACTATTGAAAGCCCAAAAGATCCGGGAAACCGTTTCTGCTCTGCCATTCACTGACAAGACCTCGGCTACGCCGCTGCACCGTGCCCAAAATGGTAATAGGCCAAGACTGTGTTCTAGATCCTAGACCCTAGGGCCTAAGCATCAATTATATCATATCTCAAACTTGACAACAGTTATTCTTATCGAGTCTCACAACTTCGGCATGTCAATATCGTCTGTTTGACATCGGCCTCCCTTGAATTTATTCACGGTTGATGAAGAAAAAGCTCATCGAATAATCATATCAGCTCATTCATGCGAGAACCAACAGACTCATTACGTATGATTTAATACTGGATGATGATAGTGAGATTGAATTTTTCTGTTCCTGTCAACCTGCATATACCGAGCCACCTTTTGCAGTTAGGGGCGTTGGTTTGGCCCCAAGAACACATCATGGTGATCTAACGCAGTATATCAACATCGGGGACCGAAGTTACATCTCCGATATTGCTGATGAAGGGTAGATTAGAGAAATCACATGTACTAATACAGAGCCGCTCAAAGTCGGTTGTCCATCCACACACACTCTTCGACCCCGAGTGCACGGACCGTATCTAGGATGTGACATGACATATTGTGAAACTGCCTAGCTTTTTTCGAACAAGCACATAAGCTGTCAAGGCGCAATCGGGACTAGCCAGGCTGGGCCGTGTTTGTGATTGTGATAGTGGCTGGAAGTTTGTAGGATAGAAATAGGGGTTTGAAACCGCTAAAATGTACTCGAGATTATGCCTGGCTGAGGTTGTTGTTAAATGTATATCATGCCCCAGGCTTACACTGTCGGTGCAGGCACCGGTAAGGCTGCCTGTCCCAACGGACTGGGTCAACTTTGGGCGGGAACTGGGGATCCCGGAATTTGGGCTGGCGTTGGAAGAAGGGGAATTGGACACGGTGGTAAGGATCGTGTGACGGACCAAGTAACAAACAACACCACCAAGCACGGTTCCGGAATTTGTGGAAGGTATCGTAAGGCTCAAGTTTCCGCGTCCGCCGCCACGCTCTCTCTTCTCTCATCGACACGAAGCAGATTACGAGGCAAAGTCAGAGATGCAGCCATGCGGCGTTGACAAACCTGCAATTCTAGCTGAAGAGAGGAAATACGAATTACTAATGTCCCAACGCCATCGAGCGGATGTCATTGTGATGGCATTTCCGACAAGCGACCATGATGACTGTCATTGTTCTGTATCGTGTGTGTGTGTAGGTCGAGCCATGCTGGAAGCCAATCAGGCGGACCCTTAGCTCCGTATCTCCTCTTGCGGGGCTTCCCAATCAGGCAATTCTTGCGTTCAAGGTCCCACTAAACTGCCAAGTGCGCCACAAGGCTGTTGGGCTCCTAGCAACTGGATGCCTCCACCGCGCAGTGAGGATCAGGGAGGCAAGCGCCTGCATGCTGGTAATAGAGTGTGAACGGCATAAGCGATCTAACGTAAGTTTTCTACAGCTAATCCATTTTTCCAGCAGCTGTACAGAGAGTTTTAGGTTATTCTGAACCCAAAATTCCACCATGACAACATTTCCGAATCAGCGAAGAGGGGGCACGTCCCACCAATTCTCGGCGAAACGTGGCCTGCGTCACTGACCCAGATTACATCTATGCTTGAGCCCAACCTCTGCACCCGCTGGGTTCACAAACCCATATTCGACGGCTCCATTTCATTCACAATTCTCATATGGGTTACCTTCCCATAATACTTTCTAGCTGTCCTATATATTTACCGGTTCCCATTGTCCACATCCAGCCATGACCGGGCTAGTTGGATTGACAGGGCGCCAGCCGCCTTCGTCCATCCTCGCTCCTGGCAAGGATACCAGGGAGCCTCTCGAGACGGCAATTGAACCGGATAACACCCAGGCCATGAGCCCGCGGATGACGAGCGAGGAAGTCGAAGCGTTGAAGCGTGAAATGCATACTGAGCTGCACCGGTTAGTGAAGCTATTGATCTCCCTATGCACGTTAAGAGGTGCCCGAGGACCTCCTCGCGGGAACTGCTCTAACGTTTATTGCTGTGGATATAGGCATGCGAAAGTTTTGCAGGACTCGCTACTCCTCATCTTTAACCGCATTGAGTCAGTTAAGGAGGGGTGTGAGAAGCTAGACAGCAATAAAAAGGTGCTGCAGAAATATATAGAGGAATTAAATAGCATTCATTAAACTATAGCTTCAGTGTGACGGTTGGGTTTTCCAAGGGATAAACTAGTCCGTTCTAAGTTTATGTTAGCAGAGTCGTAGGGCGTGTAATACTAAGCGGTTGCGAAGTGTTATATCTCTTAATAGTAAATAGGGCAGGTTAGGCATATTTAGGTAAAGATATTTTATTAATAGCTATTAAGCTAAGTATATTAACTACTGCTAAGTAAATATATATATACCTAAGGGATCCTTAGGGGATTACTTAGATTAAGGGATTATAGTAATCCTAGATTATAAGTGCTCTTAGAGTATAATAATCTTATATAAATATAATCTACTTATAATTAATCTAGTAAACTTAGGAAGTAAGTTTATAATTTAGTAAGTTAAGTTATATAAAGATTATAGGGTATATAATATTAATCAATTTGCAAAGTATTATATCTCTTAATAGTAAATAAAGTAGGTTAGGCATATTTAAGTAAAGATATTTTATTAATAGCTATTAAGCTAAGTATATTAATTAATACTAAGTAAATATATATATATATATACCTAAGGCATCCTTAGGGGATTACTTAGTTCTAGGGATTATAATAACCCTAGATTATAAGTACTCTTAGAGTATAACAATCCTATATAAGTATAATCTACTTATAATTAATCTAGTAAACTTAGAAAGCAAGTTTATAATTTAGTAAGTTAAGTTATATAAAATTTATAGGGTATATATAATATAACTGCTAGGGTTATAATACTACATTTAAGTATCTTAGTATTTAATTCTCTTTTAAATAGTTTATAATACCTTTAATATTCCTTTAGTATATAATATATTATTTTCTAATTTATTTTTTCCTATAGGATTTCTATTTATAAATTAATCCTATTGAATATACCTAAGATATATCTCTTTTATTTTATACTTATTATATACTATAGTATTATCTTTTATAGATATAGTAAGTTTATATTATATATACTTATACTAGTTTCTCTAGTTAGAGTCTAAGATCTCTTATAGTTTATTATAATTATTATTTTATCTCTATATAAGCTACTTTAAAATATAACTTAGCTAGTTATTTAATTATTAATTAGATTTTCTTATTTGAGCTATATTATCCCGAGGAATAATTATATTATTATAACCCTAGCGATTATATTATATATACCCTATAAATTTTATATAACTTAACCTACTTAACTATAAACTCCTTTCCTAAGTTTATTAAACTAATTATAAGTAGATTATACTTACCTAGGATTATTATACTCTAAGAGTACTTATAATCTAGAATTACTATAATCCCTAGATTTAAGTAATCCCCTAAGAATCCCTTAAGTATATATATATTTACTTACTATTAATTAATATATATAGCTTAATAGATATTAATAAAATATCTTTACTTAAATATATTTTACTTACTTTATTTACTATTAAGAGATATAATACTTTACTTTACTTAGTATTATAATGCCTTATATATTTGCTAATATAAACATAGTATAGACTAGTTTATCCCTTAGGAATTATAACCATTATAAAATTAAATTAAACTATAAGCATAAGGCCTAGTATTAATACCTTAGGTTATAAGTAACTTAAGCTAATAAGGCCTTTAATAATACTATTATTAAGTTAATTAAAAATAAGATTATAAAGGATACTAATAAGGTAATTAAAATAATAAAGGTATCTATAGAGAAGGCCTTATAAGTTAATAAGAGAAGCTATATATAAGGTTAATTAAAGGTTAATAGGACTTTATTAGGGATATAGAAAGTTAAAATGCAGGCTAACTTAGAGGTAAAGGCTAACTCTATAGGAATTAATCTAGTTATATAATATACTATCTTAAAATTCTATTATTAAACTTATACTAAGATACTAAAATTTTAAACTATATTTTAAACTGAGGATAAAAATTATAATTAATATAATTAAAATAAATTAATTTTTAAGTTAACGTATTTGATAAGCGAGCGACGCAGATAAGCGAGCGACATACTTTTCCCTCTTACATCTAACTTTTTATCTGATTAATTAGTTTTTAACAACCAGTAATATCACAACCTTCAATTAAAGCAAGAACAGTACTAGCCCTTCAGGCCATTTAAAATAACCCAACATTAAGTACCCGACGCGCTATAAAAATGTATCAGATCTCTGAGCCTAGGCTACGTCGCCGTTAAAATGGCATTTAATCGCGACGCGATTCTATCCCGAATTCGCGGAAACTATCTAATCAGGAAGAGGATGTAATAGTCTAATTTATTCTTGACCTAGATTCGCAAGGATTTCCCTCTCGATTGCGTTTTATAGAAGAAATAGCTAATTCCCTTCTTACTGACCGCGATGCGCCACCTATTGGCACGCGCTAGGCTTATAACTTCATTAAGCGACAACCAGAGCTAAAGACGCATTTATTTCGGAGATATGACTATCAGAGAGCTAAATGCGAAAATCCTATGATTATTTGTGGCTGGTTTCGGCTTATAGAGAATATAATCGCAAAGTATAGTATCCGATTAGATGATATCTGGAACTTTAATAAGACCGGCTTTATAATAGGCATTATGCAGTCCGGAATGGTCATCACAGGTGCAGAAAGGCAAGGAAGGCTAAAATCAGTGCAGCCAGGAAACCGTAAATAGATTACTGTGATCCAGGCGATCAGTGCCGAAGGTCAATCGATCCCACCGTTTATCATTAGTGCAGGCCAATATCATCTTGCGAATTAGTACCGAGAATGCAACCTCCCCGGCGATTAGGTTATTGCATTAAGCTAAAATGGATAGACAAATAACCAGCTAGGTCTTAACTGGCTGAAGCACTTTGATAAGTCTATAGCTAAGCGAATGAATAGTCGCTATCGCCTCTTGATCCTTGATAGTTATGAAAGTCATTACTCTGTCGAATTCGAGAGATATTGCAAGGATAATAAGATTATTACCCTCTGTATGCCTGCTTATGTATCTTATCTACTTCAGCCTCTTGATGTTAGGTGCTTTACAGTGCTTAAGAAGGCATATAGGCAAGAGATAGAGCATCTGATCAGATGCTCTATAACCCTTATTTCCAAGACTGAGTTCTTTGACGCCTTTTACGCCGCTTTTAAAGCTACTTTCATTGAAAGAAATATACGAGGAGGCTTCAGAGGGGCCAGGCTTGCTCCCTTTAACCCTAAGCATATCATCTCGAAGCTTGATATGCAGCTACAGACCCCATCGCCTCCAAAAGAGGCAGCTAAACCTTCCACTCCTTGGACTTTAAAGACCCCAACGACAGCAAATGAGGCTCAATCTCAGACTGAATACCTAGAGAGTCGAATCAGAAGGCATCATAGTAGCTCTCCAGAGTTAATTATTAAGGCTATCCAGTCTCTTACTAAGGCAGTAAAGAGAACTATATATAAGACTACCCTTATGAGAAATAAGATCCGAAACCTTCGCGAGGGAAATGAGAAGCTAAGCCGGCGCCGAAGGTCAAAAAGAACTAGGTTATAGAAAGGAGACCCTATAACTGTAGAGGAAGCATTACAAGTAATTAATCAGATAGATGTTGATATGCAGGTAGTGGGCAAGTCATCGAGAAGTGGTGGTCAAGGAAGGTCGGTCGGACCGGGTGTTCGGCGATGTGGTGTATACGGCAAGACCGGGCATAATGCAAGGACCTGTCAGGTAGTTCCGGAGGCATCCGGAGAAGAGTATAGTGAGTGATTTTAATTGATCAGATAGGTTATTGTAGTTTTGTTATGTAAATAATGAAAGGGGTAGGGAAAAGTGCGTCGCTCGCTTATCTGCGTCACTCGCTTATCAAATACGTTAATAGATAATTAAAAATATACTAAGAAATTATATTAATAAACCTCTTAATAGCAGGAGCTATAATATATTAAACTTAATAAGTAATATAATAATATTAGGTTAGCACCGATAGATAAATGTCTGTGCAGGTGGGTAAAGGAAACGGTAGAGCGTTTCCTCTTTTGATGCGTGAAATAGACAATATAACCCAAAGAGATGTTTCAGAGTACAAATGAGAAACGCGGCAACCTCTCCTTTCAGCTGGGAGGTAAGGCAGCATCAGACGGTCAGGAATAGAAGCCAGACATGGACGCGGTGTAGGCCACAATCAGGTTCGCGATCGCTACAGGTCGCTTGGAACGGAGATGATGGGAACACTACTAACCTAGTGACATTTTATTAACACTAATCGATAACCTATAATGCCCTCAAATAATCAACAGCAGGAATTACTTACGCCGAAGATAGAAAACTGAACACTTAGAGGGATTGGGCTTCAAGTTGACATGCTACAACTAACAATCACGAGGACTAAGACGAAAAACAATAACTAGACTAGAAGGAATAAGGTGAGAATTGTATAGGCTTGGCGAGAGCAAGGCAATAACTAGCGAAGTGTATATTCCTTTAGCTTCAGAGCCCATTGGTCGTTGGCCTACCGGACGTAATAGACTTGTATTGCACAGATTTGTGGTCACGCACATGAAAGAAATCTAAAAGTTCGGTGATGATCTCACTTTGGACTAAGAGCATATTCTCAGTACCCCCATCAGGAAGGCGGTTAGTAGTCGCCGTGCCAGTCTGCGATAATCTCCTTGATCAGGAGAAAAAGAGAATGGCTGAAGATGGCAACCAAGACAAGGATGACTGCATGAAAACGCCAGAAGTTCAGGGGTGTAGTTAGGAGGCAACTGGATAACTGTGCTGTTAATTTCCCATGGCATATATTGGCCCAATTCGCAAGATATCCTTATCGGGGTGATTAGGCATAGGGTTTAGATAGAAACCCTTTGGCACAGGTAAACCAAGGGGTAAAGCTCAAGCTATAGAAATCGTTAACTGCTAACAGGGCATAGCCTCTACTCAGAGGTAGCCATGTTAAAATACCGACACGAATTCTAACGCGAAAGCCTCTCACACTGCAGTTTGTATACCCTACAAGTTCCTCTACTCGCGGCACCAAGTCCAACTCAACAGCATAATTTCGTCCTTAATTACTCAGCGGCAGGATAATACACCGGACAGGTGAAGTCCACCGATGTAGTTGTGGTAGAAGTAATCGTAGACGTGGGCGAACCAGGGTTCGGGTCGTCGCATCCGGTAGTTGTAGTCGTGGGCGGGGGGGTGACGATAGATGTGACGATGTTTGTGATCGTAGTGAGGCAGGTAGTCTATTAAGTTGGGTCAGTTGGGTTGCCCTATCATGCGGACATTAAGCCCAAGGCTTGTCACGTACCGTAGAGGTGATGGGTTCATAGTTGATGACCACTGGGCACTGGCATTTGGTGTTAAAAGTCCAATATTTTGCACAGTTGCCGTTTGATTTGCCGTAGCAGGGACCTGCTCCCCAGCCTGTCCCTGCGGTGAGAGAGGCATGTGTAGCGATGTAGAGCTTCATATCGCACGCACGCCACGAGTCTTGGACAGGGATTCGGCAAGTAGCGGAAGTTTTGTCTGTGGAAAGGGAGCAGGCTTTATTGCCGAGAGTGTATGGGAGCTGGCCAGGGGAGGTTTCGGTGGGCATGGTTGTGCCGATGTAGACATGGATGTCGGAGTATGTGCCGGTTGTCAAAACCGGGTAGGTCACGGTCACCATGCCGTCAGATATGCCGACACAGACCTGGCCGTAAAACTTCAAGTCATTTCCAACGACAAAATCTTTGCATGTTGTCGAAGGAACAAAGACGTCTCGGGGGCTGAGTCCGCCCAAGGACGGAAAGGCTTGAACGGGAGTGGTAGTGGCCAAGATGGCTCCAGCGAAGAGATGAAAGAGTTTCTGCATTGTAGTTGTTGAACTAGGTTGCGTTTCAAATAGTTTTTAGAAATTTCTGTTAAGAATCAACTTTTCTGGTCCAAAGAGAGCTCCTTTATCACTTTTTATACCGTTTTACTGCTTTTAACTTGATTCGAGGTTTCCCTTCTTAGTTTTATGCGATTGGTGAGCGGAAATGTGGTTCTGTTCGCCATGCAGTCCATAGTTCAGTCAATAGTCCAGTCAATAGTTCAACCACAATCTCAGCGTCCTAATGTAGTGCAAACTACCGAGTAAAATATCGTATGTTAAACATATTGGATTGTCATCAACGTTCGCAGCTATCTTTCTAAAGAGGAAAACAAGGCGAAGTACAGCTATCGAAAGTAAAACTGAACAGAAAGTTGAAACCCAAGTCCAGAGCTATGAGGCTGGTGATACACTACGGGCATGCACCTTAACGACGTTCTGTCTCATGGAATAGTAATTGCACTCGTGCCCCAATCAAAGAGAAAAACAATCAGCCCATTTTCTACCATGGCTGTCCCGCCGAGCTGAAAATCAGTATGCCTCCATCCACGTGTCTCTGAAAATCGCCTGTGAGTAGCGCCACACCTGTGATTAACGCCATACCTGTGGATTTTTTGGTTGAGGAGCTCGTTCCAGGCCGTCGGAGCGGCCAATCGCAAGGGTTTCCGGATCGTCTTGGGGACAATGACATCCGGTGGGGCGCCGTCGGCTGACACTTGACCCTCTCAGCTATTGAACCCACGACCCTATTGATGGCTGGGAGTGACGTGCGACCTACAGGCCCAGACCTAACGAGGAGGGCTCCAGGTTTCTGTTTGTGGATGAGCGTTGTTCATATTAACGTGTTCTTTTGCCTGTTAACTTGCTGAATTATGTTATGTCATGCCATGACAGCTGAGCGCGGTGACTCCAGCTGGTCCAGCTCGTCCGTTCTCGATAAGCTGCTTTCTTTGTAATTTCTTACGGACAATTAACCCTGTTAGTGAAGGATATGGCCACTGTGAACCGATTATAATAAACCAACGGAGCACACTGTATCTCATGAGTGCCCTCAAACCTGCACCACGTACCTCGCCCCACACCACCCCTGACATCGCAAAGGCATAAGCGGAGTACAGTTCAATAAAGCAATTACTGCCAAAACACCATACAAATCATTTGGAAGCCGATAATGAATTCCCAATCAATTCTAGAAGAGAGTCAGGCACTTAATGCCTATAATGATAAGAGCTTTATTAAAGAGGATCATAGTCATCGGCTATACTCAAATGACCCTGCCCGGATAGTTGTTTTCCCGGCCGAAACTGACCGTGGCACTAACTTCGAGCCTTTGTACCTAGAAATACGCAACTTTTACATCAGCACACTGCCGCCAACATCTCTGCAGCAGTTCCAGCTTTTCCTTGCTATTTCCTTCGTTGAGAAACGGGTCCAACATACCAAAAGCTGGGTCGCATAGTTTAAGGAAAATGACGTTATTGATAGGTGGAAGCACCCGATGACAAAGAATGCAAGGCTGCGAGCTTGGCGAGGAACCTCTGTTGCAGAAGTATATGTCTGGCTTGGAATACTAAGTTATATGGGTATACATAAGGAAAGAGCGATTAGAAGCCTCTGGAGTACCCAGAAGCCAGGGCAGCAACGCCCTGAACACTCAATCATCAAGTTCATGCCATATTGGAAGTTTCAAATCCTTCATCGCTACCTTCGCTCCTTTGACCACACCAAGATCGATGGGACCGGGCCTCTTCCGAAGGTATTCCAACCTTATGATGTTTGGTCTGATCATACACAGGCAGCGTCTGCGGAGATCTTCTTCCCGGGCTCTCATCTGGCTGTGGATGAGTGTATGATCAGCTATACGGGCAGGTTTAAGGAGACAACAGTCGCCAAGGGCAATCATATGCCCCTAGGGTTCAAAATCTGAGTCATCGTACAACATGGCTTCTTTATTTACTGGCTTTGGCGCACTAAAGGCGCAAAATACGGTACCGTCAGTGTTGAGCTTCCGAAGCCGAAGTCATTCTAACGAGGTCGCGGTAAGAGGGCATCACGAGCACTAAAGTAGGAGCCCAAATAATAGTCCAAGCCTATCGCCTTAAACTCGCCATCACCCCATTGTAGTATGAGAGTCTCACTGTCTCTTGGTCTTGGTCGAAGCGGAAGGCGTTCTGGGTCGGTTCGAGTTGCTGCGGGCTTGCAATATTGGCGGTTGCCAGGTATAAAAGGTTATCGATGACCATGGTTGAGACTCTTGTTAGGAAGACTGGACATGCTCTATTTGTGGATGTGATGCCAACGCCGGAGCTGCTGCTTGGGTGGGCTGTGGAATATCCCTTTGGTATTTCGAATGAACATGTTGGGGGGATAGAAGCTGGAAATGATAAGCCTGCAAGACAGACGTGAACTGCTGCGCTCCAGTCATCTGTGGACGCGCGCCTCTGCTACCCATGCGGACGAAGATAAGAGGAGTCATGGCGGGCGGGACACCACCTTGCAGAGATGTGCACAGCATGTCCGTCTCGACCTTTCTCCGCTCAAGGCGTAGACTCTCCTGATTCGTCTTCTCCTCTGCCTGTCTTCTCTTGTCCTCCTCGACCCTGGCTTCCAGCCAATCCCTCGTGGATTCCTCAGCTCCTCGCCATCGCTGGGGCGGGTCAGGGGGCTGGGGCCAGGAATCTCTCCGCTGATGACTCGGGGCTAACAAAGGCGGCAGCAGACATGGAAGAGTCGTACGACACGTAGACGAAGGAGGAATGGCCGTTGCAGGCCGCTGCGGGGAAGGGTCATGGTCGCCAGAGGAGGGAGGCCACATTGAGGAGCCGACATCGCTGTGTTGACGGGCTGGACGCATACGTGTGAATGAACAGGGAGTAGGCGACAATTTGGGGTACACGACAATTAAGCATAGAAGAGTAGGGAAAGCGGTGAGAGGGAAATCTGTTGACCCTGCAACCCCATTTTGGTGACTGATTTGAGTCAAATCGCCTGCGAGTAGTACCTGGACTTCATCCGGGCTTCAAGCGATATTGAGCATATTGTCCTTATTATATATAGTTAGCACCAGCTTCATCCGGATCATAGGCATATCTTTATGCAAGATAATGCCGCTGCCCATACTGCAACAGAGACGATCGCTGAGTTTAAAGCTCGAGGGATTAAGATAATCGCCTGGCCATCTTTTTTCAACAGATTTAGACCCAATCGAGAATATATGGAATGAGACGAAGGAATATATTGAGACACTTCACAGAAGATCAATCGTATGACTAATTACGAGCCGCGGTTAAGGAAGCTTGAGAATCAATATATGATAGCTTCTTATTACAGCTATTAGAGTCGCTAAAGGACCGTTACCAAACTGCTATTGAAGCTGATGGAATACATACTTGATTCCAGATGACCATAGCTAATTTTGAAGACGATACATCAGGAGCCAGGAAAGTGACCCCGCTGATCCCTGGTTCCGTATGGGGCGAGCTAACATACTTTTGCCCTCACATCAGAGTAGCCTCGACAAGCCAGCCACCGTAGCTGGTGCACCGCACGGTGGCAGTCCAGGTAGCATCCAAAACCAGCTGTGCACTGGTTTTGCCACCGCCGCAGATCGTAAGCTCATCACAGGTGACGCTGCAATCAGGATTTCAATGACACTCTGAAGTGCTTTGCTGGTGATGTGCGCCCCACAGGCCGCACGAGGCGTCGACGATGACCAGCATAGGTATAATCGTTGCTGCAGTAAGTGCAAAGCGCTTCATCGTGGTATATCCCCCCAAGGGTTACGATTATGTCCGGATATCAGACTTTTGCAATGCTGTGGCCCAGTTACAGTTGGATACCACCACCCTTGAAGCCGGATGATAGCTCAGTGATTCATACTACCTGCCACGTTAAGAATTTCCCAAATGCAGTCATATAGAATGGTAAGCGTGACGTTGAAGAAAAATCCATATACACGTTCCTATTGTTAGTGACCAAGCTATCTACTTAAGCATGCTTTTGCGGAACACCCTAAAGTAAAAGTGGAAAGTGTATCTCTACGTGTTCGGACTGTCTGAATTCTCATCCGAGAGCCTGCCTTCTAAGAGACTCTTGAGTTAAGTCTCTAACCATTGATTATCAAAAGCATCGCCGCACACTGAAGTAAGTCCTAGAAACAAGAGAGTATTGTATATTTTTAGCTTATTTTAACGGGTTTAGGTTATAGCCTGCTTACCAGCCGGCTAGATGTTAGCACTAGCATCGGTTGATCACACTATGCGGCTCCAGTATACGATAACTGTTATGCGAAAGGATCTTCAAGAGCAATCCTTTGACTTTAGCATTACGAGTAGTGTATCCAAGAAGAAATTGCAATTGACATTAGACCATACCTGAAACCATCGCTTCTCGTACCCAATTGAATAGTAAACCACCAAAGACAATCACTTGCTGATGACTCTGTATGATATGAGGCTATTTACTGTTCAAATGGGGCTGAACTTTCAAGGCGGCAAAGGTGGATGCGGGGGATAATTCGGTATCAGCTGTAGGCCTGTCGAAATAAACACAATATCTAACACTTCAACGGTAGTCCTGAAACTTCCTCCAATAGGAGCAAGGGGAGTGACGTGCAGCCTCAGCTGAGCTCAAAAGTTATGGTCGCCTTCAGCTAGCACCACTCGCACGCTCCTCGGCTTTTCCCGTTTGCGTTGCTTTCTTTACGCTGTTCTTGGAAGGCGCGACCTTCAGCAGCTTCACGTAGATGTTGCCCTTCCCGAAACTGCACCTACTATCTTTCAGCCTCTTCCCCGGAAGCTAATGGATTTGTAGGGGACAATGGCGCATATTACCTTCCCTAGTCGGGCAGAAATCGATTACTTTTGCTGAGGAATAGATCCCGACCTGTTCATAGTCTTAAAGCCAATCTTATAAGTTCAGATGCTATAGAGCCCAATATATCAAGAGATACCAAGTTAGTAAATGCAAAACGGGATTATTTAGCAATTAATAGAAAGGTTATTTACCCAAAGATCTACAGCAGCTATTTTCCACGGAGCCCTTGTCCAGATTATGACTTTTAAGTATTAAAGAGGTTTATGCAAGTAAGTATTATATTATAATTTTATTTATATAATAAAGGAAATAAGCTTTTAAAGTCCGGTCAAGCGCTTCTGGCAATAACTGTGCCTTTAAGTTATCATCCTAGGCTACCCCATTCCCGGAGCAGAGTATCTACGACATAGCCCACCTTTGAATCTCGGAGATTCTTATGTGGCGTCCTTTCATGTTGGTGGCATCTGGACTTGTTCTGGGACCTCTGGTACCTCTGTAATAGCTGTTCTCCTTATTTTTAATTACAAGCTGAAAGACGTCCACCTTATTGCACGACGCTCCTGTTTGCAGAACCAACGGTTGGCTGCTGCTGGCTGTGGAAGTCGGGAGCAAGCTTTGTGAGACGACTGTGGATCGGGCCCGGAGCCAGCCTTGGTAAATGAAAAGCTACATAGATATGATAAAACATCGTTGCATTTATATGATGCAGGTCCGTGTTGGATTTGGCTGCGTCCGCTTTACCAATAGGAGCTAGCCGGACATAAATGCCGGGATGGGGCGGTGGGCTGCAGGATGACGGTGACAAGCCGAAGAAGAGGAGGCTTTGTGTCCTTAGATTCCGGGACATCGGCTGCCGGATGTCGGTACCTGCGCGGGGCAAACATGTGATGAGGCTGGACTATGCCGTTCCTTAGTATCAGCTACCTTGAAGTTATATTTCTCTATCTATAGCTGGCCGCCAGGAGGCAGAAACCGGCATAAGTAGTTTAAAGCTATGTCATAATGACTGAGGTGAGAAGGCTGAAAATTTAATAGATAGCAAGGTTCTGACGGATTGAATACATTGTGTAGTTAGCTGCACAGGTAAAAATAGGCGCAGTAAAGTATAACTTGGAAAGTTTCTTACCCTACCTGCTAGAAGTGCAGACCTATAGCAAAACCTATTATGGTTTACGATATATAAACTTTGCTCTGCCGATATATTCTTAATTGTAAAACTTTAACATTCTGGTGGCTTATATGTGAAAGCTTAGAGTAGGTCTAGCCTAGATTTGACGGCAAAATGACGAAAACCATTTCTTAGAAGGCCAGGGTTATACTAGAAGAAAGTAAATTTCTATACGAGCGCCCAGTTGTGTCTAAAATGGGACTCCTCGACCGCTCTTTCTTGAAAGGGTTCCATTTCTAAACAGCAATTATTAATTCTTCAGTTCCAAAACTGAGCAATATTGACCGAAGTTGCATTTTGTTAACCCCAAATATTGTTGAAAAATGCATTTCCATGACATCTTTATCGTCCTTGCAGCTATCACTGGGGCATATGCTGCTTGATCGGGAACTTCAACCGAAACCGAAACCTGCACCAAGCAATGCATTTGCAGTTGCCCAGCACAGACGGTGAACTACGACAACGCCGCCCAGGGTTGTTCGTCGTCAGGCCCGAATCAGGGGATTGTTTGTTCTGCAGCCTCGGGACCCACACCCGTTGGCGCCCCCGTGCCTTGTGCCAGCCCTTGCTCTTCTTGTGACAATTGTCCTCTAGGTACACCCAGCTGCCGTGACTAAAATTCTCAGTCGTGTGCGAACGCCCTCAGAAGATGCAATGGGGCGGTTTGTACTTGTTAATTGTAAACGTGGTAGGTAATTCAGAAATTTATTACTCAGATCTCATTCTGAATATTACTAACATATCCAAGCCTTTCCTTTCAAACCATCTCCTCCCTGGCCATAGGGAGTAACTGAAAACGAGGGGAGAAAAGGAGACATATAAGGAAGATTTGTTGCAGGTGGATATTAAGTGGAATTGGACAGGTTCGAGGCCTTTCAACCCGTGTAACTATCTATTACTGTGTCAGGTGCCAAAGCCGCTTAACCAGCTTTGTCAAAGAGATCTAAATCGCAGTTCAACCTCGCGTCAATAGTTATCAGTCATTATTCTAGTTATCAATTCGGCGTTTCAAGTTAGGGTTAGGATAGAATTAGTCTCTACTACTTGAGCTATTCTCCCTAAGGGTTTTCTTCTAATTAAAAATTTAGCTTAAAGAGATAAAGGAGAGAGATAGAGATAGATTTATCCCTTTAGTTGGGATAGCCCTCTAAAAGGTATTGCGCTCCACTTAACCCTACGTACAATTACACAAGTTTGCCTATCGTGGCTGCGTGGCGGATTCGCATGCAAATCTATTTGAAACCTCATAACCTATGAGAAAGAGCTGTCCCGGGCCAGGCCTCTAGCCGTTTCGGGCATCTTTAGGGCAGTGGAAAATACTATTGTGTCTTTAAATCCCCTGGTGTAGCCACTTTAGGCAGTGAAGCTGGTGGATAGCTTTTGCGAGTGTAACGGCTGGGGCAAAGTGATAGCCTAGGAAGAGACGAGTGTTAATTAAAATACTGCCGTGTTTAAACGTGCTGTTGTTTATCTTAATAAGCTTGCGAGTAAGATGGGTTTGATGAATGCGCCAAGTGGGGGGGGGCGAAAAATAAAGCACATAGGGGAACCAAGACGCTCTTCTGGTGGTTCTTATAAGCCGAGGCAGAGGAGGGTTCTTAACCTGGTTGGTTTAGACTATTGCGGCAATAGCTTCACAAGGGATTACATACTGTTACTCACTGGCCATTCGCACTGTCTCTTAGTAAAGCCTGCTGGCGTATATGTCGTACACTTTCCATCCCAGGAGAGCATCTGGCCTATCTATGAGTGCAATATAGGGTGGATTTAAAGTCTCCATTGAGATAGGCGGCTTAAAGGCTGCTGCACTACGCTTTATATTCTTGTCAAATTGCATGAAAGAGAAGTGGGTATCTAAATCCTAGAAAGGCTTGGTTTTTACGTTTTTGGCTTCAAGAACGATCCGCCGAAGTCTTATAGCGGCAGCCAACTCTCAATACTTAAGTATGTAGGTCGGTCTGCCTGAGCGCGATTTCCTTCAGTCGCAGGCGTTCAGTATTGTTGAAGCTATCCAGCTCGGGCAGCAGCTAGCGTTGAACTGACCTAGTACTTATATTCCAGAGTCTGTTCAAGCCATCTTATTTAGCTTCCTCTAGAGGCTAAACTACCTCTTACTAAAAACCTCACACTCTTAGATAGGTAAAGTAAGATTTATCTCAAAGGCCTATTAACTCTTAAGAAAAAAGATAAAAGAATGTAACTATGCCCTATTCCTTAATATAGACCTAACAATCCTTAAACTCCCTTTTAGCAAGTAGTTAACCTGGCTTCGTTAAAGAGTGTTCCCTACTAATCCATTATGAAGCTCCACATTCCTGCTGCATCCTATTATTTTGAAGATAATACTAAGCTGCCTATCTGGGCTAGCTGTTTCTAACTTTTCAGATTAATTCAAGGTGAAGAAAAGGTTCCGCTAATAGACTGAGTGATGCCGTTGGTTGTATCGGTAACCGTTACATCGCTGTACGTAACAGATATGAGTTTCTGGGTTTGGCCAGCTGGACACGAGAAGCCGCTGGACGGTGCGACAGGTGTAAGGGTCCGCTGGCCATTAATTCGGCCGTTCTTCCCAGAACTATAAGTGACTAGTGCAGTGACTGTGTCGCTGAAGTCCTGCTTATTTGAGGCTTGGGGATTTTTGCCCCCTTTATTGAAACATCCGTATGTCGCAGTACTATCAGCTTCAACAACATAGTCAATGTTTGTGTTGTCCCCAAGGCCTATCTCGGACCACGAGACATCGAGATTCTGGCCGTTGATTCATGCTGAGGCTGACAGGAAGTCCACTATATAGTCCGTGCTACCAAGCCGTTATCAAGGCAAGTCGAACCAGCTAAAAAAGTCGTCTTGATTGATAAGATGGTCAAATTGACTTGACTTGTCTTGTCTTGTTGAGAACGCTGCTAGTAGTTTATCCTTTGGAAACCACACCCGTCACATGTTCAGCTTGCAATTCATTCAAGCCAATTCCGGGCTTTACTGCTCAAGGCAATCCAAGTTGAAGGGCGGACTTGGATCTAATTGAATTTTGTGTAGCGCTGCGTAACTCGTTACTACCTAGGTACATTTGGAGAGTGATAATATTCCGCCTAAATCAGATTATTTACGGCTCTGTTGAGACGACTTCGGTGGCACGGCTCTTTTCCCACTGGCCGACTGTTTTGCTACCCAGGCCCCTCCTCAGAATCCAGTCCTTGCTGTTAACAGCATCTTCCTGTTCACCATCCTTCCATATCCGCAATGCCTCTTTAATCATTTCGGAACCCTGTATCGGCCTCAGAAATACTGCATCCTCGGGCCTGACAAAACATACCAGGCTGTACCGCGTCAGGGAGGCCTCCTGTTTTGGAGGAGACATGACACGATGAACATTGATCCTCAACATTCCAGCCGTGAACTTAACCAGCGTGTCGCCCAAGTTGACAATAGCGCACCCCAGGAGAGGCCAGATATATGCCTATCCATCTCTATGCTCTATCTCCGCAATCCACAGTTCCTTTAGTAATTACACCTATAATCCACCGGCTCTATTAAAGAGGATCGTCATACTGCCAAAGTCTATATACTCCCCTAGGGAAACACGCCAATTATCCGCTGGCTGCGGCAGTGCGTAAATAAAGCGGACATAGTCACCAGACATCTCGGATAGGCGGTAATAGAACCCAGTGCATTCAGAAATAGCCCAACCCGCAAAGTAAGAATAGCTAGAATAAGGATAACGAGGGTATAAAACTGGCATATAAAGAAGGAGAGCAGTGGCTGGTATTACACTAGCTCTGCCCCTTTTCACAAGGCGAAGCATACATCAACCGATCACATTATAATCAAGAGCTTCCAATTGTCTAACGCTTGTGGCATACAGCCTAGAGGCCTCAGCTGCTACATAGGCAAGCCCCGCGGCCAATTCAACGAGCATCACCATCTCATCATCTTCACAGCTCTGTTTACTCTATCACAGTCACGACACAACAACTTCTCGCAATGGCATTAAAAGAATCGCCAAGTCGCAAAGCATTACCAACGAGCATGAAAAATACTTAATCGAGGAACGATGGTTTGAGGACGTCTACTAACACTGATAATGCGAAGCCGACCGTTGAGGTGATCCAGCGAAAACCGTGGAAGTACATTGGGATTAATAGATATTCAGAGTTTATCGCATCATACAACGATTTCTATGTCCTCAGAAGGTTCGATGTCCTGAACATTCGTATAGTACTCGCATTACAAGACAAGATATCTGAACTAGAGTAAGAGCTTAAGGCTATTGACGCGTGGTTTAACGATAAAAACGCCAAAGATATAAATGATAGGACCTTCAGATACGACGTGGAAGAGCATTAGAAACTGCCATATTAATCATGATTACCGTGCCATTGCTAAAGAAGAACAAAAGTACCTTGAACATGATGAAGATCTCATTTGCGTAGTACCTAAAGACAAAACACCTTTACGGCGGCTGCTCGATAGCTCCCTTCGACTTCGGATATTAGCATTTTGGCGGCATAGAGAAGATGATGTCCCTAACTACGATGCCAACCATCTTCATTACTATTCTGTCAAGCGAATGAATGGGTTTTTATCGGCAATAATTGTTGTTGTGGGTGTTGTCATGCTTATAACGCCTATCTGGGTCCTTCAAGCAACGTCAAGTTTTCGCGCGAAACTGATTGTTATTATTGTGTTTATCTCAGCATTCCTGGTTGTGGTGTCATTGATCATGACCACCAGGTCATTTGAGGCTTTGGCTGCAACCGCTGGGTAGGTCGATTGAGTGCAGCTTGTTGATAATCTGCTGATAATCAATAGCAACGCTGCAGTACTCATGATATTTATTCAGCTCGATGGAACCTAGTATTAGGCAGCCGAGAATGGGTAACCAGAAATTGTAAGGGCTCTTCTTTTACCAGGAGCACAGCCAACCACCCTGGATGATACGAATCGCAACCCTTTAGCCTGTTGTATTGCAAATAAACGCTGCCAGTGGGAAGAGACTTGCGAGATCCTACGTAATTGGTTAGCCCAATGTAGGGACAAATGTCATTTAGAACCGTCTACGTCTGGGAGAGAAGTACCTCTGGAGAGAGGAGTATTCTCTGGATCGATGCTATATGTATCAACCAAAATGACAGTGCTGAGCGCAATAGCCAAGTTGCAATTATGTCGCAGATCTATGGGTCGGCGCGATGTGTTATGGCGTGGCTGTGAGAAGAAGATAATACGACTAATGTGGCTTTCAATTGCTTGTCAAATATTCCCCAGGCGATCCTCCAGTCATGGATAATTCCTGCTAGTAGTTACCGTAACTATTATGAAGGTATTGTGATCATCTAGATGGGAAAAATCCTTGACATGAATGATAGGCCTCATAATGTCGCCATGTCAGTTGCGGATATGCAACCTGTTAAAAACTTATTTACCCGTACCTAGTTTTCACGAATATGGGTGATCCAAGAAGTATCACTTGCCAGAGAAATCGATACGATTCGTGGTCCATTCCATTCCGAGTGGCCGAGTACATTCAGGCTCCCGTTCTTGTTTTCCGGCGTGAGAATATCGAATGATCTTCTATGTGACGGTGGGCCTCCATCAACATTTGGAAAGGCTAGACCTGGTGCACAAATCTTGACGCTTTTCGCTATCAGAATTCGAAGTACCCCCGACTCTCGAGAGGCAAGAGACGCAAGGGAGTATTGTTTCGGGGAAAACATCGTCAATACTCTGTACGGTCAATTCAGCCTCCTTCCTCTGTTTCTTCTCACTTGGGACTTCGCTGTGTCTGACGGGAGAGACAAAGCATTTGCATTGTTGAATGTGTCGAAGCCTTTAGAAGGATTAACTGCAGACTATTCGAAGTCAATCAAAGAAGTATTCATTGAGATGGGCAGAAAACTTCTCCATGCCGATGGAAACCAGATCCAATGGTTATGAAAAATAAGCATGAACGACCTGCGGATCTTTCGTCTTGGGTTCCGGCTTTCCATGTGCAGATGGTTTCCAGTCGAATCTACGATAAACGATACATTGCTTCGGGAGGTTGTCAAGCTGTTATCTATGATTCACCAGTGGGCATACTAAAGGTCAATGTTTTGATCATTGACACAATTGCTGAAGTGGAAGAATACCTGCCAGAAGAAGGCCCCTGACGTATTTACAACGACTATACTATCGGATCATGGCTGATGATAGTTTCGAGGCTCTGTTCTACTTGTCCTAGTGGAGAAAGTTGTATCGAGGCATTCTGGAAAACCTTGACATCAGAATATTGCAAAAAGAGCAATTACCCAGAAACAGCCGAACCCATTTTGCGGAAAGTCATATGCCAATGGGTAGTCCAACACAAGCGTGAGGACTCCATTGAGAAGCATACGGACCTATGCAATATTTTCAAAGAACTACTAGACGCGGATTCATCTGATGAGCTTTCTTCGATCTCTGAATTAATAAGCAGTAGCAAGGAACCTGTGGGCCAAAGTCAGGAGATGGAGGCAGCAGAAGCATGGTTTCACTTTTTATTGGTGCGATACATAAGGGGACGGTGTCTGTTGAGAACAGAACTAGGCTACATGGCGATATCATCAAAGGAGGCGAGGCCGAAGGACCGTGTAGTAATCTTTGCCGGGGGGCGGACACCGTTCATTCTTCGTCAGATGAGCGCAAACCAGTTTACATCTGTAGGCGAGGCTTATGTTGATGGGCTGATGCACGGGGAGTGGTTCGAAGGGAAAGATTGCAACTTTCAACCCATTGAGATCAGATAGCTGGGGCTTTTTTTATATAATATTATTCTTATAAAAATCTACCCCAGTGAGTAAATGCTGTAGCACTTTCATAAATTCACTTCTTGAACAATGGTGAACGACGATACACTTAATATCATCCCATTCAGCTCACTCACGGAGAACCATAAGGGGGATACTTGGTGGTGGTTCATTAAATTGCACGGAAATAGATCAGGTAAGCGCAATGCAGTTTACTTGTTGTGCACTCAACATGTATTGCATGGTGGCTTAGCAAATAACCTTGTTTCCGTAGAAATTCTTAAGCGCCAGCCTTATCTCAACCCTATGCATGTTCCAATCAGGCCATGTCGCGCTCTTGTTTATGATCCCGCTTTATGTCTGTCCTTAATATGCAGGCAAATGGGGCGAAGCACTTCCACATGTGTGTTGGCTGAACTGAGCCAGGGTCGCAATTGCAAGACCCTAGGCTGTGTGTCTTGTCGCATGTGGCACTGGACCTATCTTTATCCACTGAGAGGGTTGCAATAGACGCGCAGGGGGGATGATCAGCGAATGGGAATGCATTTAACCTGGTCAAAGCAAATAAGGCTCTGGGGACACATTCAGCTCGTTGAGGCTAAGTCAACAATCCGGGGAATAATCAATACTGCGATGCTCAAGAGCTTCTTATACAGCTGATCAGTTATTAAATGCATAAAAGCTTCTAAACTGCCACTAAATTGTTGAAGACAGCAATCTCAAAGAGCAGTCACTACTAAGTTGGCCATCTCAGCCATGTTTCTTCGCTACTTGCTTTCGTTGACGCTGGTCAATCATGCCTTTGCGTACACAATCCCTGATGACTTTTTGACCATTCACAGAGGTGATGCCAAGCGCAACGATGAAACTCCGGTGGTATTCAACCAGACCGACCCAGTGTTGATGTGTCAGTCCACCTTCGGCGATAGCGCTGAAGAAAACGCAAAACTCTGGTATGGCACCGCGGCTGACTATGAGCTTGACACATTCATTTCACGAAACAACCCCGATGACCCAAACAAAGAACACAAATTTGAAGCCGGTACCGGTAGAGGCTGGTTCGAGAAGCTCAAGCAGATTGTGTTTAAAGCGGATGGCGAGATGCCAAATTGCGCTCAGCCTGGTTCAGGTACCTGTCACGTCGCAAGCGAAGTTTGCTGTAAGTGCAAATACCTCTTCAACTCGCAGACATTATACTGACGTTATTAGATAAGCTTATACGTGAGCATTAATAGAGAAGAAAGTATTTGTGCCGCCAGTGACTAACTTGAGAATAGAAAAGATTAATCCTCAACATCCAGACGGTCCAAGAGATGGATATGGAAATGCCCGAGCATACTGGGTTCTCAAACAAGTCGAGACGTTACACGGAGTTTTTGGCAAAATCCACGAAGAGCTTGTTCAAAACTCTGCTATCAATGCTAGTCTCAGACTGGACATAATCAAGGAGGACTTTGCAGCGCCGCCCGAGATATACACCAACATATGGTCACAATTGTCAACTTCGCTCTCTTTTGCCAGTGCATACGGCATACCAAATGGTGGTCTTTTCGGATTCGCCAGTGGCTTATTCGGTGTGGTTGGTTTATTTGCCCAGAAGGCACCACAAAAGCCTGATGGTATGGTTGATCTCAACGAGATCATGTCTGCTTATTTCTCAGGTTTGTCCAACTCCATCCAGGACATATTGAAGGATGCCCTTGGCTATGGAGACCAGAGGAATCTTCCAGAGTCTACCTTGACTCGAAAGTCCGGAACGGTAAACCAAGCTGCCATGTTTTTTGACGAAGGGAAATGGCTCTTTGGAAACGACGATGCGATGGGGTCACAACTGGATGAGATTATCAAGCGATCCAGCTCCTTTGTTGTAAGTAATTCCGTTTCTTGGTTCTTACCATGCTAACTCTAGTACAGGAACAACGTCTAGTCATGCAAGCAATCACACGCAAGAATAGCTTCATTACCGTCTGGGACAGTCGATATGGAGAGCCTGTCAGTGAAGAACACTGCAACAAGCGACGTGAAGCTTACAAGACTGCCATCTGGAAACCTGACTTTGAAGGCGGCAAGTGCGTCGAACTTCTCTCTCTACCAAAGAATCCTCCAGGAAGCGCTTGGCCTGACACCAACTGCGAAATCACGGGAAGTGATATGGAGCCTTGTCATCATGAGCCGGGACGTCCCACCAAAGACTGGATGGACAAGGCGATGGACAAATACGGTGTCAACATGGAGATGGTCATCAACAGTGCAGTTGAGTGCGCCTTTAATGATCCTCGAGAGCCTGAATACAAAGATGTTCAGTTGAGTGGCGGTGCTCCTCATTGTTTCTTCAATTTACCTGTCAAGAGAGGGAAATGGGACGTCGGAAACAGGAGGGCAAAGGACCCCGAGACACGCAAGTGGATTACGATATCGAAATGGGCTTCTCTGGATGATGTGTATAAGCCCTAGTTTGGCGATCAACGACTTGTGTGAATAGACGATAGATAAGATTTCAAATTCGGCATCGAGTGGACTCATGTTCTGTGAAACACAATTTGCTATTTTCACGGGCCAATAATAAGTGGGCAGAAGTTAATGTCCAGGCCAGGCTCGGCAGCGTCATGGAATAATTTGGTCTGCAGGGCCCCTGAGTCGTCTTTGTGTAACCAAGGGCTTGTCTCAGTTCGTTCAAACATGACCCATCGCTGATATCTGCCAAATTACAAGACTGATCAGACAGGTCAAGCAAAAGCCTGAAGAACAGACCCAATTGACACGTCTCATCATCATAAATTCATCAGCTCACCGCTGACTGAGTCAACAGCATCAATTTGCTCATGTTTCACAAATTATTGCTTTTTAGCCTTGGCAATCTTACCTCAGATTTTAATAGGTAATCAGTCAAGCCCCAACTGTCATACCGACCTCGCGAAATAGACTATTTGATTGGAGACGCGCTTTTGAGGCTGCATTTTGTGGCATGAACTGCAGCGAATTCGTTGAACAATCTAACCAAAAAAGGGTAGCTGTGCAGAATGTTGAACGGGGCTTGTTTTTAAATACAGTGCTTTTCCACATCTTCAACGAGGCCGGTATATGCTCACAAATATTGGCACAATATGGCGCTTTTAATTTTTGATACCATCGACTCAACGTCTACTCGAGTTCTAGCCGGTGGACTTCTATTGGTCGGCGTCATCTACACCATCTACCGATCTATACTACCTCGTCCCCTGGAAGGAATCCCGTACAACGTCGCAGCCACCAAGCGAATCTTTGGCGATCTGCCCGATGTCCGTGCCTATGGTAGCTTGACCGATTGGCTCGCGACACAAGCCGTCAAACATCAATCACCACTTTTCCAAACCTTCATTCGTCCTATGGGCAAACCCTGGGTTGTTGTCGCTGATCACTATGAAGCAGCCGAGGTTTGCACCCATCGATTGAAAGAGTTTGACAGAGGTAGCGCAAGCACGTCTATTTTCGCTTGTGTTGTTCCCGGTTCACAAATCACACTCGAGAGTCACAATCCGCAATTCAAGAAAAATAAGGAGCTTGTCAGGAATTTGATGACGCCGACTTTTTTGTCAGAGGTAAGAATGATTGATGACTGCAGCGAGGCTTACGCTTATGTGCATCCAGGTGTCAGCACCAGAAATCTATGACAAATTCTCACGTCTTGTTGAATTGTGGAATTTGAAAGCTGACCATGCAGATGGAAAGTTCTTCGCGGCGGCGAGAGATATTCACAATGCCGCTCTAGATATCATCGTCTGCGCCTCTTTCGGTATCGACACACAGGAGACGCAACTGGTAAAAGAAATCGAGCAACTCAGTACAGAGTCTTTGAGTGAAAATGACTGTGAAATCTCATTCAAAGAGGTGCCTCTCAGTGAAGAGTTAAGTGCCATGACTACCTTATCGGAAAGCATCGCAAAAGTTGTAAAAACACCCTCTCCTCCATTCTTTCACTTTTTGTATCGCAATTTGTCATCCAAAATGCGCAATGCCACCGCCCTTACTCGAAAACTACAACGCCGCGAGATTACCAATGGCATCAAACGGCGCCAGAACGGGGAAGCGATGAAGTGCGCGTTGGATGAGATATCGGCCCGAGAGGAAGCTGCGGCAAGGAAAGAAGGGAGGAAACCTGACTACCACTCTCAGACTATCACCAGTGAGGTAAGTACCAATGTCTTTATGTATCAAGGGAATAGGTCAGGCTGACATGTCTTGTAGCTCATGACATATCTGATCGGTGGCCATGAAACTACATCTTCCGCGATACGATGGGGCATAAGTTATCTCAGCGCAGACCAAAGAGCACAGTCCGAATTGCGAAAGGTCCTTCAAGAAGCCCATCGGCAAGCCAAAGCAGAGAAACGCCTTCCCACTCTAACCGAAATAATACAGACACGCGTACCATATCTCGATGCCGTCGTGGAAGAGACACTACGACTCTCGTACCCTCTTGGTATGTGCTTGCGAGAAGTTCAAGTCGACACACAAATACTCGGAGCCCGTATTCCAAAAGGAACAACCATCGCTTTTCTTTCCAACGGACCAAGTGTACTCGCACCACCTATACAATACGATGAGTCGCGCAGTAGTGAATGGGTCCGAGCGAGGAAGCCAGAGCAGTCCGTTGAACAAAAATACGACTTCCCTTCCTTTATACCTGAGAGATGGCTCAAGTCTGCAATGACTGAAGCTGGCAAAGAGGAAGTTGTGTTTGACTCCCAAGCCTTCCCTATCCAAGCATTTGGCCTAGGCCCTCGCGGTTGCTTTGGTAAGAGGTTGGCGTATCTCGAGATGAAGATCTTTTTCACTCTTATCACTTGGACATTTGAGCTTTTGCCATTGCCAGCGGATGTCGCGACTCCCAAGGCAGTTTCATCGTTGACTAGAAACCCGGATCGGGTGTTTATTAAGCCGCGTCGGGTAGTACTATAGGTGAACTACTGCCATAGGTACAGAGTGTCAATCTTCAAGCAAGACATGAAGAAAGATTTGATCAATTATTGCAACCTATATACAATTCTTTGTTGCTAGACCGTCTCCAATCCATCTGATCTATGACGAGCCTTCTTCGCACTCGCTGGTCTGTCGGCGCTTAATAAACCCCCTCTGTCATACAGAACCAGGTCATCTGGTCTCGTAGAAGCGGTTCCATCGATCACTGTCATTTTGATCGGAACTAATGACCTCTCAACGAATATCCCTTCTGCACTGCTGGACGTACTCGGTAAAAGATTCAGCCATCGTATCTTCGTTTTGGCGGCAAGTAGAAGTGGCTGGGTATGAGGCATGCAAGCAACAAGAATACCGACGCCGGTTTCGATATTGGACCATATAATGATACCCTGCGCATCGGCTTTATGGATTGTCGTGTCAGGTTCAAGTTCCAGGAATCGGATTCAAGTGGGGGATCTTACATGTCGCGTTCAGGGTTTTGTTGAAATCTAGCATATGCGGTATACGGATGCAGCTAACTGCGATGAGACTAATACTCGTTAGTTCACTCAAGCAGTAACGGATTAAAACTTACAATATTCCCACGCTAAATATGAGCATGATTCCAATCTTCTTTCTCGCCTTTAACCCAAGGTTATACAGCTGCGTTAACGGAAGAACGAACATCCAGACGTCCAATGCAACATTAATACCGGCATGAGAAAGAATCAAGGCTTGAATATTCAGATGCGGTCCTGAATTCGCAGTGCCGTCCCAGCCCTCTTGCGACGGCTCAGTAGGGGCGCTCTGGAGGCATGCGAGGACTAGAATAATTGTTGTAGTGAGAATGGTAAACCCGATCGTCCATCTGATGATTTTGATAAATGTCGGGTCTGGAAAAATGCGGAGGAAAAAGAAGAGGATCGAAACTTTGATCAGACATAGGCTGAGAACGTATGTAAATTCGACGACAAGAAGATACTGCATCATTTAGTATCGACTGCGCAATTAAATATTGGTGATCTTACTATGAAGAATCGGGTTGTTCTTTCTTCGCTTATTGTCCAGATGTCGTGTCCGAGGCCGACCCATGTCACTGAGGGACCATTGTGTCAGTTATCTAAGAGTATGGATATCCAGATATAAATCGGAACTTACTAAGTATCATGCATATCGTTTGTACAGCTGTTAGAATCTGGATGTTTCGATAAGCTAGTGGCCCACCATATCAGCGAAAGAGTCCCACTCACAGCTGCAGGGATAATTAAATAATCATCCGTACCCCATTTCGTAAATCGGTAGAACTTTGTCGATATCCTTATACCAACCGAGACGAGTATCGCTCCAAGAATAAAAAAGTTTATCGCTCTGATGTTGTGGTCGTTGTCGATGTCTGGTCTATTGCAAGCTACGTGCTCTGTTCTCAAGTATTCTGAACGCGACGCGTCGTTAGCTTTGCACCCCTGCGACAACCAAATGCATCGCGTCTTGACTATGACTATCCTTACCCAAAAGATCCTTCACGTTGCAATCCTCTCTGACACATGCAAGAACTTCGTCGCTAATCGTCGTCACGTTGCACAATCGTTTTATATTGGCGTCGGAAAATATCGGTTTTTCGAGGGACTTGTCGAGGCAATTGATCTGGTGACGTTAGAAAAGCGACTCATTTGATGCGACTGGTAGACTCACGGCACACTTGGGAGCATCTTCCAATCTGTAATCTTTAGCATGAACCGAGTCACACAGAGAAATGACAATGACAAGTATCGGCCATAGAGTCAGTCCTCTCATAGCGCTTCCCTTTTTGCGTGCAGGGCATGTGGAAGTTTTTCAAGGAGCAAAGGGAGAAATTTAGTAACCTGCTAAAGATCCCACGTCCCAGACTTTTAAGGGAGCAAGGGCAAATCTCCTGGTATCTGTGGCACACACGGGCTGAGATAAGGTTCGCGATGGCATCTCATCACTGGTCTAGACTCCCGGATTTAACATAACCCAGACTGTACCTTAATTTATTTGGTAGATCTGAGCGCTATCGATCGTTTTGATTTGAGGAAAGTTAGGTGGCGCATGGCGGCTGACGCCGGATCCTGGTTTGCCTGCCGCTTAGTTTCATTCCCCATGTGAGACATCATATCTGTCTCAGCATTCCAGCTGTTTGCAGTTGCCTCGGGCCATACAACACAAATAAGGCTGTGGATATAATATGGCAATTCCATTTGAGGTAGTCATGAGAGCGATCGGATTTTCTGTCCGTTGACTCGTGTTGTCTGTTGATAGACGACTAGCTAGGAAAGTTGGCCCTAAGCTCCAGGGTATTTGGTGGCTGTGAGCTTTGAAGCCATTTGTCTTGCACTTTGAAGCCACGACTTATTCCACGTCCGATGGAGGTTACCAAGCAAACTTGAGAATAACACACAACCGAGAATGAAGTAGTAAAGCTTCGGGTATCGAAATGATTGACTCAAAGGATCTCATATAAGTAGCATTAGCTAATTTACCAATTCTGTCTCTTTCATTCCCAGCGCGACGGACAATTCTTCAGGCCCGAGAAGCCGGATGTTACCCTACAGTGGACATCCGCAAGGATCGCCATATCAGTAAACTTGTCTTTGCCGATTGCGGCCCGAGCTGAAAACGACTGAAACGTTGACGTTGCTTTTTTCATGTCGTTTACGTACCCCACGTCGCGTCGAAACATCAGAACATGTTCATCATAATTCACCGTCCCGCTCGGTCCCACCTCATTAAACTATAACTCGCTGTCACACTTGTCACTCTATTCTTAGCCCAGAGCTGGAGTGATGTCTACCTGAGCTATTCGTTTTAGATTTCTTGTCATGTAGATCGCATTGACAAACGAAAGTGATAAGCCGTGATCAAATGGTGGACAAAGCAACTCGCAATCTATCCCTCTTCGTTTAATGGCTAGAGGCTGCACATGACTCGTTGAGCGTGAAACATCCTAGCTCATTGGTCAGACCCCTGGCTCGTGTATGCCGATGCAGGGACTAGGGAAGATGAGCTGAAGATCTCCCAACGTGGACAGCAAATCGTGACAGCTGTGGGGAAAACAAGAGTTTATTTCATGATCGATGCTTGAGATTCTTCACTCAATTGAATAGAGTCACTGACTTTAAATGCTCGTGGAAAACTGAATAATAGAAAATACTGAACGACACGGTATGTAGATTATCGTGTCAAGCCTGCGTCTCCCTCTGGTCGCGAATCGCTGTGTAATGCAGCACAACAATGTCGACAGTTGAATGAATAGAGTACTAGAAACAAACTCGCTTCCCTCCACGCGACCGTTGGTTAATGTTAGGCTCTGACCCACAATGCAATGAACTTTCATGACCAATGCTCAATACGAGTGTCAGGCCAAAAAAACTAACGGCTGTAGGCGAGTTGCATTGTGGCCCGTGTTGTACACCATCGTCGGCTTCGTCCAATTTACCATTATGTGATTGCGATTCGTATGTATATAAGGCAGCCGACACTCCTCTTATGGGTTCCCGATGAATCAGACATTGTACCTCCTCATCGCATCAAGATGTATCTGAATCGCCTTCTCCTATCCTCCCTCTTTGCTGTCCCTGCCCTCGCGGCACCCAGTGCCTCAACCACCAAGGCATGCGAGGAGATCTCAAAGAACCTTCCTAAAGTCGTTTCTTTCCCCTATACCATCAACTTCAACTCCGAGACCACAGGTTACTGGTCCACAGCCTTGCGCGAGATCAAGCCTGCTTGTGTAGTCACTGCCAAGTCAGCGTCTGATGTGTCCACCGCCGTCACAATCCTCCAGAAGTACCCCGATGTCAAGTTCGCTGCTAAGAGTGGTGGTCATGACCCGAACCCCACCCATGCCACAGCTGGTGATGGAGTTCTCATCTCTTTGAGTGAGATGGTTGGTGCGGTGTATGATGCCGAGAAGAAGGTTGCATATGTCAAGCCTGGTGGAGAGTGGAACGATGTCATCTCCGAACTTAACAAAGATGGCGTTGCTATTGTTGGAGGTCGTCTAGGCTTAGTCGGTGTCGGCGGTCTTCTTACTCAAGGTGGTATCTCATTCTTGAGTGCTCAGTATGGTTTGGCAGCTGATGTATGACCCCCTTCTAATCTCATTGTGACTCAGCTAACAATATGACAGAACGTCGTTGCTTGGGAAATGGTCAACGCCAACGGAACAATCGTCAACATCGATGCTGAGAAGCAACCCGAACTTGCCGTGGCATTGAGGGGAAGTGGCAGCCAGTTTGGTGAGTCTCAAACATATATCATTTGACTACTATATCTAACGTTTTGCAGGAATCGTCACACAATTTACTGTCAAGGCCTATCCAATTGGAAAGGTCTGGGGTGGTATTCGTACATACGATGATTCCAAGACCGATGAACTCTACGAAGTCATGCACAGGTTCATCCCATACAGCAACAAGGACCCCAAGGCCGCCATCATTACTACAAGCCTCATCCTCACTGGTGGTAGCAGAACCAACCTGATGTTCTATTTCTATGACGGCGAGAAGCCCCCGACCACCGGTCCTTTTGCCGACTTCCTGAAGATCAAGTCTACCCTTTCCACCACCAAGACTCAGTCATATCCTGAACTGGTAAGACCATTACTATTCATACTTTAAAAAGTATTGTTACTAACAAACGATTAGCTCAAGTCCAACGGAGCCGGAGTTTCTCTTCTGAACTCACGAATTTCTTTCAGAGTAAGCAACACGCTCAATTTCTCACGAGTCACAACTAACACAGACAGACTGCCACTATCCCCTATTTCCCCAAAGACTCAACTGTCTACGCTCAAATCACCAACAAGATGAAAGAGATCACATCAGACTACTTCAAGCGTCTCCGAGGTCTTGCCTCTCAATGCTCAGTCGACTTCCAGCCCTTGCCCGCCGCCATCGGTAAGCACACCGAGGAGCGGGGTGGAAACGCTATCGGCTTCACTGCAAGTGATCCTGATCGCGTTCTTCTCGAGATCCAGTGTGCTTGGGTTGAGAAGAGATTCGATGACATGGTTCGTCAGTTCTCCAAGGATTTGACAGCCTGGATTGAGGAGAAGGTACCTGAGTGGCTGGCGGAACAAGGAGAGCCTGCTGATGCTTACCTCCCTCTGTTTATGAATGATGCCATGTCTGATCAGAATGTCACGGGAACTTACAAGAACTATGCTAAGTTCAAGGCGCTTCAGCTTGAAGCTGATCCTGAGGGTGTTTTGAGAGAGAGGATGGGTGGTTTCAAGTACTGATAAGTACAGGATATAGTTATCTTAAAATCATGTATTTAATTATTAGGACTAATTTAAGCGTATATCAAGTAAATGCTATTGCGATCAGACATGAGAGTGCTGCCTAATTTGTCTAGAGCCGTGATTTGGTGATTGCTAGGCGTAAAGGCTTCCACGTGCATGATCACATGATCACATAATTCCTTCGGTCTTCGTTCTTTCAACTGTGAACTTCAATCAATTATACTCTCTCCACTCTCACAGTTTAGCAAATTGTAGTTCAATAACACGCCATCAGCGCACTAGACCTTCATATTGTGGATATCGTGATTTTTACTACGCAACTCTTGTCTTTAGCCACTTCTTTGCGCACAAGCAGGTGTTTTTCGAAAGCTGTACATTATTGGCGCGCGCTTATGGATATGAGATGGTGTTTCGGGTGAAGAGAAATACGGCCCGCCGCCAATCATCCAGCTGACCTGGGATCTATCTGCGAGCCGTGGAGATCATAAATGATTTGCAATATGAATAAGTTCAAAGCGGGAATATTGAACTGAGAACTATCGTGAAACCGTTCTTGGTTATACGATTCTGGGGCCTTCATTCACCTTTCTCAACGAGGTATTTCATTTTGTCCGAATATTGCTTTTGGGTATCAACCGGGCCTCAGACGCTGTACCTCCTTGGCTGTCAATTTACCCAGTAAAGATCAGCGAATGAGTCTGTAAAAAAGCTGACAACCCCATAAATCAGGCATTCATAGGACTTTCCCCCAGGGCCTGCTTTTCAGCCGCTGCGAGGAAACCAATATTGATCGTCTCATAACAGCTTACTCCATACACATTCCTGCCTGAAAATTTAACATCGAAACTGTGCAATGGGCCTGTATGATGACCGGGGTAAAAAACTTAGATTTTCCACTTGCTGACGATGACGATACTGATTTTCTCGTGAATGTCTTCTCCGATCTTGGCCCGTAAGTTATCATGCTACTCATTCGCCTAACTGAATTGACCTGCGGCCTTCATGTCGTGATCTAACTTGCTTTTTCGGTGTTCTTGCTTTATTCGGTGAACAGTTTGCTCGTCAATTTCTGAGTGAAACATTCAGTTGGTACGACCATCTCATTTTTGCCTGTGTCCCATTGGGGATCATGACAGCTATCGCGGGTGCAATTCGTGTTGAAGGTCGCCCGGTCCTTAAAGCCTTCACAGGCCGCGCCCGCGAGAATAAAGCTGCTGCCGAAATAGAGTATATGTCTTCTACGTCTGCCGAAATGGGAGAGTTGTTCAATGGAAAGGGTATTGTGAGAACCATGGGGCAGTCAAAGATTGCTCAGTTTATTGTTTTCCCACACACTTTCAATGCGGATAAGAAGAATGACAGGGAAACCCTTGGCATACACACCTTGAAGTCTGCGACAGAAGAAGGCAAAGAAGTTATTAGAAAAGAAGGTAACTATTGGAGCTATGTAATTGCAGTTCTGTGTCAAGAGTTTACATGTATCTTGCAGATTACCGCGACGAACTTGATGCACGTTTCATTAATTGCTTCAAACCAGACAAAGTTCGATCCACAATTCGGAAAAATGAAGTCGAAGATGGTACACCCAGTGAAGACATTCCATTGAACTATTGGGAATCCCTACAATATCCCAACCTCCAGTTAAACATCGCAGCTAAGAGAATCACGGCGGAACGAAGAAGTGTTGAACTTCATTTAGCTGCTATCATAGCAATCATCCTGCAGGGCGTCTCTTCTTGTGATAGCTGGTGTGATACTCTATCGGATGGATGGTTTTGACCAACAACCTTGGGGTCACTCTTACTATATTGGTGGCTCTGTTCTGCTCTTTGTCGGCATGCTTACTTGCTCTGTCGCTATTGAAAGGAGTACGAAGGAGTACAAATGGTTTTCAAATGACCCACCAGCTACAAAAGCAAAGCACATGAGTTTATTCTGGGTGCAGGGGAAACCGCGAGTCAGCGACCAGGAATTTGGCTACTATGTCATATACGCCCAAGATAAAGACTTTATCTCGACGTCGAGCCGAAAATAAGATGTCGACTACAAGAACAAGAGCACAAATGACCCGAATGAGCCCGGATACCAAGAGAAGTCAAATATTAAAACGCAAAGAACTTTTCTACAGGAAAAAAACGTGTCGATGAAAAAGGTTGATGCAAAGCTCTCATGGAATCGCGATATTCGGGCAGTCACTGCACTCCTCGCCGGTAGTGCTGGATTTACGATTCAGTTCATAGGTTTAAGAGGTCTCCCTTGACCTGTCGCTGTTGCACATCTCGGGGCTATCATCGTCATGGCCATGATACGGGCGTTGATCAGGCGGCGACTTGGGGAAGATACCCAGTATTGCGGGGCTCTATCAGAGTATGAACTTGACTATCTAGCCATCCAACTAGTGGAGACCAAATGCTGCACGCTTGTATCCCTTGAAAAGAACTCCAAATCACTGCAGCAGGTTTTATCATGGAGAGTTGATATTACGAAACATGGCAAGGAAATTATCTACCCCTTCGATTTTCCGGGCACTGTTGAGTTTGATGTCGCATTTTCCAAGTAGAACAGCCACAAAGTGCTGAGTCGTACCAGAGAGACCGAGTATCTGGAGAATAAAGTCGGAGAAGCTCCGGACAGGGAGGCTCAGAAAGTTATGTCGGTTCGGAGGCGGTTGGGAGATCTCTGCGAATGGGAGACAAAGGCATTTAAGCCAGCGCTGATGTTAGTTCGCTCTATTGAGTATTTTCTTGATGAGTTTGCGCCAGATGGATTGTCCGGTGAGGATACAATTACCTGGAAAATTCCTTTTAAAAGCTCAAGTGATAAGTCTGGGGTTGTGGAGTTGAATATTATCAGGGCGACCAAGGCGTACACAGGACGGAACATCAATGCTGGCCAAGTTGGGGCAATTCTATCAATCTGGATGGCTAATCTTGAGGCGAACAACACGACACAATCCAAGAAAGACAGGGATACAGAATGGCAAAGATCGGAGGCTGGTGTTGCCTTGGGAGTCGAGTACTGCAGAATACTGGGACGCAAGTACGACAACGGTGTCCTACAGCGTGACATCAACTGGTGGGTAGGTAATCCAGGCATATCAGAAGTAGAAGTCGAAAAACAAGTTCCAGAGGCCAAGCCAAGTCCTCAACCCGGAACAAGCAGGACAACAAGCTTTCAGTTAAGAGGCTCAACTGTAACCAACAAATCCAGTTCACAACTTTCGAGTTCCGAACAGAAAAAGTCTGTGATTATGCCATACACCTACGACAGCTCAAAGCACAAAAACGTCAAGATAGTGATTGGCTACACTGGGCCCGCCGGTACTGAGGGAGCTCAGAAGCTTCTTGTACAGCATTCTACAGCCGCCACGGTTACCATTGCGATGCAGCATCTCTTCATTCATTTTATGTGGACAATCGTTGATCGTTTACCAAAGAACTTCCTTGATCAAGGTTCAGTGAATGTCCACGAAGCTGTTAGTGTTCAACCACCGAGAAAGTTGGATCTATCATCAAACAAGTCCGGAATAGGTCGAAAACTGAGCCATAAAAAGCTCAAAAAGTTTGTCCTTCATGCCGAGAAAGAAGACCTCGGGACGTTTGACGATGTTCTTCTCTGTATTATACCTGGTTTGAGTATCAAAGACCGTTTGCCAAACGACGCAACCTTTCGGTTCGACCTACCTAGGTTAACAGAGCGAAAAGGATAGTCAAAGGTAGCTCCTAGGTATTATGTTCTCCTGATGTCCGTACCGAAGAGCCCTAGCTGTCATTTAGAAGACTCGCTCGCTTTGGCAACGGTGGTGTATGCACTGGACTATGTTTACATAATGGCCCTGGACGAAACGTACTCTCGACGTGGAAAACCTACAGATAGTGACAAAGAGTCGAATCAATCAGAAAGTGATACAACTGAAGATTCTGGTACAGAGTTCGAAGCTTCAGATATAAACTCTGGGCTTTCGAGACAGCAACCGGATGACGGTTTCCAAGACTTGCTAACCCACATTTCAGAGGCTTTTCCCATAGTTATCAAGAAATTGTGGTTATTCTACGAGTTACAAGAACGCGCGAGATTCTTTCTGAAACTCAAGAAGAGATCTCAGGAGAAGACGTCGGCGGAGATGTGGTCACTCAAACCCAAGACCCTGGAAAAAGAAGCTTTCATGGAATATATCAGATTCAACAAATTGCACCAAGACATTTACAATGACCAACAGCTTGATTTAAGAGAATTGCAAGATATGAATTGTCTTCAGGTAATTTGCATATTAATGACTGAAGTTTAGGGAAACAATTGGAAACGAGAGACATTTTCGGATGGACAGCCTTACACTACGCTGCAGCTTGTCGAGACTTGAAAGTTGTAGGGCGCAACAGTGTCGGCAACGCTGCCCTTTCAGACCGAAAACGCCCAGGGAACTTGTGGCTGGACAATCTTGGGAGAGGCCCAGTACATATAGCCTCCTTGACGGGAAACTCGGAGTTCTTGAAGATGTTTCTCATAACCATGTTAGAAGATGACGTCCGATCAACGCTAAAATCGACAGGCCTGGATGGTATGACCCCAGTTCATCTTGCTATTGCGGGAGGGCATGAGAAGTGCCTTGACGTTTTCTCCAAACTCTCATTCTTTTTTGACTTAGATTCCAAAGAAGATGCCTGGAAACGGAGTCCAGTCCACCTTGCGATTTTCCAGGGCCAATATTCGTGCTGCACCGCATTACTCGAGAGCGGAAAGTTCAAGTTCAACCCAAGTGCCCTTGATACTCTCGGCAACTCAATCTTGCCCTACCTTGATGAAAAGGATGATGAACAGAAAGAGACTGGACATTTGTTACTCAGAAACTATTCGGAGACATTCCAAGAGAAGGACAAAGAAGGGAAGGACAAATTTGCATTACATTATGTGGTTGAGTCCGAGGATTGCGATAACGAAGTCCGTCATGGAATCATTATCGGGCTTGTTCAAGCCATGGAAGGTGCTGACATGAAAAGCATTGATGTCAAGGAAAATCATGGACGCACACCACCACACATCGCTGCAGAGAAGGCAAATAGTTCGGTAGTCTTTGACCTCCTCAACTCAGGCGCAGACCCCAATACCAAAGACAAAGACGGTGAAAATGCATTGCATCGTGCGGTGATGATGTGGAGCAATGGTGAGGAATCCGCCAAAACAATGCTGGAAATCACTCTAAGACTTCTCAGAAAGGCACCCGGTTGCATGGGTGCATGGGATAACACGCATGGTACACCGCTAACCTGGGCCTGTAGATCGAGAAGCATAATATACCGCATAACCTCAGGGGGCATTAAAGACTAACTGACAGTACCGTAAAGCTATAAAGCTGCCCTAGTATTATAGCAAGGCTAAATATAACTAATGCCTTAATTAGAAGTAAATAGGTTACTAATATAGGATAGGAAGAAGTATTTAAGATTAGACTAAGGAAGTGTGACGGTTGTGATTCCCAAGGGATAAACTAGTCCGTACTAGGTTTATGTTGGCAGATACGTAGGGCGTTGTGATACTGAGCATAGCGGAGTGTCACGTCTCTTAATAGTGAATAGAGCGGGTAAGGCGTATTCAGGTAAAGATGTTTTATTGATAGCTGGTGAGCTAAGTCCTATCTAGTGCTAAAGGAGTGTATATATACATGAAGGGTCACTTGTACAGTGGTGAGCCTTGAAGAAAGGCTCACGATGTCAGCGGTGAGCTACAGGGTAGGTTTCACGCATGCCTGAGTGAGCTTGGTGAGGCTCACTCTGGTGTGGGTGAGCTTAGCGTTGGTTGGAGGAAAATTGTGGGGTACACGTGACGTAACCGCTGGGATCGTAACATAAAGAAATTACCTAAGTGCTATTATATAACGTACATCACAAGCTAGTGTCCCACACAAGCGAGTGTCCCACCAATCTACACCTAAAGACTCGAAAGAGAAATAAAAACACTACAACCTATCTGATCAATTAAAATTAATTGCTATACTATTCCCTATTGACCTCAATTGACTCTTGACAGGTCCTTGCAGTATGCCCGGTCTTTCCGCAAATACTATATTGCCGAGGCTTTGATCCTTGTGACCTTCCTTGACCACCTCTTGAGGATTCAGCTGTCACCTGCGCATCAATATCTATCTGATCAAGTGCTTGTGATGCTTCCGTTATAGTTAAAGCCCCTTCTTTCTGTATTATAGTCCTTTTTCCCCTTCGGCGCTGCCCTACTGTCTTATTCTGCTGTTCAAGTTCTTAATTCCTCTTATATAGTAAGGCTATCTTATCCATAAGATTAGTTGTTGACTTCTCAAAAGACTTAACAGCTTGGATTATTGACTCAGGGGAGCTGCTTTTATGATTTCTAATCCTTCCTTGCAGATATTTAGAATGCGATTGGGCCTCTGCTACTGTCTTTAGGGTCCTTGAAGTCCAAGGGGTCGATGGTATTATAACCTCAATAGGAGGCGTTGGAGTCCGTAGCTGTATATCAAGCTTTAAGATGACATTTTCTGGGTCAAAGGGAGAAAGCCTAGCTCCTCTAAAACCTCCCTTGATATTGCTTTCTGTAATAGTAGCTTAGTGGGCGGCATAAAAGGCAGGAAAGAACTCGGTCTTAGTGATATGCGATATGAAGCATCTGATCAGATGCTCTATTTCTCGACCATAGGCCTTTTTCAGCGGCCCAAAGCACCCTACATCAAGAGGTTAAAGTAGATGAGAGGCATGAGCAGGTATACAGAGCGTGATAATCTTGTTCTCCTTGCAATATCCCTCGAATTCGACGGAGTAGTGACTTTCATGACCATCAAGGATCAAGAGTCGATAGCGACTATTCGTCCGTTTAGCTGTAGCCCGATCAAAGTGCTTTAGCCACTCGAGACCCAGGTTATTATTAGTCCATCCATTTTCACTTAATGCAATAACCTAATCGCCAGGGAGGTCGCATTCTTCATACCAAGTAGCAAGGTGATCTTTACCTGCACTAATAATAAACGGCGGGATCGATTAACCTTCGGCATTAATCCCCTCGATTACAGTAATCTATTCACGATTTCCAGGCTGTACTTGCTTTAGTCTTCCTTGCCTATAGGAGCTTATAATAACTATTCTGGGCTCAATCATGCCCATCATAAAGCCGGTCTTATTAAAGTTCTAGATATTATCTAATCGGATACTGTATTTCGCGATTATATTCTCTATAAGCCGAAACCAGCCATAAATAATAGTCGGATCTTCGCATTTAGCTCTCTGATAGTTATATCTGCGAAACCGACATGTCTTTAGGTCTGGTTGTCGCTTAATAAAGTTATAAGCCCAGTTCTTGCCAACAAGTAGTAAGTCGCAATTGGCAAGTAGGGAATTTGCAATATCTTCCACATATAATAGTCGCGAGGGAAACCCTCGCAAATCTAGGTTAAGAAGGAATTGTATTATTGTTTGTTCTTCCTGATTGGACAATTTTCGTGATTTTATAAGAGTATTATGCGTTGAAAGAATGCCTTGCCGGCGGCGAGCTAATGTACGGTAGTTAACGGTATAGATAGATGCTGCCCGTCGGATTGTAAGTTTTAGGTCATTCTGAAGGGCCTGAAGGGCAAGATTGATCCTAGCTTCATTTGAAGATCGTGGCATTATGGGTGGTTGAGAAATATCTAATTGAATAGTGATGGTGTAGGTTGAGGGATTTTTGGGACACTCGCTTGTGATGTACGTTAAGTAATTAACGTGCGTGATAAGCGAGTGAGCCAGTCAAGCGAGTGAGCCAAAAATCCCTCACCTTATAACATCAGAATTCAACCAGCTATTTCTCAACCAATAAATATGTAACAGTCTTTAAATGAAGCTAGAATCTTTCTTGCACTTTAGGCCCTTTAAGATAACCTAAAACTTGCAATCCGATGGGCGGCAATAATCTATAATATTAACCGTTATACCTTAGGTCGCCGTCGGCAAGGCACTCTTATAAAGTATAATACTCTCAATAAGTCACGGTTATTTTCTAATCAGGAAGAGGATACAATAGTCTAATACCTCCTTGACCTAGATTCGCGAGGATTTCCCTTGCAACTATTATATATAGAAGATATTGCGAATTCTTTATATGCTAACTGCAATGCGCTACCCGTCGGCAAGCGATAGGCTTATAACTTTATTAAGCAATAACCAGAGCTAAATATATATTAATTTCGCAGATATAACTATTAGAGAGCTAAATGCAAAAATCTAACTATTATTTATAGCTGGTTTCGGCTTATAGAGAATATAATCGCAAGATATAGTATCTAATTAGATAATATCTGGAACTTTAATAAGACTGGCTTTATAATGGGTATAATTAAGCCTAGAATAGTCATTATAAGCTCCTATAGGCAAGGAAGACTAAAGCAGGTATAGCCTGGAAACCGCGAATAGATTACTATAATTAAGGGGATTAATGCCAAAGGTTAATTAATCCCGCCGTTTATTATTAGTGCAGGCAAAGATTACCTTGCTACTTGGTATAAAGAATGCAACCTTCCCGGCGATTAGGTTATTGCATTAAGCGAAAATAGATAGACTAATAATAACCTAGGTCTTAAGTAGCTAAAGCACTTTAATTGGGCTATAGCTAAATAGATGAATAGTCGCTATTGACTTTTAATCCTTAATAGTCATAAAAGTCACTACTCCGTTAAATTTAAGGGATATTGCAAGGAGAATAAGATTATTACGCTATATATGCCTGCTTATGCCTTTTATCTACTTTAGCCTCTTAATGTAGGGTGCTTTAGACCGCTGAAAAAGGCCTATAGTCAAGAAATAGAGCATCTAATCAGATGCTTTATAACCCATATTACTAAGACCGAGTTCTTTCCTGCCTTTTATACCGCCTACTAAGCTGCTATTATAGAAAGCAATATTAAGGGAGGTTTTAGAGGAGCTAGGCTTGCTCCCTTTAACCTAGAAAATGTCATTTTAAAGCTTAATATATAGCTATAGACTCTAATGCCTCCCGTTAAGGTTATAATACCATTAACCCCTTGGACTTTAAGGACCCTAAAGACAGTACTAGAGGCCCAATTGCATTCTAAATATCTGCAAGGAAGGATTAGAAATCACAAAAGCAGCTCCCCTGAGTTAATAATTCAAGCTATTAAGTTTTTTAAGAAGTTAATAACTAATCTTATGGATAAGATAGCCTTACTATATAAAAGGAATTAATAACTTAAATAGCAGAATAAGACAGTAGGGCGGCGCCGAAGGGGAAAAAGGACTATAGTATAGAAAGAAGGGGCTTTAACTATAATAGAAGCATTATAAGCACTTAATCAGATAGATATTAATGCGCAGGTGATAGCTGAATCCTCAAGAGGTGGTTAAGGAAAGTCACAAGGATTAAAGCCTCGGCAATATAGTATTTGCGGAAAGACTGGGCATACTGCAAGGACCTGTCAAGGGTCAATTGAGGTCAATAGGGAATAGTATTGCAATTAATTTTAATTAATTAAATAGGTTGTGGTATTGTTATTGCGAATTTAATTTGGGTGGTTGGGATATGTGGCTCACTCGCTTGTCTGGCTCACTCGCTTATTATGTACATTACAGCGAATATACTTACTGCAATATAAAGAATCTACTGTTATAAGATAATCCTTTTAATATTTAAAATAATAAGAATAAGGCATATCTATAAGTTTATATAATAATTTAATAGCCTTAGTAAGAAGTTTATACTCTTTAGTCTTATAGTTAATACGCTTTATAATATAACTAGATATTTTAATAGGAATATATAATAAAAATATTTATAAGTCTAAGTTAAGACTTACTAGTTTTAAGATAAGGATAAATAATTAAATGCAGATCTTAAGGATAAGACTTAATAGAGAGAAGAGATTATATTATAACCCTAGCGATTATATTATATATACTCTATAAATTTTATATAACTTAATCTACTTAATTATAAACTTATTTCCCGAGTTTACTAGACTAATTATAAGTAGATTACGCTTATATAGGATTATTATACTCTAAGAGTACCTATAATCTAGGATTACTGCAATCCCTAGAATTAAGTAATCCCTTAAGGATCTCTTAAGTATATATATATTTACTTAGCATTAATTAATATACTTAGCTTAATAGCTATTAATAAAATATCTTTACCTAAATATACCTTACCTGCTTTATTTACTATTAAGAGATATAACACTTCGCAACCGCTTAGTATTACACGCCCTACGACTCTGCTAACATAAACTTAGAACGGACTAGTTTATCCCTTGGGAATTATAACTATTATAATTATATCTAAGGAATATAACTAGAATACTTACTATATAGAAGGATATCTATAACTGCATTATATAAAGTAAGCAGAAGCTTATTTAAGGTTAAAGTAATATATATACCCTTATAATATAGCTTAAATCTAAGGGCTTCTAGAATTAAATATGCCTTAATAATAATAAAGTTATAGTAATATTATTTATATATTTAAAGTCTCTTAAATACCTTAAATCCTATCTTAAAGTGCTAATACTAGATTATATATATAAGACTAATAAATATAATATACTACTCCTTAATACTATTAGTATTAATACTTATTAATAGTCTTTCTATATTGCATTTATATTCCTTAGTAGTAAGGAAGAAGTTAACTATTAATAGGTTCTTATATAGTTATAGTCTCTTTATAAGGCTATAACTATAAACCTTCCTTCTATAATACTTATAGACTGGTGCCTTGCCTATATAAATGCTATAGCATTTACCTTTCCTTAGTTAATATTATTACTATGCTTATAGCATATTAATAAGGCAGTACTATAGCATTATATAAATATATTTATAAAGTATTTAAAAGATTATAAAGGGCAAGAGAAGTAAAAGGAGTTCTACTCCTTATAGTATAATCTTATTGCCTCTAGTAATAAAGATATATACTATTAGAAGCTTAGTGAATTTAAGAAGAAATATCTACCTGACTATATAAGTCAGATTAGCTATATTATAGAGACCTAGCTAGATCTCTATAAGGATAAATTCATGAAGGCCTAGGTTAATTAATACCTTTATTTTAACTAATTTATTATATTATAATGCAAGGGTATTTATTAACTAATTAAATCATATCTTAAGACTTCCTAGCTTAACCTCTTTAAGGCATAGAGATATATTAAGCTAGTTATAATAAATCAATTAGCTAAGCTTAATAGCAATTAAGTAAAATAGTAGGCTAGCTTTCCTTTAAAGCTATCCAGGTTAATATATAGTAATATCTATAGTTAGATATTACACAAGGCCCTTCGGCTTATTAAGCCCTAAAGATCTTAGTTATTATATAAGCTTCCCTCCTGCATAGGCTCTTTTAATAGAACTCTTAAGTTACTATAACGTGCTTGATAAGCGAGTGAGTCAGACAAGCGAGTGGGTCAAAAATCCCTCACCTTACAACATTTCAATCTAATCACATAATTATCAATAACCCAATATGTCACAGTCTTTAAATAAATGTAGAATCCTTCTAGCCCTCCAGGCCCTTTAAAATAACCCTAATCTTAGTCTCCGATGTGCCTCAGGTATATATAAGGTTCCCTTTGAGACCTTACGCTGCCGCCATAATGGCATTCAATCACGACGTGATTCTGGCCTAAACTCGCGGCGACTATCTGATCTAGAAGAACAGACTATAGTTCAGTTTATTCTTGACCTAGATTCGCGAGGATTTCCCTCGCGACTGCGTTTTATGGAAGAAATGGCTAATTCTCTACTTGCCGACCGCAATACGTTACCCATTAGCAAGCGGTAGGCTCATAACTTCATTAAGCGACAACCAGAGCTAAAGACGCATATCTTTCGGAGATATAACTATTAGAGAGCTAAATGCAAAGACCTGAATATTATTTGTAGCTGGTTTCGGCTTGTATAGAATATAATTGCAAAGTATAGTATCCGATTAGGTGATATCTGGAACTTTAATGAGACCGGCTTTATAATAGGCCTAATATAATCCGGAATGGTAATTATAGGCTTAGAAAGGCAGGAAAGACTGAAATCAGTATAGCCTAGAAACCGTAAATAGATTACTGCGATTCCAGCGATTAACGCTAAAGGTTAATTAATCCCGCCGTTTATTATTAGTTCAGGCCAATATCACCTTGCGAATTAATACCAAGAAAGCAACCTCCCTGGCGATTAGGTTATTGCAATAAGCTAAAATAGATAGACAAATAATAAGCTAGGTCTTGAGTGGCTAAAATACTTTAATCGATTAACAGCGAAGCGATTAGTTAGTCTCTATTGTCTCTTGATCCTTAATAGTTATAAAAGTCACCACTCCGTTGAATTTAAGAGATACTGTCAGGATTATAAGATTATTACACTCTGTATACCTCCTTATGCATCCCACCTGCTCTAGCCTCTCGATATTAGGTGTTTCTCAGTGCTGAAGAATGCTTATGGTCAAGAAATAGAGCATTTAATCAGATGCTCTATAACCTATATTTCTAAGACCGAGTTCTTCCCGGCCTTTTATGCTGCTTTTTAAGTTACTTTTATAGAAAGTAATATCCGGGGAGCTTTCAGAGGATCTAGGCTTTATCCTCTTGACCCAGAAACCGTCATCTCTAAGCTTAATATATAGCTATGAACCCTAATGCCTCCCAAGGAAGGTTCTAGAGCTTTATCCCCATGGACTTTAAAGACCCTAAAGACAGTAAAAGAGGCTTAATCTCAATCTGAATACCTCACTAGATAAATTATATTGCATAAGAGCAGCTCCCCAGAGTTAATAATTAAGGCTATTAGGTTAAATACGAAGGCAATATTAGCAGTTATGCATAAGGTTATCTTATTGAGAGATTAGGTCTAAAATCTTAAAGAAGCAAATGCAATATTAAGCTAGCGCTAAAGAGTAAAAAGGACTAGACTATAGAAAGGAGGAGTAATAACTATACAGGAAGTATTATAATTAATTAATTAGATAGATATAAATACGCAGGTAGTGGCGGAATTATCGAGAAGTGGTAGTTGAGGAAGGTCAGTTGGACCGGGTATTCGGCGTTGTGGTATATGCGGCAAGACCGAGCATAATGCAAGAATATGTCAGGAGGATATTCAGGCCTCTGGAGATGAGTATAGTGAGTAGTTTTAATTGATTAGATAGATTGTAGTAATCTTATTATCTAGATGATGAAGAGTATTGAGATTTTTGACCCACTTGCTTGTCTAACTCACTCGCTTATCAAGCACGTTATACTTATATAATTTAGCCCTTAATATATAATAATTAGCTATTATAGATATATTATTTCTACTTGCATTAGCAAATTTAATGCAATAGCAACCCTTAACCTCTTATTAAGCTAACTATATAGTCTAGTTGCCTTTAGGTGTTACGACCCAAATGACGAAGTCATGTGTACCCCACTTTTTCACTTTTACAGCCCCACTGTTACTCCTCATTTACGCCAATCACCACAGGACCGAATTGTTAACCTTCGGTCCTCACAAAGCCCCACTTCAACATTCACAACGGACCAATCAACTATAGACCGAGCGACTTACACCACGGTCTAGGACTGACACATTCACTTCTCGGTCCACGATAGATATAAGATAATACCTATTGCCTTATATCCTCAGACTAGTATATATATATTTATTTAGTACTAGATAGAACTTATCTCACCAGCTATTAATAAAACCTCTTTACCTGAATACGCCTAACCAGCTCTATTTACTATCAAGAAACGTAACACTTCGCTACCGCTCAGTATTCCACGCCCTACGACTCTGCCAACATAAACTTAGAACGGACTAGTTTATCCACTGGAAAACCCAACCGTCACATTAGGCCATATTAGTATTACCCGTAATAAGCATATAGCGCAAGCCCTATGCATTTAAGGCTATTAAGTATATATTATAACCTTAAACTTAGGCACCACCTATATGCATAAAGTGTTATCAGTCAGGTTATACAAGGAAGTTAAAAGTATACCCTCTATAGTAAGATCATATCTCAGAGACTCCTACTTAGGACTCTGCAACTATTCCTCCTACTCAGGACCCTATAACAGTTACCCCTACTTAGACCTCTATAACAGTTTATACTATAATATATACAGTATCGAGATCAATAACACACTTATTATCCCTAACTAGCTCTGCAGGGGTCACGGGAGTATATATAACAACGGAGATAATAATAGAGATAATAACTTATAAAACAACCATTACTATAACTTCTCCTATAGCCAGGCTATTAACAGTTACTGCATAAAGTAAGGCTAATACATTAAGCTATAATAATACCTATGCTATCTATTAATACTATAAGGCAGGTTGGGCGGGCCACTCGATTTCATTTCCCAAGTTGTTAAGCGATCAAATGAAAAAGACTCGAAGATCAATTTCAACCAACCGGATGACGACTATAACCAACCTCCACTCGCTTGGGCATGTGAAAAAAACCGAAAGGATGTTGTCGAAATCTTGTTAGAATCGACAATGTTGGACCTCAGCCAGGAGGCACCTGACTATAAGCACTATACACCACTGCATTTTGCCTTGGAGGAGAAGAATCAAGACATTGTCGAAATGTTGGTTGGAAACCCGGAACGATGTGCTGACATCAATGTACCACCCATTTCTGGATATGCCGATATCCTCGAGTTCGCCTGTCAAGAATCCGACGAGGACTGTACTAAGTCACTGCTATTGCACCCGGAAGCAAAATCTTCGAAGTTCTTGCTTTCTGCCTGGAAGCGGGCTGTACAGTAACCCTTCCGCATAGAAAGCATGAAGTGGTTCGTACATGAATGGGAAGAAGCCATCCTTGACAAGAAAAACAATGTGCCATTCCCATTCCACGAGCTTGCTGAAGTTAACCATCTCGAGAAATTACAATCACTTTTGCATAACGGTAAACTTCACCATGAGGTTGATAACAACGGCTGGACTCCTGCCGACGTTGCCAGTAGATATGGGCATCATGAGCTCGCAGCATATCTTCGCCAAACTGAACCTGCAAGAGACATTAGCGTAAACCCCTATGCTGAGCCGTCAACCTTTTGCAGCCTTTTCAAAGGGCCGGAACTTGTTTCATCAAGATGTTCTTCTCACCATCAATGTTATGTTGAAATATTAGGCAAGTAGTACGTTGATAAGTAAGCCATCGAGCTAACCCCACACAGATATAAAACTGCCATTGAACAAGCGTCTTGATAAATATTTCTGCTGTCTTCGCACGAAAGAAGCTATTCCTCCAAACTTGATATATTTCTATTTCGAAGTGAAGATCCTTCGTCAGTTAGAAATGAAGTAAGTTGCACCGAATGCCTGTTGGATAGGAAAACGTCTCCTATCATTCAGGAACCTCACCTTTATTTTCTGCCGATTCTCCAAACACAGAGAGTGTGTTGTGGGCTTCTGCCAGTCTGACGATCCTGAAAACAATCTTCCTGGGTGGCATGAAGGCTCCTTTGCATATCATGGAGACGATGGAGGATTTTATGTTAGTAACGCCGAAGGTGACGGTCAAAAAAGCGATGAGACCTTTGAAGAAAACGACATTGTAGGCTGTGGCTTGAATTTTGAGACTGGATATGGCTATCGCACCAAGAATGGTATTCTTCTCGGTTCCAGTAAGTTAATCACTGTGTATACAACCAATATGCTCTAACTTTAGAGTAGGTTTTCGGTTCCAAGAAGAACAATTCTCGATTGGGAGATTTTATCCTTGCATTGGAGCAAAGACCAACGGTGAAGGAGACCAGTTTCAACTCCACATTACCCTTCGATCTTCTCCAGAGCACCCATTTCACTACAAAGGACCATATAACAGGCTTTTACTGAGAACTGAATGGGACGATGACAAACTGTCTGTGACTAGTTCCAGAGAGGTTTCTGACACAGGTCTCGACGATGAGACCAACGAAGGATGAACATATCTAATCACAGGAAACGTACTCTTCTGTAGACTAAGCTCAAGTTTCAAGATGTGTATTTTACTTCATATTCGTAGCTTCAGTCGAAGCTCAAGTCGGCTCAATACATCAAGCCCTTCTACCATTGATTCGACTCATATCAGGGACGACTACTTACCATTTCCACCTACAATATCTCTAAAATCCTATTTCTTAAGTTAGAATCCCCTTCTAATTCATATTTTCAAGCTCATCTCCGTTGGTACCTGTGATGCGGGCCTCAGCTGCGCATTCGCCCTTGATGAAAGAAACTCACCTGTAGTTCTGTGTCCTTAAAACGCATTAGCCATGTTCCTACTTGAGCGCTACTATCAAATGTATTGTGAATCAGGATGTTATAAGTAGCTTTTGTGCTCCTCAGTTGATTGGAGATGCCATTTCTCGATGACCTGGCTTGATGTCAATTGTTGAAGTCGAACCGCCATCTCGACCACCATCGGCTAGTATACTGTTGTAGCATCGGGGCTTTCCTTTACTGTGGGTTGCGAATTCGAGAAAAGTCTCAATGACGACGAAGGCTTTGACTTTGTGCAGGGGGTTGGCTTTACGCCCCTTACTCGCTCTTCGGGAGGTTCTTGTTCACTTCCAGATGGACATGTTGATAAGGATTGGGTAACACCGTTTCTAAGAATTGATTAATCCTTACATACCGAAATAGATTGCCTGAATCGGGTGATTGGCTCAGTTTTCTGGCGGTATATATCCAATCATAAAATGCATCTTTTTCGCCCTGTTTATCTAGTATATTCATTGCACAAACAGATATCAAGAATGCCATGTCTTTGGGATACCGCTATCTGATTGTCATTAGTCGGCCACTTTTATGACTACCTTGCCAACCTGCTTCCCCTGCCAAACATACTCAATAGCTTCGTCAGCCTTTTCAAAAGTCCAAGTGGAATCAAGGATATCCTCAAATGTCATCTGGGTAGCCGAAATAGCAGCCATAAGTTCATCCTGATCATCCTTCGAACCAGCATTAATACCACGCACATTCAGTCTTCGATCAATGATAGTGCCAATAAAGTCCTTGAAATGTTCGGATTTAACCCCGCCAAGATAACCAACCTGGCTGACAATACCGCCACGTCGTGTACACTGCATCGATTGGACGAGCGAGCTTCCACCATTCTCAACGACGAGATCGACTCCGATACCGTTGGTGAGTTGTAGAACCTCTTTGTGCCATTCTGGATTCTTGTAATTGACCGTGGTGATCTCTGGCTTCCCAAATTGCTTCTTCATCTGTTCCAACTTCTCGTCGCTGGACGAAGTCAAGATGATCTTAAGGCCTGAGGCGTGAGCAAGCTTGAGAGCGAAAGTAGACACACCACCAGTACCTTGCGCAGTCAGTAATGTTCCAGTTGGAATCGTTCAAGAGACTTACCTTGGATAAGAACGGTTTGGCCGATACTGGTACCCTTGAGGGCAGACCAGGCAGTTGTACCAGCGCAGGGGATAATAGAGGCCTGAACCCATTCAAGGTGGTCGGGTAGTTTGGTGACTTTTTTCTCATCAAAGACAAAGTATGTGGCCAAGGTACCGTCCTCATTAGCAGCCAGCCAAGAGCGACCTGTCGATCGAGAAGTGACATATTCAGAATCAGTGATAGGGGCGACACGATCTCCAATAGAAACTAACGACACCCTATCTCCAACTGAAACGATCTCGCCAGCAGCGTCGTTTCCAGGAACACCATTCTTAGTGACAGGCCATGGATTACCACCATTTGCAATATTGGCATCTCGGTAATTGAGAGCTACAGCATAGATCTTTATAAGGACAGCTGTAGGATGCAGAGGGAGGGGTAAATCCTCAGTGACAAGCTTGACCTTGGGTGTACCCTTGGTGAAGAAGTCGTTTGTTCGACGCCAGGCTTGACGTTGAGTGGGTGGGGACATTGTTGTAAACAAGTTAAGTGAGGCGACAAAGTATAAGGTGGATGACTCGCGTCTTGTTCAAGATTGGATATTCAGTGTAAAGATTCAGTAGAAGTGGTCAATAGACTTCTTATAAAATATTTAAAACGATGTTATCGCTGACATAAACTAAGCGGGGTGACTAATTGTTCCCCATATTGAAACTCGATATTGTTCAAAACTTAATCCACTTATCGGCCTACGAATCCGAGAGGAATCCACAAATCTGATTTATTAGATAGTTATCTCACAGCCTCTATTGATACTGTTATTCCGATATGAAAGGTATGGAGTAGTTCATACAGCCCAATGCCTATCATGGCACGAGTAGGGTGCGGAGTAACGCCTCTCGGCTTCTGAACCCGATTGGATTATCAATCATTAACAAAATATGCACTAATAGAGGTTTGATGGACCTAGATACCCATTTGTTTCATAATGGGAAGCCGAAGACATTAGGCACAAAACAGTAAGGAAATGCTATGCAGGCGTTTTGTACCGCATCATCTTCTACTCAAGAGCTTTCACTTCGCAAGCTACTGATGCCATTGCCCAAACATAATCTATTATCTATCTCCTCAGCTTGGAGGATCATTCACGTCCGATTGCTCTACTTATATATGAGATCTTATCTAAATCTTGCCCCTTTGCCATCAACCTGTCACAATGTTTGACCTCACAATCGCCAAAATTGACGTTTTCTCAGTCATGCTACCTTACTCGGGAGGTGTATATCGTCTTTCGGGTGGACGTGAATACAGAAGCTTCGATGCCACCTTCGTGCGCATCACCACGAATACAGGCCTTGAAGGCTGGGGTGAAAGCACTCCTTTCGGATCAACCTATATCGCTGCTCATGCTCTTGGTGTGAGAGCAGGCATTGCAGAAATCGCTCCTTTTCTGATTGGTCTGGACCCGCGAAGGGTTGATCGTGTCAACGAGGCCATGGATGCTGCCCTGATCGGACACGAACATGCAAAAACTCCTATCGATATCGCCTGCTGGGACATTTTTGGCAAGTCGGTTGGAATGCCAGTTTGTGAGCTTTTAGGTGGCCGTACCAGCATTGGTCTGCCCATCATCTCTTCGATCTATATGGCTGAGCCTGACGATATGCGAATGCGGGTGGCAGAGCACCGAGCACGCGGATACGTTGGTCACTCCGTCAAGATTGGTGGTGATCCTGGCGAAGACGCTAAGCGTATTGCGGCATCGCTCGCTGACAAACAACCTGGAGAGTTCTTTTTAGTGGATGCCAACGGTGGAATGACAGTTGAAAATGCTCTACGTATGTTGAGGCTGCTACCCGACGGCCTGGACTTTGTTCTTGAGGCTCCCTGTGCTACATGGCGCGAGATTGCCTCTCTACGCAGAAGAAGTAACGTACCCATTCATTTTGACGAGCTTGCAACCTCGGATGCATCCATAGTCCAGATGATCGCAGACGACGCTGCGGAGGGCTTTGGAATTAAAATCTCCAAGAATGGCGGCTTGACCAAGAGTCGAAGACACAGGGACATTGCCCTTGCTGCTGGTTACACGATGAGTTGCCAGGAAACTACTGGATCTGATATCGCGTTTGCTGCCATTGTGCATCTCGGACAGACCATCCCAGAAAGTCACTTGCGTTGCATTTTAGAATGTCGTGATATGGTTACGGTGAAGACGGCGGATGGCAACTTTGAGGTAAAGAATGGCCGGGTGCAAGCACCAAAGGAGCCTGGTTTAGGAATCACACCTCGCTTAGATGTGCTAGGCAAGCCTATTGCTAGCTACTGTTAAATTAGGGGATCTATCAGTGGTCCCCGAGAACTGTGTTAGGATAAATCAAATAAACGATATAACGTCCATAATGAGCAAGTGGATTTGTAGTAATAAACTACCTTAAACAAACTAGAAAAATATTTTATAATTTAGAAGCCTTGCGACACTTTGAAGCCATCTTAGCAAAGTCATGCATAATAAACTGGCATGAAGCCATGGCGTTTAGGTCCTCGTTATCCCGTAGTCTTTCCAAGACAGCGGCCTCGCCAGCAAACATAACACCAATGTCGCCATTATTACAACGTGGTAGGAGAGTAATCTCACCAGGTGGAGGCACACGGCCAAGATACGGCTCACGAAATGCCTCACACTGGCCGAGTCCAGGGCCCCAATTTTCGAGTACAGCTGCACTAAGACGTGTGTGATCCGTAGCCAAGGCGTCGAGAGGGCCTTCCGGCACTATACCTGGATTCATAGGGTGCATCTGCGCAACTTCCAACATGTCGCAGAACCGCCTTTCATCCCAGTTACGGTTGCTATCGCGAATATTTGCTGCTGTCTTGGCCAAGGATTCTGGGGAGAGAGATGCAAATACTCTAGTTTCCACATCCACTGTGAAGACGTCGACACAAGCAGGCATGTAGTCGAGGGGTAAGGGGGATGCAAGGCGTGATCGGACACTTCCAAGGTATACGATACGTGACATGTCGGGTACAGTCTGTTGACCTGATTGACCAGGCGCCCATTTTGCTACAAAGAAGCATTGCCAGGTGAAAGCAGTCAGGCAGTCAACTATTGAGAGCTTGCTTAACCCGGCCGACGCTTTTTGAGCCATGTCTCTGAGGCTTTCAACTGACGACTTAGGAAATACCCACACAGAGACCGATGGCTCGCGAAGTGCACCTTCAGTATAGTTGACAAGGTCATGGTCTGTCAGACGTGCCGTTGTGAAAAGAGTTTGCAAGGTGTCCCCCATCTTCTCAGGATCGCGAGGGTCAAGCATTGTCCAATGCGGAATATTTTCTGCACGAGACGCCACTTTATCAAGATCAGGTTCGTTTGGCACATTGGGCATCATTGGTGATCGATCCATTAGATGCGCTGCCACTTGCTCTGGTGCTGGGGGCTCGGGCTGATTGCTCAGACGAGCGTTGGAGACACTTCGTGTGTGAGCAGCCCAGTTCTTCATAAAATCGATGAACTGTACAAGGTCTCCTGTAGCGTGTGTGGCGGACATCATCAACACTATTCCCCCTCTGATGACATTAAACCTAGGAATAATGACCGGATCACCAGTTTCGGTGGTTGGGAAGTTATCGGGGCATAGTTTTTTCAAACCGTCTTTATTGCCGTCAGCAAACGGCCAACCGAAACTCCTGAACTCGTCGTATGAAGGAATTTCCTTATCGTTTCGGTGATCATAGTATTCAAATTTGGCACCAGCATAAGGTGCTGGCGGGATATCAACCGACATGCGCCCTGTTTCGTGCTTGATAATTTTACCGCAGAAGATGGGACACTGATATAAATAACGGGCGAGGCCACGTTTGCAATCATCATAGAGCTGTATAGGGTCGGCTTCTGGCATCAAGGGGAAGAACTTGGTTGGCGTAGGGTAGACGGATGCTGTCAGGTTATCCAGAGCTGATAATTCGATGGTAGCAGGGCGCACAAAGCCGACAGGCTCTACCCATGAGCTGGAAAGTATCTGGCGATCCATTGTAGTTTCAAATGACTTTTCAATTCGATAGAAGAATTTGTATTTCGTTGTTTTAGTTTAGAAGTTCCCGGAAAGTGATACTGATTAGGAGTACATGAACATTAGTTCCTGAGGCCCAGCCAGTTACTCCACTTGATCAGCACTGATCTGCAACCTAATCTCACTATATACCGATGGTCTGCGGCCGTGGTTTACATCTCGTTCTAGTGATCGATGTATGACGAGGACGGGAAATAGTTATATAAAGGCGTCCGAACTAGTTGGCAATTGCTTCTTGTTCTAAAGATAAATAGAGTTTCTACACCTCCGAGTACCTAATCCTGGTTCTTGGCTAAAGACTCCATAGACACCTCTTTTGGCATAACTATTAAAGAAAGGGAAAAATGATAGCATGGATCTATTTCTCTTTACTATCCGGCGGTGTGGCATGAAAAGCTGAAGTCTCGGCCACTTTTCGGCCACTTTGAAGTTTTAATAGTGGCTAGATATAGACTAGTACTAGATAGATCTTAGATTCATATCGGCTATACAGGGATGAGCAGTCTGATCTTCAGATATTAGCAGCGCTCAGACCGATGAATGAGTTAATGGGCTTATCTGAAAACAGGGCGGCCTCAACAAAATAGGTAAGATCAAAGACATAGGCGACATGGAAAGTCTTAGCATGATTCAGTTTCTGGTAATACGTAATGCTCCTTGCCGATCGTAATTTCTGGTTTGTATACCACGCTTGCTTACGATCTTCGTAGCTATGGCAGAATGAGTGTATCGAATCAATACCCGACGCAGCAAGCCCGTGGATACGGTTATCGAGACAGCCCTATCTAATGTCCCACTGAGATAAATGAAGATTATCTCACACATTTTAATTGCTGTTTCCCGCGTCCATTGACATCAACTCTATAACCATCTCAATTTATTCCAAAGGAAAAATTCAATTTGACAATCTGGTTTCACGACTTGGCCCAAAATGGAAGACACTGGAAGGATCGTGACCGAGTTTCCTTCTAGCTCTACCATTATTCGACCCCAGCCGGACAGCCATGGCCAAGTAGTAAAGCTTTCTGCTATTGACCAGATTGCCCCTAGAGACTACATGTCTATATGTCTTTTCTTTCGACAAGCCCCAGATGCCGACAAGGATCAAATTCTCAGCACTTTGAGGAAAGCAATATTAAAGGCTGTTCTCGATATACCCGAGCTTGCGTGCTGTGTACAGAAACGGGCCGACAACAGCCGTGAAGAGGTAGAGCTTGTTTTTGACTCCACCAAGGGTGTTGAGATTCATCACAAAGACTACACTACTTCTGAACTTTGTGGTCTGTGGAAATATGGCACTTTTGATCAACTTGAGCAACAACATTTCCCCCTCAACAAGTTGCCGAGGCGCCTCGTTTTTGGAGCTTCTAATGAGCTCCAAGACGATACGAGACTTCCATCCCTCATTGTACAGGCCAACTTCATACCAGGAGGGCTTATCATTGGAAGTCGACTGCATGTGGGTTTCGACTTTAACGTTGACTTGAAGATGGACTGATAAAGATATAGCATGTGGCCGGCGATGGTAAATGCAACTTCATGCTCTGGTCTGCCATAAGCGCGCACTTTGCTGCCGAAGACGATGAGTCAACCAGCAATCATGATTCGCCAGTTCAATTACTAGGGAGAGAGGGTATCGTTAAGGGCGAACTTAACGTAACCCTGGAAGAATTTCCCAACTGGAAGCTTGCAAATGACACTACCCAGTTTCTCACCCCTACGGTATACCAGGACGACGAGGTATTTGAATATGCCACATATTTTCTTCCATCTGACAAGCTTCTGCTGCTTAAGTCTCGTATTTTGAGTACTATGGCCCCCAATACGAAAATGGGAACAACAGAAGCTCTGTGTGCGTTTATCTGGCGCCATATAGTTATAGCCAGGAACGTTGACCATGAGAAATACCCTGAAGCAAGGTTAGCTATCACGGTTGACGCGAGAAACCGTGTGAGGAACCCTGGTGTCCCATCTACTTACTGGGGTAACTTTGCGGAGCCGAATGCGGTGGCCCAGCTACCTGTAGCCCGCCTGAAAGAGAACTCATCTTTGTCAGCCTCGTCAGGAAGCTCCGCATGTACTATCTATGCTGAGGCGGCGCGCCAGATCCGAGGAGCGATCGCTGCGGTAGATGACAAGGCAGTGAGACGCCTTGTTGGTCTTCTCAACCAAATGCCCAAAAGCACAACCTTGACTTGGAATGCTGACCGCTATCCTGGTCCAGACATGCTCATAGTTTGCCTTCAAGACCACAAGTATAACGATCTCTACTTTGGTAGAGTTCTGGGCTATTCTGCGGCGTTGCGAGTCACCATTGGTGATACAGAAGGAAAGCCGGATGGTCGTTGTCTAGTTCTACCGCCACGTCGCGTTGATGATAGAGGGCTGGAAATTTCTCTACAGTATGACAAGAGGACAATTAAAAGTCTCAAGGATAACGCTGAGTTTTCTGAATATTTTTCACAGAGAAATTAAAAAGGGTACATAGAGTAGTTAGGGTAAGTTAACTTACTACTTTATTGCAGTGCTACAATGGAGAGGAGACCTTCAGGCTATATAGTTAAAATGCTGGGGGTTTTCGGTATGTATATGAAAGAAAGAATGACCTAACAGAGTATAATAAATAAGAAAACAATAATGATAGCTACTACCTATATAGCAATATAAAGTTGTGTTGTAGGAACAGGGGCGTGCACTGTTCTTATTTAAGTTATTCTAGATTGATTCTTTAGATAAAGTACAATAGCCTACTAATATATAAACTATAGACAGGTAACTTAAAAACTATCTAGGCCACACAAGTATAGCTAATCTTAAGTCCAGTGTTGCCCTGACCATTATACCGGACCTTTTTAGGGTATAGGCAGAGGAACCTACTGTTCAACGTTCCGTTCTTATCGGTATAGCTGACTGGCAGGGTTTCTGGTACAGTTCCGTTCTCCACCCACGCCCGGAGGGCATCGAAGGAGGTTTGAGGCTGTCCTCCGTGTCCTCCATAGCAGTGGCTAACACCAGGTGCTTCGAGTATTCGGTAATAATCGTGAATGTCAGGAACGATAGCCGCGACAGAGTCATAGTAATCCAAAGTGCCCTGCAGAGGGATGAGGGCGTCAAGCTTCGTGCGTGTTAGTTTTTTTGTAAAACAGAAAAGAAAGAAAGGATGAGGATATCTTACTGTGCAGTGGTACCCCAGGACTTTGCCGCCTCGTCGGAATAATAGTGCCAAATTAATATCCTCTCCGTTGATATGAGAGTACTGAATAAGCGATAATTTAAAGATAAGGTTATATTTATTATGCATAAGTGTGGTGAAACAGATATTGAGGTTGCGCTCGACAGAAACGGATACCCAATCTGTGTAGACAGAGAATGGGACTCCAGTGCAAGTACTATTACCCAAACATATGGTAATGGCATGTCCCTGACCAACACCAGATAGCGGTGATGTTTGACCCGGGCGCTCCACCGTACCACAGAAGGTCGACGTTGATGGATTTAGGACCTGACCAAGTTGCGTTAGATACAGCATCTGTAGCCTCCGATACTTCTATCCGAGTGCCAGCACAGTCAAAGGTGGTGCCTACGAGGGTGAAGGGGTTGAACTTGCATAAGCTAACATTAGACACTATGCCGTCACAGACGCCGTCTTGTTTATCACATGCGGCTGCAGCTGCCATATCAATCTTATGCAACTCGCAGGGTGCTAGGTATTTGCCTATTATATTCATTATAAGCTGCAGTCAGAAAATACCATTAATAAACTGATTCCAGTTAATATCTAGGGCCAAGGAAGCAATGCCATCATATGCATTAGCATAGCATTAAGCAAGCATAAGACCCTGGCGACCACCTTGCAAGTATCCGCTAAAGTAAGAGAATTTAGGCTTCCGGCCATAAACAATCTTAACAAGGATCTTGCCAATTATAACTTATTCGTTAAGGGAAGTTATTATTATATTCTGCAAAAGGTAGAGATTAGCGTTCCCTGGACTTAGGGAGCCCTATTCAGTGGCAAGCCTTCCCTGTTGCCCAGCGTCGGTTATAGTAATTGCATACCCTTCGCCGACGGCACCAGACATTTAAGCATCGGAGAGTGCATAACGTCCAGCGACTAATCTACTGCCCCCAATAGCTTGCAGGCGGCCATTCTACTCAATAGGTAGCCAAGCTTCGACAGTTACCATGTCGTCTTGGCCGGGATGCGTGTAAAAGGCGGCGATATTGCAGAAATCCACATTTTCAACTTCAACTGGGCCATGGTGGAAGTTAAAATACCCTAGAACGCTGGTCGTGAAGTTGGTAACCATGGATGGGCTGATATTGAGAACATGAGTACCAAAGATATCGGGAGCTACCAATTTCTCTACCGAACACAAGGAACCGAGGGTGTAGTTATTGGCCATGGTGTAAGAGAGTGTGGTGGTTTTGTCTAGTGTATAATAGCGGGAATGACAGAAGTGTTTGAATGAGAAGAGAGACTACTGATCGAGTATGCTGGCGAAGAAAAAGTTACAATAGAGTCTGGGTGATAGCTGTATATATAGCATCGAGGTTATAACACATCAGCAGTAGTCATCTTGCGACAATTGCTGCATCAATCAAATATAGCATCACGCAGCCATCGTTCATCTTCGACAGGTTCAAGGCAATTGGCCACCCCGGATACAAAGGCCCACTCAAAGCAGTCCGTGAAATTTAATTATGCAAGGTACAGATACAGATTATGAGACGCTAATCTGAATGCATTACATACTCCGCTCTCTCCGGTTGACATGCCGACGTTTCTGTCACTTAGCTTCGCCACTGCTGATTCCCGAAATAAGCGTCTCTATGACGGAGGCATCTCTGGAACGCTTGAAAAATGTTTCCAGTCACCAATTGATCAGTTATGGGGTGCGCAGCGTTCATGTCATACTCCCATACTACGATCGCTACATGGCAGCCAACCTCCAGCGTTTCGCACATTTTCTCATACGCGGTATGGGCAGCCATTTTAATCATCTAAAAACTGCAGTCGCGTCTAAGAATTCCCCGATGACACCGTTGTGCGTTATGCCCGCTTGCATTAATGCTGACGTACTCGAATTGGGTATGGAGAAGATTTGTGCCTGGGAGCGAGTTTATACCGGAGACCCAGACATACCGGAGCGGGAGCCACAAGAGCACATCAAGTATCGAAATGCTCTCCGGGATGCTCATCTTTGCGGGGTCTGTCAAGAGTCTCGACTACGTTTTCTGAACTTTATGGCGCTGAGTTTCGTCAGGTGGAATTTCGGAATATGTGGAATCCTGGGGAGGAGAGGGAGCTCAACAGGTACCTCAGAGAGCCACTTCGGTCAAACTTTTCAACAACATCTTACATGACATGCCCATCCCAAGTCCAGTAGACTAGGCTTAGCTTTCTGCCATCCGAAGGTAAGGAGAAGATATCTCATTGCGCCTCCATTTAGACACAACACTCAACAAAGCATTGCATCATTATGGTTCAATTTTATTACAAACATATGTAGATGTGACAGCGATGATGGCTTATGAACATTGGAGAGTGATATTGGTCAACTTAATGTGCTCTGTCTGCATAACTAGTATAGTTCAAGTGCTTGGAAGAAACTACAAGCTCAGTTTACATCGTTGATATCAGCTCGCATCTATGCGACTCTCCTTACTTTGTCCCAGCACTCAAGACGCCCCTAACCTGACCAATGAGGAAATCAGCACCCTCCCCAGCATTGCGGCCGTAAGAAAGATGAGGCGGTAGGACAGCGGCAGAGAGAACACCGTCGCATACAGTGTCCCGGGGTAGCGAGGCACAGATAATCTCCGTCTTAGTTGGGTCGAAGTTAGGGATCTGGCCCCCATCGGCGCGATCTTGGGTGTCGCCGAACATGATAACGCCAGCGATACGATCCTGTTGATCTTGGGGGAGATCTTCGATGACACGGTGATTAATGGCTGCGCCTTGGCTATTAGAAGGAACAGAAGGTTAGTAAAAGCTGGGAATGCGATCAAAGCATAGTGACTTACGAATAACCGCCAGTGACAATCACGGAGTCAGGGCATTGGCTCATAGCATCCTCGAGAATCGATTGCATCTCGCGAATGCCAACAGGGTCAGCACCTCCGGGGACGAAGTTAGTCGAGAGCAGAGCAGCATAGTCAACACCCTGCACAGCTACCTGGCCTGGGAATGCGTCCTTCAAATTGTTGGCGACATCAGGACCGACGATAGTTCCCTATTTCATTGTAAGAAAATGTTTCATTGAATTCCATGTCACTAAATTGAGTAGCAAACATACCATGTTGCCAATCTCTGTGGAGCCACGAGCCCAGACGAAAACGATGTCGTTGCAGCCGTCATCCTTAAACTCGTTGGCCGTGCTGCGGACTCTTCCACCACCAAGTTGGCGCTTACTCTCCCTCGCAGAATGGTCAAATGCCAAGGCCAAAGATGCGAGAGTGAGGACACACAGGAGAGGCTGCATAGTGGCGATGAAGTTGGGGTGGTTATTGGTTCGTGTAAAGACGAGTAACAAGAATTTCTTCTAATAATTAGTATTTTTATTTCGTAAAAGGAGACCTGCTCCTGAAGGATGAATAATGATTGAAAGAGTGAAGAGAAAGGTATCGTCACAGACGATATGAGAAGTCCGGGCAGATAGAAGCGAGAATGTAAACTGATGATCCTGTCTGTATATTGAGACTCTTCAGCACATAAGGACAACCTTATATAAATATCAACAATGGCTGTCAGTATTCACAGCCTTTGGCGCTTTGTCCCAATGCGGCAAGTTTTACGAACATGCAAATTAAGCTAATTGACCATGATGGAGAGAATAGGGACAACACGTCGTATATCTCGACAGTTTCATCATCTCCACAAACCGAAAGCTGGGAATCTATAACTGTTATTTCTCTGAAACGGGCCTCGGCTCTCTGTCCATAACACTGCGTCTACCATTTCTGGTATTCTGAAAACCATATTATCATTTCCCACCAAAGGTAACTAAACCTCAAGCTCCATCAAGATAACGGGTGCACGACAGATTAGCACGATTGAGGAAATGGTTGCGAACAGTATATGTTTCATGCGTTTCAGGATGAAGAAAGCGGCTTAGAAAAGGGCAATGTATTACAAAATGCAGCTCAGTGTTAACAAAAGTACGATGGCACTTGGCATCAGGATTTTAAAACATTAACAGTGTAAGATTCCATTCAAGACACGTATTTCGCAAAATGTGACCAATATGGCTAGATTCAGCTAGAGGTCTCTTTTTTTGTTTAAAAAAATAGTCACCAATAATCCATTTCGCCTTTCCATCGGTTGCAATCCATTTAACCTCTACGTCCGTCTCCATCTAATAGACGGGGAGTTATGGAAGATGATGATAAAAGTCTCCCACCGGTTCAGATATATTACAAACATACGCGGAGGAGAAGATGCCTCGGTTTGGTGTCGCTGCAATTGGAGGATTAAATGGACCAGGATCTACCCGATACTGATAAAACGCGGAATGAAAGTCTAAAACACAGACCCATAACCGGACGCTACCGTGCCGAAACCGGGATTAGCGCTGCTCACCAGCCAGCCCAATGCTTTCAGCTGTTCGAATTGGAGGCACGACTCTACTTGAAATGGGGCTGGGCGTTTTTCCCGCCTCCTCACTTTGAGCTATCACATTTAGTCTGAGGCCGCCTACTGCGCCCATCACGGCTTCAGGCAGACAGCATTGATATGTAGACTGTTGCAGCATCATATCGGCCCTTGTTTATTTCTTGGCTACCTGCATCTCGGTGACGACTTGCCGAAACTGCAACAATAACTGAAGAGGCACAACCTCATATCCTCATCACCATATTGCATAATAAGCTTAGGCGACAAACACTCTTTTCCACTAACTGCAGAATTGAAACCTCAATATATCACTACCATGGATTTCATGAAACGCTTACTCGGTAAAAACACCGATACCGAATACAAGTATTCCGGCGCCAAACTACCGAAAGAACCTCTGACGCCACGCGAAATTGAGGAGATGCACCTGAAGCTGCATCCCGATACACACAAATTCAACGCGGCGCAACCGAAAGAACAAGATTCTGTCCTCGATCACCAGGACTGGAGTTTGACTTATAAACAATCACTAGAAGAACAATTGTCTTCTCCCTTAGCTGATGGCTTGCTGCAAAAAGCGCAACCGGAATCACTTTTGTTTAGCCGACTGCCGCCGGAAGTCCGCATACAGACCTGGCGTCATGTAGTGGGTAATCACAAGGTTCACTTGACTGCTCATCGTGGTAGATTGAGGCAATCTGGGTTCGAGTCGAATAATTATCACTGGATGCCGCAAAGAGGACTCTTGAAAGTTCCGCTGGTTTGCCGAGCGGCGTATATATACCACCACCTTATGAATAAAATAATATTAACTTGATACTTTAGATACATGGAGTCCATTTCATCTGTCTACTCCGCCAACATCTTTTGTTTTGGCTTTGGCCAAGCCAGCTCAAAGTCAGCACTCACGTCGCTCAGCACCATGCTTCCCAAGCAACATATTGTTTCCATGCAACACATCGAAGTCGGATGGCACCTATTTGCAGGCGCGAGTCAGTACTATGACAGCCATCCTCAAGCCTGGGACATTACCCTGGATGTTCCAGCACCAGAGACTGAAACGCTCTGGAACAATGTCTGTGCTGATCTGGTCGAAATGTCGCAACTTAGGACGTTGCGGATCGTGGTTTGGCTATCTGGCGATGGTAGAGCACAGTTTGTTGAGAAAGAGAGAGACATGCTTGTACTGCTGGTTGCGATGAGGCATTTAGAGCGGTTCGATGTTCACTTACCTTGGAAGCAAGATGATACTGAGCTGTGGAAGGATGCACCGTTTAGGGTTTCTAGACGTTTCAAGGTTAAGGAGATGTATGGTGTGAGTATTCCGCTACTTGATGATGACTTTTACTGGTCAGGTTCAGCCGCCCAACACAGGATATATAGATGAGCAATCAGGTGTAATTTAGCAGAGGATTTATACTTTTATACATAGGCTGGCCATGGAAAATGCCCGAGCTAAAGACAATGGTCTACAAAGTTTTCTGGATAGGTAGTGCTAGGTTCGTCAAGGATTTCTTTCTTTTCAATTTTGCATCGTTTTCCCAGTCCATACCGGAGGAATCATGTCGACGCCGAGAATACATCGCAGTTTCAGCTCGTGATAGCAATATAAACTATGAGTTTAGTCATCTGCTTCCCCCTTCTGGTTTTCCATCTCATGTAAATCCTTGCAAAACTGACAGTAAAACTGCCACCGCGTCGCACCATAAGCCCACCCAAGCCCATCAACATACAGCGGATAAAGACCATCATGAGACGCTGGTCGAAGATCTGAACACATGCAACAAACCCCATATCCGCTACAATACCCTTCCCTCCAATGCTCACAAATCTCGATCGCCGATCGAAGTATATCGTATTCTTTTTCTGCCTTCTGACATCCGTCGCAATAGTCGGCCCACCGAGGCGCATCGCGGTCCCATCCTATGTCTTCGATGTACCGCGGATAGTGACTATCTGGGCGCAATGGCCGTGAGTCTGCGCAGGTGCAACATTGTCTTGGTCTTCGGTAACCGGTGCAGTAACGTTGTTTATAGTGGTGGCAGGGGCGATGGAATTCGTAGAATTTTACTTTTTGTATTTCTGTAGGCTCTCCGTCGGTCTGTTCATAAAGACGGTAGGGCATTCTGAATGTGCAATGGCACAGGAAGGGTTAGGATTCTGAAGGAACTTGTGACGATATTCTGGGGCTGCGAAAGGGGTTATCTAAATGTTTGTGATTGCATATACAACACCACTGACTGGATAATAAAGCTTTGAGAGACCCGTCTGAATTATATCTTGGTGACTCATGCGCAGAGGTTGCCTGATTAAGATTGATTGGAGTAGCCTTACCAGTGGCTATGCTTGACTGCTGAGGGCCTAGCGCTGACAACGCCAGAACGCATGGCGGACCCAATTCTTCTGTTAAACCTATTTTCCATTTCCCGACTGCCCTTTCTTCTCTGTATGACGAGGACGGTCATGATATTTCTATGTTGTTCGATAGCGCTCTGAGCACAAGACAGAATTACATGGAGAAAAAGGGTGCGGGCTTCCGCCCCTGGGCCGATATATTCTCGAATGCGACCCCCTAGGTCTTCTTACCATGCTTGACGGCAATACCTTCCTCCATTGAGTACTAACTTAAATAGTTGGGCTTTGTTTTGAACTCCTCTTGCACCTGATCAGATGTTTCTTTTAGAGACAACATTCTGTTTTGGGATATATGAATAGACTTACGATATCCAGTCCGCCAAGAAGCTTACCATCGACCCATAGCTGGGGGAATGTAGGCCATTCGCCAAACCACTTCAATCATTGACGGACATCCTCATCAGAGTGGACATTGAAGGAGCCATATAAAAATTTTCGGTCTTCTAAGAGCCGAACGATCCGACGACTGAAATGACGCACATGCGATTTTGGTGTTCCCTTCATAAACAGCATGACTGGTTCAGAGTTCACCAGTTCTGACATGCGGGCAATAAGAGCTTCTTGTGATTGCCCGGATGAAAGATTCGAAGTGGAGGGCCCGGAAGTATGGGTATGTGGCATGTGAGACAAAAAAAGCATCGGACTTGGGAGTTAGTTGAGTAGCTATTGACATGACTGTGCGGTATGATCATATAGATTGCAAGTGAGTGTTGAGTTTAGGGTGGAATTTCGTAAGTGTTGACGTGATTAAAGTAAATATGTCCAGACAGGTCGAATCTTCTGATGACACCCCTCTTGTAAAAGTGAATCTATTATCTCATGGCGCATGCCTGCCGTCATCACGCAGAACGGTTTGATCTTTTTTTTACTGATCGTGTATTCCAGTCAGAATGTCTCACCTATGCAGACGTCATTATTCTATGTCCGAATTCTGTGTGGCCTGCCAGTACTGAAATTCCTGTCTGATGCGCGCTCTAACGTATAAGATACCAAGAAGTGAGAACGACAAGATTAGATGGACAGAAGCATCCTGCAAATTCTCATGTTTCAAAAACAACCATAAGAAAAAAAACATTAAACCTGGAATACAACATAACACAATATAAACATCTAGTCTGAAACCAGGCTTCTTTTCTCCCGCGATGATACCATAGAATCTACGTCTTTTACCCCAATAAAACTGCCAAGTTCTTTCTTTTGCGGGATCCTGTCCACCACATTGCACTCGTTATAGATTCTCTGGCTAGTTACTAAATCAGCCTCAGTGTAAATTCTTTTTTAGATGTGATGGTAAAACTCAATTATATCGTTAACTAAAATAGGAATACTATGATACAGAATTCACTTCATAATAATTTATACTTTATTATTTAAAAATAACCTAAGAAGTATTATTTTATTTTCAATACTTAATAATACTTTATATTGTATAAGTTACCGTAGTTAAGCTAATAGTAAAGTATATATCTATCTCTTATTAGATATAAGCATTAAATTCCGTGGTGATATTTCATAATTAAAGATCGGTACAATATCAACATATTGCCCACCATTTTCCGTTAGGAAAAAGTACCGATCAAGAGCAATTACGCTCTCGACAACCTTGCAGCAGAGGACACTGAGCGTCCAGAGAATCGCCACTTTGCCTTCATATCCCCGATACCTTTCCTCATAAGCTACCAGGTCAGCATCGCTGATTTTGCTCTCGTCAACTTTGAGGTACCTCATTACTCTGCGTGCAAACGCATTGAAGCTAGCCATATCTCCGTTCAGCACACCCCACGTCGGTCTTTCCTCCCTGTCAAGTTCTATTCCTCTATCGTACAAGATCTTCTCCAACAAGGCTCGGTAGAAGCGCCTTTTGGAGTACACCGACTCTTGTTTGCTCGGATTCGCCCTTTCCCAGTTGTTTGGCGCCTGGCAACCCGTCATAAGCGCCGTAGCACTCAAGGAGACGTTTTTGTCTTGCATTCTTGCACTGATGGGAAATCCATTAGGATAATTGGCAGAACGGGGGACGATGTGATTGTAACAGCATCCAACGACGCCCAGACACACAATGAACGGGACAGTGGTAAAGTACCGTAGCATATGCTCAGAGAGATTCCCGCACGCGTGGAGGCCGACGAGCATGCACCTCTTCCCTCCGGCCCAGGCAGCTATCTCATCTGTCAAAGGTGGCGTGCCGTCGATGTAGCGCCGCATGTGTTGAATTCTGGTTTCAGGAATGCCAAGACTACCTGCGCAGGCTTTTGAGGCTGCGATCTGAGACTCACTACCGTCGATGGCTAGCACGTGTAGTTCTGGAAAGAGGTAGGCTAGGGAGATTGAGAGGTACCCTTGGCCCGAGCCCATGTCAATGACGTGGGTTATGTTATTGGTTTGGCACACGCTGTGGATGTATGCTGCGGCTGTAGATACTTCTACAATTTTTTTGGTCTTCATGCGACTTGTTAGAATATCTGGGAGGGTTATGACTTTGCCAGGTCGCTGATCTCGCGGGAGGGCGAGTGACTGGATGCTCTCGAGCCACTTAGACAGTGACTCTGGCCGGTCTGGGAGGGGTTGAAGTCGCTGGACTTGATCTATGTCGTCATTCGCCACGGTTGAAGGTCCCATCTCTTCGATACTGTCTATCAAGTCTTGCTGGGCTACGCGATGATCTGGAAACGATGCCCACCAGGATGTCCAGTCACTGGGTAGGGCGTCCCAGGCATTGTAGATAAGTGAGTCGTTGACGTGGATGCCCCCAGTAATCTGGCGGACTAGGGGCTTGTCAATGAATTCGATAATATCTTTCGCATATTTGTCGATGCTGTTGTATCGCTTCGGTAAGGTAGGCATATTTTCGGGTTCGTGTTGTTTTTTCGATATCGTCTTGCTGAAGAGTTTAGGGTTAATGAAAAGTGAGTATAGAACACTTTCCTGCGTGGAAGCGGTATAGGTCGGCAGAATCTGAGAGGGACTAACGGGACAGAGGAGACGTAAAGTAGCCTTGGACAAACCATCAACAGGTTACGTATGAGCAAACGGGGGAGCCATTCTTTCAATCACCTCTCACTACGACAGCAATCCAAGAGGTATTATTTTAACGTGCCAGGATGTCGAAATGAGGGAAAGACGAAAGTGATCCAATGGTAGAGACAATTGTCTAAGAGCTACGCCCGCATGTCCGCGAAACTTGAGGGTTGGCTCCCGCTTGAGAATTGGCTTCTTGCGGGGTTTTAAAAAAGAAACGAACGATGTTCTGCATGTGCTCCAACCAGACGGAGACTAGTTGAAGTGAGATTTCGTTTGGTGGTGGTGACATGATACGAATGCGCAAGACGAAACCCTATTTGACGTTTTAATGGGCCTGCCGGCCTTCTTTAAATAGATGCCAAGATGTCCCTTAGATGCTCGAGCCATGTTATTTAGATACAACGATGGGTGTATGGCCTTTCGTAAGTTTATACTACCTTGCTATACTTTAATATAGCTAGCTTTCTTAGCGTATAGCTGAAATGTTAATCTTCATGGTCTTAGGGTTTAAGAATAATGAGTCTACAGAGTAAAGTTTAAGGAATATAAACTAACTTAATTATTTACTTTATATATTCCCTGCGCTCAATATTCCTTATACTACAAAACTTTCTTTTCTTAATTATACTTTTTAATTATAATAAGTAAGTTAATTATAATTATTTTAATGATTTATCTAGAATTAATATATTTAATCATAAGTAATATATCTTATAAATTAAATTAAAGTTATAAATTAACTAAATCTTTAAATGTTTTTCATTTTTAAAGACTATCTATATTTAATAGATACTATCTAATATATAATATAGTAGCTTATCCCCCACTGGTTATATCTTCATTTCAGACTGCTAATGTATTTACTAGGAAGAAGTGTTAGTAATTGATAAGGCGAGGAAGAAAAGTGAGCTTACCACTTCGATCCACCTTGCCATCCACTTGTTAACAGCTTGTTTCGCCTCATCAACGAGACCCAATTCTGTTACATCATTAGCAACATGTCATATCATCACTGGTGTACGTCGTACCTAGCAGGAGCTGGACTGCACCACGAATCCCTGAGTCCAGCGCAGATGCAATCCAAGCATGAGTGTAAGATGTGTGCTCTCCCACGAAGATCATCTGAAAGACAATTTTAGTCAGGCCGAGCTTATAATCTGGAAGCTTCTTACCTTGTCGTATGTCTTGAAGTACTCGGGTATGTAAAGTTGATGCTGTCCCGCAGTTGGACTGGCCCAGCTTCCAGATTGCAGAGGATCCAAGGCCCAGCATTTTCTGTTGAACTTGCCGGTGTAAAGTTCCCTGATAGATTCGCCGTGGATATCAACCATTGCATCAAAGACCATCTGAACGTGCTCCTTCTCTGTCATACTGGCCAATCGATAACCCATGTCTCCACTTTGATAACTAGCCAGAATAGTAGCAGGACCAGTGCCGTTGATGTTGTAAGATGGGTAGCAGATTGATCCGATGCCGGGGATGTCACTAGTGGTACTACAGCCTCCAATGATGGGGTTCTCATAGTGCTCCCAGAAACGCTCAGAGAATTCAAGCGCGACTTTGCAGGCGGATCCGTAGTTAAGACCCTTAATGGCGTTGGAGATAGTCGCTGGAAGACGAGGAAGACGCCAGCGTCGGACGACAGAGAAGGGCACTGCAATGACGGCGTAGTCAAACGTCGAGTCTTGGAACTCTGTGTCGTTGTACTCCTTTCGCCATTGAAGTGTGACCTTATCATCAGAATCGTTATATCGGACACGCTCGATCTTGCGACCCATGGTTGTAATGTTATCGACAAGTGGGTGGAATGACAGAGGAAGTCTGTTGAGACCTCCATCAATTGTTTTGTAGCTCGCAGCCGAGAAATACAAGCCCTCGTAGAGCGTATCCCAGAATGACGTAGCAGACCAGTCACCTAGGACATCGGTGCTGTTAGCACTACCCTTGAGGTAGTTGACCATAAAAGCGTACTCAGACCATTGATCACCTCCAAGTCCATTCAAGCCAGTTTCTAGCCACTGCTTGTGAGCCTTGAACATGTTCTTGGCCATGAGGGTACTGAAGTCAGACCCAGGCATGAAAGAGTCCACCTTTGCCTGCAGATCTTCCGCCTCAAGTCCAGGGTTGCTTGCAACGCCGAGCGAAGCGTTCTTGGAAATCTGGGCGAGTGTTGGGGGCATGCCGTTGGGAAGCTTGAATTCATTCTTGTAAGAGAGACCGTTGGGGTTTGCCTGGATCCAAGGAATGAAATCAACACTGAGGTTCTTATCGTGGTTGTTGATGCCGTTCATCTCGTCAGCAAGTTGAAACACCAACTGATGGTCTGTAATGTTCATGGTCTCGTTGGTCTCGGGGCTCTTGTAGGTTGAGGGAAAGCGCATGGGCCCCATCTCCTGGTAGGAGTAGTCAAAGGGACCACCTGTGAGGTACTCTGTGTGTACTCGACCGCCAAGACGGTGACTAGCCTCGATAATGCTGATGTTAGTCATGCCGGCTTGTGAAAGGACCAGATAAGTCATCAGTCCAGACATTCCTGCGCCAACAATGGCGATTTCCTTCGACTTTGCAGCCTCTTCGTCAACGAGAGAAGTGCCAGTCTGGGTCAGGTGAGCAACACCATCAAACCAGGGACCAAGAACATCAAAGCCATTCTCTTCAGTCATGAGAATAGAGTCTAACTCTATCAATACAGATAATTGAGTTGAATACAGAGTGGCTTACCTTCGTCTCGCTTTTGGGGCGCTCTTCGCTTTATCCGCTGAAGTTTCTGGCGCTCACTCCGCCCAACGAGAGCTCCATCGCTTTTCCACGCGGATATGCATCCATTGTCGTTTGTGTTGGTAGGAATCACCCAGGCCAAGCGAGAGACCCTCTCGCTGTCAGTCTCGGCAATGGTGTGGTGAGCGTCAGAGATCGAATCGGCATCACAAGGGCCATAAGTGAAGGACAATGAGCCTTGTGTGGGTTCGTTGAACCTGACGTGGATATTGGCAAGGTGAGATGTGAGTGGCTCTCGAATCTCGAGTTGAACAGGAAGGGAAGAGGCAATTGAGCTACCAACGCTCAAGGCGAGACTTGCAATCGAGTGTTTCATCGTGAATGATTATAATGCAAATTATTCCCCATTCTGTAAGCCATAATATTCTTTCATTCTTACGGATATATATACTGCTACTGTTAAATAACTCATAATCCTTATCCAAGCCAGACACAAGAGAAATCAATTGTCAGAAACTGATAGGCCAGGTACAATACACACTTATCTCCGATTCCGTCCCGATATACCAGGATCCTAAAGACCGGATTCATAGATCTCATGGATATCGGATGTTGAATAAGTCTTATCTGTTATATAGGTTGAAAGGGTGTAGAAGACAGACACATCCCCCACCGTTCTTTCTACTCTCTATCTGGTGGGTAGCAGACTAATTGACCTACCAAGTCTTAGTGTATAAAATAAGTAATCTAAAGAACTATAGTCTACGGGACATAAAGTGATCTACTAATTTCGTCTCTTATGCTTTCAGCGGTTGATCTTTCTGACACGCTGAGGACTCCGTACTTAGCCGGTGGGCTTGGGTTGCATTGTCTTATCATTTTGAGGCGACATAATTCCCCGCGACAGTTCACTAGCATAAAACAATGATCTTGTTCACCGATGGTTCGGGTGGAAACCATGGCATTAGAGGCTAGTCTACAGAAGGTAATCATTCCCTAGGCTAATGACACTAGAAATGGAAGGCACTTTTGTTTCAATTGATAAAACCCCGATAGGTAGAACACATTGAAAAGATAAGCGACGACCCGACCCGACCCATATTGTGACTACCCCACATCGGCGAACCTGGGTGGGTATATCCGGATTAGACAGACAATGATAACGGCAGATAACAACTCAGACGATAAGATACAATGGTGCCGATCTCAGAGACATTGCCAAACATGACATGAACCAGTTGAGGCAGACAAGACCCTCCCATTTCTCTCTTCTTCGACAAAATGACGCTCGCGACCCACCGATCAGTTCGCCATGATACTCCTCCCACCATCTGCGGTCACTCTCTGTCAGACGCGAATCTTCATGCGACTGTTTGCAAGTCTGCGGAACACGATCTGCTCGGAAACATGTGAATGAGAAACGCTGACCATGGCGCTTGGACAAAACAGCAATGCCTCGCCAGTCTTCAAGTCGACAATGTGTGACATAAGGTCAGAGGCATCTGCACCGACACCAGCCAAATGCTTCTGTAAAACAATGAACCAAGCGGGCGATGTGAACCGATGCACAATAACCGTGGAGCAAAGGTCAAGGAGTTTGGGCGAAATCGTGGGCTCCTGTGTGGAAAGAATCACTCTCGTTCCAAGATGACGCTGAAGCCGGATGACGGAAAGAAGTGACTCGGTCAGAGTCTGACTGTCACAGCTTTCCGTCATATACTTGTGTGCCTCGTCAAGAGCCACGATGCGACCGACGGTGCCCTTTTGCTCGAGGAAGAGGCTGAGACAGATGTTGAAGAGGGAGCAGGCCGCCTCGGCGGTGACGCAAGGGCAGGAGAGATCGACGATGGTAAGTTGACCAGCCTAATTGATTTGTTAGAACAATGTCTAAAAGAGTGGTGACAGCATACCTTGAGCGCCCAACTGATACCTTGACCCGCGGATCTGAACTTGGTGGAGGTTTGAGCCGGAACCATGAAACTCTCCAGAGTTTCCAGTCGCTGTTGTAAAGGGACCATCTGGCCCTCTTTCAGATCTTCTCTGCTGACCAGCGCTTTGAAGTCAGTGTAATCAAACGTCGAGTTGTTCGATTGTTGTTTAATTCTCATGTCGCGCAAAATGCGACTCACGACGTGAAGGTACAGGGGAAGGCTGCCTCCTTTGACAGAGCTGACCGCCATCAAGTCCAGCATTCTCTGGGTGTTCAAGTCGGCTTGGTTGATGCGTAGCCTTTCGACGGCCACATTGGGAAGGCCACTGTAAATGCGCTGTGGAAATGAGTGAGCGGATGTGTTGTAACTGACGGGCGGGGAAAATACCTTGATGTTGAAATAGTTTGACGGTGCGCAGAGGACTCGCACACTCACTCCCTGGTGACTGGAGAGGAATGCTGCCTCACAAGGCATACCTCCAGTGTTGGAAATGAAGGTATCGTAGTGGAATACGAGCCCAGAGAGAGGTCGCGGGAGCTGGTTCGCGGGGCAAGGCAGGAGGCAGTTCTCCAGGATGGTACTCAGAGTGTGACTCTTGCCTGAGCCTTGGCTGCCACAGATGAAGGTGCTCGTCGGGTCGGCCACGTTGTAGAAAACACGAGATTTCAGTGCGTCGCGAGGGTTGAAGGGCTGCAACGGCCCAACTGCGATGTCGGAAGCCAACAGACCGTATTGGGGCGGGCGGTTGGCTTCAGGAAGCTCTTGCATCACTTCCGCGGTGATAATGGGGACTGAGCCAGAGATCATCGTCCTGGGAAGATTATCCTCAAGAAGCTGTAGGTGAGCGTTTGCCTCGCTCTGATCAGGCACAGCGCCCGTGTTGGAGACCAGGTGCGAGAACATATTCGGAGCGGGTGCGCCCACGGGAGTGCGGAGGTTCGAGAACATGACGGCTGCGGTAGAGGCAGATCAAGAGGAGTGAAGGTGAGAGAATGAGTTTACAGATGACGACAATGTCTGAGTAAATAGAGCGGTGCTGCGGCGTGGGTGAGATGCGCTGTGAATCACGGGCGGAGCTTGGAGAAGGCGTGTTTGTTCTGGAGAGGGCGACAATAATTAAATGCGGGGTAACTGGCTACTATTATTTCTGAAATGCATTCTCTATCTCTGCTGTCTGTTGTTGCGTAAATAAAGATGCGTTGACAATTTGTTCAAGGAAAAAGGTCATGGTCTGGGTGGCAAAAGGCCTTGGCTCTGGTACAGCTGGCAGGCACTGCTATTACCTTAGAACATAACATGCCCCTAAAACGGCATCAGTAAACACAGAGTAACTGTAAATGATAGAATAAGGCAATTTGCACGAGCACTGACACGGGACTGCGTTTAATAACAACCCCATCTTCAATTAGTGCCTTGTTGCACCCTTCAGTTGTACTACAGACTCAAACATCTTCCACATGTTTTGTCGAATGCGTCGCCCGCAAATGATACAAGGAATAAACAGTAGGCAAGTAAGTGTGGCTACACATCCACTGATGATATACAACTTAGTGACGCCAATAGACTCTGTCCAACTGACGATGCCGAACGGAACTCCGATAGAGGGAAGATTGCGAATGAAGGTTACCGAGATAAAGGCCTCAGCAGTGAGCTGGTCTCATTGTTAGAACCCGGCACTAGGTCGATTAGTGGATAGACTTACATTTTGGTAGATGTCGATAATAATAGTGCATGAGATATCAATCATGGATGCCATCCCGAAGCCAAAAAGCGCACCGCCAATGCTTGGGTAAATCCAGTGCCAACCCTACACCTGTTAGTAAGCGCTCCAATACTTTAACCAGGAAAAGCATACCTTATCAGCAGAAACTCCAAAGAGTATCAATCCACCTCCCATGAGCAAAGCAGGGAGAAGAAGGATGTACAATCGCATCTCTGGTTCGAATATGCCCTTGTTTCGTCTGGCCAGCTTGACAACGACCCAATCTCCGAGCAAACCACCGTAAAGGCTCCCAAGAATATTTCCAACAAACGGACCTAATGACATCAATCCTACGCCGGCTGTGTTGAAGTTGTATGGGGGAGCGGCAAAGACCATAGAGATAGTCGTGGTAAGCAATATAAGAAAGGCCACACAGCTGGCGACTTGAAGAGCCGAGAAGATGACATGTGGAAAGAGGAACATCTTCAGCGGTACTAGGTAGTTCCTCCACAAGGGCTCATCAGTGCGAGTGATGAGACGTATCCGTTGTCGATAAGAGAGCCTGTTTGGTTGGTCCTCAGAAACCACATCAGAGTTGTGAAGATGGCCTGAGATAGCCATGTCATCCTTCGTACATTTCGGCTCGTTGCACGGTGAAGTAGGTGTACCAAGCTGGCTGGAATCATTTCGTGCCTGCCCAATGGATACAGGTATGAACTTAGTCTCCTCAAAGCAAAAGACAAACAGAAAGAACAGAACACTGAGCACAATTCCCGTGGTGTAGTAAGTCCATCGCCAGTCTTGGGCTTCGGCTTGAAAGCCGACAAAAGAAGGACAAACAAATTGACCAAACATCACAGCGATGATGTATAAGCCGTTTGCAGTACCGCGCTGGTGTACGAAAAAGAGGTCTGCGATCTGCACCTTGTCAGTGTCTGAGTATGAATATTCGATATTCTACTTACTGTGATCTCTGAGATGGTCTCGTTGACGGACCCGGCAAGACCTGACAAGAAATTGGTGATGTACATCTCCTCCACAGTGTGCATGTAGCCACTCCACCATGACACCCCAGCCATGAGACCGGTGGAAAAGATGTAGCATGGACGCGAGCCGTATTTCCTGGCGAGGGGGATGAAGAGAAAACTTCCGAGTGCTAACCCTGCAGCGTTGAAGGCGACACCGTAGTTGAGCTCATCGTAGGTTACGTCCATGTCGACTATCATTTGTTGCCAGAGGACGATCTGCATGACAATTCTGGTGACTGTGAGTAATCGCGTGATATTGGGACTGTTGGTTTGCGTACGCTGAGAAGAATGCCACGGTGACAGCAAGGACGAGGGTGAAGTTCCATGCTTTTCGTAGTTTGCTCCAGTTCTTTGCTTTTGTTATTACGAGTCTTGGATGAGGCACAGGTAACTAATCAGAGGATCGTTGGGGTCCTGCGAGGGTGTCGGTACAAGAACGATTTCAGAGTGACCTGGACTCCATCAGTCAGAGATATTGATGCTGTGAGTATTGAGATGATACTCACTTAGAAGACGAGATGTCCCTGGTGGGAAGCTCAACTCGCTGTCCATCTTGGTGGCGACTGTGAGGAAAATGGAGATCCGTGGCGATGATGTAAGTCCTACCAGCCTGGGGAAGAAGCAGGCGTTGCTGGACAGAGTGCAATCATCGAGGGTATCTGGAATTTATAGCAATCAACCATGTCATGCCGTAACCGGCTTGACCGATAGAGGTTATCTTTCAAGTCACAAACCCTGGACGGATCTCCCCTAACATCGGTATTTTGCGGGGTAAACCCCAGCTAAACCCCGGAACTAGAGCTGATCAAGGAGGTCCATCCACAGGAGGGTATCCAGATTTTGAAGTTGGAGATAAGCCTCGACGATTCCCATTGGTGCGTGTCGACCATCCTAAAGTGGAATGGTGTCAAAACAGGGAGAGTTCAACGCCGCGTTGTTGAGCTTGTTTATCGAGATCAACATCATTATCCCCTCTGTCCATCGCATTATCCAGGATTTCTTCGAGAATTAGCGCATTTGGCGTGTCGCGGTATGCATCGCAGAGTTCGGCATATTTGCGCAGTGCTTTTAGCCAAGATGGTCTTTGTCGGAGTATCGATACTTCAAGACGAGCTGCTGTGTAAGGATACAAAATACTGTTGGTGGCCAGGATGTGACGGTATTCTTCCCGATGACGAGTTTCGTACAGGGCATCTAGTGTTGCTACCAGGCGACAAACAAGTACTTCGTTCGTCGGCGATGAATTGCTGATGTGATTTTGGCGACGACTCAGTAGGATGCCAGCTAGACGAAAGGCTTCCCAAAGGTGACAGTGCGGAACAGAACCTTCGTGCCCTGGCCACGCGGCAAATTCCTCCTCCGCTGTCGGAATTCCGATACGAGCGATTATATCGAGTAAACTGCGAGGTATACCAGAAATGCTCTCCACTCCACCAACCAAACCTTCTGGTGTGGCTGCTTGTCCTGCCCTGAGATAACCCCAGATACTAAGCGTGGGCGTGTCACGACCTCTAACGAAAGTAGGTATATCCATTATAGCCATTGCTTCTAGGGAGAAGCGATATCCCATGTCTGCTATTCGATGTGCATTTTCGGCACCAGGGAAAAGGCCGTATACCCACATCATGTGGTTTAGGTGGTTAGTCCATGGAATCCCCTGGAACAGCTATCACATTTTTAGCACCCTTCTTTCTAGCCATGGCTGGACATACCCACATGCAGCGTACATAAAAATGTTCCCGCGTTGATTAATCCCGAGTCCAGAGTCCCGTTGTACCCACTCAACTGTTCCCGGAAAAGACGCAAACTCTGATCGCACAATTCGTGGAACAACGGTGGCGGATTCCGGGGACTTGAGATGTACAAATATGTAGCTATCAGGCTGAGGTAGAGTGGCTCATTCTGGAGGGCAAGTTGTTTGAGTTCTTGTCAGAATGGATCATCTGTAGAAGTGGAATAGAACAAAAAGACAGTCCGTTGAAAAACTGAGACAATTAGTTTGACTTGATTCTTTAATTAGTTTGACTTACACCGCTCGAGTAGTTCTTGTTCTTCCAGACTCTTCAACTGAAACCAATCGGACTCTGTGTTGTTGACGGAATAAGATTCCATATCAAGTGGCGAATTTTGGTAATCTGATAGATAGTCAACGGATTCCTCTGTCGCAGCTACCAATTGAGTGGTTTGAAGCTGCCTAAAAGATGTTGCAAAATTATCTGTCTCAATTTCCTGCTCCTTGGACTCTGACTGAATACCCCCGTCCAGCAACACAGGAAGTGAAGACCCAGTAAGCCGACCTCTAGAGGCGACCCCAACATCCCACTGCAATTTTATAGCGTATCCGTCGCATTCGAGGTTGTGATTCTGGCACTGGAGACATGCCGGTTTAGTCTCGTCGCACTTGCGATGGCGTCGTTTGCATGTTGTGCACCCATTTCTTGAACGTGGCATTGTCACAGTTTGGAATGATAGTAGAAACGATAATGGCATTCTTGAAATTGATAGCGGTTGAGGCGGTCAAAGGTAGCAGAAAGCTCGTTAGTTACCCGGAATGATGCGGGGCGAAGATGTCTCACTCCCTAGTTTCAGCTACAGCGATAACCTTTATCAAATGACAATCGCTTCATACATTCTGTACAGTCTTGGAATTCTGCTTCATTACATGCATCCTGGAATTTCATTTTCGTGGTCTCAACTTTAGTGTTCGTGTACCGAAGATCAATTCCCCGTGCCTCGGGTTAATACTGAGCCGATGGATACAGAAGATCTCTGGACGTAGTATGTGTTTCTAATAGTACAGATCTCTCTAAATGAATAAAATCTCATTATTACAGTCTCATATTTATACACTAAAGTGAGTATATAGTGCATACTGCACCTGCTCGCCAACTTCAGGTTTATCCTCTACTGCCACATCAACGCGCTACTTTATGAACAGTTGAGAAGTTGAAGACGTTAATTGACACGAGGCCTGATAGTGCCTCGGAAGAATATAATCTAATCTAATAGCTCAAAGTGTCCTATTATTGAGGTCCGAGTCTTGGCTCCCCGCGTTAACACGAGGTTGCAATACAACGTTGATCATAGTTATTCACGTAACCATGATGCGACCGATCAGCAAACTAGCAGTTGCTTCTGCCAACAATAACGTTGTACCTGTCAGTGTCGAACTGCTGACCTCGAACGAATTGCGCGCTCCAGCTAGGAGGGCAAGGCCTGACTGTACAAGGAGGGCTGTTGGTTGTCGTTGCACATCGCGCAATAATGTTATCAACATAGTCAGCCAAGTAGCTGCACCTGGGTTGGATGTAGTGGGTGTTGTCGTTGCAAAGCCAGATAGCATCGCCATAAGAACAGGAGATGCGTGCGCACTTGCCAGGCCCACCATCAACACCGCATACACTGGTACCCAAGGAGCGAAGGTACCTTTGCTCGCGTCGGGCCGCTACCACGTCGACATTGCCGCCATTACCACCAACATTGCAAATGATGTTAGACTATGGTATTGGTTAGAATATGCCGCTAAAAGGAATAGCAATCAAGGTATATCTTACTTGGCTGCGTGCTTCAAGTTCGGATGAGGCCTCGGGCTCTTCTTCCACCAACTGGAACTCCGGGTTGATCTCCTGGATCTGAGCGATAATCGACTGAGACTTGGTGTTAGTATAGTTACAGACAGCTAAGAGTGTTGGCAGATGTCTTACCTCAATAGTACCATTCAGAGAAACAGGAGCCTCTCCCTCCTTGATAACACCCTTCCATTGCATGGGAACAACTTCGTAACCCTCCATAGGGGCAGAGACCACCTGAGTACCGTCAGGAAGAGCCTGGAATAGAGTCAGCAAACTGTTGATTGTCTTTTTGAATACTGAAGCGCAAGACTTACAGCAGCAGAGACAGTCACTGCAGCGCAGGAAAGAACGAGGGAGGTAACAGCTTTCATCTTGAGTATTTGTTGATTTGTAGAAAAGTTTGAAGTAAAAGACTAGTGGTTGAGGATTGTGTTGTCGAGTGAGCTGTCGAATGCAAACCAAAGGGAGACAGGCTGTGGTCTTTATAGTTCTCTCAGGTCTCTGCTTTCGAAATTATCCGACCTGCACCTTCCTTTCCTGTGTATATCGGCGAACAACGTGACTGAGACTAAGGTCTGCCAAGGACCCTAGGTTGCTCGCATACTTCGTATGGAGGTTGTATTCATGGGATGAAAACCTCGCATATTCCCTAGCCTTACAGTAAGCTTCCTTTCTACTTGGCGAACTCGTAAATAGACAAAACAATTCCCTTGCACCCCCATCTTGGGGCTAAGCACATTGATCCTTCGGAAGCGCATTGATCCTTCTAAAATAACGGCTATGCTTAAATGAGATAAGAATTACCCGAGGCTGATTAGGGCTGTGAAACGGAGACTTTTTATTGGCGACTGCGGAATATTAATCCACGTCGTCTTATGATAGGGGTCATTTCCCGGGGTATTTAGTTGTCAGCAAATGCGGAGCCCCGGCGAGCGCTAGAGGCACAGCCAGCTGTGCCTCTAGACTTCAACCACGTGATCTTATGGGCACAGTAGCTGTGCCTCTAGATATCCTTATGTAAGCTTGATACAGCATAATGCATACGTAGCCTCAACTCAAACCTTCCAATTCAACGGTTGACATTACAATTGAAGCAAATTGAAGCTATTACACTATTCTGCACTTAAAATGGATCCAGTTAATGTATCAAATTGCTTCCCCGATGATGTCCTCCCACCTGAAGGCGAGTTTCCCTCACGAAAGGACCTCGTCACCGCTATCAACGCCTGGGCCCGAGATCGAGGCTACGCCTTCGTAGTCAAGAACTCTTGGAAGACCCCCAGCGGAAGGACCGGGGTTATCTACACTTGTGATCGAGGCACAAAGCCTGCTTCAACAATAAAGATACGAAAGAGGAATACTACATCACGCTACACAGGATGCCTCTTTTCTGTGATAGCTAAAGAGGAACCCAGTAGGACTGCGTGGTCTCTGAAGTATCGCCCTGATTACAGTCATCATGTACACAACCACGAGCCGAGCAACGCTCTAGCACATCCTACTCATCGTCAGATATCAAGCCCGGATAGATTAATAGTCAGGCAACTGGCGAATGCAGGTGCAACACCAAAGGTTATTACATCACATCTGAGGAATACAACTGGAACACTTGCTACGCAGAAGGATATCTACAACTGCATTGCACAAAGCAAGCGGGAGCTTGTTCAAGGTCAAAGTAACATACATGCCCTTACAACGCAGCTTAAATCCGAGGGCTTCTGGAATCGAATACGCCTTGACGATAGTAGAGTCACGGCAGTGTTATTTGCACATCCAAAGTCTCTTGAATACCTCAAATCCTATCCTGAAGTGCTGATACTAGATTGCACATACAAGACCAATAAATATAACATGCCACTCCTCAATGCCATTGGTGTTGATGCTTGCCAACGGTCTTTCTGTATTGCATTTGCATTCCTCAGTAGCGAGGAAGAAGCTGACTATCAGTGGGTTCCTACACGGTTACGGTCTCTTTATGAGGCCATGACTATAGACCTTCCTTCTATAATACTTACAGACCGATGTCTTGCCTGTATGAATGCCGTAGCTTCTACCTTTCCTCAGTCAGTATCGTTACTATGCTTGTGGCATATCAACAAGGCAGTACTACGGCATTGCATGGATGCATTTACAAAGGACTCGAAAGATCATGAAGGGCAAGAGAAGTGGAAGGAGTTCTACTCCTTGTGGCATGATCTCGTTGCCTCTAGTAACGAAGATATATACTATCAGAAGCTTGGTGAATTCAAGAAGAAGTATCTACCTGACTACATAAGTCAGATTGGCTATATCACGGAGACCTGGCTAGATCTCTACAAGGATAGATTCGTCAAGGCCTGGGTCGATCAACACCTTCATTTCAACCAATTCGTCACATCACGATGCGAGGGTATTCATCAACTGATCAAATCATATCTCAAGACTTCCCAGCTTAACCTCTTTGAGGCATGGAGACATATCAAGCTAGTTATAATGAATCAGTTGGCTGAGCTTGATAGCAATCGGGCAAAACAGCAGGCTAGCTTTCCTTTGAAGCTATCCGGGTCAATATACGGCAACATCCGTGGTTGGATATCACACGAGGCCCTTCGGCTTGTTGAGTCCCAAAGATCTCGGTTGTTGCATGAGCTTCCCTCCTGCACGGGCTCGTTCAACAGAACTCTTGGGTTGCCATGTGCTCATACGATTCAGCCCTTAATACATGGTAATCAGCCGTTACAGATATATCATTTCCACTCGCATTAGCGAATTCAACGCAACGGCAACCCTCAACTTCTTATTGAGCCGACTATACAGTCCAGTCACCTTCAGGCCACATCGGTGTTACCCGTGGCAAGCACACAGCGCGAGCCCTGTGCATTTGAGGCTGTTGAGTATACATTACGACCTCAAACTCGGGCACCGCCTACATGCACAAAGTGTCATCAGTCAGGTCATACAAGGAAGTCAAAAGTGTGCCCTCTACAGTGGGATCATATCTCAGAGACTCCCACTCAGGACTCTGCAACCGTTCCTCCTACTCAGGACCCTGTAACAGTTGCCCCTACTCAGACCTCTATAACAGTTCATACTGTAACACATACAGTATCGAGATCAACAACACGCTCGTTATCCCCAACTAGCTCTGCAGGGGTCACGGGAGTACATACAACAACGGAGACAACAATAGAGACAACGACTCACAAAACAACCGTTACTACGACTTCTCCAGTAGCCGGGCTATTAACAGTTGCTGCACAAAGTGAGGCTGATACATTGAGCTATGATGATGCCCGTGCTATCTATCAACGCTACAAGGCAGATCGAGAAGCGTGGTATGCCGCACAACCTCAGGGGGCATTGAAGACCAACCAACAGTACCGTAAAGCTATGAAGCTGCCCCAGCGTTATAGCAAGGCTGAATATGACTGGTGCCTCGATTGGAAGCAAATGGGTCGCCAATGTAGGATAGGAAGAAGTATTCGAGATTGGACTAAGGAAGAAATGATGAGCTATCTTGACTTCGATAAGGCTGAGACTGAACGGGTCAATAGGAACGTTGAAAAGGAGCTAAAGGCACGGCCTTTTACGACTTATCGTGGATCTGATTATGTATGGAAGGCGGCAGCCCGGGATCATGAGGATCAGCAGCGGGTATACCAACATCGGAACCCCCATATCTAAATTGGGTTGCAATCGGTCAATAGATATATTATATATATTATTCGAAAGCTTAGAAAAAGGGCTATTTCAGAGTACTATATCTATTATATTACGAGCTAGATTTATAGAACTGTCCTGAAGTTATAATAATCTTTGCACTGGGTGTGATTTTTTTATACTATTGAGCAAGCAAAATCACTGAAAACTGTACTATGCCCCTGACTTAATTCCTTCCTTGCCAAACCCACTGTGCATTTCCATTTTGATCTACATGAACAACCGATATCCCTGTGTTTTGAAGAGCCTGAATAACAGGCTGATAGGTAGTCATACCTACTGCTGGGGTAGGCCAATTAACACCAGGGACTGCAAGCTGCTGGCTACGATAGTGCTGATCATAGTTAACAAGCATATTATGATTCCATTGAGGCCCGAGATCTGCTTGTGATTGCTCTCTAGCACGGTGCTGAAGTCGATCATACCAGTAGCCAATATGCCATTCCCCCTCAACTTGATATCCATAGGGCCGTTGGATCACATTAACTGGTTGCCCCGGTGGAGGGTATGAAGTGCTCTGGGCAGCAACAAGAGCTTGAGGATTCTGTTGCTGCAAAGCAGTGTTACTAGTGGCATCACCGGGCCTCGTGTGCGTAAGCCAGAAGTCCAACTGGAGGTTGGGGGGATCGTTGCGAGTATTCATAGGAGCCGGCCGTTGAGGGATAGCTTGGCTATTGATAGGGATAGACTGCAGAACATAGTTCACAGGAGGAGCAGTTGTTGCAGGCGTTGCTGAACCATCAGTTCGAACAACAAAGGGAGGAGGGTTCTGATGACGGCGGCTGTTGGGGTTCATGATGATTGTTTATACTATTTGAGTGTTATAGATGCTTGATACGAGAGGAATAGTTACTATAAGGGCCGAAGAACACTCAGGTTATATACTTGAAAGCGTGTTCTGATTCATTGTGTTAATACTAGTGTTGGTATGTTATCCGCTACACAAGAGGAAGCGTGAGTCATGTTTATCTATCTTCAATGCATCACATAGCTAGAAATACAGTAAATTGGATGTGAATAGCCTCACAACATCACATCACTTACACATATCAAGCTTACATAAGGATATCTAGAGGCACAGCTACTGTGCCCATAAGATCACGTGGTTGAAGTCTAGAGGCACAGCTGGCTGTGCCTCTAGCGCTCGCCCGGAGCCCCGTGATTAGTTAGTGGAGCTTCTTGTCACGTAGAAGGCTACTTGGTTAATTAAAAACGCTCACCGCATCCTACCCTGAGTGACATTTGATGTAGGTAATCCTCAAAGTCTAATAGATGTAATTTACATAGCCCTATTGTTTAACAAATGAGTTGCCTACTGTTCCAAAAAAAAAAAAAAAAAAATGCATAAGCTACTGTTTGTTTGAACTTTGCCGTATATCTAAATTGCATATCTGGTAGCTTTTCTCAAAAACCTCAAGTTCAGATGGAAATAGACATAGTATACAAGCGGTAATGCTAGAGATATACCGATAGAATAACCTGTTTAACTTGGCAGTTAGTCAAGATGTTTAGGGTAGTAAAAACATCAATAAGTAAATTTGATAAATCTGACAAGTATATGAAATTAACGGGGTATGTTCCTACCCACCGAGCTGTGCAGCTGACTTTGCGGTTAACATACAAAAGCGCAGCTGACTGCAGATCCAAATCCTGGGTCGAGGCTGGGATACAAAATTTAAAATAAAACATTGTAAGGACGAAAATAGAAGGGATATTGTGAAAACTCGGGAAGACGCATCTCCTGTTTGTCTTCCTCAGCAGCACACGAGATAGGAATGTAATGACGGGTCTTGGTAAGGCAAACTGTAAGGTTTGTGTTCAGGGTAGGTCAGACAATGACTTGTACTGCTCATCATGAAACTCTCATCTTCATACACCAAAGTGAACGTAAGGTGCCCACTGCACCTGCTTGCCATCTTCATCTTCATCTTCCACAGCCACTATATCCCTGCCATTCTCATCCTTACACAGTTCCTTATCCCCAGAAACATTACTTTTATCATTTCCAACGACCACAACTCCCCTTCGTGGGCAACTTCCCCCTTGCTTCTGCTCCTTGACCCATTTATCACGAAGCTTTCTACTGGCCCGATGCAACCCCCAACTGACACCCTCATCAGTCAAACCCGTGTCCTTCATGCTCTGATAGGTAGTCCGAGCTATATCTACACAACATTGATCACTCACCTTCCACAGCGTACCGATAACATGACGAAAGCCAGCCAATTGGTACGCGCTGATCAAATGAATACTCTCGTCGACTAGATCATACTGCTTCATCTGTCCAGTGCCACATGCAGAAAGATACGCGAGAAATGGTTCTTGTTCACGTAGGTTCATTCGTTGTAAGTCACCTACCGAAAAACGATTGTCTTTCCAGTCTTCCAAAAGTAGATGACTGTTGGAGGGATCCTGTTCATCTGTGTAGCCGTGACCTGCAAAGTGAAATACTTTGCAGTGTAACAGATCTTTAGACACATCTTCTTTCCGCGGTCTCGGCCGAACAGTCTCTAGACCGAGTGACTTGCACAGCTCCTGTACAATGCCTACTTCCTTGTCTGCAAAGGGCAATGGTTCAATGCCTGGAGTTAATTGCATGCCTACAAGTAAGGCTCGCTGTGTAACAGTGGCAGTCAAATGTGATGAAAGAGGCTTCTCGCGACCACGTATGATAGCCCTGATGGAAGAAGCGTAAGACGACACTACCCTATCAATGACAGTTTCAGACGTCTCTCGACGGTGATACCCTGAAGCATGTAGCGGGAAAAGAGTTAACGATGCTGTTGGTATCCACCATACGTGAGGCCATGCATCGTCTCCAGGATGTTGAGAATAACCAAGAGCATCCAAGACTGGCTGGGTGATCTTGTCCCAAATCCATTCTAGGACCTTTGAGCTACCAAAGTCACCCTTCCGAGCGAACTGAGCGAGGCCATCTGCAATATTGAGAAGCGCCAAAGATTTCACCTGATGTTTCTCAATAATGATTGCATCGCATCGAGCTTGACTAATATTGATGACGACCACTGGACCATACTCAGCGGCCTGAAGTGTCTCTGCTTCTGTCAATGCAGTCCAGAGGTCTTCAAACCCCGGCAACTTTCGGATCTCACCAATCAACTCCTCAAACTCCTCTGCCGCATTGTAACGCCTATTGAGCTGATCAATATGACCCTGAAGAGAGTTTCCTTGGATAAGAGTATTCGAGAACTGCAACTCGTCGCGAAGATGGGTATAAGTGTTGGCTTGTTCAGGAGACAGACGACCTAATTTGACAGGACCCAGCAACATGTCTTCACTAAACTTTGCAAGGACACCGCGCCCTAGCTCAAGTACTTGTAGTGCCTCAAAGGCCGGTCTGCCTGCTTTCAAAGCTGCAGCAGCTCCACTACACGCCATACCAGCTCTCTGGCCTGCAGCATGCTGTTTATCTGAGGTCTCATGAGATCTCGTGATCAAATGAGGTAGAAGAGCCATGATGACTTGGGCAGCCTCGTAAGCCTTTTGTTTATCAGGACAACACCGGAGTAGAGCCGAGCCAGCTCTCACTCGGCTTATCGCAGGAGCATTTTTGTTCTGCAGTGCCTCGAGAAAACACTCTGAAGCTGTTCCAAGGTCTGAATCATTCTTCGCTCCATCCCTGAGACGATAACCTAACGTGTTGAGCATTTCTGAGCGGTATTGATGGTCTCCTGGGATTTCCTCGAGGGCTTCCCGTTGTAGTCGAGCACATTCATCGAGAATTGCATTTTGTTTTGTCAGAGCGTACTTTATGACGAGCATGGACTGTAAATTATTCTTTTGGCACCAAGTTGGGCGGTTCTTTGCGGTGGTGGCTATTGCAGTTCTCTCCAGCTGTATTGACTCTTCCAAGTCTTTCCAGAGGTTAGGGTCTGTCCGAGACCTGGATGATCTGAGGCACAGTTGCACTGCAAGTCTGTCGAGATAGGCCGCTTTGAAGGGGTGGTTGTCAGGCGTTGCATCAGCAGCCTCTCTGGATAATTCTATTGCTCTGTCGAGATCCTGTATCTTTTGATGTCTTAAGTATCTGTTTTTAAGAATATCCGCAAGGATGGAGACGACCCGTGGCCTTTGTGAATGATGACTAGGAAGCATTTCAATAGCCGTCTCAGTAATGCGAATAGCTTCTTCGAGATCCGTCAATGAACCCATCTTTTCGTATCTGTGAATGAGGCCATCTACGACCGCTGCAAGATATCGAGCCTTTGTAGGCCCATTCGGCGTCAGATCCGCAGCTTTACTTGCAGCATTGATGGCATTCTGCAAGTCGCTCAGATCCCACAATCTGTGGAATCTTTCTATCAGATGAGCTGAGATGTTATTTAGCCATTTTGCTTGATCTGGATGGCCATCTGGTGTCAGGGTGAGGACTGTTCTAGCGAGTTCTATGGCCTCCTCGTATGTGTTCGAATTACCAGTAGCTTCGGCCTTGAGATCCAACTTGGCTGACAAGTTGTTCAAGAATAGCCCGCGCAGTTTTGTGTCCGATGTCATGTCGATGGCACGTCGGTTCAGGTTGATTGATTCTTCAAGGTCGTCCAAAGAACCTGTCACTAGATATCTGTTGTTGAGATGGTTACCAAGATTATTCAGCCACTTCGATAGTTCAAGGTCACTGCTTGTCGTCACAGAAACGGCCTTTCTTGCTATAGCTATACCGTCTTCCATGTCCTTTAGATCTCCTGTAACGGAGAACCTGATCTTGAATGATGCGGCGAGATTGCTCAAATACTTGGCGTTAACGGACTGTGTCGTAGTCGTTAACCCAACCGCCTTTTGTGCCATTTGTATGGCCTCCTCAAGGTCTGCGTTTTCTTCCGTCATCATGAATCTATCTTGAAGCCGGTAACTGAGGGTATTTGAGCAGTCTGCCAAGTCGACATCGTCGTTTGTTATCGCATTGATAGCTTGCTTCGTCGCAAAAATGGATTCATCCAGATCTTCAATCATACCGGTGCTAACATATCTGTCATTGAGAAGGTTGCCAAGTTCTTTCAGATAATTAACATTTGTCGGATTGGCACTAATCGACTTCTTCGTTTGCTCGATAGCCTCGTCAATATCAGTCATCGTGCCAATCCCAACACGTCCCTTGCGTTTGTTGATCGGATTTCAATTGCGCTGTGTAGAGAAAAGTGTTATCTGTATCGTCACGGGGGAATAGCCGATTGACAAGCACCGTCACCTCAGTCAGGTAGCTTTGGATATCATCAACGGAAAGTGAGATGGACGAAGCAACATCAACTTGGAGATATTTATAGCGCTACCTTGACCAATAGCTATGCTTTCATTCCTCGCTTTGACAGTTGCCTTCACTTTGAAAGCGGGGTAAAGGATCCGGACTGAAGGGTCGTACATGATATGTAACCAAATATGAAATCTGCAATACATTATTGATATAAGGTGCTGAGTAGGACTTTGTATCTACTACGATAAGTTTAGGATAGTGAAATTTGTCGCTATTCTCATCATAGCGCTATATTATTATGATCACCCGTGGCTAACAGTTAACCCTTTGGAGAAAAAGCCAAACTAACATAACCTAGTCCTATTTCTAGAGGAACCCCGGCACCATCGATCCAATCATTCTTGTTTTTGCACTAGCGGCAGCAAATCGATTCTAGGTACCAAGTTCCCTATTAACCTAGGGACAAACTATTGATTCAGGGGAAATTTGATGGCCTTTGTAGTCGTGACCTGCCTATTAAATAACTATTTCAACCCGTCTTCTTGCTTTTGCTTTCCTTATGGCTATTGGCCTTTTCGGTCTTGACTCTACGCTTGCTGGTCCCTGCAAGGCTCGAACTTCTAGTGAGTTACGACAAAGGTGCCAAGGGAAATCATTTCGGAGATGGCTGACAACAGTTTCTCTTCAGCTACGGATGCAGTGACTTCTACTTTGGCTGATTCAACAACGCAGTCTCCTACAACAACGGCAGGGGAAATCTCTGCCGTGGCGTCGTCCGAGACACTTACTGGAACTGTCGCAACCACAATCGCTTTGGACACCACCGCCGCCATCACCACCACCACATCCGAGACCGAAACGACAACAGCTGCAGCGGTGACCACCGCAGCTCCCTTAGCAACCCCGAACTTCACCATTACTGGCGATGGCGGCTCTGTGAATGGTGGCCCCCTTCAAGGCGTTGATCAAAATGGAAGTGTCATGCTATTCTGCCCAGAAGGAGGAAACCTCCGCACCCGAACACTCACTCTGGATCCTAAAACTGGCCGATTACGAGACAAGTATACTGGAAATTCTGTTTGCGTTTACTACGGCTCTGCCAACTCGCCTTCAGACCCGGCGTACTTTGGATATTGCCAGAATGGCAACACTGGTCCTAACACAGCCTTTGACTATGTCACCCGCGACATCTTCAACGGCAAGCTTGCTTGTACGGCCCCAAAGGCGTCTTGCCCAACGGATGACGATGGCAATCCTTTAGGTTGTTCCACTGATCCCTCCAGTGATGTGCACAATCAATTTTACTACAAGTATGAGGCTAGAAATGGGTATTACCTGTACATTTCTAGTGGTAGTCCCAGCGGCTTCACACCTATTGACCTCAATGTCCACGATGTTTGAGTTGTTTTAGACAGGAAGACATTGCGTAAGTAGAGGAGTATATTAATCTAACCAGCCTCTATTCTCCACCTTGTCTCAACAATATCATTCAAGTAATAGAAGACTCTGAGACTAGCACACTCCTGTCTTCTGTTGATTTGTAGTGAAACTATTATCCCATATAGACGTATGCTGATTAAAAGACTGTCATTTTGGCTCAGGAAACTACGTTGAAGCGTAACCTGTTACAGCTAAAAAAAAATAGATAACAATGCGTATATCTTGCCAGTAAAACGATAGGAAAACGCAAGTGACTCTCACAGCTCTCCGTCTATCATACAATCCTCGCTATAGCAGCGCAATATCCCTTGTGTTGGCAACTTAGAAGGATCTACTTCCACCAAGTTTGTCATGTTAATGTGATCCTGAACCGTGGTACCAATACCCAGGAAGAACTGCACGCCGTACCCAGGCTGACCAAACCATGGCTTGATGGGTCCAGACAAAACGGAAAAGGGCTTTGTAACGTTATATACATGATAGTCATTAGGGAACTCTTTCTCTGGTCTGGTGTTGAGGCTCTGTGGATGAAGAGCTCTCTGCGCAAAAGGGGCTGTGGCGGGAGAGATAAAGCGTCCTGTAGAAAGCAGTCAGAATTTTGCCCGAGTAAGACACCGTAAATACTTACCGCCAGTCCCACCAAAACGATCAACTAGTGTGCCGACCTCGAGGTCTATATATGCCTTCATGGGGATTTGATCCTGGTCTAAAGCAAAGCCATTTAACGGCGGAAATCTCCATCCATGTTCCCGATCTGCCCCCTTATCGATGTCCCACACCATTGTAGAATTCCACCATTCTGCGAGAAAGTCATTCGGTGACTTCTTTCCAAAACGATCGTAACCGGCAACAAATGTGCTGAGAGGTAAAGTCACTGGGAGAGCTTTCGGTCCCAGACGTTTATCACCACAAATGTAATCTTCATCGAGAGACTTGTTCCATCTCACGTTACAGCCATGACAACCCGACGGCCTACCGCTGGTACAGTTGACGTCATTGTCGTCGTCTAAAGTCGATAGGGAAGGGCGTTGTTGGAATAGAATCCCGGCGAGAGAGCCAACAAAAAAAGATGACAGAAACAATGATTTAAACAACATTTTTGGTAGTGGTTTTGCTAGTGATAGAGAAAATATGTCGAGACTGTCCTAATATTATCCCATTTCAAACCGGGAAATATGGCCTTTTTATACCTGTGGTGCCAGACTCCCAGCCAGAGTTGTTTACTTCTCGTTGCAACTCAGCTGGGGTCATTGCAGCCATGTTTTACCTATATGATTGCAATGGCTTGCGAGCCAAGCCTAACTTTCCCTGTGTGTCTTGTAAAACAGCAGGGAGATCGGCAAAGAAGTGACAAGAGAATTTCAGCTATGACATCTACAGTAAACTAGTTTCGAATGGCTCACTGGGTTAACTCTGATAGGACTTAACAAGAGTGATTGACAAGTTAACTGGAGGGAGGCATTCCATAGCACCTAGTTATTCACGCTAGAATACTGAATTGGGTTAATCGGGTCGTGAAACAGCCCTAGTGAAATAAAAGTGGCCAGCTGACAAGTTGAATCGGATTGCTGACGGGTAGTAGTGGCTTTCTGAAGGGTAATGGTGGCTTTCTGAAGGGTGATAGTGGCTTGCGTCGTAGCATACCACAACTTAACCTTTGTAACGTCGCCAACGTAAATACTGGGAGGGTTCATTGCAAAAAGAGCCTTGCCAGCTTCATAAGCGAATTGAAGAGAAGAATAGTCCTTCAATAGTTAACAAGTTAAGCCTAGAGTTACATACTATGTTAAAGCAAACAATTCCCTGCCTAAGGTCAGATCTCTCTGACTCGTGGTACCTTTCTACCACCCCACTGATCATAGTCCTCCACCCTGAACTCAAATATACCACTACCAGGACGCTCCTCCACCGCCCGTATTCTGCTCTTCCTATTCTCGCTCTGGTCTAGATCCATCTTCTGTGTTGTTTTGGCGATTGACGAGAACGTCATCTGGCGAAGCTCCTTCACTCCATCTTGAGACATGACTACCAAGCCGTATACCACACCCACGATCCCGACGAGAAACGATGCTGCGTAAACTACCACGAGAACACCCCAGTTGTAGGAGAAGTAACTGCCTGTGCGCATACGAACACATGGGTATTCTGTATCAGGCCCACCTGGACCCCGGCCCGAGAGCTCACTTGGATGCGAAGCCCATGCAACAGCAAGAAGCAACGGATCTGAGAGAAGGGATATGAGCATATCCTCGTAAAGTTTCTGTACGGCGTCCTCAAAATTGGGAACGGGTAAAGACTCAGGACGGGCAACCAGCTTTGAAGTTGTGATGGGTGAGTGTGCAATCGGACCTGGTAGCTGAATCGATCCTTGAAGAAGATCGCGGATTTTCTTTCCCAGAGAGTGGTACGATGTTATTTTGCGGTAGTACCTCCAATCCTTTGGGAAGACATAATTCTCCACGGGTTCGGCAAATATCGGGTCGAGTGTTCCATCGTCGACAGACGACTCATCGATATATGTTGTGTTGATAACTTTTTGCTTGTAATCTCGATTGGTGACTTTGTATGATTGGCGGCCACCGGTATAATTCATATTGACGGTATAGTTGATTTCCCAATGCTCACAGGCCGTGATGACTGGTGTGTAGTCTGTGTTCCAGCCCTTCATGCTTCGATTTTTTGCATGCGTTTCGTCTATTTTATCCACCTCAACGTAGCCCATCCAGAGTACTGGTTCTGTTCTCAAAGCACCCAAGTTTTTGGGAAATGGAGGCTTCACTGCTGGTTTGTTATTCTCGTCAACTTCGATCTGATTCACCTTGTATTCTCCCAAATCCGCAATGGTATAGAAGCTGGCATTTCCGACGGGCAACATCTTGGTAAGATTAAAGGGTGTCTTGTAATTTTTGAAACTTTTCATTGTTGAGTTGGTGCCTTTGGCGAGTTGCTCGCATTTGTATCCGGGTCCAAGAAAGTGAATAGTGGTAGAGCAGTCCCAGTCTTCTCCACAGATCTCATCAGCCACTTCATCTCTCTGGATCGGCTGTCCTCCGGCTAAGACCCTTGACGCGATGGAATCAAGTGGCGGCGCGGACTGGAGCCAGTAGTCGAAATGATAAGGAGAGTCCCTGTCTGCTATGACTTGATTGAACATTGATAGGGAAATTCCACGCATTGTCTCGTTCGCTGCTCTTTTATCGTCGTCCCAGCTTTTCTTGGCGTCATTGCTAAAGTTGAGGGTTCGGACAGATGGGCAATTTCCATGTTCGGCTCTCGTATCTGTCACTACACTGAGTGTTGCCGAAGTAAAAATGACTACAGCAGGGGACATCCAGATGTATATAGCGAGAACCATAGCGAAGGCCGACTTCTTCCATGCCTCCCTATTAAAGAGTTCGAAAGCATTGTGGGCCGCGCCGAAAAGAGAGTCGATAGCATGGACGGTATAGCTATTTTGGCTCACAGCACTCCAGGCGACTTGTTGGTGAGCTGTCAAAACAGCAATAACGAAACTGGCCTTTGCAATAAAGGCCAGAAATTGACCCAGTCGGAGCCACCATTGCTGGTTTGTAGCTATGCGATTGTGGAGGTGGGAGTATAGAATATGATGGCCCACGGCAGCTGCAGCCCCGAGAACGAGACATGCTACCATGGACCACTTATTCTTCACGAGCCTTTCCCACCATGGGCCTTTCGGAGGTTGTGCTGGTGGATTAAGCTGGTGGTAGACACCGAGTCCAGTCGATAGATTGTGTGCTCGGTCAGCGGCCAGCAAGTCGACCTGGCTATGGTCTCTGCCTCCCGGCGTAAAAGGGTCATGCAGGTTAGGGCTCAGGGGATCCACATGAGGCGAATCAAAATCAGACCGGGGTGAAAGATATGAGCCCTCTCTGCCGATCGTGGTGCTTCCAGGCGATGGGGCAATGTTAGGTTGGTCTTCGAAGCGAGTGAGGCCAATGCTTTGGTATTCCTGTGATGACCCAGAAAAGTACTTTGGTGCCGATCGCCTCATCCTGTCATCCACAAGCGACGTCAGCCAGGCTGGCCTGCGGGATTATGGTTCGAAAGGTAGGCGTAAGCTTAAGCTTCAGGGGTGACGCGCAGAGGCTCAGAGCAATATTTGGTGGTCAATTGCACTTAATCAAGGTGTTTCTGAAGGAAACTCTTAGTGTTAACCCTTCTTCGAGACATTGGAGCATCAATTGTGATACTTTCCAGTTGAAAACCCTTCTCGAGGGGAAAAATCAGGCTCTGAGGCTGATGCTGACAATCTGACACAAAGCAGCACGGACCGAGTCGTTGCCCCTTCGTTTAACCAGTAAGCATGACTCGTTTTAGCCACAGCATGAACCATGTGGCGTCGCTTCTAACTCGGCTGCTGTGGCACAGTCATGAACAATTGCACTCCATAGCACTTGTTGCAACACCAGCATCAATTGAGTATGCGCATCGTTAACCACGAGAATGTTTTTTTTATCGCGCACAGGGGTTCGATGCTGGAATACTCCAATATGATGACGATCCTACGGTCCGTGTCTTAAGACGCGTCGCTGATGATCATTACGCGATAACTCATGTCTCCATGGAGAAAGCGACGGAGCCGGCGGAGTACTAACCGGATTTGTACAGTTGACCTACCCGGTATCCGGTTCCCGAAAACACGGCAACAGGGAGAATAGAGATCAGCTCAAATGACATGAATTAACTTAAATCAAAAGGGGATAAAAGGATCTATCTGTGTTTTGGATATTTTTCTTGAAATTGAGCATCTGGGAGCCTTTCGACAGAGTGTCTTTAGTACTACTTACACTTTCTTCTCCAATTCCACGTATCACCCAATGGCGCCGCTCAAAATTGCCGTCATTGGCGGTGGTCTTTCTGGCGCATGTTTGACCAACGGTTTAATTAATAAATCAGACAACAAGATCGATGTCTCAGTATTCGAACGCGATGAAGCGGGTTCAGAACGAGGAGGCTATCAGATCCGTCTTGGAGCATACGCCTTGGCCGGTTTCAGGGCTTGCCTGACGAACGACCAATTCTCATCTCTCCTGCCTTTGTTCGGCAAGTCGGGAGGCGTCGTCTCCTCGGCACCTTGCATCTTCAGTCCTTCTGACTTGAAGGTCCTGATCGATTTGAGCAAAGCTCCCCTTTACGAAAAGAGCGCCCCGGTTGCACGAGTGCGTCTTCGAGATTTTCTTCAAAAACCTCTTCAGGAGAGGGGAGTTATTCGATATGGCAAGAAATATGTTTGTTACGAGGTCATTGAAGGAAAAAGCGTCGAACAGAGCAGCGTCAGAGTCCATTTCGATGATGGCTCCCACCACGATTGCGACGTACTCATATCAGCCGAGGGAAGCGGAAGTCGCGTCAACAAACAAATTGGACTCAGCAACATTATCACTGATGTCAAGCCCGGAAATGGAGGGTTCCTAGGTAAATGCCATCTGTCTTGGCCTGTACTCGAAACACTACCGCGTCAGCTTGTGGAAAAGGGCACTATCTATACTGCCAACTCCAAGGCTATGGTATTCTCTGCTGTGTATCTTCCCGATAGCTTCACCTTTTCTACGAAAGGAACTAGTTCGAAATACGCCAATGGACAAAAACCTGAGAAATACGGCGAGGACGAAGCATCGCTATTCTTGGGCGTGTCGTGGACAACTGGACCCGAATCATCGACGTTAGATCAAGTCAAAGACAAAAAAGGGTTGATGAAACAAAAACTCATCGAGGCCGGATTCCATCCTGACTGTCTCAAAATGGTGGATGCAGTTGACGAAGAAGCCATCTTGACCACACCTTGGAGATATGCTAAGAGTGATACCCCAGTTGACTGGAGAGAACGACTTCTGACTAGGAATGAGAACAAATCAGACCCTGTTATTGCAAATCCAAGAGTCTGGTTGATAGGCGATTCTATCCATCCAATGCTTCCTTCTAGAGGAATGGGCGCAAACAATGCCATCCACGATACCGCTGATGCACTTGAGCCATTACTGGAGCTCGCTAGGTTGAAGAAAGTGCATGGCATAGTTACAAACGATCAAGTTGGTCAGCAGCTAGCGGTGTACGAGAAATCCATGATACCACGGGCTTTCGGTTGGGTTAAAAAGAGTACCAATCAGCAGGTATGAATGTGTCACCTTCTTCTTGAATCGTGAGCGGTGAAACTAACATCTTGATAGTTACCAGACCTGGATAGCCTTACTGGCAGAGTAATAATAATCGGTCTCCGTGCGATACTCTTTGTACTTGGTATTGGTGTCAAATGTCTTGGACTATTTGGTTGGGAACCCAAGGATGAAGCTCCTGAACTACATTAGTACCGAGTTTCAATTTCCATCACTTTGTAGTTTTGTCTCTATTCCGTGTATTTGTTTGACTTTGCAATTGGAAACAACACATAGTGTTATTAGTTAACTGGGAATTTTGTATATAGTAATATCTCATGTATTTTATATTCGATATTCTCTCCAAAGAGAACAACACATAGTGTACTTATCTACAAGAGTTTAATACTGAAATTAAATTGAAATCCAAGCTACACCTTCGTTACCCTGAAACCAACCAAGGACCAACGAGCAGCTCCATAAGCAAATACTGAAGCTATCATAGTGCAACCGCAAAACAATTGCAACCCAATAAAGCTATTTCCATTTCCACTTTTGTCCAAAATCAATGCACCACCCAGTGGGCTACCCGTTAAAGCTCCAAAAGAATTGACTAGCGAAGCAAGCCCAATCCTTGTGCCAATTTCTTCAATTGGGCTAATCTGGGAGACGCATCCCGGAAAGACGGAGACGTAGCCACCTGATCCATAACCGAAAGCAATCGCATACGCTATGATGGATCCGGTAGTTTGACTCCCTGGTATCCATAGCACCAGCGTCAAGACTCCAGTGAAAGAGGTGATTAACAACATACAGTTGAACTGGCCAATGGTATCCGCAAGTGCACCTGCAGTCAAACGGCCAACCAGACTGATACCATTGATCAGAGGCAAGAGATATGGGACAAGGCCTGGTGAAATACCACTCGACTTTGCCTGGATGATGATGTAGTTCAACGGGAGGAACATGCCCCAAAAGAACAAGAAGCCGCCAGTCATTGTTAAAAGCATAACAGGCTCTTTAAAACAGCGCTGGTAGTCCGAAAATGCAAAGGGACGAGGCTTCGGAGTACCATTTGCCTTTATCAGAAGACACGAAATCGTCATGAAAGCCAAGAATATGAAGCCTACCACCCTCATCGTCCATCCAAAACCGATGATCTTGAAAAGACGTGACAACATGATGGGTAAGACAATACCGCCAGCTGATGATCCTGAGTTGACAATACCAAAGATCGTTCCCCGCCTTTTCTTGAACCATGATGCTGTCGAGGTGAGGGACGCTGTAAAGACAGCACCAGAGCCTAGAGAGCTAACAATGGCTTGAGACAGAAGGATCTGGTAGTATTGTGTTGATAAGGACAACATCATCAGACCAAAGCAGTAGACAGGAGCTCCAATGAAAAGAAGCCATCGAGGTCCATATGAATCATAGACACGTCCCCACTGTAGGATGACTATATATCAGTGTTTTGTTGTGGAGTCAGATTGAAGACAAGGTGTGATATGACTTACGATTGCTGAGCCGCCAACCTGGAAGAACACTTGCAAACTCGTGATCCAACTGATGGTGCTCGGACTATACTCTGACAAAGGCATATTTTGGTAATACTCGAGAAAGACGCCGACGCAGGTGATAAGTCCGAATGTGCAGAAGAGACCAAACCAGCCGCCAAGAACGACAAGCCATGCTTCTCGGCCACCCTCAGGATATTCTATCTCAATGGTAGGATATTCTGCTTGTGCTTCAACGTAGTGACTCTCATTGGGGGTCTTGTTGTTTTCATCTTGGCTTTTCTGGTCTTTTTCGTTTGAGAGATAATTATTAGATTGGGCCATAGTCGACATATTTTATTGTGGTGGACACCTCGGTCTAGCCTTTGATCAATAAGTCGCCGAAGACGACCGAGAACTCCAAGTGTAGAGGGCTAACAGGTTACAGGCATGTTATAAATAGGACATCATTGACGGACTGTTGTCTCGGTGTTGTGGCTCCGATTTCGAGAGATATATACCGACCTACAGGCCGTGCCGAGCCGATGAGGTCTAGCCAGCCAAGCATTCTCAGTGGAAAAACTGACCATCAAATGGGAAGAATGATGCGAAAGTGAAAGATTACTAACTTCGTTGTGTTATTCTATTCCCCCGTGGGGTAGCGCAGCGTCTGATCAAACCCGACGGGGCGGCGGCGGGGTCGGAGAAGTGTCCGTCTCATGCCCAGTCACGAATCAAGCGACACAAAATCAGCTAGACAAATACTGACCTCTTATTCCAACTCTTTTATGAAGTCATTTGACTCTTGTTTCTTGTCATGGAGAGATTAGAAATCATGCCTAGAAAATGGGAGCTCAATTAATTACAAGAAATTTTGCTAGGTAAAAACTTAAATCATTAATAGATAGCATTCCTTCTTCTGTCACATATGGCACAGACGCTAAATATCTAACTCAACTGGCTGAGCAAAGTCCATTTCCAATATCTTGGTCTTCCCATTCTCCTCGACGGCTTTTGTAGCTGCCTCGGTATGGATCCTCCACGGTGGAATGCATCTTCAAAGTGTCAGTCAATCGTTCGGTCCATAAGATCTTAGGTCAAGCAAGACACGACTGTCCCGAATTACTTACGCTTCATCATGTAAACACCAAATTACTTGAGATGGGTTTCCAAGCCAACCAACCTTCATAGCTGCAAACTCGGCTGCAGAACCATCAAAAGGTTTTCCATTGAGATTAGCTCTTCCAGCGATAGCCATGATGGCAATGTTAGGTTTCGGCTGCAGATTCTTCAAGATACCATTATACCCTCCTAGATGTGCGCTCCAAAGTAACGCCTTGTCCCCGATGACAAAGTTGAACATCAACTGGCCGCCATCACTATGTGACATGACATTCCGCTTCCGGTCACTTATATACTCTATGAATGAACGGTGACCTGAAGTAAGCTTTTCGGGTGGCATGAGTTCGTCAAGTTGAAACAAACCATATTTCATTCCTATGGTAATGTCAAGAGTGCAAGTGTATGGACTGGCAGAACCTTTATAGACAGTAGCCGTATCAATAACTTCGGGGTGATCTGCCGGCATGAAGCAATGAAGCGAAGGCCAGACATCGACTGAGAGTGCCGCATGTTTGTCGAGTGGGCGTTTTGGTGCATTGGGCAATCCAGGGGAGAAGAGGGATGGGTCGGCTCTGGCTTGATCCCAGGTTTCGCGAGTAAACAACGGGATACGTTCGCCACCTTGGACTGGGAAGAGTTGATGTTCAGAAACGCCGGCTTCTCTCAAAAGATTGATCGCTTCATTATTTGCTATGACGATAGCGCCAGTTTTAATGGCGATGCGATCTGCACCTGGCAGACTTGTGTTCTTTATTAGGATCGCAATGCGAGCTGGTTTCTATTTCAGCGAAGTTACTCACTGGTCAAAGTGAGCATGGGAAATGAAGATATAGTCGGCCTCTTCTACATCATCGATTGGCAGATAGGTTTTCAATATAGAGGGCCTATCGAGCCAAGTATCAAGAAAGACAGTGACGCCTCTCGTACGAAGTCGGTAGGTCGTGGCGCCTTATTACAATCAGTATGAGGGCATATTTGGTGTCTCGGACTAAGCATACCGAACCATTCAAGAGTAGACGTTGTCATGTTATCTGAAACCTCGAGTGTAGATCTCGGTAATTAGAAAGATTTGATTGATATGATGTTTTGTCGTATAGAAAAGGCTCCATTGTTTGGTACTTAAACGGGACAAGGGAAGCGGGCTAGTGGGCAACAGAAAGATAGCCTCCAAACTAACTGTAAAGGGTACAAAAATAAATGTTCCAAGAAGCCACATTCAATTCGTGTACACCCGAGTGCTAATTTCGTCTCTTTTTATCCCGAAGGAGCTAGGCGGGGCCGACGGGGTAGAGGACATGGTCACCACTAGTCCCCCGCCATATCCGAGGGTGAGACTCCGTCGCTTCCCTCCTCCATCTCCCAACGAATCTTCCCCTGAAATCATCAACCACGGGACGGAAAACCGACGGAGTATCAAAGATGGAGTCAGACGCTTTATGCTGTCATCATTGTGGGGAAAGATTTCAACGGCGTGAACACCGTGATCGGCACCTTCTTCGTCACACGGGTCACAAACCATTCCAATGCGATGCTTGCTCCAAATCCTTTGGGCGCCAGTCAGTAAACCGGTATAATTCTACGAAAGAGCTTGGTCATTCTAACTTCTTATAGCGACACTCTTGTTCGTCATAGGGCTTTACATAATAGCCGATCTGAGCAAAGCCGAGGTCGTCGCCGCTGTGGGCGGGCCTGTGTCCCTTGTTCAAGACTGAAGCAAGGCTGCAGCGGAGGCCACCCGTGCTCACGATGTAAAAACAGAGATACGGAGTGCATCTATAACTTGGTCAGGTCATCCGAAATACCAAGTGGCGACAGTGACCAAGATGGAACCCTCTCGTCTCCTCTCACAGTACGAGACGCTGGCTCAGTGAACGGAGACATCTCATCCCATGACCTTCATGCCATGCCAAATCAATTGGGCGATCCTACATCAAATATTTCTGACGCCACTCACATCTCCAACGTATATATCCCAGATACCACTATCTCTGGCTGGCCTCCCGTTCAATCATTGACTAACGGGAACTTCGGCGAACTGTGTCTCATACCAGGTGTCTCATGGACGCCTTGGAACCCATTAACGGTCAGCTCTTCTTTCCCCTGGTTCATGGATGGACTAGATAATTCGTTGGGATTTCCAGACCTACCAGACCTGATGGATCCCATTGTAGTTGCGAATGCATCTTTACCTATTCCTCTTACATCGACAAAATCAGCTCCTGCTGTGCCGGTGGCTGCAACAATAGGTGACCATACTTATCCTCAGATGTATTTGAATCCCGAACACATATGTTCAGGCTACACAAGACCATGTCTCTCCTTACCCAAGCTCCAAGATATCAGTATCCAAATGGCTAGAACCGAGGTTTTCGGACATGTCCATACTATTTCTTATCAGGCTGTTGAAAACTTGAACAATTTCTACAAGACTCAAAGTCGAGAGGAGGTTACAGAAGCTGTCCCTGAGGACATTCTTCATGCCTTTGTAGAACTTTACTTTGAGTTCTTTGATTCGCAGTTTCCCTTTTTGCATCCATCACGTTTAGAAGACCCTGACCTACCATGGGTTCTGCTGTTAGCTACAGCCGCAGTCGGAAGTCATTACTCTGAGATACAAGGTGCAGAAGAATATAATTTTGCACTATCTGATCTGCTTGCCAGAGCTGTTGAACAGGAAGTAAGTCACAACGCCACCTCTGTGATACATACAGCCACTGATCTTCCGTTTCTAGGTCTCGAATCACATAATTAAAGCCGACATTGCGACAGTTCAGAGTGTCTTTCTCCTACATGTATTGTGGATGTTTTCAGAATCTCACAGAGACAAGGTTGTACTACAGCACAAGCGAACCAGACTCTCAACACTGTGTTGGGATTTACTTACCCGGGCTAATAAGCAAAGACAACGGAGTCAGCCTGATCTTAGTACTGACGAAGCATGGAAATCGTGGCTTAACCGTGAGAGTGACATCCGTCTGTCTATGTGTGTTCGAGTTTTGGAATGTCTGGGGCATATTTTCCTTTTTATGCCTCTCGACATTAACCTTCGTGAGGCTACGAGACAATTGCCCTGCGATGAAAGCATCTGGAAGTGTCGAACTGCTGTTGATTGGAAGTCACAACTGGATACTGGAGGGAATGAGCAGCTCAGTACGAGAGGGCAAGGCTGGAGCCAAAATCGTCTCGGAAGATCTTCTGCTGGAGATCCATTCCCTTCAAAGGTCGCTCTCATCGAATTTTATCTCGATGAAAGGGACATTTCCCGTCAAATACTTACATCAAAGCTTTTGCGTTCTTCATTTGTACCTTTCCTCGGTTTGGAGTCAGGAACTGATGCTCAGTATGCATCTAACAGACTCGACACGAGAAGCAACAATCACCTTTTGGATACAATCATCGACCAATTAACACTAGCAAATGCTAGGACTGAGGGAGATACATTGGTCCATTTCATTGCGATCCTAAGGCTGATACCAATACCATTGGAAACACTGCATTTTGCTACTGGGTGGCAGGCAAATCAAGAGCAGATGCTGGAGTCGAAGAAGCGTCTCCGGTGTTTCTTCCAGAATAATGGTTCTGAAGCACGTAAAGGCTTGTGGCATGCTGCTTGCATATTCAAGAAAACCCGGAACTCGCGTCGACTCATGTGTTACGATGCATTGAGTCTTGCATCCGCCATGGGTTATATATATTCTTACAGCGAAGCACGATCCTCGATACCTGATGCTTCATCTCATTTTCATTCGTCGAGTCGGCCTTCCATCGTTCGTCTTGACCAGCTTCACGAGAGGTCGCATGTTGAGCAGTGGATCAAGAGCGACGCTGACAGCGTGGTTCATTTGACGGGAGTTGGGCTACTTGACGGTTCCGATGACCGTATTCGCTTTCTTCTAGATATTGAGAAGACATTGTCGTCACAGATCGCTTGGCGGGGGTTCTGTTTTCTCTTCGCTACTTGTTTTTCCCAGTTAAGACGTGGTGAGATCCCCAGTTCAAAGGATCACAGTACAGGGTAACACCCACTAGAGCTGGCTACTCTGACATAGAAATATAAATGCATTAAGTATAGTAATAATATTTACTTAATGATAGTTAGGAATGAATAAATTTACAGGCATTATTCTGATTTTATGTTTTGCCTTACCAAGGAGCCAGATTTTTGTTCGTAATCTAGAATTTGGTAGATGATACGCCTCAAGTCGACTATTGTTTCGTTGCTAGCTACGTCATTGTGTGTCTGCAAGGCTTTTCCGTCTTACCGATTTACCTCTACAGTTCTTTTTAAGTCATATATCTGGAATCTCATCATGACGGCATTATAACACTACTGCCCTCTAATTTACTTTTGGCTACGTCAATTCATCGTCTTAAACAGCATGTGTCATCAACCCCAGCTCCAACCCTAACCCTTGAGCTGAGAGGCACTACCTTATGCTTTCAAGTGTACCGGAAGAAGGTTTTGAATCTGCGAGTCAATTAATAATCGCTCAATAATAGCCAAGGAATCAGCCACGTGCTTAGTAGACATATCTTGACACGTAACACTAAACCCTTACACCCAATGGTCCTTATATAAGAGTACATCTGTCCCGCTTCCTCATACTTCGTGTTTGAGAAGAGACGCAGTACGGTCCGAAGACTTACCCAACTTTGCAGTAACCACAGCAATCATGTCTAAGCCTTTGAAGGATATGAAAATACTTTCCTTAGGGATGCCACGAACAGTTTTGTCTTAACACGAAAACCCCTGCTTTATACAAGCTACAATTATACCAGGATCTTCTTCCATAGCCAAGGCTCTCACTATCTTGGGGTATGATGGTGTACACCACGGTATCCAGTCAATATCTCTGCCCCACAAGCAGGCTCTCATGTCTAAAGCTGCAAACTCAATGTTTCTATCGTTGTCAACATACACCGGAATTCCCTTTCCCCGCAACGATTGGGACGCGCTTTTCGGCAACTATGAAGCAGTCACAGATATGGGTTCCCTTTTCGCCCTCCAGCTTATCAAAGCATATCCGCATGCCAAAGTCATTCTTGTCGAGCGTGATGTTGATACTTGGTTCGAGAGCGTGAACGAGGCTTGTTTCGACAGACTCTGGGGTTGGCGCGCAGATCTCATTATCGACTACCTCGGCCCAATGTAGGGCCTAAAAGGCGGGAAAACACTTCGAACAGTCCTTCTGGGCTTCTTTGACGCTCACAACGTGGATGGAATCAGAAAGGTTGCCAAGGAACGGTACGTGAGACACTATGGAGAGATCCGAGCAGCGGTGCCTAAGGAGAGACTTCTTGAGTTCAGGCTGGAGCAATCTTGGGAACCATTGTGTGCATTCTTAGGGCATGATGAACCAGAGGGAGTTAATTTCCCTGTGGAAAGCAACAGGAGTGAGCATGTTCCTCGCGTAAAGTCTAAGGAAAATCGCTTTCATAGACTAGCTCCTTTTGCAGGTATAAAAAAATCCATACCTTGGGTAACTATAATTACTATCATAGTAACTAGCCTATTCACGGAGTGGTTTCTAATTGCACACGGCGTATACAGAACCCAGTCCCTTAATATCAGATTTAATATGAAAAGTCAAGAGCCTTCTAGATGTGATAGCTCTATGAGGACAATTCAAACTATATCTTAATATGAAGCAATGCATTTAATCTTTTCATATTTGGCAATATCCGTTTCGCTCTCTACTGTTTCACTTACTAGTCTATCTTAAATTCATTGAGTAATAGAGCCTGCGAACTGAACAAGAACTGAGTTGGTATATGTGAGGATGCCCAAGTCGTCGGAAACATTTCATGGATCTAAGCCCTTCGCAGCAGTGGACGAATCGAGGACTATGCCGGTGATCACCGTCCATGGGGCCTGGACTTCTTCGGAGCTTCGATCTCGACTCTGACTGTCGTTGTGAATATTTGCTGTGTCCAGCTAGGTCTGGCCGGTTCTAGATTAAAGACTTATCCGTATGGGGATGTTCCCCGCACGCGGGGCGCGCTCCAAGCCGTAGCGCAGAGCCAAAGAAAGAAAACTATTGAAAAGCTGCATCTTGTCGTATAATGCGCTCTAAGTGGTGGTCTGGAAAATGTCCCAGTTGTGTAGAAGTATTGCTTCTTTCAGCTGTTCCTGATGCCGCCACTTTCTTCGAGTGGCTACCTGAAGTGTAGGCTAGTCTTGTCTTTCGGGCGGCTAACATCCCGTTCTAGTTTGCGCAAGATCAGCTGAATTCGCCGCGCAGCTGGCTTAGTATGAATCTTTGGAGTGACCAATGGCCAATAGCCTTAGTAGGGAGAATAAGAGGTCTAGGCCGTTCTTCTACACGCAATGTCTCAAATTTTATTCCAGAAGTGTATAATGGACCAATTAACAGCACTGCTATTAATTCGTTAGTCTTTTTACTATTGTTAAATAATTAATGAACTAATGAAATAAAATAGTATAAATCTTTAGAGTGGCTAATGGATAATGGCCTTAGCGAGGAGAATGAGAAGTCTAGGCCGATCTTTTAAATGTAATGCCAAATATCATTGCAGAAGTGCATACTACGCTAGTGAACAGCGACATTGTGTATGGGCTATGGACTTCGGCAGAAGTATAAAGTGAATGTACGACGACCGCTAGCAAGTCGATAAGGGCATTAATCATCCTACATTTTCTCTCGCAGTCTTGCTTCCTACGCAGCGGCTTTGTTTTCATCATTTACATTCAATCTCGAACACACCACAACATGAGTCGCCAACCCTTCGACGTGCCCGTCAACTGGCCGGCCGACAACAAAGTCAACTGGCCTGGCAAGGACAGTGACTTTTATAGAAAGACCGGCATTCACATGTACCATATCTCTAAGGACGATTACAATCCGTTCTACACATACGAGGTCGAGATCCGCGCGGATTGGCCTTTCACATATACATTCTACGACGAGACGGGCGACAGCTACTCGGTGTCGATTTGGATGGTAGGGATGAATCAGGACCACTCCGTCAAATTCAATTCAGATCGTCCTACCATCGTACGCGTCACAGGGAGCTAAGTGGAGGCTCTAAAAGACAAAGGGTTACAAAGCAGAAGCAATAATAATGGGCAGAAAAAGAAGATGGCTGGTCTTTGAGCCGACAAAAGCGTTATATAAAACTATGGCTGTCCGCCTTACTTGCGAGTGCTTGGATGGGAAGACCACCTAGGAAAGGTACGGCTAGATCATGACGACCTTCTGGTTATCGAGTATAGACTTGTTTTTATTTCTTAAGGGAGATATCATCAGATTATCAGGTGAACTAGTGGTTTCTCGAGATAGCCTGGCCCTGATCGAGTCTTTTCTTTATACGCCTAGAGCTTTTCGGATGGAGGTAACCCCCTTTAATTGAGTGTGGATCGATCTTTCAGTTTCTCTACTCCTTGCTCTCGTAGATGCGCTGAAAAAAAATGTTTACATTATCAAGCCTTACGACAGGCGTTATACCTATCGGGTCATTCATAACTACGTCCAATCGCAGTTACGCAAATGTTCTTTAAAACAATTTTTAACATATGTGTTACTCTCCTGAGCCCGCATCTCATCGACTACCTTGCATCTCGTATTTACTATCTTGCACATCAAACACATGCTTCACATCTCAACTGAACCACTGGCCACCTGCGTAACCTTAGTTAGCAACGCACTGGCTGTAATAATCGTTGTGCTTAGTACACTTGGCTCCGGAAGCACACTTGGTAGAACCAGTCCAGTTGTTACCACCACACTGACCCCAAGCAGCAACCTCAGCACCACTGCCGGTAAAAGGAGCCTGAGCAACAGGAGCCTTGGTAGCTGTAGGAGCCTTGACGGTTGTGGGTTTGACGACAGCCTTGGAGGTGGTGAGCTTAGTTGCTGGAGCCTTGACGGGGGCGGCAGTGTTAGCAGCGAGCTTAGACTCGGATGAAACAGGTGCAGCATCACTGCTGGACTTGCCGGAAATCCAGTTGTATTTTTGAGAGAAGTAGTACCACCAGTTGCGGTACATCCAGCCGTCGAAGTCGGTGATTTCCATGGAGGCACCGGCAAGCATGATAAACTTGGTGATACCGGTGGGGGTCCAGTCTATTCAAGTCAGTATTTCTAGCAAATCATCACGGACTATAGAGGGTTGTAGGTACCATAGACTATAATTTGTTAGCAAAGACCGATTAAATTCAGAATTCAGTTACTTACAATCATCAAGAGCAAAGGTGTGGCCCATCTCGTGAAGAAGAATGTGGATATTGTCAGAGTCAAGGTTGTTCATGAAGTACTCACGGCCAACCTCCTGACCCCAGTTATGGCCGAAGCCACCCTCAAGACCATCCTTCAACCAGAGAGAGTGGTCATAGTGACGGGCAGCACCAGCCTTGCAGCCGCTGTAGTCGCCATCGAGATGAGCATCGCGAGCACAGGCAACAGGACACATAGGAACACCCTCGGCGTCGAGTTCAGTGTATACCTCGTAGCCGGCGGTTGAGCCCTGGAGTTGGCTCTTGTCCTTGATGGCATAAGCAACAATGTTTACTTTGACGTTGTCGTAGGGGAAACCGTTGTAGCCGTAGAGCCACTTAAACCACTTCTGGTACTGCGCGTTGTAGGTGCTGGCGATCTTGGTACGCTGAGCCTCGGTTAGAGTAGCACTAGAGTCCCATCGAACACAAATATTGAGGAAACCCTTGTTGGCCATGATCTGGTGGAAACCAGTGTTTTCATTTTTGCCAAAATCTTCGTAAGTCTTCTCGTAGTGTTCCCAGACTTCCTGGAGTGGAGCCTTCAGATCCGCAGGCGGGTTCCAGCCCGACTGACGCTTAACGGGGCGGTTTCGGGCAACATCAGAGAAGGTACGCTTGCTCTGGGCCTCGTTAGACAGAGCCTTCCAGACGGAAGCGTCGAGATCGGACTGGGCGGCAGTAGAGGCGACAAGGCCGCTGAAGATAGCGGAGATAGTAGAGACGCGCATATTTACGGTGTTTGGATGAATGAAAAAGCGATTGATTGTAGTTAAAAGGATTCAAAAAAGATATATAAGGAATGAATGGGAAAGAAAGAAAAAGTCTCTGTCCTAAGCAGAGTGAATGAACGAATGTGAGTTGCAATCAAATCAGAACAGAACATAAGCTTAAGCTTGAAAGGAAGATACTTATTTATAAGCCTACTTCGGAGTTTCTATAAAAGTCCTTTAGCGCTATCCATATCCTCGGTGTCATGTTTCATACGATTGAGTAAATGGTTAAATGATCAAGGGTGGACTAGTACTAGTGAGAAAGAGTTCAAACGGTGGAAAATAATTCGCCGAATGACATCCCTGTCCGTCGGAAGTTCTATGAGACGCCAAAAGGCATGTTTCTGCCTTTGACCCCTGTAATTTTAGCTCACAAGCGAAGCCCGCTAAAGGGATGCGAAGAACAACCCTTGGCAATACGAGATGGAAGCATGGATTCTCGGGAAAAAGACTGCATGAGCATCCAATACGATGGTTCTAGGCAGGTCCAGTCTCTTTTTTTCTCGACTACGATATGCCATATCGTACTTCGATATTAGATCCTCATTTAACAGCCCACCGAGATTCATCTGATGTCGAGGTATAACTTGGCGTAGTATCGATTTGCCATTGAGTGCCAGAAATTCTCAAGTACATATATGTGGACAACACACATGTGATGATAGACGGAAGCACAGTCGGCATCCCGGGGGCTCCAATTTCACACGGCGTATCCAGAGCCCGTTTCCTCAATATCAGATTTCAAATAAAAAGCCAAGAGCCTTCCAGATGTGATAGTTCTCTGAGCCAGTCCCAATTCGAGTGATTCGTTGGTGAGAAGTCAGTGACATGAGGACCACAAAGTGTAGAAGATGAAGCAATGTTGAGTCGGTCATATTTCTGCCACAATATTTGCAGAACGCTGACAGCGTTTCTGGTGTTTGCACAATGCCCGATATGCCAGATCCTGTCCAAGGTCTTGAGTGCCCAAGTCCGATCTTCGGACCCAGTACTCGCTGCCCCAGCGATGAATGTCGGCCATATCAAGCACTTGATAAGCTCATCAGAGTCTCTCTCTAGAAACGCGTACTCCACTATGAGATCCTGAACACCTGGTGAGTCAGAACTAAGAGTACACGCTGTAAGACAAGAGAGAATACTGGCTCCATAAATTTCAGCAGATCGCCTCCAGATCGTACCAAGATGCACTAGATCTTCCAACGACACTGCAGGAACTTGAGTAGTGTTATTCACAGCCCAAGACACTATATCGTACGAGCGTATTCGATATAGTGTATCCTCGAGAACGTGGATATTCGTGTTATAAACAGCGAGGACAGAGTCGAGCCGTCGCTGAGAGGCAAATATCTCAATAGCGGAAAGGATCTCAATCGGACATCCAATTGGAGTCATGGCTGAGAAAGCTGTGGTCTGCATCGGAGATAATGTAGACGCACTTGTCAGAGCACCGGGTTTTGCGAGAGAAGATCCAAGCGTTTGAAGCCTATACAATGTTTTTAGTTTCCTGACTGTCACACTGGTTTTGGAAGGGTCACTTACATGGCAGCCTCACGAAGTAGGTTCTGAAGGTTATCATCCCAAGATGAAGTGCCCGTCATTGTTCCAGCTGCGAGCATCGTCTTGATACCTTCAATGTGAAAGCTCCAAGCACCAGAACCACTTTCAAAGATATCCAAAAAGGCGAGGAGAATGATGGTAATGAGCAGAGACTGGTGGCCTTGGATAGTTCTTTCTGTTGCTAGTTCCGCCGACACCAACTTCAAACATTGATCTTTGGACCGTAGATAGTAGCCCACCAATGACCTGCTATACGCATTGGAAATGATAGAGTCAGGCTTGGGTTCAGTGTGCAGCACTGCTTCAATTTTGGTAGGTGGCAGCAATCCCATTAGAGGAGAATTCGTTATGCTTTGGATGTAATGGCAAGACGCCACTGTCATGATAGCACTCGCTACGGCTGGCGAGTCGATCCAGGGAATGATACTGCGATATGGATTATCTGATTGATCTTGAAGGACTAGAGTTGGGCAGATGCGTTTTGAGACTGCATATACATCAGTCGGTGGTAGGCAATAGGGAACTTAATTAGAACCAACAATAGTCAACGAAGAATCTGGAGGTTCTGTTGAGATCTTGGAATAGAGGTTCAGTAAGGGTAACTGGCATTGAATGACCTGTAGATAATCCTGTCGATCTTTCATTCTGACCATGCTGTGTTCGACTCGTGGCTGGAATTTCTTGCGGTTGCGATTGATGTTGAATATCCCCGAATGTCCGATTCTTCATTGGTCCTCGCCGAGCCACTCCTTCAACCCAGGTCAAGGGTTTCTTGTAGCCGAGGCACTCAACGCCGTGGCTCCAACATTTCTGGCAATGGGGCAAACCTCCATCGCATTTGAGGCGGCGTTGTCTGCAGCTCCAGCATCTTGGTTTCTGTGGTGGAACCATCACTCCTTATCGAGCAAGCGTGTTCTCAAGGTTAAATTTTTGCAACCGTCAACTCCTAAGACATGTTTGTGAAAGATTCATGTCAGTAGGTTTTGTATCGTCTCCGACAACGTCATCAATAAGTGTCAGACGGTAAACTCCCATTGGATACCTTGACAGATGGTCCACAGAAATTCAGTTATTTACTCTTCTCAGCTTAGTGTGATATACTTAGCCGAAGTGAAATCTGAACGCTAGTACAAAACAAGACGTGGATGTGATGCTGAATGTGAAAATGACTGGGGGAAAATCTGTTTATTGGAAGGTATTGTAAACCTGTGTTTATCTACTCCCATGGCTTCATCAAAGTATTCGCCTCCATCTGCTTATCAAACTGCGGGATATGTGTAGTGTGGCACCAAGGCTTGTTGGCTACCTCTTTGCGAATTGTGCAAGCAAACCAGGAGCACCACCTATGACGCGGGAACGCTGTGTTAATGTTCCCACGAGTGGCATCGTCGATCCAGTTAGGAAAGTCCTCAATACCTTCGTACACCCCAACATTATCATACAGAGTTGCCAGCTGAATCAGCTGGCCAAGGAAAGCAATAGTGCCATCTACTCCCATGTCCTGATGACGGATGATGGCCTCGGCAACAGCCTCGGCCTGATCGACACTACCACCAAGGCCTTTGAGCACCTCCATAGCCTTGATACCACCGTAGATATCGAAAGACATACGGGTCGAAGTTAAGTAAGCCTCCGCAGTACCAATATCATGTAGGAGACATGTCAGCGCCCAAGTAGATGGTGATAGCACCTCTGCCTGCTTGGGTAGCAAACGTTTGGCAATTATCGATCCTGTCCAATGGATTAGCATGAACTTCTCGTAATTTCGAATGTCCAGTTCAACACTGACCCCAGTAGAACACCCGCATGGAGTGGTTATAAGCCTCTGTACTCAAACGAGCCTTGACAAAGGCTTGAGCTTCAGAAACAATTTTGTCTTCGGAAGGGAAGTCGATGTCTTGAACAGTGTAGGTCTTGTTATCGCCAAGTTGCTGGACTGAATCCTTGATTGCTTTGGCGCTGACGGGCACTGTGGTCCAGCCGTTAGTCTCGATTTCGGTGAGTGGCATTTTGTTGAGATAAAACGAAGAATACAATGGCAAGTAAAAGAATTGGTGATTGAAGAAGTGTGTTACATATTCCAGGACGTGGAGATGTACAGATATTTATACCTAGACTTATGTTCTTTTTTGAGTAGTATGCTAAGTGAGATGACGTACTCTTGGACGGGGTGTGACAGCATATCGTTATATTCATGATGTTACGCTGTGTATTTCTAAGCAAATTCATTTGACAAACGACATGCACATCAAGATGGATGAAGATTGGGGTGCAATACATATCCCACTGTCAAATGCGATCCAATAGAGATGGAGACATCCGTGGGTGCTACTTGCAAAAGCATTTGAGACTTGTCCGAAAGCAGAAAATAAAAAGCTAGCGGCAAATGCGCCCTAGTCGATTATCGGTTTGGAAGCACTTATTATGGCATTATTCGTCTAGCCACATCGGAACGAGTTAGATGAAAATGCGATGATGTCTATTATCAGAAAAAGGTTAGTAATATATGAGGTAACCATAATGATGCTGTGTAAATACACTGCTAGATTGACTGCACCTTATTGCCTGTTAGGATAGGCTCTTGGGGCATTAATCTTTCGAGCGTGCAGAATTTAAGAAAACAGGTCAGTAGTGATAAGCTTGTTGAGTACATTATGGGAAAGCCATATATACCCTGCATATACCAGGCTTTAAATACTTAGTATCGTTATATCTCTGAAGAAGATATTATAGGTGTATATTATCTTCATAAGCTGAGCTGTATGGTTTAGGTTAACTATTATACATAACTGTATTTCTACCATTGAGAAACTACCACATCTCGTAGCATCCATGGTAGATACTTAAATTTAGTATCATGAAATCTTCTTCCAGCAATAAACCTATCACCCTTCCCGGACCTTCGTATGTTAGCAGGAATAAGTTTTCCTTTAAATCCGACATGGACTTTAAGGGCAACACCAGATGTCCTCCTTGATGGCGGAAAATATACATTCGACACCATACCCTCACGTACACCCGCCTCGCCGGGGATCGCAGGATTCCCAAAATGCAGGCCTTTCGCCAGACGAACAACTTCAACAGCGATGAGGGCTACCCTAGAGCCTTCCCAAGCGCCTTCCTGGCGTGTTTCTGTTGCCAGCAAAGCCAGAGCATCTCGCCCCACTTGCGGATCCCAACACTTTAGCACTGTGAATTCCAAAGCAGGGACGAGACTCAAGTCACTGGTGAAAGTGAAGTGCCGAGTACATAGATTGCCTAATGGAGCGTTATTTGACCTCGTGGGCCCAAACATCTGTAGAATATTCCGAGACCAAGCGGTCATTGAAAGTAAATTGCAGGTCATTGTGATTAAAGACCGATTCATCTCCAAAGTATAGAGCTGTGACCATGATGATATTCGCTATAGTGAAGTAAATCCAGAGTAAATTCTGAGCAACTTCTTCCTGAAGCGACAGAAGAAGTTGCGCCGCCTGCTAAGCCTCGCAAGTTTTGAGACAGAGTTCGAGATGTCTTTGGAATTTCTGTTGAAGCACAAGAGTCTGAAAAAATAAGCTGATGTCGGTCGAGGATTCAGCAACACGACCCCAGTCGTGTAGGTGGTACACGTCTGATGCAAGAAGATCGAGTTGCTGTCTAGCATCTGTGACATGTTTCAAAGGAACATTACAGTACTGCTGTTGGCAGGTTTTCGGAAGGGGCTGGGTGTCAGTCGTAAACTAGAGAAAACCTGAGCCTCAATATTCAGTCGACCGAACGCTTCTGCTGGTTCATCGTCTACAGGTGAAAGTGTAGCTTGTGCTTTTGCATCGAACTCATAGCTACTCGATGTATGAAGCCCATGTGAAGATGAAGTAGGCCCTGCGCTGGACGCTTTTAGAGGTATTCGATAACCACAAAAATTGAACACGAGATGAGGGTAACCTGGGCTGGTCCTCTGCTTCGTCCCAGCTGCAAACTATGTGCTTGAAACTTGAACAGTAAGTTGATCACCATGCTGTAATACTGCAAAGTGGACGACATCAACTTATCAGCATCTCTGCCACGCGCTTCACAATGTAGAATCTGCTGTGGACAGAACCCATCGCCAAAACGAAGTGCAGGATGGTGGATTCATGGTAGCAAGCCTGCGGAACCAGCTGTTCCCAAAATGACAGGGTAAATACCCACTTCGACCAGAATAGCATGAACCATTTAAATATCCGAAAGTCTTCCGTGCTGAGACTGACCCTAGCGCTCTGGTCATTAAGGCAGGCCAGGCCGACAGATCGACTTATGCGACCACCCAGATGTCTACTGTTGTCCCAAATGCTGTAGCCCTTGCACCCGCAGCGTCCAGAGAGATAACGACGACAAAAGTGCCTTTGTTCATCACATTTGACACGGTGCATTCTACCATCAGCAAGTTCAGTTCAGTTTGTAACGTATCCGCATGGAAACGAGCCCCGAAATTTGCGATCGGGAGACCCACCTCCAAGTTTGGCAACCTATCTTTATTCGTGTTATCCCATGACGGACCATTTGGCAATGGTTGGCTGGGTTTAACAGGAAACGAACAACGGATCGAAGTTAGGTCTTATATTGCGGAGCAATGGGCGGTAGATGTGCGACCGCTGCTTGCTTCGCAAAGAAGTAGATGCGGAAGATGGAATGGAAACAAATCGTATCGGAAAGTGAACAAGCTGATTGACCCGGTCTCTTGTGATTTGTCGACTGTTTTGCTAGATACTGAGCGTACGGACAAATGTCAACTTTCCATTGGCCTATAAAGGATGAAGTCGAGCTGGCTTATACGGCGGTTCAATGCCGGACGCTTCTAAACCCCGCTGCTCAATGTTGCGATGTGACATTCAAACATTCTAGCACGCAGTCAAGTTTTCCGCAAGCTTTCTTCCCCATGTGTGCGATAGAAATCGGAGCTCGCCTACAATTTCTGATACGACAAGTTTTTAGTTGTATACGAAACCCCGGTCAAGCCTTTCCGGCTCTGTCAAGTGATGGTAGGCCAGGATTTTAGAAGCCAGGGCTGCAGATTCCCCTCGAAAGTCTACATCGACTTAACTTCTTGTAATCATTCTATTCTCCATTCATTGTTGTTTTCTCAAACGAATAAACAGATTTAGCTTATCGTCATGGCCACCCACGTTCAATCTCTTCCACAGCTAGACATTCCGCACTATCAGCAAGTGGTCGACGTATCCGTCATCGATAGCACGACCTTTGTTCCGTCGTCTACCCATTCCCTCAATTTCTCCTCTAGGCTATACTTGATGTTCTTATGAACAAGGATTCGCTCTGTGCTCATATACATCTGCCCGGCGTGGATAAAAGCTTCTAGAACGCACTCCTTAGCTGTCACTTCGAGATCGGCATTTTGAAGAACAATTGCATGGGGTTTCCCACCAAACATGACTCAAGGTAGACGACGGGATCTCCTTGCTATGACGTTAGTCTGCGTGGCGCAGAAACCAAGACTTTTGGCCAAGATAAATTCTCACACCCCACACCAGCACTTCCGTGACTGTCGATAACAAATCAACCCAATCTAGTATCATTGGCCGCCAAGCCACTAGAGCCTCGCGGCCTAAACTGAGTGGTATTACCTATGGCATAATGTCGATTATTGCAAGAGTCAATACCATTCTCCGCAATAGTAACTGTATTTCATAAGCCTACAGATTGAGGTTCTGAGGCAAGGCTTCTGATATCGCTCAAAGTTTCAACGGGTCGCTTCCTCTTCATCTTCGTAAGAGTACATCGAAATCATAACAACAGTATTACACGAATTTAGACTATACATATATAATCAACAATATATCCATCAGCCTGATATGCTAATGTTATCCTTCACATCCTAGATCCAGCCCTCCACTCGATGCAAAATAGAAGCCCTGGGATTTTGCATAGTCCACGGCATGCCTATGCAAGATGATTTCGGTACCACCGTGCTGCTCATTCCATTTAAAGATTTCGAGAACTGTTGAGATAAGAAATGCCACAGACGAAGAGCCATACAAGTTCAGGCTTTCCTGCAGCAGAAACGGAATGCTCCGGCATATCAGAGTAAGTGGTCTAACATACTGTTGCCGCACTGCATCGTTAAGGACATGGGTCTTGTTCGCAAGTTCCAGTTTCTGGATATAGACTAAACAGATGGCGGTGAATGCCCAATAATGTGTAAGGGCATTAGCAACTGTCACATCATTAAACCAAAGGCAGATATCTTCGGGCCGCGAGATGCCTACTGCATGCGGCCAGTACAACGGCCCCGTGAATTTACTTTCGTACCTGTCTTCCCATGAACAAAGTCGCTGCAAAATCGTACGTAGCGCATCTTGCAGAACCTTGCCACCACTATTAGCCATGGCGGCTGGGTACGTGTGAAGCAAATCAATGCGCTTAAGAACAGACGGGATTGCAACAGCTTCAGTTAGGAGTTGTTGCATTGGCGAAGCAGGGATATCTTGAAAAGGTCCGATAATCCATCGTTCATTTGTAAGGAATGACGGGGTTCGAGAGATGATGGCCTTTAGTACCTAACGGAATGTCATTCTGGTGTTCTGAGGTTTGGTCGCAAATGATGCAAACATACCAGTAATGGTCTGAAACCGATGAAGAGCTTATGAGGGATACCTCGAGCGAAGAATTCTGGGCCAAGATGTTGGATAATGGTGCTTATACCATCAATATGCACCATCCAGTCGCCTTTCTTATTACTCCCACCGACCAACTACACTCATAGTTCAATTGAGAGAAAACAACAAAGGGGACGTAAAGTTAGGCTTACCTCTGTCAAGGTGAGACACATCATTGCGGCTAGATGCTCGTTGTTGCAACTACCACCACAGCGACTAAGACTCTGTTGCAGTAACTTGACTGTAGAGCCATAGGATTGCCATAGTGTAGGGCTTATTACTCTTAGTTGAGATCGCTTAGATGCAATCGCTAGCGCCAGAGTCTTGACGGCAGCTGGCAGAAGCTCGTCACTACCGCTGACGACGAGCAACTCGGGGAGTGTCGCGACCCAGCCACCGCATATCCGAGGTTGTGTGTCTTGAATTTGGTTGAGCCACGGGATCTCATTCTCGGGAACATAACTGCGAATGATCAGATTGGCCGCATCCTGGATAGCTGGTGCTATGGTTCTTGTTAGGCAGTTCTCCTGATTTGAGGCTCTATTTGCCATGAGGCTGTCATTGGCACGGGTTCCCGTATCGTTAGCACGTTGACGGCCCTGTCCGTTGGTCGAAATAAACTCAAAGTCGGGTGGATAACCAGTGCATACTCGGCCAGTATGTCGGCATTGGGAACAGGATGGTCGATTGCCATCGCACTAGACGTCCGCACTTGACTGTCAGAATCACTACCTAGACCCATTTATAACAAGGGCGAAAACTCACACCAATCTTGTGTTCCCGGCATGTTTGACAAACATTCTTTCGCCGCAATTTCATGGTTCTATGGCAACAGGACTCGGTGTTGTGGAAGATCGTAGCATTATTTGTCGGCAGACCGTGTTGGCAGGATAAATACTCCTTGTAGAATGGATTGAGAATCATGACAAGGGTCATCCCCGCTTCACTGGCCCCTCTTTGCAAACTTAAGGACTTCGAAGGTCTTGGCGGCATATGTTACTTAATGTAGAACTAGGGTGCTGCTTTACTAACCTTGAAAGGCTAGTGATGGACAACTAAAATCTAAGACTACCCTGCATTACCGTACGTACTTCGCCCCCAAGATTGTAGAACACCAGATCGATTTCATATCGCCGACGACACTAGAGGTAATATCAAGCCATATTATTCATCACTACTCCATTAATCGCAAGCAATTACAATCCGGTTTGTTGCAAAATTAGTCATGGGTTTAGAACATGCCCTTTGCTGACAAATCTAACGTTGTTTAAAGCTAATCCAACAATATTTAAACTGATTGCCAGCTACATATTGTTGATTCGATTGTTTAAAACATTTCTAAACTAAATCACTTTTTTCATCGTTTACCTCATCTTGGCAACAGAAACCACACAGAATGGCTCTACCTGCAGAGTTCAAGAGCTCTATCTCTATTACCCACGTTACCACGGCAACTGCGGTATTGGAAATCGATGGCGTCAAGTTTATTACCGATCCCATTTTTGATGAAGCCCCGCATGACTACGATCTGTCACACTTAACCGGACAGGAACCCGGTGCGGTAGTCCTGACCGTTACAGAGAGTCCCAAGGTTGGCATCAAGCAGCTTCCGGTTATCGATTGCGTCCTGCTCAGTCACGAGGACCATGTCGATAACCTAGATGAGACGGGTCGCCAACTCCTCATCAGTCGCCGAGTGATTACCACACCCGATGGCGCCAAGAATCTGTGCGGTTATCCTGGCGTATCTGCTATTCAGCCCTGGCAGACCTTGAAGTTCCGCCTAGACGGTGAAGAGTGGAGTATTACTGGCATTCCTTGTGTCCACGTCCCTGGAGGAGAGGTTACGGGATTCCTGTTGCATAAGGAGTCGTTTGGCGTCAGCCCTGATGGTCGTCCGAACGTTTTCTACTTCACTGGAGATACAATCCTCCTGGAAGATGAGTTCAAGAAGATTCGGGATCAGTATCACGTTGTAGTTGCCCTCGTCAATCTTGGACAGGCAATGGCACCTAACCCCGAAAGCCCAACTGGATTCACGCAAATTACAATGGGAGGCACCGATGCTGTGCGAATGTGCGAAATCCTAGAGGCCGACATGCTCGTCCCGATGCATTTTGAGTCGTGGACGCATTTTACTCAGGACGGTCAAGCTTTGAAAGAAGTTTTCAATGCTGGGGGTATTTCAGATAAGGTCAAGTGGTTAACTTCTGGCGCAAAAGTTCAAATCATCTAATCATCATCGACGTGTATTAGTCTGCGCAGTCATCATGCTGTGGTAACTCACTACAAGAATAAAATTATAAACGAGAATTGAATAACTCTCCAATTAATCGCCTATGAGCTGATTTGGTGCTGTTGGGTCATGTAAACTCAGTGTATTTTTGTGGGATCGGCACGTGAACTGTCGTTCTGTGAGAAACATTACTTCGTCACAGTTATTACTCAATTTCCTTACTCATTATGTGGAACACGATACAACAAACAATTGGTATTATTTTATTGTCTACCAAGTCATTAACATCACAGTATAAATCCTTAACCTTTTGGTCCTGAAAAAAACTGTTTGGATTCATGGGCTTGGATGTCTGTAACCCTCTTCACTCCGGTGGCCAGTTCGTTCAATCAGTTAGCCTGCGTAGTTGTACTCAGTATCTTGGCTTTTTCCACCGTATCTATTAAATGCCTCGTTCGTGCCGATAAGTCCGTTCAATCTCACCCGAGCTTCAGCGAAGAATTTTCAACGTTGCGAAGAACGTATTTGCCCTACCAGAGGGTGAAAAGTTAAAGATACAAAAGACGGCTAGCTCACCATTTCGGGGCTACGAGGGACCTGGGGTGCAAAGATTTGAAGTTGCCACGCCAGATACCAAAAAGAGTTTTTTTTCGTGCCGAGATAAAAACAAGTGGCCGGTGGCGCTGGGCAATGACTTCAAGGCGTTTTCCGAAGAATATTTCGACAAGATCTTCCAGTGTGTTGAGTGTGGAGAAACCTTCAATAATGCACACTTACCAGATAACTAGCCTTGCCGAGGTCGTTCTTGAGATCCTTGGACTAGGCTTAGGTCTTAGCGGGGACTACTTTAACCCGCTTGTTGCAGATGTACACGCCGTCTTTAACTTACTCCACTACCCACCTTCCTCTGGTGCAAACGAAAACGAGCGAGGTATTGGTGCCCATCGAGACTTTGGCTGTGTCACTTTGCTCCTGAAAGATGAAGTTGGAGGACTCCAGGTACAGAACATGGCCATAGGTGAATGGATTGACGTATTAAAGCCCTCCGACAATTGTATCATCCAATATCCAATATCTAACACTCGAAAGGTCGAGCCTGCACCTGGGGCTTACCTTGTAAACCTCTGGAATTTGATGATACGGTGGTCGAACAACCGGTACACATCTAACATCCACCGGGTTATCAATGCTCCTGGGCGAGACCATTTCTCTATCCCATTTTTCCTTGTTGGCAATATGAATTATGTATTTGGCTGTCTCCCTTGGTGTAGAGACAAAGATGATGCTGGCGATGGATTTAAAGGCGCACCCATAAGTGTTAGGGACTTCATTGCTGAACAACATCGGATAAGTTATGAAGCGAGTACCAAGGATTTTATTGAGAATCAGCATCGCATTGGTTTAGGAAAGACTAAAAACTAGTAATAGAACAACAATTAGTTAGTTCGATGTCACCCCCGGTGACCATCATAGACCTCAAAGCCTCAATGTTAAAGGAGATTGTTCTGCAGGCCCTAGTCGCAGAAACTGGAGACGTAAATGAAAGTAGGTGTTGGAGAACTGGAATAGGACTTTTCAATGAGGTATTCCTGAGTCACTTGTTTTCCTTCACGCCGCTTGTATGCGGCAAAATTACCAAATAAAGCTAGTTTACAGCCAGCTAACCACAGAGCCCTAACGGTACCGGGTTAGTTGCTATTAATGATATGAATAGATTATACGGAGGAAGAATATTCGTTTAGTGTCGTGTCCTTGAACCTGTTCATTAGCAAGCCTGTTGGCTGATTCAGCAATGTCGACAAGGCGACCGTGGTTTTTGCTAGGAGTACTGATTTGTGTAGATTTGACGCTGCTTTGTGAAGTAGTGGCGGAATTTCTCTTCCACTATTAGCGAACTAATGGGAACCCTGTATCGACGTGGCCTCGCCAGTAACTGGAATCTCCGCCGGCCATACTAATTTATATACAGTCTTACAGGGCTGGTCAGGTTCGTGTTCACTAAAGGATCGACATTCGCTCCAAAGGACAGCATGGATAAAGCACTGAGATTTCAGCTTGTTTAGTTTATCTAGACAGAGATTTATTTACTCCTTGTTCCCTATGAAAAGTCAAGTTCATCAATTTCATCGCAAAGTCCGCACTCTCCCAGTCGTGCATGTATCTTCATTGGTCATCTATCATCACACTTTGTCGTACATGCTGTCTCAGGACAGTATCCATGGTTACAAGCAAAGGAACAAAGTCCTAGATAACCATCACTCAACTCTGGTAATGGACAACCGCGAACGTTTTTGACAGGCGGAGTCTCCTTTGGCTTGCCCGTCGCGACGCAAGTGCAAGGTCCTGGAGGACAGTAACCATAGCCACAGCTAAATTTGCATAGACCCATGTAGTTCAATGATTCACCATCTGCGACCGTTCCCTCGGCGCAGGACTCTGTTGTCTCGGTTGCGGTTTCCGTCGTTTTCGTTGCTTCGTCTGTCTTTGTTGTCGTTGTCATGGTTTTGACCCTAGTAAATGTTAGCCATCGGGACTTGATGTGTCACGATTAAATGGTTGTCTGACTGAGTAGAGTCGGCAGCAGTTTCTGTGATTGTCTTGGTAACGACGAGAGCACTAGTCGAAGCAGACGTTGCTTGTGAAGCCTCGTCTGTGCTATCGCCTTGACCAACCGAACTTGTAAAAGTTGCAGCCTCAGCCTCAGCGTCGTCTTTCTTATTTTTATGTGCCATTGATCCCCCAACACCACCGCCTATTGCCGCTGCGATAACGATCAAGGCGACGACAACTCCAATAACAAACCAGCGACGTCGAATCCCAAAGACCGTCCTCTTAGGTGAAACTGTCTTTCCATCTAGCTCATGTTGCTTTTCCTTATCTGGTTCAATCGCGATCGCTTCGGGAGGAGAGTTTTGGTCGGGTACGTAAGTGTACTTCGGATACTGTTCTTCTAAATAGGCGCTTGCATTCTTCATGTGGTGCGGCTCGACCGCTTCTGGGGATCCGACTTCAACCAGGGCCATTGACGAGGTGGGTGTCTCTGGTTGTTGAGTCAGTAAACGTTCTTCTCTTAGCGTCAAGATCTCACCATTGGGAGGCATAATGGAAATGCAGACGGGGTATCAACGCTCGGTACAGGAAAGAGGGAACAAGTCAAGAAGTAAAATGGGACAATGGGATCCATCAAAGGCTGCTCGTCTAATTATACAAAGCTGGCAGTGTGACAAGTGGAGTTGTGATACGGAGTTATCACACCTCGGTTAGCAAGGTTGTATAAAACATAGTAAGCACAGCAGTTTTACTGTAGCTAGATGTGAATCCTATAGGTTAGGAAACTACTCCTGATGCAAAGAGTCTGGGATAACTGTTGTCTTGGTAGGTTTAATGGAGTCTCTGCTTACTTTCTATCCCTGTATGTTACATGCCAACGGAGTAGAGTGCCCTGCCAGGCGAGATTACTTCTCGGCCTGTGCTTGACAGCCAATCGAAGTTCGCTTATAGCGGCCCCCTACAGGTGATGTGGGCTAGTCGTCTGATGACAGGTTCCACGTTATTACAACCTGACAAATCAGATGCAATTATGTAGACTAGTGCAAACCTTGGATGGCATCAAAGGGACTTCGGGGATGGTTACAATTTCCATCCAAGAGTGGGTCATTTCCGAGAATAAACCAATTTATAAAATCTTTTCCCCAGCCCAACAAAGCACCCCAAAACTATATTAATTATAGAGCAAACATCGTTTATCTTTGACATAGGTTCTCAGACCCTGCATGTATGCTTCTTTTGGAAGTTGATCGGCATGTATTGGCCTGAAGTAGGGTTCTCGGTAACCTGGGGTCGGCGCCGTGTAAAACCTGCCGACGCCGATCCCTCGGTGTCCACCTTTGGCTCCAATTCTCGGCTACTATAAAGATATCTGCAGAATTAAATAGTTGAAGAATAACTATCAGCATGAAAGCTGTATACGACCAAGATGCTAACTTTATGGCACAAAAACGCGGCAGACCAAGTCGAACTTCCACCTTCCTCAAACACAGACAGTCAACAACATTTTAGCAAGGGACGAAAGTACCTGATTCTATTCATTGTAAGCTGGAATTGTCTAGTTGTGACGTTCTCGAGTACATCGCTGCTAGTAGCCACGCCAGAGATCGCTTCCGACCTGAGAACCACCACAGAAATCATCAATGCCACCAATGCCGGCGTTCTGGTTGCCATGGGATGCTCTTCGTTGATATGGTCTCCTCTTGCTGAGGTAATCGGTCGGAGGCGCAGTTACAATGCCGCAATCCTCTTCATGCTGGCTACATCTGTTGGGACTGCTGTGGCAACTAACTTGGCAGGCTTCACGGCGTTGAGAGTCCTATCAGGGCTTACGGGCACGTACTTTATGGTGGCTGGTCAGACTATCATTGCTGATATCTACCAGCCTTTGGTTCGCGGTAGAGCTGTCGGTTTTATGCAAGTTGGAAGTGTTGCGGGATCCGCTATAGGTACACCCGCAGATGTGCTGACCAAAATTGAAGTTGCTAACTCAATAAATAGGGCCATGTATCAGTGGTATAATTATCACTTTCAGCCACTGGCGAAGTATATACTGGTTACAGTGTTCCATGACTGGCCTAGGCTTTGTTCTCTCTTTCTTCTTCATCCCGATTATCAAGAGCGAGGTTCAACAACTTCATGGCAGGCTATCAGCATCTGAACGATCTGTGTCGGGAATTCTCAGGATATTCAACCCTACTAGGATTTTGAAGCAATTTCTTAGACCACAAGTCTTTCTGGCAGACTTGACATGCGGGTTTCTTGCAATTTCACAGTACGGTCTCCTTACTTGTGTCAGACACATCATCACTCCTCGGTACCATATCACGACACCATTAATCAGTGGCCTCTTCTACATTGCGCCGGGAATGGGTTTTATCGTTGGGAGTGTCTTAGGTGGGCGTATGTCGGATTATGCCGTCAAGCGATATATTGAGAAACGTGAAGGCACTCGCCTGCCAAAAGACAGGCTAAATAGTGGACTGGTCTATTTCCTTGCCGTATTGCCGGTTTCCTTACTCCTCTATGGATGGAGTTTGGAGAAGAAAATCGGAGGCTTAGCATTGCCCATCGTTATGGCCTTCTGGATTGGCGTTGGTCTGATGGGGGCTTGGAATGGACTCAATACGTATACCGCAGGTTCGTCCCCGTTCTCTCGTTAGGATCGCATGTTAATTGGTAATAGAAGTATTTCCTACTGAGCGCTCAGAAGTGGTGTGTAGCAAGTACGTGTTGCAGTATGCCTTTGGTGCCACTATATCGGCTACAATCGTTCCTCTTCTGAATGCAACTGGAGTCGGTTGGACATTCACTATTTGTAGGCACTAAATGGCGTCACGGACACACTTTCACAGGCTAATTAGGCTACAGGCACATTTCTCAAGATATTCGGTGGGCTAATAGTTATTTTTATAGCAAGATTTGCCCCAGATACTGGGGTTTGGGAGTATAACAGCTAGAATAATGGTGACCAGCCAGGTATCTCCGCGCTTTAGGATTATGATAGCCTATATCCAAGCACAACTTAAGCAAAATATCAGGGTGCGATTTGAACACAAGGACTGGCACTACATCTATAATAGTGTTAGCGACTATGCCAACGTAACTGGTCCCAAGTCCAAAGGGCCTCTGCATTGGATTACTGGATATAAAATTTAGAGATGCAGACATGCCGGAGTCTGAGTCAGAAGACAAACGAGAAGATAAGGACGACAATAAAGAAAACGCAGAGTTAAATCAAGGAGCCAAGTATTGAGATAATTAATAGGACTTTAAGTATAATTTGTAAAAGCGCTATTCATCAGAAATAGCAAAGGCGTTAAGGTAAGTAATAAGTAGACGATTTCAGTTTTTAGGAAAGCTAAAGTATATAAACGCAAACCCCTAGGGGGGCCATTTTGGTACCTCACTACCTTAACCAGGGGTTAACTATAAACCTGATCTTATCGTAAGTTGCGCCCAGAAGTAATGAAAGAGTCGTCTTGAAAATTACAGATAATCAGTAATGCTGTTTACTAATCGCTTCCGACTATAGTCTGTCTTGATCAACCAGATACAGGGATGAGAGCTGTAATCGAATCTCAAAACCCTCCGCGGAACGGCCGGAACTCGGCGAAGTCTTACTCCGACTACCCGCAATGTCCTTATCATCGTAGGTGCTCGCGTCTAGCTTGGGTACGAGAATTGAGAAAAAACACTGCCTACAGTCCATGGGTTATAAAGCAAGTGCATTAAGTGATTTATCAGCAGAAGACCGTCGAAACTACCATCTAGAGTGGTATAATCAGATGGCAGATATATACAGGTTAAGCACTATCGGTTCTGCTGTTCTAATGTGTGTATAAATATAATTGCTCCTTCCAGTTGATTTCAATAATATCTGTTATCCATCAGTATCCCAATCGTATATACTGAGGTATAATGGCTCTGTTTAATAATGTTTTACTCATCGGCGTAAGTTCCTCCATGCAATTTCACCCTTGTATCATTACTAATAAACGTAAAATAGGCAGGCGGAAACTTAGGTGTCCCTGTCACCAAAGCATTCCTCAAGACTTCATATCACGTCAGCATCTTGAGTCGCCAGGAATCGACATCCACATTTCCTGATGGCGTCATTGTATTCAAAGTAGATTACAAAGATACATCCGCAGTCACGGCTGCGATGAAAGGCCAGGACGTGGTTATTTGCATGACTGGTGGTATAGCGGCCGGAGATCAGAATGTCTTCATCGACGCTGCTGTCTTAGCTGGTGTTAAACGATTTTTCCCTAGCGAGTTTGGCCCTTATTCTTTCGAACCTGGGCTGGCCGAGTTGAACCCTTGGCTATTCCCGCACAAGATAGCCACAGCCAGGTATCTACAATCCAAAGAGTCACAGATGTCCTGGACAGGGCTTATTACTGGTGCCTTCTTTGATTGGGCCATGAAGACTGGGTTTTTCCAGCTAGATATCTCCACCAAGTCGATCAATCTAATCGATAATGGCACTGCGCATTTCTCCGCCACTACCCTCTCAACAATCGCCAAAGCTCTGATCGCCTGTTTGGATCATGCCGAGGAGACCAAGAATCAATACGTCTTCATTTCATCATTTGTTATTAGCCAACAGGATATATTGGACGTTGTCGAGAGAGTTGACGGGCACAAATGGAACGTGGAGTATATCACATCCGACTGGATCATCGAAAGAGGACAAAAGAGGCTTGGTGAAGGCGACTTTGCCGGTATTAAGGACTTGACCAATGGTGCAGCGTTTGGTTATCGGGCCATGGGCAACGTATCTCACAATAGACTATGGAATCAGAGATTAGGCTTGCCGAAGGAAGATTTAGAGCAGGCTGTCAAGGATGTCCTATAAGACCATCCACTGATAGAGTGTTATGATGTGATATAGCATCGCGGAGGCAGGCCACCTTAGAAATCAGGAAATTTAGGCATTTGTATGAAGTCAACATAAACAAGGTCTCAGCGATAGTTGGGTGTTCCACCAATTTACAATTAAGCGACAATAAGTTTCATTTCGAATCAATTAACACCACGTTAACGTCTTGTTGGTTTCTTCCCAAAAATGCACATAACTCCAAACTCCATGCGATCATTCACTTTAAATAACCCCAGTTGATGACATCACGAATCTCTCACGATGGGAGCAGAGTTTGAAGGTCACATGACTTGATTTCCTGTACCGAGCCCTTGGCTTCGGGCTTCTTCGTCTATGACTTTTTTCAACAGCTAGCCATGACTCGAAGGCTTCGATCGCCGTTACCACATGTCTTTCAACTGGTCGAACCAGTCGTCGTAAGCGATCGTCACATTCAAGCCGTATGAGTCACGCCTGTGTTGGAAAATCTAGCCTTGAGAGAGAAAACCTAGATCTGAAAATCATGTTGATAATTTGATCTGCGCGGACAGATTAACCTTTGTTGAAAACCTAGTAGAACCTTGAGGAGGCATATGCCAAAGTAAATAAATTCACTTTAAATAACCATTGGCCTCTCCCAGGGCCTCTAACTTTCAAGCTGCTCATATGCCAGCTCCCAAGTGATCAGGATATCCCAGCTTCACTCACATGATGAGACCATGATCAAAGACCCTAATCGAAGATAATGGTCGCTTAAAAATAAGGCAGGTAGTGATATGACAAATGGAATTGAGGAGGATTCGAAGCTAAGAAGCCCTTTCGACATGGTAGGGCTTTGGAAAGTCACCTCAACCATGACGAGGCGATCGTGGATTCTTTTCCAGTACGCGACAATATCTCAACTTGTCGAGACCTCGACCTTGGTTTAGCTCTCAATCACCTTATGTACAACTAAACGTCTAAATTGACACAATTACTCTTGTACTCGATTTGGGATAGACTAAGAAAAAGATGGCTATTAAAGTGAATTGCTGATCCTGAGTGGGCCGGCGACAGGGAAGCCTCTTCCGGGCTTGGTCTCGGCAATAGCATTGTCGACAAGAGCAAAAATACTAGTGATCAACCACCTCTTCCTTGGCGGCGTCCTAGACCAAGGGGACAATACATCAGCAATGCCTCGGTTTTATTATACTAGTATGCGTAGAACAATCTTTCCTCATTGTTCGACTGTCTGATCTTGCGGTTCTCCCTAATCAACATCCACCTAAGAACCCAAGCCAACAAAGCTGAAGCAGCTGAGAAAGCAGCACTGCTAGACATGGCAACGGGGTACATAGGCGCATCCGAACTTGGCCAGAGATACTAGACCACGTTAGTAATGAGGCGATATCTCAACACTTAGGGGACTTACTGGTGTATAGATGGGTCCAAGAGTGGCAATAGTATTTGCCATGGCTAAAGAAATGGCCTTCTTTTCCTTTGTTTGACCACATGTGCTAGCAACCCAACCGAGGATGACACTGTTACAAGCGTAAACCCCGCTGGCAAAGACGCACATAGCAAAGTAACGAGCACCGGTGTTATGAACTGTGCAGGCCAAGATAAAGCCAAAGACAGCCATAACTTTGGCAAGGGTAATATGCCAGGTTCTTTCGTTCATTCGTCCTATCCGCTATCAGTCACTTTCAAGCTATCAAGTTGATGCCAAGCGCTTACCTGAGTTTGCGGCCCATGCGATACAGACGATACCCGACACGATATATGGAGGGCAGGTAAGAGCGAGGGTAGTATTGCGGTCAAATCCAAGTGTTCCCACAATGGTAGGGAAGAAGTTCTTGAAGTTACTGGCAGCCATATGGAAGTGTTGCATGAAAACAAGAACCCAGAGCCGAGGATCCTTGCAAGCATCGAGAAGCCCGGCAACGGTTGTAGTGTTTGATCGTAACTGGACAGTATCGGCGGCAATTCTATCATGTGCCAGCTGACGTTCCTCTGCTGTAAGCCAACGGGTCTTGATTGGCTCATCAGGCAAGATCCAAGCCGAGGAAATGGAGATGACGAATGTGATGATTCCTTGAATGATGAAAAGCCATCTCCAACCTGAAAGACCAGCAACTCCACTCATCTTGAAAACGCCGATAGCTATGAGACCCGCGAATGCAGTTCCACAGATATTGGCAGTGAAGAGAATAGAGATGCGGGTGGCAATCTCTTTTCGAGTATAAAATATCGAAAGCATATAGAGCGCTCCGGGGTAAAATGGGGCTTCGGTGACGCCAAGGAAGAATCGCGTAAGGAGGAGCCCTTTGAAGTTGTGACAGATAGCAGTGAGAGTGCTCACAACTGCCCAAAGGCACATAGCCCCTGACATAAAAAACGAAGGTCGGATTCGGGTCATGAGCATATCTAAAAGGACTGTTAGCAGACAGAAGTAAACAGAGAGGTAGGAATTGCTCACTGGATGGGATCTGTCCGAGAATGTACCCAACAAAGAGAATCGAAACACATGTTTGATACTCTGTAGAAGTCAGGTTGAGCTCCTTCTCAAAGTCGTCCAGTCGAGCAACAGTGATGGCATTGCGATCAAGATAATTGAACCAGTACATAATCCAAAGCATAGGAAGGATAATCCGGTCAAGCTTGCGCACGAGCTTGATCTCCGCAGGATCGATCTTGCTGTGCGCACCTGTGTCATCGACCCCGGTCAAGATTTGCGTGTCATGCTTCTCGAGGTGATGACACTGGCCCTTTTCTTCCACATCAAGGGTATGTTTGCCGGTTTGGGTCTTGTCAAGAGTTTCAGACATCTTAGTCATTAAAGTCCAAGTCTAGGTGATTGAGAAGTGAGAAGATGGATGACCTTTGTGATCGTTGATGGACAAGCGAGTGGACCGCCATTGATATACATAGTTGGACAAATTGTGGCAACGAGTAGTTTTGTCCAGATTACTAGCATAATGCTGCTACCCCAGATTACCCCGCATTGCAAGGTCAACACTAGCAGTCTGGTTGGGATCCAAAGACGAACCCTCACTAGTGAACAAGGTTCAGCCTGTTGTAGCCGTTGCTAGGTAAAATTCGACCCTAGTTAGTTCTCCGTGACGATGTTTTGCTGGGGTATGTTAGTATTACTTCTCGAATCGGGCTGTACTCTGGAGTATTGTAGGTTCTATACCATCGCGATGGCATTGCTATTTGATGAACCAAGAATGAACTTCAAAATCACAATTACTGAACACTCAATGCCTGAGCTGTCCATGCATAATCGAGCACCCAGCATTCGGCAATGCTATTCTGAGCGGTCTACTGAATTATCCTAGTGCCAACTATCCTTTCAATTCTTAATGGTTCGATTTTCTTACTTCGTCACGGTGCGTTGCCGCCCTGGTTCGCCGGATAGGGGCGGATGTCTACGGGCCGGCATGGCGATGAGGTATCGGAGATCTGAAACGCGTAAAATTGACTTTTTAGGATGTACGTTCCCACACAATGTTCCTTTTTCATCATCGTGCTGCATTTTTAACATGAGATAGCGAGGAATACCGAGTGCATTGGCAAGTATGTTACAGCATGAACGCATGGTGTAGACGTGGAGATAGTTCATAAATATTGCTTAATAAGTATCTCGGACTTTGGCTGTCAACGTTATAGCTACGGAAATTCAGACCTCTATTGTTCCAGATCTGGAAAACTCCACAAGAAGTTCAAACAATCAACGTCGAGTCCTAAAGCAACTTGATCGCAGCCTTCTCCGAATGGGGCAATACTTGAATCAAACGGAAGTGATAGCCACGTATCTCCCATGTTAAAGTTCATAAAGGTTCCCCCATCCTCAAGTTGTTGGGAGCTTAAACCTGATAAGTATTGAGAAAGCCCATCGGTCCCAGTCTCAGCTTGACGAGAACTTCCAGGAAGGGAAGTTAGTACACTCTGATCACTAGAGCTGTGCCCTTGAGCTTGTGTGAGATGAGCACGGAACTGTGCTGTATGCTTCTCGATAAGGTCTGCATATCTGAATGCAAAGTCCATGTCGTCGCCCGCAGATGACTTCAACGTCGAAGTACATCGATCCAATGTATACAGAGCGTCATTTACATCTGTGTGAGTGGAACCAACGCTTAGTGCCTTGAGAAGAAATACGGATGAACTGATGACGCTGATCTTTACCCGAGCTGGAGCGTAGGGGAGATGGTTCTTGAAATCGCTTATAGTAGCGATGTTTAAAACCTTTTTAGTGTCTGATATCACTTCTTGGAGGAATCTTGCATCTTTGGGAGTGATGAATGCCGAAAGAACTTCATCAGGATTTGTTGTAGCTGCTGTGAATCCAGCAGAAGACGCTCTGGCTACGACAGCTTGAATAGAGATGGCGCCAGTGCATGCCTTGAGGTGGTGAAACTCGATGGACAAAGTGTCTCTTAGAGGCTCCATAACGCCTTTGGTGACAGTCAGCTTGGGGTCGGGAACAGGATCTTTGCGTTTCGTACCTTGACCTATGGCATCAAATTTCTCTTGCCAGTTTGAAAGGGTATGCGAAAAGTGCTCAAGGAGATCCATATAATGGTCGCCAAGCACCAGACTTTGTAAATGTGTTGCCGACTGGAAAAACATAGATGAGGCTGTACGAGCTAATTGTGTAAACTCTAAACTAGGCTCCATGTAAGCCAACCAGGACTTATAAGCTGATTCATTGGTGTTCTGAACTGGCAGACGAGATGCAGTGACGGATATCGCTTCAGGAATGACAGACGGATAGTTTAGTCTGGTAGCAGTTTGTGTGATATAGACGTAAAGCAGTTTCTGGGCTCGACGGCTGCGAAGCACCTCTGTGTCAACAGACTGAGCCGCATCTCCATGTTGTGTTGACAGTACACCGAGCTCATAAGCGAGGTTATTCGCCATTCCAAGAAGCATCCAGGACATTCTGTTTGCTCGCTTCGCAGGTTCGAAAACATCCTGTCGCCAGCGAATGAGCGGTTCTTCGTTATTTATGTGCTTGCGGTTGACACGATCATAAGCAGGTGTTATCAAAAGACCATCCCAGCCATCCGTCTCTGGGGGGAGATGAAGGGTCCGTGGGTGCCAATCGGATATCAGGATGAGGCTCTCGATTGTACCTATTGTCCTTGTTTGTGAAGTCGACGATTTCTCCTGGCCTAACAAGATACGTCTGATGAGAACTTCACAATGATTCCAGAGCCTTTGATGGACATAGTGGCTTCTAGAAGTGCCACCGGCACCAGGAAGCTTGAAGAAGCGCGATGATATCATCAGAAGTGTACAGCATAGCATGGCCTCTTCGTAGACAAGGTGGGAGTGGGCAGCATGGTTGCGAAACTGATCTAGTACCACTGGAGTTAGTGGTGCTAGCTTCTCAAAATATCTATCATTATCAGTAAAATATGGCGAATAGAAAGGCATGTAATTGGACTGACAAGTCGATATAAGTAACAGCTTCTTGGGCCGTGAACCAGCCTTGACGAACGAATCGACACTTGTCCCACATATCCAGACAAGCGTCGTCGGGTTCAGATAAAGCAGTGATTGTAAAGCCGATTCCATTGTACCCACCGGATATAACCTTTGGACCGCTGCATTGATCATTATTCGGCAAATGGTTGGCTTGAGACGGGGTGGAACCAGAAATACTGTGACGTTGCCCAGCAGCAGTGGACAGAAAGTCTAAAGCATCGTTGGTTCCAGTGACTATGGTCGACTGCACACGGTCATAGAGGGGATGGTTGGAGCTGTTTGGAGATGGGTCGAAGCTGGGAGCATCCTGAGGGGAGAGATTCGTTGGCTGCGCATTCTGGCGAAGTGGGTTCCGAGACGTAATAGTCTCAGCTTCCGTCGCTGTTGGGTCCCGATGAGTCCATTTCGGGGCCTCGCGGTGCTTGTGGACTCTGGGGCGGTGATCGAAACGGCATTCACGGTGCTCTCTCGCACATTTAGCGCAAGGAGGGCTGTCTTTGATGACACATCTCGACTTGCGTGTCCGATAAGAGACACATGCGACGTAGCTACGCTTGAAGGGCCGGGTATTGCTGGGATTTTCAGGGCTTTCCATTGGGGACGTACAGTATGGTATCGGTCGAAATGAGACTATTAGTGCATGCTCTGTACGGCCAACTCCCACTCTCACATTGATGTGCTCGGCTAATTAGCAAAAGAAATGATAAGTGATAACCCAACTACGGATTGGATGTTCAATCTTGACCCAGGTCAAAGGAAAACGGCGTACCGGGGGTTACGTAGTAGATGCCGAAGGGGCTTGAGCGACGGGCCGTGACTATCCGCGTCGGTCCGTCTCCATCCGGCGAAGTCCGTCAAGTTAAAACTTGGCGTAGTAGCGCAGTGAAAGACGAAACGTCACTTATCAGTAGGTAATTGTTGTACCAAGAAGAGGGCGGAATTAGAAGATCTAAATAGCCGTTTCGCATCTTGAGGCATGACTTCAGCTGGCCGACTCGGCACCGATGGCTGGGTCTGAGACCGAACAAAACACTGGAAAGATGGAAAGGCATTGAGTATAAATCAACTCCGTTAGACTGGTGCATTTAGAGATAATAACATCAATCGATCAATCAATCAACACAAATCCAAGAACAACGACTACTCAACCTCAGCAAATCATCCACCATGTCCAAGTCAATTGTTAACACCAAGCCTTACCCTTTCCAATTTGAGGCAAGCCAGTATCCTACAATCAGGCCCAATGGGAAGGGTGTCACGGTTGATTACAGTAATTGTCGTGGGGCCATACCATCTCTCCAAGCATCTAAAATCAGGGCCTTGGTGCAAGAGGCCCACGGCGACCCATCAAAAATTGTGGCCAACGTCTGTAGCTACGACGCCCTGAGCTCGCGCTTGTGCGAGGAAGCTGGCTTCCCAGTAGTCTTCCTTGCCGGCTACCCGATGGCTTCCGCACACGGACTGCCTGACACTGGTTACATTGCTTTTGGGGAAGTTGTCAGCAAGATTCAGGAGGTTGCCAGGGAGGTCAGTGTTCCCATCTTGGTTGACGGTGATACCGGCTATGGTAGCCCAATGAATGTTCGTCGAACCGTGCAAGGGTAAGACATCTATTCCAACTCAAAGCTTAGTTCAAAATTGACTTGCTAAAAACAGGTTTGCAAAGGCTGGAGCTGCCGGCATCATGCTTGAGGACCAATCGTGGCCAAAGCGTAAGTTGAGACGCATTGACCGGGAGAGTTGAGCTAACTTGGAATAATTAGGTTGTGGACACACCGCTGGAAAAAGTGTTGTGTCTCGCAGTGAAGCCTACGCGCGCTGGCAAGCTGCTGTGGATGCCAGAAATGAGGGCCAAGACATCTGGATCCTGGCCAGAACCGACAGTCTCATCCATGGATATGACGAGGCCCTGGCCAGGGCACGCAAGGCCATTGAGATTGGAGTCGACGCTGTCTTTGTTGAGGCGCTTCCAGACCTCGAGACTATGGAGCGCCTTCGAAAGGATTTGGACTTTCCACTGGTCGCCAACATCATCGAAGGTGGCAAAACACAAAACCTTGCTGCAAAAGATCTTGCCGCCTTGGGTTACAGTCTAGTTTGCTACCCTTGGACTCTAGTCGCAGCCAAACTGAGAAGTATTCGAGAGGCTTTGGAGAATATCAAGGGTAGTATGATGGTTGGGAAGCCTCCGGTGGTTCTTTCATACGAGGAAGTATGTGACGGGGTTGGTTTCAATAAGTATTACGAGATCGAAGAGAGGTATCAATATGAAGGACGAGCAAATGGTGCCAATGGGCACCAATGGAAGGAGTAGTTGGTAGACCTCATACGTCACGCTCATCAGGACTAAAGTCACATCAATTGAGTTTATCACATAACAACACTATGCTTCTAAACCGTCGATGATCGATGTCATCGGAACTGGCCCTGTGAGAGGTTTCACGCGACACGATGGCGAACAACCTCCATGACAATCATGGAAGATAAGATTCATGCTAACTGCCTTATTATAATATGACCCATGCATCAATTTACCAGTATGACAGTCAGGATATGCAGCTATCCCAGGAACAAGCTCAGGTCAATGACTTATTATCTGACCTAAGCAAATTGATCTCTTTGTAGTAATGTATTCTTAAAGAAGAGGTTTAGGTTCCGAGTCCCAGTTGCAAACAATCTCCATAACAATAGTAAAAGACAAGAGTGATTCCAATTGCTTTGAACTAAGCTCTACCATGCATCGCTTTCCTAATATGCTAGTTAAAATATGCAGCTGTCCCAGGAAGGACCTCAGGCCAATGGCTTGCCACCCGTCGTAAGCAAATCTATACCTTCAAGGTAATGTATCACCAAAAGAAAAGCCTGAGTCCCAAGTTCTGGTTGCAGTTGGTTTAGTGCGAGGGGCGGAGCCAACCCCGGATAAGGGCGGTCCGCCTGAACCACCGATGGAGGGTCGGTCCGTGAGGGGAATGCCAAAGGTCAACAGCATTTCTGTTCCATTTCATCTCAATGGTTCAACTAGCCTCGGTTGTTTATCCGATGTCGGAATTCTGTTTCGCTTGGTTGGGCTCCATCTCATGTCTATTTAACTGTTGATTGTAAGATAGGTAGCATAAGCACTAGAACTTGATCGATACTCATCAACAACATAACATGCCTATAATCAATGATCCATTGTCGTTCAAGATAGCCCTTCTACCGGGCGATGCACAGGGATCGCAACTTGCCTCATATGTGGAACGTACCCTGAACTTGATACAACACATCCGCCCAGATGTTGCAATTCAAATATCCAAGCACGACTTTGGGGGCGTGGCTCTAGAAGCTGGCAACCAAAGTGCTCTGCCCGCGTCAACATTAGATGCCTGCCTGCACGTCGATGCCACTATTGTATGCGCTTGCGGTGACCCCAAGTACGGCATCAAGCCAGAGCAGGGTCTACTAGCACTTCGACAAGAACTTGGAGCGTGCGCCAACATCCGGCCTGTCAATTTCCCCTCAGCCCGACTGGCCCAACAAAGTTCTTACAGGCCTGAACTCGTTGAAAAGCTTGACATCACATTCTTTCGCGACCTCACAGGTGGAGTTTACTATGGACCTAGACAAGAGGCGGGTGATGATGATACCGCATACGACACTACACACTATTCTCGCCAGACTATCGAAAATTTGGCAAGATTGGCGGGCACTTATGCGATGAAATTTACTCCACCAAAACCGGTTCACTCCATCGACAAAGCTAATGTTATGGCTACCTCACGGCTATGGAGATCGGTCGTCACGGACGTCTTCAAGAACGAGTTTCCTCAGGTCAAGGTAAACCATGTCTTGGTGGACACTGCGTCCATGATCCTTGCAGCAGACCCACTCAGTTTGAACGGCATCATGTTTGCTGAGAACATGTTTGGCGATATCTTATCTGATCAAGCGGGAGGAATACTCAAGTCCCCAGATATCCTAGCATCTGCGGCAGTGTCCACTATTTACCGGAAGGGTTCACCAATATCGCCCGGAGTTTTTGAACCGTTCAACCTCAAACCTCAAGAGAAACTTACGAATCCTCTTGGTGTGATACAAGCTGTTGGGTTAATGCTTGAGTTGTCGCTAGGCCTGGAAGCCGAAGCCAAGGCTCTAACCAAAGCTATCCGCCGAACGCTGGATCCTATCGAGCAAGTCGGATCAAATACAAGAACGACGGACATCGGTGGGACGTCCACTGCTGACGATTTTATGGATACCTTACTACACAACTTTGATTACTATCTCGAGGCTTTGAATTCGGCCGACTCTGCAGGCTCGCCAACCCCAAATCTATTACCACTCACGTTCAATGCGACAACAGAAGTACGACCCATGGGTGTCATTGAGAAAATCCTCACCCATGCTGGTATCGGCCTCAATAAGCCTCACGTCGAAACTGGAGATATGATATGCGTCAAGGTTGACTGGACACTTACCTCTGAGCTTCTATGGGGTGGCATGGAGAAGACATACGATCAGATGGGAAGGCCTCGGCCATTCCGCAATGATAGGTTATGGCTTGCCGTGGATCATATTGTAGACCCTCGTACGAACCACCAGGCAAGACAGAAAGGCCTTATCGCCAAGGCAGAGCGATTCCGTCGGGAAGCCAAAATCATTGACTTTCTTCCGGCCAACACCAGTATCATGCACACGGACTTTACCCGTGAGAGAGCCCAGCCTGGACGCATTGTCGTCGGTAGTGATTCGCATACTTGCTCAGCTGGTAGCATGGGATCATTCGCCGTTGGGTTTGGCGCTGCTGACGTTGTCATGCCTATGGTCACTGGTGAAACTTGGTTCCGTGTCCCTGAAGTTTGCAGGATCAACTTTGTTGGAAAGCTGCCTTTTGGCGTTGGTGGAAAGGATGTTATTCTACACATCCTGGGTCTCTTCAAGCGTAACACTATTGCGTTTCAGCGCGCTGTTGAGTATGGTGGGCCTGGTCTAAAGGAGCTATCTATGGATGCTCGATTTGCCATCGCCAATATGACGACCGAGTTCGGTGGTATGGGCACCTGCTTCGAGGCTGATGAAGAGACAGCAGCTTGGATTGCACGACGGCAACTTCCAGAGCATCGAGATGGTGGTCTTTATTTCCGTGCTGACCCCGGTGCTAAGTATATTGACGAAAGGACCATTGATCTCTCTGAGGTTAACCTGACTATGGCGCTTTATCCTAACCCCGATGATGTGGTTCCCATCCAGGAAAAAGCCAGCATGAAGTTGGACGGATGTTTCATCGGTGCTTGCACAACCACTGAGGAGGACTTGATCGTTGGTGCTCTGGTCCTTGAAGCTGGACTTTATGCAGGCTTGCGGCCAACTCCTCATGGCAAGCGCCGCGTTACTCCCGGAAGTCTCATCATCATCAAACGTCTAGATGAGCAAGGCCTTCTTGACGTCTATAGACAGGCTGGTTTCGAGGTCGGGGCACCTGGCTGTTCTTATTGCGTTGGTATCAACGATGTCGATGTGGCTGGTGAGGGAGAAGTCTGGCTCTCCTCTCAGAACCGAAACTTCCGAAATCGAATGGGCAAAGGAAGTTTTGGAAACATTACTTGTGCAGCCGCTGTTGCAGCGTCCAGTTTTCACATGGCTGTTACAGATCCTAAGTTCTTACTAGACCAGTTGGATAGTGCCAAATTAGAGAGACTTGTTAGTGGTAGTCGATCTAGTGGTCCACAACCAGCTTTGCACATCATCGAGCCCAGTCCGGAAGTCTCGTCCAACTCGGTGCCAAATATTCTCAACAGTTCAGAGCCTGGTTCACCTGAGATGTCAGCAAGCTCGAGAGTCATTCGTTCAAAGGTTCAAAGATTTGGGGAGAATGTTGATACGTAAGTCAAAACCCATTAGTCGCCTGCATATGTTCAGATTTAATACTGACTGGAATAGTGATGCTGTTATTCCTGCTGAATTCATGCCTGGTGTCGACAATGCCGATCTAGGAAGTCATTGCTTTCAATACTTCCGTCCAGAGTTTCGAGAAAAGGCCAACAATGGATCACGGATTATGTGAGCTTCTTTTTCTTCTTCATCAAAGTAAGCACTAATAGTCGGCAGTGTGGCAGAGCACGGCTTCGGAAGCGGCTCGTCTCGAGAAGATGCTGTTCGAGCCTTGCAGGGAGCTGGTGTAGAGGCAGTCATTGCAAAAGGTTTCGCCTTCATCTGTGAGTGTATGCTTACTGATGTATTGGACTCATCGCTGACATGGTTTAGATGAACGAAATCAGTTGAACATGGGCCTGTTCAATATCAAACTCCAGGATCCGAAATTTTACGAACTGGTGCAGGAGGACTCGGTTATTACAATCAACAAAAACAACAAAATTATTGAGATCGAAGGACACCGTGAGATCTTTCCTTATCAACAGTCAGAGATCGAAGAGACCCTCATTGAGTCCGGTGGCGTGTTGCCGCTGTATAGCAGATTCGGACGTAAAGTATTCCAGCATATCACGTTGCCCAAGGTCAAAAGTGCGAGGAAAAAGCCGAACTGTAGTCCATCCAGTAGAATGAATTTCTCAGACAGTGACAAAGACTCTAATATAGAGTGATAATACAGTTATAATTTCCATCTTATATGAAGAGTTTAAAAGCATATACACTCATGCAGCCTCATCACAACCTTCTACTAGTATCCCACTTTCGTCTATATAAAAGTTCCATGAAGAGGGCCCATGCCCTTTCCCTACTTAGCCTCAGTAGCAATCTGTCCCCACAGCTGAAGAATAATCTCATCTTGAATAAAAGACTCCCTTGTGTTAGTCCCCAGGCTGACATCCTTTCGTTCTGAAATTCTCGTCAGTACGCCATCACTTCCCTTGAATCCTGGCCACTTATCCGGACGAATCAATGCTTTCCAAGCAGAATGAAGATTACCATTAATATTGAACGCATAAATATGAAAGATTCAGCGTATAATGCACCTAAACACTTGTTGTACGATGTTTAAAACGTACCTCGTATTTCCAGGTGCAAAGGTAAAGGATGGCGACACCCGAAGACGTCCTAGTTGAGATTCCAACTACAGTTACCTCTTGGGGTCAGCTATATGGCGGGATAGTACCTGACACCCTGCAGCATGTTGTACTGCACCACGATAGGTCGATAGTAGTAGGGTCTTTATTCATTTGATGGGGTTCTCCTCAAAGTTTGGTAGATTGATTCGTGCAGGTTCGTCAGAAAAGGAATCCGATTCTTACACAATACAAAAAGGATTGTGAGGCCTGCTAAGCAGCCCACTTTCCGTTCCTTTAACAGAAAGAAAAGACCGCTGTTGGATCGAACATTGAGTGCCGAAATACCAAGCCTCCATGTCAGTCAACTTGTCTAATAATAGCTGCATAAAGCACAGATGTACTATGTAGTGCAGCTGGTGGGAAATACCACATACAGTAGAAGCAGCATTTTCCTAAAATGGCACGGTTCCTAAAAGGGTAAATGCTGGGATGTGTTGCAGTCTGACCATAGCCGCGCAGAACAGGGATATGTAGCAGCTGATGCTGACAAGCTGAACAACTACGGGCCTGAAAACAAAAACCCCTGTCATCAGGCAACGGAGGGATAAGGTCTCTTATTACTTCTCTACTATCAATTGCATAACTCAAACAGACCGTTGTTGTCTTACTCTGCCTTGTGCATTTCTGGCGTTGAAAAGTGTGGCATAGGTTTTACTCGGCATTGGCGGAGTCCTTCAACTGTCACATCATTCATACTAAGGCAGTAAGACAGAAAGTGGTAATATACCAAAAACATGCAGAGGAGTTTTAATTGGATGCCTCGTTATTTTTCGAAAGATCGTCAAAGCCTGGGGAAGTTATCTGCAATGGTAGGCTATGTCATGATGTTGATTTATTTTTAGGCGGTTATAATAAATCACCTACAGAGTCTCCCATACTCGTACAAGTAAGAATGTCGATTACGACAATAGATGTGCGTCCTGGAGATATGTATAGTGCAAGGTAAGCCTCACAGCCACATGCAAGTCCCGATCTGTAAAGATAATGGGTTTCTCAGGCATATCTGCGCCGTCATTCATGATACATTTCAGGAAGCAGCACCACCATCAGTAGATGAGGCCTCCAAAATACGCGCTTTCTGTCAGATGTATATAAGCGACCATCGTGCTGCCGAATTCCAGTCAGATTCAAACGCCTCACACTTCGAGTAAAGTCTATCAATCGTAGGCAAAGTCGCCATGAGTCACCAAAGCTACAATCTACGTCATCAACCTAGGGCACATGGTTATCAACCGGCCGTGCCGTCTCGACCACACAGACATGGCCCGTCGGACGTTGAGGACCAAATGGGAGACCACCCAACCTACTCTTTCTCAAAGCCGAGGAAAGGAATCTGCAGATCCCCATACGATCCAGTCAATCTATCTAAAAGGAAGCTAATTTTTGCCCGATGTGCCCTATGGTTCGGCCTTGTCGCAACCGCTGGACTTATTGCCTATATCTTGGTTTACTATGTCATGGCTCGAATCAAAGGTGTCAAGAGTTCAGATATCCCTGCAACCCAATTCAATCGGTACAAGAATAGCTAATTTGCAGAATGTATCCAGCGAACGCCCGATATGGCCGTCAATTGCACTTTGCTTGAGGCCAACCTTGACACAACCCTACGCCCGAATTTTGACTGGATCGGACAAGACAATCACCATCACTTCATGTCCGGCCCAGAATTTCAAATCACCAACGATGCTCGCGACCCGAAACCTTCGTGGTGTGACTTAGTCAGCTGCTTCGCGGACTGGACGGTTATCCCATCCACGCCTCGTGATAGCGCTTTCGGACTTACGGGCCTGAGAGCGTGGCAGAGTGTTCTTGTCGTGGGCTTTGGAGTATTGTTGACTTTGAAGTCAATGTTAGCCAAGCCGAAAGCCTGTTCTGGGGCAAGAATTGCTATCCACTGGCCTCAGTTGTTATGGAAAATCGGCCAGACTGGCTTTTGGTGGTGGGGATTTGGGACTCTTGCCAGCGATCCTGAAAGGGCTGGGCCCGTGGCACTTGCGACTTGGTTAGTAACTTGGGATCTAGCAAATGGTCTACGCTATCATCCTTGGGCTTGCTACTTCGAACCAGACTCTAGGTTACGACGTGGCATTAGCGTTGGACTTCACTTATTGACATTTACCACTTGGGCCGCAACGATCCATGCTGTCGTCCTGCACAATAGGCGGGATTCAATACAGAAGTACGACTGTATAGCCTCAGGCCTCGAAATAGCGCCGGGTCGTCTAATTGTACAGCTGAAGAACTGTGCTCGACAACATGGATGTTCCAGAACCCTGACTTCATGAGTCAAGGCGAAGAGACATCGCTGAAGTTCTACGAAATTCCGGTTTACATGCAACTGGCAGTTTATCCTCTTTTTGCCGTCGCCGAACTATGTCGCCCTTGGCTAAGCGATGAATGGCAGAGAGGGGTACAAATCATGCCCTTGTTTAGTTTCATCTTCGCAGGATACATGGGTCTTGTATATGCAATTCCCTATTTTATCTCTGCTGATCCCAAGCTTCCTTTGGATTTGAGTAATGGGTTTGCGACGGTAGCCTACGATTTCAGTTGCCGAGCTGTTCATATTGGTATCAGCCCCAAATATGCTTACCTCGACATTAAAGGTTTATCAAGGGACTTGCGTATTGCACGCTCATGGTTCAATGCTTGATTGGAAGGATTGGTATTGTATCCGCTCTAATTGGTTAGTTTGATGTCTAAATATCTATAAATAGTATAGAAGGAACATTTAGGTGGTAAATGACTATACTCCTTAAATATATATCAGGCCACGGGAAGGCGCGGGTAACCGGAGCCTAATCTGAGATTGCTTCTTCCAATGAGACACAAATCACTACCAGCAATTGTTTATAAGTGATGCCACCAGAAAAATTCAAGTGTTTTACTAGCCAGACTCCAACATTTGTCTTTGTGGATACTTCTGAAGCCACATCTAATGGGACGTCAAGTCAAGACACAAAGGTCAGTGTTAGAAGGCAAGCCGCTAGATCGGGTCGCAAGTCTCACCAATACAAACAATCCCTCAAATCAAATACATCTGTCCCAGCTTCAGACTCATGGAAAGCCTTCGGGGGAAAATTACCAACAGGGAAAGAACCCAATGAGAAAATCCCACTTCAGCCCTCTCCCAAAGGATACGAATCACTCAGGGCAGTATGCAACTTCGACATAGTAGATTTGGCTACTTTCACAGAAGTGGACTTAGCCACTAATGCTCATTTATCTTTACAAAAAGAACCAGGATGGCGCAAGGAGATACTGAATAGCTTATCGCCTTCATTTTTGATGTATCTCCCGAGTCGTTATGGACAAGATCCCTTTTTGGATGACGCTATACACTGCGTCACAGCTAGGGCGGGTCAAATGGTTGGCTTCCCAATGAAACACGACGTACCTGAGCTGCTTTACGGCAAGGCCCTGATGAGTTTACAAAAAGTAATTTCGGACGGGTCGTTTCGCCCAACGGCTAATTGTTATGGCGCTGCGCGCTTACTAGGACTTTATGAGGTGTGTCCCTGTCTTGTTTAAGCTCGATAGAAAGTTTAACAGTATTGATGATTAGTTACTCGGCGAGCCCATTATGGGACGTCTGTTTGCTCATTTTCGCGGCAGTATCAAGTTGCTAGAACTAAGGAAGCCTGCGCTCTATGAATCTGCGTTTGATAGGGCATTACTCAAGAGCCACGGGCCAAGTATCGTACGCAATAGCGGGGGATAACCTCAGTCCCAGAGCTGATTACCTGCACAGGTAGTCGACGAGCTTTACAGGAATAGCACCTCAATGTTCCAAGACCCAGACTGGCAGTCCCTGTTTCGCCATGCAGCTACACTTGAAAAGGACAACGAATCTTCCTATTGGTGGAAATTCTTCTCTGTCACTACATCCCTACCAGGTATCCTGAAAGATATGAGAAATATATTCGCAACAGGAGCATATCAGTACGGTGACACAGATGAGAGTGGAAAGGTCCTGAATAGGGCAAACAACGCCTACAAACAACTACATGCAAACAACGCCTTATACCAGCGCGAGCCACCCCACGCCTCTTCGCTTTTTAATCTGCCTGTTTCCCCAGAGTCATCCGAGCGTATAAGGTTACGTGAGTTCTTCTTGTATACGATGATCTATATGTGTCGCATACGAGCTACGCTGTCTACGGAAGAAATAGAGCGTTACATTGCAGAGGTAGAGGCGCAAACGTTTGCAACGCAAGCGCTACTAATTCAAAAGACAGCTAACATATTTGATCGGAACATGGCATGGCATCTGGAGCAGAGGAATGGTTTGGCTCATTCGGTCATCCAGACTAGAACTGATTGGTTGTCTGATACAATATGTAATAGAGACAGGGGCGAGCTACATAAGCTCTTGGCACAACGTTGGTTAAAATGGGAGAGCTCTTGGAGAAATAGCGTCTTGGAAATTGAGTACAGGGGAGAGTTATAGTAGCATTAATCAGTAAAGTAAATAACATGATAATATAATAGTAAGCCTTACGCAGAGACAATGGTGACAACGAAATCATACTCAGCATGACTGGCAAGACTAAGTTATCCCTGTACTATCAGGGACACAAATGAGGGTTGTCTCTTGTGTCAGTTTCCCAAAGTTCCTTCCTGCAGGTGGCCACAAGCGTCAGCAAGGCAATTGCCCACTTGCAATATTGTTGTGGTAAGATGCTTGAACATTACATCTCATGGTTTTCACTACTGGGAGTTTAGTCAAGAAAAGCCAGTTGCTAATGATAATTACTATTTACTAGCAATTATTATGTTATTACAGTTACTAATAGTCACGATAGCTGTAGTATGCCTCTCTACTGTTAATTATACTAAACGTAATGTTGCTGCAGTCACTTGTCCATTAATACACAAGTCAAGAATTACAACCGGGGTCCCCTGAGCGAACGCTAACTTAAGAAACTCTCTCCCAAACAATGCAGTTCTATTTAGGTTTAGCATAATTGGATACGCAATAATAAATATCAGTGGTTCGTTCATCCGCGAATAGTACCCTAGATTTGGCCAGGGTTTCTCCTTATTTGGCAATCTCGGATCACTCACGCCCGTAGAAATTCTACTATCTTACCCCCATATTACAAAAATGCTTCTCGTTTATTGGAGCGCGTGGGTTGAATGCAATGACGGGATACTTTAAGTCTTGGCACTTTGTATATAAGTAGAAGGTATTCTTGCGTACAACTGTCAATTTAGAAGCACAGGATCAACTATCAAGCACTTCGACTCATCAAAATGAAGGCTCAACTTTTTATGTCCCTCTTAGGTGCGCTACCCTCGGCTTTGGCCCAGCACAAGGGCAGTCCCTTTGGCTTCGCCTCTGGTACAACTGGCGGAGGAAGCACCGCTCCGGTATACCCAACTACCACTGCCCAACTGGTCTCTTATTTGACTGATTCTTCACCCCGAGTTATTATGATTGATCGTACTTTCGACTTCCTGTCGTCGGGGGGCACCACTACGACTCGATGTTGCAGCGACAATCGCACGACAAAATGCCCTGGTGGCTCTTCCAAAGGCCAGCTTTGGATCCAGGACACGTGTGACGCGGCTTCTGGTACATGGGAGGCATGCACGTACAACAATTCTCCCAGAACTCCCATTGATGTAAAGAGTAACAAGTCCATTGTCGGCGTCGGCACCAAGGGTGTTATCCGAGGCAAGGGTCTTCGCTTACGTGGCAGCGTCAGCAACATCATCATCCAAAACATTCACTTCACGGAACTTAACCCTCAATACGTCTGGGGTGGTGACGCTATCACGCTTGACGGCAGTGATAGAGTTTGGATCGACCACAACAAGTTCTCACTCATCGGACGTCAATTCATTGTTTCTGGCTGGGGTGCTGCTGGTAAAGTGACTATTTCTGATAATGAATTTGATGGCCGCACTACCTGGTCTTCTGGTTGCAATGGGAAACACTACTGGTCTCTGCTGCTCATTGGTGCATCTGACTTCTACACTATTGCTGGAAACTGGTTCCACGATCTTTCTGGTCGCGCTCCGCATATTGGAACCGCTCAGGGTAGCTCTCAGATCGTGGCTCATGCTGTAAACAACTACTTTCAAGTAAGTCTGGTACTCTGGGTCCATATCATAACCAATGCTAATATTTCCAGAACATCGGCGGTCACGCATTTGACGTAGACACAAACACTTGGCTACTCATCGAAGGAAACTACTTCGACAGTGTTACCACTCCCGTCACTCCTGCTAGCTTCACCAATGGTGGCAAGATCTACCATATTCAGACCGTGGCCGATGCTTCAGGCGCGCAGAGTGCTCTTGGCTACATCCCTGAGTGGAATCGTTCTGGAGGCAATACTGGCGCTGTGAGTACTCTAGTCAACAAAGACGCAGTTAACAAGCTCGGCCAGTACAAGAGCAATATTCAATGGTCCCATTGGGCTGTTGGCGATGTTCCAGCCAATGTCAGGAGTATTGCTGGTGTTGGCAAAATTGGCAACTGATACTGGCCCGGTTTACTTCTTTATTAAGTATGTTATGTTTTTGTAAAGATCATATAAATATGTTTTATTAGCTTTTGTATATTTATACTTCATATAAACAGTAGAAATGAACTTTCAATACTGCTTTAGTATTATTACATAGTTAAGTGAGTCTATTAATAATTTTTGTTTTTTTAGTATATGTCCGCAATTGTTTCAGCTCCGAGTATTCCACTTTTCTCCATATAAACTTTTACTTCCTGGATAAATTGGCTATTTTAACGACTTAGAATGGCTGGACGGATAAAGAAATGGGCATCAAGTGGCTAAAGCACTTTGACTGATGTATAACTAACAAATTACTTAGTACCCATCGACTTCTAATCCTCGACGGTTACGAAAGTCACTACTCCGCTGACTTCGAGCTATATTGCCCGGGGAAGGGGGTGATCACGCTTTATATGCCGCTTCAATCGTCTCATCTACTTCAATGATGTTGGGTATTTTGGGTCATTAAAAAAAAAGCCTGTGAACGAGAAATCGAGCAATTTATTAGAAGGTCCATAACCTTTTTTCCAAGACCGAGTTCTTTTTGGCCTTTCACACTGCATTCCAAGCAACTATGAAAGCGATTAACATTAAATGCGGGTTTCCTATGGAGACAAAGTTTCCTAATATAAACGTGACAGGGCAGCTGCCTGAACTTTATCATGTCGGTGGTAAAAGAACCTTCTGTTGAACCGGTTCCTCTTCCAACCTCAAACAATCGTCCAAGACACCTACAGTTGCCACCCATATAGGAAAGGTAAATTAATACGCAGACTAGATCCAATGTTCCTTTAGGGCATTATGACGTTCTAAGAATTAGAAAACCTTATTGTAATTCTTGCAATTGTGCATTGCCTCCCAGCCATCACTACCAGGAATGGCTTTGGCAAAAGTGGTCCGTCCACCTTCCTGACACGTAGCTAGAAGTGCATATCTCTGGGCGATGCTATGATGTACAACATGTTAAAATATAGCATCAAAATAAAGGATGACATCCGTCACAGGCACTCGAACATACCAGACAATGTAATTGATGGTTTACCGAAGTTGTAACTACGAATATATCCTTTTTCTTATAGTTCGAAAGAGGTGTTGGCAGGTCGTTATATCTTTCGGTCCTTTGAATATAGAGGTAGCCTAGTCCATCTTCGTCTTGTAAGGTAGAGAAGCCACACCGATTGTATTTAGAAGCTTACCTGGGACATGGCTAAGCCATTTATTCGTTGTCGCGTTGGTGAAAAAATTCTTCATATCGTCAGGAAAGTAGTCTAAGTCGGGTGTAAAAGCGGTAATCCGATGCGAAACTATCTAATGGGTTATACATCAGCAACGGCTCAAATTTTAGGATAGCGGCTTACATTTGGGAACAAAGCCGGCCACTTCGCCTACTGTCTGGAAAGAAGGGGCTTCTTGTTTGAAGTTGACGACCGCAAGGAGAAGGATAAGCATCAAGAATAAAAGCGTGGTGTCAATAAACCATTTGCATCTTTTCCACATTATAGTCACTAGGGCTTGATGCAGCGACAGAAACATCCGGAAGGTAGATAGTTGGAATTACCACTTGATAATAACAATAGATCGTGAATTGAATGATATGATAAACAAAGATGAGAACTATTCCAATCTATTATCGCATATTAAAGATACATCGAATCGATCATCACCTTTCCATACTTGTGCACCAGAGTTACAAGCGGCGACGGCAGATCGCAAGTCGCTAATCATACTGCCTGGTCCGCTTGCAAACACTATAGTAGGGCCCCTGATAGTACCCTTCACAAAGTTGGGGATCATTTCCGTCAAGTCTGGATGACAGTTTTTAGAGTTTCTGTCGACACCGTTTCTCGCTTCATCTGAGTCAGACGGAGCCGATGAGGATGTGCCAACATCAGCTTCCTTGTCTCCGTGAGCGGTATTCTGTATGACTATAGGAAGGACTGCCTCTCGAGTAACATACACATTCACTTCAATACCGTGTGAATCGACGGCTTGGTAAATCGATTCGAGCTCATCTTGGACCCACTGCTTGTCTAACTCCTTCCTGATAGCCCAAATCAATTGAACCTTGCGTAACGACGATGGCGATTGCAAAATTGACTTGAGCAGAACGGGCAGAACGTAAGTTATGCCTGTACCACCAGCGACACACAAGATATTTGTCTCTGGTGTCAAACCCTCTGTGATGGACTCTCCGTAGGATCCAGAAAGAATAATAGGAGTGGTTGATGTTACGCCCTCAGTCATTCTTTTCTGCGCCAACTTTGCAAGCTTCTTCGTCTCACCTTGCTTTGCGCGTAGGATGTATGAATGTCTGACAACCCCATCTTTCAACACTGGTAGACTCAAAGGAGTGAAAGGATGTGATTGCCAAATACTGCATTCAGTAAAACAGAGATAAAAGTGTTGACCAATGTTCCATGGATCCTGGGAGTGCATGAAATCTAGTCTGAGGATATCGCCGTTGTCAGAGTCCGGGAAATATTTCATGGCGGCATGGATACTCTTGAAGCCGACAGAACCGTCATCCATGTATTGATAGTGAATTAAGCCACCCCTGATCAGTCGAAGAGTTCGGTCGATGAACCAGATAAGAAGGGACGAGTAAAGGAAACAAGAGAGCTTGTCCCAATGCGCATAACATGCACCGATATATACCATCGCCAGTACATAATGGGCCTTTCGGAAGAATTCGTAACCTGTTCGATGGATGACAATTGGCAGACTGAGAATAAAAAGAAGTAGTACCAGCAGCGTCGCGACGATTCCCCAGATCATGTAAGTTTCCGTGATCAATTGCATGGCAGCGTCAGGTTGCGGGGCGTAGAGCTTCGTTTCAATAACAACCCATCCGATGGTGTGGAGTAAGGCTTGGGCAAGAATAATGTACCCGAGCCAACGATGCAGGAAGTTGAAGCTTTGGTAAGGGACGCCAGTCAAGAGACTCAGGATCGATTCGCGACTGGCTAACATGACTGTGAGGGGTGTAAGTGCGTAGGCGAGGACACCAATTCGATTTGACCAAGGGCCGAGTGTTGTTCTGATAGTGTAGACGCCTTCCATGTCCGGTACAGCGACGACCCAGATCCTGTAGCTAAGGCCGGCAAAGCTAACAATGATCATATACGCTGTCAGGATTGCAAGAAGAGTGACCTGTAAACGTGTTGTGCGACCAAAGATGAGACGTATCGAATCTGGCAAAAGGTACGAGCGGAAAAAAGATGCCACAGCCCTCTTTACCCGCGTCTGTCGATTGTTTGTTGAGGAAATTGTCTTTTCATTGTCCACAATGAAAAACTCATCGGCTTTCGGTGACGACCAAATCTTACGGCAAAAAGCCCAGATCAATAAAATACCAATGGCCATGGCCCAGAAAATACCAACGAATAGCATACTAAAATCGTGACCAGAATAGACGAGGTCCAGGTATTGGCAGGTTTTGGCGTCTTTGACACAAGGAAGAGCACGATCTGCATAACCCCAATGGGGTTCCAGTGTGCTAGCTTCGCTCATGTTCTGAATATGGCGAGCGCCGAGAAGACTCCGATGAGAATCCATTTTGGGCGATTAATGATGCCGATAGCGATGGGGAGGCAGACACCAGGCAGAGTCGAGGCAGAGCAAACGACAATCCTTCATTCCTGACCAGTGTCAAGGGCATTATGTATTAAAGCTACTTGGCCGATATGAGTGGGGTATGAGAGTATATGAGTATGTTGGCATTCGAAATATTGCAACGTTCTTCCTTGGCGTACCATCAAAATAGTTCGCTTATTTAAACCCTTGAAGCCACTTATCTAGTATTATATCTCGTTCCATATCCATCTGTCCAGATAAAACGGGAATTTAACCAGGTTTGGTATCGTGTTAAGTAGCCAAGAATGACACGCAGGGAACGCATCACATTTCTAGCTTCATAGGGTAGGTTGAGAAGAATTGAGCACATTCCACGGTCCACAATCGATCCCACTTTGATAGGGTACATCCTGAGACCACAGCGTATTTTACTGGAGATTGGTAATGACAGGGTTCTTCATAGGGCAAACCCTTGGTTGACATGCAGCTGTTGAGAAAGATTGAGCACGTTTTGTACTCCGCGACAGATTTAAGACATCACCTTATCATGCTGGATTATGAGCTTAATTCAGCTTCATCTGTCCGATGCGGTGTAGATTGTCATTTGAGCTAAATTATGTGACGACCATAAGCACACATGAGACTATTGAATAAATTTGACGCAAGCGGTTTAGCTTAATGGTAGCTGTATATAATTAGTAACGCTAAGTTAAGCCGGAACCGGAATAATCGTAAGACTCGACAATTCCGTTGCCGTTGATGTGTTGAGACGGAAAGGGAATGGTCAAAGGCCTCCATGACCACGTTCCGTTCTACAAATTGAGCTGTGGCCTCACCTCCAATTTCCCCACCTCCACTACCACTTTCGCCAAGCATCTTATCGTGCCAAGAGATGAATAGTACTCTTTATCCTCATCGGGGCTTTATGCTCGACACGGGTCGAAAGTATTTTCCAGTCAAAGCCATCCTCAGTCTGTTGGCCGTTCTCCATCAGTACAACTTCAATGTCTTCCACTGGCACATCTACGATGCACAAAGCTTCCCTATGCTCTGGCCCGCCGACGGGGGATTGACGAATGCAAGCATAAAATACAGTGGCTCGCCTTATTTCTATAGCTCTGAAGACATTCACAAGGTTGTTACACAAGCACAGAGCTTGGGCATCCTGGTCTATCCTGAGACAGACATGCCTGGCCATAGCGACATTTGGTATGTTTTCGCGTCTCGATTTACAGTACAGCAATATAATATTGAACAGGGGAAAATGGAAGAAGAATCTAGTCGTTGGCAAAGTAGACCTCGAAAATCCAGATGCTCAACTGGACATCAGACCGCAAAAACAACAAACCTACGATTACATAACTGATCTCGTATCTACCACCGACAAATACTTCGGGTCTCCCCTTCATCACTTTGGCGCGGACGAAGTCGCATACATGTGGAATACTAAAGACGACAACAAATTGTTCAACAATTTCCTCAATTGGCTCAAAACTCTGGCCCCGAATAAATCGCTCATTCTATGGGACGACCCGCTCACTGATGAGGAGAAGCGCATCAAACTCTCCAAGGACTGGATCATCCAAACCTGGCACAACGGTGCTACTCAAGGTATCCTGAAGAAGGGACATCGAGTGATTATCTCGGAGTCTGAAACCTTTTATATCGGTAACGCAGATCAGGACACAATTTCCTCTTTCAAATTCCCCGATAATCCCAATGTGTTGGGATTTGAAGTTGTCTGGTTCACGTCTGAGGATGATGATCCACATGACTTTCGCAAGAGTTGGGTCATGGAACCGATCAAGGCTGCAGCAAAGATCCGCCGACCCAAGAAGAATTGATGATGGTACCTAAGGGTATTTGGTTTAATCTGACCCTATTGTAAGGAGATACATCATGCCGAATTAAGCAAGGCAACGGTGGATGAGTTGTTGGACTTGGGGTACATCTCAAGACGTCCTCGCAGAATGTCCCAACCAATTGCACGTCAGACTATAGATAGTTGTTCTTAGCGTTCAGGTACACGACAGTCAAAACTACGATTTAAAAAACAATCTTTAGATCGGATGTATGAAATCATCCATGTGTCTTGACTTGTTCATGCATTTATGTGTCGTCTTTGCATTGGTCCAGCTGTTCTCAAAGATCCAAACGACTCAGATCTCAGCATGCCAGGACTTATGATGAGGTCAGAAACATTCTAGACAGCCTATTTTTGATTTAAAATAAATTGAAGAAGGTGTGGCAATATTAGTCGCTTCATGGAGATGTTCTCAGACAAAGGTACGTTAAAAGCAATTTCGATAGCAACGTTGCAGCTAGATAGGTGCACATGGGCCGGTATTTTCAACGGCAGTGGAGAATTCCCCGCACCAAGCAAGGACGGCTTGGAAAAATCTATCTAAGTATAAGTTCTTTTAATCGCGGGATTATTGATAGTTGCATGAGAATCATTCGATCTACCCTACAGACTCACCATTCGCTACATCAAATTGACAAATATATAACAACGTATTGTACAGCATACAGAGCTATTCTTAACCATATTATATTACTTGAAAAGTCTAGAGATTTGCTTTGAGCATTGCCTTTCACCACCAATGTGTCCATCTCGCAAACCACAGTGGTTATCTCATTCAACTGCATCATGTTATCAGTGGATTCATCGACTCAATCAAGCCAAATGCTCCGCTCCGGCAGATTTCTCTCTGGCCAAATCAATCTTGCCAGCAGGGTGTGCATCCGTCAGGCCAATCTCAGATGCAATGTCCATCAACCGCGCCTTCTCTTCGTAAGCGGCTGTGTCACCAAACAAAGCGTCCATCTCCTCAAGACTCTTGCCCCGAGTTTCTGGGACAAAGAAGTAGGTAAAGAAAAATGCGAGGAGACAAAACGCTGCAAAGAAGATGTACGTCCCCCAGCCGATCGTATTCAGCATGTCAGGCGTCACCAGACCAATGATGAAGTTGCACATCCACGTTGTGCTAGTGGTGATAGCCATAGCCTTGGAACGAATACCCAAGTTGAATATCTCAGCTGGCAAGACCCAGCCAATTGGCGCGAAGGAGAAGGAGAAGTTGATATCGTAGATTTAGATGAAGGCAATACCTGCCCAGCCCGCAGATTTGTGTGAGGAGAGCGACGAACCATACCCTCCAATGATACCACCAACGATAACGAGTGAGATGAAGGTACCAGCAGCACCACACATGAGTAGAGGTCGACGACCGATTTTGTCAATCAGGAACAGAGCAGGTAACGTGGAAAGCGTGTTGACGATTCCATACACGCCAGTCGCTAAGAGGCCTGAAGTACCCCCAGACAGACCTAGTTGGGAAAACATGGTCGGAGCATAGTAGATGATGGCGTTGCAGCCCATGAACTGCTGGAAGAACATGATGCAGCAACCGATGGCCAGTCGTCTGAATGAGGCCCAATTGGATACAAGGGCCCCATGCTGGGCGATAAACAGAGAAATCCCGTTCTTGCCCGGGAACTTGTCTCTGTTCACAGCCTCGTCAAAAAGGACATCAGCCTTGATCGCCAGATATTCATCTCGAAGCGAATGTGTGTCAGGATGAACACGACGAAGTTGAGCCAGGGCCTTCAAAGCCTTATCCTCTTTGCGTCGCATCAGGTAAAAGCGAGGGGACTCAGGGAAAAACAGCATGCCGATGCCAAGCACAATCGCAGGAAATATCTGAATGGCAAACGGGACTCTCCATGCCGCTTCAGATTGACCAGTGCATCCTTCTGGGCTAACATCATGCCTGGGATCAAAGGTAGGGTTGTCTGCAGTGCCACCAGAATAGGGAATGTCAGGCGCACATCGATGGCCGCCGATGTACTGTGTCCCGTACTCCAGCCAGTAGCTTACCAAAATACCCAAGGTGATGCTTAGTTGCTGTAGAACAACTAGAGTGCCACGAATACCAGCCGTAGATACCTCAGACACGTACATAGGTACAATCATAGTCAACATTCCAACAGCAAAACCAGCCACAGCACGACCTACGAGGTGTGTTAGCACAAGATGAGGTTAACCAGGCGTGTAACCTTACCAGCAAAGAGCATCGGGATATCACTGGCGCCGGCCTGGAATGCAGAACCAATTGTGAAGATTACAACGGCCACTAGCATAGAGCCCTAACGGCCTAGGAAGTCGGCGATGGGTCCGTTGACCAGAGAGCCAAACCATGCACAGAGGAGTAGTGTCGACACGAACCAACCCTTGAAACTGCTGTCAAGATAGATTCTCGGGAATTGAGTGGCAAATGACTCCATAGTCAAAACGCCTGATACGACGCCTTACCGAGCAGTCAGTTTCCATTACGCAGCTGTTTGAATACATCTGCAGTACAAACCTTGGTCATAACCAAACAAGAAGCCACCCAAACTGGCAAACTATTTCACCATGAATCAGAATTGGATGATCTATGAGCGGGGAAATGGGTGAATGAATACCAGCGACAGTCCGAAGATATATGGGTTTTCGACGAGAAGGTGCCAAACGCCTTTGTGAGGCGCTGGACTCTGTTGCGGCGCATCAGCGACGGTTTCATCTGCCATCGTTAAAGTTCAAATAGAGTTGAATCAAACATTTAAATGGAGAGAATGAAGCGATTCGAAATACCTGGGGTATTTAACTGTTGAGTGTGTGGAGGATCAGCGTCGTAGCTAGTGGAACTGCCACCGATGAGCCAACCACGAGTCATGTTGAGTTGCAATTTTGTGCAATAGTGTTGTGTCAAGACTGGAGTTTTAGACCAAAAAATGCAAGGATCGTCAACTCCGAGAACCGGACCGGAGTGCTCTCCGAGCAAAGATGTTCGTACAATTCACATGCAATCCGGTATTTCATACATAGAAAAGACCCATTTCGTTAATTAAGTAGAACTAACAATCCATATGCAAACGTGCCGCCACGATTGTCCAGCTTCCCATTCCACGTGACCCCTCTCAGTTGAGCAGCATAGCTTACAGCTTCCTTTCTTATATGAAGAATTCAAACGCTTGTGGAAACACTTCTTTAATATGCTCTCGTTTGGGATGATAACTGCCAACAGTAGGAGTGTTAGGTGAATATTGATGAATATTTAAGGGTTATTACAGGTCTCTTCTATCAACTGAATCAATCTGCCCAATAATAACTAAGACTATTTACACTGCGGTATCTCCGTAGCCGTTAAGTTTTGCAGGATTACCCAGACTTCAAGACACCACCAGGTAACCCTACTCTCCTTCAACCTGAAATATACAAGTGTATCATGCAATTAAGCATTTAACAAGCAGACAAAGTACTCTGACCCTTGCAGTTAGCAGTGGTACTGACCTCCTCACTCTTACCCTGACCCTTGCTAACGCCTTTGAACTCCTGGCAGACCTTCTTGACGCTACTTCCGCAGGTACCAGAGATGTTGGCAGTATCGCCGTAGTTGGAGTTGATACCAACGAGGTTAGAAACACCACTGGCTTTGACGTTCTGGACAATAACGTGACGAGGGCCACCATTGTTGGTGCAGTCGCCACATCCTCGGTAGAGTTTGCCGGCGTTGATGACAGTAAAGCCTTTGATAGTGACAGTACCGCGACCATTATGCTGGATGACCTTGTCCTTAGCCTCCTGAGCACCACCACCCTCAATCAGGGCATCACCGTTGCCAAGGATCGAAATGGCATCTGAGATATCAATTAGTTAAGAAATGGCAACGGGACTTAGGTATCAAGCCTACCTTCGCATACATCTCGGAACCAAACATTCTTGAGAGTACATTTGCCTTTACAATGAACGCCTTCGAGTTGGTTCTTTCCAATGATGACGTTGCTAAGAGTGGCACCGTCGTTGAGAATGAAAACGGCACCGTCACTTCCAAGGTCCTCATCAGTGTCACAAGGGCGGTCAAGCTCGAACTCCTGATTGTTGAAGTCATTGTTGGAACCGGAAAGAGTTCTAGGTCCTTTGAGGACTTGAATAGCACCGTTTCGGTTGGGAATGTTGAGAGTTTGGCCGAGGGCGACGGTAGCGATTGCCAAAGGAGCGAGAGCCTGAGTGAAATGCATTTTCGAAGGGTTGGACAGTTTCTTTGTAGGGAGATATAATGTCAGTTTGACGAAGTGACTGAATGTTTGAGTGACTGAATGTTTGGTTGACTAAGGATGAGATTTTTTGGAAAGTGCAGCTCAATGCTCCTATTTATAACCATCTCAGCTCTTAATCGCCACATCTATCTAATTTACACAATCGCTCATAGTCATGCAATCATGTATCGCTCAACTCCGACACATAGGTTTGAGGTTATCATCTGGTTGGTGGAAGAATGGAGTAACTTAGATGCTGGCTGAGATGATTGTAATTTGTATCCGCAGCGGAGAGTCCGTGACAGATACAGGGCTCCTGTATGGCTTCCCAGAATATAGTTTCAGGAACCCTGGAATAACACGGTCTCGCCAGTGTGTCCACGAATAGAAAATTCGCTCTAATAGGCTTAAAATTAAGCTTTAACTATATAGACCCGGTGGGGCTAGATCAGACCATCAGATAAAAATGGGTGATGTATACAAGGTGGCTCAGCCAATCAAGCTCTAAGAGTCTCATAGAATAGCCCCTGAAAAGTTAAAATGTCAGTATATAATCTATTAGATTGATAATCGAATGGTTTTTAGTATATATTATCTTACTAAACTACACTTAAATGTTCATCTTCACCGACATTTAGTGAAGAACAAAGCGTTAGCAGATACACTGGCTTGGAACATTTCTCAGTGCAGTGCACTTATACTTAGAGTTACCACTAAGAGATCTGAGGCAGGGTCTAGTTATTTAGCTATAACTCTCATGAAATCTATGTAGGAGTGTAAGTTATCAGGTTGAAATTCTTTAAACAGGTAAGAAGAAGATTATTTTACGGAGAGTTTCCTGAGTAAGTATGAATCAATTTAGTCCTACTACGTAATGTCTTCCGCGAGCCGTCTCCACATCTAGACTAGGATTCCTTCTTCCCATCCTGGTCTCGTATTTGCCGACACCGTCCTTTGGCCAAAGAACAGACTAGACCACAATAACGAGGTCAGTTCAAAACGAGCCTCTCATTGGGTCTAGGCAGATTTGACTTACTCAAAGAAGCTCCATTTACAATCGCCTCAACGTTGATCAAACCCCACCAACCCCCAACCCCCAACCCCAAGTTGAGGCCGCATTGGTGGAAACTCCTCAAGTTCCAGCGTCCAAAACTTCCGTCTCTTTGGATTTTTGGAGACGTCAGAATCCCGTGCTTCGTCAACGGTGCCGGCTGTAGCTGGATCTTTCGTGCCGCCTTCTGGTAGCCCCTTGCTGGCTTCCGCGCCTCTGGACATTCCAAAGCCTTTAGCAATACCAGTCGGCCGATCAAGCTTGAGTTCCTGCTATTCAACTCCTATATTATCCACCACGCTATGAGATGCTGGGTTTCTCGCCTGTGCTGGGCTCCGACATCCTTGTCTTCCTCATGAACGTCCTCTCAAATTATTCGGGGTAATACGGCACCGATTTGGTCTTCTTCCGTCACAGCATTTCGATCGTCTTTGGATAGTTCCACCTGGCTGAGTGTTCTTGTTAGCTCGCTTTTCCTAATGTGTAGCAAGTCATTCTTTAACTAATTGATGTCTCCGGCGAATCTTGCGTCTTTATTAAAGATAATGTCCCTTGTAGAGATTACCTGCCCGGTTTAAGGTTTTCATATCCGACAGATATCTGTTACTTGATATTCGATTAGAAACACAACCCATGCTTTGAGGTCTAGCTTCTGCTGTTTCTGGCAGTGGAGCTAAGGTTCCTTGGTCTGGCTTACGGTCTTCTACTATAATTCTATCTCTGTGGGTAAGATATGCGTGGGACTGATTATATAGGGTTCACCATCTACTCATATACTTTAGCGCTAAAATATAAAGTTAAACTGTAGTGTTGTGTCTGGCGAATATGACAAATATACGGCATAGGCAGATGGGTTATGAGGCGTAGCATAAACACCTAACTCCTATTTGCCAGCCATTGCATTACCCGTCAGCGGACGTCTCCATACAGGAGAGAAGTGCCTACTGCCAATCCCCACGCGCTGCAGGGTTACAGTGAGGACCAGTCCCAGTGTCACAAGACACGGGGTTACGCAGAAAAACAAAAGTTCCTTGCGTTTTGACCCACAGCCTTATCTACTACATCAAATCATGAGTTCTCATAAACATCGGATATAGCGGCGGAGACAATTCGTCAGGTACATAACAGCCAATTATAGTCCGCAACCCTCACTAAGATGTTTTACTGGAAGTTAAAGCATCTCGGATATTGATGTTTCAGCACGCTGGTCACACAGAGATGGAAAGCAAGTAGATGCCTCCTGATCAAGGTTCTTCCTGCATTGCTTTCTTCTCCGACAATGAATGACAACCCTTTGATGGCTCATGTGGAACGAATAGCAGCTGGTTTTGCTTTTCACAGAAAGAATATGGATCAGGCGACGAAGACACAGAAACGGGAAATGCTGGCTGAAACGAACTAGGGAAACAAATTCATATAAATATGTAATGTCTGCCGCTACCATTTGCGACGATTCAAATCACTCTTGATCATCCTAAAAGTTGAGTATCTTCACTTTAGTCAGCTTTTTGATCCGGCTAGACGAAAAACACATCTTTACCATTTCCAATATTTGACCAACATGAAGATGAAACACGCTTATCTCCTTGGAACCCTTATCCAGTATTCTGCTCAGTCATGGACTCTTTCTGGAGAGGCGAAAGCGATGGTAGAAGACTCCATGGAGTGGATGGATAAATTCTACGACCCGAAAATCTCACAGCTGTACGACCTCAACTCAAATGCCGCAATGAATCACGAGACATTAGCCTCTGCCTGGTATGCGGTCGGACTTCTTGCACGCAACAGCAACAACGATATCTCGAAGGCTGAAGATGTCATTAAATACATTATCAAGGATCAGTTTGAGAACCCAACAGACTTGTGGTATGGCGACTATACGCGAGAACCGGAGGAGCCAACCGTTGGAACATCGTGGTACCCCGCTCGGATGTACGGCTCATGGGACCCCAACTGGCGAGGCTTCGTCGGTCTCAGCTTCATTACGATTTACGAAGAGTTCGGAGATCTGTTATCCGACGATTTGAAGGTGCTTATGCTTGAGAGTCTACATAACTGTAGTATCGGCGACTCATATCGCGAGGGTGGTGTCAATGGAGATAATCTCTATCCATCTTACAGCAACCCCGCAATTATGCGCGCAATTGGTACAAGCTGGACCGGTCGCAAAATAGGTGACGACAACATGACACAAGCTGGAGAGGATTATGCAAAGGAGATCATCGACCTTTTCGACTTGCATAATACACTTTCCGAGTTCAACTCAGCTACTTACACTGGCATTTCACTCTTTGGTCTGACACTATGGTGCAAGTATGGTCATGACGATAGCATTCTTTCCCAAAGAGGTCCGGATCTTGTGCGCGGTGTCTGGAATTATACATCTCAACTCTGGAACCCCAAGATGCGGAACCTCGCTGGTCCATGGGACCGTTCCTATTCGTTTGACATGACTAAGTCTCTCGGTATCCTGTCTCACTTCCTGGCACCCATTATCGGGAGGAAGGAGGCAGGCGTACGGCAGTACCCAGAAGTCATGAGCCATGCTCGTGACTGGGCTTGGGCACCACTCATTGCCGTCCACTCAGAATTCCACAACTCATTGCTTTCAGATGAACTTAAAGATTCATTGCAGACCTTTGACGGAGAGAGGACATACAACGGAGAGGCCTACTATCCACCCTACGATCTTGATACCCGCAACATCACGACATGGCTAACCGAATCGCTGATGATCGGAGCTCAGTCATACCGAACAAAAAGCGCAAACGGGCCCTCGAATAACAAGGCCCAGTTCCATCCCGCTGTTGCACATTGGGCTTATGGAGATGATAACATCGGATGGCTTAGTGTAAGTTAATACAGCTTCAAACGTTACTCTACAGTTTCATTAACGCAGCCCAGCTCCGTCCTACCGAGTCTCATGTCCTGATGCAAGTTTCTCCGCGAAAGCTGAAGGTGACTTATCCTAAGGGAACTAGCAGTTCTGTGTTCACTTTTGTGGTCTCTCCTTCACTTGCCAAGAGGGATGTCAAGTCGTGGGCTGACATCCAGGGAGTCTCCATTTCTGTCTCTGGTAACGTCAATTCTATGCCAGAAATCACATTTGCTGGCCGATATGGTGGTTCAGGAAGTCCTATTTATGACCACAATCATTGGACTATGGTGCATAAGATGCCTGCTGTGTTTGAGGGTGCTCCTGAGATTATCATTGAGTTTGAATTAGATGCTGCCTTAAAAGGCTACCCTGGCTTAGTGAAGCAAACAAGATGAGACTAAGTATGGCTATCCTTTCAACTACGAGGCAGATATGGTGGTAGTGAACGCAGTGGTATTTGCGGATGGCGGTTTTCGATAGAATATTTGTTGAATTTCATACGTCTCAATAGATACAGGTTCGACATCTTTGAAATAGGACCATGAAAGTACACAGGGTGTTGATAGTGTAGTATGTGGTATAACCATAACCTTAAAATTAATATTTGTTCTGTCGCTAATGGCACAATCTTGTTTGCTTGGGCTGTTCGTCCGAGTCGACCTACGGCTGACATTTGATGGAATAAAGTGGGTTGTCAAAGACATCTTGAGCCACACGTCCCAGAATCAATAAATAGCAGTTTCTTCATACTCAAATACGGTTTTCCGGTTCAAGTTTACCACGGGGAGATTTGGAATGGAATCTGACAATGGTGTCTAACATTGACTAGACTGAGAAGTTGATTGTAAAGATGCTTCACTGAGTCAAACATATCATGGACATAATTCACGAGAACACAAAAGGGATCAGTGTGGATATTGACAGGGTTCCAACCAATTTTACGAGCAGAAGAAGGAAGATCTACCTGCAAATCCAAGACAAGTAAACGTCTCTTCACAAATACTGTTCTGGACTCTATACCTAGAGTATTCAACGCAAACCCATAAATGCTAAGCATGGAACAAACACTTGTATAACGTTGTACAGGCTCGCGTAAGTTGCAGTAGCTCAATAGTTCGATAACATTTTCAAGGCTGAAAGTGTTGTGTTCTCGGAATTGACCCACTCGCAGATGAAAATCGTAACCACCCCCCATGGGGACAAGGTACTTGACGTTGCTTCATGGGAAGGTAAAATAATATTGTTACCTTTTGCCAAGTTAGGCTTGATCCTTCGGCTGATCATTTTCTCTCTCTCAAGCTTAGACCGTGTGTTGTCTATCATCCCTTGGCCTTTCTACCATACACCGCTGCAGAAGATCGACGGTATCATTTGGAGTCGCTCCACATTTTGACTACATTGGCAAAGCGAAATTATTGTATGTTCGCAATTGACCCGCCTGAAGTGAAAAAGGTAATATGCCAAGAGTATAGCTTCATACTTATGTTCTCGCAATTGACATACTCTCAGGCGGAAACCAAAAAGTGGCTGTGCTGGGTAATGATTGCAAATGTGTATAAGAAGGTTGATAACTCCTCCGAAATAATCACAACCCACCACCTCTCTCAGTTTACACTCTACAGAACAGACCTCATTCACCAACTATACCTCTCAACTTATTTCTTTTCCAACAAAATCGTCACTATGAAAACTACCATTTTCACATCCGCAGTCGCCGCTGCCCTCGGCTTCGCCTCTGGTACAATTGCCAACCACTGTAGCTGGGATTTCTACGAAGGACCCATCTTCAAGAGGTGGCTCGTTATTGGCTCCGGTGTAGATGACATCCCTGGCACATGCGGCGGCTTCTGGGACAACATGAACAACAAGAACTTCCACGGTGCCTGCGTTCTCTCCTCCACCAACTGTGGCGAGGACGGCAATGGGGATATGGTAATCAACTTCACGGCGGGCTCAGGTTGCAACAGCGGTCACGTCGAGTCGGCATGGTGGGAGGCTACTAGGAACAAGTTCGGCGCCATCAAGTGCGGTATTGCAAAGTAATGAACACACTGTTCAGGTCGGCTACGCGAATGATAAAGACCTCCTGGCCAGCTTGGAGATGCCCTACATCATCAACAATATCCGACTCTATCTACATACAGCACGTTACCGATCAATCAATAACGGCAAAGAGACTCGACTCAACAACGGCCGAGGGAACCTCAACCAGGTCTCGTCTTCGCGGTTTCTCTCTTCTTCTACGTCCCATTTCGAGCTTCAATAGACTACTGTACATATCAGTGTATACACTGTTTGAGACAATAATACTCATATTACCCCAATCTAAATTCAACACCATAACATTGATCATCGTTCTAAATACCTCTCCTAGACATCTTTAATAATATCATGGTGAATGGTATCGACGAGGTTAGCTACTAGAAGGGGCTCCTCAACGTCTGGCCTCAACACAGAGTCCTTGTCGCCCTGTCAACCTTGAATGTAATTTGAATGTGTTTCGAATAATTCCGTATAACTAATAAATGATATTTTTTCTACCCCACAGCCACATCGGGATTAATGCCATAATCTTTGCATAGTGGGCATGGTGAGGAATTCGAGTATTAAAATGTATGATTGTATCTTTTGTATAGCATCTTGTAATTGGTGGATATCACCTAGTAGATTCCGTATCTCAATACGGTAAGGTATGATTCTCTAATGGCTCTATTGATGCATACTCTGACCAACCCCGCATGAAGCTCGCCACTTGACTATCATGTTAAATAATTAACAACGAAGCCCTGCACGGGTTTCTCAAATATTATTAGGATATGTACGATTGAATAAGATAAAATCCCAAACGTCTGGGTAGTACGATTGAATTACGGTATTCTTGCTCCAAAATTGATGGCACCGCAGATCCTGACTTTAAACCATTTCATAAAGCTGAGGCCACCTGAGCGATATGCATCTCAGCGAAAACAGAAACGGAGGCTATTGACCCGAATGACCTATTGAGGTATATAAGAAGGAGGCCACTCGTACTTTTTCGCTCACTCGATCGTGTATATTTAGTCTTGGGTACGCTTCTGCCGTTGGTTATGTCCTCCATGTTGCATTCCACCTCATATCTTCCCTTGCGATGAAGTTGACAACCTTTATTAACGTCTGCCTACTGACTCTCTTCGGTACAGCTTCAGCTGCTGAGGTTGTTCCCAGATCCACGTTCGCTGAGGTGACTGATTATGGCGACAATCCTACGGGTACTCGCATGTGGCTTTATGTTCCCAAAACCCTAGCAGCAAAACCCGCCGTGGTGGTTGGCATTCATTGGTGTCATGGCAGTGCCCAGGCATACTACCAGGGCACACGCTGGGCTTTCTATGCCGAGAAATACGGATACATAGTTATTTATCCTCAGACACCATATACGGCGGACTTCTGCTGGGATGTGGCTTCTAAATCCACCTTGACTCACGGTGGTGGCGGCGCGAGTAACTCAATCGCCAATATGGCCAAGTTCGTCATCGAAGAATATGGTGCCGATGATAGCAAGGTTTTTGTTACGGGCACTTCCTCGGGTGCCATGATGACGGTATGCGAGACAAGGTCTTTCCGTGGGGTTTAAAGAAGCTGACGCAGAAACAGAATGTCATGGCCGCAACTTATCCTGACATATTCGCAGCAGGAATTGTATACGCAGGTGTCCCGGCCGGTTGTTTTAGCAGTGAAGACAATATTCCCGACTTCTGGAACTCGACATGCGCCACTGGACAGTCTATTTGGAGTCAAGATCATTGGGCCAACTCCGTGAAGAATATGTATCCTGGTTATAATGGGCCACGACCAAAGATGCAAATCTACCACGGATCTGCAGATGAGGTACTAAATTCGCAGAATTATTACGAAACTATCAAGCAATGGACCGGTATTTTTGGGTATTCGACTGTGTCAAAGTCCACCACTCCCAACATCCCACGAAGCCCGTATACTAAATACGTTTTTGGCGATAAGCTACAGGTAACGTGAACAACTGACTGACCTCGGGGAGCATCGTTGACATTAGGTATAGACATTCTTAGGCCAGGGTATAACTCACAATATTGATGTATTCCCAGAGGAAGACCTGAAGTGGTTCGGAATTACTGTACATCGTATCATTATCATTTACTTTATGACGAAGAATCTAATAAAGCTTTAGGATCCAGTAACGCCATCTTCTACTATTACGGTCATTAACCCTACTCAGACCAGCGGCTCAGACAGCTCTCCCCAATGGGGCCAATGTGGTGGCACAAATTGGACAGGTCCTAAACAGGCAAGTCTTTTACACGCGCTACTATTAGAATAAGCATTAATATGAATCACAGTGTGCAAGTCCCCACAAGTGTGTTAAGATCAACGATTGTAAATAATCCGTTTTTTGATTTTTTGATTCCATGCTAACGTATACAAAAGGGTACTCACAATGCCAGTGATTGTTCGGTCGGCGAAGGCCTAGTTTCTGAAAAGAGTTAGTCTATAGTATGCAATGTGAATCTTTTTCGCAACATTTTGCAAACAATACAGCATTCATTGTAATAATTTAGCACTGCCCTACGCTTTGTGTAGACGAGAATGCTGTAATATGGCAAATAACAAAGATTTCATGAGCACAATGCCATTTCAGTAACCTGCCATATCCAAGCCTCGAAAGACTGACTGTTCACGCCAATATCTTGATTCCAATTCACAAGAGAGAGAGATGATCGCTCATACCCCTCCTGCGCCGTTTAGCAGTATAAGATCCCTTTTGCGCCGTGCCATGGCATGTTGGGACTCTGGAGTGGTAATGTGGGACGGACGACTGACCACCCATCAGTCGGAGATGCCATCGCTTGAGTCTCCGGATGGCCCAGTTTCACAATAGTCCAGAACGAAATGGCTGTTATTAGAAAAATCTCTGTATGCCTACGGATATATCCCATTCTTCTAACTGCCATCGCGATAAGGTAAAACAAGACGCATCGCCAACAACAGTTTTGGTCACCAACACTATGCGCTTTTTGACAGGCATGTATTATTTTATATCTTCCTTTATGTTACATTCGCTCCTTTGACTGATCAGTATAGATAAACATTACTAGAAGCGTGCTATCGCTTCTTGAGATTAGCAAACAAATTTAATGGAATTGGAAAATGTGAGCCTAATGCGACCTCCGAATCCATTAGCAACGAGATTTCTCTAGAAGGAAATAACTTTAGACTCCAATCTTCTTTCCTCTCGGTCTGACCTAGGATGCACGCTTGTGCAAACATGCTGAGACCTTTAGAAACTGCATCCATGCAGTTATGGCCCAGGTAGTATGATGGTGTGATATCGTCCGCAATTCAACGGAGATGGCTTGAATCTGGACCGAAATATCTTACGGGACGGCTGAAGCTCAGCTGGCCGCTTTGATGGAAATTTCAGCTCCTGAACGCCACATTCCAAACTATTGCTTTCTCCCTTGCATAACAGCCTTGGCGTGCGGGAAGCGTTCTCAAACAAGGCTGCCACTATCATTCAAGTACTACAATGCGCTACGGAGTTTTGTACTTAATTCTCTGATCTCCCTCCCACTCATATCATTGTGCCTCGAGTCTCAAGTTCACTTCTAGCCATGCACTGCATAAACTTTTCCAAACTTATTGGGCTCTTTGGATTGGTGCTCCACAAAGTCGTTGCTGCTGAGCCAGAACATGTAGCCAAACGAGGTCATGACTACATCTTACCGAGAGCCCCAGTAGGCCCCCATGGACTTCTCCAAGAGGTAAAGCTTCTTGAAGGGCACGGGGTGAAGGAACGCCAAGTGTCAGTAACATCGGCTGTGACACTGGTCTTGACCGTCGCCCCTGATGAGACCTGCGGCTACCTGTCGGGAAGTGTCGGTGTTCCAATTACTTGCGAGAATGGAGCTAGCTGTACATGGGAACCCAACAAGCTCAACATAATCGCATGTGGAACAGATCACTACTTACAGTGTGTCGAATCCAAAACGGCCGCCGATCCGAAGTTATGTGATGATGTTTGCCAAAGTGACACTTGGAACTTATTATGGTATGCCTGACCCTTCGACTAGTGTCTCTTTTTTTTCTATAGGTGCTAATCTGCCATTTCCCCACAGTACCAACTCGGATGCACCGTACTGTCGCACTTACCTCTATCCAAGCGGTGTCATCGATTATCGTTGTGCTTCTACATCAGTCACGGCAAACCAGAGAGTGGAACATACCTTTGAGGGCGACGACAATCCAAATTTCATCACCACAACCCTAAGCGACGATGTGTCGACGATTTCTGAACCTAGAACAGTTCCTAGTGGACGGCTCACTGATGGCCCGACGAAAACGACTACGACTACGAATCCTGGTCCGACAAGCACAACTGCAATTCCTCCTATCCCGCCTAAACCGACTCCGGTGGGAGCTATTGTTGGGGGTGTTGTTGGAGGTTTAGCTGTCCTAGGTCTCATTACTCTTGGAATCATCTTTGCCTTGAGGCGCCGTAAGCCCAAGCCCACGGTTGAAACGACACTATCCTACCAACCAAACTTGGTCCAACAACCTGCTCAAATTACTCAAAAGCCACAACCAGGTCCTCCTCATCAATACGTGGTCCCTTCGCCTTACCCTGATCCCAGCATGGCATATTCTTCTGTTCAGCCAAATACCCGTACATCAATGTTTAGTGGATCAGTTTCTCCAATCGGGCCAGCTTCCCCGATGGGATGGAGTCAACATCAAACACCTGCGCCAATTGCATCTCCAGCTCCAGCCTACGAAGTCGCTGGCCCTGAAGCACGCCAGGCTCCTTCGATTCATGAATTAGGCGCTGACACAACTATGAACAAGTAGTTAGACTTTGGACTAACTCGAAAGCATTTTTTACTTGCATTGTGAAATTTGCTGTACGGGTGATACGTTTAGTTGGAATATGTATCGTATCGGAATCACAAAATTGGTAGCCACTGTATATAGCTAGCCCGAACCACCCCCTTTTCAGCCTGTTACGATAGGTTTTGGGTATTTTGATCGATTGAATTTAGCTTGTTCAGTGGGGAAAACCTCAACGCGACGAAATATTCCTCCTTGCCTCAAACATCCAGGCCCCTATCTCCTCTCTTAGTAGTCATATTTGCAGCAGAGATATCCTCCCTGAATGTCCATGACATCTCTGACAGTGACGTTTGGACAAATGCCGTAGGTGGTCATCACATGGTCCAGAGTTGTCTCTTCATCTCCTCCTTGAGTCGAAGGGTCGCCTAGTTAGTATAGATGAGTGCCAGGGTCTTTGGACTACCACTTCCACCAAAGGCGATCTACGAAGCCGTGATGGATATAAAAGAGCGAGTCTACGTTGGTTAGCACGTGATCAAGACGGTAGGGCATGGGGGCCTTTACTTAACCAATCGGCGAAGCTTGCGTCCTCGGCTAAACTCTCGAATATACATAGAGTCCTGAAGTGCCTAAGAGAGACTCCATCTTCCCTTTGACATTTTCACGCAGGGTTACAACCTTGGCCAGACACATACCCAACCTCATATTAATCAAAACATACTGATCGAATTTAAATCTCCTACGGTTTCACGATTGAAAATCCCCTTAAGAAGGACCCTTACAACAACATTTAGTATCTGGCACTATGCGCGATTTGAACTCGCAGTTTTTATATGGAGAGTTAAAGGGAACTCTTAATCGCGTCTTACCTAACGAGATTTATCGAATAATTATTGGCCATGTCGCCGATCTGGACTACGCACCAAAGCAGGATACATTAATCTCGCTATCTCGCTCATCTCAGCCTCTAATAGATATAGCTGAAGAATATCTATACATGCACCCTCGAGACCTTGATACCGCCCAAAAACAACGGCAGTTCCTCGTTAGTATCAGGACTAAGTCAGTTCGCTCTAACTTTGTACAATCTTTAAGACTTCTTTGGGACTGCAACGGTACAAACAGCCACTTGTTGGTTGATATCGTCAACAACTGTTTCAACATCAAATTTCTACTGCTCCAACGTGGGAACGGCTTGAATGTTGCAACTAGAGTTTCTAGTGATTGCGTAGCAACTTTGGCTACGATGCTCAATGCTTGTCCCAGTATCACATCATTTCAATTTTGCACGACCCTCGAGTGGGTGCCGGAGCCTGAACAAGACGGACTTGTCACAAAACACGGCAAAGAATTATCCGACCTCATACCTGCAAAACCACATGCTATCAAGTATCTCAGCCAGCTTGAGAGCCTGACACTAGGCGGGCAGTCAGCTTGGGTCATAGATGGTATCATGCCTTATCTTGGGTCCAACCTCACATCTCTTTTCCTCAGCCAAGATTGCTCGATGGGAAGCAGTGAAACTCCATTTGTGGATCTATCAAGGCAATGTCCCCATCTCCAATCGCTTGTGTTTAGACAAACACTCAATACATCAGATGATCTCGAGCAGGCGTGCAAGGCGTGGGGTGGAACAATGGAGGAGCTTATGATCTCCAGCATTCAAGACACGCGTGATTGGATTTCACAAGTCATGCCGTGTATGAAAGTTCTCAGAGTTTTACATCTTGGTCCAGGATGCACTCTATCCAGTGAGAGCATCAGATCTATCGCCTCTGCTGAATCGCCGCTAGAGGAAATATCTCTTGGAGATATCCTGCCGGCAAATGAGGCGTCGGAAGAGGTGTCAGCTGAAATGAATCAAGCCATAGCAAACATGATTGATGTTCATGCGTCTACACTGCAGCTTATCGAGTTCCGTTGTGTGGATGTCGGAGAGGCTGTTATGCAGGCCTGCAAAAAGGTCAGGCAACTACATACGCTAGACTTGGAGATATGTGATTCACCCAAAACGTCAGACATCGACGAATTTCTCGATAAGTGTCCTGATTTGATTTGGTTCCCCCGATGGTTCAAGCGGAGATCAGCTCGACAAGGCGAGTGGGAAGAGCGGATAAACACAAGAGATAACTTGGAGGAAAGGAGGTCAAGACAAGAGCCACCAACTTGCGGTCTTGGAGCTTGAAGTGTAATAAACTAAAATAAAACAATGTATTATGCAGCTGCAGTCAGATTTGTCATGACGTAGCGTGATGAAATAGCAGGTCTCGGGAAGCCTCTTTCCGAGAGTCGGGAATAAGCAAGCTAATATTAAATTCAATCGACCCCGAGAGCTGGAGAAAATTAGCTCATTGACAGACACATTTGTGAAGTTCCCATATCGTTTCACACTAGATACCCTACAGTGACAGAAGACAACCTAATAAGGCTGAACATTGACGTTATATCCCATGTATAACCAGGCAAATCTGAGCCGCTGACCCATTTTATGCGCTCAACAATTGGTTTATGTTGAAGAATCCCTGCTAGCCTTGTTGAGTCATACTGAACATTCACAACCGACACCAACATAAAACATAATCTCATCCAACAGTGGCACAGAGATTATCTAATCATCACCTATCACCTCCTCTTTTTCCAAAGTCAACATCTACCTGTTTTATCTTGAAACGGTATCTCGTCTCCAACATATCGTGGCTTCTAGACTCGGTAGCTTCGCTGCAACCAAGGACAACTCCACCAACCGGCTTATCCAAGACACCAGCGTCAATTTCGAAGCTCTCGCCAACAAGTACCAAACAGCCATCGTAGGTCACAAAACCTACGAGGTTGTGAACAAAGGGTCTCAGAAGCAGAAACCAGATGTTCAAGCATCAGAAAACCCGCGTTTTCTCCACCCAGCTTATTTTATCTAAAAAAAAAAAACAATAAGCATGTGACTCGAGGTTTTGACCACTGGCGATTGAACCTCGGCATGGTCTAAACTTTACTGACTAGCCCCGACTCGAAAGGGGCAAACGGCAACAAGCTCTTCTAGAATCTTTCCATGCTAGTCTTAGCATTATGAATTTGCGGGGTGAGTACCTAATAGAAATTCTTCTAATTGAATCAGTTAGTTTTTGAATAAATATGCTCGGTATCTCGTGATTCATCCACTTCGCTCTCACATCATTACCATTTCAAAATGTCCGGACTTTGGGCTCAAGTCGTAACTCAATACGACACCTTTACGGTCGAAGTGATTGGATCTCTTGCTATCCAGATCCTCTTTTGGTGGATTCCCTGTGCCGGTTTTGTTTTCCTCGATCAACTGGCGCCTTCTTTTGCTGCCAAACACAAGATCCAACCTGCCCCAAAGCAGCCCACATCTTCTGATATCTTTAATGCGGTCGTTATCTCTATCAGAAACCAACTGATTGTCATTGGATTGCAAGTCATTCCTACCATCCTCACAAACAGGCCTTCCCCGTTCAAGATTACAGCATCGTTACCATCTGCAAAAGATTTCATTCTTGATTTCACAGTCTGTCTGATTGCACGAGAGATTTTATTCTACTACTCCCATCGGCTGCTCCATGTACCTTGCCTATACCGCCGTATCCACAAGATTCATCATAAATTCACCGCCCCCGTGTCGTTCGCCTCGCAGTATGCTCATCCTATCGAGCATATTGTTGCCAACACGATTCCCATTGTTCTTCCGCCCATGTTATTGCAAACTCACATCCTGACCATGTGGGCGTTTGTTTCCTGGCAGCTCATCGAGACGGCGACCGTCCATAGTGGCTACGATTTCTTTGGGGGTGCGGCATATCGTCATGATCGACATCATGAGAGGTTCAATGTTCATTTTGGAGGCATGCCGTTGTTGGACTGGTTGCATGGTACTGACGACAGTATAACTCTGTCGAGGAAAACCAATTGATGGTCTGCTGGACTCTGTACACAACACTACTGCGAGCTGGGCTATTCATATTCGTCAACTGCCACCAATCTCATCTCAATGATAGACTGCTCAGCCATCTAGCTACATTATGTCAATGATTGCAAGAAAAGACGCGCCTTGATAATATACAACGTAACATAGGAGTATTTGGCCTCTCCTGATTTCAAGTAGCGCAAAAAGAGAAGAAAGGCTATAATACTCTATTACGACTTTAAATAGGACTTAAATACTAACAGTATAGACACTTTCTCTATGCCTTATATTATCCCACTTTTGCTTTCCTATACACCACTGCTGATCACTATTTAAGACCTCTCCATATTCACACACATTAATCTTATTCTCCCAGAATGACCTCCTAAGTACCTCAATCTTGGCTTGATCTGTCTCTCTCCATATCCAGATTCGCTGCAGAATCTCGACGTAAAGCTTGGGCCTGAGTGTCTTTTTCACTGAAACAAGAAGAGCTATCGATTTGTCCTCTCTGACCTCTTCTCTTGATGAAATAATAGCGTGCCCATCCCCCTTTGGTATAGACATTGTCTTGCCGTCGCAGGACTGAACGCAGTACCACTCAAGAAGAAGAATGTCGCAGGGGAAGGCGAATTTGTTCTCTGCAGCATCGTACATGCGGTTCCCGGATGATCGAAGACGAAAGCCTGAGTACCGAACAAGTAACCCATCCAAAGTCAACTCGGCTGCAGTTTTGTGACTGAAGATGGGATCGTCATGGCCGACATTTTGCCCAACCATCCAACTACAGAGAGCCCACCCAAAGCCCTCAACGGCCAGTCTCCTACCAGGCACGAAGATGATGCCAGGAGGAATGGAGCCTGGGTAGGCATCATACAGCGATTCCAAGAAGCATTTCATTCTCATGTCGAGATTGACCCGGCATTCACCGTCCAGCCACTCACCGCACTTCAAACCGCAGGAGGCGTGATCGAAGTCATCGGGAAAGTCAACTTCAACCTCGAACAGGGTAGCCAGGGCTTGCGTCTCGTGAACAACAAAGCTTGTTGTGCGCCATTGCACAGCTTCCCAGACTGAGGCAAGTAAGACACTGTCATACACGGGAACGCCGTATATCCTTTTCTGCCTTTGCCACCCAAGCAAACGGTCAAAGTACTTGCGAGCTTTTCCCGCAACCATCGAATGTCCGAGGGTGTGACTTGTAAGGAAGTTAGCCTCCAGTTGATCCATATCCACAAGCTCATTGTTGCTGAATCGAAAGATCAGCTTTTTGCTGAGGTACGCCTCTTGTAGAGTCCAGAGCCTGCCCATCCAACGACTCGTGAAGATTCTCATTGCTGTTCCTGCATAAGACCTGCCAGCTGCTATTTTTGCAAGTCCCGAGTCGAGAACTACCATGAAGTTTGCGTTGGTGTATGCATAATGCATTGTTTTGATTGCTCTCTTTCGCTGAATAGGATTATTGACAGGGATTGTCAAGGCGTCTATCCAGAATGGAAGTTCAGGATCCGGATCATTCCGTCGGAGTATTTGCTGAGCATCGAGAATTAACTGGTTAAAAAGATCGAGCACGCATTTACGGATTTTTTTCTCGTTGGGGTTGCCATAGCCATTCGCCCAAACATGAGAGATGATGACATACCTTGTCCCAGGTTCAAATTCAAGAATTTTGATTCGGCCCGTGGAAGCATTGTATTTTGCCAGCGGTATTCTGCCTCGTTCGATGATGTCTGCCAGTTTATCTTGATCCAGCCCCACAAACTCTTCATTATCTCCAAGATTGCAGGTGTCACTGTGTGCCTGTTCATATCCTTTGCCATTGGAACCTAAGCTTAGAGTAGATGGTTGCGATGACACGGGACCTGTCAAGCGCAGAGCATATAATTGCGCGGTTTTATGGCTGTGGAGTGACCTCTGAAGCATTCGGACCGTGTCTGGGCTCCATCGTTCTCGCATAATGTTCAGGATTGTACTGTTCTGACCCCAGCCCCTGCTCTCATCGATACGCCACCCTCGAATCCGGACATCTTTCAGCTCCACTAGCAATCAATTTGTATAACTTGTAAGCATCTCGCCCAGGACCATCAGAGCAAGTGGAACATCTTTATTCCATTGATCTGCTGCCATGCCCGACCCGTCGTCGTCGCCGGAGAATATCTCGGTTACTAGCGATCGAGTTTCTGTCAGTACGAGCTGTACACGTACCAGGCGGCTCGTCCTGCCTTGTTGATTCTCCAGTTCTCTCCTCCTCCATTCTTCTATCTGACTGGTGACCTTGGCTTTATCGATCCTGCCCTCTGTCTCAAAATGCTGCAGTGAGCCATGACCTTCTCCAAGAACCTCCTTCAAGAGCCCGAAAAAGAGCCATATTCGTAAAAAAGACGCAATATCACTCATACGCCCCTTTTGGCCGGCATTATCGCAAAAGTTGTATCAGGGCAAGATCCTGTCCTTCCACTCTTTCAAGAGGTCATGGAAGCCAAAGTCAGCATACTCAGAATCAGGATAGCCGATGTCGCCTATCCCTTCCCAATCAAGGGGACTTTCAATGGTGGGCATTGCCATGATGTTCTCACTGAAAGCGAAATATTCCCGGCGTACCAGCAGAACAGGAGTTCTGAAGAACGATCACTGGGACAATCTGTCGCTTACTCAAGGTGCCTCATCATGCGGGGTAGCTGGCGGTTATAAAGATGACATGTTATTGGCTCTTTTGGATAGTTGCATCAAATGCGACGGGTGAATGGGCATTAGCCCTCCTTCTGAATAAGCATAGATCCCATAATTAGTCCCTAGAAATACTACTACACTTGGAAGAAAGCTAGGAAGATACCGGAATGGCACCTCAAGACCATCCGTCCTTTATATAGATCATAACAGAAACAAACTCTGGGTTGTGGATGGTTGTATTTAGTATAAGAAAGAAGGATACGTAAATTAATCATACGTTAAGCCTCGATCTCATCCTCGAAGTCTACTGAAGTTTCACCAATTTTGACCTTCTCGAGTTGCTCACAAATGAACTTTTCCAAATGGGCATCTGCTTCAGTCTTGCCTTCATCGTCTTTCTTCTCACTCACAGCCTCTTCTTTCTCTACGTCGCCGAGGACGCGGGCAATGGATATACTTCGTGAGGAAGACGCCTGCATACAGCCTCCAGTAAACCTTGTAGATATATCATCAAAGTACAGTGAGAGCCCCACGCTTGGGGTTCGTGGAGTATGAAGGAGCCGGCAAGTTACCCTATTGGTATCGAGTCAATATTGTAGGCTGTATTATTTCATGAAACATTTTCACTCACCCCGTGTCGTGTATCATTCTAGCAATCAGGCTGGATGACAAGCAATGGTGGCTAGCTCCTATTCCACGGCCTGTATCACCATCAAAATGCTCATGAAATATAAGGTAGTCCCTCCGATGTGGATCGAGGTCCAGGATATCGTTGTTTGCATTTATTACCCGTCTGCCCTCAAGTGTTCTAGCCCATAGGTGTTGTTGTCGATGCTGCAATTCCTCAGCAATATGGCCTAGATGCATGTATTCACCTGTTCCAGTTGGTCATTCGACCTGGAACTGATCGCCATAAAATAGAAAGAAACGCTGCAAGGACTCGATGAGTAGAAAATTGATTGTCATCCAAATCGGGCCCCGCCAATTGGTGTTGCCATCCGACTCGCCTAGCTGGTAGGTGACTTTGAACTGCTTCCCATAGGATGTCACACAGTACTGATGGTCGCTTTGATACTTAGAATGGGATCGAATTCCGTATCCTGAGAAAAACTCGTCCTTATCTAGAAGCCTTTGTGAGAATACGCTGTAGGCGCTCGCGACTAACCAGTGCGCAAAGAAGTCGGTTTCCTTTCCCACGCTTCTTCGTACTAGCAATATTCCGCTAAGCGAGATCTAGTAGGTTCTCTGTAAACCAGTCTACTCTATCCTTGAACAAGGGGAATTTATTCAACATCTCAGGTTCTATAGTTAACGTTGCGAAAAGGGGGATAATACCGATTAACGATCTGACGCGTAACTGGCGATTCTAGTGACCGCCCCAGGAGGTTGCATCATAATAGAAACCGTCCTCTTCATTCCACAGATTCCTCATAGCATCACTGATGAGGATGAAATGTTCAAAGAACTTTCATGGGAGCCCCTCGTAGATCCTACGATACTTGGCGAGCTCTAGAGAGATGTTCAGCATCGTCAAGCAGTAAAAGGCCATCCAGGCTGTGCTGTCGGCTTGTTCCAAAACACCAACGCCGCCAGTTGGCAGAGGGGCGGATCGATTGAATGGTCCAATGTTGTCAAGTCCGAGGTAGCCGCCTTCAAAGATATTTTTCCCTTCGGTGTCCTTCCTATTCACCCACCAAGTGAAGTGCAGCATGAGCTTCTGGAACAAGCTCTCCAGGAAGTCAAGGTCCTGGCGGCCATAAATCTTCCTCTTTATCTTAAAGACACGAAATACCCCCCATGCGAGTACCGGCGGGTCTACCTCGTCAAAGTTGCAATCGTTGGATGGAATTTGCCCGCTTGGTTGCATGTAATTCTTCCTTGTCAGTAGATTCAGTTGGTATTCTACAAAGTCCGGATCTATCATGGCCAAAACAACACAATTGAATGCTGAATCCCAGGGGTTAACAAAGGGGTACTCCCAGGAGTCCCTCACTAATAGCACGTGGTCCCAGTGAATGTGCTTCCCCTGCTTATTCCGGATGTTTTTCCGATCAACAGGAGACGTCGATCGCCTTTTAACCACTGCTCCCAGTTAAAGTTGTAGTATTGTTTACACCAAAGAAGGCCAGCAAAAGCTTGACGCTATATGTTACGGAGATCATCCGACATGGGCAGCGGGCTAATGCGGTAGTAGAACTCATCAGACTCCATTCTGCGTTGTCCTATTACGTCGTCAAACAATTCCTCGTCCAGATATTCTTCATTCTGGCGCATCAACTTGAAACGCACCACAGCGCATTCTCTAGGGCGAACGCCTCCATCTTCGTTAAAGGCATACCAAGCAGCAAACTTGGTGCCCGTCTGATGTTGGTTAACAGCTCCGACGTCATTGTTAACAATGTAGCTGTGGAAGGCATCTTTCACATATAGCCCTTTGTTGGCTCCGAGACCCAACGACTCAAGGTTGGTCTCGTTCTCTGTAAACAGCATCTGCGGCAGCACATCCTCTCCATCATCCCCAGTACCTGAAGATGGAGAAAGAACCAAGTACTGCTCGCCAAGAGATGTGTGACGGACACGGTTAATTCTGTCGCCGATCTTCTCAATAACCGGCTTTTCGCCTATTGGGAGAGCTTCTTGTCTCCACCCCCACGTATTACGGAACCATGCTTGGGGAATGATATGAAGAGGTGCGCGATCATTACCGCGGTTCCAAGCGGTGGCACGGAGATAGAGGTCGTCTGGATCATCGGCACTTTTTGCGAACTCGATAAAAATGTCCCAGTAGGCGTCGTTTTCGAACACACCAGTATCGAATAAGGAATATTCGTGTTCTTCCTTTGGTTTTCGGCAATCCTCCTGAATCTTCTGATATGGGAAAGCGTTCTGCGGATACTTATAGAGGTATTTCATGTATGAATGCTGTAGCAGTAAGATTGCCTTTGCCGACATAGTTAGGATAAGGGCAGACTAACAGTGGGAACATTATCCAAATGGAAGTGAGCTTTCTTGATTGACTCGCCGTGGTTTCCTTCTTTACTTGAGGTTCCAAAAAGTCGCTCCTTTAGGGTGTTACTGAGGTTGGTCAGAAGTCAAAATATCATTTTTTTTTGTAGGGTAAAGTGGTGGTTTACTCTTCTCCGTCCCAGAAACTAAATGCGATATTGAAGTAGCCATGCGAATCACAGACACCAGCGATGCCATCTTCGCCCTACCGATAGGCTCGTTTACGCGCATGCTCATGGCTAAAGCCTAAGAAAGAACTTTAGCTAATGCTAATAAAGAGAGTTAATGTTCCTTACAAGTCCATGGCTTGCCATCAGTCCTTGGCCCAGGTTAGTATATAAAATCCGGATAATACCTATACGTTTATAGAAAAGACATACGTGTAATCCTCCCTTGCTAGTTTTCATGTAAGTAAAGTCAACTACTTTTAGGACAATCATTAACATACTTGTTGCCCATTGCCTCTCTGCAACATAGGGGCCCCATTTCTTCCAGTACTTTGCGCGCTCGCAATCCTCCTTTGTCCTCTTCTCCTCTTCAGTGAGGAATTCATGGCCATCGATAATAACCATCTTGGCCGCTTGAGCTCGGAACAGTTCAGATTGTAGTGGATTTGTCAGGTCAAAGTCAAGCTGACTGCCTAACCCCTCAGGTATAAGAATGGTCCTTGGTTGGGCAGCTTTACAGCGGGTGGATAGTTTCTCCGATCTTGAGGATAAAAGCAGTATGCAAATCAGGCTTCCCCTATGCTTGAGTATATAACTTATCAATTTTATACTTTATACCTTCAATAGCTAATTTCTCTAATATCTAAGGGTATTGTAATTATATTCACTTTTATTATTTTATTTTATTATTATTATTACTATTTTTAAGAAATTTAATTAAAGCTTAACTGGCAAAGTGCAGCACAATTATCCTTCGCAACTGCAACATCTTTGATCTGTGGCTAAATTCCTGATGCATCCTCGGATATTGCGGCCGGTAATTGTGTGCCGTGTCAAGTCTCGGCACCATGTCCCGTTTTAGCTCGAACTCACTTGGCAGTCAGCCAAGAACAAACTACTTTATTTCCGTACTGCCAAGAGGGTCCATTCTAAGTACCTGGATCCCCATAAATCAGTCATACTTTGCATGAGTGCGTAAGCATACGTCAAGAATCAAGGCACAAAAGTCTTGGTGTTGAGCCCAGACTCTCAAAAGAGCGAGCATCAAAGGAAATGCGTAAACTTTCGCAAATGACGTTGTTGCCTTTGGCGGTATCATATACCTGGTTCCCATTGACTGTTTCGAAATGAATTTAACCTACGATTACTTTTACTTGTTTTGCGACATGTCTATTGCCGTCAATTGCACTTTGTCCTGATCTAACATTTTTCTTCCACAATGGTCTCCCAAAATGTTATTGATTTGTGTCAAGCAACTGAGACTGTGAGCTCCGTCCTAGCAAAGGATCCGAGTCAATCACCAGGAGACATTGTCAAGAAGTTATATGGCCACCACGAACATGGATTACATCACAACGAGTCGACCCAAAAGCACACACCACCGCCCTCTCCCCCAAATGAAGCCATCGATGCAGCCGAGAGAGCCTTTCAGTGCGGCCACTGGGGCTCTACAGTACCTAGTCAACTCTTCCTACAAGCTTTCGCCGACGCTTTGCAATGTCTCGACAAGGACCCAATAGCTGGAGTCGTCTCTCCTCCTCTGATGGGCTCTCATGGCACCATGCCTCTAACAGTGATTGCGCCTTTGGCAGATGTAATGCGACATACAGCGAATCTCATCGTACGCGCTCAAAAGGAAGTTTTTCTTATCACTTGTTCTTGGGCTCCATCCGTAGCGCAAAGGTTAATTAGGGGCGCATTGATTGAACTTTCACGTCGCGCAGGTCACAGAGGAGAGAGGGTCATAGTCAAGGTCATGTACGACAAAGCCGGACCTGCAAACGCCATAAATCCACATCAGAATATCAAACCCAAGACTTACACAGCCAAATCGATTGACCTTCCGTCACCAGAGGAGATACCTCACATCGATATGGAAGTGGTCAGTCTACACAGATTCATCTTGGGAACATTGCATGCAAAGTTCTGCGTGGTCGACCGCAAAGTTGCATCTGTCATGAGCAATAACACTGAGGATAATGATAATCTCGAGATGATGATCCATGTCGAAGGACCAATTGTTGACAGCATATACGACACGGCTTTAATTACTTGGCAAAATGGGCTTCATCCTCAACTCCGTTTATGTGACTCTCCGCCTGCCTCTGAAAGCGGTGTGCTATCTGTCCAAAGACCTGGTTATGAGGACATCACTGCCACTCAAGAGCGAATCGAAACCGTCACTAGAAGAGATACCGAGGACGCAACTCGAGAGCATACACCAGAGGATCCTCATTTCGATGAAGATATCGCAGGTGAAGTCAAACGCATGCAAGCCAGCTACTCCAAGAAAGAGGGGGAAACGCGTCTCCAGGCTGCCAATCGCAAACTTAACGTTGCCGCGCCCACTCCAGTTGAGCCTACAGGGCCTGAGATCCACGCTGGCGAAGAAATGACGCCTTACATTCTCACCAGCACCGATGCCAAGCCAGTTCCAATGGCGCTCGTATCACGTCCTCCTTACGGCGCGATCGACTCAAAGAATGTCCATGTCCCTCAGAATGAAGCCTGGCTATCCCTCATTCGAAATGCGCAGCGCAACATATTTATCCAAACTCCCGATCTCAATGCTAGTCCCTTGATTCCTACGATCATCGACGCACTCAAGAGGGGAGTGGAAGTCACTTACTACGTGTGTTTTGGATATAACGACCCTGGGGAGATGATTCCCGGGCAGGGTGGAACGAACGATCAGATTGCACAAACACTCGTCGCTTCACTGCCAGAAGACAGCAGTGAGCGCAAGCGTCTACATATATACAACTACGTGGGAAAGGACCAAGATCATCCCATTCACCAATGCTTCAAGTCTCGGTCTTGTCATATCAAATTGTTAATCGTGGATGGAAGTGTTGGGATCCAGGGAAGTGGTAACCAAGATACACAATCCTGGTTCCATAGTCAGGAAATCAACGTGATGGTAGATAGCGTGGAGATATGTCAGAAATGGAGAGAAGGGATTGATCGGAATCAGAACACCAAGGAATTTGGCAGGGTTGCGAGGGATGGAATTTGGAGGGATGAAAGTGGGAAACCTGGGAAGGGATACATGGGTAATCCAGGAACAGTGATGGGGTTGGTCAAAGGCGCTATGGGAATGATCCAAAAATGGAAAGGGCCAGGGGGATTTTAGGGATGTTCTTTCGTCAGTTATTATATAATTGTCATTAACTCATTACAATTCATTATGCTCCTTCCAGTGCAACTGGTTGATCCGAGTAAAGTTATCTGAGTATCACTTCAGGATAGACCCATGTTTCTCCATGTCTCCTCACATCTCAGGTATGCACCCAAGTAGCGGGGGATATCTCCCATTTGGCAGTTCTTCCAATAGTTCCGCAAGGTCTTACAATGATATGAAGAACTGGCCCACATGCTAGCCAAGTAAGCAGGTGTGGCCATGTGGACATAGAGTGTAGACCTTGGACGACCAGAGTCAATGATTTGACAAATTCTATCAACAGCGAATGTTAATGTTGTCCTAGAAGCTTTGCAGGGTGGCGCTTCGCCAGTCCCTGGAGTCTTCCATGAAAGGACAGCGATGACTGCTGCGCATCTGTATGTGTCCATACACTTCCCACGCTCAGTTGTGTCCATGCCAAGTTTGAGGAGCTGAGCCATGGCTTCAGTAAGTATTTCGCTGAGATTATCCGACTTTTTTCCTTTTGCAAGTGATACAAATAGCCAGAACGTTTCAGTTGGGCACCCGACCACGTCAAGGAAGTCTTTCGTAAGAGCATTACGATGCCAATCGTCAAAGGTGAGACCCTCCTGGTCTCCCACAGCCCTGCGGGTAGATTGCCTAACAACTGCACCAATAGTGTCCCACCAACCAAAGTATGCAACTATTTCTTCAAATCCGATGAATGTATTTGATAGTTGCTGGAACTCCTCGCTGTTCCGACAGTGACAATCGAGAAGGGACCGCGCACCACGTAAATGGCAGTCCCATTCACCAAAGACACCATCCATCACAACTTCGAAAAAGGCAAAGACAGCGATTCCAAGAAAAGCGGCTGGATCTGCAGTATTAAGTGCTTGACTGAGACTCTTGAGTGCTTCGAGGCGATGATACACCAATATGTCCTCGTTTTCTGCATCTTGAGGTAAGATGGGCCCGGCGGTGGAGAAGGCCAGGGTTGATGGATGTGAAGTTGTACTTGGGTCTGATCTCCTGCGTCTTCTGATCGTTGCTTGTAGAAAGTTGTCGACTTGGGCAATAAGCTTCAATCCCTGGTCTGATGATCGTGTGTCAAAGAATTTTACATCATCAACAGATACCAGCCTTGCCCGTTTGAGGCTGTCACCGAAGGCGAGAAGATGTTCCACGATATGAGGCTGATCTGTAGCCAACGAATTTTGTGTGAAGTCATCGCCATCATTTGCAGATATGCCCCTCGTATGGTGCAACTTGTCTGATGACGGTATGTTCGCTTCATCAGATAAATTACGCCTCGTGTCAATCTGTTGCTCGACTGGAGATGGCAAGTTCAGGCCGGAGACTGGTGTCCCAACAGGATTCGCCGCCCAAACGACTCTCTGAGTGTAGCCCCCACAAGTCAGACCAGATTCCACGCAAGGGAGACATTGAGGTCTGTTTAGATCACACTTGACTCCCCGAACCTTACAGGTCCGACAGTCCCGATCTCGGCGTAGACCTCGTGGCTTGCCCCGCGGAAGATTGGGTTTTGACCTCGGCATTTAGTGAGAGATATTGAGATTGAGATTGTAACTTGAGAAAAATAGATTCCCTTCCTCTTTCGCATAGTTATGGGGCAGGAAAGAAGATAAGACGCGACATGTTGACAAGCTGCTTATCGGGGTGATAGACGGCTGATATGGAAACGTCAGGGAGAATTTGATCCCCTTCCCTATTAGGAATAGCCAAGGTCGGGCAACTTTGGATTACTTCCCCGCATTCTCGATCAGCCAGATTCTTATCGCTAGCGATAAACGACTGATAAAGCGATAACAGCTATCTTATCTACAGCGAATAATTATTATACGACTACCCTAGATAGAGACCTTAGAGTATACCTGTAAAGGGAATTAATTTATAAAAGATCCTTAGAATTAATTAAGTAAAATAATTAACTTAAATAAGATATACTATTATTTCTACTGGCTTTAAATAATATATTTAAGCGTGTTATACCTATTTATCTTCAGAAGCAGACCACAAGTGCGACGAAGCAACATGCTCTTTTAATGGGTACTTCTGCCCCGGAATGCCGTAGAAGTTCTCGCGGTAAGTGCCTTCAGGCACAGCGTAGTCATTCCAGAAGAGTCCTCTACTTCGTAGCTCGGGGATCAGGAGATCGGAAATGTCCTTGAATGATTGCGGGAAGAGAACGTAGCCCTATGATGAAGTTAGCAATGGGCAAGTCAACGGTCATGCGATGAACATACAAAGTTGAAGCCGTCAACGCCAGCTTCAGCAACCCATTCCTCGAGGCCGTCTGCGACTTGGGCTGGTGTGCCGACAAGCAATGGTCCGTTGCCACCGAGACTTACATGCTCTGCCACAGTGTGCTTGGTCCACTTCGAGTTGACGGGCGAGAAGCGAGCATAGCCCTCAACAGTAGATCTGATGGGTTGTCAGCACCATTATGGTAACGAGGCGGAGCGGGTTCCATACTTAACAGCATTGCTTTCCACCTCTCTGAGCTCCTCGTCATCGCCGTACTGGTTCAGATCCATGCCAGTCCAGCCTCCAAACAGCGACAGCGCTCCTTCAAGTGAAGCATACTGCTTGTAGTCGTCGTACTTTGCCTTTGCCTCCTCCCCAGTGCGTCCAAGAATGGGAGTGACTAGCGCAAGAACTTTGATGTTGCTCGGAGTTCGGTTGAAAGTATCCTTGGCCGTCTGTCTGATCTCCGCAATGTTCTTCTTCGCCACGGCAGGAGCATGGGCCGAAGTGAAGATTGCCTCTGCGTGCTGAGCAGCAAAGAGCTTGCCAGCCTTTGATGCTCCAGCTTGCAGCAGGAGAGGCGTGCGCTGGAGACTGGGGTTGACGATGTGAGGGCCGGCGACGTTGAAGTACTTGCCTTTGTGCCCGATCTCTCGCACGCGCGACGGGTCGGTGTAGATACCTGCCTCACGATCTAGCCTGACGGCGTCGTCGCGCCAAGAGGACTGAAAGAGTTTGTACATAACTTCCAGGTACTCCTCAGCGATGGCATATCGTTCGTCGTGCTGACAGATGTTAGTCGTTATTGTTTGGAGTTTATGGATCATCATTGGGCGGCTGTACGCTTAGCTGTTCTTCTCGACCAAGGTTACGAGCAGCAGAGTCCAGGTAGCTTGTGACAATCTACGCACGGTCAGCACTAGGTATTGTTTAGTGATCTTTATCTTCTCATACGTTCCAGCCAACTCTATTTCGATGCGTTAGCTTGTCATAGCAGAGCGATTATTATTTTCACCTTGAGGGCCACAAACCTTCCCTTGGTCAAATGGTCAAGTGTCGACAGTCTTCGAGCCAGGTGAAACGGCTGCTCGTAGGTTGTTGAGACTGTCACGCCAAAGCTGATATTCTTTGTCACAGCGGCCATAGCCGGGATGATCGAAAGCGGTTCCGTGACAGGCCATTGAGCTCCTGAAATGATAGCAGGTTCAAGTGACTTCTTGTAGACGTCATATCCGCCTGGTCATGTTCAGTCAGAGGATCTTGAAGCTGCATCGTCAGAAGGCTTTACCTAGTACATCTGCAATGAAGACACCGTGGAACTTGGCCTCCTCAAGCAGCTTTGCGAGGTCTGTCCAGTGCTCGATGTCGGTGAACCGCCATGACTGATCATCAGGGTGACGCCAGAGCCCAGGCGACTGGTGCCCACTACCTGTTAATGCCTCATCAGTATGCTCTATCACTCGCCGAGGCAAGCAAAGACTTACACATCTCAACGAAGGCATTGAGAATGAGGCTCTTCTTGCCCTCCTTGGTGTTCTCCTGCGCAGACATTTCGGCTGATGTTTTTTTGTTGAGTAAGCAATGATTCAGGTAGTTGATTTGGTGAAGTGTGAAGCCATGCAAATCACAGCCAAGATCTTATACAGTATTTTGGCTTGCAACAGAGCCATCCGATCATGGAGTCCTCACGATCCGGCAATTGACGCAGGCCCGCTTTTGGTGTCGATTCCACGAATCTGCACCGGTGCGAATTGCGTGATATGTGGAAATCTGTAGCATCGCCATTTTGGGCCGTCACGCCATTTGACCTGTATCTTGCACAAGCTCCTAATGTCATTGCGACATGGTTACGACGTCCACTAAAGCTCACTAGTCTCGGAGCGAAGCCGCGATAATTCACTTAATGTCGTTTTAAATGTCCCACTCGTTATTATTTCCTCGTGGAAACCTACGCAAAGCCATAAACGACGCAATATGATTACTTGGTGGTTGAATCGTGGCCAGAAGGCAGTAAAGCTTCTCTCAAGGTTAAAGAGCCAGAGTACACCGGCGGCTCCGACGAAAGCCGAGGACGATTATATTGTTCCGACGACACAGCAAGCAGTCCTTCTGTACGGCGTCAACCAGCCTTACCAGTTGGTTGAAGATCACCCTGTGCCAGCGGATTTGCAGAACGATGAGGTTCTCATAGGAAACAGAGCCGTGGGCTTGAACCCAATTGACTGGAGAGGACCGTAAGCAATGCAGGAAATTCTGCCAAACATTCAGAAACTGAACGTACTCCAGAGACTTCGGTTTTGGCATACCTGAGCTTCCGCAGGTCGCGGGCAGAGAGCTCAGTGGACTCCTCGTCCGGATTGCAGATGACCGTTCTGGCTGGGCAAAAGGCGACCGAGTAGGTGGCACCACCAACCCCTGCACAAAACAGATACTTACATTAGGCCAGGTGATTGCCATCTCAACAGACTACCGCGACAGTCGCAAGGGCGCTTATCAAGACCACGTTGTGGCCAAGAGCTACAATATTGTGCGGCTCCCTGGCCATGTCCCATTCGAGCAAGGATCAACTATCGGCGTCGCCTTTGTCACGGCAGCAGTTGCACTCGGCATTTGTCTCGGTGTAGACTTCACGGTTGTAGACAACGGTCCGGATGTGCGGCAAGTCGTGGACGGCTTGAACGTTGAATCTCTTCCTAAAGATGTCCACAAGGAGATTGTCCAGCAGATTCCATCGCAAGATCGCCCAGAGGCCGGAGACTGGTTCATTATCTGGGGAGGTAAGCGCAGCAAGTGTTCCAGTGGTGGCCATAGCTAACGCTTCACAGGCTCGTCGACATCAGCAATACTCAGCGCCCAATTGGCAAAGCTCGCCGGGCTAAGGGTCGCAGTTGTGCTTGACTCAGCAAAGCACGGCTCGAGGCTGTATAAAGAGCACTCCATCAAACCAGATCTTGTGATCGACAGTCATGATCCCCAGAGAGCTATTGAGATCATTCGGTCCTGCACGAGAGGCAGAAAGAGGTTCGGACTGGATACGAGAGGCAAAGAGACAACGACCTTCCTGATCGATGCCCTCTGCGACACTCCAAGCATCCCAGAGCCTCAGAGACCTGACGACAGCACGTCTGACGGTAGTGAGAGCTTGCTGCCACGGCATGTTCACATTGTCGCTCTGTGCTCGGCTCCGAAGATCCAGCGCAGTGATCTCACACTGCACACGATCCCGATCAAACTCTTCCATGAAAGCTCGGAAGTAGGTAAGGCATTAACAACGTGGCTTGGAAGGCTACTCCAGAACAACACTATTGCGTATCCAACGATCGCCGGCGTTGGCGATGGCTTGTCGAGCATCAACGCCAGCCTGGACAAAATGAGGAGAGGCGAGATCAGCGGTGGTAAGATGGTTGTAAAGATATAGAACAGGTAGAGCTCTCAGCGTTATGGAGAATCTGAAACTTCTTGGGAAGATTGTACTTGAGCTTGCTGGTGTTTCAAGAGTGTGAAGACTATGGTATCTTGGATCAGAGCGACCGCTGAAGAGCCACGGCTACGATAATTGACTCGCAGTCCACAAGAGAACATACAAGGGATCATCATGACCATCAGCTCGCCATGCAGCTTTCCGGATCAAGAGGTCTACAATAGTTCATTGGTGCATTGGTGCCTGGGCAACTAAGTAATGAAGAATCATGAGATGCACGCAACGCGGCGTGAAATGTAGGCTTGTATTTCTTGGCATTAGCTTGGAGTAACAGCTATCTACTTGAAGCTCAATAATTACAAGGCAGCATCGCGGACCTACTCGTTGCTGGATGCGACCGTCGTGGAGCCCTTGACCTTGACATCCTCGCTCGAAGGGGTGCTGGTTCCATCAACATCCGAACCATACGGAGAATTGCCAAAGTGCTTAATAACAGTCCAGGCAGGGAGGATCGACACAGCCCAGAGTGCAAGGTTGAAGTAGACGCCTCCGACACGGGCCATGATGGGGATGGAGGAGGTACCGTAACTGATCGCTTGCCATGCTGACTCTGTGCCACGAAGCAGAGCAGCGTACCGAACAATCTCTTCTTCATCAGAAGCCAAGTTCTGAACGACGAAATAGCTGCAGATGGACGGTCAGTTCCGACGACGCAGATGTGCTGAGTGGACTTACAGGAAGAGATAGTTCAGCTGGAAGCCGAATGTAAGGAAGACAAATATAGCAAACGCTGCACCAAAGCCGGGACTGGACCAGTCATAGGTGGGCTGAGATATGTTGAAGCGGGTGACGAGGATGGTTGCCCAGGTCCACCATCCGCCCTGCAGGATCACAAGAACCCAGAATGCGCCTCTAGTCCGGCGCTTCAGCGGAACTGATGTTCGGTCGAGCCAGGCCTAAGCTGTCAGCAAAGTTCAGTTGTGTCTTGACGAAGAGGTCAAGACGTACCCCGAGAATATTGCCACCGATCACAGCGACAATACCAGAGACGAAGGAGCCGAGTGCTCGAGATCGTACTGTGAACCATACTGGAGACGATTGTCAGCAAGCTTCTGTAAGAGGCAGCATTGGCAACGTACAAGACAGATAAGTGAAGAAGACCGCTTCGGAGAAGACGACTGCTCCGATGTAGAGCACGATGAGAAGGAACTTGGTTGTAAAGAAGAGGCGGGTGATCTTCTTGGTCTCGAGCCAAGGGTTGTTGACGATGGACAGATCAACCTTCTTGCCATCTGTACGCTCAACCTTGTCGGGCGGGCTCAGAAACAGAGCAAACAGCGGTCCTGAAGCTTGCATAGCAATGAAAATAAGGAATACGGTATATGAGACCTGGCCAGCCTCATTGCGTTCAGCGTTGAGACCGAGATTAATGGCACCACCGATAATCTGGCCACTCAGGCGGTATGTAAGCCAGTAGCCGAGAGCTTTGCCTTTGTTCCATGGTTCAGGATACGCAATGGCGATTGCCGCTTCGGCCATCCAGAAGACACCGGCCGAGATGCCGCAGAGTGCAGCTCCTAGGATGACGAGCCACTCGGTACCAAAGCGGTTGTTGGTGTACAGCCCAGCAGCATACGGGGCGTACCCAAGGCTGTGGTGGTTAGTATAGATTCCTGTCGGGTCTACAGATGGAGCACTTACGTTCCAAAGATGAGAGCTCCCTTGATACCAATATAGTGGACGAGGACACTGCCGCCCCAGCAGCTGAGGACCATGAGGCAGAAGGTCAGGGCGTTGGCCGTGTTTACCAAGTATGGCTCTTGGGCTCCTCCGGCACCTAAGGAGTTCATTGCAGTCCAGATACCCGGTGCAGCAAGATTACAAAGACCAAGAATGGTCATGTTGTAGAAGGTCGATCGGTACCACTTGACTGCAATAGATGAGCTCATGTTGACAATCGTGGACAGCTCAACTAAACCAACCTGCGTATTGGCCCGGCTCATGGCCAGAGGCATTTTCGTTCGCCATGTTGAATATTTTGTTGTTCGTGAAATCAAGTGTAGCAAGAGCGGAAAGTTCCGAGGTGTTCTATAATCTATCTGGTTAAAGAATGCCAGGAACCGGGGTGCCATCATGTCCAGTTATAGAAATATTCGATCGGCAGGCGGCACGCTCATTGGCGACCAATTTTCATGGCTTGATGATCCAGGGGCACGCACGCCATAGATTGCCATTTTGCGACAATGTGTTATCATTCTGGGTAATTAGCATGATGTGATTGAGCGGGGTGGGCACGCCATGATATCCATCCCGTCCAGTCCCATGGCCTAGTCTAGATTAATACCTGAATCGACTATATCATGGAATTCACTACAAATCGCTCATATCAATTGGAAACGCAGTGACCAATTCGAAAATCTCAATCGAATACCTTGACAATTCACCATGGGCGACTCTTTTGTTTTGATCGAGTCCCGGCACGATGCAGCCGGTGACAGCAGCTTGGGCACAGTGACCGGCTTGCCCGTCGGGCTACAGAAGCCCTCAGAGCCGCAGCCAAATTTCAATCCTCAAGCAAAACTCCCTTTGCTCGACAGATACATTGATGAGCCGCGACAGTTGCGAGTCGCTGTCATTGGTGGTGGCCTGTCAGGGATTCTTGCTGGGGTTCTGCTACCCGAAAAGGTCCCCGGCATTCAACTTGTAATCTACGACAAGAACTATGACTTTGTAGGGCTCTCCCATACTCTACCATTAAACTATGTTAACATCGCTTAGGGAGGAACGTGGCTCGAAAACACATATCCAGGAGTGCGCTGCGACATTCCCTCGCACGTCTACCAGTCAACATTTGCTCCCAACGAGAAATGGTCCGATGAGTTTGCGCCCGGCGCCGAAATCCGCGACTACTGGCAGGGCGTGGCCAAGAAGTACAACGTCTATCAATACGCCAAATTCGGACACCATGTCAAGAGCATTGACTGGAACTCTGAAGAATCGACGTGGACGTTGACGCTGCACAGGCGGGATCAGTCAGGGCAGGCTACCACGACTGTAGTAGAGACAGCCGACATTGTCTTCACTGCCACTGGACGATTCAATGCGTGGAAACTACCAGACTACCCTGGCATCTCCGAGTACCAAGGCCTCCTCAGACACGCCCAGAACTGGGACCCATCGACAGACCTGAAAGGCAAGAAAATTGCTGTGATTGGTAATGGAGCCAGTGGCATACAGCTTGTCGCGAATGTGCAGAAGAGCGCAGGGCACCTTGACCACTACGTCCGAGGAAAAACATGGATCGCCAATTCCTGGGCCGGCGATGACCGCACACTTGAGCCACAGCCGATTCCAGAGGATCTCAGGGCCACCTTCGAAGATCCAGAAGCATATTTGAAGTTCCGGAAGACTACCGAGGACAAGTATTGGCGCGGCTTCGACGGCTTCATCCGCAACTCCGACACGAGCAAGCAACTCAAGACTCAGTTCATTGACATCATGAAGAAGAGGCTCGCCAAGAAGCCCGAGCTCCTCGATATCATTGTGCCGGACTTCTCACCCAACTGCCGACGCCTAACCCCAGGGCCTGGATATCTGGAAGCAATCGCCGAGGACAACGTGGAATATATCACAAAGCCTATCGCACGATTCACCGCCACCGGCATTGAGACAACTGATGGCGTGCAGCGTGATGTTGACGCCATCTTTTGTGCCACCGGCGCAAACCGCGACATGATTCCTGCCTTCGACATCCGCGCAAACGGAGCCTCCATCGGCGATGTCTGGGGCAAAGAACAAGGCCACGGCTTCCCCTACACCTACTTCGGAGTGGCTACCCCCGGATTCCCGAACCTATTCTTTCTCTCAGGCCCGCACGGCACAGGACCATCCGGGACAGTACCCCACGCTGCCGAGACGCAGGTCGCATACTTTGCCAAGATCCTGCGCAAGATATCCCGAGAGGGCATCAAGTCTATCGTAGCATCAAAGAAGGCCGCCAATGACTTCTTAGAGTATGCAGACTCCTTCTTCGCCTCTACTACACTATCGGAGGCCTGCAGCTCTTGGTACAACGGCGGACAACCTGGTGGACGCATCCATGGCGTGTGGCCGGGGAGTGCTACTCACTTGACTATCGTGCGCCGAGAACCACGCTGGGAGGACTTCGAGTACGAGTACTTGGCTGGTGGTGGTAATCGCTTCCAGTGGTACTTTGGCAATGGGTGGACGCGGAAGGAGCAGGATCGGGATGCGGACATGACGCCTTATCTGCATGAGCCAGGCAAGGTCGACCTTAAGGATGTTCATGAGAGTTGGTGGAGTGTGCCTTGAGTGACTTCGCTACATTCGGATGCAGATTGACGGCATGCCATCCATTACTAAATATAATTACACTGGCTCATCGCCAAGAAGTTCAGTTCAAGATAATAGTTCCCAGAAGTACTTCACGTGCTTAAATTTAATCTATACCAGTTCCTTCAGCGCGTATATCTCTCCTGAAATGTACCACTAACCGGCTTGTACAGGGTAGCTCCGGTTAAACAATTTCCATCTCAAAACGCGTTAATAATATCCATCAATTGTCAAGGTAGCAGTCTTGCTAATCAAGAACTCATCAATTGCGACATCCTTTCCACTTTCCTTTCCATGCCCGCTATCTTTAATACCACCAAACGGCGCTTCAGCAGACGAGCTGTTACCCGCGTTCTACACCAAGTCAGTTTCAATCCGACGCGTAATTTCCAGAATAGGGACTTACCAGACCAATCATTCCCGCGTCCAGGTTTTCAAACAACCGCCATAGTCTGTCGACATTCTTTGTGAACACGTAACTTGCCAACCCTAGAGGCGTGTCGTTTGCTCTCTGCACCACTTCATCTTCGCTTTCAAAGCGGTAGAATCCGAGTACAGGCGCGAAGATTTCTTCATGAGTCATGAGCATGTTGTCTTCCATTTCAGTCAATATCGTGGGCGCCATGAAGTAACCGTCTCCTTCTTCACGTCTTCCAGTACCGAGGACCGTCTTTGCGCCCTTGCTAATGGCGTCCTGATACAGTTCTTCAGCCTTGTCGAGGCCCCGCAGAGTCGTCAACGCGCCCATTGTGCTACCCTCCTCCATGCCGTGTCCCAGTTTCAATTTACGCGTTTCTTGTACAACCTTTTCGACAAAAGTGTCGTAGATGTTGTTTTGCACGAAAACTCTGTTTGAGGTGATACATGCCTGTCCAGCGTGTCGCCATTTGAGAGGCATGAGCTGAGATATAGCTTGGTCCACATCTGCGTCATCAAGCACGATGAATGGACAGTTGCCCCCAGTTCAAATGTTGTCCTTTTGAGGTTTGGAGCACACAAGCTTGCGATGATCTTTCCAACCCTCGTGCTGCCTGTGAAGCTCACCTTCTTGACCCGCGTATCCAAGCATAGAGCTTCGGCCACGGTTGGTGTGTTCTCCAGTGACGTCGTCACCACGTTTAGTACTCCTGGAGGGAACCCGGCCTTCAAAGCGAGGTGTGCAACTGAAACGGATGTCAAAGGAGTCTCAGGCGATGGTTTGATGACCATGGTGCATCCTGCAGCCAAAGCAGCAGCAGCCTTGCGTAGTGCGAGTGCGATTGGGAAATTCCATGGGACAAGGGCGGCTGCAACACCAATAGGTTGTTTAATGGTCATCGCTCGCCGACCGGGAATAGCACAGGTAAGTGAAGTACCATGCGCCCGATCAGCCTCTCCAGAGAACCACCAAACAAAGGTAAGGGCATAGTCAATTTCGCCTCGTGCTTCCACAAGTGTCTTTCCTGTCTCGTGGACAAGAATGCGTGCTAGATCCTCGCGCGCGGCAAGGATAAGGTTATGCCATTTCATAAGAGCCTGTGCTCTGAAGCGTGGTGTTGTCTTTGAGTAAGTCTTGAAGGTTTCATATGAGGATGCCACAGCGGAATCAACATCTGAAGCCGTGCAGTCTGGACAAGACGCCCACGGTTTTCCGGATCCTGGATCAACAATGTTGAAGGTTCTACCTTCTTTGGCGGATACAAAGTCCCCATTGATCAGAGATGTACATTGAAAGAGAGACTCGTCCGCAAGTTGGAATGGGCGTTGAAGAGGATTGGCCATTGTATCTTTGAGTGATATGTTGAGTTGGATGTAATTGACGTCTTGACCGATAACATGAGACTTTGGAAGTTGTCCAAGAATTTTATCATGGCTGGCACGATAAAGACATATTACACGCTTGTCCGCTGCTGTCAGTCAATAGCTTGTGCCACCTTCTCGAGAGAGTTCGTGCCGACCAATCATAAAGAAATCAGCAACTTGTCACAGGAATCATTTATCCCCACATTGAGAGGCTGGAGTGTTCCACACCAATTTAGATTGCTTTCCTAAAGGGATCTAGCCCGATGGATCCATGTCATCTAAATCCGGGAACGGACTCTCAAAATGGTAAGGCAAATGGTAGCGATGGATGTACTGTCTGCTGTGATCGCACTAGCGTGGCTATAGAATCAAGGATGGGAGCTTCTCCCAACGGCAAGGTATCAAACAAATGGCCATTGGATTTCGGTGAAAACTACTCCATTCACGTTATTCCGAGTAAGGAAAGATAGATGCTGAATTTTATTCTACGTTCTCTTCATTGCTAATTATCTATGAAAAGAACAACGCAGCAGTTCTCCTGGCCAATTGTCTCAATTCCAAGTCAAATGTCGCCTGCTTACACGCAGCGGCCTCCATCAACCTACATAGCCATGTCAGTTTGGAAGTCGAATAATCACACTGAAATCTTACCTCTAAGTCAACACCAGTTATAAATGCAGCCTCATCACTAGCTAGATAACAGCACGCATTGGCAACGTCGCTTGGCGTGGATGGCCTGCCGATGGGAATAGTGGAAACGAAGCCCGCTCTATTCTCCTCGGTATCTGGCTTTCCAATGAAAAGATGTGTCCTGCATATATCAATCAACAAACATGTTCTCAATCGAGCCAAGATAGAAGAATACTTGCATGCCGGTGCTTCCAACAACAGGCGAGACAGAATTGAACCGAATCTTTCTGGGTCCATACTCAACAGCCATTGTCTTGGTGGCATTGATGACAGCCGCTTTGGACGCATTGTACCAGGTCAACTCTGGTCTTGGTCTGATTCCAGCCGTTGAAGCAACCTGGATAAAGCATCCAGGTCGGTCGCCGCCAAGGAAATACGGCAGAAGGACATTGGTTGAGTGATAGACACTCTTGACGTTGACGTTCATGACGAGATCAAAGTCTTTGGAAGTGACCTGCTCAGTGGGCTTCTTAGGGTATGCAGCACCGGCATTGTTGACCACAATGTCGAGCTGGTTAAACTTTTGCAGAGTAAATTCAAGAACGCGTTGCCAGTCATCTGGATTCGTAGCATCGGCCCGTGAAAAGACACAATTGAGTTCTTGAGCGACAGCTTGGCCGTGTTGCTCATTGAGATCAGTGATGACGACGTTGGCACCTTCAGCGATGAATTTGGTAGCGATACCTTTGCCAAAGCCTGACGCACCGCCAGTAACGATTGCTGTCTTTCCTTGAAGTCGTCCTGTCATTTTGGTAAGTTGTTTAAAGGGAACGAAGAGGATGAAACTTGTGGAAATTTCTAAAAAAAAAGAGAGATTTTATGGCCCTCTGTCGGGTTTGATCTTTCTTCTGGTGTCTTTGCGTCAGTCGCCAGACTTGTTCCCCCCGCATTTTGTTAATCACACACCTGTCCATCCATAACGGGAGGGAACATCCAAGCCAACATCCGGAGCGGGGTAGAATCAGTCACAGGAATAACAATTTCTCTTGGCTGCATTTCACTTCATCACAGGAACGTTATTGGCGATAACCGGGGATATTCTGGACTCCGAAGTCGGTAGGCTGATCTCGCTTCTGGACGCCGTATGATGGGGGTATCCAACATCTATTGCTAAGTATTCGCACCTCTTGACTGTACTGAGACATCGGCCTCAACTTCGCCAATTCTCATCATCAGTTTGCAACCATATACCTATTTCATCCCTTATCGCATTTGCCATGTCGCAAATCAAGACATTTCGAATTCTCATCCTACCAGGAGACCATGTCGGCCCTGAAATCATGACCGAAGCTCTGAAGGTCCTCGACGTGATAGAAGCTAGTCGATCCGACATCCAATTCGAAAAAGATACAGATATCTGCGGCGGCTGCAGTATCGACAAACACGGTACCCCAATCACAGAATCCGTCCTCGAAAAGGCCGTGTCTAGCGACGCCGTACTTTTCGGTAGCATCGGTGGTCCGGAATGGGCAGGAGCCGAGCCAACTCCAGAGTCTGGTCTGTTGCGGCTCCGTCAGCGCCTTGACGCTTTTGCCAACCTGCGTCCATGCGAGATTCTAGTACCGTCTCTCGTCAGTGCATCACCAATAAAGCCTGAGCTTGTGGCGGGGACTAAGTTCATCGTTGTGAGAGAGAACTGTGGCGGTGCGTATTTCGGAAAGAAAGAAGAAAGTGAAGATGAAGCATCCGATCTTTGGGTTTACTCGAGATCTGAGGTTGAGAGACTGGCCCGCGTGAGTGCTGCTATCGCCAGGATCTTGCATGCGGGCAACGAAAAAGCGGACAATGGAAGCAAACCAATTGTCTGGAGCGCTGACAAGGCAAACGTTCTTGCGAGTGGGAGACTTTGGAGACGCGCAACGACGGATATCTTCAATCGAGAACTCACAGACATTGACCTCAGACACCAACTCGCCGATAGTTTAGCGATGCTGATGGTTCTTGACCCCAAGCGTTTCAACAACAGCGTCATTCACACCGATAATACTTTTGGAGACGTCCTTTCCGATATTTCTGGCGGTATCACAGGTACGCTTGGAATTCTGCCAAGCGCAAGTCTTGCTGGTGTCCCTGGAGAAGGGTCTTGTAAAGGGATATACGAGCCCGTTCATGGGAGTGCTCCCGACATTTCAGGCAAGAACCTTGCAAATCCTGTGGCGCAAATCTTGAGTCTGGCTATGATGCTTCGCTATTCGTTTTTGCTAGAGAAGGAAGCAGATGCCATTGAACAAGCTGTTGCGAAGGTTCTCGATGTTAAAGATGGCGGTGGTTTGGAGATTAGGACAAAAGACCTTGGTGGAAATGCAATGTGCAGTGAAGTTGGAGATGCAGTTTGTAAGGTTCTTGGTAATATCTTGGAAACTTAAATGTAGAATGAATATGTAAGCTGTTATCGTCTATTCTTAGCACTTGTTACCATTTGGTTGCGCGTTGCCAGCATTCGCAAAGTTACCGCCCTGGCCAAAGTTACCACCAAAGTTTCCACCAGCATTTCCGTTGTTTCCAGCATTTCCAGTATCTCCTCCAGGGAAGCCAGTGTTCCCTCCAGTGTTACCGGTATTGCCACCAACATTACCCGTGTTTCCGCCGGTGTTAGTAGCGTCTCCATTGGCATCTCCATTGTTTCCAGCTCCCGCATCAGTTCCATTGCCAGCGTTTCCACCAGCTGCAGCACCTGAGAGTTTAGAGTTGACAAACTCCAAAGCCTCCTTTCCGTAGATATTCACATACTGCTGGTGATGAGCAGAGTCGTTACCGTTACAACAGAAAGGATCTTCTGCGTCGCAGTAGATCTGAACTTTGTCGGCGTTGGGGCAGCCGAAACCTTCGGGCCGAGCATCAAACTGTTGATAATTAGCTTCTTCTTGCATCGGAGAATCTTTCGTTGTTTGACTTACGCCACCAGCATCACAGGTTCCGACTCCATAAACCAGACCGTTGATGAATCGGGGATTGCCCAGCATCACGACGGCCTTGACTTGTTCAACTGCACTTGCTGACAGAGGAACGCTAGAATCAGAGATTGAAGCTCCGTTGTCTGGTCCTCCACAGATGTTGTTGTCCATGATCTGGCCACCCTGTCAAAGAAAATTAGCATCACAACAGAAATCGAGTAGTCGGTGTCATCATACTTGAGAGTAACCAATCATAACAATCTTGGTGTCAGGACACCTCTCATTGAGTCCATTTACAGCAGTGGTAACGGCCTCGGTACCTTGCTTCGCTGAAGCACCATACTCAACATTACCACAAGACGCCTGGCCACCGCACGCAGGGTAGTCAATGGCCTCTGAGGTAGCACCTGGGTGATCCGCCTTGATCATATCAACCAGTGCGCCAGCTGAGCCAAAACCAGGTGCTACGGATGTCTCACGGGCGCCAAAGATGTGGATCTCGGGGCATGACTGGGCCTGTGCCTTTGCTGCCAGAGCATTGGCAAGGATGAGCAGTAGACTTGAATCGAGTGAGGCGCGCATTTTTGTCAGAGTTGGTTGACTGGATTTGATGGATCTGATGAATAGCATCTCGTTGGGTATTTATCTGAGTATTGAAGCACAGTTTTTACAGCCTGTGCATGAATTATCCACATTGCATCACCCCATGATAACACGTTCTCGGTTGTTTCAGAGGAACTGGTGCTCGGATATATTTCTGACAGGGATAATGGATTGGTGGATAAACCACCATTGGTTTCGTTTGAAACAATTTGCGTTTTATGATCAGCTATAATTATGCGGTTTAACACCCACCTGAAGCCATCTATGATGATAGTGGACCGTGAGATCAGTTGCCGACGGCCCGAAGATGACATGTTTGGCTGTTGCAGATAAATATACTTAAATGATGTGTGTTTGAACTTTTGGGTTGACGATCTCCACCATCACCCGAACTCTGCATTGACCAACGCGGGATGAATCAATCCACTAAGCGAAGTATTTTTGGCGGGATTCTGGAACAACAAAAATGGGAAACGAATAAGTTAGGGCCGTGGATCCTAGAACAATGATGGAATCCAAGAACCGTGACGTTGGACGTTTCCACGTCGATGGTCACCGCCAGCATTATCGAAGTCGATTTATGATTGCTCAACAAACACAAAGGTCATTATGACCTTTCACCAAACAATTTCAAAAGCCAAAGTCTATACAATTCCAAGATCCCTTTTCTATAAAGAGAATAACTGTCAAAACTCCAATCATAACTTCGAGTCGAATTGTTTTCCTACGTTCGTCTCAATATAGGTTACGGGAAGGCAACGATCTCGTACCTCTAACCCTTCTTCATCTGGGCGAGATAGGATTCCACATCTGACTCCCTCAGGCGAGTAGCCTTACCGTTAACCTGCTCTCCAATGTCTGTTTGGTATCCCTTCATCTTCTCGAGGTATTCAGGGATGAAAGCCCCTAGGATGCGGATGGCGAGAAGGGCAGCGTTGGTGGAGTTGTTGATACCCACGGTGGCAGTGGGAACACCTCGCTGCTACGTGTCAGTTTGTGCTGATTGGAAAAAAAGAGATTGAAACTTACCGGCATTTGAACAATGCTGAGAAGGGAATCCATCCCATCAAGATGAGTAGCCTTGACGGGAACTCCGATGACGGGGAGAGGAGTGTAAGCCGAGATCATGCCTGGTAGGTGAGCAGCTCCTCCAGCAGCAGCGATGATCACTTTGATACCACGATCAGCAGCAGCAATGGCAACATCTCCCATCTTGACGGGTGTTCGGTGTGCAGAAGTAATATCAACTTCCCAAGGAACACCAAATTGAGTCAGAATATCAAGACCAGCCTTGAGAACAGGGAGATCCGAGTCGGAACCCATGGTGACAAGAACCAATGGGTCCTTTGCAGTCTTGGCAACAGCTTGCTCCGGTCTCATGGCCTTGCTCTTTGCCTCGATTCTCTCTTGGCGCATGTCAGCCGCCAGTTGAACAAGAGGCTGCGCAAACTTCTCGAGGTCCTTGATGCTCCCTTCCAGACCAGTAAGGGTAATGTGGCCAATCTTGCGACCGGGCTTGGATTGTTTGCCGTAAAGGTGAGGATAGACACCGATCTTGGGGGCAAACATGGACTTGGCTTTGTTGACCAGAGGGATATGAGATTCTGGTGAGGCCCCCCCGAGGATGTTGATCATGATGCTGGACGAGACGTGGGGTTCGAGCTTTTCGGGGAGGGGTTCGTCGAGGATGGATGTAAGTTGGGCCTTGTACTGGGACCTAGGAAATTTAGCTCGCATCACAAAAAGCGAAAGATATTGGTTTGGAGAAACTCACATGTAGGGTACCGCTTCAATTGTGAGATGTCCAGAGTTGTGAGGTCGGGGAGCAATCTCATTGACGAGAATGTCATTGTTCTCAGTCACAAACATCTCGACAGCGAAAACACCTCGTCCCCAGAGCTTCTCAACCACACTAACAGCAACCTCCTGGGCGCGCTTGGACACAGAATCGGGAGTGTCGCGAGGAGGCATGTACACGCGGGAGCAGACATTGTCCTCATGGACTGTCTCTACGGCGGGGTACGGCACCAGACGCTTTGTCTTGCCATCGGCGTCTTCTGTGCGGATGACGATGACGGAGAGCTCGCGCTGGAAGGGAACGTACTTTTCGGCGTAGCATTGAAGGTTTCCGAACTCAGTTACGGCAGTCTCGATGTCGTTATCGTTGGCGATTTTGATGTTTCCACGTCCGTCGTATGAATCCTTTCGCGACTTGAGCATGAAAGGCAGGCCGTACTTGTTGGAAATGTCCTTGAGAGCAGCGCGCATCTCATCACTACCCGAAGCTTGCACAGCGACCTGCTCAGCGATGGGAATTCCCTGCTTGCCAAGATAATCTTTCTGCTCGTACTTGTCTTGGATAAGACGCAACGTCTTCCATGAAGGATAGACGACAACTTTGCCCTCCTTACTCAATTCCTCAAGAACAGCAGTTTCGATATGTTCCGTCTCAACACTGAGGACCTTGCAGTGGGAGGCAAGTTCTCTGATCTTGGCGGGGTCCTTGAAAGATCCATCGACGTGGTACTTGCTGCGGGAGACTTGCTTTGCCGGGGCGTCTTGGGCATCGAGGATGGCGATTTCAACTTCGAGTGGGGATGCGGCCTCGCATAGCATTCGGCCGAGCTGGCCACCACCTAGAAGTCCGAGCTCTGGCTTTCCGCTCATGGCTGAGATGTGTTGAGATATCGTGGAGTTTGCTGGATTTGTGCGATGAGGTCAGAGGTCAAGGGAAATTTTCTGGATCGGAGCAAATATGTGGGGCGCGGGGTGAAAAGTTAGATGACTAAGCAGAACTCTGTTGAGGAACACTCATTGTCATAGCAGCAGAAGACGTGATAAAATGGAATGGAAAGACGATGTTACAGAAAGCAGCAATTCAGAAGTATCAATTGATGTCACGCTGTAGACTTCATTGGTGATGGTATTTGGCATGCTGTCAATTGGAATGAGACTCAGTTCCGACCTGGGACAAGCTCCGATATCGTTCTGTCCCACTTTACTCGACTGCGACGGTTCAATTCCGGTCGGAGACACGTTTTTAATTTTTGTATGTACAAAGGTTCACTTTTCCAAACATCAATCAATTTCTTTCTCATAACGTAAGGGATTAAAGAGGGCGTGAGGAAAAACCTATATACTATACTTCCAGTCGTCTATAATCACCGTCTAATTTAAACTTTATTTAGTCGGTTCCTTAATACACTTTCCCTAAACAGCGCATAATAAGCCTTATAACATACACTTCGCTCAGTGCATACTATGCACGCACTGCAAAACATAGTCAATGATATCTTGGTATAACAGAGCTTGTACAATGCTAAATACTCGGTTCTTGAATAAGAAACAGTATGGGATTGTTATGCCATCCAGATGCGTAGACAGTTTCAATTCGAGTGATAGTCATGAGTGTTTCTAGCTTCTCCTTGTACTAGGAAAATCCTTGAAGTACCTAGTGCTGCTTGTTATTTCCCAAATTTCAGAGGGACTTCCAGAAAACCTTGTATATATATGTAGGGCCTGGTGTTTGTTATTCTGTTGACGATGTTGATCAGCATTTAACAACAGACTGTCTTTAATTCAAACACTCAATCAATCATATAGTTGCAGTGATCCACAACCTGAACAATGAATTACAAATGACATGGAATCAAATGGACATAACAAAGACGTATCTATGCAGTGAGTTCAATCAAAGAGTCCATCCATATGCAAACAGATAACTAGAAAATGCCAAGAAACATCTGCATAATGTCATGTGTCACACGGAACAATTCCGTCCTCGCCAATCCCATTCAGTCACTGACCGAAAATGCCTTGGCTAGCCGTGACCATCTGCTAAGCAATGGTAATGACCACACAGCCCCCGTGGTTGACCATTTAACCTAGTGTACACTCCATCTCGATCTTTTCCCGTAGAAAGTTGAATTCGCACTTCCGACTATAATTGACAACCATATTACTATGACATGGAGTTCGCAACCGTCTTCGATGACCCGTGGTCTAAAAAACCCATTCCTTTGGAGGACGCTGCTGCAGTAAAAAAAACAGTCCCCATCGTTTCAGAGGCTCGTCAGGCTAATGTCAAGACTAGCAACATCTTGAACTGATTGAGGTATTCCTAAAACTCATCGCGCACTTGGGTGATGATAACGGTTACATCAGCGATGAGACTTTGGTATACTCAGAATGGCGATACATAGTCTACGCACGAATGATCGAGGCACGAGGGTATTCCCCGAGTGACATTCCACCGCCATGGTATGTGCACCTCATTCAAAATAGAACTGATAACTGACAGTAGCAGGGATGTTGCACTCATCATGTACCTGCATATGCTTTCGCCATCGCGTTTTCACCACTACATCTATGATAATCGTTCAAGAGTATTGGATGGCATATTTGGCCTCCGTCATCGTCACTTCCCAATGACACAGTTGCTTTCAGGAGAGTGGTATCCAAGAAAAAGCCGGAAACTTTGGCTGGAGGCCAACACACCTGATCGAGCCGCTTGTCCAGGTCCAAATCTCCCATTCCAGCTGTGGTCTTCTCCTCCTTGGGAACAAAAGCGAGCTTCGAACGTTGTTTCCTCAGTCCTTGGTAGAAACGCATATCAACCTCCAAGTTCAAATTCGCGATGGACTACACAAACCGACAGGAGAGATCCGGGCACATCCAAGAATCAAAGGCCTCGTGTCGTGATTATGCATGAATGGCTTCGTTGTAGAACAGCTGTTGCAGAACAAGGTTTCAAAGTCTGGGAAATCGAGGCATACACGGCGATAAGAACGCAGCGTGTTGAAGAACGGTGCCGGAATCAAAGTCAGCATGAAGAGTTCAACGCAACTTGCGGACTTCGACCATGGCCGGTACTGCAAGATTTACGAGCCGAATTGGAACAGCAGATATCGTTCTGGAAGGTTATAGTTCATGTGAAGAGCATGTTACCAGGGTTTGGTAATAGTTTGACCGAACATATGAATGATTATAAAGACTACATGGATCTAATTTGTCATGTGTTATGGAGGAAGGGTAAGCATGGTCGTTACAAGTCGAAACTTGACCCAAATAATCAAGCCGGTTCTCGTTCAGAAAATGAGCCAACAAAAAAACAGGTCGAACCGCGATTCATCCGCTTGCTTCCCCCGACCATACAGATTGATCTCCTGTGGCAAACCCACCGACTTTACCCAGCCCATTACTGGCTGTTTTGTTGCGAGCATTCGGAGTGGGTGGTGGAGCCAGATTCAGGCGCACGAGCTGGTGATGTGCTTCTCAAATACACGAAGGAGGAGTGGAAACATGGATATTCGAAAGATATCGAGAGAGGAACGTCAGTTAGTGAATGGTTTACAGAGTACGTTCCTTGTGCGTCCAAGCTTGCTCCTCCAGACGTGGGGCGGACCAACCTGTCCAATATAGTCAATGGGGTAAATGCAGTCAGGCAAAGAAGAGTTGTAAGAAGGACGGAAAGGAATGATGATATAAGTGGAGGTGGAGGAGCTGGATTCAGCGGAGGGGATGGGGGTTGTGGTGGTGATGGTGGTGGAGGAGGAGAATAGGAAGTGTTATGACCAGTGTTTCGCGATCCCTTCTATTTTAAAGCGCTATGTCTGGTAAATTGATCGTTAATTGAATTTCTCAGCGCGGATACCTGATCTGTAATATCTAAAGCCTTCCAATCTTTACTTTTAAAGATCAAGGCTGCAGTAGCTAGGGAAGTTAATCCATACTCTAGAAGTACTGCCTAATAACATAAGCCTTAGTTCTCCTTTGCATAACTGGCCACGGAATATTTCTTAAACACTACCCTTACTCCACTCTCCCTTAGCTCTAATCTTTCTTCCCCAGGCAAAGAATAGAAAGGGGACTGGTATTAACACTGCGGCAATAAACCCGAAAACAGTTGTACCCCAGTTCACTCCAAGCTTGTGATACATAGGTATAATGAAGAGAGGAAATGCGCCGGAGAACATGGATCGCATAAAGGTGTTAGCCGCCACTGCGCTAGCGCTGTAACACGTGAATGTGTCAATAAGGTAGCCCAGTGCAGCCTGGAAGATAGTTGTGAAGCCAAGGCCGGTTAAAGCGATGCCGATGATAGAGGGCCAGTAGGTCATATGACTAGATGAGGTCCCTGGTATTTTTCAGTTAGCCGTAGAGTTCAAGAGCAACCGCCATTGAGATTGAGACAGTGACTGACATGCAAAAAGGAATTGCCCAGATGTAAAGACAATGCCCCCGAGCATCATCGGGGGTAATCTGGCTTCTGGCACAGCTCTGTAACCATTCTCTACAAGCTTCTTGCCGTAATACTTGTTGTTATATATATTAATGGCTGCTGCGCACAAGATTCCAATCAACAGTGCTATGAATGGTAGGCTACCAACCACAGGGCCCCATTGGCGAACCTCCTGGTACTCAATGGAAAAGCTCTCCAGATTGGCATATAGAATTCCTGCATCTGATCAGTGTTTGTGTCACGTGTTTCGAATAAACACTTACCATAAACGAACGAGGCGTAGATCGACATAAGAAAGCAGATGGGGTTTACTACGAGTTGAAAAGGACGGATGAAATATTTCTGATGTAATTCTTTGAACGATATGCCCGATTCTTCATGCTACTGCAACGTAAGTTCCTGAACAACTGACACAAGTAGATGCTCTTACCTTGGCATGCAATGCCCAATCTCGAGTCTCAATTCTCATTTTGTAAGCCTTGCGAACCAATAACGTCGGTGCATAGCTCTCGTCAATCACCAAAAGGTTAAGCGCAAGCTGAGCCATCATGACAATGCCTATCAAGTACTCGGTCGATCGCCAGCCGAGACGACTCGAGCACAAGGCGGCACCTATGATGGGGCCCAGGGTCGGTCCGCCGACAATAGTAACTCCATAGGCGACTATGGCGTTACCGAGCTGGTGAGGGGCCCATATATCTGACATTACACCACCTGTGATTGTGACAGGCGCGCTACCGAAAAGACCTGTGAAGAATCGAGTCACGAGGATAGTCGTAATATCTTTGGCAGTGGCTGTACCGAAGGAGAAGACGGCGGCGATAAAGTACGGCTGGTTTTCGCTGTTAGCACTAGATGAGCGAGCAATGGTAAAATACTCACTATGAGAATCGTCCACTTGCGGCCGTAAAGTTCACTCAATGGTGCCCAAATCAATGGCCCAAGACCAAAGCCAAACACGAGCAAGCTCGTTGCTGCAGCCGATGTCTCTGTATTGACATTGAACTCGGCAGAGACAGGTTCAATGGTAGAAGCAAAAATGGCAGAGGCCAAGGTGATCCAGCATGTTGTCAGACCGTATAATATTGTAGTGATAAATTTCTTGCGAAAGGTCCAATTCATGGGGTTGTAAGGATCATCTAGGCCGTCAAACGTGACCAGATAGCTTGATGATTCCCCATCAATGTCGGTCTTTTGATTATTTCTGTCTGAGCTCATTTGAGGTGCTATCGTGTCGCGGTCGCTCATCGTAACGGTCAGTCCTCCGGGCAAATCCAATGTGTTGAAGAGGCAATGGAAAAACAACAGATTCAGTAGAAGTTGTGCTGTATTGTGTTGCTATGGCCTTTTATCATGACTTCTTAATCTCATGAATCCACAATTTCGGTATCGGCTTGTGCTTATACGACAGTGGCGGACGGGTCGGTAGTGAAGAGAGGGATCCGACGCCGAGCTCAATGCTCCCCATGACCCAAGAAAGCTACCACAGTCGCTTTCCAAGCTTAGCCGCCTGGATCTCAGGTGTGTGTGTTTGATTGATTACCTACATGCTTAGCTAGACCCCGCTGGAGTGTGCCACAATACGACCCAATGAAGCTAGTGGTCGGAGACGCACAACTTTACCCGACTCCGTCCTGGTCCGTGCCATATCTGCCCTTTTGTATTTCCCGAGCCGCCAAGGTGATTAGCGGTCATATGTGCCCACAGCCCCGTAGTTGCTAAAGCTCAAGAGTTGCAGGCCAACTTCCTATCAACCCGGCCTTTCTCATTCCCAATACTTTGTCAACATCCAAGAATTCCTGATCCAGTTGATCGGTATCATGGATTTAGAAACCCCAAGCAACCCCCAAAGAAGGCTGTCAGCTGAAGAAATGGCAAACAAATCAACCCCAGATCTCCATTCTCCCGATTGCACCTCTCCGTCTGCGTCTGCATCTGGCCCCTGTAACACCGACAGGCTACGCAGTTGTATGCTCTGCCGTCAGCGTAAAGTCAAATGCGATCGCCAGCAGCCTTGCTCCAACTGTCTTCGTTTCGAGCTAGATTGCTCGTACCCAGCCGGCCGGGGAAGAGCTAAACGGCGTCTTCCCCTTGTTGATCGATTGCAGAGACTCGAAGACACCATCAGGAAACTGGCCAGTCAGGTTGATGCCTCAAATAATACAGACGGAGCTTCCCCTGCGACCGAAGTTGGGCCGCGTCACGACCACAGACGAGGGCATCCTTCCCCCTCCAACTGCAACGGCTCGAGCCCAGATGCTTCCATTGACCAGCAACTCGGCCGTCTAATGATAGACGACAGCAAGAGTTACTATATCAGTAACATCATGTGGGCCAACTTGGGTAATGAGGTGTGCATGAACTCAACTTCAACACAAAAGTATTCAAGGGGCATCAATTACTGACAGTGTCTTTGTCTTTCAGATCGAAGAATTGCGCGACTTGTTGCACGACCCTGTCTCGGACGATGAAGACTACGTCCCCGCCGACGGATACATACCCGAAGCAGTTTCACCATTTGGAACAAGCGCTGCTGTGCTGGGCTTCCGCTCCCTTGGCCATTCTCTTCGGCCATACCATCCACCCATGCAGATGTCTGTGGCTCTGTTGACAATCTTTCGCGAGAATGTACTTCCTCTGGTGCACATCTTCCACATGCCCACCACCGAGCAGTGGTACTGGGATACAGTTGTATCGCTAGATTCGCTTAACAAAAACACCGAAACGCTGCTGTTTTCTATTTATTACTCTGCCATTATCAGCATGGACGAGACTCAGTGTCTTGATATACTGGGTTCAACACGCTCCGACTCCCTCGACAAGTATCGCTTCGCAGTTGAGCAAGCTCTGGCTCGAGCCAACCTTCTTAACACGCAGAGTTTCGTTCTCCTTCAGGCAGTTGTGCTATTCTTATCGGGCCTGCGTAACGAGGATGATTCAAGAACGACGTGGTCCCTTACGTCGCTCATCTTTCACATTGCCCAGGCGATGGGTCTCCACCGCGACGGAACTACATTTGGACTTAAGCCACTCGATATAGAACTACGCCGGCGTCTGTGGTGGCATATTTGTCTTCTCGATATGCGCTCCTCTGAATTTCACGGTTACGAGCCTATAGTTCACGAGGGTATGTTTGACACAAGACTTCCCTTGAACATCAATGACAGCGACATCAGTCCTCTTATGACACAATCTCCCCCAGAGCATCAAGGAGCTACAGAAATGACATTTTGCCTGGTCCGTTGCGAAGGCATGAGAGCTGGGTGGAGGGTCGGTTACGCGTCGCCAACGCCAAGTGCCACAGCAGACGGCGCGCTGGAAGATCGTGAAGCAGTGGTCCAAGATCTCAAAACCCGCTTGGAGACCCAATACCTACGCCATTGCAATGAATCAGTACCTTTTATGCTATTCACATCTACCGTCGCGCGTCTCATTATTGCACGCACCTGGCTCGCAGTTCACTACCCCAGCAAGCAGAAGCCAGAGTATAGCTCGACTCTGAGCAAAACCACTCGAGATTTGCTATTTTCCACGTCGACTGAAGTTCTTGAACTTTCAAGCTTTCTCTTAGACAACAACAGAATCTCCAAGTGGACGTGGCACTCCAAAACCCACATACAGTGGCATGCAGCCATATTTGTTCTCTCCGAGATCTGCACCCGCCCCTCATCTGCGATATGTGATCGAGCCTGGGAGTGTGTGAGCATCGTGCACAACCGATGGAATGTAAAGGAAAGTGGGAAGCGAGGCAATCTATGGAGACCCATAAAGCGTTTAATGGCAAAGGCACGTTATGTGCGTGAGATGCAGCAGACTGACCCGACATTTTGTCACTTAGGACCCGCTGCACTAATACCTTCCAATACTACGTCAACGCCAAATGTAGCTACAGGCCTGCAGCCAGGTGCCTTCCCAAGTTATTTACACAACATCCCCGGTACCGGGACTTCAGATGAGTATATTGATTGGATGCTTGGGGATCTGGGCATAGACATGTATGGCGGGATGGCAGAGGGGTTCGAAAATTTACAATAGTCTTAAGATAGAATTACCAGTTAGCCTTTCCATCATGATAATAAATGGCTGCACCGCAGTTAATACAAGTGAGGGCGTTTTGTTTAAGAAAGCAGAACGTAAAATGCGTTTTTTGCAACAGCCGCTCCTTAAACATTTAAATTGTCAATATTATCTTTATGTGCTATATAGGCTCAAATGACTGAACATAAAAGTGAAATCCTTCATAGTAATCCGGATCTGGGTTATCTAGCACTTTGGTCAAGTACTCAACCTGCCATAAACCCCATCTCATATTCATCTCAGCTTTCAAAACATCCTAGTAAGCTGGGTACCAACCAGACTCCTCTCAGTCAATTATAACCCTAATACGACAAGGTGAATCTCGAGACACCATGATATTTGCAGGGTTAAGATGGGCATGGATGAAATGGATAGGCGTATCATCTGGGAACATCTTTTGATATGAATCTATCACATCGGCGAGATCAAGATCAAGGTTTCTAGCCTTGGCTGGCCATTTGAAAATGTTGGACATACAATCGTGAAGTTCACTTGTTGAAGAGAAAGGACCAGCAGAGGGAAAGCTTGTACCAGTAATACCATATCTCGCAGTGGCCTACAGTTAATGTTACCTAAACGGCGGTTGTCTGGCATGATCCTCGAGTATGATAAGCAGCGGCCCTACCTATAAATCGGTCATTGGGTGGCTGTTGTAAATGAGACATTTTGGCGACAGTCGATTTAAGTTCACCACAGATACTATCCTTCTCCGTGACTGTCAAATCGCCCCAACGCTCTTCCAGAGTGACTTCTTCAATATACTCCGTAAATTTCTGGTACAGGGACTTCAGGTACAAACCTACGAACGGCCAAAAGACATTATCCTTCTGAAATGATCGCGGCGGAGTTCTCGCTGTGTTTGACAGCGAGCCCAAGCTCCTCAAACACCACTAGTATGCACAATCTCATGCCCTGAAAATACGAGTGCAGAATCATATTAGGCCTAGCCAAGACTTCAGCTGGAGTTGGGAGGTGGGTGTTTCTATACCCCGCTTGAAGAATGAAGAGTTGTAGAATGTGACAGAGCAGCCTTGGGGCAATTGGTCAGGCGATATATACGACGGCATGTCAGGAGGGGGGAAAAAACCAACTAGCTCAAGTGCCAGCAATGTCTCTAGTACTATGCAACAGTACAGTCAAGTTGAGAACAAAGTAGTTTAGTGCGTGCGGGGATGAATTGAGTTTGGGGCTGGCAAAACCTCGGGCTTTTGTAGATAACCAACAAAAGAAGACTGACTTCAACCTTCACCCTGTACCTAATAATTGGAATTTAAAAAAGTTCACACAATTGAAGCGTTTTATTTAAATTAACTTTTCAATAGAAAGATATAAGTCTACTAATAATGGCTTAAACATTCTACTCTTCACTGAAGTTTATATAAACTTTAGCCTCCCATCCAGATAGATTCGTTCCACTACCTTGACATTTTGTTGATTTGTTCGTTGTGCATGAGAGCAACTTGACTTTATCCGATGGACACTCGAGATAAGTGAATGCGTCAGGTTGGGGACGATCTTCTTGACTCATGTTGAGTACTACCAAGGCCTTCCTCATCTCTCCTTGGCGGCCTTTGATGGGAATAACACTCTCTTTGAGATAAATGAACAAATACTCGTCTTCCGGATCCACAAGCTTGAATGAGCCAAAGACGAAAAGATCCTGATAATGCTTGCGCAGTTGTAACATCTCTTTGTAAAAGCTCAAGATCGAATCGGGATCCATGATTTGTCTGGCAACGTTGATATCGCGGTATTCATCATGAACTCTCATCCATGGCTTCGCTTTTGCGCTTGCAAACCCTGCATTTGGTGAATCATCCCACTGGAATGGAATCCGTGAATGGTCACGCGCCATGATTTGGAGTCCATTCATCGTATCCTTCACTCTCTTCTCATTACCCGATGTCACAGCTTCGGCAAAGAAGTTACTGCTTTCAATGTCCTTGTACTCTTCAATTCCCCACGATCGTGGCATGTTTGTCATGCCTATCTCTTGCCCTTGGTAGAGAAACAATGTACCTGTGAGAGTGGCTTGCCACATCGCTATGGCTTTTGCAGATTTTAGCCACCATTCTGGTGATGACGTGTCGCCGAAACGATCGACTGCTCTTCCGTTGTCGTGGTTCTCGCAGAAGACTGTTGTCCATGCATCCGTCCCTTCGATGAAGCTCTGCCACCGTTCCACAAACAACTTCAGCTTCGTTAATGGGAAGGGTTGGTAGATATACTTGTCTCCAAAGCCATTGCCGTTACCGAGTCTGATCATTGAGAACTCGAATACCATATCCAACTCTTTCGCCGCAGCAGATACATAAGGTATGACCTGTGATGGATGAGGTGTATTGGACAGCTCGCCCACAGACACAGCATTGTATGGTCTGAGTACCTTCTCATTCATTTCATGAATAAACTCATGAATTCTTGGTCCGTTACACCACATCTCTGGTGCTGGTTGATGAGGCGACGAAGGATCCGTCACAGGGACATTGACGAAATCCTTCCGCTTTGAATACTTATTGACTGTGTCGATGCGAAACCCGTCAACACCACGATCAAGCCAGAAACGCATTGTGTTTTCGTAGATTGCTTCACGACACTCTTCGTTATCCCAGTTCAAATCCGGCTGGTCTGGGGCGTAGAGATGGAGATAGTATTCTTGTGTATGTTCATCCCACGTCCACGTAGAACATGCAAAATAACCCCTCCAATTTGTGGGAGGTTGACGAAGGCCATTTTCGTCGTAGCGCGCAGGTTGCCAGATATACCAATCTCTTTTCGGGTTATTCTTAGAGGATCTCGACTCTTTGAACCACTCGTGTTCAATTGACGTGTGATTCACGACAAGATCAAGGATAATCTTAAGCCCTCTTGCATGACATTGTCTAACAAGGATATCGACATCGTCAACGCTTCCGTATGGTTGGTAAATCTTCTGGTAATCCGACACGTCGTACCCCATGTCCTTCTGGGGACTTTCGAAAATGGGAGAGACCCAGACAACATCAATACCCAAATCACTCAAATAGTCCAGCTTGGAGATGAGCCCAGGTAAGTCTCCCCAACCGTCGCCGTTGGAGTCTTTGAAGCTAGCTGGGTAGACTTGGTAAAAAGATGCAGCTTTCCACCAGGGTTGGGTACCGGCATATTGACGATGTTGATCCCAAATTATGGAACCCATAGTGTTGATAATTCTGATGATTTAATTTATGAATAGAGATGATTGGAAGAGTGTGTCGGTGAAATCGAATGATGAACATGGAGATGAAATGATTGACGAGGGGAAACGAGCGGTTTATTACTCTCACAAACCCAGATGCGACAGAATGTGGAGATAATCCAAACTCGATTAGAGCCGCATACATACATCGGACTGTCCGCCTGGTCGTAGCTTTAGGCAAAGATCAACCGTGGTTGTTTTTCTTGTCATAACACGACTTCGCGTCATGTCCGTGTGTTGAGACAAGGATGTGGCTAATTTCTGGAAGCGGAAACTCCGTCTCTGTTGAAAAAGTCGCGGAGTTATTCCGTCTTTAGCGCCTTCTTTAACGGTGTCCAATAGCCATGTTGAACTATCGGTGGAGTCTCCGCGCAACCAACGGAGTCTCCTGTTAGTAGGTACCGGCAAACTTGATCATCCAATCTTCTTCTCCTCCCCACACTGCACAGTTAATCATCCCCAGGTTTTTTATTCCTTTTCCCCACGGGCAGTACCGAGTGACCAACCGCGTTTTCCCTTTTTCTGGGGATATGCGCCGAAGCTGTTTACCATCCAGTTGTGGGAGACAGCATCGGTTGGTAAAGTATATAAAGACCTGATTCTTTCTCTTTCTTTGTTGTGCAAGACTACCAATTCTCCAGCACCCAAACCCCATTCTCCTCTCTCATTCATTGATAATGGCCTCTCACAAATCTTATCCAGAGAAAACCCCCGACGCCCAACATGATGAGGCTGTCACCCCCGAGATTCTCGCTTCGGAAGCCAAAGTTGCTGCTGAAGCTGAGCACTACATGACTTTATGGCAAGCCGTCAAAACATACCCGAAAGCGATTGGTTGGTCCGTTCTTTTGTCAACCACTCTTATCATGGAAGGCTACGATCTTGCTTTGCTGGGCAATTTGTATGCCTCTCCTGTTTTCAACGCGAAGTTTGGCACATACAATCCTGAGAAAGAGAAGTTCGCTGTTTCAGCCGCTTGGCAATCTGGACTGTCAAACGGTGCCCGTGCTGGTGAGATTATTGGTTTGATCCTTGCGGGATGGGCGTCTGATCGGTACGGATACAAGATGACTACTGTTGGAGCACTTGTTCTCATGATTGCATTTGTCTTTGTTTTGTTCTTTGCCCCAAACATCAAGATTCTTGTTTTAGGAGAGGTCCTCTGTGGTATGTGTTGATTCATCGACTACAGCTACGCATTTGCTAATGTGACAGGTATTCCATGGGGTGCGTTCCAGAGCGTGACACCCGCATATGCGTCCGAAGTAGCACCGGTTGTGCTCCGACCATACCTGACAACATTCATCAATATGTGTTGGGTCATTGGGCAGTTCTTTTCTGCTGCTGTAAACAAGGGTTCTGTTGGACGGGCGGATGAGTGGGCTTATCGTATCCCCTTTGGGGTACAATGGGTGTGGCCTGTTCCGATCCTTGCCGGTGTCATTTTTGCTCCTGAGTAAGATATCAGATCATTCTCTCTTCCTTGAAACTCAACTGACAGCGTCCAAGGTCCCCCTGGTGGCATGTCCGAAAAGGCAATCGCGCCGCTGCGAAAAAGTCTCTCCTCCGACTCACGTCTCCTCAGCAACCCAACTTTAACGCCGATGAAACAATTGCCATGATCGAGCACACAAACGAGATGGAAAAGAACTTGAAGGAGGGCACCAGCTACCGTGACTGCTTCAAGGGCGTCGATCTCCGACGTACAGAGATTGTAGTTGGTATCTGGCTCGTCCAGACTCTTGGCGGTCAAAACCTCATGGGTTACTTCTCATATTTCTTGACCCAAGCTGGTATGGATCCCAGCAACTCATTCTCTCTCTCCATGGCACAATATGCCCTTGGCATGGTTGGCACGTTTGGGTCTTGGTTCTTGATGGCCAAGGTTGGCCGTAGGACTATTCACTTCAGTGGTCTATGCACTCAACTTATCATCCTTATCATTGTTGGGTCACTGTCATTCGCCAACAACAATGGTTCAGTCTGGGCAATCGGCGCAATGCTCATTGTTTTCACGTTTGTCTACGACTTTACCGTCGGACCAGTCACGTATTCATTGATCTCCGAGCTGTCCTCAACCCGACTCAAGGCAAAAACAATTGTTATGGCTCGTGCTGCATACAACGCTAGTAACATATTTATCAATGTTATGACCAACTACCAGCTATCATCAACAGCGTGGAACTGGGGCGCCCGCACAGCTTATTTCTGGGCTGGATCCTGTTTACTTTCTGCCATTTGGGTTTACTTCAGGCTTCCTGAACCTAGGAACAGGACCTATGCAGAGTTGGATCTGCTTTTTGAGAAACGAGTGTCAGCAAGGAAATTTGCCAAGACGCACGTTGATCCCTATTCCCATTCGGTTGCATCTGACAATAAGCCGACAGCCGAGAAGGAGGTTCAGTAGATATTTAAATACAGTCATCTGGATGAGAATGGGAAGCATATGTACATGGGATATCTGATATGATATTATTATTGCGGATTTACTCTTGGTATTGAAGGACTATTCCGAGACACATCCGAGTCAGGACTTGGTAACGCCTGTTGAATGTGCTTTTCCAGAAGAGGATCATATGTGCTTGTACCACCTGGTAGCTTAGTAATGAGATTTCGAATATACAACAAGTCATCTTCAGGTGCTGTTCCCATTGCCAAACCTTGTGGGCTCGAAGGTGCAACGGGAACGCGAGCAAGTACGTCCACTACTGCTGAGACAATATCGTACAGTTTCTCTGTGACGCCTATGCCATGTATACTAATACTGTCGATGGAGAGATCTCGTGTTGAGAGTGTCAAGTCTTTAGCAATTACAAGAGGGTATTGATATGTGAGACTGTACTGCTGTGCGTTTTCGCTCAGGTGACCTAGTCGGAGACGTAGTTTCCAAACAGTCATGCGTAGCCAGAGTTGGGTTATCCTCAGGTTTGCCTTCTGTGTCTCATGGAGTAGTGCGTCTGGCTTGATTGCTGTATTGACCGCAGTCTCAACAAAGTCGAGTGACGAAAGAGGCGGCGTGATAGCGAACCTTTCCTGATTGAGAAGAGCGACAAAGGATGTATCAATTGGTCGAAACAGGGCCGAGAGACTCCAAAATCCCGATAATGAAGGATCATTCATGTCAATCTCTGGCGCTTCATCCGTTATCTGCAAAGTAATTGGACGACGATAGCGGATGGCGTGTGATCGTTCAGATATCACGAGCACCCAGAACAAACGATGGGCTAACGCTTTGGAATTATGATCCATGTCATCGAGCCTCAGCAAACAGAAAAGAGTCGTGGCCTCACGCAGAAACAAGAACGTCTGACTGTGATGTGATAACCTCGCCTGACACGCGTATATGAAGAAGGCAATAAGGCATTGGTTCAACCGGGGCCTCATAGTTCTTGGAGTTGATTGATGGAGGGCGACAGTCTGGTCAACAATCATTGATCCATATGTCGCGTTATTCTGGGCGATAAGACCCTGCGAGAGAAGATTCTCTGGCTCTTCAGATTGGAGCAAAACCTGGGCGCACATGGCCACAAGAACAGAGTAAGCTTCCAACCTCTCCTCCAGTGAAGATGGAGATGTCGATCTGAGCTGGTCAACATAGTCGCGCGTAAGAATGGGTATCGTAGGGTACAGTCTTGCAAAGAAGCGCTCAACGCAGTGGTCCAGTACCTGACTAGGGACAAGTTCAGTCAGTCGGGCGAGGGCATCCGCAGGGCCGTTGTGTATGTTTGGGAATGACTGGTAAGGGTACGGATATACTGCGTGGACAGGCTGAAGGATGGTGGGAGAACCGGACTGTCCGACACATCGATCTGCAAGACCTGCATCCACACATCTCCTGCAGGGGCGATATTCGTTGCAGCCTCGGCGGAGAGTTTTGCAGCGTTGACAAGCTCTCGGTACCTGAGACCTCTTGGCGGGTGGATTCGGAATATCGTCGGCCATTACATAGAGGCTTGTACGGGTGAGGACGGGATAGATATCAAGGTGGACAGGAACGATAGGAAAGATAGTAGATTCTGTTGTTATCCAAGATTGCGATAATCGCGCACATGCGTGGGACTGGAAAACAGGGTGGAGTTGAGCATTGGCCAGATAAGGAACCCGTTTCCTTGGGATGAGGTAACAAAAAGATAATGGAAACAAAGAGTGGAAGTCCTCCACAGAACAAATGTAAGCGAGTCAGGACAGATTTTTTTTTTGTGAGGAGGCTGGTAAAACTTGGCTTTTGCTTGGCTCGTAGCATTCTTCTCCTTGACAATATGTACCCCGCTTCATGAAGAAAGGAGAGCTAGTACTAAACGGGCGACTCCAGATTCTGGCAATGTCAACCAACTCAACGCAACTCTCCGATTCAATTGCGGCAACAATCCACTCACAAACTTTCGGTGAGACTAATTTTATTCAGCCTCTCATGCAATGCAAGCATGAGTCAAGAAACTAGAAACCTGCTCGAACCATTCCACATTCTTGTGTGATCGGCATCCTTGACGAGGTCTCACGCTACGTAATTAGTGTGCGACCAGGGCGACCAAAGCTTCTAGACACACTGCTCTTCCGATTTGACGGTGTATTACTCTAAATCAACCTTGCTCGGATGTCTTGGCTCGCAGGCTGTGTTGGTTGTACCATGGCTCTGGGCCAACGCTGGATAACGATGTGGTAACAGAGTGGGTTATACGCATATCCTCGGAGCTATGATAAGCATCCAGCTATTGTCTTGGCCAAAACATTGCCAGTATAAAACATGTCTGCACTCGCAGATGAAGAGCAGTCTTTTTTTCTCGTTCTCTACCCAACTCATTCTCTTCCAACTCTTGTCTCTCCGAGTGTTGTATCCTCTTGTGTTGGCCCAACATGTCTCCCTCTTTCCAGTCCCTGCTAGCTATCGCAACCCTTGCAGGCTCAGCCGCCCTTGCATCCCCGATCCCGGAGTCACAAACACCTCAGCTCATCCCTCGGGCTGTTGGTGATTTTGAGTGCTTCAACGCCAGTCTTCCCAATATTACCATCTTTGCAACTGGCGGAACCATCGCTGGCGAAGCTGGTTCGGCTGATCAGACCACGGGCTACCAGGCTGGTGCATTGGGCATCCAAGCTTTGATCGACGCTGTCCCGCAACTGTGCAACGTCTCCAACGTCAGGGGCGTGCAGATCGCCAATGTTGATAGCGGCGATGTCAACTCTACAATCCTGACCACTTTGTCGCACCGCATCCAGGCTGATCTTGACAACCCTCACATTCAAGGTGTTGTCGTCACCCATGGCACTGACACTCTCGAGGAGTCTTCTTTCTTCCTCGATCTCACTGTTCAAAGTGAGAAGCCTGTTGTTATGGTTGGATCCATGCGTCCCGCCACAGCCATTAGCGCCGATGGCCCTATCAACCTCTTGTCTGCTGTCCGTTTGGCTGGTAGCAAGAGTGCCAAAAACCGCGGCACAATGATTGTACTTAACGACAAGATTGCTTCTGCGCGCTACACTGTCAAGTCCCACGCCAACTCTGTCCAAACTTTCATTGCGGAAGATCAAGGTTACCTCGGTGCCTTTGAAAACATTCAGCCCGTCTTCTGGTACCCTGCTAGCCGACCACTGGGTCATCACTATTTCAACATCAGCACCAGCTCACCTAAGAACGCCCTGCCTCAGGTCGACGTCTTATACGGCCACCAAGAAGCGGACCCCGAACTTTTCCAAGCTGCTATCGATAGTGGCGCCCAGGGCATTGTTCTCGCTGGTCTCGGCGCTGGTGGCTGGCCTGATGAAGCTGCTGATGAGATCAAGAAGGTCTTGAACGAGACTGACATTCCCGTTGTTGTCAGCCGTCGTACTGCTTGGGGATATGTTGGAGAGCGACCTTTCGGTATCGGTGCCGGGTACTTGAATCCTTCAAAGGCCAGAATTCAACTGCAGCTTGCGCTTGAGAAGAAGCTTTCTGTGGAAGAGATCCAGGATGTATTCGAGTACATTTGATTTCAATGGACAGTTGGAATGAGTAAATGATATATGATTGAGTTTGTACTTAGAAATAATTATAGTTGAACAATTGTTTATTGTAAATGCAGATGTCTCCATTGACCAGCCTTGTGATTATGACACAATGCTACGCGCGTGAATTCCGTGTCGACGCTCGTGGGTCACTGCAAATATCACTTCTAATCCATTAAAGTATAAGAAAGAATGCCCTGAAACTATGGTATAAACAGTATTACTTAACTTACAAGTTTTTACTCATGTACCTCGATCCTGACTTTTCTACTGCGCTACCATGAGGACAGAAAGGTCCAAGCGCGTGTATCGCCGAAACTGGACTAGCGTACAATTGATCTGGTGCCCATCATCCACAGACTGCATCACATGTCCATCGTCCTACTTGCTGACAATGAGGCCTTTACTCCATCACAAACTTATTGCTCATCAACATGTCACCGACGTCGTTAGAACGTGAAACTATTAACATTCCGTCCACTAGAGATCAGCCAGCGACTGTGCCGTGTTACGATTTCGAGGATTGCATCCGATCGGCTCTTCAAAATTGGCAAGAAGGTGACTTGTTGCAACTTGTAAGACACCAATTTCTTACAGCATCTTCACGCTGACTACAGTCATAGGTCGTGGATCATGAGGAGGAATTGATCCAGTTTGTAAGCCTTAATAGAGACATCGCCCCGGACTTAGTGAACAAGCACCTCGAGTCTGCCAACGCGAAGAATGTGGCTTTATATCGGTCCCCCATATCTCATGATACAATTTTAATCTGGTATCGGTGCTCGGCAACAAGTTCTGTCAAACGAATACGCACCCAGAACCGAGTGAGACGGGATCTTGTTTGGTATGCTAGTGGAGAGGGTGTCAGAGACATTGTCACGGTAAGTAATACACTGCTGTATATTGAACCACTCTAAAGCTTGTGCAGTTATCAATGCATTCAAACGAACATGTAACTGTTTCCAAATTGAAAGACATCTGCTGTATTGCAGATGAAACATAAGAACAGAAAGGAAACATCATTCTAATATCATGCGCGGTATTAGAAAAGTCGGTTTTATGTAATACCAAACAATGTCAATTCGATTTAATTGACCATAGAAGTTACAGAGAAAAAGTTACTATATCAATCGTTATTATCTCGGCATTTAACTGACATGATCATTTCATTTAGTTATATCATTTTATTAATAGCATGTCAATGTCAACTAAATAACTTATCTCCTCAAGAATAAAGGGTTAGTATTTCAAGGACCGAATGTCTCCCCTTGAGCTAGCGACTTATAAGAACAGCTTTTCCAGTCGCACGTATTCTATGATATTGATATAATCAGTTAACAGAACCTGGATATTGTTTCAAAGACTAACTGACCTTGTATACATTAGTTCCCCACCAACTGAAATTGTCAGCAGCACCAGTATAGAAAATGGTGAAGAAGATAATAACTCCAGCAATGGCGACTGAGCAATCAAGCGCTGAACTCAGGACAAAATTGAATCTTCGCCACCAGACGGCTTTACGTTTCTTGACAAGGACACCAAACAATAGACCAAACACGGCCCAACTACCGTAGTTGACGCCAGACGCAGGTGGGATGTAATTCAGACCTCCTAGGAACAACGGTACGTGAATTTTTTTCATCCAATTGATGTTGGGAAATACTCTTGTTCGAAGCAAGTAAACTGCAACGGGAAGCAGAGCGCCAAGGAGAAAGAACCACAGTAATGGTCTATAAAGAGCACCTTCCTCAAAGAATCGCCGCGGTCCCAGGGCGCCCCAGACCATGCTTGTGTTGAAATGAGTTCGTGAGAAAGGACAAGTAAAACCATTGGGGGCAAGCTTGGCATCGCATACACTCGGGATATGTCCAAGTGCCCAATTGAGGACCGACACTTGACCCAAGGTTCCAACGACAAGGCCCACGACCTGGACCAGGAACAAACTTCTGGGAGGGATCTAGAGTATTTTAGAAACTGCTACCACAACTTGATGATAATGTGCTTACACCACAGTATATGCCAAGTTTCAAATCTTGAGCAAAGGCAAGACCTTTGATACCGGAGATGTAGCCAACATTGAAGAACCAGATGTTGGCCAGTACTTTACCTTCCCAGACGTAACCGGCTATGATTCTACAGAAGATGTCGATCTGGATTTTAATGTTACTAGTCGCATACACCCAGGCAAGCTCCAATAGTTAGTCGACTAGGCTCATAGGTATTCTAGGAAGCAGCACACATACCGGGACAAAGAAGATGGAAGATACCGCCATGGCAAATATGACGCCGTACCAACGGAGCTGAACAGGATAATACTCGTATGTGAAAAGTCCAATGCCTAGGGCAACAAGAGCCGAGACCATGTACCACCATTGCGGAACAGGTTCATAGTTTGGCTGGAGCTTGTCAAGTGTGGAACCTTTCTCCGTTACCCTCATTGATTGAAGCGCGCTTCGGAACGTCTGGATGAGTTCTTGACGTTTCTCAAGAAAAAGCCAAACAAAGAGGGATGAGATTGTGGCAAATGAGAGGCCAAAGGTGTTGAGAGCGTAGGTTACTGGAAGGTAGATCTGCGACGAAGATTTGATATTAGACCGCAGACGAAGAAAATAGAACTAGATATACGCACATGAGAGTAGTCGGCATACTTTTGAGGGTCAAAGGTGAAGTCGTCCTTCTTGTTGATAACCTTCGAGATATTAAAAATTTGGCCAGTGTTGTCGAAAATGGAGTTGCTCTGCAGAGGTAAATGCGCCGAGAACCATGTGTTGGAGTAGTACAATGCAGGACTAACTATATAGATCCATATAACAAGCGACACCAAGACATTGAGGATGGCCCAGACAGGGACGACCAATGGTGACCCGATGTAAGCAATTTGACTCCCTATATACTCATGTTAATATCGTCACAAAGCCACAGAGTGACGCACAAAAACGTGAACGTACAGTCAAATGTAAAAGGTAACAGCCCAAGTCCACTTTTCATACCGAAAACTTGATTGACAACAGCGTTATTGGGGGCGATCCAGCAAATCCATGTGAAATAGCCCAACGCAGGAAAGATAAAGTCCGGAAACCAATACCAACAGAAAGAAACAAAGAAGGCGATGATGAAAAATCGGTACCGCGACATACTACCAACCTTGGTCTCCTGGCGAGGAGCGTGCAGCGCGGCATTGAGAGCTGTGTTCCCAAGCACGCCTGGCTAGATAAGGTTCTTAGGTTCTACAACGAGCGATCGAGCTAGACCTGCCAATGCGAACCCGAAAAGAATGGACTGGAGTGTTGCGAGCAGCTCAAAGCCCCATCCCGCTTTGAGTCCATAAAAGACTCGCTGCTCGGTGAGAACATCAGCACTCAATCTTGTCAGGAAGCTCAGGTTGGCCAGGATGTAAATTAGCATATTTTCCTAAAATTTCAATTCATTGGTCAGTTATGGATTTGGTTCATTTTGAGATAGTAGTTGGAGATCTGTACCTTGTGGTTGAATTGTCCAGGGTTGAGGCTATGTCGCTTTCTAAAAAGGGTGAAATGCCAGTCGGGGACCACATATTCCCATGCCTTGCCGACAGGGTATGCCAAGAACTGTATGGCAGACTGTGAGAGACTGATGGATGGGAATCTGAGAGTATAGAGAGTATTTAATCCACTACCAACGAGACAGAAGGCAATGCCAATGAACCACATTCGAAGAGTGAGGCATGGCAATGTCGGATCATCAGGCTTAAATCCTACACCAGCAGCCGAAAGTACCTCTTCATCTGAATCTTCTGGAATTCGTCAATGATCCTACACAACCTGCTGAAGGGTATATTGGGCGTACCTGAAGATGTCTGGACTCGGGCGAGATTTGGTACAGATGTAGGAGTCTCGAGAGAATTGGTTTCGGGCCTAGGGTGACCTTTCTCTACAGACGTACTCATGTTAAGATGTTTAGGTTAACAGCAAAGCCTGCAAGACGTAGGTAGAGAAATGATCAGATAAGATGAATCTGATTAGGATTGATTATCATATTATATGATCTGCCAAGCTATCAACACGGATATAACGGACTATGTGGAGTTCTTGGCTATTTTAGTACCAGTCTATTGTAGTATCCTTTCGCCATCCTGTCGCACTAAAAAGCGGTTATTGAGAGACGAGAAGCTTGGATACGAGTGGGATACCGAACATTTGATAGAACTCCCACCCTTCGAGGGATTTATCGTCCAAGTGTCCCATTCTGAGTAACTATAGCTCCACAGAAACACAACATCAAAATAAACCCGGATCATAAATATCATTATATAAACCTGATGTAAGCTCAGGGTGCTGATAAAAACTCAGCAATGCCGAGATGCACTAAACCCGTAAATTCGGCACATTTGCCGATTGCCAAGCCACATTGCATGGAAGCAAAAAGCTAATTGCATTCTAAACATTACAGGATCCACTAATCAGATTGATTGCGCTGCAGAAGTGCCTTCTTGAATGAAGAGTTTTTACTTCTGTAGAACCTTCTCAGACAGTTCAGGGGTGTAAGAGAAACATCATATATATAAATAGACACATAATATCTAGTAACTTTCATGTCACAAAATTGGTTAAGGTAGGATCGTATTCATACAGCAGAGGAACAGTGGAGAAGAAAGTCTGGTTTATCTAAGATGCTGAGCTCTTCAGAGTTTTATTTCATCTAAGAGCTGTTAAATCTATCGCCACTTGAGCGAGCCTAGAGTGCATATCCAATCCAACAATTCCAAAGCTGGACAGTTATCCTACGATGAGAAATATAATGCTTTCGTTCAGAGTCATCAAGTAGAAGCAAAAAGACCATGCCATTTCCAGTTTTAACGTTGCTCGAGGCATATCATAGCAAAATCTCTCTCGAACGAAGATGGAACGCAGGGTTATTACAGGGTTCAACAGCCAATGGCTTTATGAAACATCCACGTTCAGTAGAGCCGGGGAAAACATGGATATGCAGTAGAATATGCATTCCTATTAACCGCTTTGCTGTCCTTAGCCTTAATAAACAGTATGCTCAACCCAGTGTAACCAGCTGGGATCAGTGCACAAAAGCTCCATTGCATTAATATCCAATGTTAAAACTATCTCAAAGCCAGTCCTATCCGTTGCTGGCAACACTAAGCCCGCCCCATTAGCGAAGCTAGCCTGGGCCCTTCGTATAGCGTCTGCTGTAAAACCGCCGTTGAGCTCTTGGTTAGCCAGTCCCGGTAGTCCCCAAGAAGTCTGAGTCCCAAAGTGTCGCCAAGTATTAAAGTAGAAATCCAGTGGATCACACAGATCGAAGTCAAGCCCAATTAATCGCAAATCTGGGCTTGCGCAGAAAAGAGCAGTGCGTAAAGCCACGAAGTCGTCATCAACGCTGAGAACAGCCTGCTCAATGGCAAGCACAATATCTGCTAGAGCAGAACAAGCGACAACGCGATCGCTATTACATGCCGCTAATATAGTTTGAATTCTGACTGAAGCAATGGGGAGGGCAATTGTGTTGCCAGCGCTGTTGCTCGCAGCATTGGTGGATATGCGTCGTCGCCAGTCAACAGATATCATTAGGCGTGCCTCTTTCGGGAATGATATTTCGGTAGATGACAAGGAAGAAAGACTACCATTACTGGACAAACGGGCTTTAGTGACGTGTGCCCATGTAATTGCTGTAAGACAAGTAAATGTTGAAGAGTGGTACGTTTGAGAATTGATCGATGATACATGAGTTAGCTCCTTCTTCAGATCATAAAGGAGCTGATCTTCAATGACAAAGATACGGCCAGTGTTCTGAATATCAATCGATTGCATGCCACTTTCTGGGACACGAAACTGTGTTGGGCCAAGCGGATAGGAAAGAAAGCGATACTCAGGACAGCGTGAAAGGAGTTCCTCGAAGTCCATAGCTGGCTGCACCTCAGTTACGTCATTCTCAACTACTCGCGATTCAGTGTTTGGGTTGATAGAAGTCGCAATGTCAACCATTCTAGTGTTATTATTAGTGAGTTTAGCGAAGGCCTTGATGACTGTATGCATATGACCAGCGTCAAAAATAGAATGATGGCCATAGATACCAAGAAGCAGTCCCCCTTTGATCAGACGAATATTGATTTCAAAAGACGGAATGCCCGGTTGTCCTTCCACAAGCCTGTAGGAAGGGTCAAAAGATTCGCCAATAAAAGCTTTTGCTGGAAAACCTTGACTCTTGAGCTTGCTGTACGTCCATCCATATGTATCTCGCTGATCAGAAGCCTTGAGTGGAATAGCGGTATCATCAGCTGAACTAATAGCAAGGCAACCTGGTGGGTTTGAGAGCAGGGATATTCTACCCTTTAGATCTGGGAAGATTTCGGACAATGTGGATAGAGTTGGTTTTAGATACTCCTTGAGATCATTGAGACTTGCAGTTTCCTCGCAAGGAAAACAATACCAAAGACGTATGTATGCCCTTGGCGCTACTTGATCCCAAGTGCCCAAGACACGGTACGTCATATTCATTAAACAATAAGCAATGTGAAAGTAAAGTTGTGTGTTCGCGATTTGGACAAAGTTAAGGATGTTTTTCTGTGTTTGGCAATAGAAGAGGAAATCCACTGGTCATGGTATGTGCTTGAGAAATTATCGCTTTGAGATAATATCAAACAATCGGCTCAGGCAGGCCACGTCATTGGCGCGTCTCATCTTTACCAGATTTGGACTGTCGGTTATACGGCACCACTCAATTTTACTAGGCTGGGTTTCTCTGGACATGGACGCGTTTCTACCCGAAGTCTCCACTCATGTTGTCAATGACATTGAGAATGGTGTCTCCAGCATTGTCTTACCCTATATGAAGTCAACTACCAACAGGTTTCTGTCGTTGTCACTATGAACCACGCTATTGTGGATGTCCATTTAATTACAGTTCTTCTAGAAGATCTAGACGAATTTCTTTATAGTGTCTAGACTATTATAGCAGCAAGTTTGTTGATTGAATCTGTCATTTTCCCATATCAACGGCATCAGAAAAACAATGAATGTGAGAGACAATGTTCAGACAAAGGACAAGCAGTTGTGTCAGCTACGTAGTATTAACCGAGTTTATGCTTTTTAACTTCAACATAAAGTCAAACTAAAACATTAGTTGAACCACATAGGCCTTGGTGCTAAGACAATGTTGCTGCTTAAGCAGTCTCAGCTTTCGAGTTAGTCTCTTGACTGACTTCTGACGGAACATCTTTAATCCTATCATGCCTGTCTAACATGTGGATCCTCGCAACAAGTTACCGAGTGTTACTCCGTATCGACCTAACTAAATCTGTTTAAACGCGTATCTGGCGACTCCCCCTTATCAGAACGCGTCTCTCACTGCTACACACAATCTGAAATATAGATACCGAAAGGTGGAGCTGTTGATGATGCAAATGAACCATTACTCTATGTAGACTATTGAAACGCTTTTTCTCTAACTTGAACGCATCAGTTATCTTACTGCTTCAGGGCTGTTATCAATCGTCTGCATTGACTTGCAAGCAGCAAAAGCTAGTTTGAAGTTGCTAAATTACTTTATAGTACGGAGTACAGTTTAAACGATAACTTGCAGTTTTCCTGTGCAAGTACACTGATGGAAAGTTTGGCTCAGAATTGGTTCAAGCTAAGTCACATTCTCTTTTCTATACTTCTCCAAGACATAGGAATAGGATGTAATTGACATTCTGGCCGAACAAATTGATTGAATGACTAATTCTACTTGTAGAGCTACTCATGGAGATGACTGGCAAAAATATGCTATTTTTAGACAACAGACTCCTCCTTAATTCTGGGGCTGACAAGCAACAGGGCAGGCTGTCTTATGCCTGAGGCTAACATTTAGCTCCATAGGTATATTGGTCGATCTACAAACCGAGTTTTGCTTGCATTCCAACTTGAAACTACAATGTAACTCATTGCGCAGATGTCTTATAGTTCCTGACGATAAAAGCAGAGATAGCAAACGCCACGTCCGCAATGAGTTCGTCCCTACAGGGCACATACAACAATCCGAATCCGAGTCATCCGAGCGGCTCCAGGGATGAGGCTACGGAGGCTCAGCCAATAGATCTGAAGAAAGTACTGCGTGAGAGACAATTGACTCGCAATCGCAAAGCCTGCTTACCGTGTCGGGAGAGAAAGGTCCGCTGCAATCATCAACATCCTTGTCAAACCTGCGTCAAACGTGGTCATTCCGACCTCTGTTTTTATGACAAAGCTCCAGGGCCAAGGAGTCAAGGGCGAGGAGTCATCCAAGTCGAACAACCAGTTACAAATCTGTATCATAGCAAAAACAACGACACATTCTCAGCAACCCCCCCCAGCCACAATGCCTGGACATCAATCCCGACTTCGTCCTTACTTGGCGGCAACTCCATTATCTCAGTAGCACGGCAAAACAACGCCCAGCCCCAATCAGACAATGAGCGTCGTGCTGCTTTCGAAACAGGAATTTTCCCTTTACTAGGTATAAATGAGGCCGCTGATACCAAAGAAACTCTCCAAACTGGGCGTTCGGATTCAAAGCTCGCCGATGACCAGGAGATAATAGCGCTCTTCAGCTTCTACCGGGATCGGGTGCACCCCTTTCAATTCGTTATTGACGATATTTCTAAGATAGAAGAGCTTGTATGCTCTCTAGTTACCCGAAATAGGGAACCAGAGGAATTGGACAACCATAGCCTCTGCTTACTTCATGCAATCCTCGCGGCTGGGGCGCAATTTTCTGACCTGAACGCTACCGAGCGAGCGTCTAAGTCTCGAGAAGAATGTGAGTGTTCACTCTATGTACCTGACCAAAAGGTCGCTCACACGAACCAGTACAGTGCGCGTTGGGACATCTCGGGTCATTTGACTTTTTATGGAATCCATCGAAGAGGCTTATCCAAGCATTACTCATTCTCGGACATGTCTTGCAGAATGACATGAATCCCCATGCAGCGTGGATCCTAGGAGGAACTACTATTCGTTTAGCACTATCTATTGGCCTTCACCAGCCTGAAACGATACCAGACACTCTCCGCCTTATGCCTGGTGAGCGACGACATCTGCGGTAAGTTGTGTACCTATCGTTATAAGCTCTACCTTACTCAAGCTGACGGATAGCTTGGCGACAGACTTGCGATTGTCTGGCAAGACTCTCTCCTCTCTTTAGCTTTTGATCGACCCCCCGCATCTCAAGAGATGAACTTCGAATCAGATCTACCAAATGTATCCCCAGATGCTCTTCCTAGCCAAGTCTTGAACTATCGACAAGCTATGAATTGGCTGTGCCATCTTACGCTTCAACATCTACGAAATTCCTCGGAGGGGTCGTGGTTACATCGCTGCGCCCTATTTATTGAAGATTTTCACAAGTTGGAGGCTTCTATATCTCCTCATTTGGAAGCTCGGCAGAACTGTATCTCTATTCAAGAGCTTCAAGAGCATTACGGCTTAGAGCTCCATCGAAATTTTGTGCTGTCTACCTTCTGCCGGCCGATCCTGTCAACAAAGACAGGGGGATCTTGTTCTGACAGAGAATGCTCACAGATCTTGAGTCGGTTTCAAACTGCTTTGAAAAAAAGTGTTCGTGCATTCATCAGGCTGCGTTCAATATCGAGCCATACTACGTCATCATGGGCTTTCATCCATAATGGGCTCTCCTCTGCGTTACTATTGAGTTTTATAAGACATGAATCCGACGCTGATGAAACACGACAAATTCAGATTGAACTAATGCAAAGTCTGACTGAGCGCAGCGAAGACGTGGGACAATTCTCTACTACACATAAGAAGGCTCTGAAGGCAATACAAGCTTTACAAAGACTAGCCGAACAAGATGAAAATAGAGCCCAGCCTCTGATTTCTTCAAATGAGCGTCAGCCAACAAGCCTTTCAGATGGAATCGAAACCCTATTCGACTCCTTGAATGCCTCTCAGGATCAAAGGTCTAAGTTGCGCTAATTATTTATGGTGATCGAAAGGCTGACTGAACTTTTGTATAGTATGCTCAACATGGACGAATGGCTTCGCAACTTTGATTTTGACGCCTTCTCTCCCTTAGAATCGTATAACCTCATCATGTCGGACAAAGTACCGCCAGATGCAAATGTGTAGTTCCTACTTGGTTCACTAGATTATAACCCAACTTTGCACACTATGGTGCTTATTATTCTATGCTCAAAGCCGATGCTTGAGCAATGTAAAATGTTATTTCTTAATCTACTTGGAATTTCCGAATCCGAGAGTTTGCCAGAGACTCAAAACTCTCTCCTTAACATCCTGTGGAAACGAGTTCTCAAAGTCTGCTGCCTCCCAATCTTTCCCAGTCGTATACTCAACGGGCATTAGGCAGTCAGAAACAACCTTGCCGCCTTTATTAGGTGCCCCATATCCATGCGACATGTAAGGAATCAGAGGAAAGCCAGGAACATCTTCGAAATGATACTCATCCATACCGGGGCGGCAACGTGTACAGAAAGCCCAGATAACGTCCTTGAAGTCGTATGCGTTGATATCGTCGTCAATGAGAACTAGGCGGTGAATTGTATACCCAACCTTATGGTGGAAAACTAAATCTCCGATCTTACGGCAAAACTCCTCGGAATTGGTGTCGAGCTCTTGTAGTTTCTGAGTATCCACTTGTAAGACAACCCAAGTGACTTGAGATTCAAACGGAGAATAGGCTTCTTTGATCGGTAAGCCATGAGACCTCAGAAGGAAACCAATCTCTGCAGCAGCGAGAGGCCCGATCATGGTATGCTATTGTAATTAGTAATGATATTTACAAGACTATGGAAGGAAGCAGAACTTACAGTCTCGTCGGTTAGTCTGCCGCAGTTAGATACTGGCAGAATAGCGTTTTTACGATGTGTGACGAGATTGACCGTGTACCTGGGCCAAGGGTGTGTGTCTCCGGAGAAAACATAGCTAGAAGCACATTAATAGTTATAAAATATAAGCAGTTACCAAGGCCTACCCATGCATCTCTCCAAAGGGTCCTTCAGGTCCAGTCTCAGTTATAGAACAAGTTCCTTCAAAAACAATCTCCGAGTTGGCAGGCACATAAAGGCCATTGGTCTCGCATTTGACAACTTCAAGAGAAGATCCCACAAGCGAGCCAACGTATTCGGCTTCTGACAACCCATCTGGAAGTGGCATACTAGATGCCATAATGGCAGCTGGTGGAACGCCAAAAGCAAGAGCCCAAGGCATATCGCGACCTTCCTTCTTCCACAGCTGGTGAATCTGCCAGAGATGCTGGGGTTTGATCACAAGACCAACGAGGTGATTCCGGTCATGAACCATTGCACGGGCAATAGACCAGTTTGTCCACTTACCATCAGGAGATTGGACGATGTGCATACCGTAGGTTTGGACATATTTTCCACCATCTGACTGGTGTAGAAATGGTGCAGGGAGCTTTGTAAGATCGAATTGATCAGGTGTCAAGATATGTTCCTTGCAAGAACCGGACTCGACAATCGTGGGCGGGATGGGTGTAGCCGTCTTAGCAGCAATCATCCTATCCAGGATATCTTTCATTGATGACTCCACAGGAAGTCCAAGATGTCTGGAAAGTCTGCCGTAACGCTGCTTGGGGTCAGAGCGCAGCGAGTTAGGTGCGCCGAGAATCCTCCAGAAGCCATTGTTGTCTTGCCCCTTCAGCTTGTTGAACAGAGGAGCTTTTTCGTTATTTTCGACGACCTTTCTGATAATCGCACCGACTTCTAGGTGAGGATCGCACTCTTCATTGATTGAGACAAGATCGCCATCGGCTTCGAGTGTCCTAACATAGCTGCGAAATTCCATATGAGGAAGGTTTTGCGATGACATAGTGATAAGTGAAGATTGGTGGTAATAGTTGACTCAATATTGAAATGAGGAATTGATATTTTCGCTTCTTATAGAAACTCTGGCATGCAGACATGCTCTCATGATCTTTCGGTTCACTGTGTTATGATTCGATGTCCGAGTCCCCCGAACCTGCCGACTCCGCCTGGTCCACATATGCCGAGCCCACCGAGTATCCATAGCATCTAACAGGAGGGTCGTCCGAGCCTACCGAGTGAACCGATTTGATCATCATTGCCCCTTTAGACTCCGTTAATAAATAATCCTGAAAGAACAACATTAACCAAAATTGTTTGTTTCTCTGTACATGTTATTGAAAGCCTATTATCTTCAGCAGCTTATATTTCATCTTTGATATCTCAAAAGACTTTCACCTCCAACCGAGTCTAACTATCTTTCCTCTATTGTTTCTCGACCCAAAATGGAAAAAAGCCCAAGAAAGAAGATTATTGTCGCTTTGACTGGTGCAACTGGTGCTGTCATAGACATTCAAATCTTGACAACGCTTCGACATTTAAACGTTGAAACACATTTGATCATTAGCAAGTGGGCCGCTGAGACCATCAAATATGAAACAGATTACACACCAGCCGCCGTTCGAGCGCTTGCAGATTATGTCTACAACCCAAGCGACTTGGCCGCACCGATCGCCAGCGGCTCCTTCCATGTAGACGGCATGATTGTTGCTCCTTGTTCAGTCAAGACATTGGCCGCCATTAATGCTGGTATTTGTGATGACCTCATCACTCGGGCTGCAGATGTCTGTCTGAAGGAGCGAAGAAGACTGATATTGTCACTGAGAGAGACACCACTGAGCGAAATCCACTTGCGTAACATGATGGAAGTAACTCGGGCTGGTGCAATTATTGCACCTCCTGTTGTTGGATTCTATACAAGGCCAAGCTCTGTGGAGGATATATTAGTTCAAATGGTTGGCCGATTGCTTGATCTGTTTGGGCTGGAAGCTGGCAACTTGCGAGATGGGAGGGTATGTCGAATAACATGCATTGAGAGACTGGGCATTGTGACTGTGATTGCACTTAGATACTATAAGTGGAGGATGATATTTCCATATAAAGGTACTCATATATTATGTGTCTGGTGTCCAGTTCATCACTTTTATATAAGAGGGACTAACAATAACCCATTTTTCTCAATGTCACTGGAGGAATGGCGCTGTTGTTCAAGAAGACAAAATCTCGTCCCTTCGACTTCCCATCCCCACCCGTAAGAATCACATGCTTGGACTGTGGAGCGTACCAGCTCATCAGAATTGATATCTGGACTTGTTTCTATTTGGAGCGCATCAGCTCATCAACAGGGTGGCACAGTTGCGTGCCCAAGACTTCTTTGAATGTTTGCTATCGGACCTTGTGTTAGTGTTAACTTCAGCGATCATAGTTGGACCCTAGACGATGTGGAGTTCTGAGTGTTGCGTAGTTGTAGCAAGAACTCCAATAATTCGTGACTTCGCAAGCTAGTACAGTGCCATGAAGGAAATCGAGGAGAGATAATACGTGACGGCCACTGAGTATCCCTATTGATGATGCATGCAGTAATCTGGAGAACACTGCTCAATTTTGTCCTTCTCCATTATCTACCACAAGGTTCTGGTTGAGGAAGTCAGCCATCAGAGCCCACGACAACGTGGCTTGCGACAATCTGACCCCGTATCTAATTAAGGGAGTAGTAAAGTCCATATCAATCTCCTTACAACTTCAGATTCACATGAAGAAGATTGCGAATGTCGCAACGGGTTAATCTTCTTTGGAATGGTGCGATATCTGTGCGTTTGCGCCAGTTTGAACTTGCACGAGTTGTAGCTCTGCCACTAATTATAGAGGCGTTGTTTCAGGCTTGCCCACCACTACTACCAAAACAAAGCATATACTTTCAAAAACAAGGTTTAGCGATATCTGTCTTGGTAGTGAAAATAGCGGTTCAATACGCATTACAACTCTTACATAAAAGATTTTACTGCGGGCGCGTAGTTAAGCCATTTGAGAGTGACAGTCGCACAATAACGTTGAACCTATCAATAAACCAGAAATAGCACATTAATGCGAGGCCAGTTGCAGTAGATTAAATACCAATGATGGTCTTAAGCAAAAATCCAAAGACTGGCATGGTTGACTGCTCTCTGAAAACTAATTCATGAAACATTTGTACGTCATGACTTCTAAAACACCGATTGTACTCAACAGAGCGAGTGCAACAGGCAAAAAAGATACCAATGTGTCGTTCAAGAGTATACTTTTACTTCTGGTAAGTCACGTCTACTATCTACTATCCTCTAAATACTAACTCACCAATAGTCCATCAACCTAATATATTTCGCCCAGGTAGCCAATGCCGTCGGCTAAGGAGCTTTGACACGGGATATTGTAGCCACAGTGGACGACTCCTCCGACTCGATCTGGTACACGCAGACCATCGCCATCTTCACGGCCATACTAGGCATTCCCATCAGCCAAGCCGCCGACCTTTGGGGCCGTAAGATATTCCTTGTGATATTAACCGCCTTCGGCTTTATCGGTTCTCTCATCATAGCCAGTGCTAATTCTCCATGCTTGGCAATAACTGGTTTTGCAGTCACAGGTATATCTTATGGCACTCAGCCTCTGCTCCATGCGATCGCGTCGGAGATCTTTGCAAGGAAGTATCGTCCTTGGGGGCAATGTAGCGTAAATGTTGCTGCTTCTCTGGGGGCGATCATGGGGTTGTTAGTTGGTGGCGCAGTCACCAGAAATGAGAATCATGTTGGGTTTCGTTCGTATTGGTATATGGTAGCTGGCATGTATTCCTTCGCCACGGTATCAGTGCAGCTACTATACTCACCTCCTCCAAGAGCATTGCAGCTTGTTTGCAGCTTCCATGAGAAGTTCCATCGCTTGGACTGGCCTGGATATGGCTTGTTGACACCTGCTCTCGTACTCTTTTGCATGTCCCTCGCGTGGATTCAGAATCCCTACTCTTGGACTGATACGCATGTCTCCGTTACATTCATCATCGGTGTCTGTATTGTCGTGATTGGTAGTCTATGAGACGAAAATAAAGAGAGATGGCATGTTTCACCATTGTCTTTTCCAAGATCGAAACTTCCCATTGTCTCTTGGCTGTATTTTCGCTGAAGGTATGGTATTCTTCTGTGCCAACGACCATTTCGCGTTTGAGGTCAGTATTTTCTTCTCACAAGACAGTCTGATCACTGGCGCACATTACTCTGTTGCCTTTGCAGCTCTTGGCATATCCGCAATCATCTCAGGTCTCTGGTGCTCAAAGACGAAAGCTATGCGTGTTCCAACCATAGTCGCCTTTTCATTCTTTGTGCTCTTCAATGTCTTGATGGCAACAATATCTCAAAAATCAACCACCAGCCAAATCTGGGCCTTTCCAGTCTTTTAGGGATTTGGATTAGGTATATGTCTCCCCTCACTCGTCACAGTAGCTCATTTCGCAACGCCACAAGAATTGATTGTTATTGCTTCGGGTCTTACGATATCTTTGAGGAGCTTGGGAGGTTCCGTAGGTCCTGCTCTTTACGGTGCTGTTTTACATCACGGGTTCTCATCAATTCTGGGTTCAAAAATAGTTAACGCTGTATTACCACTTGGATTTCCAAAAAAGGAGCTGCCTCAACTTGTCTCGGCACTCGCCAGTCATAATGAAACGATGATAAAACAAATCCATGGAATTTCGCCTGAAATTATAGAAGCTGGCTACGAAGGCCTTCTCGAAGCGTACAGAATTGGCTTTCGAGGTGATTGGGTAACTACAGCCTCTCTGTCATTAGTTGCAGGTATTGGTAAGTGGAACGTAGTCCAAAGTTTCGTTAGGTCTTGTAGCTAATATGCTCCTCGGCCGCATTCTTCCTTCGCGACCCAACAGATAACTTCACTGCACACATTGACGCACCGATGGTTGTGATAACAGAGGGCGAGGAAGAAATGGATGGGTCTACCTATACTCTGACTAGAATGTCATAAGCAATACACTCTGATACATTAGATCTAAATCTGAACGAGAGCCTGTACCACTAGGATGCTAATGCAATTAAGGGAATCTTCAGGGAGCACCATCGATGATGTACAGGTTCTTAGCAAGACAGTATTTATAGGCTCTTAATTGCATTAACTATTCAATGTTGCTCCGTAATATTTCTGTATATTAAACTAGCAGATTCCATGCCCAACTGGCGACTCTATTGAATCTAGTATGATTAGCAATCAGTTACTTAACATTCCGTCTCAACTTCTAGTTCAAGCTAGCTGCCAGGCTCCACACTGTCAGACGTGTTAACAGTTTATGAACGTGCGTATCGCTCTGAGACTACTACAACTAGTAGCTGTCAGATCACAGATTCGTTTCTTAATTTAGTGCTGTAGATGATATTGTAAGTAACGACTTTATCTCCGGTCGACTGTCATTTGATGGCCTCTTGCCAGCTACTTCGTTAAGGGGAACAATTCTAACTATGGGTGGACCAACAAGATGTGTTAGGGGAGAGGCAGTAATATGTATGTCGCACGCATGATGAGATGGACTAGGCAGACGTACTTAATATTGTTACCTAATACTATCTTAAAATCCAGGTTAACTTCATTTCCCCATGAGTGTCTTCAAATTTCCAAACACTCAATCCATAGACCTGGGGGCATTGCCCTGGAACTTACCTGATATTTTTTCAAACGGTGTCAAATCAGCAAATTAAATCTAGTGATCTAGAATCCTTTGGAAGCGGAGGAGGCATGAGAACAGTTGGGTCGTGGAATGAATATGATTAGTTAAAATCTACAGGATTGTCCACTAGCAGGACGTTTTGCTCCGTTTTGTCTTTGGCGTTGCATGCGGCCAGCTGAGCTGGGACCCTTTCCACCTTTTCCTCACTTGCATCAGCAAATAATCAGAGCTTACCGCAGATTCTTTCAGCTCTGAAAGTGTCCAGGGGGTCAATAAGATTACTCTATCCCTGATGTTCACTAAAGCATAAAGTATACCCAAGAGTCGTCCGTTCCGACATTATATTCCTCTGTATGATTTGCGGCTTTGCACTTAAGCGATTATAGACTTTATAAAACATGAAGAGATCTCATATTCTGGCTGTACTTTTCGGAGTTCCAAGTACTCTAGCTGCCAATTGCGGATCAGTACAAGGCGATATCAGGTGTATCACTTTCTTATCCACATATCTTGCAGCAGTGCCGAATGAGGGTGATCATTCAACTAATCTAGGGATCGATCCACCAGACGCAGAGGAAACAAATACAGCCAGACCTCCTGTTCTTCCATCCATTCGGCTAACATTTGGCAGGAATACTTCCATAACTTCACTTCGGCCAATCACTAGTACGTATGTGAGCCCAGTGTTTGAGAAAATCATACTGACAAGGGACCGCCCTCAGCATCCCCGGAAAGGCCAACTTTATGAAGAGGCCTCTAGCAGAACTTACAGGAGTATTCCCCCAGACTCACCTTTGCTCCGTTATGGAGGATATCTGATATCTCGGTCGAGCTTCCTGACGGGACTGAAATAGACGTCGTGCTTACTTGTAAACTCAAGCTGAAGAATGGTGTTTGGAACGTTATAGAGCGAATATATAGTGCGGGTAAGTGGTCTTGAGTCATGATTATTGATAAATGCAACTAGGTCTGTAAGTTATCTCAATTCCTTCCATCAGCCAGGGGGCGGTTGCAAGTCACCACTGTGCTGATACCACGACAATAAGAATTGGATATCGTTATAAATATTATTTAAGCTTTGAATTATCGTACGACGTACTGACTGCAGCAAAGGATCACGGGGTACAATTAAAGGTGTACGCGCAAGTTAAACACCATGATGCCGGATGATACAGACTCTAGGGCGTCTTGCGAGCTGTCTACCTATTAAATCAGGCAAGCTAATTTAGAGTTACATACTGCTAAAACGTCCACAGTCCTGTGAATGTGTTGGCATACTGTTGAACTGCGACGAAACGGGGTCTATAGCAAGGTCAGCATGTTAAATTGGTGTCAGGCGTTGGGTCCCATAACCCACTAAGCCAAGTTGCGTTAGAGGTTGTTACTGTCTGTATTAGCTTAGCTTACTGTCGGAGAGCCGAAACATTGCTCAGATAGACACCATCTTACTAGCATAGCTTCTTTTATCCCGCCAAAGTTCTAGAACAAAGTCCTTTTTTTCCCCAGCTTATCCACAAACTTGGACAGAGCGTTATATACTAATGACGTAGGTCAGGACCATTGCAGGCTAGTAGTTAACTATTGATTGACACTCCAGTTTAATTGGTTGTCCTAAGCGGCCAAAGACTATTGATTGAGCTAGCAGCAATCCCATATTCTAGACCCTGCACACGGACTACTCTGTCTGATATAGACACTTCGATCCTTCCTTAATCCCTTTTTTGTTGATCAGTCTTCTTCCAGTATCTAGAAAATTTTACTCTGCTGGTAAGATGAAGCTTTCGGTTCTTATCTTTTTCTGCAGTAGCTTCGCTGCGGCATCCCTCGCCCGAGGCTGCCAGCAAGACACTTGTGTCCAAGGTAAGAGCAACCATTCCTCAGCGCGTGTGCCATCTGTTGCTGAGCGATCTTTGTTACAGCGGCTATTGGAAACTATCAATATCCCAATCTTGACGCTTGCAAATCGTTTTTGCTAGCGACGGCAGTGCCTACTCCGACGTAAGATCTTTCCATACCCTTCATTTACTTCGGCTGATGGAGTATTCGTGCAGTACTATCTACAATGTCAAGACCGTTCAAGTACACCCCGTCGTGATCAAGCGCGTAACGAAAACGTCGACCACCCTCGTGACAGCGACCAAGATTAAATCGGTGGTCAAGACCGACATTCGAGATGTGACAGCGACCGATATTGACTTCGAGACAGTTCAAGTAACAAAGGTCTCGAAAGTTACTGCTACGCGTGCAGCCAATCCTCCATTCAGGCGAGCAAATAATCAGCCCCCAACAATCATCAAGCCAACCAAGGTCCCTGCAGCAGCCCAAAAAGCCTGCCCCGATGCCGCTCAATTCTCATCTGCTTGTAGTTGCATGGGTATCAAACCCAGCACTAAAACCCTGAAGAGACAAACTGTTGTCTCAAAGCGAACTACATCCACCAGGCTTCCAGCTCGAACGGTTACCAGAACCGTCACTACTGTGACCAGGTCCAAAACAGCACAAACTGTCTTGGTCACTGAGACCTACTCAACAACGATTGTCACTCGAGTTGTTGATACAGTCACCGTCGAGGATGAGGCTACACAGGCTATTCAAGCAACAGAAACCGTTGTTGTCGACCCTCCTCTACATACCGTCCGCTTCTACACACCAGATAGCCAAGACCCAGCTGTTGGTGGAAGGATTGCATTCCTTAGTCTTCAGTCTTCAGGTGACAGTTATCTTGCCAACTTTAACAACCCTGATGAAGTCCAATTCGGCATCCATCCTAGCACCGGTGAAGTTAAGGTAATCTCCGGCCCTGATACTTCAGTGGGGGACACTCTCTACTATTCATCAGACGGCACATGGTCTTTTGTCCTCATTACATCCCCAGCCCCTGATGCTAGTACAGGAGCCAGGTTAGTCAAATGTAAGGTAGACACTACGAGGAATAACAAGCTGGTATGCCGATGGGATAACAACCAACTTGCGGATTTCTGGAGCTGCCGTGGGAATATGATCTTGGCGCCATCTGGATCAAGCTTAGGACAAGTATGCGGGTCAACCTCTTACCATATTACAGTTTATGCTTTAACTGCTTGATCTGTCACCTACATGGAAATTCCACATGATTATAGAGCTGGTATTAGTATAAGCTATAAGGGCATGAGAATCATTTTGAAAGGCATGGGCGTTTTGAAGTTATTGGAGATGGCTCGGCAGTAATAAATAAACAACTCAATGATGATCCGAACAATATACTGCACTCTGACCAACAGAGCTTATTTCAACAAGTGTTAATTAGCTAGTTTATCATTTAAAGCTTTAGCCTCTTGCAAAGGCATTGAACCAAGACCTGTAACATGCCTGCCAATCCGAGCTTAACATGCGACTTGATCTCACGTAGAGTAGAACAGCAATCAAGAAGGTGTAGGCAGGGTTCCGTTAGATTATCTGTTGTATCGAATCTATTACGCAAGCACCTTGCATACCACTTCCATATCCTAGAGTGCCTTGTTATGACGACCACAAATCACCGGCTGCCTTGGACTTGACCTGAAACATGACTCTTTCTCTCGATCTAGACTAGGTGACACGAATTTCTGCTGTACAGCACAATACTCCGAGCCCTCCTGGAAGAAATCGCTGATGTGGCGGTAAAGCTGGCATCTGAACGGTCCGCACGTGTTGCAAAATTGGTCGGAAAAGGGTGAACTCGGGTATCCTGATCCACTCCAGGCCCATTCCATGTCATTAGACCCTTGGCGAACAGTGCCCAAGTATAGTTTTCCATGCAACCAACGGTGGATGGTGTGAAATTGAGTATTGCTAAGACCTTGGCGCAGCCACGAGTGATGGATTTTGGTTGGCAGCTGACAAGCTATCAAGGCCTGCCAAGGGATGGTCAAAGAGTGGTACAATATGAGTAATGAGAAACAGACATGCTTTGGAAGCAGGGACTGAAACTGGAGACGAGAATACACTGCGATAGATGTGTTGTCCTGTTGATATTTGCTACAAGAGGGCGCCCTTTATGAAATCTCAAGAGACGTTGCATTTTGAGGAAATACGCTTCACCCAGGTGAGGTCGGCTTCATAATGTAATTCCATGTTGTCTCCCCAAATAGCTGAGCTCTGTGTTCAGAGATGTGTTTATGTAAGAATATCGGAGATCGGTTCAACAAGGGTTGTGACTACTACTTTACGCAACCAGAATGCAAGATAGACTGGGTTAATCCTGACTTGCTTTACTTCACATTCCAATTGATTGGGCATATTGGGGACAAATTTGACGCTAAAATTCGATACTTGGAAATTCTGCCTAGGTAGAAGGAATTTGACTATCAGTCCACCGGTATTGAATAAGATCCATGACATAAGAAATTGAGCGAATGTTCACAATAGCCCAGGTTTCAGACGATTTACCTGCCTCTCATTCCCGCTCCAGTGTAGAGTATAGTTTGTGTTGCTTGATAGGAGTGATACTGACCAACGCCAATACAGCCCATGCAAGTAACAAGATCCAAACATGCTCAAATGCTACCATTAACGACTTGATAGCACCTTCATGCCACCCGCTTGGGAGTCGCTTCAGCTCGGTAAGGTCGTCACGGATTCGCTGTATCTCTTCGACAGCATTCGGGTAGTCGCCGAATCGAGCCCAAAGGCCGCTCGTCAAGCTATGCTGGTAAACAACAGAGGCGATTGTGATTCCGATGGTGCTTCCGAGACTTCGAGCTAACACTAAGAGACAGTTAGCACAATTCGTATCCCACATCGATGAAGTCATACTAATTGTTGATGTGACCATAGCCAGTTGCGAATGCTCCACGGCTGCGAGGCAAGCAACCTGTGTAATGCTAAAAGCGGTATTGTAACCAAGACTGAGACTGAAGAATGCTAAACACGTCATCCAGGTTGGACTTGCATCGTCTTGAAGTGTAAATATGATTGCGCCCACAATCATCGTGACAATACTACTGACCACGATCCCAACGTACTTCCCTGTCTTCTTCATCAAGTACCCGAGCGGTAGTGGTCCGATTAGTCCAAGAGATGAAGGCATAATTTTGAGTCCGGCATCCGTGGCTGAGTCTCCGCGTGCTTGCAGGTAAAGCGGTATGTAGAAAATGCTCGTCAGGCTGATTGCTGCGCAAAACGCACTAGCAAAGCATGTAGCCAGGACGGTGCGGTTAAGTAAAAGCTTGACGGGAATGATCGGCTGGGAGACCCTGAGCTCGCAGCAGATGAAGGCAATAAATAAGCATACTGCTATTACAATTGCCGTGATTGGCAGAGGATGCGACCAAGGCACGATGTTGCCTCCCATGCTGAGACCAAGGACGAGACTTGCCAGGAAGGCAGTGACCAGGAAAACACCACCAAAATCGATACGCTTGATGTACGACTTGTCGGATTGTTTTGGTGGTACCTTAATCATGACATACGCAATGACAGCAGAGACCAAAGACGGAACGATCTGAACAAGAAACGCAACTCTCCAGCCAATGTCACTATAATCACCCAGCATCCCACCAAAAACAGCACCAACCATAGTCCCAGCTCCATACCAAAGATTCGCAACGCCACCCACGAGAGCGCGTTTCCTAAGCGGTATAAGATCCGAACCCAGGAACATGGAAATACTCATCAAACCCCCACCGCCTACACCAGCGACCACTCTTCCCAGTATCATAGCATGCTGGCTAGTAGCTAATCCACATAGAAGGTTGCCGGTTGCAAAGGCGAGGTTACAGAACACCAAACCAGGGCCACGACCGAATATGTCTGTTAGACGACCTGAAATGGGTTGACTGGCGGCGTTGCCTATCAGGTAGGCTGTTGCAAGCCAGGAGAGGAGACTAAGGGAATTGAATTCGCTTGAGATCTGGGCGGAGAGGGTTGCGATTACTGTTGTGTCGGCGGCGCCGAGGAATACGCCGAGCCAGGCTGTTGTTAGGATAACTGCTAGGCGGGCGAAGGGTAGGTCTTTGTTGATGATTGTCCTCTCTTCTCCTTGGGGGCTCGATTCGGGTGAGGTGGATGATCGCGTTCCATAGGCTGCGGCCTCGGCGCCGGGCTGGAGCAATGGTGATGTCTCGGACATTGTTGTGACTCTGGACGGTGCTACTAGAACGAGAATACCCCAAAACAAATGTCGAATATTTAATCACAACCACTGAAAAGGATCAGGTCGGATAAATGTTGAGGCCCAAGCCAATAAAGACATGGTGGAATGATGGAATTTATAGCGACGGAACAAGATATGAATGATCCTAGCGATGTCTCAAACTTTCATCCCTTGAACATGGCGGATCTCGGCATTTTACCAATATTGCTCCTATCATGACGGTTCTACAGAAATCATCGCCAATCGTGGCATCACTTGTCTCACCCTCGGCCCAATAGAGAATGGTGTTTCTCACTTCAGCTGAACCAAGCATGTTATTTAAGCGGGGCAAAGGAGCTAAACACTAGTAAGACTTTAGCTCCTCCGCCTCGTTAATATTGATCTGTGATATTTTCTTCCGTGTCTTACTTCCCCTGTAAATTTGTCTTTAGCTCGTTCCGTTCGCTTTTACCAGATCTTCCTCAACCAACTCATCATTCTCTCTGGGCGTCAGAATCATCTCGCATAAAATTTGCCTGCTTTCCGACATTATCCTCAACAAGGAAAAACTTCAAAATGAAGACACTGGGTTTGATCGGTGGTATGAGCTGGGAATCCACAACCACCTATTACCAAGAAATAAATCGTCGGGTCCGCGACGTCCTGGGCGATCTGCACTCCGCCGAATGCATAGTATTCTCATTCGGCTTTGCCAAAATCGAAGCACTTCAACATGTTGGCAAATGGGATGAAGCTGGTCTACTGCCCGACGACTCAGGGAAGAGACTCGCGCTTGCTGGTGCAGAAGGTATTGTGCTTTGCACCAACACCATGCATTTCGTATCTCATGGAATGGAGACGGCAGCTGGGTTACCTCTAATCCACATTGTTGATCCAACGGCTGAAGCGATCCTCAAGGCTGGCTACAAGTTGGTCGGGCTATTAGGGACACGATTCACCATGGAGAAGGACTTTTACAAATCTCGTCTAGCGGAGAAATTCAATCTTGAAGTCGTTGTTCCAGTTGATAAGGACAATTATACTGTGCACAAGATCATTTACAAAGAGCTTTGTAATGGAGTCATCAATAATAGTTATTGACGTGTTTACCAAGAGGTCATTGGGAGGCTCAAGGCTGCGGGGGCTGAATGTTTGACCCTTGACTGTACTGAGATCGGCTTGTTGATAGATGAGACGCAGAATGAGTTACCAATTTTCGATACGGCGCGGATCCATGCCATAGCTGCTGCCGACTGGGCTATGGAGGACACCAAAGAGCAATAGAGTAGACGCTGAGCAGATTATCATCGATCGTTCATTTATACAAACTGTTTCTGCCCTATGACCACCTCAGATCTTTTCGTCACGACCGTGATTGTCCCGTCAGCAGCCTCGATATCAACCCTCCTCTCAACAATAATCTCATTCGATGAATCATAAAGTGGCTCCAATCTCGCCGGAAGACCAGAAGTTCTCATCACAATATCTTCCTGACTCTCTGATATCGACTCGATGGCGGTGATGGAATAAGGGTCCGGTGCTGCGTAATTTGGCCGTCGCGTTAGCCAGTACAGAGGATAGCTGCCACGCCTGTTCGCCTCTTGCGGCTGTCTACTCTTCCTCCTTGTTTCTGTCTTTGGTGATAAATAGCCTGTGGTGATCCAGAAGCGGCGTTTGAAAAGGGGTGTTATCATGGGAGCTTGACCGACAAAGATGCCGATGCAATCTTTACGAAGGGACCATAGAACAGATTCGCCACGTTGGTCCAGCTGGAGGACGATCAGCGACAATTGGGGAGTGAATGATAAAATACTGGCCTTCAAGATGAGGACAAATCGGAGAATTGCAGCAGTCATACAAAAGAATCCCAAGCTAAATAAAATGCAAAGGCCGAACTTTTTCCAGAGCTTCGCTCGGATACCCATGACAACTGGAATCGGGACAAGAATGATACTAATATCCATACTTAGATTAAAAGACAGAACAAGAATAAAAAACATTAGAGTTTGCGGAATGCAATATCCTGCTAGTCTTATTAGCGCAATCCCAAACTTATGTATCCTGTGTTAACTCACATCCAGGATCTAGCCAGACCTGCCACAAATAAAAAAAAGGCCAACACATTAAGGCTAACGTTAAAATAATAACAACCAACAAGACCGACCTGCATCATTAAAGGTTTAATAAACCTTTCCATCTATAGCCCTCAGATAACTTGCTTATAAAGCTATAGCATATTGGCCTTAAGTATCCAAAGAACAATAACATAGAGAACTAAACTAAATATAAAGATTTGCATCCTAAAAGCCTACTTACTATGCTCTTTTTCTGGCATATTTTTCTATTCTTTATAATTGAGATCGGAGGTATGTAAGCTTCTGGCGGAATTAATGAAGATATAACCTGAGATTGCTGTGCCGGTCCAGAGAAACTGACGATGTTAGCTAATAGCCATTTCTAGTAAATATCGACTTACTGTAACAATGAGGACAAGGTAATTATGAGGCTGATAACCTCTCCAACCGACTAATTGCGTGCGACAAAACACCCGAGCGGCAATCATAAGAATGTCAATACCGTAAAGAAACCATATCTCCGCAGGCTGTTTGGCAATAGTAGCCATAGTAGCAGATGATATGAAAGAGGAAGAAAAAGAATTTGCATGGAAACATTGGATATGTTGTGCATGTTCGTATATCAAGTCCCCGTTTGCACTCTAACGGTGTTTGGCGTCGCAGATATATAGGCTTACTCTTGGCTAATCAAGTCATTCTCAATTCAACTTTTCAGGCGTTTCTTTGGAATTCCGAGTCGTGTCCCATCACCCAAAAACCGGAGAAGGGTTGTTGCATAGATGAAGAGTGGGGATGGGTTGATGGACCGGTGTACCACTGGGAACTGCTTTTCTGTCGGCCAGGTCGACTCAATTCTTTTTTCTTTCCTGATTCTTTGGAAGTTAATAGTCAGAATGGACTTGTTATCCGAGACATTATCGTCGTGGTATTTGGTGGCTAGTGATATTGTGTCATTCTCTTGACGTTCAATCGCTGCGCGTATTCGGTCCTCGTTAGGGCTGCTAATCAGGAAATAAAGTCTTATGCCGTCCAACCTCTTCAGACTGGCCAGTAGACCAATGACCGTACCCACCTGAAAGAAATCAACACATTCATCGAGGGCGTCAATGATAATGACTTCGGTGGAAGGACTGTGACCCACTTGTGATAAGGGGGTTTTAAGAAGCACCTTGAACTGTTCTTCAAGGCGCATAGTTTCGAAATCCGTATTCTTGCAGTCGCCGATCGATTCACTCAAACAGGACTCATAATGAGGAATGGTGGATACAAGCTGCGCCGCGATGGTGGAAATCACATGAGATACCTAATTCCGGCCGACGTCGCCACGTTTAAAGAAGTACCCAGCGGCGAGAATAAGAGTATTTGAATAGGAAATATCTTTTTGGCAAAATGGAGAATCTATGTAACATTCAGTAAGCCTCAAACGAGCGTGGATTGCGAAAAAAACGTTGTCTATTTGGGTTAGCGTCGTGATGGGTTCGCCTGTCCGGCAGCGCCACTTTCGCCTGTCGCGTACGTGAGGAGGGGTATACAATCGAAAACAACAAACGTCAATCAGTCTTAGTCTCCTCTCATCTACTCTTTCCATGGTTCACAGATGTTGCGAGAGCGATATTTATCTGGAAATAGCTCAAAGAGCTTGTTGGTTGCAACACGAGTAAATGAACCAAAATCGTCGGCTTTGTTTTCTTCTACCTGTAATTCCGTGATATCGACTATAAGTCGAGAACAAGTTTTCCGATATGAGCGACAGAATTGACCCAAGGCTTTCATTCGTGCCCATTCCTATGAATCGATAAGAAATATGGGCAAGGTTACAGGGCTCCTACAAGAAGATGAATGACAGTTCTAATTGATCCTTTGTACTTCGATCCAGATCTAATGGGAAAGCACTTAACGGTCCTAGGGTTTTGTTCCGCAAGCGTCTGGTACGAATCCCCCAAATCAAGCATTATCCTCTATGCCAACCAACTTGCATGACTCAAACCACAACTTGGCAGCCTTGTGTTCGTCGTAAACCCAAGGAGCATGGCCAACATCTGTCCATACCATAGACAGGCTTGGTTTTGCAGGCCCTGGTTCACCACAATCACTCAAGTACCGGCCACCTCGGCCCTCCCAGTCCTTACTTATCGCAGCGTAAACAGTCGTGGCTGCACCTTGAGGAGCACTCTTCATCATGAGCTTCACCTGGTCGTCCACCATTGCTTCTACTGCCTTCGGATCCACGTACTGGCCCAAGTTCGTCGCAATAGTACCGGGATGCAGAGAGAGGGCGTGCACACCCATTGGTCCATAACGTTTATCGATCTCGGTAGCCATGTATATGTTTGCGGACTTGGACTGGCCGTACGCAACCCAGGGTTCGTAGGAGCCCTCTTCCTCGAAGTTTAAATCGTGGAACCTGATATCGCTGACGCGATGAGCAAGGGATGAGAGAGATATGACACGCGAGGTGAAGGATGGGGTGGCTGCGGCTAGCAGCGCCGGCTTCAACAGTTGAAATAGTAAAAAGTGTCCGAGATGGTTGATACCAAACTGGGTTTCGAATCCGTCAACAGTTTTGCCTTCTGGGGTCGCCATCACCCCCGCATTCAGGATGAGGATGTTCAAATTGGCGCGCTGAGCTAGAAAAGCCTGGGCTGCAGCGCGGACCGAGTTGAGGGAATTGAGGGACAGTTCGATCAGGTGGAGTGGTGCTCCGTTGTTCGGGTTGGATGCTCGTAGATCTTCAACCGCCTGCTGCCCTTTCTTCAAATCCCTGACCCCCAGGAAGATGGTGGCACCAGTCGTTCTGAGGGCGCGGACTGTCTCAAAGCCAATTCCCTGGTTAGCTCCAGTGATGAAGATGGTCTTCCCAGCTAATTTTCCTTTAACTTCCTCGTCCTCGACAATTTGCTGCGCCGTGGGCCGGGCGTCGCCTGGCCCTTGCGGCTTGCCGTGCACTGCGATGTACTTTGACATTTTGGTTCTGTTCTTGGCCGATCTGTGCGAAGGAGGAGTATGAGGCAGGATATAATACAAAAAAGAGGTCATGAAATGTTCCAAGATGTAGTAATAATGACCTGGCCATTTGTTATATATTATATATATAGATCTGCCAGTCTTCTTAATAGCAGAGTTAAAACAATAGCTTGAAATTCATAACAGATAACAATCTCCACAGTATCCCAGTAATTCTCCACAATAATATAGTACTGATTCTTAATTCAGCGCCAAATTCATAACAAACCACACCCGCCGGCTGCATTACAAATCATATGATGACGACTATTATATCTTTACAGAGCATCCACTGCCAAACTTCCACCAAACTTCCACCAAACTTCCACTAAACTTCCACTAAACTTCCACTAAACTTCCACTAAACTTCCACTAAACTTCCATTAACCTTCCATTAACCTTCTCCTAAATTCCACCAAACTTCCGTCAAAAATCCGCCAAACCTCGACCTAAAGTCTAGCAAACTTCTATGCCCCTGGTATCCTAATCAGCAGACGCTCTACCCTTACAGCGATCCATAACGCGGTGGTTGTACTTATCCCTTCCCTTACTATGACCTCGCCTATCTCGCCGGTCATCCAGTTGAGTCAGCGCAAAGCCTGTCTTACATGTGCAAAGGCCAAACGGACGTGCGATAAGCGGACACCGATTTGTCAAAGATGCGCGGAAAAGAACCTTGCTTGCCAGTATCCGTCGACCCGGCGGTATTATCGGGTCAACCCGGCGTCTGCCAGCCAAGATACGTTGCGTTCAGAATGGGTGGCGCTGTCTACCGATATCACGAACAAAACCGGCCGGCAGATGGATAGCAATATGATGGAAAATCACCAAGTTACCCCTCTCGCAGGCCGTTCTCCCACGGTGATCCCAGTTTCCTGTGGGAACTGGTTTCTGAATGTGGAAACCTGGACGATTGAAAATGTCGGTGCAACCAACTGCTGCATCAACCCTAGCCCTACGCATATGTCTATATGCGTCAAAAGCTGGACCACTATTGTTGGGGGCTGGCTATGCCAGTGGGTCAAAGAAGGTTGCAATCCATTCATCCACCAACAGTTGTACTCCGATACAGGCCTACCTCAATGCCTTCAAGACGCATGGACGACTCTCACTGCGTATATGTCGAAGACGGCCCAGAACGAGCATATAACAATGCAAATCGTCCAAGACCGCGCCAACGGTCTTCTGCAGACACAGACGCCGGACGACGGATCGTTCATGTCAGTCACCAGCATCCCCACACTTGAGCACCTAGTGAGAGTACAGGCACTGTTCATATATCAACATATTCGTCTTTTCGATGGGTCCATCCGTCAGCGGTCTCTCGCCGAAAAGGAAATCCAAACTCTGTCGACATGGTGTCAACAGCTTTGGCAGTCGGCAACTCTGGATGCCAGTTGCGAGGTGGGACTTCTGAATCATACTGGGTTCAATGGCGCGCACGACGAAGAGTGTGCCACAAATCCGGGACTCTGGAGAGCTTGGATTCTTAGTGAAAGCATACGACGCACGTGGCTGGTTTGTCAGAGCACGATGGCCGCTTACTTAAGGGAGAGGGATGGCTGGAACTTTTCCCCCGGAGAGATTAGATTCACGGCATGTCAGGGGTTGTAGGACGCATCTTCTTCGGGGACATGGACGGAGTTGATTAATGGGAGAGATCCGTCATTCGTCAAGAGTCTCCATGTCGACAGACTTCTCTCCTCGGCTGTTGCTACTGAAGTGGACAGTTTTGCGACTGATTTCATGACTCTATTAATAGGAAAAGAGAGAATGGATGCTTGGACTTCATGCATCGCGCGGACTGAGTGTACTTAGACAGTTAATCCAGAATAAGTCCCAATTCTCTTCATCAATAAACAGTGAGAATATACGCTGGCAGTCCATTCTCAAATGCTGAATTCCTCGCCTGGGGCTCTAGAGAACACATGACATTGGCAAGAGTGTCGTAGTGCTGGCGGGCCTCAGCATTCTAGTGCAGCTTCAATGGCAACGTAGCCGTCTCTTCTTCAACCTTGGTTTCGATCCACTTCTTGATTTGTGAATTCACCTCGCTGGCCGCTTGCCAAATAGCCCAGTGTCCTGAACTGGTCTCACCATACGTCAGATCCTCAAAATGTTGGTACACATCTGATTCCGCGCCTGGTGGTCGCGCAGGCTCATCTCACGCAAGAATGAACAGTGCCGGCATAGCAAACTTATGCCTGCCTTTCTCGGTGAAACCTTTCTCGTGCTCGAAGTTGATCTGATGCGTACGGTACCAGTTCAATGGCCCGCGCAGGCCACTTTGAGTGAATGCGATAGTGTAATAGTCTGTCTTTGCCTCATCGAGGAGCGGCGATGGCCCGATTCTGTCAAGGTTTTCGAAAAGCACGCCACGTTCCATCGTGTAAATAGCTTCATTTTCCTCGCCGCGGCCACCAAATATACCCTGTATCAACTGGCGGATGTCATTGGGACTCGTGATGCGCTCCTCGACGTCGGACCGGCGAAATTAGAGTTGATACTTGAAGTCAGTTGGTTCGCCGGCAGCAACAAGGTCGGCAAGGTCGACTAACTCAACGGTGGGTGGAATATACGGCACACACACGCTGAAGACGGCTTTGATGAGTGTCGGGTGCCACATGGCGACGCGCCAGGCAAGGGCGCGTCCCCAATCGTGGCCGCCCAAGACGATCTGCTCCCCAGGTATGATAGCCGCACAAATAGCAGCGACATCATCAGACAGGCTGTTGAGTGAGAACTCGTCAAGGGCTTTAGGCGAAGATGTATTGCCATAGCCAAGAGAGTCAGGGATCAGTACCTAGTAGCCTAAAGAAATGAAGACAGGTACCTGGTACAGCCAGCCGAGTGAGAATGTCCGGGAAGCCATGTATAAGGTAAATAGTACCCTTAGATTGTCGATTTCCATGGTGTTGATGCAAGTGTGATGCGGACGCAAGTGAATAGCGACTGTTATTAAGTCTGAGTATTAACACATATACCCACTGCCTTTAGTGCTACTAGTATTTCCTATATAAAGAAGGCAAGATTACAAAGTAGAACCTAAGCTTACTCCTGATTTAGAAGGGTTATGCGGCGAAATTGAGTATATATAGAATCATGGAAATAGGAAATCCCCTGTTTCCTCGCTTATAGTAAGTAGGGCTATACTAACTTCTATTAAATCTCACTAAACCTCTATTAAACCTCTAGTATACCTTCGCTAAAACCACCAAACTTCAGTTAAATTAATATTCCAAATTCTTTTTATTTTAATAGCTAATCCTCTAAAAGGAGCTATATACTTAATAGTAGGTTTAATAACTTAATAATATATAAATAGTAATAGTAATAATAATATTATATGGCTTAATATTAGATTAAAACCTTATATTAAAATATAAGCTTTAAATAAAAGGTAATTATTTTCCCTTTATTTTATATAAAATATTAAAAATAAGGAGATTATTAATACTGCTTATTAGAACCTCAAAAATATATAATTTATTCTATTAACTGCTTATATAATAAAAAGCTAACTATAAATAGACTAGTAATATATCTTATTAAGTAATAATTAACCCTGCTAATAATAGACCTTAGCTTATTAGCTATTAATAAAATATTTTTACTTAAATATACCTTATTTACTCTATTTACTATTAAGAAATATAATACTTTATTATACTTAGTATTATTATGCCCTATATATCTGCTAATATAAACCTAGTACAGACTAGTTTATCCCTTAGGAATCACAACCGTCACACACACCTCCTCTGACTAAGGTTAAGATATTAATTTATCAGAGGTTTTATAATACAGGGTCACAATCTAATAGCTGATTAATATTTATAGGTATGCATTTAGGACAGTCAATTCTTATATCCCTCTGAGATTAGTGCCAGATGCCTTAAAGGATATGCTATCCTAGTCGTCAACCCCATGAACGCCCTTTGTAGATTGCTTCCCTTCCTTGACAACAATATCATCCAGTTGAGAATCCCCACCTTGGACTTTTCCGAGCCAACCCCAAGACTATTAACATTTTCAATATGCCCACTTTTACTCTTCTTCTTTCTGCGGTGGCCCTCTCCCTTGCCAGCCAATCCATGGCGGACACGGTAGTCATGGTCAACGGCGTCACCTTCACCGGCGATGCCCAGGCTGAAAGCGGCAACAACAGACTTGTCGGCACGAAATGCCCAGGCGTGCTGCAAGTTACTGGCGACAACGACGATCACTGCTGCGTCGGCGGGACCTTGAACCTCAGCACCTGCGAGGGCTGGCCACTCTGCAGTGGCCCTCATACTGCCGCCCCCGAGCCTACATCTATCAGCTGCGCTACTAAAATCCCTCTGACGGCTAACAACTACTCCTCCTTGATTGAGAGTGCAAGCTCCCGGTACTTAAAGGCCAGTGGTGAGGCTGAGCCTTCATCTACGGGTGAAAGTTCCATGCCGTCAGCGACCAGCACCAAGAAAACCGACACCGAGGGCACCAGCACCGAGGGCACCACCACTGAGGGCACCACCACCGAGGGCGCAAATGATCAGGAGGGTTTAACGAATTCAGGCGCCAGTCCTACCGAGACAGGCAATGGATCAACTATTGAAAAGGTTCCCGGTCTGATAGTCAGCCTTGTTGGGGGCGTTTTGGCCTTGTGGATGTCAATGTAATATGGTAGTCCTGGGGTAATGGTGATAATTGTTACGCTTGGTGTTAGACATTCGCAAAACAATGGGCGACCAAGGTCGACGAGTGAGGTCGTATTCTTAGAGCGGCACTGACGAAATACACACTGACGCGTCAGCAAGGAATATGTATAACTACGGCTGACTGACATCATCACGACCAGCCACTTGTCGTGGCCCAATCAACATGCCATTCCGCAGAAATTATTGCAATAATGCAACTTGCTTCCGTGTTTTAACCCATCGTTCTCTGAACCCGCCTGAGTCTCAAAGGACCATAACGCATGGTTAGCTATCATTAAACGAGGCTCATGGCCACCAATTGCAACATTCAGTGTCATATGATCATAATATTAAAAATCTCCCCGATGGCGCAATTGGCTAGGCCCTCTGGCTGTTAATCAGGAGGGTGAAGGTTTGAGCCCACCTCGGGAAGTCAGATCCGATCCAATAAGATCTTTTTTACTGCGTGCTGTGGAGGGCATCTTCAATTCATTCAAGACTAATAGGGTTGCAGGCCTGGATTAAATACCTCTTACAATTACCTATATGCAGAAGAGGTAGCATCCGATCAGCTAATAAGAGAAGGAAAGGAAAAATTAGATATAACCCTTCTCTTACATCTATTTATTCATATAGAGTTTATTACAAGCTAGGCGCTGCAAATTCTAGTTTAAATCTTTAATCGCTATAAAAACTGCCTTATATCACTAAACCGCTTAAGGCAGATCTTAGACTTACCTAGCACTAAGATATTATTTAAGTTAATATAATCCTTTAATTACTTAATAAATTATCAGTGAATAGAATAGCTATCTAATATAGGTCCATTAGCCTATATTTATAATAATTAAAGTCTATCTATAGAGCTTTAGCATATAACTTAAATAGTCCTTATTATATCTAGTAGAATAGTATACCTATTTATATAATAGTTAGGATTTCTCAGTAATAAACTAGTTTATATTAAGTTTATACTAGCAGATATATAATGCATCATATTCCCCTATTAAAAGTACTATTAAAATTACTATAATTATAATATATATAAGTAGAGAAAGTTATATAACTTTATTATTTTAACTATTCTATAAAAAAGCCTCTACTTAATTTTATTAAACTTTCTATTAAAATCTCTTATATATATATAAATTTTTTTATCACAGTATACTTACTATTTATTTCCTACAGCAAGTAACCTTATTGCTTACTAATAATTAGTAGAATATATATAGTATCTATAGTATAACCGCTGGGGTTATAATATAGTATTATCCCCTGAGCGGCTAAATTATATATTACCTTAAGAAACTCTACTGCATTGTCTGCCTTATGGCTGATTAATTCCATGGTTGCGCTATGTCTCAGAGCTAAGACAAGCAAGTGCCCTTAAATAGAGCCTCGCATTAAATTAGCCATAGCACAACGACCCCAACGAGACATCGGACAGCTCAACACTATTCTATTAACAGAGTGCCCAACAATGCAATACTGACGCATGGGTCCATGGCCAACAAGTTCCCTGCACCATCCGGAAGCCAGTGGCGGGATAGGATGTGCAAAAGAAATTCTGCCCGTGACGTCATAATTATATAAAGATGTTATCTCGAGATGCATAGCATAGCGTAGTTGCTCCGGCTACCAATCACTGCCGCTCTCGTATTCGGCTACGGTTCCTCCCGCCCCATTTGAGCGGCACCATCTGGCCAATTGAGGGAGTCCCTCGGGTTTGGCGCCGTTAAGGTTGCGGCTTCAGGTACCAGATTTCTTAGCTCAGGTCTTCCAGCTGAGGTCTCCATAGCTGGGCTAGTTTATATCCGGAAAGCCAATTGGGCCAATCCGAAGCCTAGAACGGCTTGCTGCAAAAGCTTCGGCTCCAGATGTAACGGTCGGATCCCAATCAGTGGCATGAAAATAGTTACCGATCACCTGATATATGCAGGCGAGGGCCGGCCGATCGCTAATCCTGTCAGGAATGCAGTGATGTGACCTTGGGCCTTTTCGAGCGTACACCTCGCCAATGCATGGAGGCCGCTAGTACTGTTTCTGTAGTTGGCTTTGGATCTATTGAAGATTAATCACCAGGCCCGAGGTACCGCCAGCTTGGAAGCGTGGTTCCCCGTTTTGTCTGCTTTAACAAGCTGTTTTCTCGCCTCGTAAGGCTGTTTGGTCTTGACTTTCCATCCGTGTTCATGGCCAGTTCTCTCTTAGATGAGTCTGTCTTGGAGTCCATCTCTGCGGTAGGACTGTCTGGACAATCGACCGTGGTCCTGCTCCGCTAGACTCCGCTGGGAGCCCTAAGGCGCAGTCCACAAGTAGGAAACTTCCCTGTCTATACTGGGGAGATCTGGAGACCCCACAATTAGGTCGGGGACCCGGCTGCTGGGGACGGCAGAGGAACGGTGCTATGGAGCTTCCCGAGCCATGGTAACGGCGGTATACCCCTGCTCGATCGGCTATAGTTGATGTCACAGTTACAAAGAGGCACCTAAGTTTTTAACTTCAATAACCTTGAGCCTTCAAGTCACAGCCGCCACGAACGTCTCCATTCAAGCTGAGGCCGCAAAGCTCGGCTGTTGAGATTCTATGCCCGAGTCTCATCGGCCTGCGTTAGAGGTTAAGTTCTGCCAGCTTCCTCCTGGTCGAGATCCATTGGTCTACAGTATTGCTCACGAATCGGAAAAGTTGGGCTTCTCAACTATGCATGATTGAGGTAATTGAACTTGATGAACAAGGCACATAAAGGTCTCATTCAGTACTACATAGGCTATATGGTAAAGGCATCTGAAAGCAGTGACTTTTACACAACAGCGTAAAAGAGTGTTAAGAAATGAAAGTAAGCCACACCCTATTAAGGCAGCCAAAAGGAGTGAGTTTTCACAACAGCGTAAAAGAGGGTTAAGAAACGAAAGTAAGCCACACCCTAGCCCCAAGTCGCCGCACCGCCAAGGCCATCTGGGACACGCGGCCATTGTCTTCCAGGAATCACGATTCGATATGCTTGTAGCTTCGCTTGCGCTGGTAGACGTTGATGTTAATGGTGACGGGCATGTTGAAGTCGATATCGCCAATGCACATTTGGAACTGGGAACCTTGTGAGTTCTAGAACGGGAGGAGCAAGTTGAATCACTTACACCGCTGTTGTTGTTGCAGCAAATGATCTTTGCGTTGCATACATCCGAGTTGTCGCAGGTTTGAACTACGGGACGTCAGATCTTTAGCGCGATTAAGGAGTAGTGGGAGTACGTACCGCCATTGGCATCGGTGGTGCAGCAATACTGGGTGCCGCTAGAGCAGTGGTTCCCTTGACTGTTAGAGTCTCCTCCGCCGGTCGAAGGACAATCGCCGTCGCCACCCTTATCACCCTTACCACCCTTACCACCCTTGTCACCCTTGTCACCCTCTATCAAGGTAATCTCCGGTTAGAGTAATCGCCTTGTGGTTCTTGACTACTTACTTTTGTTCAGAGCCGGCAACTTTGGCCAGGGAATATCCCCAAGCTGAGGAGCTCGCGGCTCGATGTCACGAGCCTCAATCTCGGCAACGGGCTCGTTGATGGGAGACGCCATAACGCCCTGCATGAGGGTAAAGCCGTAAAGAACAGTCGAAAAGTGCATAATTGCGTTGTCTAGCTTGATGAGCGAGCTAGTGGTACAAAAGATGAAGTACAGAAGACTTGAGAGAGAGTGCCTTAGTAACGAGAGGGGTGGCGAAATGTAGAGTGACAGAGATGGTTCAAAAGCGGATAGGACGAAGGAGACTACAGCCGGTATTTGTGTAGAACCTCTTACTTAGTCCTCGTATTTAGACCTGGGGATATATGGGCAGCAAAGGTAAATCATTCCCCCATGAAACCCTGCGTATCTCCCATTTTTGTGTATGACTAGACATGACATAATTACTCATGCGTGGCTAGGTTTCGAACTCTGCACCCCAGACGGCGCGGCTCGCTGCTCGTTTCCGAATTGGAAAGCGATGGCCCGTGTCCTGCAAGACGAGCATGCGCGATGACCCGAACATAAGGTAATCTCTCCGTAACATTGGCGGGCCGTTCATTTAACACTGGAGCTGCCCTGAATCTATTCGCCGTTCTTAAGTATCATGCAGGTAACGGAAAGCCTTAAAAAGCCACTCCGTATTATGTTTACTTCTATGGTACTATTCGCCGGTTTTTTTTTTTTTAACTAAATTTATTGTTGAGATATTTACGCAGTAACTTCGAAGTTCAGCTGCGCTCGTATCCGGACATTTGTGCCTTTACATGCAATCTCGCTGCATGTGTCCTTACCTCATATTGATGTTTTGACGTCCATACTCCGTCGCCCTACGGGCTAGAACCGCTCCGGCACGCTCGGATATTCTTAGTTACAATTGCGAGTCTGGTGGGCTAGATGGGTACCTTCATATCAGGGCTTATGCATCGGAATATGTTTGCCGCTACATGCCTTGTAGGCGTTCATGTTCTTGCCTCCTCTTGGTGACCACGAGTTCCTGGCTCTTTCCTTCTTGTATTGGTCAACGCGTAAGTTGCTCAACCCCAAGCTATTTCCAGCTACACTCAAAAGCCTAGGCTTCCTTGCCGGCTTCGTTGAGTTGGCCGCTGCTCCGTCGAACCATCCGTTCCGTTACATGTAGTAATTTCGACACAATGTCAGATTGGTACCTTGGAGGTTTTGGCATGTCGGAACAGTTTGAGCGTAGTTGAATATGTCCTATCTCTCACTTCAAAATCCAACATGTGGACTCGCGTCTTTGACCGTGATTCATATTACAACACCCGTACCGTTACATGCGTCGTGTCCCTGGCTCATCTTGATGGCGCTGAGTTCCTGGACCTGCCAGTCTCGACCCTAAGGACAGCCAGAGCTCCCTGATTAGTTACCACTGGGTTAAAGTCTAATACCCACATAACTATTTGCCCCATCGGACCATCGCTGCCGTCTCACAAACCACCTCGCAATCAGACTCAGTTTCATTCCTTTGGACTATCGGCTGGGGCTTATCTGGACCCAGCGTCGATCCAGCCTCTTGATTTCTCTTCCAACTATCTTACGATCTTTCTAGTTATTGAGTTCAATGGCTTCAAATCGGGCTTTCGGCAGCATCATCTTGGCGTTCATAATGGTGTAAGGGGCAGGAAAAGAGTTCAATAGCTCTTCAGGTAAGAAGGGCTTGTTGAGGCGTAGAGAGGGGATAGTGTGGTAGTCTTCTTGAAGCAGAAACGACAGACTCTTCGAAACTATCGGGGGAAATGGATATATAAGGGCGGCCTTCTTCCCCCTCACCATCTTTCCTCATCACTCACTCACTCTTCACTACTCAGCTCAACAACCTAATTTATTCTTCACTACTCTCTTTTCAAGACAAACACTCCCAAATCATCAACATGCAGTTCTCCGTCATCGCTCTCCTCGCCGTTGCGACTGGTGCTCTTGCTGCTCCCGGCGGACCTTCCAAGCCCAACAAGCCCAACAAGCCCCACAAGCCCTCTCCTCCCAACGTCAACGTCCAGAGCTGCTACAATGATCAGGCTCTCTACTGCTGTAACAGCGATGGTCATGGCGCAGAGGTCAAGTGCGAGTCTTTCTCCAACGGTGGAGTTGGCGGCATCTGCAACGGTATCCAGATGTGCTGCAACAACAACGTAAGTGAAGCCAAACCTGACAGGACACTTCCGACCTCTAACCACTTCAATACAGGAAGGTGCTCAGGGCTGCAGCTTTGCCGTCGGTGGTGGCATCATCGTCGTCGGTGACGGCAAGGGTTGGTAAATGGTCAACTCAGAAGACGAGGTCGATCATCGCATCCCTCTGGGACCGGAGTGGCTAGCGGATAAATAACTTACATCGACATTCACGGTTCTTCACGGTCACGATGGTACAGACAGAGGTTCAGATTGATATGAGGATTTGGATGACGGAATGATTATCTTCTTTGGTTCTGGTAGGGGATGGCTCTCGCCAATTTAGCCTCAACCATAACCACCCACTCTCATTTAATAGCTTTTATCAGGTTGATTTAGTTACGTATAAGAAAATGGCAAACACTATAATAGGTTCGCAGAAACTTTCTATTAATTTAAAACTAGTGATTAATATCTAAGTATATTATACTAAGAAGTAAGAATTAATAGTTACTGGTAATTATTTAAGTATAATGTGTTTAATAAGCAAGTGGACTGGATAAGCAAGTGGATTAAAAATCCCTTACCTTATAATATCTTTATTTAATTAAATATTTCTTAACTACTAAATATATTATAGTCTTTAAATAAAGCTAGAATCCTCCTTGCCCTTTAGGCCCTTTAAAATAACCTTAGTTTTAATCTCTAATATGTTGCAAATATTTACTAAGTCCCTTATAGTACTTTATATCACTATTAAGATAATATTTAATTATAATATAATGTTATTTAAAAGTTATAGAAACTATTTAATTTAAAGGAATAAATTATAGTCTAATTTATTTTTAACTTATATTTATAAGGATTTCCCTTATAACTGCATTTTATAAAAGAAATAGCTAATTCTCTGCTTATTAACTATAATATATTACCTATTAATAAGTACTAGGGTTATAACTTTATTAAGTAATAACTAGAGTTAAAAATATATATCTTTTAGAGATATAACTATTAGAGAGTTAAATATAGAGACTTAAATAATATTTATAGCTAGTTTTAGCTTAAAGAGAATATAATTATAAAGTATAGTATTTAATTAAGTAATATCTAGAACTTTAATAAAACTAGCTTTATAATAGGCTTGATATAGTCTAGAATAATAATTATAGGCTTAAATAGGTAAAAAAGGTTAAAATTAATATAGCTTATAAACTATAAATAGATTATTTACTATTAATACTACTATTAAGATTACTGCTTATTACAGGGCTTTTTATTTTTATATTTAATTAGATAGTTATTATATAATCTATTCTTTTATATACTTACTAATCTATAAGGAAGCCTTTACTTATACTAAAAGCTTCCTATTAAACCTTATAGTATAACTAAACTATTAACCCTACTATAATAATTATTAAGCAATTAGGCCACTATACTTAAATAGAAGCCTCTTATTAATTATTTAACTTAGAATAGCTTTAACCCTTAAACTATAAAGGTAATTATATTAAGATCTATAACCTAACCTCTATTACTTTTTAACTATAATGCCTCTATAATATAATTATTATTAGTACCCTTAACCCCTTAATAGAGTAATTAATATAAGGCACTAAGCCTCTCTTCCTCCTAGATTACCTATTTAATATTATATATTTAATCTAAATAAAAAAAAGTTAAGACCTTATAATTAAGCTATATTTATATAATATTTATTATATTAGTATTATAATATTCTTTATATACTATTAATATTATAACTCTAAGTCTAAGTTACTTAATATAGCAGAGCTATCTTAAAGATATATTTAACTTAATAGCTAATATATATAGTTAAGCTAATAATATAAGTTTTGCCTGCCTCTTTTAATAAATCTATTGCTACCTTCTTAGTATTATACTGCCTCTTAAAATAATTAATAGACCTTTTCTATTAGCAGTATACCTAGTATTAGTAATTTCTATAGGTTTAACCCTAGTTATATATTAGGGTTAATAATTTAATATAATCCCTTATTAATTCTTAATAATAATATTAATTTATTATTCTAGACTTAAGTTATTATTTAAGCTTTAAAGTAATTAAATAATAACTCTCTATGATAACTTTCCTTATAAAATAAATTAGTATAATATATATTAAATACTTATTCTTAGACTAGAAACTAATCCCTTCTATGGCTTTCTTTATACCTTGCTGAAAGTAATATTATTACCTATAGTAATTAAGGAAGCATTCTAGTATACCTTAAGGCTAGTTTAATAAGTTATTAGTAAAGAGTAATAATTAAGAAAGGAATGCCTTTAAATATATAATAATATATATAATTTATAAGAAAGATTAGGCTAGTTTACTTTAAATATTAATAAATATAGCTTACTTTTATTATATTTTCCTTATAAAATTTAAAAATTTCTAGTTTTTATTCTCTTTTTACCTATTCTAATTAAAAGCTTCTTATTATAGTAATTTAAATCTTTGCCTTTTAATAAAATATTAAATCCTCTAATCCTAGGTAACTTAGTTACCTTAGCTAAGGCACTTTTTATTATAATTAATATCTATATAAAAGAGTTTAACTTTAGTATTATTAAAAGGAATAAGTTTTTACATAAGAGCTAGGTAATATAATATACTTTTTAGTATTATTTTATTTTTTTAATAGCTAATACTTTAAAAGGAGCTATATACTTAACAGTAAAATTAATAACTTAATAGTATATAAATAGTAATAATAGTAGTAATAATACTATAGGGCTTAGTATTAAATTAAAACCTTATATTAAAATATAAGCTTTAAATAAAAGGTAATTATTTCCCCCTTATTTTATATAAAATAATAAAAATAATAAAAACAAGGAGATTATTAATATTAACTATTAAAACCTTAAAAATAACTAAGTTATTCTATTAACTGCTTATATAATAGAAAGCTAACTATAAATAGACTAGTAATATATTTTATTAGGTAATAGCTCACTCTACTAATAATAGACTTAAAGCCCTTACCTATAGAAATTATAACTAATATAACTAAAATAAATTAATCCTTAGGTTAGCAGGTAATTAAAAATATACTAAGAAATTATATTAATTAACCTTTTAATAGTAAAAGCTATAGTGTATTTAAGTTAATAAGTAATATACTCTATAATATACTGTCGCAGCTTTTCTTGTACTACTTTCAGCAAGTCTTGGGGCTGTTTTCTGTCTGTCATTTGCCAGCATAACTAGTGCCGCTTTAAGAGCGAGATGCCCCACACCTCAATGTTAAAGCCCTGTCATGTATCGCAGATGTACCGACCAAATCTGTCCGCTAGCCGCCATGCCTCCTTCACATCCCTGTCTACCTAAGCGCCAGACTATTATGTAGTCGTTCCTATTCGCTATAGCCCCTCTCATCAATATTACCTGAATAGCGCTTGCTGAGTATAAATATCGGGCACCTCAGCCATTCAACCACGTAAAGTATCTCAATCACTTTCTTCTACACCCCTCACTTGAATTTCAGTCAATGGCTCAACAGAGCATCCGGTCTAGTTCCCATGCCGAGTCAGATGACTCGGTAAGTTCATACGAGGATGATAGTGTGTTTGACAGTGACAACGATCACACATCAGACATAAATACCAATCCCAGCGATATTGACATCGAGTTGGACGATGCACCATGTCTTCTGGGCGGCAGTAATCTGCCTCCCGAATTTTTCCTTCGCATGCAAGATGACTTCAAGGAAGAGGACGCGGATGACACTGCGTATGCCGATGGCACAACTCGTCAACTTGATGCGATTGAGCGACGGTGGAACACGTACGTTTAACGCCTTGTCCTTTCCTATCTTCTTTTTTTGCAAGACCACTAATATCTCTTAGTTACTGCAAGTACACAAAACAAGACCCTAAGTACTGCATGCAGCACATCTCGTTGAGTAAGATTAATGCATTTTTTCACTGGCTCTTTGCTCAAAAGACTGGAGTTAAAGAAAGGAGGCTCCCCGGTAAAGATCTTCCCATACCCTCAAGCAGTACTGGAAGGAGTTTCGACTTGTATATGAGAGGGAAACTAAGAAAAAGATCGACCCTATTTTAAACCGCAGGATGCGCAGGGTACGTATGTTACCTTTCTTGGTCACGAAAGTACTGACACGTGACTGGTCAGGTCCTTCGAAAACTCGTCGTCGATCACGGTTTGACAGGAGAGCGACGCGAAAACCGGTGCATGACTATCGAGGATCTTGAGCGGCAAGCAGAAACAACTATTAGCACGACTAGGCAGAGGTTCCACCTTGGCGAGCATCGCATTTACGCTCTTTTATTCCTCCTTCTCATCGCACCAAGTGGCTCTAGACCTAGAGCACTCCTTTTTCTAAGATTTGGCGACCTCGAGCTTTCTTTGGCGCGTGATCCTCAAGGCGGCCCGCACCGCATTCTGATTCGTTTTAGGCTTCGCTTCACGAAGACTTTCCTTGGAGAAAAAGAAACGTAAGTGACATGCCCAACCGCCTTTGACCACTGAGCCTGACTTGTACAGCAATGTTTTAACTCTTCCCGAAACTATCTTTGACTCAAGCTTGCTACTCAGTCCACATACCCTTCTTCTTGGTCTTTTGTTCCATCATAATGCATTTGATGCTCCAACTCTCACTTCTCCTGAGCATTTGAGCAAGCTTGATATTCACCCCGACGAGCACGAGTTGCCCCTGCCTCTTAAGCAGAGTATGAATGACACATTCGTCTTTCGCAGAGCTACTAAGACAGGAATGAACGCATACGTATTGTCTGCAAATGAACAGGTTACGTATAATATGATTTCCAGCTGGACAAAGAAGCTTGGCGAACTAGCCGGGTTTGGTGTTGTTGTGATCTTATATACGCTTCGTTATAACGCGGGCAACGAGTTTGACCAATGCTGTACGTACGTTCTTCATGTGCAAACACAGATTGACTGAAGAGTGATGCAGCGAATATCAGCGATGGACTTCGCAATCTCATGCTTCAACACGCCAACTCTAGAACTTTCGAGAAACATTACCTCGGCCGTGTTGTACCTGTGGATACTATGGCCGTTGTAAGCCATAAAGAGCAGCAAAAAGCGCTGATGCGTCAAGCCTGCAGTATCGGGTACTCAGCCAGCAAACGACGGCCTACGCATCTGACTGCGGAGCAGTCCGCGAGCATTAACAATGACCCAAAAATCCAGGATCTACTTCGACAACGAGAACGCCTTATTTGTAAAGGCAACAAATCCGATAAAAATCGCCTACGTCTAAAGAATATTTCTAAATATATTCAAAGTGAAAAGGCGCGCCTGCGCAGAAAGCGTAAAGATCAGATCAGAAAGACGTGGTCCCGGGAACAGGCTGTAACCGATATTGAGCGACAACTAGCTGGCAGGGCATTTGAGGAGCCACCGGTCTCACCACCGGATGGAGATGCTCACCCGGCCCAGAAACGTCTATATGAAGCTTTAACAGCTCCAGCGACCAACACAGTCGAGTCCGAACATCGTCGTCGTAATAATGCGATTCTTAGCGTTGTATCTTACTGTTCTGTCCAAGAACCGCCTCTGCCTCCTATGACAAGACAGAAAGCGGTTGCGACCAGGGCAGATACCTCAGATTCGCACAACGATACCACCAAAGACAATGCAAGTAGCGCCTTGGGTGATGCAATAACTTCCGTCTTTATTAAAAGCCGGACGGATCGAATTCGCAGATGCTTTCTTTGTGTTGGTCGAGCCACCACTCTTCAGCCCTCCGATCCAGCTATCCCTGAGCTAATCAAGCCTTTCTATTCACCGGGAGATTTGAGCAGGCACTTCAAACGCCGCCATCTTTCTAACCTTCAAGCAAATGAAAAGCTCCATTGCTGCCTATGTGATGACACGTTAGACCATAAGATGCACTTGCAAAATCATGCTGAGACGGTACATGGAACGGTATCATATGGAGGTTGATGATTATTGGCCACATAGGATAATTGTTTGTCATCTATATAGAAAAGCTTTCTGTTTTATTGAAATGATTTCTTTAACAAGCTTTGTTTTGACGTAAGAGAAGACGAAATTACAATCGACATAGACTGACAGTTATTGAGTTGATTTGGTTCAAAGTTTCCCTGCCTGTTCAATACCCACCCAGCATCGTGATGGTGTTTCCGCCCTTTCCAAGTTGTTCGGCATGTTTGTAAAACTCCAGGATGTGGTCTTGCCCTGATTGCTGTCGAGGTTACACGGTCGCTTGCAGTGCCGCCTGATTTCGTGTCCCAACAATGACATCTCGATGTCAGGACCCATTAGGCATGCACCTGGAAAGTCATAGGCGGGTGATAAAGACAGCCAAGCAAGGGAGGGATACGGTTGCGCCTTGCGAAAAAATAGGAACGCAAAACTTATATGATCGATTGGTACGGAAGCACGAGCCCCTAGGAGCATGCGTAGATAATAGCTAGACCTAAGAAACAAGGAAACTATTCGGACATATGAGAACAGTTCAAAGCATGAGCGAGCACATCCCGTCGTCTTGTTTCCATGGTGCATCCGCGAGAATAGTTTGGGCAAAATACAATAAGGTTGCCAAGCTGTTTGGCGATATTCTTTGCGAGCCTGACTCGATTTGTCCGAAATTCTCTCCTATCGATAGGACAGGTCTGACTGATCTCATAGTGCCTCCGTAAGCATTCGAGGCAGAAGACATGATTGCATGGTGTTATAACCGGAGTCGTAATAGCAAACTTGCATATAGGGCATATCAAACAATCATCAACTGCACTAGCAAAGTCGAGAGTGCTAAAATCGACAATGCTATTAACCTGCGGCGTGGTCATTGAATGGCATCGAGCCTCATACGCTACTAGGTCTTCAACTGGCCAATCGATCCTAGTCCCGGGTGCTTCATGTCGTTAGCTCTAGCTGTGAGAAACAACTCCAGCTTCACTTACTGATCATCTGCCGTAGTATGGCAGGCTCTCCAGCGGACCGAACCATGTCATCTATGAGACGATATAGAGGTTGATTGGCATGTGAACGTGATACATTATTACCGGCCATATCGGGCTGGCCAATAGAAGCTGGCATTCCGCTCGTAACTGGAAGCTGGTATCGAAGCAAATTCTGAAGCAAAGCCGTATTGATTATTTGTGGACCACGCGACGACAGAAAATGTCCCTCACTTTGATACCAGAATGTCACAAGTGACGACTTCTCATGCGCTAGCTCAATATGGAATCTTGGCTGGGGGGCTTGAACGATCTACGCTAAGGGCCAAACAAGGCATTATGGAACTACTGTTAGATATGCACAAATACGAGGGTGTGAATGTATCAAAGTGTGGACTGGAATGTGATAATCTTATTAACCGTGGACTTGACCGCAAACCTTTTCTTTTTTCTTCTTTCTCGGTGATGGAACGCAGCCTTTCGATCCAGATATGAACCTCATAGCCCAAGATCCAACAGACATGAACCTCAGCGACACACTCTTCCAAGGACATTGGAAGCAATGGTGGGCTGGAGATGCAGCCTTCCTTGAAACATTCAATACGGCAGCCCCGAACGTCTACGTACAAGAAGAACAGCTTCAATATGGCGCTTACGCCTACGACAGAGACACCTCGATGCACTGGACATCGCCTACGACCTCAATGTACAGCTATCCCCTTCCCTCCCCATCTTCCAAGGCTACCAGCATCGACATCGCGACCGGTGACTCTGAGAGCCGTCTTGGCTCTTTATTAACTCAAACCGACAAACGCAAGGGGAACATGACTCGATCTACAGCAGCCTCAAATGCACCAAAACGCGCCTTATCTCGAAAAAGAACCAAGTTGGAAGCCACAGAAAAGCCCAAAGCCTGCAGAAGTAAATCCAAGCCAGCTCCCCAGTCCCAATCTGTAAGGACGCCATCTCCCGAGCCAAACAAAGAAGTCGATGAAGACAGCAAGAAAGTTCAGGAGAGGAACCGCATCGCCTCCAACAAATTCCGCTTCAAGAAGCGCGAAGCCGCAAAGAGACTTCGGGCCGAAGAACAAGATATGGAGCGAGCAAACCGCGACTTGTCGAGCTGTGTATTCGACCTGACGATGGAAGTTTACGATCTGAAGATGAGGCTTTTACAACACACGGACTGCGATTGTTACTTGATTCAAGATTACATTGCGAATGAAGCGCATCGATACAGTCAAGACTTGGGCGATGGAAAACAAACCCCGGCGACGCCTTCTTATACCCTCATCAACTTCTCTAACGCCACCAATGAACTCCTCCTGAGCGAATCTCTATTGCAATCGCAAGAAACTACAATGACGATTACGGACGAAAACTAAATATTAAGAATCGATTCGGCTACTAACGGTTGATCGATGAATTACAATTTTGTATTAAAATGCGGCTAGGGAATAAAGGGCATATCAATCTAGGGGATGATATCTAAAATACAGACTACTGGAATTCCCTCTGTCTTTTCTTCATTTGCTAAGCTATTGTTGGGACGGGCGTGATCAAAACGACGTTGACAAACTCTTTATATAAGGGCTCTTAGGCTTAATTCCGTCTAAAGACATCTGCCCAATGGCTGAACGCGAACGCATATCTATACTTTTCAATGTCCCGCTACTTTATGGCATCAACTTCAAAGTTTATGTCCTGAGTTCTTCTGACTTGTATCCCCTCTTAGGGCTGGAGTACTAAATCAAGACGGCAGTCGAGTTCCAAGGAGGTATATCTGACGGGCATGTTGTAGGTACATACCCTCATGAGTAGGCAATAGCAGACCGAGTTGATTGTATCTTGAGATTCCGATTTAGTGTCAACAGCAGGTACTCTTTGATGCCGCCTCGATATCAAACTCCAGGACTCAGCTGCTACAGCTTGTCATGGCGGCCCTTTGGTCATATATGGAAGAGCCTGGTTGAACTTGAACTTTGGCGGCAAGTAGAGAACAAGTATACTTGTACATATAGCGTATTTGCCTGCTATCCCCGAGAGAGTTTCTCAATACTTGATGAAGGCGTTCGAAGAGATATGGGACAGCACATAATGAACGTGCCAGACAACTTAAAAATGCACACCTCCAATGCATAGTCGGGAGGAAGTTTACTGTGTCACCAATATTCGGCTATCCAAGGAATCACGTCCAAGAGGATGGGCTTTTTGGTCGAGGACGTTGGAGGCTGTCGCGATTGGGTGAATGAGAAACTTCATTTTGGGAGAGGTAGGTTGAGACTATTGAGGTATCGACGATACCTTTGATGACGCTGTAACTGCTTTACAAAGTGATCTGTATTCGCGAGATCTCTGCTCGTTGTAACGTAGCTAATCCAATGTCTCGCAGTATTCCGCGATGGAAGAATGAGATCTAATCCTTCACAGCCAGCTCTGCAAGGTCGAACACATCATCAAGATGAGTGGCAAACCTCTGATATCGCCAGCGGGTTCGTGGATTCAACAGCATCCGCGGGATATCCAAATTTCGGGGACATAGAACTTTCACTGGATGTCGCAACTCAAATGTGGATTTGGGACAACACTTTTAATTTCTTATAGAGGTCCACTTCTTAATGAAGCTATTCTCTATAGCTTAGACTGAATAGTCTCCGCCTCTTGTTTAGCCTTATCTACCAAAATACGTCTCAAAATCTTGCCAGCTGCGCTCTTTGGTACCACGTCGACAAATCTGACACCGCCTCTCAGTTGCTTGTGGGCAGCGACACAAGCGTTGAACCATTGTATAATACTCGTTCCCATCTCTGGCGTCGCTTCAATCCCTTGCTTTGGCACAATGTATGCTCTTGGAACCTCTATAGCACGCGTCTTTTCGTAGACGCCAATGACTGCCACGTCAATACCGTGATGGCCGAGAAGGAGCCCTTCAAGCTCTGCGGCCGCGACTTGGAAGCCTTTATACTTGATCAGCTCCTTGATACGGTCGGTGATGTAGAAGTCCCCATTCTTGTCCTGTTGCCCCACATCTCTAGTCCTGAAGTAGCTATCTTCCGTGAGAGCATTCTTTGCCCCGGCAGGGTTGTTGAGATACCCCAAGAAGACATTTGGGTCTTTCAGCCAAAGCTCACCAGTTTGTCCCACCGGAACTGCTTTCTCGTCATAAGACATGTACTTGGCTGCTATGTTCTGGAAGCAGTAGCCCTACAGAGCCCATGGTGCTTTGCTATCGATCCCACATCTGAACGTGAGTGGCTGGAGAAGTCTCAGAGAGGCTGTATCCTTGCTTGACAGGCATCTTAATTCTCTGGTAAACAGCATCGACAAGATACTTTGTCAGTGGAGCCGCGCCGGAGCCCAATATTCGCTGTGAGCTTAGATCGTAGTTTTCCGCAATCGGATGCTTTCCGAGAAAGAGCAGGACTGGAGGAACAATAAATGCAATGGTAATTTTCATCGCCTGTACTTAGGAACAAAATTTATTCAGCTCAGACTTTGGCATGACAACCAGTTCAAAGCCAATATACAAAGAGAGATGCATAAGGCATACCAGACCTATCTCTGAGTCAATGATCTTCATTTTGAAACTTAATGTTTTGACGTAACATAATGTACATATAGTATATAGATATTTAAACCTTAAGGTAAGTATAATATTAAATGTTATAAAATAATTTTATTACCATTATTACAGTATAGATATAGTATACTAAGCAATATAAAGATAGAAAGGCTTTAAATGTTTATAATTCTACTTATAGCCCTATTAGATCTAGCTGATTTACCCTTAATAATGCTAAAGTATAGTTAGAGCAAAACGCATCAGTAAAGATAGCCTGGATAGTCAATACCAACTCTATTTTAACCCTATATATCTGCGAATATAAACATAGTATAGACTAGTTTATCTCTTGGGAATTATAACTGTTAAAATTATATATTTTAGTAGGTAATTATAGGCTAACTACCTCTTGATAGTACTTAAGTTATATTGTTTTTAGTCTTATAAACTGTATGTATTGCTTGTTCTATTTACTGATTCTAGCGTTATCTTTCCCTCTTCTGTTACTGGATTTTTATTCTATCACTATTTAAGCCTTATCTAGTCAGGTAACGTTCCTTGTCTAATTCCAAGGTTTAATTATTAAACACGTCTTGCGTTTGTGTGTTTACAAAAGCTGCGGTTTAACAGTATTGTGACGGGTGTGATTCCCAAGGGATAAACTAGTCCGTACTAGGTTTATGTTGGCAGATATGTAGGGCGTAGATACTGAGCGTTGCGAAGTGTCACGTCTCTTAATAGTGAATAGAGCGGGTTAGGCGTATTCAGGTAAAGAAGTCTTATTGATAGCTGGTGAGCTAAGTTCTATCTAATGCTAAAGGAATGTATATATACATGAGGTGGTCACGTCTGGGTGACCGTGGTCAATGGTGACCATCGTGGTCACTGTAAGTGAGTGTGTTGATTGAGGTGACCATTGTGGAGTAGTCACTCAATAATCCTCTAGGTGTGGTGGTGACCATTCTTGATAGGATGGAAATTATGGGGCACACGTGACGTAACCGCGGGGATCGTAACAAGTATAAGTACGAGAACGCGGAAAACATACGAGTAATCAGCTAATTAATAGTTTATTCCGGTGTCAATAAAGGGTGGAACGCAAGAAATGAGACACAAAACAAACCCGAAACCGAAATACGCGATTTTGCCCCAGGAGCGCGTATTTCCGTACACTAGTCCTTTTCTAGCAGAATTTCAATTGCCAATTTATGCTAGGAAATTCCGCTAACTTTCTTCGGGTTACGGTTAGTTATAACGATTTGCAACTACTTCTAGGGTAATTGACAAGCTCCAGTTCCAGGCGAATACGCGGGAAGTTGTGGCTATAATAGCATAGCTTGTCTCTCACAGCCGCTCAATAATCGAAGACAATTTATCATACCATTCAAAGCAGATATTCTAGACCAACCAACTTCTATTAACAAGTTTATCTATTCTTCCTTCATTTATCATTTTCTCTTTCACTAGGTTCTATCATCTTGCCTTGTCACATTGACCCTTATTTTACCTTTCATAGTGCCGTTATCACCGACATCAACTATGGATTGTGATCCCAACTACGAAGACGTCGTATGGGCGTTCTACCGATTCGTACCTTCAAAAGAGGCCAACATCGTGTTCGTAGTCCTTTTCGCCATGACAACCTTATTGCACACCTTACAGTTATGGCGGACACGGACATGGTATCTAATACCATTGGTTTTCGGAGGAGTTTGTATGCAATTGGCTCTAGATCGATGACGGGTCGAAAGACTTATTCACTGACACATATACAGGCGAAATTATTGGATATGTGGGACGAGTGTTAAATGCAAACGAAAACCCTGGCTGTTGGACTATGGGACCATATATCATGCAAAATGTCTTGATTCTTATTGCTCCCGCACTTTTTGCAGCTTCGATCTATATGATCCTTGGAAGGATCATCCTCTTAACAGATGGCGAACAATATTCGTTAATCAAAAAGCGGTGGCTTACAAAGCTTTTTGTATTCGGTGACGTGGCATCGTTATTACTTCAGTCATCAGGTAAGGCTCAACCTGAAATGAGATTAAATTACATCTTGCTGATCACTATAACAGCAAGTAGTCTTATGGCTGTTGAAGATCTCAACAAGATAGGTGAAAAAGTTATTGTCGGTGGTTTGTTTGTGCAACTCTTCTTTTTCAGCTGCTTCATTCTTGTCAGCGCCATCTTCCACGTCCGTATGCGCCATGGGCCGACCCCAAGGTCGGTGGAAAGCAGTGTGAGGTGGCAGACATATCTCACGACGCTTTACTTCACTGGAACTCTCATATGGATACGGAGTCTTTTCCGCGTTATTGAGTTCATAGAAGGTAACGACGGGCACTTGATGCGCAGTGAAACATGGGTATTTGTCTTTGACGGGATGCTGATGCTTGTGGTACTATTCTGGATGAACTGGTTTCATCCCGGAGAGATTGGCCTGATTCTAAGAGGAGAAGACCGGATCACGAATGGTCTGGAACTTATCAAGATGGGAAGTGTTGGGAAAGGAAAGAGGAATAACCACATGGAAAGTCTGTCGTCTGACCCAATTGTTTGAAACACTAGGATGAGATATCAAAGAGTGGAGAGAGAGTATCCATGGTTTGGGGAAACCTTGTCATCAAAGGTGGTGTCTACTACCAAGGCTGTGATGCTCAGGTAGATCTTTCGATAGAAAACTATTGTGTAGCAAAAGAATGAGATCTGAACACAGTGATATGCCTTTTGAAGCGGAATACTGGACTAACTAAAGTTGGGTTTAAGGACGGACGTAGGAATTTCCTGATTTTAGGTAAGCCTTAATACTATAGAGAAGGACGTCTTTACAAACAAATAAGCCATCAAACTTGGTGTTGAGCATTCTATTCCCCATAGTCGAAGTTCGCTCTGTCAACCAGAGTCTCACTTCTATAATCAGACATAAGCCCCTAGTAAGTACAGCGGACCAGTTACATTCGCAATCAGTCGACCAGCAGAGCTGTTGTTGGATCAAATACCATCTCTTGATAAGCTTAAAAGGCATTCGAAATCAGATTCACAAAATTGACACGCAAGCTCATATGATCCCAGGTTCCAAATAGGATCATTAAATGTAAGAAGAGCCATTCGCACTCCATATGCTCTACCTCAGATATGGAAATGCTCTTTCACGTAAAGGGGAGTGCGGAAAACCGGTGACTTTCCTAGCAAGATGGACTGCAACTGGTCGAGAGATCTAAAACCATCTTGATCAATTACCTACAAGGAGGTCATCGGGTGATAATCCATGCCACCTGCAATTATTTAAGGAGACATCGACAGCGTTAATGCCCAACAGTCCATCATACATTACTCAGGAATCATCGATGTAGGGCCAGAGAGCATGCTTGGATTCTGATCTTGCGCGCAAACATAACTAAAACTATAACAAGTCCTTCATAAGTAGCAAAGAGAGCCCGGACATTTAGAACAACATATGGGTTCCTAAATTATTCACAAGCCAGCCTCATCTTTTCAACTCTCCCAATATAGTCGAATACCCCGTTTGACTGCAGTTCCTCCTCCTTTGAGTTTAGCATTCAACTGACTCGGATGTTCCCATGCAAACAGAGCCATTGTCAGGAGCATCAAGACACTGTCAAAAAGATACATGTAGACCTCATGCGAAATAAGATATCCCGCGTTACCTTGTGCGTATTCGATAAGGCGGAATACAGACCGTACCATAATCAAGCCAGAGGCAATATAGAGAATACAGAGGTATCTTTCCCAGGGAATGTTTGATGCTAGTGCTTTTGTCGATAAGTTTTGCAGAAGTCGGGTATGAAATAGGGCTGCTGCAACAGCAAATAGAGAGAAGAAGATAACCTGGACGACGAGGCCTATCATCACAACGCGCTCACCATTGTGCAAGAGTTCCAATGAGCCTGCAGCCATCATGCTACCACCTGCGAAGTGTTATTAGAACATTGAGCTACGTAGACGATAATCTTCCAATAGAATGATATCTGTGAAGAAAAGGAGAAGTGAAACCCGGAGGAAGAAAAAAAAAAGAAAGAAAAAAAAACCAAGGGAGAACTTGCCAGCGCCTTGAAGAGCGAAGGATAAAACATCCCCAATAACGAAGATTTTAGTTAACCATGCTCTTCTGATAGGAGAACAATTCTCTCCGCCAGTGGCAAGAATGATACGTCCAAGAATCATGTAGATACTTGCAGCAAACAAAGCAGGCGAGATAAGCAAGAACAGGTTTTGGATGATAAAGGGTGTGAGTGACCAGTCCGGAGTCTCGTGGGCAGACCCTGCTCTCTAAGCTATATTAGAGCCTGGAGTAAAGATAATCGTGATAGGAGTAATACTCACACCGATATAACCAATAAACTGCACTATTTTGGGATTAGTCTACAGTTAATGAAATTTCAACACGAAGCCAATCTTACTAAAGCCGCCAATAACAAAACAGATCAAGAACCACGTCTTGGTTCTTAACATTTGGTACAAGTGAAGGCCGGTAATTGCCATGAAGAGGATAGTGAAAATGACTGCCGCAGCCATGGAAGGATCGTATCGGTAAAGCTTGAAGGCGACATCATCATTCCCGTCCGCGGATTCTGCCATGGTTATAGCGTGCTGAATGATTTGAGTGTGTAGGATGGCCTCTAGCCTCGTGAACTGAAGAGTCGGCACGATTGAAAGGTCGTTGTACAGGTGGTGGTTTGAGTTGAACGACAAAGATATGAGCTCCTGATTTACCAACGATCGTCCGACGAGAATAAGTAACAGTATTTAAAGTAAAATCTGTTTTGCTTACGTTGCCATTGCTGTGGGTACAGTTCTCCTTTTAACGCCTACTCCAAGTTTAATCTCGGGTTCGGATACAGGCGTGAAAAGGAATACGAGTATACGAAGGCCCTAGTTTCAGGTTTCAGATAACATTTCAAGCTTATTTACTGCGCCTAGGAGGACAATAACCCCTATCCAATAACTTGTAGGGCCGAGACTTCATTGATATTGGTAAATCGCCTCCAGTGTGATGAATGAATTGAGCGGCCCTTGCCTGCAGTTTCGTTAGGCTCGTCTTGATGTGTGCGCCACATTGCTTCCGTAAGCCATCGTTACTCGAATACACAAGGCCTTCTCGTCCATACTTCTGTGCTGCGATAGTTGGCCAGAACGCCGACTTCTCACCCCTTCTTAACAGGTAGTGAATGCATAAGCTGATACATATACATATACGAATTGATACCACAATATTTGCTTAATATGTGCTTATTCGGATGGTTGACTCAAACCTCCATATTTGATGATAAGATTGGCACTAAAATCTATCATGGACCACGTCAAAGTAGCAAAACAAAAGTGCATCATATACGGTAGCCATACAAATCTTCTCTCGTGTCATTTCTTCCAACGTATACACATAGACTAACCAGGAGAGTGAACGAATACGAAGAGTTGATAAAAGCGCAAATCGTAACAAGACCAGAATACTCCGATCCGTTTATTTGAGGATTTCCACAACTCTCTGTTTAGGCCATCGTAGCTTCTCCAGAAATTCTGGCCGATAAGCCAGGGCCTCTTCTATCTTGGTCAATATCTCGTAGGACCAGTTCCTCATATACCACAATCGGGTTTCTAGAACTGCCCAGTATACAAGGTAATGTGCGAAAAGCAGAAGTGCATGTGGTTCCAATGCTGCGAGGTCCATAATGATAGTATCATCTATACCGTATAACCAGAATTGAACGGCTCCAACCTCAGTATGTATTCCAGTAACGGAGAAGAGCTTGGCGCAAGTTTCCAACTTATCAAGCGCTTCGGAGTATTTATGAAGAGAACCGATAGGAATTCTGCTTTCTTGGAAGCCCCGAAGCTGTTGATATACTGCCCAAGTGTCTGTAGGTATGCCTGAATCGTCCAGAGAGGGATAACTAAATCTCAATCAGCTGAAGGGAATAGTCAGTCGGAAGCTGGTGTTACGCACCTTTCCATCTCGTCAATCGAATCAAGCCAGACTCCAAAAATGAAAGGAGCAAACTCAGTCTTTACCATACGCTTCATCACTGGCTGTAGAGTCATTCTGATACCTCTGAGAAGCCCAGCCAAGTTGACAACATCTCCTATGGGATCTTCTGATATACCATGGTCCTTACGCAAAGGAAGTGTCAGCATGTGCAAGATAACAATTGACGCAAAGCTAAGGGCAGGCATCCAATATGACAAGGTGTAGTCATGCAGGTACTGACGATAACCCTTAGAGCCGAGAGTTTGATGATAGTCAGCCAGCAATATGTAGGTTTTGCGCTTAGCAGATATCAAGTAAGCTTTATGAGCGGCGGCCATGCCGAGGACGCCGTGCATGATGAAGGAGTGTTGATAACCTAGCCTAGGAATAACAACAGCCCATACATGAGCCAAATCTTTGCGATATGAAAGGCTCTCGGCAGTGACAGTGCAGTAATGATGCATTAGCTCCCAATCGTGAGACCACATTTCATGAGAGGAGAAGGGGATCATCAGATCTTGTGTATTAGGATAACTGAGGAAAGGAAGGCAGTCGGCAGGGACAGGCGTGTTCTCTTTTGGGGTGCCGGGGTTGGAGTGAGTCAAGTTAGGTAGACTGGAAGATTGGGCGTCGCCGCTGGTGTCTGACGAAGCTACGACAGTGTCAATGGGGGATTGCGGTGCTAGACTGCACGCCACGCCGTGTCTTGTGCATTGAAAGCATGAGGGACGGGTTTCGTCACACTGCGGGGGTCAGCAAGCAGGACACAAAGTAACTGCATTATCAACCACGTCATCATTTCAGATGTAAGGGAATACGAACCTTGACTTTACGACGCTTGTAGTACAAGCAGCCTGTGCGAGATTTGGTATGAGGCCTCCGGGCGCGCATTGTGCAAAACGAAGATTACGAGGGACCTGGAAACAAAATAATGGTTACTACTGCGCTGAATGTCGAGTTTTAAAGGCTTAATCACAGCGAAGGCGAATACGCGGGAATATAGTTCGGAACGCGTATGAGTCTTTGCCAGCCCCACTATCTCGTATCGGCTGCTCCGTTTAGTTAGTGCGCATACCAATGGCTTCGGTTGTTAACAGCGAGTGAGGTTTAGAACTAAGCTCTTGGCGTTAAATCAGAGAGGAACTTCGGGCCAGGGTTGGACGTTTTTTTGAAAATAACCCCAACCCCACACTTGGGGTTAGTTAGTGTCAGCTTGGGGTTAGCGCAATGTAGAGGAAAGGGGACTTTAATCAACGGAGGAAAACAATAAGACTACTTCTCTCTTTGCTTTCTATCACCATGATTAAAGAGGCGACATCAAGCAGCAATGGAGGACATCATACAGTCAGGACCATCAGATACTTATATGCCGACTCTGTCAGGCAGTTATCCGGCCCGGCAGCAGCATCAAGTCACACTTTCGATATGTTTATCAGCTCAAGGGCCAAGTGCTTAAGGACATCAAAGACTACTACAGCACACTTGAATTAGCTGACCCGAAGCTTGCTGCAACCCCCGAAGATAACAGTCAAGCAATTGAACAGCTTATTATCTCACACGGATATAGCTGTAATGCATGTTGATATCTTACTATTGCACGCGATAGTATTGTCCGTCATCAGCGAGAGGCAGGGCACGATACAGCCGAGGAACCGTGGATTAAGGTGCAGCTATAGACGTGGATAGAAACTGTTGCTTGATTTAGTAACCATGTCTGATTGTTTTGTTATTAAGTTGCATGAGGCTGGAGTAATGTTGGCACTTTTGAGCCCAATGATTCATTTCTCAGTACAGCAATTAACGCCACGGTTGCTAACATCTTCGGCAGGGACATAACAAGTTCAATATTTTCGCAGTTAGGGCTGTTTGATTACCCCCTGTAGTGTCCAGCCACCATGTTTGTCAACACTCCCCCGGTTGAATTCTTGATGGCCTTTTCGCTCTTCAACGCAGCAAAATGTCAACCGATATCGCAACCCGAGCCATGGTGGTGACTTTGATGACCTCTAATAGAGGAGCAAAGAGAGCCATAGAAATACACGCGATTACTGGTCTCCAGTACAGACAATACGAGATATCTATGCAGACGCGATCCGGCGAGGCTTCGAGCTGAAGCAACGCCCCCGACAGCTGACAAATGTGATGGTGGATGATACGGCGCGGCATCTGGAGTGTGTTTAAGAAGACTGGAGATCTCATCCCCGCCAAGGCCATGATTAACTTATATCTTGACAGTCGTCGAACCACTTCCAATATCTCCAGTGAACGTACGGATATCGGTACCCTTGTCCAGGGCCAAAATGCTACGAGGAAAGAGTCTACATAGACGAAGTAAGATTGGGAGGATGTAGAAGAGTAATCCCCATGTGCTGATTCTGCCGCCCGCTACATCGCCCATTGACGGAAGTCTAGATAAAGGCTGATGTTGGTGCCAGAGAGTATTACTGAAGAATCAACCAGGCCCTGCAGCTGTTCTCACGCCATCCATAATTTGTTGGTTAAGACAGCATCAAGTCTCATGGAATGAGTCAGCGGATGACCGCAGACTGCTTTATTACGCGGGGAAAAAAGCACTGTGTTCTTTAACGTGAGTATGAAGCCAAGAGGACTCTAACAAGGTCAGATAACATCAGCATTAGCTGAAGAGCATAATTGATAAGCATTATAAACGTCACTTACCGGATTTCCGATATTGTTTGCCATAATTGTCGGAGGGGATGGGAGATTAAAGAAGGTTGTTCTTATTGAGTAAGTGAGAAGATCTTAAGACCTAGTGAGAGGTGGTATAGAGGTACGATTGGTACGGACCATGTTGGGCTGGGCCTACCATTGGTTGCCTACATAATGTGACATTAAAACATATCGAAGCGTGGCGGAAGAGAGGTCCTCTTGGCAGGCTTCACTACTTCGTCGCTTACATCCAACGGAGTGTTCAGCGCAGCCAAAAGTTTCTTGCTATCAGCCACAACCGTAGGCTAGCGCAAGACAATGACACAAGATGGAGCTCGTGGTATACCATGCTGAGGGCGGCATTGAATCTTAGAGATGCGATTGACAGCTATTTTAACAAATGAATGGACGCAAATTGCGCTGGAGACGAGCTCTCTCTAGAGGACTGGATCACCTTGTAGAAGATCAAGTCCTTCTTGGAGAAGCTGAAGATGACGACCAAAGCTCTCGAGTCATCATTTGCAACACTCGACAATGTCCTCTTGGCGATGGACTTCGTATTGGCACAATTCGAAGCCGGCAAGGATGCAGCTATCGACGATGTGGTGATGACACTGATGTATAACTCAGGCTGAGCCAAGTTGGATAAGTACTATCGCATTACTAAAGAATCGCCTGCGTATGTTGCAGCCATTGTGCTCCACCTTTCACACAAATGGCACTACATACAAGAGAACTGAAAAAAGGAGTGGGCTAAGTCATCAAAAAAGTTGATTGAGACGCTATGGAACAAATATAAACCTGTCGAATCACCGCTTCCTCTCTGCGAGGTCCCATCGACAACCACGAATGAGTTCTTGAATTAGAGGAACAAGCATCTGCAGCCGTCATTCGCCACGGACGAATACGAACGATATTGCAATTCTGAACGGGTTTATGGCTTTACAAGCGCCATTGCATGGTGGCTAGAGGAGACGCAGCAGAAAACCTACCCGAGCCTGAGCAAGATGGCCGTGGATATACTATCAGTTCCTGCAATGTCTGCGGAGCCTGAAAGACTCGTCTCTGGTGCAGAGATAACGATTACAGACCGTCGAAATCGGCCTAGGAGTGATGTAATTGAAGCATTGGAGTGCCTGGAGTCATGGTTTGGGATACGAGATTTTCAGGGTAACGAGATTTGTGCAGAAGCGGTATAGTGATGGGGTCACGTGGAATATATTGGGTGTATTGCCACACTGCCAATATATTGGGTTATTGACAGTAAATACAATATGCACCCTTTGAAAATACAATAATATTGCGAAGGGGTCCATATTGGCAATATCATATCGTTTATATTATTAGCAACACTGGAAGCCATCTTGATCTTAGGAATAATTGTTAGTTATAATAGCAAATCAAGAGACCACTTGCATCCTTGACCAGTAATCTGAAAATATACGATCAGGCAGGATTAGGCGAAGGTATTTTTCATTAAATATTTGATGGATTGCTAAGGTGGAAATGATAGGGAAGGAGAATCAGTGGTCTGCGGCGGCGAGGGAGGGTGCGGGGACGAACCTATACGACTCCAGTAAGTCTCCAGTGATGAAACTCAAATCGGCAGGTACCTTAGCTTGCATGACTTTTTCGCTGCGGTGGCAAATTCGTGTATTGTCAGATATGAAAGCAAGAACCTTCTTATGATCAGATGTTTCTGAAATTGGTCTAACGATAGAGCAGCTACCTACTTGAGGCTTGCGGCACGTTCGAAGGTATTTGTAATAGCAATTAAAATGGACTGAGTCCGAGGGTCTGTCTTGTTTTAGACTGGCAGTTTCAAAGATCCCAATTTTGATCATCTCATATCAGCGTCATGCCCCATCAGACCCGTCATCGTTTTTGTTGCCGGCAATATTCGAATCTTTTACCGCTGGCTGGCTTAAAGTATTCAAACCGGGAACCCCGCTATTCGGAAGCCCGCTGATGAGATAGCTTAAACCAATGGCATTTATATATCAGGCACCACCTGATCGGCGACAAACCTTAAGCATGGGTTTACGGAGCCTCCGTAATGCTTTTATTGGCCAAAGCAACGGTTAAGACCATTTCGTTGTGAGGGGCAGGTTCAAACTTCACAGGACATCCTACAGCGAGGGGACCCTACATGACGACACGATGAGTGATGGATCGTGATGTGTCTAAGGAAAATCTTCTATACTGACGTACCTTATACGCAGTTTTCCTTACTATTGGTATTTGTGTATTATGTGGCCGAGTGGGACTACTTGTGTGAGAGCATTCCCATCTCCGTGACAATTATGGGAATGGGTGAACCCTTCTTTCATTTTTATTCAAGCAAAATATTAATCCTGGACTTCGAGTCCTGCTTATCCACGGGTGGTACTCGAACGAATGAGAGTTAATCCCTCATGGAGAACAGACAACGACAGTTGGGCCGAGCGGAGTCAAGGTTGTCAGACATTCTTGTATTGCCGCTGGAGGCGGTTGAGATTGCTGGGCAATGTCGTGATCAACTTACGGGCCAGTTCAGAGACTGGCTTTGTTTTCCACCTCTGTCATATCTTTTCCAAGTCCGCTTCTCTGCGGAGCAGTTCGTCAAAGACGTTTGTGGAACATTACGGCTCGAACGGGTAAGAGCTTCAGTCACGTTAGTCGACAAGAAGGAGACCGATGAAGAGGCACAGACGCGACGGAAGAGCGTATACGAGTCTTTGGTATCGAAACCCTGGGGGTTCTTGACAGGACAGGAGGAGAAAGACATGGGAGGCATCCCTGTGTTGAAAGTGAAGTTGCGAGTAAACGAAGTATTCGGTTTTCAGTGTCTTCTGATGTTAATGCATTTTCATGTATTTGTGCAGAAGATCATTGAGATGACAGAGGTCTTTGGTACGAGCGAGCCAAGTTTTGATTCGGTCCGCATCTCCAAGAATAAGCTAGACTGCGTGCTAGCTAGCGTTCTACAGGTTTTCATCGAACGTGGGGGCGGTCAGAATGAGTGTGTTATTACTTCGTATGTTGAAACAGGTTTCCCAATCTAGGTTGTACATAACCTCACCTTTGCATCTCAAGTTATATCAACAGTGAGTAGCATGTAGTATAAAACGAATATTTTCATTCTTGTTTTTCTAGACATATAAAGTGATGGAGACGTAGATATTTTGATTAATCTGTAATGATTCTCTATCAACGTACATAACAAGCGTGAGCAGCAGATACCGGTAAGCCTAAGTATTAAACAAAGCGAGCTGACAAAGGATTGATACTTGCCATCGAGTTCAACGATGGGAGAATACCAGGAATACCGCTAAGGGTAAGCAGATTAGATTCATCTCCGACTTGTGAGTTTTGAGCTATCACCAAGATCACGATCTATGAAACCACTGCTTTCAATACTCATACAATTATTCTTTCTTCAGCATTGTCATAAACTCAGCACATTTAAACGAATATATGAGCTCCTAATAGTGGTAGTGATTGACCAAGTTTTAATGCTGTTGTTGTGGGCGTCTCCCCCTGACTTTGTTGGTGGTTTTATCGTGCTTTTACAGCTGGAACACGTTTGCGTTTATGCTAGGGGTCAGTGACGGGAATAGCTTATTTTACCACTATCCTGGAATGTAACTTGTCGGATGAGTAATCCGAAGTTCTGGCCGAATCAAGGGCCGTCTGTTGAGGGCGGGATATATGTTGTTCGAATAGTTGGCGATACCCATGCAAGGGTACTAGTATTGCATTACCTAGGCAAGCCGCAATATCGTCAAGGTTTCCCCGTATCAATCCGCCCTACGCAGCCCCCCGTTCCACCTACTCGGCACTCTAAGTTGCACCCGATTCCTTGTTTCATATTATGCTGGTCAGTTCGGTATTTTCTGTTTATCGGTAAGATAATCCGTCTGAAATCTCTCTACGACAATGGCGATGAAATCGTAGGAGATAGAGCTGAATTACCTCTGGTGAGCACGATTGGTGGGAAAAAGACAATTTCGAGCATAGCCATAGTGTGTTTGGCAGTCATCGTAAAACACCCTTTGAATCGTCGCATTCGTATCCATAACATCATAATTCCATATTCGCACGCCGATTCCAAGTCATATCATCCGTTCACGGAGGACTTAATGCTTAAGTTTCAGTTTTAGGGCGTGTCTACACCACCGAACCATCATCCTTTGGCGTTAGGCCCTGTTCGTTCTTTGCATTCGCAACGTCCAATTCCCAGATGACCACACCGACCGGGGTAATCTATTTTGGGGAGCACTTTTTTGACACCGTTTCCAGTTCGTCATCAAACTCCTCCTCGAAGCTACTGTTAGTTACTCCCTAAAGAACCTCTCACTTGCGCTTCTTGCCGCTGTTACTCGGGCTCTTTCTCCCATGTTACTATATCGCTTGGATTAAAAGCACCAACAATATCCTGGCCTAAAGCTTTGCTAAGTCTCTCGTAGCTCTAGAATCGGCCAAATAGGAATCCTTGTGTATTCGATCTTGAGGCCTGAAACGGTAGCATCGTCATCATCGAGCGGGGCTTTGAACGGATCATGGAACCTTTCCAAAAATTCCTTTGTTACGTATCCAGTGTAGACAATAAACTCCAATGTGTCCGTGCCGTGGGTGAGGATCCTCAATTTCAGGTCGTGAAAGTTAGGGCATGGCGGAATGCCTTGCTCTGGGGATATTTGTGAATCATGTCTGCCAGTGGTAGGTGGGGAAGGGTAAAAGTGCTTCTGCGCCATTCCTCAACATACGCCCACGAAGTGCGCATCTTGATCCGAATTTGAAAGCACAGGAAACAGGAAACAGGAAACAGGAAACAGGAAATAGGAAATAGGTTAAAGGAAACAGAATTAAGAGTCTAGTCTTGAAGGATATAACTAACATAGTAAACATCAATAAAGTTAATAATGTCATGTCAATGCCGTGGGTGTCATCGGTGTTGAGCTTGTGGCCAACGAGCTTTAATCACACAAACGAATCCTTGTCGGGAATAGAGGATACTGCGGATAACTTCAATGGGGACCGGTAGGTGGGGTGCGCTATAGTAAGCGTTCCCTTAAACACTTCCTTGGCGGATGAAAATGCGGTCGTTAAAGTAGCTATTGCGGATGTCATGTTGTGGAATTACTGAATGTACTGACTTCGTCATCTCGGGTCGATTGAGGCTTGCTCAATGGCTTGCACAAAGCCCAAGCCAGAGCTTGACTGTATGATGGGATGATAACTACCTAATTCTTGAGGTATTCGAGCACTGTAGGGCTGAAAGAGGACATCGACCATATCTGGACAAATTCGGTACGATGAATCCACTTTAACTAAGCCGTTTTTGGCTTTCTCAAGCAAGACTACAACAACAGATGACTAAAACATGACTCGCACCCCCAAGATGAATCTTCTCGCAACGAATACCATACTACTGGAATGGTAAGATTGGGAAGAGCCTTAAGATTTGAGTCAGCAGTACCTCAATATTTCCATCGATACTCCTAACCATGCCAAAACTTCAATTCCAACTCTGTACAATCTTTTGCAACGCAGCACCAGAGATCTGACCAATGAGCTGCACCGACCCATCACCCGCCGCGATATTCCTAGCCCTCATCGAACCACCACCCTCGAGAATTATTGTCTGCCGGCTGTCTTTACCAGACGTGATATTCTCTAGATTACATGTATTTACAGCGAAAACATTCTTGCGGGCATGATTAGCCGAATCGGTGCTCATACTCGCTACCACATTGGCCTGAACAGCATCTGCAGATCTGAGGTCGTTGTCGTGCATAGCCTCTTGTCGGGTTGAGGTGCTTGGATAAGTTTCGTTCTCCTTTGTGTGGTTTTGCAAAAGCATGATATACGTCTCCAGCAATTTCGTAGATCTCTCGAGTGCAGATATAGCGTCAGTCTGAAGACGAATGAGTTCCGCCAAAGCAGACTTATCTGAACCCTTAAATCTCTGGTGTTACTCAAATTTTCTCTCTAGCCAACGTGGATACCAAACTCACATTCGATTGATGGACATCAGGCTCATCTCGCAGCTGCTGTAAATTTACATGTAAGGGTAGAGAACTTTTGGGGCCTATACCGATGTCTTGGCCTTTGCCCAACATCCTTTCTGTTGCTTGTGTACAAGGCGCTTATCGTCGCAGGAAAACGGACAGAATGAGCTCTGCAATCAATGTAGAGTGGAAATTCGGGCGCTTATGACTTCTCTCTGTTACCACTCAATGTACAGTCCCGATCAGTCATCAAGATGGAACCATATCATAGCCTCATCGACTTTTAATACATGGTAGAAATAAGGGTCTGGTTCCTAAGTTTTGAAAGTTTAGGAAAGCTCCCTAGGAGACTGTAAGGTTAAGATACTAGTAGAGGAAGGTGATTTCGATGCTATGGACCACGCCGTAAATACTCGGCCTTACCTAGACATATAGAGTTTAGCATGATTAGTAAACTTCGAGTATAGAGGGCGAAACGTTAAGAGTAACACTAATTTTTCTTCCTTACTCCTTTTGATTTAAGTATAATTTTCAACTTTTGCACCACGCAGAGAATTGGTAAAGTGGTAAAAGCTATTCGTACTAGGCCTAAGCTAGCTTAACCTCCAGTTACCGATTCAGTTATCAGTGACGATTCCTTCGTTAGTTTGCGTGTATTGGAGAGGGATAAACTGAATTATGTGGCGTTTTCATTTAAATATACTGTTGTACTGTGAGAAATGTACTTGGAGTTTATTTGACTTTCTAGCTCATTACCGTTGTGAATGCGCTCGGTTGAACATGTTCCCCCTCACTTCGCCGCTCATCTAGACACTTGGATATACTACGCCTCTTGACATTCCTTCACCCATCTATAAGAATCTACATTCTGTACGTGCTTGTCCTTTTTCTTAGCAGGATGGAACGGCCATGCCTGATTCTTCATCGTTGAAATAATCCTGTCTCCTGGCGCTGTTCGATTTGACATCCTTCTTAATGGGAATAGTGCATCCTTGATCTCTGAGCCGTTTCACCAACTCTGTACTGGCTTGCATTCCCGGGAAATCCTTTGCGGTGTAAACATCGAAGATGTGGCTGTTTCCTTCAGCTAGTTCCGGAAAATGTTTTACTACTCTATCCGTACGAGTTGGGCCGATTTCGACCAGGCTAAACTTGAGGCGAAACGATCCGGGAGTACGGCAAGATAGGTCTGGGAAACAAAAGAAGCAGCCCTCTTCACCGTGCTCGTCCTTGCCAACAAAGGGAGTACTAGTCACCGTCCCCAACAGTTGGCGCTCTTGTCGCCGCTGTTTGGTAGTGAAGGTTGCGACTTCAGGCCCACTTTCATCATATAATGAACAGCTCATGATATAGTGATTGCCACGCAGGAGCTTTTCATATTGTGAATGAGCGAGGTTTGAGCCTTTGATCATGAGCTGCACAACAGGGGGTGGGTCAATAACTCTTCTGTCCCTTTCTCCAAAGCCACATGATCGAGCAGCCATTAGTTGTTGTCGTATCTTGAGGCTATACTCGACGTTATGAAGCTTGCTACTGCTGGTAGTTCCGACGTCGTGATCCCCATCCCCTACATTGGGGCTAATAATGCTAGATATCCTCATAGGATTTTGCCTTGGTCCCATAGAAGATACCGCAGAATCCTTTGGAATCATCGCATTTCAGGTAGCGGACGGCTTTAAACGTGGTTGATGATCGTTAAGGTATATAAATGAAAGTGATTTGTTCAAAGGGTTGTTTAGAGAGAAAGTACTATCGTGATCTTGTAAACGAAGGCCTCTTTCAGTAACTTGTAGCGCAAATAAAGGCCGGTGTTGTGCCAGTTTGAGGCCTCAAAAACGCCTTCTGACTATCGATACCTGGGCAATGTTTCAGGAGGATGTATAGACAGACGCGACGGAAGTAAATGGTGCAGAATGATGAGATAAGGCCCCGTGATTTAGAAGTACGTTTTTTCCAAGGCTCCGCTTGAGTAGTTTGATAGCATTCGTACGAATCGTGTTTTCTGTCAAGCCCGTCGCTTCGCCATGTCAGGAGCTTCTAAGCTAAATACGATAATGTGAAGAGGCACTGGTGCATAAAGCTCTGCGGTGTCCCTGGTTGGTTACACGAGGTCAGAAGGAATTTTGAGCTGAGACGCGAAACCTCGGCTACATTGCATTCTTATTGGGTAGGCTTCGAAGAATGTAGTGATTGGTCACACCAGGTAACCCTCCATGAGCTTCTGGTTCTGCAAGGAAACAAACAAATAGTGTTTGCATCTGACCTGTGTATTTTGATCCGAATTTGTGGTAGCACAAACATTCCCTCAGAAGTTGTTGTTAGCTGTTGGTTGTGAACAATGGTGCCTAAGTCTTGCATTAGCGTGCCTCTGTTGTTTGCTCAAACCTGTTTTGGCGTATGGCAAGTTATTCTACTACCTGCAAGCCTCCCTGAAATTAGCAGGCGCTAGAGGTTGTCGGACAAGCATGTTTGTTCACTCAACAATCCGCTAACTGTTCGTTAGCTTTACCCTATCCGGGTAGCTTGATGTGCCACTAGTTGACGGTCGAGTCAATGAGGCTTCCATCGGTAGATGTTAGAAAAGCAGTTGTGTTCCAGGGCATACGAAAGCATTCGCTTATCTGTGATTGTCTCTAATAGGTGAGCGATCGGCTGTACCTCATGATCGCCACCCCGATCTGACGCTAGGATAGAGTATTGAGCGGTACATAGCGAGACCCGAAAACAAATGGGGGTTGAGTCCCGGCTCACAGGTCTTTTCTGATTGGTCTTATTATACGGGGCTATAACGCAGACACGACATCAATGACATCATGTATTTCCACACAAAGCAGTCGACTAACCATAGAAATCGCTTCCCGCATGACGGCATTTTCTCTTTTACCTCAAACGTCGTTTTCATTTGACATTATGAATCGCTTCCGATACTCATGCTAGCATCCATACGCTGTGATAAGATGCGGGAGGCCAATAATGCAAATTAAGCTTCGGACTTACTCATTCGAATACAGGGTAGCGCTCTTGCCACTCGCAGTATGGGAGAGCACACCAGATGATTTATCGATATTGGCGTAGAAAACAAGCATGTGAGAAGCAAGCAGTTGGAACTCATAATTTGAGCCATGTAACTAGCTGCAGCCTCATCGAGGATATTTTGCTTCAATCAACGTCACCATTTTCTCGCCTGCCGAGATACATCTTAACGTAGCATCCTCAAGTGCTGAGCCGACCATCTTCATATACGCCGCGTTTTCGCCATGATTTGAAAGTCTCTTGAGTTTAACTGACAGAAGAAGTGGTGGGCAGAATGTGATGCACATTAGGTACAGATATTCTTCCCCATATCAGTTGTCTTCACGATCCGGGTGGAGCGTACTCACGTAGCGAGAGAGCTAGCGATTCAACTTGATATTGTTCACTGTTGTCCTTTTGGGTCGCTGAGAATCTGGATCTGCAGATTATCATTCACTTCTTGTGCGAAGGCCCGGACCTTCGTGGCGATATGGTATACAGCTCGAAGATCGGCAATGACGGGCGTTTTTTTGTTGTGGTAAAGGCTGTGAATGGGATGTATGATGTCGCACAGTTCCGATGTTGCCCACGTAAATTCACATTGACTGGGTATAGGGAGCTCTTCGTCTAGAGGGGTCAATTGTGGGAGGCCCAATGTCAGACAAAGTAGGCTATCCCACGGTTTGTTACATCGGCTTTCGTAGTGATAGATTGGTTGTACCTTTCGAGGTACTTGAGAATCCCGAAGGTCTTGGCCTTTTGAGAGACTTCCGCTCCATGACCTGTGATACCTGGATGGAGGCCGAAAAGCAGGGCTCTTTGGGTCGCAATACCAAGTTTTAGATACGCCAATGTTGGTTCTCCGTATATTGATTCGTAGTAAGCGTATGGACTTGTCAGTCTTAGCTCTCAATGGCAGGCGGATAACTTATCACAGGTAAACTGGCCTGAATAGCTTGATTGGTAGTTTCATCACAGACGTCTCCCAGTTCTCTTGTCGCCATCGTTACAAAAGCAGATGCCTGTTCATGTTTTCCATCGTGAGACGCCCTAATTGCTTTAGCAAGCAATACGCGAGCACGGTGGCTAAGAAGGAGAGCATTAGCTGGGGGATCATACATCCGCTCGAAATTGGACTGTAGCGCATCGGCGGAGATGAGATGCGCAGTACGTAGGTACAGCTCTAGAGAGCCGTTGACAACTTTATATCGTAGAAAAGAAATATTTGCACTGTGCTTCTGATCGAGGTGATTGCGTATCAAATTTTCCCTAGGACCCAACCAGAGGCCATACGCCCCATCCTCACTCGGGTCTGTACCTTCCCTCAGCATATTGCGGACGTGGCTAACCATGGCGATATTCGAGGGCGGGCCATAGAAGACACGATGCCCTGGCGGCTCTGTCACCTTGACATTGTTAAATACAGACTTTCACGAGATTCTGCGATGGATCCGCTGCATCCGCGATGGTTTGAGGACGGAAGAGGCCAAGTCTGAACAGCCAAATGTCGGTGCGTCTTCGGCTGGTGAGAGATTGTGACGTTGGCGCTTTCTGGTGACTTCACGATGATTGCAGTGCAGATTGGGCTTGGAACAGAATTCGCCTGGTGTCTGACCATTGCACCTGTGCTTTTTTTCACGACATTGCCGGCATGCCTTTGGTCTGTTTTGTCCTCGGCCTGCTATCTCTTTAAGTTGTTAATGGGTTGGAGAGCTAGCTACTGATAGGATCATGTACTGGATATCGCGTGGAAGTCATCCGATTTGTCTTTTGACATGACAATTAGTACCTGCACAGAGGAGATGGGGAGGATTACGTTGGGTTATACATTGATAAAATGGATTTAGTTGGTGCAAGTTCGTGAGGCATGCGATGCTAACCAGCCGGAATTTTCCTTCCTACTTCCACCAGGTACTCTGTCCCAACCACATGTAACGGGACAGGAAAAAACCCGCTTGAGAACAGCAGATAATTACCAAAACGCAGTTTAAGACATTATCCCTAGTCGACCCTTCGTCGGTCTAACAAGCTATTCCAAGTGTAATAGATACCTGAATCTCTCACCTGTGATTAATATTAGTAATTGTTTATTAAATCGGAGGTGAAGGTTGATAAATGAGACTAAACTGAGCTCAACCTAGAGGAGGAAACAATTGTCGGCACGTGCTTACTTTGATTCGGAGGAAGCAAACGCGCTTGTCTCATTTCAACAAGTAAGATCAAGTCTTAACAACCTACAATATTGCAAACAAAGTAATGTCTAGAATTTACTACTATTAATCCCCTTAAAACTGCTAACTGCCTGTAGTTATAAGTTGTAACTTGCAATTACACTGGAGCCTCATGATGCTGTTGCGCTTCCTTGCCGTTTAACATATATTGACTTGCATAACGGACAAGTGAAATGACGGCCTTGGAACCAACGGTCGATGCATTGTTGATGGTAGACATGCTTACATGTTAATCGTCGAACGGTTTCTGAGTTATGAAAGACTTCAAGGCAAATCGCACTGTGTACTCAGGACTTGGACGTTAAGATAGGGTCTAGTGACTGACCAAAGTTCTAGAGTGTGCAATGTGTGTAATTGCAAAGATGGATGCAGCTCGGACGATTGAGGGAACTTGTAGTTTTCAGCTGGGCTTGTGGAATCGAGAGTTTCCAAAGTCACTCTGTCACCTTGGACTACTTGCAACCTTTCGATGTCCCTTCGGGCTTCCATATGCTGTCTTCTCTGATTCAGAAAGCTTGTATATGTTCAGTTTAGACGAAAAGGGAGACAGGAAGTAGAATACTGACGAGTTAATGGCCATGAGGCCCATTGAGACCAACCAGACTGCGCCAAGACCAGCGAGAATATATGGAAGTTCTCCACCAATATGAGATCCGTCTGCTGGCGGTTCATCTGAGTCCAGGGCCCGATCCATTGTGTGCGTGGAAGGCCAGAGGGGTGAATATTTACTGTCAACTGTGAAGAGTGATGAGTAGGAATTAAGATTCAAACAAAGCCCTCGTTACGACAAGTCATATTACTACAACGTGTCGCAAAGTAGCCTATGAAGTTGTCAAGGATAACAAGAGTAGTAAGTGAATGTCACACCAGAGAATCGTATAATTCGATAGGCTGGACACGTAAGGTTATAGGTTGTGAGTTAACAGCCAAGACTAATGAGTATTGCGATTGAACGCTTTTTAGGGGGAGAGGACTACTGACTTAGGGAATTAAATCCAGTTTACAATCTGCTAGACCGGAAATGTAATCTGCGAGGCCGTTGCCCACAATGCCATCATAATGCGGTGGGAATTCTTCATTGATGATCTTCGGGACGGATGGTGGGTGTGTGTCGTTATCGGAGCCATTGAAGTTACAGTTCTCATCCAACGATGCTTGGAAAGGCCGCCCAGGGCTTGTAATTCGGGTACGTTTGACCGGTTATTGACGAGGTGGCGCGCAGCCATCGCTCCTACGAAATGGCGGGGTAGCTTTTCAATGGTGTAGGGTCAAAGCATCGGGACACCCACAGCTTATTGAAAAGCTGATGGTGACCCCACCATTCTGGCTGCTGATGACTACTTATGGCGTTGTCATCCAGTGGTCTGTCTCGAGCATGATGATGACGATGATGATCACGGTGTGAGCTCTTTTTATCATCGTGATGTTGATGGCGTCGCCGCCCTTGCTTGTGTTGGCTCTTGTTAGGTGGGTAATTAAATGAAGACATGGCATTAGTATCAATGTGAAACAGCAGTAGAAGTAGGATCCTAAAGGAAGGGAATTGCATTTTATAGTTATCAGTCACGGTCTATCATGGAAGGCATAGATGGCTCTACTGTCTCCCTGTTGTTATATGCCAGACATACAATGTGGTGTAGTGCTATAACAACAGGATGTTCATACTTACGTTTTTCGAGACTGATGATAGCAAGCTTACTGAACAGTGTAAAATAATACTGGACGGTTGACTACACCAGTCAACAATGCTACTGAGAGTGTCTACAGGTATATTTATTAGTAATATCTATATTGGACTTTAAATAAGATTGTCGTCCAGTGGCATATTGCTGCTGTAATAGAGGTAAATCTTTACTAATTTATAAGTTAAAGGTTGTTTTAGATGCTGTTAATAACTACACTCTAGCTTAAGTCCTGTATATTAAGATGTAGCCTGTAATCTAATAGGTAATATCATTATCTAGTTATAAAATATCATAGGTTAGGGTTACCCTGTTTATATAAGGATAAAAAAACATGTTAAATCGCGTCTCTTCACAACTTCTCTTTATCATACTAGGTGATGTTTGTTATTCTGTTCACGCTCCTCTTGTATCTCATCCAGCGAAAACACAACCTACGCAAGGGGCAAAATTCAGTTCCGAATCTTTGTGTTTGTCAAAAATTTCACTTGTATAACATCCGTCTGCTTATCGTAAGAAATCATGGAGGCTAGTGTTGTCACCCCACGTGGACTAGCGACTGCGCTGTGTTCCGGGCATCTAACTCAGCGATATCGTGGAGTTGATACCAAACGCGTTGGATCTCTTATACCACCATACTCTCAGCTAGACGATCCGAAAGAGCACAATCGAAAGCCGAAAAGAACAAGGCAGAGGGTATCTGTCGCGGCCAACATGCAGCGAGCACGGAACTGTCACAATAACATCGAGAAGAAGTACAGGGTACGCTTGAAACAGGGCTTTGAAAGGTTGCTCGCCGTTTTGTATACATCGATGCCGCTAACAAGCTTGATAGGAAAGGAAAGTAAGTCGCTTGATGCCGGTTACTGTTACAGCAGAGGGGAAGTTTTGGATGCCGCAGTGCAGCGGATATTAGCATTAGGGGAAGATAATAGAAGACTCACATGTCGACTCCTAGAGTTGAGTGAGGCTTTGAACTGAACAGAGGAGAGCATGGCCGGCTATTGTATTGTTCTGTCGAGAGCAAGACAAGTAACCTACAGAATTGATTCGGTCGGCTTTTTAATACACCTCACATCCTGAACTCTTGTCAGTGGGGCTCTACTCCCTGCAGTCTCCAGTTTTACTATATTCAAGAGCACCTATTGGTCAAGACCCGCTGGAGAGCGCAGGTTGCCCGCTTTTATAGTCCAATCTCCAGCTTCTGATTGATCAGAAAGGCCTCGCATCACCCCTCCTAGCGTGCTTACTAACAAAGGCTCAGGGGTTCAGGTGTAGAACTCTCGCGCGCGCGAGTAAAACTAGATATAGAAACGCACAGGTCAAATTAATCATTACATAATGAAAGACATCAGTGTGACGCACGCCAGCAAGTGGTTGATCCGCGGCACCACTAGCCCCGAAAAGTATGAGTTGGATATGCCCTCATAGACAGCGGTTAATTCGTTGCCAAGAATCAGGTTTGCTTCTAGATCTGGACCTATCATAAAGTTGCAAGGTGATATGATCTTTATCGTAGTGTTAGACTACCTATCGACGACTTCAAAGATGCGCTTGGCATGGCTTCTGCAGGGCAGCCCTGGCGTGAACGAAGTCACAGCTGCAGATTGGACACGTGTCGTGCTGCGCCAAATACCACCCTGAAATACAAACAGAATGGAAGATATGCTCGCACGCGAGATGGCGGACTTCATCTGCATCGCTAAATTCTTCCAGGCAGATAACGCTGTATAAGAGGAAGGCAATCTAAGCTGTTGTTCTTGGGCTCGTGGGCTCGTATTAGACATACCAGATTATGCTAGGCGCTATGGTTGCCCAAGAAGCATGGTTTTGGTTAGAAAGCTCCAGTTTCAAGTTGTAGCACTTCTTTGAGGGAATGTCAGCCTCTAACTGTGACAGGTTTCGTGTTTGGACGGTAGTTGAGGGCAAGGATGTTGAGGTGTCAGGGCTGGCTAGCTGGCTGGAAGTTACTGCGGCCTTAGGTCTTAGCCAGGTGTAAAACCTTGAGTACCATTAGCCAAATTGTGCATGTGATCAGTACAGGACTGCAAAGAACGGACTTTGGTAAGAACAAATAAAGTAAGATCACCACCAGGACAAGTGGGAGTACGAAAACAGCAAACCATGTATAGTCTTTTTCTTCCCCCGGTGGGATGTCGGTGGTGATGGGTTCGTGGCGATCTGATGGTGCCATGGCTTGAGGGTGACAGCAATATCTTTCACAGATGAAAGGTGTGAGATGACGAGGATCTGAACGCAATAAAGAATTCCTTTAGTATACCTATCATAAATATTCTTGTCATTGGATCCAAGGCAGATTTTGTGAAGGTAGATGGGCTGCAGTCTACAGCTATCCACATGATCTGACAATGCGATGGCCGGCTCAGCTTAACACATGTCACGATATGCATACCCGTTTAGGTTGTACAGGGCTGAAGGTAGGCGTAACTACCTGGTCTAGACCCTCATCCCTCCCTCGACCAGCTGCAGAAAATGGAAAGTGATTCCACAAAGCCAATCATTCAATCCATCATAGATTGGACAAAGCCATCTGTACTGTGAATGTGGCTTGTTCGTAAATCCGCGGTCCCGGTTTCAGGGTAGTTATCTACAGTATGTGAACCCTGACATGATGGGGATCATGGTGATCATGATGTAAAGGTTTAACCAATCAAGTAAACATCTCACACACCACCTTGTATCTTAAGACCCGATGTCAGCCGCGAATTGGACAGGGAATTTCCACACCCGCCTTCTCAGACACGTGCAGGCTAACTGCAAGGGACCAAAATTTCACGATACAAAATAAAAACCACTATACATGCAGGCAGAAAGTTACAATATGCCCTGTGTCAGATCATGCACCCTTTAGTAGTTTGTGGGCTTGAAGTCTCTTTTACCCCTCAACCTTAACAGCATGTCTCGTACTGAGGAAGGGCTGGGTATACCATTAGGGCCTATAATAGCATCAGGATGACAGGAGCTGCACCACAGTCATAAGAAGCCAGGAGTCATGGTTAATTCATTGGCGTATTTAAAGTTCATGTCAAGAATCGGTAACAACGTTCTTTCAGATCAAGCTAAACTCAATCTTAACATCATCTGGTTCTCTGCACCCATATACTAATCCTTACTGCCCGTTACCAAATGATATACGAAGACAACAATAGGGCGCGATGAAGATACGTACACGTGATATGATTGCGTAAACATTACAACCCTCCGAGTATATATCGCACTGTTTGCTTCGCGGTTTCATCTCGATCTGACTTGTATGATCATCTACTGTACCTCATACTCGAGATTCAGGTTACCCACCCTAACACCAGTCACCCACTCCTAACGGCAACAATGGCGAGAGAAAGTGGTGTTGCGCACAAAGTGATTTCTGTTATTTTGCGTCTTGCAGAGCTTGCCAGCGCAATAATTGTTCTTGGAATCCTCTCACGCTTCTGTTACCTTGCTGGCATTGCGGAGGCGCACATCGACGGACGTATCATTTATACCATCGTCGTCGCATGTCTCGGTATCCTCTATTCGGTATTCTTCTGCCCGCCATTCAAGAATATGTTCCTGGGCTTCCCATTTGACTTTGTCTTGTTTGTTATGTGGCTGGTGGCATATTGCCTGCTTCAAACGGTATGTTCTTCCCTATTCTCCCAACCAGGATAATTACTGATTACGTGATGTTGTTTTTACATCGTTTAGAGAACAGGCACTCATACATGCTCTGCTAATTGGTATTATAACTACTGGGGCTATTATTGGGGTCGTTTCTGGCATGTTGGACGTGTTGGGACAGTGGATATTGGCGATGCGGGTTGCGCCCCATGGAGAACAGCCTTGGCCTTTTCGTTCATCGCGTGGTTCTTACACTTTCTTAGTGGTATCCTTGTAAGTCTCCATAGGATCTGGGCTCCATTGACCCATGCTGACACGCAGAACTCTAGGGTGCGTATGTTTTCGTCACCTATATCAGGCTGGACGAGACCAAAAACGACCTCAGGCAACATGCCGAAAAGCTGACAAAGTAAGTTTCACTTCAACATCAGCCATCTTGGAATGGGAGTTATATGCTAACAATCTCTGCAACGAAGGCCTGAGCCTCGGGCTAAAGGCGATCGTATTCAATCAGTTTCACAGAGGGATAACGCAAGCGACGTCTAGATTCGAGTGCGTGGTAATGTACTGCCTGATAGCAGACGTAGAACCTCGAGGATAAGAGGCCAGGATTGGCAAATGTTGACAATGTTGACTTTGTTGAAGCCACCACAGTTAGCTCATAGTTTTGCAACGGTCCAACAGATTGGAACAGGGACACATTAGCTTATCAGCTGACACGTATTTAATGCTTGATTTAACAACTTGTTTTTTTCTTGAAGCCTCTTCATCTTCAGCCATAACTAGGAGCTTGCTTATTTTATCTCTTTAGACCACTTAACGCTTGTGGGAACACACCTTCTTCTTGATATATCCAATCGGTTAACTATAGGACGCAGGATACCGTTAATTACACACAATTTACTGTAGAGACTGAAGTATTAGCTGTCTTAACTTTAACAAACCTCTTCAGCACATACAAGCTGCTCTGGCAATATCTGGTTAAGCAGAAGTATTACGCTATAAAGCAGATGGTGTGCAGTCCACAAGCTTTACGTGGTCTAAAGAGATTCAACGTAATACACTAGACTTATTAAAGCTAAGTTACCCCGTAATCCATCTGCAATACCGAATCAGTGCGCTTTGATTTAGCTTTTTACAGTTTTCACATGTAAAAAAGCATGAAACTTAGTAACAGAGCAAAACTTGTTACCCCCTTCAATGGTGCCACAACCCCCACACCACTTTCAATGATTTGATCTGGCTCATAGACTTCTGGCACTGTGTCATTCGTAGTCCCATTCCAACAAAACGTTTTGAAGCAATCTCCACACTGGGATGGTAAAGCGGTCTTTGTTCGAACAAAGCTCCTTGCCAAAATGGCACAACCAATGCAGGCAGGCCAATTCTCAACAACTGTACCATTCCCCATAGTCGCGACATTGTATCCATTCTGGATGATGTTGTTTCTCTCAGTGTCGCTGTATTCAAGGTCAAATGTTGTGAAGTTAGATTGGGTCGTATATGGCGCGTTGGGGAGATAAATTATCAGCGGGCCAGTTGAGGTACCGCAGCCGAAGAATGTAGGCTGCTTGTTTAGACCGAGATTGACAAAAGTGTTCTGATCTGGAACTTCGGGGAAATCATTGTTCTGTGGTGATGTGCCTTCCTTGGATCGTTGATAAGTTGTGACGAGAGATGTGCCGTTCGGCCAACGTGTTTTCGTGTCAGCGGAGCCATCAACGGCGAAGATGGCATCGACTTTTCGCTCCGACAAGAGAAATGGATGTAGTGGAATGTTCTGCAGGTCCTCTCCGCCATCAACGAGTGTCAATATCGTCGTTTCAGCGTTGGAATTGTTTTTAGGGTTGTATTTGTAAAATGGGTTGGGCCAGCTGGCGATATCTCTATTCTCTTCGCCAATATCCGCCAACGTGTTGTTAATGGCCTTGACTAATAAGTCTGGAGCGTCGTCGGCCTTGCCAATTTGTAGAAAAGCCTGATTGAACAATGACGCTGATGTGCCCATTACGAATCCAACATTATCCACTCCGGCGATACATTGGCTGCCTCGCTTGAGAGTACCATTATTGAAAGACGAGCCGACGTATTTCAGAGGTGCAAAGGCAGAAAGGCCAGGGTCGTAAGAGCCCATTTCCCATGGATTAAATTCGACGATGGTGGAGTTGGTGGCGATTTGAATTTGACCCGTTGTCCGTTCGATGGCAACGATGATGGGCATTGGCGTTTGTGCAGTGGCGAAATCGGTATCGTTTGCAATCGATGAGAATGTATATGCTAAAGCGATGTTAGTTACTCCCATCGATATAGGACCGGAGAAAGGTTTACCTGGTCCTCCATCGCTTGCATTGACGAGCTGATACGACAAAGCTCTCCCCCAGTAATCGGTAATACTTTTGTTAAATCCTGCGTCCACCTTGTCGTTCACATCCTGATATAACTGACGATAGTACTGTGACCGCCTTAAGCCTGCTGGGCCTATAGATTTCTAGGTCAACAAGACCGTCTACAGATAGAAATGAGGCTTTGACAAACCTTCAAGAATGGAGTCATCGAACTGCCAAAGAGTTGATAGAAATCCACTTTTTGCAGAAATGATGGACTCAACCGATGTGAAGTTTTGCGTATACAAGCTTCCAACCGTCCAGCTACCTCCAGACAAACCGCTCAGGTATGTAGTAGCCTGGAGAATGCCACCCAAGTGGCCTTTGCTGCTGGAACCGGTGGTCCGATTGTCAAACGCGGCGATAGCACCAGCACCGTTCATCATGGCTCTATAACCCCCGCCTGAGATAGCAATACCAATTCGTGGAAGGGCATCGTCGTCACTTAGGATACTATCCAGGTACGAGTCTGTGTCAAAGTTTCCGATATCAAATCTCTTTAGGGTATCTCTCAACGCGGCGCCCGTGTTTTTATCACGTTGTTCCAGCCAATTTGATTCCTCGGATGAAAGATTGCCTGCCGGACGTATAGTAGGTCGTGTTTCTGGGCAAGAGACTTTACCTGGAGCGTAGCCATCAGGTGCATTTGGGGCTCCCCTCGGGCCAAGGAATGGTAAGACTTCAGCATTGGCGAAGACTGAATGTTGAACTGGAACATGCGTCAAATGGGCTGTCGATTTTGGGAAAGATTCACTTACGTGCAGCTGGAGCCAGCAATACCACAAAGTGGATCAGTTGCATGAAGAACATGGTGACAGTTTGTCCTGGACTCAGCAATGTATAACTCCACGAATATGCTTCGTTAAATGAGTGAATAATATCAAGAGTAATAGCAGATTAAAAGGATAATCGACGGTTTTTGAAGCTGCGAATAGACCTTACACCGCATGGCCAAACAACCACTTGCTGAAGTTCGCCACACTGTATTGACATGTCATAGTGTGTGTCTACCGTTGTATACTTGTGTTACACACTGTTACGTGGCCTTATCGTCATGCACCTTTTCCACATCCGATAAAGTTTGCTATTAGATACATGATGGACCATGTCCCAGCCACCGCAACTGGGTACATGGTAGTGGGGTGCCGCCACAACTCAGTACATTAATTCAGCCGCAAGCATGGTATCTTTTAATATCACATTTGAGTTTCAATTTGAGACAGGAATACGACATCCACCTAATCGTGATTTATACCAGTCAAAGGTCCCTCGGCAACCTTCAAAGGATATTTAGCAGCAGCAGCTAACACCCCACCATCTTCCATCCCTCCACCTGTCTTTTGGCTAGGTTCTAAATGCGTTACTAAGGACGCGCATCTATCCCATGAAGAGCTGACTCACCTAGTACAAAGATAACAACGGCTTGATTGCCATGTCCACCTAGAACGTGCACCTTGAAGTTAGGGATGGCCGACGCAGCGCTAAACTTATTCACACCAACATAAGGCAGGCTCCATGTAAATACCACTTCGTTACTTGGTCCGAATCCGACGATACGGTACGTAATTGAACCTTCGATCTTTCCGCCTAAGTGGTTTGATTTGCAACGCAACATACCGCTCTCGCCAGCGAGAATTGTTTGTGGCGGTGGAAGGTCAGGGCCTTTGATGAAATGGCCATGTGTAAGAGTTGGCCATTCAAGCTCGGTATTGAGTTCTTCGTTAGTATGGTTTAAAATCACTACGAACAGTTCCCAGGTGGCCATGGTGTTGAGTGATTCCAAGATTTGATGTGAAGAGGTTAGGTTGTTCAAGGGTAGGTAGTAGCTACCGACATTCGTACTGTGGTCTACTAATTCACCATGCGTAGGAGAAGGGACTTCTTATATAGTTTGTTGCCTTGTGTTTGAGGATGTTGAGATTGGATCAACAGGGCTTGTAACCTTGATGTTGAGGCTGGTTCCAATTTCCTAAGTACTCTTACATTTCTTTAGTGTGCACCATTAGCGTCATCAATCCATCGGGTTACCAAAAATGGTCCGAGGTCTAGGCCCTGGCCACTTTTCAATATAATCTTCCTTCCCATTCCTCATCTGCAAATGATTTGTCAGATCATGCGGCTCATGCAACTCACAGCAAATATGTGGAGGTCGGCATTGATGCTGGTGTGAGGGGTAGCAATGGCGACCGATCTAGGCTTCGAGAGACAATTTGTGGTTGGGCTTTGAAACCTTTCAGCTGTGCTGTGCCAACTAACGAATTACAGTGCTATGACTCACTGAAGGTTGCATGCGAATGTAACCACATCTGACTGTGCCGTATCCGTTTGGAAGCGGAGGCACGGAGGCACTTTACATTCTTTATTTTAACACCAACACTTGAGCTGAAGCCCAGACTCTGGGGGAAATTTTGTTATCACGACAGACTTTGCCATCTTTCACACTTGCACACCAACTTAGATCTACCCGTTCAGGTTATTGGTATTAGAATTAGTTGGCAGGATAAGGAAAGCTTTAATTGTGCAAAGTACCATTCCCCGATAACGCCATGGCTAATACTTTGATACGCATCAAGCAGACTTTTCTTGTCGGGAAGTAATGAATCTGCAGTAGTGGAGAGGCTAAGGAATTGAATGACCTTTCAGTCATAGTTGCAAACCGATGGAGGAATTGGTACTCTAGTTGCTGTACCACGGCGAGCCTACCACATTCAGTCCCGATAGCACCAGATAAAGATCGCCTTTGGGGTACCCAACACTGCGAACGTCGACGATGAAATCCATAACTCGATTTGTTCCGATTTCAGATTCAATCGTGCAATTTTCTTTTTCTTATTGTAAGGTATCCCAGGTAGCAGCCCGCCATGGACATCGCTCAAGAAGAAAATACCGATCAGCATTTGCATTCTGGTATTGGCAGTTCTACTGCACATGGAGAAAAACTACCAAAAGACAATGACACAAACAGTCGCAAGTAGGTCTTAACCCTGAATGGACGGCGATTGATGAATAAACTTCCACTAACACGGGAGATTCTTATCTGGTGCAGAAGTTGGTGGTTCCTCTCAACGGCATTCCCGATGATTGCTGGGACTTTAGGTCCAGTTGCTTCAGCATTTAGTATATGTTCATTAGCTGAGCCGTGGCGACAAAACCTTGTTCCTGGGGCAAATGTACAGAGCGCCGTGGATGTTCCTGATCCTTCATGGTAGGTCTACGACGAAATCCGATTCTTATTTGTTACTAACGCTCTACCTTAGGTTAGTGGTCATAGAGGCTATCCAACTCTTGGTCGGTATCATTGCGAATCTCTTCCTTCTTCTCAACATGGCGAGACGGATCCGTTTCGGTTTGGCTCTGCCTGTCACGATAGTTGGATGGTACGAGAGCCTTTTAATATTTGCTTCAACACTCATTTATTGTAAACAGGTATACCTCTTCAATATGTCGCATCGCTCTAAGCGCTACTGCCGCTCGGCCGTTCAAAGACAAAGGACTATCTAACGAAGATGTTATCTGGTCTCAGTCTTTCTACTATGGCATGTTTGCGGCTATACTCTATTTTGCTGATGCAACACTGCTTGCTTTGACCGTTTGGGGCGCTCATACGAATCGCTATGAAAAGAGCTTACCACTAACTGTGAGTCAACGTACCCTAATGCTTCAGAGCATCTTACTCCTGATATACCTCCTTCTTGGAGCCTATGTTTTCTCCAAGATTGAGTCCTGGAATTACATAGGGGCTTGCGTCTTCCAAAAAGCTGAGGAGGCCCAACAAAGCTGGACATACTTTGATGCCATTTATTTCTGCTTCGTGGCCTGGACGTTAATTGGATATGGGGATTTATCGCCAAAGTCTAACCTCGGACGATCCTTCTATGTCTTTTGGTCTCTTCTTGCTCTGCCAATTATGACGATTCTCATATCAAATGCCAGTGATACTGTGGTTAGGATTATCCGAGATGGAACTATTCTCATCGGCAAAGTTACGGTTTTGCCGGATGAACGTGGATTTGCGAGGAATTTGAAGACTATTATTAGCAAAATTACATTTGGCAAAGTCTTCACAGGGAACACGAATAAACCTGATTATAGAGGAGCATCTTCAAAAGCCATTGGTCAACAATTGCCTACCCATCAACCTCTTTTCACGATACCCGATCCACAGAAACCTCAACCTCGTGCGGATTACATCTCTCGTTCACAGAATAATGTTGGCGACCTTCCCACAGGGGTCCATCTACAACTCCTTTTGATAGCCGAGATTCGTGACATTTTGGGCCACCTTAAGGAGACCAAATCTCATCACTATACTTTCGAACAATGGGCCTGGTATCTCAAGCTTATCGGAGAAGATGAGAGTGATCCAAGAACACATGGCAGCGTTGACCAGCAGGAGTGTGACCATACTGTCTTAAGAAAATGGTCGTGGATTGGAAGTCAGAGCCCTTTGATAAGTACCAATGGGGAAAGTGACTGGATTCTGGGAAGGCTGATGGATCGGCTTCAGCTATCGTTGACAGGAGAAAGCAGGGGTCAGGAGATAAGATAGATTATCAAGGTACAGCAGCATGTTGGGCAAGGTTAGAGAGATGGTTGTACTGTAGAGCTACAAACGATTCGCTAAGGCTAATGTCCTAGTTACAATCTCTAAGTATAGAGATTTGAGACAATGTTACCTCTTTAAACGCCTGTATGACGTCCGTGCCTTCGAAACATTTCTTTGGCCCTCTTGACCCCCATCCTCCAAAGGGCTAATCTGAACAGTGCGTAAAGCAAAAAGGTAGCAGCGATGTTGAAGATGACATAAGCAAAACCAAGTGCCCAATCTCTCCATCTGTCCTGATAATGCATACCAGAGCGAGCCAAGACCTGATCAGTATCTCGAATAGGACAATAAGAACAATCATTTGTAGCCTCAGGGTTGAGCAGCGCTCCTGATGCTCCTTGGTGAATGTATTTCAAGCTTGAACACATCTCGATTCGGCGTCTGTTGACAACCTCGTGATGCTATGTCATCTCGATGAAGCTAGAGGATCTTCAAGAGCTATGCATTCATCCGATGAGGAATAAGGTGTGGCCGGCAAATATCAATAAAGATATACCATCTGCCGAATAGTAGATGTATGCCATCCGCCGGTCATACCCTTATCAGTTCCTCTACATAGCTCAAAACGTTGAGGGAATTAGATACTTACTAGCTTTTCTTCGCTGAAAACAATCTTGCAAATTGCCAATATGTTTGCTATGCAAGCAAATATACTTGCCAAGAGCCACATAAGTTACCTAGCTGTTGTACGGAGTATGTGTAGGGGTTTTGTGTGTAGTGGAGCTGTGCTCCGACACTCTTGATTAGCTGTCCAATGCATGGGCTCTCATATACCCAACTAAAATAGTGCATAGCTTTCAAGACCTCATAAGGCCACAATCAAACTACTATGAGGGGTCGTAGCCAATTAAACCGAACCAAAAAACAAATACCTCTGTCGCTACCTCCTATTGCTTGCAGAGGTTCCAGATAACCTTTACTAAACTGCTTCTCGTCCTCTTTTCATCAAATACCTGGCCGTGGTCCAGATCTTGGAACCAGATCACATCCAATCCTTCGTCTTTCCTTCCGCGGTCCATCAAATCTGTAGTTACCAGGGCCCACTTGTCCAAGCCCAGCAGGTATGCCCGAATTGTTTTTGTGTCAATTACACAATCTCTTCCAGCCAAGACCACAGTCGCCGGGCGATCTTGGATATCCTCCTTCCATAATACGTTGTCCGCCCAGAAGAAACGGCGGAATAGTGTATGAGAGATGCCTATGTCTTTGGAACCGAAGTAAGAGAGTAAATGCTCGTTGGTTTGACTTGGCCTTCTACATACCTAGAACGTTGGAACTTAGCTAATACCTTCAGGTTATGAACAGAGGTACCGTACAAAATTATAGGCCACGTCAGGCAGATGAAGTAGAAAAGATACGGGGTCAATAAACAAGACGGGTCCAATGGTTTGTGAGATCTCCGGGTTACGGAGGAGTTGCGCGGCCACCACGCTCCCGTAACTTATTGCCGCCAATGTCGATAAGTAAGAGGATTAAATCACTTTTCGAGGGGATAGTACTTACGAATGTGATACCAAGACACATTTCTCCCACCCATGTGCGGTCAATATACGACGAATTTCGTTACATATTTGTTCTTTTAACATCGCCTGGTATGTTATCCGAGAGCTTATCGACATAATTTCGATTGCGATAATCCCGACCTGTCCATCAGAAGGATTCTCGTTTATGACACCATTTATGTCGGCTAAGAAGTTTATATATGGGTAAAGTCCAACGCCGATGCCATGAATGAAGAGAACAGGTAGTCTTGTCTTAGACGTATGTGGACGGTGCCAGTAAGTGAGATGCTTTGCTGGAGAAACATAGGGCGTAAATAGTGTGAAGGGGCGTAGAGGAAACACGGCGAAGAACTGCGAAAGTGACGTGCAATGAAAGTTGAACGAGTGGTATCGTAAAGAGATCGAAGCTAGCGTGTCGACAACATATACGCACTATAGAATAGCACGAACTGAGTTAGTTACCTGATGCACAGTAGGCAGCACTTAGGCGAGTAGCCTTGGCTAACTTACTAGATACCACGTTAAGCTCCGATGCAACATCTCGACCTTCTCAAGTGTCAATTGGAGGCATTTGGCATTTCCGCGGCCAGGCTCTAGCTTCTTGTTCAGCAGCTTCTCTACTTCTTGGGTGTACTCTTCTAATTCCTCGTCGTGGGATGGGTCACGGTCTCCCGTGTTCAAGAACGCCCACCGGAAGAAGTCCTTGATATTATCGCGCTTAATCTCGCAAGCTGGCGCATTCCGGAACCATTTTCCTAGGTACTGAGCCGGGTCGGGAATATTCTTGTGGCATTTTAGAAACAACTTCCGACGATCGTCGCGGCAGGGCGGGGCGGGGTGTTTTGTGGCCTTCTGGCGGTATTCTTTCAGCGGTAGATACACAGCTAAATAGAAAAGAGCCTCTAGAGCGAGCCAGGCCTGTAGTACTCGCGGTAACTGAAATGGAAGACGGACTAGCATGCTGACTAATGAATAAGTAACGCTAAGTGGTGCGATAAGGTGCAAGAAAAATATGGATGCGCGAATGAAGACATAGTCCCACGACAATGTTCCGGCCATGGTAGCGGACATATATCCTTAGACGTTGTTACAGGGAAGATGTTTGGATTGATGTTCTAGCTTAGGAGCCGTTTTTTTACCGAGTGTGGAATTGCAACATTTAAGCTAAAAAGAATTCATGCTTTGATAAGATTTTGTTGTTATGATATTATTGTGTTTTGTTGAGTGTAGTTGATATGATTTGTTGGGACCTTTCATTGCATTTGATGTTACCCTACTCAGGAATGCCTTGGTTTAAGCACGTGGAAAGTCCGGCATGTGAAAGACTAGGTGAAATTGCCGAGGACGTAGTAATATTATCTAATTATTCTTTTATAATCCTGACCGTGGCCCGTCATTACAATAAGCAGTAAGCTGAGACAACGATATAAGGAGATCTTTATTGCGGGGGTAAACTGGCAATTTCAGGTCATATTTGGAAGTGGGTAGAAGAAGCTTGCCTATTTATTTGCTACTGTTAATATATAGATTTTAGGTATGATTTGACGTCATGAACTAGGTGTCTAATAATAAATTTAAATTTTATTTCGGCTTTAAGCATTTCTTAAATTTCCACCCTGTGTTTCTGGTGTTACTGATACGATGTCTCTGCTATATATCCGATCAGGTGGGCCGCAACGCATCGAGGACTACCAGGACTTTCGGCTTGTCGTTTTAAAACAAAGGACATTGGGTTATGAACTATAAAAAAATTTGAATTTAGGATTAATCCTGCACCGGATATGTAGCCATTTACTATAAGAGTAGCAATATAGCTTCCCCTACCTGGTCTCGGTGAGTCTATCTGACTGCTTTCTTAATGGCCTCTATTGCAAGTGGCTACACTTGTTTACGAAGAATGTGATACCAAGTTGAATTCTGCAAATACAGCAAAAAAACAAAATATTTGTAGCGCATAGTAGTCAAATCATTTATAACTATTATGAGTTGATATAAGTTATGTGTTTCCGATTACGATTGAGTTGCCTAAGAGTTCTTGGCATCTTTAATCCTCTCGGTTAATGGATAGATATTCTCTGATCCCATTGCATTTCTGGTTTCTGGCTAGACCCTCGGCTATCTAAGCTATAGTGGCCCACATCTAAACGCCTCGTTCCTGCTTTGTTTCACGAGACTCGTTCTCTTGCTGGGCTTCTGTCTCTTGTTGAAGGTGGCTGTGGGCAGTAAGCTCTAGCTCGCCAGTCTTCTTCTCAGCCAACAAAGACCGATCAGCATTTTCACTAAGATTGCTAGACCCTGGTACTGAACATAGAGGGGCCGATATATCCCGTTTAATGGGGTGTTCGCTACCAGTTGCGATAATACCGATGTTAGAAGACCTATAAGCTTGCATGAGGGCAAAATCACCTAAATCAAAATATTTCCTTTCCTTCCATTTAATACCGAGTCAGCTTAGTTTATACCAAGTGTAGACGCACACAATTTGTACTTATTTCTAACTGGTGATGAAGAAGATTCCCTCTGCGCGGAACTATCCCATAACGATTTAGGAGACGCTTGTTATTCTCTGTACTGAGCTTGGATGTCTTTGGTTGGTCCATGATAACAATTTGGGACTATGGATAAGTGAGTGATTGAAAAAGGGACCAGGTCGAGATTTATTCAATTTTCCGTTCCTATTAGCATCGTAATCCTCAATAATATTTCGTTGAAAATAGAGGGGTCGGTATTATACCCAGTGTTTGAGAGCAGGTGACGTAGTGCAGCCATCAAAGTATCTGTCAACTACGTGCGTACTACGTATTTTATTGTAGGATGCTAGCTTATTTTGCACCTTTATCACCATCATCCTGACGCATAATCTACTCTATCGTCTCTTCATCCTATAAGCCACATGCTAGTAAGGTTCTCCGGGAGTACAGGGCTTGGAATTCTAAGATCTTCGGATTTGCCTAAAGTGTAGACCTGGCCCTAATCAATAATGTGTTAATTGGTGTTACCAGTGTGCACCACTAGTGAATGTAAAATTTACATTTATTTAAATTTTATTAAATCCTGAGATAACAGTTCTTGAGTTTATAACTCTAAATGATTTCATCCTAGACTCTGAACTTTTAAATCTAAGATTTTCAGATTAATAATATAGATCCTAGGGAAAGGGGTAGTCTTAGATCTTCCAATTTTAATGTCATTTAAAGAGATTATGTGTCTTTTTAAGGTATAATATGAATATGCGAAGACGAAAAAGCTTCCTTAAGAGGTTTGTTGCTTAACGTTTGCGCTTCAATCCCGTGGTAACGCCATTAAAAACTTTAAAAGTGCCACCTGATGCGACCGGAATCCGTAAAGACACTGAAAGTGATAAATCTGGAGGTGAAGATGCTAATATCTCAGGGAATGCGCTCACTTGTGAATCGACACAACGCTCTCTCTGACCTTCCGAATACTTCCTTCCAAGGCCAACCTGCTTAAGAGATACTTTAGTAGATAATCTCTTCTCAAGTTGTATTGTCTCGTTGGGTGTATTCTTAATCCTGCACTGAGTTCTTGTAAATGTGTCGAAATCTGACATGGTCGATGTGCCTTCACCAGCGGCCAACGCAGCTACCCCTTGGCTGATGTAGGCGCTGTGTTCATGAGGTCGAGTATGCTTAATGGCCGTTTCTGAGAATGAGGACAATGCAGCAAGGCAAGTAGATTCTAAGGCTTTGTCCGACGCCGGTAGTTCGTCTTTCGCTGGTAGGCGGCCAAACACCATCGACGATGACAACACCAAGGTCTGCCTTCCGGGGTCAACCGCCTCATTCATTTTGCTGCGCTTATAAAGTCTCTTCGTTAAAGGAGAAATGGGAAAAGCGTGAGCGGTTGCTCCGGCTGAATCTTGACATGGCGCATGCCAAATGTGGTCGGTTGGGAGGTAAGAAGCGAAGTATCGAACGAAGGAGTCTAACGAGTTTGTCTGGAAAAGCTGGACTGCATGTTCCCAATGAGGCATCTCGATAAGCTTTGGGTTTCCAATGATTTCAAAACTTGCGCATTCAAGAGACTTCTTTAATTCAGAGAGACGTCGTTGTCTGCGATGGCTGGCTAAATGGTGAAATTCGGCTGGCGTCTGCGCTTCGTAGGATATTTCGGCTATGTCACAATAAAAAGCTTCAGTATCTTGGATAGGGACCGTGTAGGTATTGTACTGGTCGTGGAGCTTGGTGAACAAATCCTCTTGTTTCATGCCGAATTTCCAGGCTGGCCAAGTCCATAACGGGTCGTCCATTTTATCGATATAATAGCCTTTAAACTGATTATAACTGTGGTAAATTGAGATTGATGATAATTAGAGATTGGAAGTCAAACAGTAGAGGAGATGCACGCATGGCTTTGGAACCGGATATCTCGAAGACCCTGTATTTTGTGGCAAGCCAGCACTAACTCTGGAAGACAAATATTGTCGCCTGACATCTCAACTGGAAGGGGGGCGCCACAATAGCTGTCTCAAAGGCACAGCATAGAGACTTACGTAATAAATATATCAAGGAGAGTAAGCATGGCAGGACAATGGTGCATATTCTGATGGCCTGGACCGATCGATTGCAACCTGAAGCCAACATCGGGCGGTTGCATCCCGCTCCTCCTCCATTGTAAAACTACGTCACTAGTGTGGCAGCCTACAAAATCCGCATCACCTAAAACCTGCTTCTTCAGTATGCTCCGGATGAGCAAAAGTCGTCATAAGCCATGCACTTTGTGACGCTTAGTTAAATAACATACGCTACATACATCTCTACTCTATATTGAGCTGGTTAATGGCAGGACACGAAGTTTTGTCAGCTGTTCCACTTCTAACTAAAACCGGGGGGAAACCATTTTATGATAGTGAATATGCTATAAACCGGCACTACACAGTAGGAATCCTTTGCCTCCCTAGGGGATAGGTATAATTACATATTTCGCTATTTGTAATAAAAGATACGAACTAAACGACCATCTGCACTATAACCCCCCACTGTGTTTACTCCCATAAGACGCAATGCCTTCTAAGCGTTACGAGCCATCCTTTGGCGGTTTACGGAGTAACGAGAAAGGACATAACAAAATTCATGATTATAACAAACGTACAAATGAACTAGCTCCGCGCCTTTCCCACCTGGAACACCTGATAGTCCGCGTCTCTGATAACTCGATTCGGAGTCTTGCCGGGGCAACCAGTGCGATAGCCTCCAGCATTATAACAAGTCCTCTGGACGTCATAAAAGTCAAACTACAAGGAAGAGGTGGGCTCCAACTGTGGACGCTTGATTCTGTCAGAAAACGACGTCCATTGCAAGAGAGAGGTCTCATTGGCACTGGGCGAGCAATATGGCATCAAGGCGGATTGATTGGTATGTACCAGGGACTTGGACCGACCATACTAGCAAATATCCCTAGGGGGGCCATATATTTCACAGTATATCACAAGGTCAATGACTCGCTAAAGAAGTTATTCAGTAAGTTATTTTTGTTATCCATTCTATGGAAACTATTGCGGGTAGTACTAATCTCTGCCAAACGGCCAACAACAGACGTGGGTATGCTCAAGCCTATCTGCGGCTACTGGAGGTACCGTTTCTACAGTACTCACGAATCCATTATGGGTTATCAAAACCAGACTCATATCTCAGTCAAGTACATCTACGAGGAATACTCCAAGAGACTATACGTCTGCCATAGACGTAGCTCGGAAGATGTACTGCCGGGAAGGTATTGCTTCGTTTTATTCGGGGCTAACTCCAGCTCTGCTTGGTGTAACACACTTAGCCATACAGTTTCCATTATATGAGCAGTTTAAGATATACTTTACAGGATCAGGGCTTGGAAGTTGGCATGAAGGCCAGGAACGCCTCCAGATCCTAGGGGTATTAACAGCTAGCGTGGCGAGCAAAGCGTGTGCAACTATGGTCACATATCCGCACGAAGTTGTTCGAACAAGATTACAAACGCAACAGAGAGTATACCCTTCATCAACAGCTGAACAAGCAGGAGCAAGGGATGGCAAAGGCCTATTGATGTCTGAAAGTAGCCTACAAAGCGGAAAGGTCTGCAATGCAGGGAAAACATGGGAGAGATTTCCCCGACTGAATCGGGGCATTATGAGCACGCTTGAAACGATCATGCGGGAAGAAGGCTGGCGTGCCTTATACTCTGGTATGGGCACTAGCTTAATCGGTGCTATACCAGCCTCCGCTATGACAATGCTGGTGTATGAAACAGTAGTGTGGCAGATTAAGAAGTCAAGTGCGCAGGCCAAAGGAAAGCTCGAAATGCAGGATGTAGCAGAAACTTGTTGTCTACGGCTCGTATAACATTCCAGCATATCATTGACACGAACGGCGCATACTATCGAGCTTAACTATATTTCATGAACGACTATACCTAGCCAAATCGTGCTAAACTCCAAACAATCACATATCCCGTTATCCAATACTGGGGTTAGGGGCAGCGTTGTGAACTATATGGAGTAAAATATACAATCTTAAGATGGATTAAAAGTTAAAATTAAGAGTATTTGGAATTGTTAAAATCAATACATATACTCCTCTACGTGGTCACTAGTCAACGGAGTTTGGGCATCTGCAACAGAGATATTCCACCCTACGTGGTTTTGATAAGGGAAGAACTGGGAACATTCGTCAGCATGTCCAGAGGCCAACCAGCTATCCTGTAGAAAGAGGGGAGACTGGCAGATCTGAGCTTCGATAAGGTTCGTCATGGACTTGGCTAGATACTTATCAAAGTGATTCACCATGATGACCTTGCCGTGGGTATATGATGTCCCGTTATTGAATACGTACGGTGGAGTAATCTCGATGTTATCCACCTGAGTCAAACTCCTCGTTTCCAAAGCCACATCCTAGCGACAGTTGATGGCCTCCAGCTCTGTCACCCCTGAAGCTTTCGAAGACCTGACGTCTAGCAGCTTTAGTAAATTGCGCACTCCGAACCAGGACACGAACTGATATTGGACCTTCTGGTCCAGGCATACTAGTGAAGCCCGGCTCTATGAAACCTAGTGCCTAGATTTCGTCGGTGTAGTTCGGTAAATGAAGGGACGGAGTTTCAGTCACGTTCATTAGCGCGTCTTCAAAACCACGTATGACCTTCTGCTGCACTGTACTGGAAATCTCGTTTTCTTTTCCGGATACCACCATTTGTACATGCCGCAGATAATGGTGGAAGAGCACAGGCGCCTGCTTTATCGCTACAGCATTGTAGGTCATCCTATTGCCGTCGGTGACTCCAAACTCCAAAGAAAATTACCGTTTCAGGCAGAGAGATCAGAAACCAACCCTCTCGCGTCTATGGCTAGCTCAATGCCTGCACCTAAGCTCGTCTCGTCGAACATGAACTGAGTATCAACAATTCTCCAAAGGGAATCTGCATCTGATAGGAATTAGGGCTGTTTTCACAATACACGGACTGGGCTTAACATGCTCTCTAAAAGCGTATAGATGTTCCAGATGGCCACGTCAGAGATGTCGTTAAGGGGAGTGGTTCGGGCAGGAGATAAAATAAAAGCCAGAACATGCAGAGAGCTTGCCGCCAGGGAACAGAATTATAAAGTAGTCAAGTTACAGGGCAGCCAACCGTGAAGTGTAATTCCCCTTTGAGCGCAAGGCTGCAATATAGGCCCACTTGAACCCACGTACAAGAAGGCTGCAAAGAGAGTGGCCCGAGGCAAATCTGGAAACGCTATTGCTCCTCAGTAACTCGCCAATATCCACTCCGGTACGGCCATCCGACCCAGTTAGCATAATTGGCTCCTGGTCTTCTATAGTAATAGGAGTAGAAGCTGGCTTGTACGACCTGATTTGCTCAACTTAGCCGGTCTGGCTCCCCTGTCGTGGTGCCATTGCAGTTTTATGCCACGTAGAGAAATTAAGAGATGAAGAGTCATTCTAATAATTACACTGTATGAATACCAATTAGGGCGTTTACTCAGTTGTCATGAACTCAATTTGATTGCAGTGTGTTCTGGAATTCTAGTTGCGAAAACGTGGGATATGACACATGCCATCATCATAGTGGCGCCACGGCGACTATTTTCATCGAGGGGTGCATAATTTGTAAACATGCTAATCAGAATAGATACAGGGATCTAATTACTGTGGCAGCCAAGCGATGACAGGTGCACCTCGTGGAATAAGTGATAAACGGCACAGCTGCCTAAGCCCAGTCGTAAAAATCGAAATACAAGAAACGCAAGTAGAAGACCGTGTACGGCCCAATCGATAAATCATCAACCCCCACCAACAGCCATAGCGTTGGTGCTACAAGCCTAAAGTTGCATTTCTAGACTGAAACAGCATCCCATCCGTCCATCTCAACCCCGCCTATCCATACCTTCCGAATCTTTCTCGTAGTTGCGATATCCTGCAACGGATCTCCTTCTACCAATACCATATCTGCTCTCCGCCCCAGCGAGATCTCACCGCGATCTTCCATACCAAACACTGTTGCCGGAATAATGGTAGCTGCCCTCAGCGCATCGAGGTTCGAGAGCCCTGCGCCTACGAGCAACTCCATCTCTTCGTGAAGGCTCTCCCCAATTGGTATAGGCGCATGAGATATCTGGTTTGCTTCTGTTCCAGCACAGATGCGCACCCCAGCGTCGTACAGCCTTTTCACGTTGGCAACCGCGTAATCAAAGCTGATATCCTCCATGCCGTTGCTTGTCTCTCGCAGAAGCAAGGGTATCATAGCTCTTGCCATGCAAAGGGTCGGGATGCACGCTACGTTGCGTGCAGCAAGGCTCTCAGCTACCTCGGTTTCTATCAAACCATCTATAGGCACAAGAGTGATGACGTCGAACCCCGCCTGTACTGCCCGAGAATATCCAGCCTTTTGGAAGGAGTGTGCGACAGCCAACTTGCCGTGTCGGTGCGCAGCTTGAACAAGAGCAATGAGCGTCAGGCTATCGATTCCAGGCAGATCAACAAGCACTTTGATGTAGTCGGATTTGGTCGGACCGTCCAGGAGAGAGGTAACCCACGTCTCAGCCTCCGCTGGGACTTCGACAACCCCTGTTTCACGTCGTGGATGTATCTGTGCTCCGTCGGTGGCCTGCGCAGTAGCAATGGGGCCAGATGCCAGGTAGGCAGGTAGTCCAATCTCGGCCATAGACTCAGCCCGCATTTCTTGGATATCAGCTTTGCTGCTACTCATGTCTAGAACCGTGCCGATACCGTAAGAGGCGAAGATAGGTAAATCCATGTTCGTTGCTGCAGTATCGACATTGGAATCAATGAAGGCTGGGAGGAGCGTACAGCCTCTCCCGTCAATCGCGGTGTCGATGCTGGCGAGATTCGTGGCTCCTTGCTCGATACTGATAATGTCGCCCGGGCTGGCACGGAACGTGACATTAACCGCAGTGTCGACCTTGCGACCGTTGAATATAGGAACATTGGAAATAGCATGGATGGCCATCATTGGAACACAGCAAAAAAAAAGGAGAAAAAAAAGAAAGAAAGAAAGGATTTGCTGCAGGTTTTAGTTTAGTACAGTGAGAAGGGAAGAGAATTTATATAGAGGATAATTTATTTGCCAGATAATGGATAATGTCAGTATGAGCAGAAGAACACAACAATATAATATGGTCCACTTTGAACCTTATAAACTGATTTTAGGGTATTTTCTTTACATCCAGCAAGTGAATTATCAAATCATTCGTCATACCAAGGATATAAACAAGTTGGCAGAACACAGGGGTGAAGGGTGTTAAATAAGCGGTCTACGTCAGGAAATACATATCTCGGATAAGTGAGTAACGTTATTTAGTTATTGAGTGCAGATGTCATTCTGGCTTGCATCTATTATGAACGTCGAAACGCACTAAGCGTAAAAACTTACCCTAGATTACTATAGACGATCAGAGGTTTCGAGTTCGCGTTCTAAACCTCTTCAGTCCTCCAAACGATTGTATTACATATTGTTATGTTACGTCCGTTTTCACCGTTTACTCCACGGCGTCAACCACCTGGTCGCCTCCAACTTCCTTCACAAACACTTACATATAATTTGGCCATTGCCTGCATGTCGATAACCAAGTAGTCAATAAGAAATCTTCCCTCCATAAAATTATCATTCCTCTTCCAATAGCCATGCCCTATTTTATTGCAATTAAATGTCGCTATAATTGACTTTAGCGAACTACTTTTGTTTCTGCCGATCTAACTTTCAAGGCATTTTGAATTAGATTTAGCTTGGTGAACAGTTTTTGTTATTCCTAAAGATCAAAAAGAAACTCCGGTCGAAAAGTAGAAAGTATACATTGATCAATAATCGCAAATAGCAGACACAGGGCTCTTGGATGGAATGATCTATCGTAACGTGTTATAGAAGCAAAGCCAAGACTCAGTTTAGGCTGCTTTATGCCGATATATATTCTTCTTCGCCTCTAGATTGCCAAAACGTGTCTTGGACACCAGCAAGGTTGGATTGTCAAGATATCTTGAACCAATAAGACAGGATCCTATCTGAATTTCGAAAGCTACCCTTAACTCCTTAAAGTTAGGTCTAGTGAACAATTGGTGATTGCCTTAATCAATAACTTGTAGATTTAAATATAGGAGGGGCTGAAAGTGAATATTAGTATAAGGACGAACCTGGCTACACTGGGCCATGCCTAATTCAGTTCCTGTCTCGTAGGTTTCGGTAGACACTGGACGATAACTCTCTTGTAAGCTAAACTTAGCTATTCTGACATTGGTAATTAACCTTATCTATTTTGAATCGGTCGTAGCAAACGATGTCGTACGCTGTCAACCGTGCGGGCTCACGTGTTACTTAGACTGCATTAAATCATGTTATCATGGGCATCCTAATACTTGTCCTACCTGTTGCTGTGTTTGGCTATACCCGGACTTGTGCATTGTAGACATGGATAGCAGCAACCTCTTATAGATGTTTTAATTGTATCTTCAGTATATCCTTTCTGCTTTCGGATACCTCCAGCATACCTACTGGCAGTGAATAGATTCACTAATAACGATACGAATTGTGTGCTCCAAGTACAAATTGCACGCTTGGTCTTGTGTTTGTTCCCAGCATATATATAAATTCAATTATCTGGTCGTTTTGGTATTAGTAATGCTATGGAATTATCGCTGTTAGCTACACTGTGTCGCCGTTTCCTAAGTTTAGAAGACCCGTATCATTTTTCAGTTCTTGCAAGGCTCCTTCCTTTTGAAGCTGACTTGATAATCAAGACCATGGTTATTGTCCCAGTATTCTTGGCCGTTAACTATGTATTTGATGCAGCATTGGAATGTTTTGATCCCAGGTTGAACAAGAACCTCATCTGGGAGCTTCAGCGTAAACAGGAAATAGTCAACCTCATTTGGAGGGTTCGTGCCTGTCAAGCTATATGCGTATTGGGCGTAAATTTCAGAAATTGTATCCCAATGATTGAACGTGAACCTGCAAATGACTGATTTCTCGTGTGCGTAATTGGCTACTGCAACGGATCCTAAGAAGGACCTTTCGTCAACAGAGACCCATAGTCTCTTTAGCTTCACAGAAGTTAAATTCTCAGCCGCCCTGACAATGATACTTGAACTAGTAATGTCCCACTGAGTTGATGGTGATCTTGTAATATGGATTGATGTTGTCGGACGCGAGTTCTTATGTGCAGAGTCCTTGTAGGATCCTTCCGCAAACTGTGGCTCATGCTTCACAACAGCCGGTGGATCAGTCTGAGGGAGATGTTGTACTTGGTCCTTTAACTCGAAACAAACTGCTGTGCGTGGTGTGGGCTTTCTAACGAGGTGTTGACGATGGTGAGGATACCAAGGTAAATGGAGACAGCCCCATAACTTTTCCAGCATGACTCCTTGTGGGTCTCTTAGACGATGATCGAGAGGCCTCTTTTCTTGAAGCGTTGATAAGGTGGATAGACTGGTTGTGAAACCGGGTACTGTCTATCGGAAGGTGGTAGGGGACTTGTATTCAATGTAGGGAGATGCGACATTACATCTACGCCTATAGAGAGAGCTAGGGTAATTAGACCATTAGTATTCTCTTGTGTTTCTTCCTTTGGGTCGAAGCAGGAGCTAGAGTGAAGCAAAGTAAATGCTGGTGGAGGCAGGGCGTTGAAGATGGGGCTTTTCAAATGTCACCGAAACTAAGCGTGGGATAATGGGTAGCACAAAACTCGAATCAGTGGTCTCGTCATTATTGGCAGTCTTTGCCCGAGAGAAAGAAAGCCAGGGTACAAGCTACAGCTCCAGTTCTGTCCACCCTAGCTTTGACTTTTCTACCTTAGCATTTAGCGCTATAGTTGAGGTTGGTGAGCTTTTTTTGTGATAAAAGTAACAGTAGAAGAGGGAAGGGGCGGAGGGGGGTACAGATTGGCAGCCACAGCTTGTTTGTCAATTTGGCCTCTGAAGATTGTTGCGGCAGCTATCAGATGCCATCACACAGTGCTGAAAAAGTTTATAATTCAGTTTAAGTCTAAGCGATTTTTATTTTGAGCCTACAGGTTATAAAACCTGTCCATCGTCGCGGTTTGCTTTCACGATGTAAGATATTCCTTGCCTCAAGCTTTAAAGATTAAAGCAATTGGTTTGCTTTAGGGTCCTTTGATAACTTCTGTCAGATCTCATGTTGTTATCTATATTCCATTGTGTCAAAGAGCTCCAGCAACTACTTGGGAGTTTCTGGGACACAAAACTACGTACCCTAAGTCATTCCGAGTAAGTACAATACTATAGAAATACCGGATATGGATTTGAGGAACCTCCTTGATTTTCCAGCTCACCGATGAGCTCACCGGTATGCTCTACGGCCTCTTCCGCCTCGCCTCATATTCTTGACCATGACACAATTGTGTCGAGGTTCAGGGTTGGGCACAACGGTAATGGTGGGGCCAATCTTGAATCTCGATGTAAATGCAAACTGGCATGGTGTTCTAAGGAAGTATGGCGCCATCTATTACCACAGTTGACTGGCTTACTTGTTGGAGTCGACACCTGTAACCGAGGAAGTCTCCCCTTCGATAGATGCCTTGGACAAAAACCACTATCATAGTACTTTACCCCGCCCCCCATATCGGTATGCTGAATACGTAACCATCACATAATGAGGCAAGTTGGAAGTAAGGGAGAGTGAGACGCTCGCAATTTAATACGAGAACACACCTCCCTAATTTCGTTGCTCCGAACACTCCGTTGCAATGTAGCCAATCCCGAGCCAATTCGTACCCGTCATGCACTGTCCCAGTTGTACGGATTATGATCGGCAATGCTAAAATGCAATAACACGGACGTAAAAACAGGAATCTCTGCAGAAAGTATACAACGCATCGCTGCCACCCTGTGAGTCTACCAGTCTAAAGCTTTCCGCATATAGTCGAAACACAACGCGTCATGCATGATGCATCACGAGCCTTATCTTACCTTGATTTCTAGTTCCCAACAACCAATCACAGCAGCTAGATAAGCCCCGAGAGCCCGAACCAATCACACCTTAGTAGGAAACCGCTTTATTTAATTGAGGTATGTAGTATAACACCACAACTTCCAGCCAATTGCTGACTTAGAACAGTGGTCTTGCAGAGAGCAAGACATCGTCAATCGATAACGGAATTTCCATTCAGTTATCCCGTCCTAGTTACTGAAACTGTTATTCTAGCCCTGGTAAGCCCTATATGAATCTCGTACCATATATCTTGATTCTATCGCCGAGAATCGGATAAGAGAAGCTTAACATTGAATGAGCCTTTCCCACACCCGGGACCAGATATTAGACCGGACGCACCCTTTGGTACTTAACAATGGATAAAACCATGTGTTCTCAAAGTTCAAGCGATGGGGGCGGTAAAACAACCGCTTATTGGTGCCCTCCTTTTGTTGCTTTTTGATTCCAGGCTCGTCATGCCAGTGGTCTCGATGGTAGCCGCATGCATCAAGGTGCAGTTGAATTACCACCTAAGAGAGATGACCACGTGCCGGGTTTACACCGGTTGGTTTTGATGGCTCGAGAAATAACAAGATGCCTATTACTCTCTTGGTATCAACCCCCCGCGAAGTTTATTTTAGACCCAAGCCCTTGACGTTCCCAAATCACGAAAGCTTTCCAGACAGCTACCTAGCAACTATTTCTAACAGCCATCTATGGAAAGCAACTCTGAGCATATTTAACAGGGTTGATAGAAAGACAGGGTACCGTAGGTTGCTCTTTTAATCACATCCGACCAGTATAAGCTGATTTTCTAAAACAGACAGTCATAGGCACTCTTCATATACATAGAAATGGTGATAATGCCGAATAGCCATTCTCCAGAAGAGACTGTTGGGAGTGAGCTTACTATTTACGACACGGGCATTACGTCTCACCCTCAATGGGAGTTCTCAGAATTCACAAACCCCCTAGCATCCCTGGGCGCCGTCCAGGACGAACTTGATATCACAACCTTGCCAAGGCATAACTGCCTTCCCCAAGCCCCTTTATCGCTCTGTACGGAATCCAACTCGGCGTACAATTGGGGTCATGCAAACTATTCCATCCAGGATCAAACTTTATCGCCTGAGCCCCCGGCAATAATCTATCAGAAACCATCGTCGGCTTTAATTCCTGAATTGCCATCATCGGTCGAGTTGGACAAAAGACCTAGCCGAAAGAGGAAGGCAAACCTCGATGAACCCAAAACTCTCAGGTCTGCTGGATGCAATGCTAGAGGGGGTACCGACACCAATGGCGAAAGGAGGAAAAGAACTGTTGCGGAGGCAAAGGAAGTTAACGCTAGTGACAATATATCTAATCGCGAAACCGAAAAGCAAAAGCAGGTTCAGCAAAGAAATCTTATCGCTGCGAAGAAATGTCGCCTAAGAAAGAAAGAAGACCTGATGAGACTTCAGTCCGACGAACACGAGCTGGAGGAACGTCATAGGATGCTATCTAGCTGTGTGGAAGAATTGAAAGAAGAGATTCTATATCTAAAAATGCAACTACTACAGCACTCGAGCTGTGAGTGCACTCCAATACATCGTTACATAGAGAAAGAAGCACAATCTTATATTGATGCACTGAGCCCGAGGTGGACTACATAATAACACATACACTAATGCTTTGACGTAAAACGATTGCTGAGAAAAGACGTTAAATAGGAGAGGGTACTGTGAATAGGAAAAAATGACAGATTGGCTTCAGTCACTGGACTTACACTAACCCTGACCCTGAACTAAAAAGGATATCTTTGCTTGAAGGCAAATGATTTAAACCTAGGTCCCGTCTAATGCACCTGATTTGATATACACTACGCACCTAAGACTATTGATTGTAGCTACAACAGTTCTTGACTCATCATAAAGTACCTTGTAGCATTGTACTAGTCAATGATCTTCCTTGTTGGTGGGCAAAAGAAAATTGATGTCTAGGTCACAGGCAGGGGGTCTTGATATAGTCCGTTCGCATTTCCTTATCAAAGAGGTGTTGCAAGTCCCGTTTCTATCCTCGACATCTGTCTTTTACTAGGGTCTAGCCGTAGTTTCAAGCCAGATCGGGATTGAGATAATACTGTTGATCCCCTTGGTAATTTCATTGATCTCTGTGGCGATAGAATGCTGCTAACTGACCCTATCGACAAGATTTTGACGAAACGTTGACAACAATTACTAGGAATATAACCTTAACTTTGACTACCAATACTTGAAGCCCACGAGAAAGCAACCGTTCGTGAGGATACATCCTATATGAGATTTCTGTGGAATGAATCTAGGAGATCTGAGTCTAGAGGACTATAATAAGCTTTCGGATTACTGCATCCCCATAAACCTATATGGAGAATATCCCTTGGTCTTTGATCAGTACAGCCACTTTTTAGTCTTTTGGAAAGACAGGGTAAGTTTGCGACGTTGTGCGATATTTCAATGGAGATTGAACTCCTGTTCGTAATACCATTATGGCTGGGTACAGTACAAGTATTGAGTCCGGTTAATCGTTCAAATAGCATCCCTTTGCTCGCCGCGACAGGTTATACTATAGGCTAACAAATTTCAATACATTTAAACCTTAGCTATCATTATCTTTATTTCGTGAGGATTCAGGGTGATACCATTTGAGTGAGTATTATCAGGCTGCCATGATACGACTTGTCTATTACCTGACAGTTATGTCAAGGACAATCATACTGGCATATTCTATTGGATAAATATCTCCCTTATATCCGTAGCTAGAAAGTTCCGTAGGTCAGGGGTTTTAAACCAGTATAAGATCTAGTTGGCTCCTTTTTTACAGCAATTTAAGCAAATACAATCTATAACGTAAGGAGTGCGTGCAACGTTCAAAAGCAACGATTGGCACGAGTCAAAGGACTTATACCTGTGATATAGTAACCTGACCAGCATTTATACTCCAATAGATAGTAGGGCTGAGATAGAACTTATGGTTTTCATCAGTAAAAGCATCAAGCCTGTAGAATATATGAGAAATCTTGGCACTTGCGTCAAGAAAGTATCCTTTAATTCCATTAGCATTACATATGTTAGTATAAAAACATATTAGATAGCCAGTACACCTGGTAAGCGTTTTGGTAAGGAGATATAGTTACTGATCTACATAAGGTTCTCAGACACCGATACATCTAGTGCAGTGCAGGGGATGACCCATACTGGGTTGATAATAATAGGCCCAAGACATGATAGACAATTATCGTTTCTAACTTACTGCTATACTTCGTCCTAGCTATCTTCAAGCTGTGCTGAGAAATACCAGAGAATTCTCTAAGTCATATACTTTGCTAGATAATGGGGTTCTGTTGAAGCTGATTTTCTGAATACTTATCATTGTGTCCGGAATGAAAGTATCGCCACTAGCAGGCCACAAATATATGACTAGTAGTTTTATTCTCCCCCGTCATAATACGTCAGCTTGACGCAGCTACCTCTCATACGTCATGCCTTACGTCAGCAGTGTAGGCTAAGTTTACTATAAATGATTATTTGGACCCAGAGTGCAACCGGAACATTTTCCTCTTAATGGTTCGTTTACCGTTCTTCTCATCAAGGTTAATTAAACGACACATTACGTCTCAGTTCATCTAAGCGCCATGCGGAAACTCTTGCCAAGGTCCCGAGACGAGAACACATGGCTGCCAACGCCAACAATTGGGAAGCGCAAGCGTTTTCAGGTACAAGTAGCATGCGACGGTTAGTCTGAATAGAAGAGCAATGTGGATAGCATACTGACAAGTTTATATAGCATGTCGGAGACGCAAGATTAAAGTTCATCTCACAAAACTCTTCAATAAATAAGATCGCTGATTAAGGCAGTGCGATACCCGGCGTCCGGCTTGTTCACAATGCGTTCGTTCTGTCAATGAATGTCGGTTCGCTGTTCCGGATGATACGTCCCGGCATGGCGCAGGGCTGAACCAGCTTTAAGTCGTTTCTGCAAGGGAAAGCTCCCTCAGTATGGTTTTTGAGTATCTTCGTGAGGGCTCTAAAGACGACTCTGCAAAGTTATTAAATAGTATTCGAGAGGCGCAGTCGGTTGATGACTTCATAAAGTCATTTTCAGAAGCTGCTCCCCTGATACCCCTCGCTCCACAACAATCATGTAAGTTTCCACTGCAATTTATGTCTTGTTGCGGATCTTGATTCTATTTATTTTTGTACCTAACCGTTATAAATTATGGAAGACTCTCTCGCTATAGCCTCACAGTTCGCAAGGGTCGCTTCCTCTCGACCTATCGAAGATCTTTCACTTGGGTATGGACTCTTCTTAACTCCTCTGTTCTTATAACTAGCTTCGGTATTAATTGCTATCAGAACGGAACCCTTGAGTATCACGGACGAGTTGGTCACTAGATTCCCTGACGGAGTCTTGCCTGTTTCTTAATGGACTGGCCTTTCTTCGGATGACAAATACTTATCTCATATGCTATACCTTTTCTTTACATGGGATCAAACCCTCAGCCACATCGTACCCCGAACTGTGTTTTTAGAAGATCTCAAGGCTGGCCCGACGAAAACAACGAAGTTTTGTTCGAGATTTCTTGTTCATTGTCTAATCGCCGTTTCTCATGTAAGTTAAATCTTGTAATCATCTTTGGATAATTAATCTATCCGAGCTAATTCTATAGATTTTTATATCGCAAGAAGCATTATTGCAACAAGCACAGGATTTAGGGTTAGGGTTAGGGTTAGGGTTAGGGTTAGGGTTAGGGTTAGGGTTAGGGTTAGGGTTAGGGTTAGGGTTAGG